TTTCATCAACCGCCATGAACACTTACGGATCGGCGGTTGCCAAGAAGAACGCTACGAGTCGATCCATGGGCATTACTGCGGCACGGTGGAAATCGCGCAAACATTTGGACTGGTCCGATATTGCCGGTAAATCGCGGGTGCCTTTCGAAGATCTTTTGTCTGTACTGGAACACGGCTCGCGCGCCGCACCTCCCTTGTTTCCCAAGCAATCGGCAGAAGAGCAATTCGTACGTTATCAGCTGGCTTGGCGTCAAGAACTGGATAGGTTGATTGAAAAAGGCGATTTGGTGCCAACATCGGTGATTCACGTCGATCCCCAAGGCGAAGAAGAAGTGATTGTGGTATTTACCCCGAATGGAATGAGCAAACCTCACGTCCAAAGTGCGCCAAAGAAACAAGATGCTCGTATCCTTCTCCGTCTCGTCGACTTTGACCGCAACATTGACCAGACGGAATTCGAGAACTTGCTGGATCTCGATCAATCGGAAATTCCCGTCCGCGAAGTCATTGTCCGTGCTCAGTTGTGTCGATCCATCATGGATTTGGGTCAAAAGAACATCAACTTTGGCTTGGTCGAACGCAATGAACAACATTCGAAATCAATCGTCCTTCACAACCGGAGTGAAACGCCTTTATTGTACGCTATTCGAAAATCCGGGTCCATTGCTTCGGGTGACATTGACTTGGGAGTGGGTCGCTACGGTGTGGTTCGTTCCTTTGGCAAACGCGAGATTGAGTTTTCATTTGAACCGACGTTACCCGGACCGTTCATGGAACGTCTCGTCGTGGAAAATATTCGCGATCGGACCAACGATCAGGTGTTGTCTTTGAAAGCCATGGTGCGTAAGCCATCCACGTTTTTCATCAAATCGCTATCCTTGAGCTTTGGCCCTTGTCTGTTGGATCAAACGTGCCAGCGTTTCGAAACCATTTACATCACCAACACGAACAAGCAATCGCGCCTCTTTGAAGTGCGCGTCGATCCCAACGAAGTGATCTTTGGACCATACTATGGTGAATTTGATTTTGTCGTTCAAGATGAAAGTTCCAATACCTTGTCCAAAGAGGCCGAAGAAGAGATCGAGAATTTGGAGCAGAAACTCAAGATTGCACGACGCAAGGGACAACCCGATAAAGTGAAGAAGTACCTGAAGAAATTGGCCAAGCTGCGAAATGCCGAGTTTAATGAAGATGATGTGAACGCGGACGGCTCGGTGCTCGAAAGTGTGACCAAACAGGAAGAAGAGAAAACGGAGGCCAAGAAAATTACGGCGAGCGAAGGCGACGATGCGACGGTAGGTAAAGAAAGTGCCATCATTTTCAAAAAGACCTCGGAAAGCATCGTGTTTCCACTGGATCCGCACGCGTCAAAGATTATCAATGTCTCTTTCAAAGCCGTGATGCGTCCGCTGCGTCCTGATGTTCCAGTCGATCAAGAGGATGATGTGGCCATTCTTCCTATCAAGGGTCGGATCCTGGCCCACGAATACAAGAACACCGATGTGTGCAAGAGCATCGTCTATACCGCCACCATTTGTCGCGATCAAGCCTCCTACATTGAAGCTCTGGCGTCCGATGAAACCAAAAATGAGGCCGGCAACGCCCTTTTGACGACGGTGACCGAACCCTCTGCTCCAAATGTGCCACTCACCGATGTGTCCAACGACGTAGATAGCAGCTCAGTCATCAACGATCCCGCGCAAGATACCGTCGAATCACTTCACTTGGAACGCTCGTTTTTCGACGGCGGCAAGGTCGAAGTGGGACAAAAAACGAATTATTATGTCCGTGTGTCGAATCTCGGTACGGAAGATCTTAACTACGAATTTGTGGCGGATGACAAGGAACAAGCCTTTTTTATTTTCCCGGACACGACCACGCCACTCGCACCCAAGGAAACTCGAAAGATCATGTTTGAAATCATGCCTACCGTGGTTGGAAAGCAGCAGCACACAATGTCATTGAAAAATCCACGAACCGGTTACTCCCAGTCGTTTACGCTACAAATTCTCGTGCACCGCAAACAGTATCTTGTTTTCCCCTCGTTGTGTGAAGAATCGCGTGGCGAACTGGATCTCGGGTTCTCGTACGTGGATCCCGGCAGCAAGTACTCCCAAGTGACGCCGCTGTTGGTGGAAAACGTCTCGGATCAGGATTTGTTCATCAAATGTCAGAGCAATTTGTCTCATCAGGTGCTCATCTTTATGGATGAGAGCGGTGATCGCGGCGTGGTGGACATGATGCCGTTCAAGCGTGGTAGTATGACGACGGTGTGGGTCGCGGTTCAACCGAGTCTGTTGACGGGATACATTGGCACCTCGGCCAACGAATGTCGCGAACTGGTGGGCGGTATTAAATTCTCCATCTACACGCAGGATGATACCCCCGTAGAAGGCGACGGAAAACCGGAGATGCTGTTGATGTTGACGCAAACCGTCAAATTCACTTCAATTATTGGCGAATCGCATCTCAAAGTGTCTCACCAGGTCATCAATCTCGGCTATACCGACTTGTTACATGAAGAATTTTACGGCGCGTTCACCATCCAGAACAAATCCGGCCAGTTACCGTTGGATTACGAAGTGGAATGTTCGAGTGGCAATCTCGTCCTTGATCGACGGGGAGGCACATTGCATGGATGGCAGGAACCAAAGAACACCAATGCGGGACTGGAATACATCGATCCATCGCCCTCGGCGTTGCAACCGAGCCAACCTCAGCGACGTCCGTCTTACGCCGATCATCATTTGATTCCTTCCGTGGCTCAAATCACTTTCCGCATCTACGCTTACCGCTATGGTTTGGTCAACGAGAAACTGATCGTCACCAACAAGCATAACAGCCAAGAAGTGTTTGAGATTGAAGTTCGCTTGTTTGTTGACTGCAAACGATTAGATGCTTGGACATTGCCTTCGAAAACGTTGCTGCGAAGTACACTATCCGACGGACAGTTGGACCATGCGGATCATCGGGAAGCGCAACTGTTACCGACGGTTCGTTGGGAAAGCGTTTACATCTGCCCTGTGCCGCATGGAACGCCGGACGCTCACAATCCGACCACTCCGTTGTTGCAGGTGATGGCGTTACCGGATGATGAAGAAGCACGTTTCTACGTGCGTGAAATTGAAGTTGCCAATACGTCGGGCCACCCAATGTATCTCGTGGTACTCAGCGATCTGGATATCACTGCGGGGTGGTTAGCAAACGAAGACAAGATTCGTGCCGTTTACGCTGTGGATCAAGGTACATTCCTTCAACGAAGTGGACAGTTGATTCTGCAACCCGGTCAACGGGTTCGCGTTCGTTTGCACTGTCCTTCGGCGGCGAAACTTGGGGGCGAAGAACGGGCGTTGGCGCTCCAAGGACGAAGCGGGTCTTTGAAAGGCATGCTTGTGATCTATGATTTATTGCAACAGTTGGAGGTCTTGACATTGGAACTGGAAGCTTTGTTTTGCGTCTCATTAGCCGAGCTCAGTGTCGACCGGATTGATCTTGGCAAAATCGGGCACATCACGTCGTGGAAACCGGCCAAGTTCATGTTTACCGTGCGAAACCTGGCAGATGTGCCTGTCACGTACGATATCCAAGGACCGAGTGCGTTTAGCTTTGTACCTCTCAACAAGAATGGCGACCCCATGCTCGATCGACGTTACTACATCCCGTCACGAAAGTCGCAGACCATCGAAGGTCATCTGGATCCCCGGAAACTGCAAGATGAAAGCTCAGGACTTCGTCGGTTCGATATTCAGATTGCCAACCAACGCAACGGAAGCAACACGATGCATTTACGCCTGAAGGCATTGATGACTGTATTTGAGCTGTGTTTCGATCGATTGACGCACGGCGACCTTTTGTTACCCACCTTATATCACCCTATTTCCATGCAAAACGTACCGTGCGACAATTGGTTCGTGGTACAGAATACGACGGACGACGATATTCGCTTTGAAATCGGCGCCGATATGACGCCTGAACTGGAAGATTATGTCAAGTTGGAAGTGCTCTCTCGATACACCAATTCGCCTCTGAAAGGCGGAATTGCCATCAGTCCTCAGGGAAAAATGGAAATTCGAGTACGAGCGTCTTCCAATGAAATGTCGAGATTACCTCGCGATCGACCCGAACTGACGGATCCGGCAGGAATTACGGTCGCCAAGCTGTGGATCACGACGCGGCCCACGGGAGACGAAGAGGAAGAGTACGACCGAAAGATTTACGAAGTGATCCCTGTGCGATGCGTGATTGAGGAGACGTCGACGTTCTGTCTCAGCGACCGTCGTCTTGATTTCAAACTTGTGACGTACTATCGCGAAGCCGAGAACGGAAAAGAATCGACAGGAGGAGAAAGCGACGATCAAAAGTCGGTGTGTATGCCCGACAGTTGTCCTTTAACGGTGATCAATTACGCCACCAAAGTACCTTTACGATTTAAGGTGTCCATTGACGGTCCGGCCGAGTTCTCGGCGCAAAAATTCGTAAAGATTGAACCCCTGGCCGAAGATGGCATTGGTCTGATTGAACCTGGCGGTACCATGACGCTCAATATCGGCATCGTGAACCCCAAAGACAGTATACCCGGTCACTTTAAAATCCACGTCGATGATCTGGATGCTCTCAGTGAGACCCGCCAAACCGTCTCCATCTATGTGACAGAGATCGTTTGGGACTTGTAGAATAGATTCATCACAAAAATACTGAAAAAAGTAAAAGCAAAAGCAAACACCCCACGCTTTATATATATACATATCTACCTTCAAGTACGGCTATAAAAACCTTTCTACACAAACTCATTATGTGTAGGCATAACAGCAGGAGCCACGATCTTATCATACAAAGTTGGGCCATTGCAAATGGTGAATGTGTGTTTCTACACAAAGTAATTACCTTGATTTACTTGATTTTCAATCCTTTATTTGAAGAGATATTATGATACACCGAACGGATGTGCAATGTTCACCGAAAAATAAAAAAAAAAAGGAATATAGACATGGAAAGCAGAATTATTTTCTAGCAAAAGTGATTTTCATGAGGTGATCGGCATCCAATGGATGACCGGACAACTCGGTTTTGGCAAGCGACGCCTGAATTTCGTTTTCATATTCCACAAAGGCAATGCCCTTCTTTGTGGGGACCAGACGCACTTCCTTGAAACCAGGGAATCGTTGGAACAGATCCACCAAGGTTTGCTGTGCAACATCTTCCGGAAGACGTTGCAAGAACAGAATGTTGTTGGGTGATAACATTTCATCGGAAATCTGACCCGCGCCAATGCCAGCCTGACCACCGGCTTTGAACGTCGGCTTGTGCGATCCAGGAAGCGGCAACTTCTTTGTTTCCTCTGCAAAAATGGGCAAAAATTCAGATTAGCACTTTCCTTATTCTGTCGTTTTTTCTTGTTTTTTGTACCTTTCTTCACAATGCGTTTTTTATAGTGTTCTTCAAAGTCACCATCTTTTTTCGCGTGTATGTCGGATTTCTCGCGAGCAAATTGCACAACCTGTCAAGAACATGATCAATGCCGGGGCAACGAGCATCCTTCCTGCTTTAGGTTACTTACCATTGGCTTGCCGTAAAGTACAAAATGTTGCAATTCCTTGATCGCCTTTTCGGCACTTTCAGCATCAGGGAACGCCACAAAAGCTTGTCCTCGCATGCGAATATTCCTGTGCGCAACTACATCCAATACTTCTCCGAATTGCTTAAACAAGGTACGCAATGTGTTCTTTAACACTATCCGATCAATGAAAAAAAAGATTAGCGGCCATAGATCATCTTTCAGCGTGATTCAAAAAAAGTATTTACCATCGAGTTTGACTTTTTCATTGAGATTGCTGACATAGACGGTACGATTGGGGGTGGTGTTCAGATTCTCTTGTTTGGATGAAGGAACGGGCGGAATGGCAGGTCTGACGGGTGCCACAGGGGGAACGCCGGGTGGAGGCATCATGGGCATGGACATTGGTCGCGGGGGCACACCTGGAGACGCCATATTCGGTGGAGGGACACCGTGCGGTGGCATACCTGGTGGTGGCATACCAGGTGGTGGCATCATGCCTGGTGGAGGCATACCTGGCGGAGCCATGCCAGGTGAATGCATACCTGGACCACCGGGACCAGGCGGTGCACCAGATACTGGTGGGAAACCAGCCGCCGGATAGCCTGGCATGGGCATGCCGGGTGGAGGAGGGAACGGAGGCGGTACACCAGGTGAAGACGTAGGTGGATGAGTAGGAGGCTGTGACATTTGGATGTAAAGAAAAGCGCTCGCAAGAAATCAACGCCTTTTTTTTATTTTAATTTTCACTATTTCTTTTTTTGTTTTCTGCAGCCGTCGCTTCAAACTTCAGCGACGAATTCCAGTCACGTGATAGATTTAAGCGACTTTTTTTGACTGCGGGTGATGCGCATTTCCTGCCCGATGGCCGCATTTCAAGCATAGGAGTTCTTTTTACCGTGTATCCTCATGATGTAAGTAACTGCATCCTTTTTATTCTAGTCAAAAGTCTATTAGTAAACTTACGCCATTGTGTAATTTTCCTAGCTTCAATATCGATGAACTAGTGGTCCATTTTCCGTATGACCGAATCTATCCGGAGCAGTTCCAGTACATGTGCGATCTAAAGAAATCACTCGATGCACAGGCAAGTCGACCTGAGCCTTCATTTCCATCATGGTCCCTTTGGATGACTAACAACCAGACAATAGGGTCACTGCGTCTTGGAAATGCCTTCAGGCACCGGAAAGACAGTGTCGTTGCTTTCACTCATTGTCGCTTATCAAATGGTGAGTGTTCCTGCATTTGCTGCGGATCATTGATCGGTGGTCGGCTTTGTCTTTTTTTTTTTTTCGGGATTCGTTCGTCTAACAAACAATGATATTGTAGCAACATCCAGAACAGAATCGTAAATTCATTTACTGCTCACGAACCGTTCCGGAAATCGAGAAAGCGTTGGCCGAATTGAAACAGTTGATGGCGTATCGACGGAAAGAAGGGCTTGAAGAAGACTTTTTTGGTATCGGCGTCACATCTCGTAAAAATCTGTGTTTGCACCCTGTGGTGTCACGGCAGAAGAAGGGCAAAGCCGTCGATTCACAATGTCGTAACATGACCGCCAGTTGGGTTCGTGCAAGAGCTGGTAAAACCAAACAAGCCGAAGGATCAGCAGAAGCAATGGATGTCGACACCAACATTGAACTGTGCAATTTTTACGAGGTCCGTTAACAAAAAGAATGAATGGAAGACAGACAGTCATATTTACTAAAAAAGCTTTTGTTTTTTAGACGCTCGAAGCGGCGAATTCTCCCAATCCGATTCCCAACGGCGTTTATACCTTGGAAGATTTGATGGATTATGGACGGAAAATGACATTTTGTCCTTATTATCTTGCTCGTCGTGCGGTATGTGGAATTTACTGATGCGTGGCAATGTTCGTCGATATTCATACCCGTTCATACCCCGGAAAATAGATTGCGTTTGCCAATGTCGTCATCTATTCATATCACTACATGCTCGATCCCAAGGTGGCCGAGTTGGTCTCCAAAGAATTATCAAAAGACAGTATCGTGGTATTTGACGAGGCTCACAATATTGGTATGTGCAAACTGGTTGCTGCTTATACCGATAATTTCCTTTTGGCTGACACTGTGAATCATGACAACGCATAGATAACGTATGCATTGAATCATTAAGTCTGGATCTCACACGACCCATCCTGGACTCAAGTACACGCAGCGTCAATCTTTTAGCCGAACGTATCGAAGAGTAAGTAGCATAACATGCAGTGCTGATTCTATCGGATGACAAACTAAACTTTTCTTTCTTTCTTTCTTTCTTTTTTTTTTTTTTTTTTTTTTTTTAATATCAGGATCAAACAGACAGATGCACAAAAACTGAAAAATGAATATAATAAGCTCGTGGAAGGTAAAACCATTGAACGGTTTCGTGAGGAGGCATGCCAATGAAACTGAAAAACTGTGCAACTAGGACTACGAGATGCTGGCGCAGCGCGAGACGAGGACACATTCATGGCCAATCCCGTCTTACCAGATGATCTGTTAAAAGAGGCCATTCCTGGCAATATTCGCCGTGCAGAACATTTTGTCGCGTTTTTGCGAAGGTTTATTGAATATCTCAAGGTAAGGAATGCCACACACGGACACTCACTGTTTCACGAAATATCCAAATCTCAGATCCATTTTTTTTTTTTTTTTTGTTAGACTCGGTTACGTGTGATGCATGTCGTGGCAGAAACGCCAGTGTCGTTCTTGCAACATTTAAAAGACGTCACTTACATTGAAAAGAAACCGTTGCGGTTCTGTGCCGAGCGATTAACGAGTCTGGTACGCACACTTGAACTGACGGATCTGGAACATTATTCTAGTCTGCAAAGAGTCGCGGCATTTGCGACATTGGTAGCAACGTATGACAAAGGGTTTTTATTGATTCTTGAACCATTTGAAACGGATACAGCGACTATTCCCAACCCTGTGCTACACTTTACCTGCCTGGATGCGTCGATTGCCATACGACCGGTTTTTGAACGATTCAGTACCGTGGTTATCACATCGGGAACTCTGTCACCGCTAGATATGTATCCCAAAATGCTCAACTTCCAAGCTGTCGTGCAAGAAAGTTATGCCATGACATTGACTCGTAATTGTTTCCTGCCAATGATCATCACGCGTGGATCCGATCAAGTCGCTGTCAGTTCCAAATTCGAAGTCCGTAATGATCCTGCCGTGGTTCGCAATTTCGGCCAAATCATGGTGGAATTTTCCAAAATCGTACCCGACGGTATTGTCTGTTTCTTCCCAAGTTATCTCTACATGGAACAGATTGTATCCATGTGGAACGAAATGGTAAGCAAAGACATAGATGTGACAGTTTGGGGAATAGGAAACTCAATTGGCATTTGGGCTAGGGTATCTTGAACGAGGCGTGGAAACACAAACTGATTTTCGTCGAAACACCGGATGCAGCAGAAACCAGTATGGCATTGATGAATTATCGAAAAGCGTGTGATAATGGCCGTGGAGCGATCCTCCTGTCTGTTGCTCGTGGAAAAGTGTCTGAAGGAATTGATTTTGATCACAACTATGGCCGAGCAGTCATTATGTTCGGCATCCCCTATCAGTATACGGAATCACGAATCCTCAAGGTAAAAATCGGGAATTCCTGTTCCCAAAAAAAAAAGTAAAAAAATCACAGCGAAAAATTAACCGTTTATCCTTAGGCTCGTTTGGAATACTTGCGAGATAATCACCACATACGAGAAAATGATTTTCTCACTTTCGACGCTATGCGACATGCCGCCCAATGTGTAGGCAGAGTATTACGTGGTAAAACCGACTATGGTCTGATGATCTTTGCTGACAAGGTAAAAAAGAAGTTTCGAAAAAATAAGGGTTGATTTGATGATATATAACATTTTTATTTCAGAGATTTGCAAGGGCGGATAAGCGAGCCAAATTACCAAAATGGATCAATCAATATGTGACGGATGCTTCTACCAATCTGTCAACCGATATGTCTCTTGTGATTGCCAAGAAGTTTCTGAGAACTATGGCACAGCCGTTTGAATCCAACCAAACTGGTGTCTCCTTATGGTCACTCAAGGATATTGAAAATAGACAAAAGAAGCAAGTAACGATGGGATAAGAATCCACGTTTGACGACTCTATCTTTTTCCATGTAGAATCACATTGTTTAGCAAAAGAGAAGAATTCTCGATTAAATCTGTAAATATTTAGTAAATCGAAAGCTTTATTTCTTGACTCAGAATCATGCATGATGAGTCTGAACTTCTCGTGATGTCTAAGCCACGGGAAAAGTGGGGAGAAAAAAAATCCCACTGATAAACTCCACCTCAAAAGTGTCGATTTTTTTTTGGTCATTGATGCGAGTGGTGCATATTGTATCGTCCTTCTTGCTTCGAACTCCTATAAAACCGAGACTTTCAACCGCTGTTCCTCTTTATCAAAAAGCGTTTTACGTTCGTTCTTCTTTCCGCACCATGGCCACTGAAGCAAACAGTAAATTGCGACAACAGCCCAAGTGGCATCAGCCTGCTGCTGCAGTCGACCAACCTACCCTACGCTTGCAAAACTCCATGACAAAGACCAAGGTATTTTGTCTCCCATTCAAGTGACAACAGCACACCTTTATTTTCTCACCACTGCTCTGTCTTCATGTAGACCGACTTTATTCCTAAGCAGGGACGACGAGTGACTTGGTATAACTGTGGTCCTACCGTCTACGATGCCTCGCATATGGGGCATGCCAGGTATCATCGGATATCAACGCTGTACACTGTCGTATGTCAATGCTAAATGCTCGTTATTACGAATAGAACCTATCTCAGTATGGACATTATCCGCCGTGTCCTGGAAGATTATTTCAAATACGACGTCTTTTTTGTACAGAACATTACCGATATCGATGACAAGGTGGATTGACAATAGAACCCTTGAAAGCTGGACTGACACTGACCGACATGCGAATTGCGTGTTAGATTATTCTGCGAGCTCGCCAACAGTATCTTTTCAATGCTTACCAGCAGTCCGTCCAAAGCTTGAATGCAGAGGTCATTCAGGCTGTCGAGGAAGCGTGGACCGAGTATGCTCACGGAAAGTTGGGCAAGCTCGAAGGTGCTTCCGAGCTTGCTACTTCTGATTGGGCCGCTTTTGTATTGAAGATGACCCCTGAAGAGATCGCCAAAGCTATTCTGCTCGACGAAAAATTCAAAATGAATTTTAGCGCATTGGTAAGCCGTAGGCGTTGACGTCTGGTGGATTTACAGTGACTAATTTCAATGTGGATTCCAACAGCAAGTGTCTCGTGAGGCCCTTGATCATGCAAAGCAGCAATTGCAAAATGGCGAAACGTCCAAAGAAGCGGCCGATAACCTGCTGAGAGCATCGCAAGATATCGTCTCTGCTTGGTTGGATAAGAGAGTAAGAAAAACTAGAGAGAAAAGAAGTATCTGCGGCCTATCAACATGGCACTGACATTTTCGATGCAATGATAGAAAGGTTCCGAGGTCAACGATCCAAAGATTTTCCGTGAATTACCCGCTTACTGGGAAGACATGTATTTCAAGGACATGGAAGCGCTTAATGTAAGAATCGTTGTGTTAGGCATGATTGGCGTCTGACTCATCCGTGGTATCACAGGTCCGTGCTCCCGACGTGCAAACCCGTGTCAGCGAATATATCCCGGAGATCATTGAATATGTGCAAAAGATCATCGACAATGGTTATGCATACGTAGCCGACGGATCGGTATACTTTGACACAAGCCGCTACGACGGGCACAACGGTCATCATTACGCGAAATTGGAACCCTGGTCCAAGGGTGACACCGCCTTGATTGAAGATGGTGAGGGATCCTTGGGCAGCAAGTTGCAAGGTAAAAAGAGCCCCAACGACTTTGCTTTGTGGAAGGCTTCCAAGCCCGGTGAGCCTGTGTGGGATTCTCCATGGAGTGCTGGACGCCCTGGCTGGCATATTGAGTGCTCGGTGATGGCTAGGTAAGTAAAAAAAAAAGCATCCTCAATCCGATTGTAAAAAAAGATGACCGTTCTTATGATTCTTTTTTTTATTTTTTTTCGCAGTGCCGTCCTGGGTGACAATATGGATATTCATTCTGGTGGTGTGGATCTTGCTTTCCCTCATCACGACAACGAAATTGCTCAGTCGGAAGCTTACTATGATTGCCATCAGTGGGTGAATTACTTTTTGCACGCTGGTCACTTGCACGTCGAAGGTCAAAAGATGAGCAAGAGCTTGAAAAACTTTATCACCATCCAAGAAGCTCTCAAATTGTATTCTCCCCGTCAACTTCGTCTGTTTTTCCTTTTACATCAGTGGGATGCCAAGATGGATTTCAAGCAATCCAGCATGCAGGAAACGATCCAGAATGAAAATACAATGAAGGTAACTTTATATAGCGATCTGCGTTTTTGTTTGGCCTGGGTTCTCATCAATTGGGCTTGTGGTAGAACTTTTTCGATAATGTCAAAGCTCTGAGCCACCGCATCAAGAGCGACGGTTCTCGTGGTGCTACCGAGTTGCCTAATGGTGGTATCACTCACCGTTACGGAGATGCAGAGAAGCAATTGTCCGCTCTGTAAGTCATGGAACGGAGACTCCGAAAAAATTATGGAGTCCAATTATATTTACTAAATGCCCTTGTGATTATGTAGTCTTCAAGAGAAGCAAGATCGTGTTCATGCTGCTCTTTGCGACTCTATCAATACGCCTGTTGCTATGGATGAAATTATGGATCTTATTACCCAAACCAACAAATACATGGCCAACGGGGCCAAGGCCGTCAATGTTCACTTGTTGGGCAAGGTCGGCAAATGGATCACCTCTATGATGAAGGTAAAAAGGGAACAAGACCTATGATAAGGGAGAGAAATGAAAAGCTCTTACACTTCTTTCTGCCGGAATAGATCTTTGGTGTGGCGGATTCCGGTGCTGATATCGGTTTTGGTTCCACCAATCAAGCGGGTGGCAATGTAAGTGAATTTAGTGATCGAGTGAGGGCAGCCAATTAAATGTATCATTCCCGCATAGGTGGAAGAAATCCTGATGCCCTATCTTTCAGCGTTATCCGGTTTCAGAGATCAAGTACGAGGCATTGCTCGTTCCAAGGCTCCGCATACCGACTTTTTGAAGGCTTGCGATAATCTGCGAGATGTGACAATGGTGGATCTTGGAGTGTCTTTGGACGATCAGGAAGATGGGACTGCATTAGTAAAGCTTGTGGACCGCGAAGAATTAATCAAAGCGCGTGAGAAGAAGCTCGCGTTGCAAGCAGAGAAAGAAGCAAGCAAAGCCAAGGCGGCGGCGGAACGAGAACGCAAGCGATTGGAACGCTTACAAAAGGGCAAATTACCGCCTCAAGAAATGTTCAAGAGCTCCGATGAGTTCTCCAAGTTTGATGATAATGGTTTTCCCACCCACACCAAGGACGGCGAAGAAGTCACCAAGAGCAGAAAAAAGAAACTCCAAAAGGAATGGGATGCACAAAAGAAATTGCACGAAGAGTATGTGAAGGAGTTTGGATCTACCGCATAGATACATCATCATAATAAATCAGAATTCTATTTTTATTTAACGTTTTTGCTTTTTGCGCGGTTCACTTTGCAATGGCCATTTTTTTCTTAGCGCGTCGACAAAAACGTAGCACGACAACTGGGACGTTTATCTGATAAATCATGAAGTCTCCGAATTAGTTGACTTAAATGACGTTTGCTGATTGGACTCTCGCCATGCTGCAACTACCGCTGACGTGCTTTGGTTGTGGTTCCGCATGCATTATCGGCGTCAATTTGGTAGATAATGCAGTTTACATAACCCGGTTTTGGAGTCATGAAAAATGGCATCATTCCCCATGATGAATAATCCATCAGTCATCCGTCCGTAATGAATCGGGGGGTAGTGGAGACCCAATTTTGAGCCGGAGAACATCGGTTGCTTACAGATCGCTGTATCATCCTTTATTCATCAAGCCGCATACCATTGAGCACGGCAGAAGATCCTTGCCATACGAAAAAAAAATCTGGGCCAACCGGGTTTAGAGCCTCTACTTCATAATGATACTGCCATACCATTGGAGCGGAGAATGCGTATCATGGCATGCGATATGATGCCAATTGTCGTGTGAGATGAAACAAAAAGGTATGCTTACCAACATAAAAGTACCCATTGTGTTTTATCGCTTTATTGGATGAAGAGTTGATAAGAGAAGGGAGAATAGTATATACAATTTTAAAAGGACTCCATGGATGGGTTCCTATGCCTAATGAAAATGAAGTTTTTTTTTGTTTCTCTGCTTTTTGCTTTTTTTTTTTGGTACACTATTTATGGGGAATGGGGATGACGATGTTGAGGAGGGGGAATGGAGTAAATAAAAGAAATGATAAAAAGCGAAGAAAAAAGCCTTGGGTTGATTATGATCCATGAAGATAATGCTTGGTCTAAAAGTCGGCATCCAAGGTAAAGTTCTTTTCGGTGGGGGTCTTGTTCATGACACCAGCACGTTGATAGTCAGAAACACGCTTTTCGAAAAAGTTGGTCTTGCCCTGAAGGGAGATCATGTCCATAAAATCGAAAGGATTGGTAGAGTTGTAGTGTTTGTTGAAACCAAGAGCCACCAACAAACGGTCGGCCACGAATTCGATGTATTGGCACATGAGTTGAGCGTTCATACCAATGAGAGCCACGGGCAAGGCATCGGTAAGGAATTCCTGTTCGATACCGACGGCTTCGACAATGATGTCAACCACACGTTGTTCCGAAGGCTGTTTGCGCAAATGTTGAAATAAGAGACAAGCAAAGTCGGTATGCAAGCCTTCGTCACGGCAAATGAGTTCGTTGGAGAAGGTCAAACCAGGCATCAAACCACGCTTCTTGAGCCAGAAAATGGAAGCGAACGAACCCGAGAAGAAGATACCTTCGACGGCAGCAAACGCCACCAAACGTTCAGCAAACGAGTCGTTGGAGGAGATCCAACGGAAAGCCCAGTCAGCCTTACGTTTAATGCAAGGAACTACAAGTAAAGAGAGAGACGCGCGCGTTTAGTGTCACCTGGGTTTGAATAACCGAAAAACGCGGTTCACGATAAAAAATGAAATTTTCCCCCAAAAAACACTTACTCGTTTCAATCGCGTCAAAGAGGCGTTCCTTTTCATCATTGTTCTTGATATAGGTATCAATCAACAAGCTGTAGGTCTCAGCGTGAATATTTTCAATCATGATTTGGAAACCATAGAAACACTTGGCTTCGGCAATTTTCACTTCGTCACAAAAGTTGGACACCAAGTTTTCATTCACCACGCCGTCCGCACTGGCAAAGAATGCCAACACGTGAGAAATGAAGTAGCGTTCGTCGCTATTCATCTTGGTTTCCCAGTCATGCTGATCCTTGGACAAATCGATTTCTTCCGCAGTCCAGAAAGAAGCTTCAGCCTTCTTGTAGAATTGCCAGATCTAGATGGTGAGGAAAAAAAAAAGCACATGAGGCAATGTTCAGCATGGCGAAATCCAGAAAGCGAGGTCATCCCATCGGATAGCGCTGCGGCAACCTACCTCATGGTACTTGATAGGGAAGAGACAGAAACGGCGAGGGTTTTCCTTGAGGATTTCTTCCTCTTCATCCATAGGGTTAACGACCTTCTTGGTAGAAAGATCCGTCTTTACAGACAAGGTAGCAAGCTGGTCAGCAACGTCAGAGGCGGTCATGTTATTTGATTTTAAAGATGTATTTGAGGGAAAATAAAAAGAATAGGACGATGGAGAGTGTCCTGGCAGCAGAAAAACGTCGACTTTTTATATCTTTTTGATCCCCTCATGAAATACAACTGTGACTGTGAGGTGCGTGAAAAAATGTGAAAAAAGGTGGTCGCGTCCGACAAACAATTTTTTTTTTCAACGCGATGTTTTGCGCGCGCGTTTTCGGACTTGCGTGAGAGCCAATCAGTGGCAACATGAGATTAACGACCTCCTCGTTTTTCTTCTTCCGCCATTTTTCCTCCTTATCTCCATGGTTGAAAATAAGTTTGTCGCCGCCTTCACTCCAGCGGAAGTCGAAGCCGTAAAGAAGCTGAAAGAAGCACTTCCAGACATTGTCAAGAATGCCTTGCCTTCCACCACCGAGGAAGCCGCTGCCATCCCTGATTTGTGGAACGTCAAGCTGGACAAGGATTCCAAAGATGAAAGGCTGGATGTGATTCTGGTCAAGTTCTTGCGTGCCAGGTACGCTTTTATACTTGATTGCAAAACAGCGAGTTCTATCTAACATTATGCCATGTTGTGTACAGAAACTTGCAAATGGACGCTGCGACCAAAATGCTCACTGATACCTTGGCTTGGCGTCGCGAGTTCAAGATTGATGCTTTAATGAATGAAACATTCGATGAGTCCATTTTTAGCTCGGTGGGTTATCTGCATAAATCTGATAAGAATGGCCGTCCCGTCTGCTACAATTTCTATGGTGATTTGGATCAGAACAAAGTCTTTGGTGATGTTCAAAGGTGAGTCCTTTTTTTTTGGGCATGGTCCTCTATTTGTTCAACTCAACTCAACCCAACCTAATCCGTGACCCTACAGATTTATTCGCTGGCGTGTCAAGCTGATGGAAGAAGGTGTGGAACTCATTGATTTCGTTAATATCGATTCCATGGTGCAAGTTCACGATTACAAAGGCGCCTCGATGTTTGGTCGTACAGCGAATGCCAAGGCCGCAACACAGGAGATTATTAAAATCATGCAGGACAATTATCCTGAATTTCTGGTACATCTTTAACAGATAACAATGACAAACCGAGTTCATCATCTCACCGATGGGTTTGTAGGCTGTGAAATTCTTTGTCAACGTTCCTTGGTGGGGAAGGTAAGTTACTCAGAGTATCGCTATTCTTTTTCTGGAATGGCTAAAAATTTGTTTATACAGCAAAATCTTCAAACTGTTGCGCCCTGTCTTACCGGAAGCCACATTTAAAAAATTTGTCGTCTGCTCAAAGTAAGATTTGACTTAGTTATGCAACCTATGATATGTATATTTACTTATTGTTCGCCCCTGGTTTAGCGATGAATTAACAACGACTCTCACGCAATACATTGCGGAAGAAAATTTGCCCACTGTGTATCAGACCGGTAAATCAAGAGCGGTTCAGTCGACCGGACAGACGGAAGAGAAGAAGACCCCGAAGACGTCGATGATTTTGAAAGAAGCCACTGCTTTTTCCAGGGAACCTACCGCGACTACCGATGCCGATGTTGCGGCAGCTGTGAAAGAAGAACCAACCAAAACAACAACAACTGAAGCGACGCAGACTCCAACAGCCACTGCCGACGCTCCCATTGTTGAACCGGTGCAGGCTCCATCTACTACTGCCGATGCTCCCGTTGCTGAACCGGTGCAGGCCCCATCTGCTGCTACCGCTGACACTCCTGTCACTGAATCGGCACAGGCAACCCCATCCAAGGCGACTGTATCCACTGTGGATGATGACGATGATGATTTGAAAATTGATCAAGTCGAGCCAGCCAACGACAAGGCGGATAGCAAAACCTCTGCATAGTCTTGCGCTATTTGCTTGTTCCTGAGTTCTTTAAATACTCCTTATGTTTAATCCTATCGAATAGCTGTTAATGAAGCAAATCAACCTTATCAATATAGCTTATAATTTAAATTGTTTCGGACTGAAAAAACCCAAAACTATATCGTTAAGAAAAAGAAAATAATGAGGAGTCATGTTGTCGTTTTATTTACAGTAAGTTAATAAAGTAGATACAAGGTACATAATCCGCGGCACGCACTCTCATTCTTCAAGACGAATGTAAGCATCACATGTTACTACCGAGTCGCTCAAAGTTATCTTTACAATAAAACTCCAAGTTATAGATTAGGTCGATGACTGATTTACCACAGAAACCCGCAATCAGAGTCGTCATGCATAAGATGGGAAAAATAAAAGACCTGCCCCGTGCATTTGCTGTGGCCCACGGCGTGACTTGCGTTTTCACCGGTCCCGCCGCGATCGAAGAAAAAAAAATCAAATGGTCCCCCATTTTTCGACTTTGCGAAATTTTCAAGCACACCGTGGTCTTCAGAGCCTCTTTTTATCGGCGCGAGGGAACGATTCCAGTAATCCACGTGCATTGCTTCTCGACGTCATCGGTAATTGAGGTGAGTAGGAGACCTGGAAGAAGTATCTGATCTGGAACTGACCCTTGATGTCATTAGAACTGTCAAGTAGCAGACTGCAGGCATCATGAAAGAGCAAGTGATTGATAGCACGCCGAAAAAACTGTACGTTTCAAGAGAGAATTCAGCCTGCATATTGGACATTATAGATTAATGGTGTTTTTTATCTTTGATTTTCTAGTCGGCACATTCAGTTTGGTGTGCTTTCACCTCAAAGTATGGTGAAACTCGCGGAATTCGAGATCACCCAGCGAGATCTGTACATGCCCGAAAGTCGCACGCCCGTCAAAGGCGGTGTGCTCGATCTGAGATTGGTAGGTTGAATCGCTAAATGAAAGATCGTGAGTGTCAGCAGTAGATGATTGGACAATGGCTAAATGGGTTGCCGACAGGGTACATCCAACAAAAGCTCGGTTTGCGATACCTGTGGACAAAAGATGCAAGAATGTGCTGGTCATTGGGGTTACTTGAAGCTTGTTTTACCGATTTTCCACGTGGGCTATTTTAGACCCACCATCAATATTCTGCAAGAGATCTGCAAGGTTCGTTTTTTATTTTTGAAAGCGCGATAAAGTATTGATCTAATTCATGGATCACCCCATGCACAGTCTTGCAGCCGTGTCATGCTCGAAGAATCCGATCGACGTATGTACCTACGACGCTTACGTGCCCCCGGTTTAGATAACCTGCAGCGCAATCGAATCATCAAAGCCATCAATGAAAAATGTAAAAAAGTGACTTACTGTCCGTACTGTAACGCTGTCAATGGTAAGTTAATGATCGTCACGTTGCTGTGGAAACAATATTTATCGGCTTGCTCGTTTCCTAGGCGTTGTCAAGAAAGTAGGACCCATGAAAATTACACACGACAAATACCGTTTGAAGCGAGTAGCGCATGAAGCCGAAGAGTTTCGTAAAACGTTTGATGCCGCCGCCAATTCGATGCCTGAAATTAAGCCTCACATCAGCAAAGCCCAAGATGATTTAAATCCACTGAGGGTCTTGCGTTTGTTTCAGCGCATCAGTCCAGAGGTAACGCTTATCCAACAAACCCACTGATCGCCACCTCGCCGCAGTCAATATTAATACAAAGCCGTCTTTGTTAGGATTGCGAATTGTTAGGCTTAAGCGAGGAGCATGGACGACCGGAATGGTACATCTGGCAGTACTTGCCTGTGCCGCCTTCCTGTATTCGACCTTCGGTACTTCAGGACGATAACAGCAGTAACGAGGACGATTTGACGGCCAAGTTGACGGAAATCATCTTTACAAACGCCATTATTCGAGCAGGCTTGGAAAGAGGTGTTACGGTCATGAATTTGATGGAACAGTGGGAGTTCTTGCAATTGGCAGCTGCCATGTATATCAACAGCGAACTTCCGGGCGTGCCCAATGCAAATATGGGCAAACCAGGCCGTGGTCTGTGCCAGCGATTGAAGGGTAAACAGGGTCGTTTCAGAGGCAACTTGTCCGGTAAACGTGTGGATTTCTCGGGTCGTACCGTCATTTCGCCAGATCCCAACATGCGCATCGATCAAGTCGCGGTGCCTGAACGTGTGGCCAAAATTCTCACCTTCCCCGAACGCGTTAATGCGCATAATATCCATAAATTACGACAAAACGTCATCAATGGTCCGTTGGTCCATCCAGGTGCCAATTACGTTCAATTCAAGGATGGCTTCAAGAAATTCTTAAAGTTTGGTAATCGACAAGCGATTGCTGCCAACCTAAAAATTGGTGATTTGGTCGAACGCCACTTGTCCGATAACGATGTTGTCTTGTTCAATCGTCAGCCCTCGCTTCACAGATTATCTATCATGGCACATTTTGCCAAGGTCATGCCTTGGAGAACGTTCCGTTTCAACGAGTGTGTCTGTTCGCCTTACAACGCCGATTTCGACGGTGATGAAATGAATATGCATTTACCCCAGACTCAAGAAGCCAAGGCCGAAGCTATTGAACTGATGGGTGTGAGTGTCATGACGTCGTCCTCGTTTTACAGAATTGCAATGGGTTATTGATCATTTTTTATGACAGGTCAAAAATAACTTGGTCACGCCTCGTAACGGTGAACCTTTGATTGCTGCCACCCAGGATTTCATTACAGCATCCTACCTGTTATCACATAAAGATACTTTTTATACCCGCGCCATGTTCGTTCAAGTATGCTCCATGATGGGTGACGCTGAAATGAACATCGATCTACCTCCTCCTGTCATCTGGAAGGTAAGAAAATAACTGTAATTGCGATTTGTTCAGCCGTTTTGAAATGTATAACATCTCTGTTCTTTTTCCCTAGCCTCAACGATTGTGGACCGGAAAGCAAGTGTTCAATGTGCTTTTCAGACCCAACAAGGAAAGCAAAGTGCAATTGAATGTGGAAGCCAAGACCAAATCGTATGTCAAGGAAGAAGGTCGCATTCCCGATCTCTGCCCCAACGATGGTTGGCTGGTTGTTCAAGACAGTGAAATCATGTGCGGTCTTGTCGATAAAGCCGTTGTCGGTGACGGTAATAAGAACTCGGTATTCTATGTCATTTTGCGTGATTACGGTCCAATTGAAGCTGCCAAGTGTATGAATCGGTAAGTTGCTTTCTGTTTCTGCCCATCACTCGTATTTTGAAGCATCATTGTAATTTAATACCAAACTTCTTTATTCTAGCTTGGCCAAATTGTGCGCTCGTTATTTGGGTAAATACACGTTTTACAAGGGAATTCATGTACACAGTACTCAATATTTTTTTTTTAAACAGCCAATCAAGGTTTCTCCATTGGTATCAGCGATGTCACACCCGGCAAACGCTTGCGAGATATCAAGGATCAAGAAGTCAAGACTGCTTACAACAAGTGTGACGATGTAATTGCCAAATATAAATCCGGACAGTTAGAAACCATGCCTGGTTGTAACGAAGAAGAAACCATGGAGGTATGTATACGCGTTCGAGAGTGATACGATTGGCACGTAAACATGGGATATTGAAATGTGTCGTTATTCTAGTCGTTGGTGTCTGGTATTCTTTCGAACGTTCGTGGTGATCTGGGTAAAGTGTGCATGACCGAATTGAACATGTACAACTCTCCCAGTATCATGGCCCGATGTGGTTCCAAAGGTAAGTGATTCATGGCTCATTGTTCTTGCAGTCTATCTTTTTGTCGACTTACGCATATCATTCGCGGTATAGGTTCTCAAATTAACGTGTCGCAGATGGTTGCTTGTGTCGGTCAACAGATTATTAGTGGTAGTCGTATTCCTGATGGTTTCCAGGATCGTTCGCTCCCCCACTTTTTGAAACACTGTAAGTCCATAGTTTGTTTTTGCGTGGGTGAATCGGTGGATTGAACTTTGGTCATGAATTTTTGTAGCCAAGAGCCCGCCTGCCAAGGGTTTCGTGAGAAACAGTTTCTTCACGGGTTTAACACCCACCGAGTTTCTTTTCCACGCTATTTCAGGTCGTGAAGGTCTTGTCGATACAGCTGTCAAGACTGCCGAAACAGGTTACATGGCTAGACGTTTGATGAAGGTAAGATGAAAAGGGGAGACTCATGGGTATGTTTTTTGGAAGCATGGCAACTGAGCCATTCATCTTTTGTGATTCACAGGCTTTTGAAGATTTGGTGACGCATTATGATTTGTCGGTCCGCAATTCGGAAGGTGCTATGCTTCAGTTCTGCTACGGTGCGGATGGATTGGATCCCATGACCATTGAAGGCGATGGTATCCCTGTAGAATTTGAACGTAACTTGAAGCATGTCAAGGTAAGAAGTGAAATTGCATAGTTCATCTGGTGTTTCGCCATACTTAGAATGCATGCCCGATTCTGTTTTAGACACTTGTGCCTATGGGTCGTGAAGTTGGTCTGTTGCCTTGGCAAATTATCGATATCACGGAGCAGGAAACACAACGTCCCATCTGGGTTCTGAATTGCAGAACTTCGTTTATCGACATGACAAAGAACTTTATCCGAGATAAAGTGGCCGGTAAATTGGCGAATATCCGCAAGAAGCATGGCATGCTTTCCGGTTTGGCCAAACCCGATGAAGATTACATGGACATGGATATCGATGAAGATGTACCAGGTATTTACAGCCTTCAACCGCATGCAGGCGAAACTATTTATTTAACAGTTGGATTTCTTTTTAATTTCTGCAGAGGATGCTAAGCAAGCGGTGCGAAACATGTTCTGTCTTACTGAAAATCAGTTACGACGTTATTTGGACGTGTGTGTGTCCAAATACCACAAGGCCAAGATTGAGCCTGGTACGGCTGTGGGTGCTATTGGTGCGCAGTCGATTGGTGAACCCGGTACGCAGATGACATTGAAGACTTTCCATTTTGCTGGTGTCGCCAGTATGAATATTACGCTCGGTGTACCGCGTATTAAAGAAATTATCAACGCCGCCAAAATCATCTCCACGCCTATTATTACCTGTGAGTTGCACGCCGACAAGGATGTACGAGCAGCTCGTGTTGTGAAGGGCCGTGTGGAGAAGACGACGTTGGGTGATGTAGCCATGTACATGGAAGAAGTGTACGAACAAAATGAGACCTATATCCTGTTGCGTATCGACTTGGAAGCCATTAACAAACTTCAGGTAAACAAAGTGACATGATGCCAAAATTGCTCCTTGATTTCTAATGCCAATTTCCTCTGCAGCTTGAAACCAATATCTATGAAATTGCTCATGCTATTCAAACGGCCCCGAAACTCAAGATGGGTCAACTGGTGAGTGCTCCAAAAAAAGAAGGAGATGGGGAGGAAACTAAACGTGTTGTTTTGCTTTCCTTTTCTAGGATGTTCAAACCAGTCGACCGGATATTATTCGTGTATATGTGCACGCCAAACAGGATGAATCTATGTATTACAACTTGAAGGCACTCAAGCGAGCATTGCCTTCAGTCATTATCACGGTACGGCATGAAAGGGGGGGAGTGGGTTTGTGTTTCTAGGAAACTGATGCATGATGTGGTTACAGGGCTTGCCTACTGTGGTTCGTGCTGTTATTAGTGAAAAGGCCGGTGGGGCTGGATCGAAGCAGTTGGTGGTCGAAGGTTACGGTTTGTTGAATGTCATGACCACCGATGGTATCATTGGCGAAAAGACGACTTCCAATCACATTATGGAAGTAGCTGAGGTGCTGGGTATTGAGGCGGCTAGAAATACCATTATTAACGAAATTCAAATGACCATGGAGTCTCACGGTATGACAATCGATCATCGTCACGTTTTCTTGCTGGGTGATATCATGACGAGCAAGGTAAAAACTTTGAAGCCTTTTTCTTTTTCTTTTGTCGAAAATTCGATTGAATGATCAATATATGCTTACGGATGTTTTATAGGGTGAGGTGCTTGGTATTACTCGATTTGGTATTTCCAAGATGAAAGACAGTGTTCTTAGTATCGCTTCTTTCGAAAAAACCACCGATCATTTGTTCGAAGCTGCTTTATACAGTAAACGTGATGCTATTGTTGGTGTATCCGAACAAATTATTATGGTACGTTGATGCTGCTATGGACTAAAGTTTGTTGTCTGATGTATTAAGTTGCCTTCTATTACGCATATAATAGGGTATTCCTATGTCTATCGGTACTGGTTTATTCAGACTGCTTCATAAATCTATGAAATCGGCGATTCCTCAACCACGACCGTTGCTTTTTGACATTTAAAAAAAACCCTAATCTCATACACCCAACATATTCACAGCATTGTAAATAAAATATAAAGAATCCACAGTAAGAACAAAAATAGAGCACCTGTTTCCCGACAATTTTTTTTGAACTTTGACTGCAACAACAAACACCCATGATGCGATGCATGTCCTGCACTAGCTCCTTTACTCTATCTCAACCTTATTAAAATGTTTGCCTCTGAGTTGCCATCTTTGGATATATTCCACCGTCACATTTGTTTGCCGACAAAAGACCGCTGATGATTGGGTAGTTTCAAACGCAATGAACGTTGATTGGATAAAACTGTTGTAATCACATGATTTACGATAAGATCTGAGCGGATGTTGAATTATGGCTCATGATTTGTGCTTCCTTTTGTGAATAGATAGACCGTGATACATACACGGATGCAAGAGATCGTGTTGCTTTGCATTATCCAGGCCTGTTCCTTTCTTCTTTCTTATTCTTCCTCTGTAAAACTATTTCAATGTCATCTTCAAACGTTTATTGTGCTTCTTGCAGTTTGCCAGGACATGCTCGCTCCACCAACCGCAACTGCCCCAACAACCCCCGACGTGCTCAACAAAGTAGAATTACTACAACCCGAGGACCAAGCGAAGTCCGTTGCAGAGCTTGCCAACAACTGGGTCACCAGCGTTCCAACCATTTCGCTTGCCCGTTGAATCCATCAAGATTGGCTATGAGGGTGGCTGGAGAAAGTGACACTACGGAACGTATTCGTACTTTACCTGCGCCCGTTGCCCAAGCAGATTTCGACCATCATGCTAATACGCTGTCAAGTGAACAATCAGGAACCGCTCAACAGTGGCCGAAATAACGAGTGGGAACTTCGAGAGAGACATACCTTGGGACGCATGAATGTTGTCTGCAATTTCTGTCAGGCACACATGTGGGCCAAAGAAAGCTCATCTGAATCGAACTCCAATCCGCAGTTCCAACTCTGCTGTGGCCAAGGTTCCGCTGTGCTTCCACCTTTGGAGCCTACACCTCCAACCATCGCCCGTCTCCTTCGTAGCGACAATGAAGAAGGGCGAGATTTCCGTGAGCAGATCCGCGCCTATAATATGAATTTGAGTTTTACTTCGGTAGGCGCCCAAATAGATGAATCCGTGGCCAACAATCCCAACGGAGCCTACTGCTACCGTATCCAAGGTGGCATTTACCACCAGATCGGTGGTCTACTACCACCAACCGAGAGTCATACCCCTGCGTTTGCCCATATGTACATTTATGATTCCAACACACAACTTAGACACCGGCATGCTGTGGCACCCTATCTGCAGAATGCCACCCTTCTCATTCTACAAGATCTGCTTACCGAAGTCAACCCGTTCGTGCCGTTGCTGCAGTCGATGGCCCAGGTCTTGCGTGAATCTGAGGAAGCCGTAGATGTGAGGCTACTCATAAGTGCGGAAAACACGCCTGATGTTCGTCGTTACAATGCACCCACAGCTAGCGAAGTTGGAGTGATCCTGGTAGACAGTACGATCACACCAAACAGTAGCCGCGATATTGAGCTCCGATCGAGAAGCTATGGGCTTCAACGCATCAGTGAAATGCACCAGTACTACGACGCGCTCCACTATGTCCTCATGTTCCCGCATGGTGATCTCGGGTGGAACATCCACTCACACTCGCCAAGCGGTCGAAGCATTACCGTCATGCAATGGTATAGCTACCGTCTGATGATGCGCGATAACAGCCACGATTTGCACCTGTACGGCCGATTGTTCCAGCAATATATAGTGGATATGTATGCAAAAATGGAACAGAACCGACTCACGTATTTGCGGCTAAACCAGGCAAACCTGCGCACGGAACTGTACCGAGGTATCGTAGATGCGGTAGAACTCGGCGACAATGACCTCCAAAACGTCGGGCAAAGGGTCATTCTCCCATCCACCTTTATTGGCAGCCCGAGACACATGCGCCAACTTTACCATGATGCGATGAATATCGTACGTCGATGCGGGCAGCCGGATCTCTTTATTACTTTCACTTGCAATCCTCAGTGGGTGGAAATTCAGGACGAGTTGGCTCCACTCCAGACAGCTGTTGATCGGCCCGACCTTTGCGCTCGAGTTTTTAACATGAAGCGTAAAGCTCTCATGGAAGATTTGACCAAGAAGCATGTTTTGGGTAGGGTAGTTGCCCATGTCCATACTGTGGAATTTCAAAAACGAGGATTACCGCACCTCCATCTGCTTTTGGTGTTACATCTGGACGACAAGCTGAGAACACTGGACGATTATGATCGCATTGTGTCAGCTGAACTTCCGGACAGACAGAGATTTCCTGATCTCTACGACACCGTCAGCAGATGTATGATGCACGGTCCGTGTGGAACCATGCATCCGAGGTCTCCGTGCATGGAAAACGGCTCCTGTAAGAAGCGTTACCCGCGCTCCTTCAACGAAGCTACCGTCGAAGATCACAGGGGTTACCCTTTGTACCGTCGTCGCAACCAAGGTTCATCTTTCAACCATGCCTCGGTCCCCATCTTGCAACGACAACGATTATCAGCGCTCTACAAGTCATGGTTGCCCAAATTTCTCTCCACGAAACACTTCCACGAATAATAGGCGAAACAATCAGCAGCAAGATGCCGTTTGCACCAGTTGTGGTCAAACAGAGCATCGTCGCCGTTCACATAAAATGTGAGTGGAGCTCTTTTTTGAAGAAAGGTGATTGACGATACGACGATCTGGTGTTTTGTAGCATCATTTAATTTGGGTTATCTGTCAGTTATACTGTATATGCCCTTTCATTCTCTTCAGTAATCGAATGATACATGGAGCAGATATGCTTCGATCTGTGTAGCTCATCATTCATGCATCAGTGAGGTGACTATTGTTTCATCCATGGAAAATCACATATTTTTGTCCGAATTTTTTCTTCTTCTTTAGTTTTGCATCTCTTCTGTTTGCCTGGAAATCCCTCACTATCATTGCATCCATCATCCATCATCCAGACTATGGCGTGTATCTGATCCGGTCGATTCGATTATTATGAAAAAAGGTACCTTTTGTGTGATACGACTATCCGTTTTTCAACAAGAAAAAATTTACCTGTCCTTTTTCTCTATTCTGTCTTTAGCTTTTGGCTTTCTCTCCGGTTTTCTTTTGCCTGGCAAGCCATTCAAGCCATCCATCCCTCCAAAACCTTTCTACTTTGTTCGGGCACCAGATTGTGGCCAATCCGGTTTTTGTCGTCAAAGGACATCTTCGGTCGTGTGGCTCTCTTTTTCATCGGGAAACGCTGACGCGTCCTCCCCAGGTTCCTCTCATATGGATTGCTGCCCGTGGTATCGCCTTCGATATTTCTTCCCGACCATTTTATTTTGTAGTTGTAGTATGTATTTTGTATTTTAGTGAATAGTCTTGCAGTCTTTTCCTCCTTTTTTTTCCCACAGGGTTTTTAGGGGTTTTTTACAGACGCACCTATTGTATTTACTTTTTTTTTATATTTGTATCCTTTCTTTATTTCGGTCGGGAAGCCCTCGGTATCTGCTGCATCAAACATCAAAGGTAAAATATCTCAACGAAATTTGAATCAACCAAAGAGCTTACTAACTCATTTTTTTTAAATACCCAACATTCCCACACATCTTTGTAGATATATCATAACCTTGGGCGGGACAGAACGGAGGGGGTCAATAAGTGCTGCTTTGTTCATTAAAAGTGTTTCATGGTATGCCAGAGTATTGACATTAATATACCAAAGTTCCATCAAGAGTCTCGCCCAGGTTATGCCGTATTGCGTTAGGCTTTTTGTCTGACGAATGTCGCTCAAGGCAAGAGTGCGGCATCCAGTAGCAGGTGGCATCCATTGCACAGCGGGTGTACGGCTTGTTAGCAATATAAATTACACACGATGAACGATCAAAAAAGTTGGCCACTGAACGCAATTCACTTGTACATACAGAGGGCGATCATGCTGTTTTATACACGTTGCTTTTCAACTGCCGGTTCAAACAAATGAAATTTACAAACAATCTTCAGAATTCTTGTTTGTTTAATCATGACAAATTCAACTTTTTTTTATCATAACAAAATACAGGTATTCACATGAATTGAGAAAAGAGGCAAGTTACACCTTTATGTAACTAGTCTTGTAAACAAGTCAGGCCATGGAACGTTGATTGGGATGTGCATGGGACTTGGTGAAGGTGAAAGATAAGCGGACATTGAAATGTTTGACGTCGACGTTGCAAGCGTTGGCTGAAATTCCTTTTCATGCAACGCATGGAAAAAAAAGGAAAAAAAACCAGCGATCGTCCGCGAGTATTTTTTAACCTTTCTTCCTTTTCGTTCTTACCCTTTTTTTAGCACGAAATGTATCGTATCGCTGCCAGCAACAATTTGTCCACTCTTCCGCTAAGACAGGTAAATTGACTTGCACGTGGATACCGACCCGAGAACTCACCTCAACATGACAATGACTTGTTAGCATGTTCACCGTCTGCCACACCTAATGGCAGTGCGTGCGGCGAGGTAAGCGCGGTTAACGGAGTTTGAGGGAAAAAGTGTACACAATGGAAGAACTGAGGTATCTCTCTGAATATAGTCAAAAGGTGCAAGGACACGTTATTGGTATCGACCTTGGCACGACCAACAGTTGTGTTTCCGTCATGGAAGGCAAGACACCGCGCGTGATTGAAAACTCGGAAGGTGGAAGAACCACACCTTCCGTCGTTGCATTTACCAAAGACGGTGAACGTCTTGTCGGATTGCCCGCGAAACGTCAAGTACGCAACCATGTTTTCTTTTTCTCTAATTTTTTTCTGAGGAATATTGACGGGGTTGTTTAGGCCGTCGTCAATCCGGAAAATACACTTTTCGCCACCAAGCGTCTGATTGGCCGAAAATACAAAGATGAGGAAGTTCAGCGAGATATCAAAGCCGTGCCATACAAGATTGTGGCCCATTCCAATGGTGATGCCTGGTTAGAAGCCAGAGGTCAAAAATACAGTCCATCCCAGATTGGCGCCTTTGTCGTCGGCAAAATGAAAGAAACAGCAGAAGCCTTTTTGGGAAAAAGCGTGAAAAATGCCGGTAAGTCCGCTTTGCCATGGCCCCGAATCCGTTTTACAGTGCATTAACGAATAATGCGATAAAGTGATCACGGTCCCTGCTTACTTTAACGATTCTCAGCGCCAGGCTACAAAAGATGCTGGTGCGATTGCTGGTTTGCAAGTGCAGCGTGTGATTAACGAACCCACCGCAGCTGCGCTTGCCTACGGTCTTGACCGAGCCAACACGGGCGACAAACAAGTCGCTGTTTTCGACTTGGGCGGTGGTACTTTTGATATCTCAATTCTCGAAATCCAATCCGGTGTCTTTGAAGTGAAAAGTACCAACGGTGATACTCACTTGGGTGGTGAAGATTTCGACATTCTTCTCGTCCGCTGGATGATTGACCAGTTCAAGAAAGATGTAAGTGGCCTTGTCTAAAAAAATTATTTGTCTCCGTGGGATGGATTTTTAATCTGATTTATTTTAGACTGGAATCGATCTTGGCAATGACCGAATGGCCGTGCAACGTATTCGCGAAGCAGCCGAGAAAGCCAAAATTGAACTGTCGTCAACTGTCAAGGTAATGCCATTCGCCAATGCATAGGATGAATTTTTTTTGGCTCATACGTTATTTCTTTTTACAGACGGATATCAACCTTCCTTTCATTACAGCCGACGCGACGGGTCCCAAACACATGAACATTGCTCTCAGCCGAGCTCAGTTTGAGTCAATGGCTTCACCATTGATGGACCGAATCAATGACCCGTGTAGCAAAGCGATGAAGGACGCCAATGTGAAGAAAGGCGATATCGGCGAAGTCATTCTTGTAGGTGGTATGAGCCGTATGCCTAAAGTTCAGCAAATTGTCAAGTCGATCTTTGGAAGAGAACCAGTCAAGAGCGTGAATCCGGATGAAGGTAAAGGGAAAAAAAATATAACAACCGGAACTCACTTTGGAAATCAAACATACTGAAACTGGTTTGATTTTTTTGCTTTCGTTGCACAGCTGTGGCCATGGGTGCAGCTATTCAGGTAAGGATGAGCAAAGGTTCGATGTTTGTGTGGGTGAGAGAGATCTCATGGATGACGATATATTAGGGCGGTGTGTTGGCTGGTAGTGTCACCGATTTGCTTCTTCTCGATGTGACGCCTTTGTCGCTTGGTATTGAAACCTTGGGTGGTGTTTTCACGCGTCTCATCAATCGTAATACGACTATTCCCACCAAGAAAGCGCAAGTATTCTCGACAGCGGCCGACGGGCAAAATGCAGTGGATATCAAAGTCTATCAGGGCGAACGTGAATTGGTGCGCGACAATAAATTGTTGGGCAATTTCCAATTGACGGGCATTCCTCCTGCGCCGCGTGGTGTGCCTCAGATTCAGGTCGAATTCGATATTGATGCCGACGGTATTGTCAATGTCAGCGCCAAGGATAAGGCGACTGGCAAAGACCAGTCCATGACGATTGCGGCTTCCTCGGGACTGAGTGAAAGCGAAATTGAGGCCATGGTGCAACAAGCGGAAGCCAATGCGGAACAAGATCGCAAGCGCAGAGATGCGATTGAAATGGCCAATCGCGCCGATTCGGTGGCCAATGATACTGAAAAGGCTTTGGACGACTTCAAGGATCAGCTGGATAACACGGAAGCCGAAAAGTTGCGTACCCAGATCCAAGGACTGCGAGAGATCGTGACCAAGGCGCAAAGCGGTGATACTTCGGTTGAATCCGATGCCTTGAAATCCAAGGTCGACGAACTTCAACAAAGCAGCTTGAAGCTATTTGAAATGGTTTACAAACAGGTAAGCGCAGTTTAGTAAACTAATACTCCATCTCATTTACTTATACGGGTTTTTCGCAGCGTGCTGCTCAAGGTGACAATGCTGGTTCATCCGACAGTGGTGCGGGTTCCAACCCTGGCAATCGCACAACCGAAGGCGAATACAAAGATGTTGACGATAAAGACAAGAAATAAGCGCATAATAAATAATAAAGAAAGCAGAGGCTTCACTGTATCATTCACTGTATCAATCCCCAAATCTATCTGTGTAATTTTCAGCGTATTTGCGAGTTGTATGATTCAACAAAACTAAAGTTGGCTCAACCGGCGACTAGCGGTGCATGTGAAATGGTTTGGAAGCTCGAAGATGTTCCATGGAACAATTCAGCCATACAGTGTCTGAGTTATTTTTTTGTTTTGTTTTTGGCATTCTCGCATGTCGACTGTTATATCGCCCGAAAATATACCACCGGAATCCGCATGTTATTACCCAGCCTTGATGCATGCTTCACCGTGTGAAACTCTCAGGGTTGAATCGTACAAAACCCAAACCGCGTTGCGACTGTTTCCTACAAAAAATGGATACCACAACAATTTGCCTAGTGGGGGTTTTTTAAGTGATGATTGAACTGAGTCAAACTTTTTTGCAGAAATGACTGGTTTCTAGAAATTCAATTTTCTGGAACGGTAAACGGAAGGGGTATTGTGCAGAATCCGTCAGCTTTGTACAACGATGAATCATAGATCGGGGCTTTTTTGTAAGATGACTGGATCTACCACCAATGCTAATTATATGTTACATACCGGTTTTCAGAATGGTGAATTGAGGTTCTCGCAGTTAAATCATGAAAGAGCATATCAAAGGAAGTACAGAGTGCCAATTATTAGATTTATTTAGAAAGAAGCGACTTAAAGTGCCCGCTGTGATATATATTCACAAAGAAAATGAATAGAATTGCTGTATACTATGAGTAAAAAGGATGTAACAGAGAAAAATGGTATAAAATTATGTACAAGATTTTGAGGAAAGAAAAGATTTTAAATGGATTTAGCGTGCAGCTGTACCGTAGGAGCGGTTCACGGCATCTTCCCAGCCTGCGAGCATCTGCTTGCGCTTCTTTGGGGTGATTTGGGAATCAAAGATTTGACGACCAGAAAAGTTGACCTGGTCAAGTTCATCAATGGATTTCCAGTAACCGGTGGCGAGTCCCGCCGCGATGGCCGAGCCCAAGGCGGTGGTTTCACGCATGGGAGGTCGTTCAACGTGAATTCCCAAAATATCAGCTTGAATTTGCATGCAGAGATCCGAATTGGACATGCCTCCGTCGACCTTTAAGCAAGTGAGAGGCGAACCACTGTCCTTGTTCATGGCATCCAGGATGGCGTTGGTCTGGAAACACACGGCTTCCAACGTAGCACGGCAGATGTGTTCGCGTTTCGTGTAATGGGTCATACCGGTCAAGATACCGCTGGCGTCGCTTCGCCAATAGGGCGCAAACAATCCTGCAAAGGCCGTAACAAAGTAAACACCGGCAGTATCCGGTACAGAGGCAGCGAGGGTATTGAGCTGATGAGCATCCTGAATCAGGCCAAGGTTGTCTCGCAACCAGTTGATGGAAGATCCAGCTACGGCAACCGAGCCTTCAAGACAGTAAGCCGGTTCGTCATCACCGAATCGATAGGCCACCGAGGTCAGTAAACCGTTCTTTGATAGCACCGGCGACGAGCCAGTGTTGAACAGCATAAAACAACCGGTACCGTAGGTGCTCTTGGCATCGCCTTTACGGAAACATTTTTGACCGACGAGAGCCGCCTGCTGGTCACCCAGACAGCCAGCAATAGGAATACCAGCAAGAGCGCCTTCTTTGATGGATCCGAAAACCTGGGAGGACGACACAATTTTTGGCAATTGGATTTGGTCAAAGGAGAAAAATCTGCAAATGACAGTTTTTTTATGAGTTTTAAGATTTCCAGGGATGCATATTGTAAAAAAAACAAAAACAGAGGGTGATTCTTACCTCATGGCTTCATCGCTCCACTGCAGGGACTTTAAATCCATCAGCATAGTTCGGCTTGCGTTTGTGACATCGGTCACTACCACGCCGCCTTGAGTAGCTCCAGTTAAATTCTAAACAATAGGAGACATAAGTTAGCATCCACGGTAGAAGACAGAAGCAAGAGTCAAAAGCTTTTTTTTTTTAATCCAGGTTGATGCTTACGTAAATGAGCCAGGTATCGACGGTGCCAAACTGCAAGCGGTTTTGCTGCTGAGCTTCTTGGACGACAGGGACATTGTCCAGGAGCCATCGAAGTTTGACCGCTGAGAAATACGTGGTCAGATGAAGGCCACAGACCTCCCGCAGGGCGTTGACGCCTTTGGGAGATTTAGCCGCCAGTGATTCCACGGTTTCCAAGGTACGGGTATCACTCCAAACAATGGCGGGGTAAAGAGGCTGGCCGGTCTGAGAATCCCAGACAATCACGGTTTCACGTTGATTAGTGATCCCGATGCTTTGGATATCTTTGGCTTGATGGCCCATGATCTCGAGTTTTTGAATAGCATATTCAATGCAGGTATTGGCGGAGTCCAATAGATCGTATGGATCATGTTCAACCCAACTAGAGAACAAAGTCATTTAGTGGGTTGGTTCAGAGTGGGAATATGTCAGATCAAATGAGTAGTTACCCTGGTTGTGGATAGTGTTGTTCAAAGTCCATTTGATGGGACGCGACAATCGCGCCCTGATGATCGAAGATCACAAAACGTGTTGAGGTGGTTCCTTGGTCGAGAGCGCCGACGAATGCTGGCATGATATATGATGAATTGATGGCGTTTTTTCTGGATAGAAATGATTTGAGGGGAAAGAATACAGAAAATCTGGAGAAAGTGGGGGCGGGAAAGGCGGCTCTATTTATGAACAAAATAATTTCACATGCGAAGTTCACGGTCCGCTTCCTCCAACTTATGGCTTGTCCCTAATTGGTGCATATCATTACCCTTTTTGGCAAGTCGGAATACGCGGGATGATCGCTTAGTCCCTTTTTTTTTCACGGTCGGCATTTGGTTTTGCAGAAGTTTAGTAATGAAAAGGTAACCGTCCTCCACCATCCACACGAATAAGAAGCCGCCAGAATCTGATTTATTTTACCGTTTAAAAAAAACAGTGCGCTCAGACCTGATGTTGAAAATTTTAATGGCACTAAAAATAAACAATTGTTAGAAAGCACCATTCACAAGTGGGCCGGGAAGGCTTGACTTTTTATTTTTTTTTATTTCACCTCGGTGGCAAAAAGGGGGAATAATGATTAGAGTTCACGGCCCTTCTTTTTCCTACGGTTATACAGGTTCCCTAATAATCACTTCTTCCGAGCTCGAATTTCCTTCAAATTTGTCGAGAGTCTATTTGCTTTTCCAATACTTACACATCATGACGTTCCCGATCAAAAAAATCCTCAGAGCCTACTGTCCATTTGATCGGCACTAAGTTTCATCATCAGACATGACTCGTTATACAGTCCGCTCTTTTGTCCAGGTACAGAATAATCATGATATATGAAAGTGCCTGCCTGACGTTGTCTTACACAATAACAACCGCTGCGGAGTATATGCCAGCTTCAGTCAGGATCGACCCTATGCTTAAACCGTCATTCTTGGCTCTTCCATCCTGCTGGTAAATCACTTTCATTTGTACCTTGTTTTGGTTTCAGATCTCAGGCTTTTTTTTTAGCTCATTCCAATACAGTGCCCTGGCAAAACTCTGGGTAATCCCGATAAATTCATTGACTTTCCTAATGTTATCATCTTTCAAATTGCAGAGAAGATAATATAAAAACATGCAAGGAAACAAAAACCTTGACTTGTCCTTTTTGGCGGGAGTCTGGATATCCTCATATTATTTTGGCCTTGCATAATACCTGACCAATCCTGATGGAAAAAATGCGCTGAAACTAACGACTTTATTATCAAAGAGAGGCCATCTTCTTGAGAATGACTTCTATTTTTCAATAAAGTGTATAATACGAGTTTAACGAGCCATGCATTATGTCTGTACCAAAGTTATGTGCACCTGTGTACTCCAATTAGCCGATATATGAACACTTGAGAATAAAGATGCCTCTCTAACATTAGCTGAGACCTACTTTATGCAGCTATTTCATGCGATGAGGCCCCATTCTCTAATCAAAGGATAAAAATGACATGAAGCGATGTGAAAAAGACGCATGGTGTCTTTTTCCTGCTTCATTATTGAGCAATAAAGGTTTCAGCTACAGCACGAGGAATAGTTTCAGGTAATTTCGCCTCTTTTTCCATGTCTACAAGATACGACACATCTTCCATCCATTTTTTTCTTCTCTTCATCGCACATCTATCTCTTTTTTCTTTTCTTCGCCCGCAAATACATCCATCGCGCTACATATTTTTTATTGCTCAGTTTTATTACATTCGCTCAAATCACATATCCTGTACGTATACTCATGATGACCACAAGTCTGATACCAACGATTGAATCTTCGCATATACAGTAGCTTGCACGCCGAAAACGTTTTTTTTTTTTTTTTTTTTTTTTTTTTTTTTTTTTTTGGCAACAGCGAAACTTTTTTGAAAGGTAATGTATTGTGCTCAAGTGGCCTTCTTCTTGAACGTTATGCAAAATCGCTCACTTGCTGAGATACCTTTTTATATATTCCAATGCACAAATCAACTTTCATAAAAACAAGAATATCGCTCTGCACCTGAAGATTTTTTTTTCTTAGGCATCTTTGTTTTCATTTTCATAATACAACCAAAAATGATAACTAAATAAATCAGCGAAAGAAGAGAGTCAACCTTTCCTATAGTTGAATGCCAGTATGTCATGGCGAATTTTTCAAAAAGTTACATCCCTTGCACTTTGAGTGATCCGTTGAAGCTTTGGGACTTTTTGGCACGAACCATTTTGCCGATGTAGCTAAATTCGATGGGTTTCTATGTGGGAAAATTTTAGGGTCAGACAATAAACTTCTTTGTGTTTTCTGGGTGGTTGTCAGATTAAGCTCATAGTGGCTGAGATGAAAAATGTCGAAGGGATGCATAGCATAAATGCACTCAATGAAGTCATAATAACAACAGATATGTCAGTGTTGGGCGGAAACGTACATTAGGCGGCATTCATCCACTAAATATTTCAAAATCGCTTATGCAGATGTCGGACCTGCAGCGTTACATCAATCCGATACCATGGTTCCCGAAAACAGAAACCACACTATCCTTTAACCTTATACGGAATCTGCCTCACACAATAAACCCGTCACGAAATCAACCAAGCATGCACAGGCATCATTCTATTGGATGCAACTTGTTTACATGGGGTATCTAATGGTTTTTTTTTTCGGCTACAAAGGAAAAGAATTGTTCGCGCCTTCATTTTCCGTCATGCTGGCCAGCTGCGAGTGAAGTGAAATGCCATAGAAAAGCGAACTACGTCGTCGGGACAATGGACGTTCGTTGCCTTGCATTACTGAATGGCTTGAATGTCGAGAAAGACCCATAGGAGCCGCACGTATTGTCACTGGCGCCAGCAATGAACTGGCCTCATCGAAATGGTTCTCGGTACTTTGGTCAAGGTTGTTCTGTTTGGAATCATTGGCTTCTTGAGAAGAAAACCAATCGGGAATTTGTTCTTGTTGGGTAGGATGGTGCTGTTGCCGCTTGGTAGTAACCAAATAAACACCGTAAAATTCCAAAATGCATGAAATCATGAATCTGTATAGGAGCATCATCAGATCGGAATGGCCGATTTGAAGGGTGGCTCAAAACGAAGTACCTGAGTAGTTCATTCAAATCGTAGCCGTCAAAATCATGATAGATAATTGCGCTACCTACAATCGCTGACAGTGTAAAGAGGACGAATTGAGTTGGAACCACACTCGTGGAATCGAAATGCTGGAGGGCTCTATTGAGAAACTTGATTTGCATCAGTGCTGTCACTAGAACGACAGTGATCAGGATATAAGATACGGGATACCTAGGAAAAAAATTCGATTACACATCCATCATACTACGTCATTAAACTTGAGTTTCATATAGACGTACATGAAGAGTTTATACAGCGTTAGATTAAGCATTGAAGAGAGAGCTTTGGTGGCTAGTACGGTATAGGCGCCTACAACATAGAATGGGACAGTCAGCATCAGTCTCGTTTTTGAAAAAGTTGGCAAATGAATTATACCGTAGACCGCCACCAGCCCAAGATCAACAAAAATGTTTCTATCGGCCTTTCTGGATGATCGAACAGACAGCAAACAAATGAGGATGCAGGTAATACAATAAAAAATGACAGAGGATGCTTGTGTCAAAGCTTCAACGACAAGTTCAGGTGACAGCTGTGTAACGTTTTCAACTAAGCATTCGATGAATTGAATCATGCGTGGAGCTTCGTCATTACCGGTATGTCCTTATTTCTCGAACTGAATATCACGCCGGCGGCTCCCATGACAGCAAACATGATCCCCAGAACATCTCTACCACGAAACGGTTCGTATAGTAAAATGGGCGCCAAAATGGCATTACTGATCAGGGTGGTCGTACCCAGGGGAGCAATGGTCGAAGCGGGCGCAAAACCATACGCTTATTCAAAATCAAATCATGGTTTAAAGCACGTTCCTTGGGTGGCGAACATTGGTTGGCCTACCTATAAAATTGCCTAGTTCACCGATCGCCATGAGACTAAAACCGAACCACCATATCTTTGACCGAAGATACTGCGGAACCTCCAGTTCCTTGTTTTCCGCATTCGGTGAATTTGTAAAGCCATCATATTTAGAAGCAGCCGCTCGACTACCGGCTTCTACACTTGCTAAGCGCGTCCTGTATTGCTGCTGCGATATACGGTTATGCTACGCCAGAGTATAACAAGGAAAAAAGACGGCACATTCACCATTGTGAATTGGTTATTAGCCTCTCAGGTCTTTCTTACTGCCAACTTTTGAACATTTAGTGCGACGGAAATGAGAATCTAAGGTGGCCTTTTTTGTGAGAAAGGGAGACAAGGTAGCTATTCTTTTTTTATTGGTGAATATGTATTACATTGCCGCCAATAGATAAGGAGATGCCTATCAGAAGATCTTTCCTGGCAAAAACGGCATCAATGTCCAAGATCATGGCGCACGAACAAAGGCACCAAAAAAAAAAAAAAGCAAAGAAAGAAAAAGAAGTAAAATAACTACGCAACCAATGAAAATTGAATTACCCGCATACATTATCATGCCGGCTTCAAGTGTTACTGTGGTTGTGCGTGTGAGGAGAAAACGGCTCTTCCGGATTCATCCAGGCCACTTTTTCTCGTGCCACCTTGAGCCTTTAAGCTCCGCTTCTATGGTTCGAGAACCTTTTGCTTGGATGAGATTGCCCAGGGTGGCGTTCCTGTGCCTCCCACTTTCCTTATTTATAGTAACCATGGTATTTTTCTCCATCTTCCTTTTTTTTTTTTTTTATTCTTTCCTTTTTCAAATTCTCGTCTTGCCCTTCCTTTCCTTTTCACTATGGCTTCCTTGAATGCCACCTTTGACCATCGAAGGTCCACATGGATAAAGCCATCGCCTACAAATAGCGTTTCCAGCCAGTCACCCCGCAAGGTCGACAAAGAATTGCAAAAGCTTCAAAAATTAGCTGTAGTTTCATCCGTGTGGACCAAAGCAGGAGCTCACGAAGATGATCACAGTAACAACCAAGGACTCCAACAACCGCCCCTCACGCCTTCTTTATCATCATCCAACCACCACCGACGCTCTCGTTCACCCACGGTCAGTGTCGATTCAGCCACCCATCGATCCTCCACTGATACTGCGATCACGCCTTCTCCTCCAAAGGAAGATTTGAGCCTGTTACTGCATCATGACCCAGCCGTATCTATTAAAGTACCTGATGATTACCGAGAGACCCAAGAACCATCCACCGCGGCATTGCCGGAACCGTCTGACGAACACGATAAAAAGAATGTGCGATGTTGGGTAGAGGAGAATTTAACACCGCTCTACAATAATGAATCTCCGGTCTCGGTCAATGAGCGTGCAAATGACGAAAAATCAGCCGATGTGGCATCTTGCCATCGTCAACTGTCGCTTCAAGTGGAACAAGCGCGCAAGGAAATCGAACGATATAAAAAAGAAATGCAACGCCAAGATCAGATCATGCAGCAAACCATCAATACTTATTTGGAGCAGAAAGAACTTGAAAGTGTCAAAGTGAGGCATTTATCCAACATTGTCCTGAAACAAGAACAGTTGCTTCAACGGGCCATGGATCAACTTTTTATTACAGACGCTGAACCATCTTTGGCTCACCCATCCTCATCAGATATTGCCGTGGGTGACGCCCGCATGCAGCTTCATTCGCTGCGATCGGAAATCAACGACCTCGCATCGACCAAGCAGCATCTTGAGCAAACCATGGTCTCTTTACGCGGCGAGCTGGATATGAGCCAAAGTCACATGCGTTTACTAATGATGGTGTCGACGGAAATCCAAAATGAATACGATACCCAGAAATTGCAACTGGAGGAAAAGATCAAGGAGCTAAAGGAACAAGAAGACGTTCTTCGTAACAAGCAAGCCGAATTTGATGAACAGAAACTTCGCATGGACAGGTTAGCCCCCGCTCTCCTTTCCCAGATCGAAGAAAAGGACCTACTTTTGCAACGAGAACAGGAAAAGAACAGATTTTGCATGGAAACCATTCAAGCGCTGAGGCGGGAATTGGACCATCACCATCATCCGTACGAACGAACCGTCCTCACTCTCAAAGCAGAACCTTCTTACCATGACGAAGAGATCGGGCCCAGTAGTATTGTACCATCGTATCTTACGACGGAAGGGATGGTGTCTTCTGCCGAGGAAACGAATCATCATGGACGTGACTCGGAATCGAGGAGTCTGCGGCATCGAACGAGCACATCCACTTTCGGTTCAGGGGTGACAACGCCAGATTCCGGCACTTTATACACTAGCACCCCTCACTCATCGATTGGCCATGCTGACGATATCAAAGATATTGACACCTATCCAGTGGAACGACTGTCATACACTTCCTCGCGTATCTCTGGACCAGTGTCTGATCGTTCATCCATCCCATCCCACTCTCGTCGTACCACCAACAAGTCAATTACCGCCTTTTCTCCACGTCAATCCCAGATTCCAAAATGGTCGACCGCCCCTCTTCCTCCACCGACTCCACCGCCCAACGAACCTTTACCACCTACCCCACCCGCATCCACCACCAGTACAGAAAGTGCCATCAGTAGCCACCGTGCCATCATTGGATGCGATCGTGCTTTTTCTCTTCCCAAGGTTGGACGATCGCCCATGCCTAGCTTATCTACCCCGACTACCACCAAACATGCGTCTGTAGACAGTCGCGATCGTATTAATCACATTGGACAACGTCCTAAATCACACTATACGAACGAATCGCAGTCAAGGCTGACCAAGCGCGAACGATCCAGTGTAGGAAAGGACACAGAGCATTTACAGGCACCGCCCGTGCCCGGGCATGGTCGCCGTCGCGGATCTCACAAGCAAGAAGGCACCAAGTGGATGGATGATCCTGCCGGCACAGGAGAATCGGCTCGACAAGACAAGCACGCCTCCTCCTTTTCTTGGAAAGGCATGAAAAAGAAATGGAGCGTTCGGTAAAAAGAAAACCAAAAAGAGAGAGAGAAATTGACGATATCGCTGGCGATAGGATCTTTGTCTTCTTTTTTTGGCTCTATGTTTTTGTGCATCATTCATTCACCCTATTCCCCACCTCTTTCCCTAGTTGCGACCCTGTTTTTCTATTCATTGAACTTATCTATCACATCATCTACACAGTCTAGAATAAAAATTTACAACATGCGAAAGTTTATCCCTCTTTGGCGGTCACTAAAGGCTTCATTTCGTCTTGTCGTCGTAAACGTTCGCATTCACACACACCATCATCGCCTCGTTTGTCTTCTCGACATTCGTTGCAGCAGAATGCTCCACCAGTGGATTCCAAACAATCGTCGCAACACAGGACGAGGAGATGGCAATTCTGGCCAAAACATTTGGTATATTTGTCCCAAGCCTTGTTGCATTTCTGGCAGACCCCAACAATACTTTCATCCACACCCAGCGCTTGGCGTGCGTCAAAGACATAGTTCTTCCCTTGCCACAAAGCATTGTCACTCTTTCGCTGTCGCCACCATTCCAAGTAATTGTGGATCCCACCATCCAGCATAAAGATTTGAGTATCCGGCGATAAGGCCTGACGCATGTATGCCGTTGCTTTCTCGCATCGGATTCCCCTAGACGGCCGGGCTTTGCATGTGAGTCAAATGGATTTCAGACAAGCGGGTGATGATCGGATATTTACCCTGTGCAGTAAGTGAAAATGGTCTTGCCTTCCAATTCTTGTTTATTTCGGTCGATGTAATCTGGAAATCGGCTGAATTTGCGTATGGGTGGAAGCACGGCGCCTTTGAAGTGGCCGATCCGGCTTTCGTAATAGTTGCGTGTATCCAGTAGTAATACGTCTTTTTTATCTGCGAGTTGCTCGAGGTGCTGATGGAAATCCTCGGGGCTTAACTTGCCCCGGGCACTGATCGCTTCCAGCGTCACCGAGGATTGACCCAAAGGACAAATCTCGTCCACGAGCTTGATTGAAAGGTCGGCAAAGACGTGCCGGCATCCTTGAGACGGTTTAAAGAACTCGTATCGGTGATCTGAGTCGCATTGATTCAGTTGTTTATCGATAAGCACTGGAGTGGTTGAGACCCAGTTGATGTAGGTCTCGATGGCATCTTTTGGACCCGCCAAAGTACCATTGATCCCTTCTGCAGCTATTCGCACTTTGCCTGTCAGACCAAGTGGGCCACATAACTCAAGATGATCCTGCGCAAATGTTTGAGGATCCGGGATTTGCTTGTATCTGTAGAATAAAATGACGGTGGAATTCGTCAGGTCGCAATCACAATGAAGCGTAATGGGATCCGATGCACCCTAAACGTCGGTCACTGTCAGCTGGAGGGTACTCTTTTACCGAGCGCATAACAATGCTCCAAAATTCACCTTTGGTGCTCTCCTTTTCTTCAGAGGATCCGTGTCGTTGACGGATGCATTGTCGTCGGTTTGCGCCCTTTGTTTCCACAGTAACGCCTCCCATGCATCGATTTCATCGTTATGGCAGCGGTTCACATGGCGTCCAATCAGTTCCTGGGAGTCAAATGCGGTCTGACAACATTTCCACTGAGATTCCGACACTTGCTTCGATTTTAACACATTCTGAAATGCCTGACGTCGCACTTTCCGGTTCAAATGAGTCGAATGCATCACTGAAGCCAAGTCTTTTGTACGATGCAAAGCATAAACAGTGTTTAAACCGCCGTCACAGAGCCTGAGAGGTCTTGTCAAATCACCTTTGAAATAAGATAGACAGGCTGGACTGCGAATTGGGATCTCTTCGTAGTAATTGTGCAATATGTCCAACGATGCCACGTAATCCCAGAAAATAAAACAAGACAATACACTCAGTCAGCAGCTTTTGGTTGTCAAAAAGTTTAGGTGCGAATAAAAAGAAACCCACGGCAACTATGGCTGTCATTGAAGAAAAGAGTTATGGCAACATTGCATGTGAAATGGATATTTGCCGTGAAAGCAATTGAGAAAAAGAAGCGGCTTTGTCTAACTTGCTCAATGAAAAAGGACCGGTCTATACGCTAACACTTTTTGCTTGCTTATTGGGATTTTTAATTTACACAAAATATAACATTCACGGTGTTGGATGCCATGGCCATTACATTGAGATGTTCTTTATATTGAAAAAGAAAAAATGTGGAGAGAAAAAAAATGACAATGCTTACTCGCGGCGAGCGCGACCGAAACCACCACGGAATTCGGGCTTGAAGTCACCAGAGGCACCTTCCTTGCGTCTGTAATCACCACGATCGCCACGGGGAGCACGGGCTCCTTCGCGGTCATCACCGAAAGCACGACGGGGAGCAGCGGGACGAGCAGCCTTCTTCAAGGTAGCAGGGACAATCTCGGTGGGCAAGTGAAGATCTAAATCGATTGGGGGAATTTTTCAAGAGGGTTAGAGATCCAATGATGGGGGCGTATTCACAGCGTCAAAAGGAGGAAATGGTGGAGTCGCTTACAGTCGCGGAGGTAGTCAATACCCTCGTTGGTGAGGGTATAGTAGTAGTATTGCCAAGAGAACTGGGTCTTGACGAAGCCCTTGGAGGTCAAGGATTGCATGGCCTTGATGACTTCAAGGTTAGGCACATCAATTTCCGAGTGCTTGGGAGCATTGAAGTCCTTGGCGGCGACCAAAGCACCGTCTTTGAAGAGAGCCTCGTAAATGGCCTTACGGTTCTGTTTCTGAATAAGCATGCTAGGTCTACATAATTGCCAAAGCAAAAATCCGTTAGATGGGCCATTTAACGTGCGCGACGGTTATACAATCGAAAATATGGATGCGCTGCAAAGTAATCAACGATCGAATATATCGTGGGGGCGATGGAAAGGAGAAGAATTACCGTTTAGTTCAAACTCGGGATGTGCCTAGAAAGATGGATAAGTAAACGGCTTCGTTGGATGCTGTATCCCAATGGATGGATGGATGGTGGATCGAACGCTTACCGATGCTTTTGGAAGAGAAGGAATCTGGGCCTGCTGCCCAGGGCAATGGCTTTTGCGGAGTTGGCGCCCCCGAATCCAAGAATCACCATATTTGGAAACTCTCGCCCAGTGTCGGAGCTCCATTTATCCCTCGAGGCCTCTGCTCTGACCGTGGTCTCCTGCAGCATCAATTACACTGAAACTGCTGCCATTTAAAAACAAAAATCGATGAAACGGTCAACGATGAAGAGAATTGACAGGAAAAATAAAGGCGAATATTCGAGATACCGTTTGCAAGTGTTAATGTAATATGGCAGGTCATTCAAAAATGATACACGCAACGAGTAGACGCAGCCCCATATTAGTTCACTGAGCAAAGTGGTAACTGAAAGCAATAATCAATTTCTATGGAATCAAACTCTTAATTAAAGAATAGTAATGTAGTAGGGTCTGTTGAATTTTGAAATTATAGGAAGGGTGCTCTGGATACCAACACTAATCCTGATGCTTATCAGTTATAGCAGATACTCAAATTTGACTAAATTTGACGATCAAAAGAACAACAATGTGTGTAATGCTAATTGATATGTCGTGGATTTAATTGAATGCAGTGTAAGCGAGTGAATGCTAATGATTGGACATAAAATACAGTGAAGATTGCAGGAGGGAAAATATGCGACTTTTCTCATGTTGACAATGCCCAAATTGAAGATCTATTTTGGCTGCTGTGAAACAAATATCATCCAATGAGTAAAAAAAAGGTGCATGTCAGCCAATATGGTCCATTACATACCTGTACCCCTTGGATTTCGTCGTGCAGATAAAAGCAATCATCGCCAGCCGCACAAGACCCATGTGAATGATAGAATTTACAAGGCAGGAGCGTCTTTTCCAGCTTTCGTCGTTCCGCTTCGCTAATATCCGTGTGCGAGAATAAACACTGATCGCCACTGTTGCAGTAACCCTTGAAGTGATAAAATCGACACGGTCCTGTCATGACATGGAGTCGTCGTAGGAGGGTGGGTGTAAGAGGCTCATGCGAAAAAGGACACATTTCGCCAGAATCGCATACACCTTTGACGTGATAAAACCGACAAGGTTCCAGCCTCAAATCCTGCATGATGGCCCGGTTAATAACCTGCCCATCAATTTCTGCAATGAAAATACTTGTTTATACTTACATGAGACATTGGACACTGATCTCCGTTGACGCAAGAATTCGTTTTAAAGAATCGACACACCGACACAAACGGGTCCCCTTCATGCTGAAACGGACATTGTTCTCCCTACATGAAAAAGAGAAAAATATAATAAATATCGGAACCCTTCCTCTTGCTTGGCAAGAAACAAATTCACGTACCGATTTACATTTGCCTTTTAGCCAAAAACGACATGGTACCGAAGCTCGGGAATTGGGGGCTTTCCCAGATCCCGGGGAATGGGCCATGTCCAGTTTAGCTTTCTTGCCATGAGTTGGCTGGGATGAAGTGGGAACAGGAGGGGTATCTGGGATAAACGCTCTTTTCTCGGGGCGTCCCATTACTAAAAGAGACCCATAACAGACTTAATTGACCGTTTACACCAGTCCACTGACGCTCAAAACCATTCTACTTACTCTGATTTGCCACGTCAAGAATATCAGGCTGGACTTGTTGTACCGTGTTCTACAAAAGTTATCGAAACGTGTCAATCTCGGTTGCTTTCATGAAAATGACAAATTCACTACCTTTGCCGCGTCGGCTTTCTTTTCATTTTGATTTTGATTTTGACGCTGGTTTTTGTTCTGATCTTTACGTTGGTTTTTACGTCGTTCGTTCTGGTTTGGATATAGATTCTGACGTGGCACGTTGGCTTTGACCTGGTTTTGATTCTTCTTTAGTTTGCTTTTCTTTTGGTTTCTTCCTTTGAGTTGCTTTTCGGGACGGTGATAAGTTTGCTTCGGGTGATCGCCAGGGTCTCGTATAAGAGTGGAAAGATCGATAGGTTCAGGAGACGCCGGACGTACAGACGGCGCTTTCATGCCGGATAATTCAAGTACATCCGCTAAAAGTTGATCGTACTGCGGGTTATGGTAGCTCGGCTGAACAGTAGGTGGAGGCGTTGTCTTTAATACTGATGCTGAAGCTGATGCAGCGGTTGACTGAATTGGCTGTATAGAGGTGGAAGAGGAGGGTATACTGGCGATATTCTTCGTGCTACCGACTGCGGCATTGGCTTGGTCGCCACTTGTGGGATTTGCACGTTGCTCAGAAGAGAAACGCACCGGAAGAGTGGTGGCTTTTGACTCGTCCTTGATGGTGTTGGGCTTCTCGTTCACCGCAGATACGTTGTTTAACTCATGGTTCCAATTAGTTGTGGAGATCAATCCAGAGGCAGGCATGGCATGGCTAAGAAGAGCCGCTCGGTCGACAGAAGCCGCTTCATAGCCAGAATTCGGCTTGTTGGCATGCGTTGAGTTTTCCGTGCCAAGATTAGACGACCTGTCAAGTGCACGGGAAGGCAGATCTTTCGGGTTCCCGTCAAGGAGCGGGGCACCGTTAGAGGTTGTAGATGTGTTTGCTGTAGAGTTGACAGGCCGAGTATCCTTGTTAGATACTCCTTTGATATTTTCATTCTCTGTACTTGTTTTATTATTTGGAGATGCGCTCGTAAATAAGCTGCGCAAGAAGCTCAGATCAATCGAATCCATCATTGATCGAACAAGACGGGCAAGCAGAACGAGTTTTTAGCGGAAAAAGCAGACATTCATCTTTTTACAATCAAGCAATTTTCGAAGGTCACAAGCATGTTGATTGGTTTGCGCAGTGGCGCGAATTGAAAATACATGCAATGCACATCCATTGGCTCGGGGTGCAGTCATATTTTTTCATCCAATGCACGCTTTGTTAGTCTCCACGTATGAAAATTTACAGTTATTCAAGAAAGCATTTCCCTTAGTGTTCGTGACAGGTATCGGTAAACTCCATTTTGGAGATCATTCGTTTTAACTAAGCATACCGTTTCAGTAAGTTGACTTCTTTTTCGCCGCATGGGGTAACAGACCGTCATTTATACACTTTCGTGTTGGAAGATTAATCGTACAAAATCCAGGAATATCTAATATAAGCATTCAACAACAACTTGTTATCATTCAAACTGCTATCCAGCGATCAAAATTAACGAAAATGACAAATGATACCTACTTCATATTGGAATTTTTTTCATACAAATATGCGGTGAAGCCAAAGGACGACAAGTATAATAATAACTCCGTCGTAGTGAACGAATGGGATCGCAACAGCGCTAGTTAGCAAGTGGAGGCGATTTCCTGTAAACCAAATATGCAACTGCTGCTTTCTAGATGGATTGATTAATGTAGAATTTCCCGTTCGCTTCACTCAAAAGAACAATGACAAAAAAGAGTGCTCGTGGGGGGTCCTGCCTCCATCTTTTTGGTAAAGGAGAAACAGTCACGGTGATATCCAATGAGCGCGATCCAAGTCCGAATATGAGTGCACTGGTTTGGCTTGCATTTCCGCCTCTGAAAGCGACCCTTATTCTCACCATCGACTATGAATAGCATTCAAGCAGCGAGCAAAAAGTTTCTTCAATCCTACAAGAAGAATACGCCGACCAACTTGAAGCTGATTGACGTGTACCTCGTCTATATTCTGTGCTCCGGCATTCTTCAGTTCATGTACATGGTGGCCGCCGGCACGTTCCCCTACAACGCTTTCTTGGCCGGGTTTATCTCCACTGTGGGCAGCTTCGTTCTTGCAGGTAAACACCCTACATTGCACCATGACGAAAAACCATCGGGTATATGACTAACATTCATCTAGCCAATCTACGAATTCAGACAAACGCGCAAAATACCGATTTATTCAAGTCGATTTCACCGGAACGGTAACGTGCAGATACAAAAGATAAAAGGGAAAACAGCAGTGCTTATTTCGCATTTTTCTAGTGCATTTGCCGATTTTGTAGTGTGCTCTCTTTTATTACACTTTTTCTGCGTCAATTATCTGGGTTAAAAAAACCAGTCATCGTCGCAGAAGAAGATAGGGGGAGAAATGTGTGCTTTCGTATTTTTATATTTCAATGACCAACTTTATACATAAAATGTGAAACTACATTGTTACCAATATGGTTGTTGAGGGGCGCCGTAAGGGACTTGTTGATTGGAGAATCCTCTGGGTTGTTGTGGTGGATATCCGCCTGCCATGGGAGGAGGAGGAGGCGGTGGTCGGAAACCGGCTGCCATGGGCACTGCTGTATTGTAGGACATCATGGGTGGTTGTGGGACGGGCGGTGCGGCGCCTGGTGGAGCGGGAGCAAGTGGGGTACCTCCAGCATACAATCGATTCGGTAACTGGACATGCTTTCTACCTTCAGCGGCCAACAGACGTTCAGCCGCAGATCCGTGACGTTCTCCTGAACCGTCCTTTCTAAATGCATATGAAACGGTGATCTGTTTGTTCATCAAAAACTGCTGATCCATAGCGTCAATGGCGGCATCAGACGATTCAAAGTTATCAAAGCTGACAAAACCAAAGCCTTTGAAAGTGCCCGTTTCCTGATCGCGCGCAATCTTGGGCGTTTGCACGATCACGCCAAACGCACTGAATGTATCGTATAATAGCTTCTCGTCCACATCCGGGTCCAAATTGCCAATAAACAATGTTGCACCGACATCCAAGTTCTTTTTGTCTGACGTAGCCTAAGAATCGTTTAATCAGTAATCCCGCCATGGTTTTATGGTAATGACAACGTTCAGTTTACCTTGTTGACTCGAATAGGTTTGCCATATAATCGAATCTGATTCATGATCTTGATGGCATAATCCGCGTCTTCTTCCGTCATGAATTCACAGAATCCGTAACCTTGATGTGTTTGCGTTACTCTATCCTTTGGAAGATGTACATTGACTGGGTCGATGGAGAAGGAAAAACCAATAGTGTCGTTAGAACTGTGAAAGGGTCGCTACGATTCTGGTCTAAGGTATAGCATTTACCTACAGGACCTGCCTGAAGCATCAGCTCCCAGACAAGTGATTCTGAGCATCTTTCGTCTAAATTGCCAACGTAAATGGTGGCTTCCTGATTACGCTCAATCTGTTGCGCCATGCCGTGTTTTTATGGGTCTTTGATGATCGCTGCGCACACACTCCAAGGCAACAAGCTAACCTCGACAATCAATCAAGCCGGCAAGTTTTCAACTGCCGCTCATGTGACGTCAAATTTTCGGTGGCACACCATTGCGATTCTCTTCCTGTGCTTCCAGAAAGTAACGTCAGAATGGATCAGTAAACATATACGTTTCGGCAAACGGGATCGTTATAGAAGTTGCCTGTTATTGATTAGCCGAGCAGCTGTGACTTAGACTTTCTCATGTTTCGAATAACAGAAGACAATAATTTTCCCACTAGCTAATAATTTCCGTAACATATCACTTATCCTATTTCGTTTCCCATGATCAGCCTCGAGCCACAACCTCAATTTTCTTTTTCTCCTAATTTTGCTTTAATTGCTTTAAAATGTTTATCGATAACTTGTAGATGAAAGGACAGCAAGAAATCGCTATCATCTGATGGACAGATATCGAAAAGAGCGCTCGCAAAAAGTACAGTGCCCTGGCAAAATCCCGGTTAATCCCGATAAATTTATTGACTTCTCTTTCATCTTCATTTTTCTCAGGAAATGAGGATATGATAATAAAATAAATTGCAAGGAAACAAAAATAATGAACTGGTCCCTTATTGGCGGGAGTGGCGTGGATCTCCTCATATTACTTTGGCCTTGCATAATATCTTCGTAAACCTGGTGGGGAAAATTCGCTGAAACTGACGACTTTATTCAAAGAGAGGCTATCCTCTTGAGGATACTTTATTTTTTAATAAAATGTAAAGTGTCAACCATAATTCAAGAAGGAGCTAAAGAAGCCCTCTTTTTAGATTTGCTCATGTTGCGGCAGAAAAACCTTCAAAATGTCAAAAGCCGGCAAACAAAACTTACCGAAGGCCGGATATCGGCCGCACCTGCATGTTTCCCGTTAAGAATGTCCTCAGAAATATATCCACTGCTGAAATTATGAGGGACCACTGTTAGGTCGTAAAGTAAAGTAGTTGCCAGTAAATAATTGGTAGAAGCCCGTCGTACGAGGTGCTTGACAATAATAATGATAATAAAAAAAACGGTGTGCATTGCATTGATGCATTTTGATTCTTTTTCTTTTTTTTTGGTATAATCGTACATTATCCAACCTCAATTCAATATTAATTCCCATAAGATTTTAGCTTGAATAAATTCGGCCATACGCTTGTAATGTCACGTAAACAAGCGCGACAAGTCAGCAACGAAAGCACTGGCAGGAAACACTTGTTGACCATCAGCAATATGGCGGAAGCGGAACAAATTCAGATCAAGGCTTACATTTCACCGACAATAGTCCTGGCGAAGGATTATGATAAGCTGAAAAATGAGCTTTTGTATCGAAAGCGGTTGCCAAGAGGGCTACTGGAAAAAGTTGGCGATCTTTGTGGGGAACCGACCTAATGCGTTCAGTGGCCGCTATACTCGAAAACTTCTCCTTTCTCCATTCATTGAAAGCTAACCGTCGACCAATCATTTGACGACATCGCGTCTGATATTGTACAATCACAAACGTCATCTTCGAAACAAACTCCCGTGCCAGATCAACAAAGCTGTATCATTCAGGAACCAAGATAAGGAAGGGATACGTGCGTGCCATAAATCGCTCGGGCACTTCTGAAGCCAGAGATAACGAATTCAAGTGATCTTTTGCCTGAGGTGTTGACCACCATCGAGAATACCCGAATTGAACTTACCCAATACTCCCAAGATTTGGCAGCGATGCTTCAGGTGACCATTGTGAAAACGTCACAGAACCAAACGTAAAATGGTATGAAAGTACACCCAGAATACTAAGGTTTTGAACAGAGAAAGCTGAACTTTTTTATTGTATACGGCGAGTCAAATCCAAAGGCCTTGTTCCTTCTCATACTCATCGTCATGGCGACGTTGGCAGTTTCACAGCATTCCCACCACCAACGGAGGCGATACCTGGAGATGTCTTAAGTAAGATGCATATGCAGTACCTCTATACACCTCACTTTGGCAAAACATTGCAGACCACCAGAGAGAAATCGTCCAATCTGGGTCATTTTGACCTTCCGTGGGAACATCTTGCTCTGGGTCCGTTGGTGACATGAAATCTTCGTTCGACGTATCATAACAAGATTGCAGCAGCACTGACGAATATCTGGAGCGGAAGTCCCCACGCTAACATCATACGATAGTTTGTGCGCTTGCTCTTGCGACCAGGGTTAGCAGTTAGCACTCAAGAGGGAACAAAAACACAAGGATACGCATCACAACCATGAATACTGAACTGGTTCGTTACACATGCACATGCGAACCGAAAACAAGAAAACTGAGACTTGTACTTCCAAAAGACGAAACAGAACCCATTGAAAGACGCCAAATCTCGGTGGAATTACACGCGGAACGCGTGCACAAAAAGTGGGTACGGATCAAGAAATTAAAGAAGATTGGATCTGATCATCGTCCCGCTTTAAAAGTCCGCGATGACTATGACAAACGGATCACATATCTCCAAGATGTTATGGTAAGATCTATACGCTTATGTTACATTATACATTGGCATGAGCCTGACGTCTTATAAAGGATTGAAGGCGGAGCGTGTACAATTAGAGCAAGAAGGAAAACAAAGCAACAATACAGCAGATCAAGAGCGGTTAAAGCAAAGCGTAACCGATGAGGTATATGCTTTGTATAGCGTGGCCAACCGGAAAATGATGCTAATGTACTTTCTTGAGTAATGGGCACCGACTTTTTGGCTTGGTCACCCTACGCGATGATCTTGATGAAAGCGGTGACCCGTTTGAAGAATTACAACTCCCTATTAACAGATGTGATGTTCCTGCTCGTCTATTGAACTCGCTGCAAGGTATCCTCATTCATTTGCTTTGGTCGATACAACTACGAACATTAGACCAAGCCAGTGGACAACACCACAGCAAGGACGTGCAGTTATCGGACGCAGAGATTTCGGCTATGCTGAAGATATCACCGCTGTATCATGCCCTATATTGCCACTTTAAAAACAGCCAAAATATTACTCAATATGCTTCTGTTCGGTAACAATGTATTATGTCTGTGCGGATACAGATCATTCTACATGCGCTTGTCCACAAATCTCGTCCGCCTCCCTTTACCTTTGACGTTGGATTCAGCGTCTTGTACGAAATATTTACAAAAACATTGAACATGGCGAGTAAAGGAATAACGAGCACGAGCCAAGTCGTACGCCGAAAAGGGGAAGTCTTTGGTTGTTTTTTAAATGTGGCCGTCGCCCAGTATGTCGACAGAAGGGAAACAACTTTCCGGATTGTATAGAAGTGACGTTCACACTAGACACTTGTTTAGTCAGCGTGAGTTTAAAAACTAGACAACGTTTATTATACGAACGAGTGACATGTTCCGAAGCAACAAGTTTCAAAGAACCACCAAGGCGTTCAGACGCTCGATACGATCAACGCAGATATCCATCAATCTAGAAAAAAGTACGCGATGAAGCCTCAAGAAAAAGAAGAGAGTTGACGAGAGATTTGACCAAGCATCGCCTTCCAATTGAAAGAATAACAGGCCAAGGGAATGCCTTTGATCAAACTAATTGAGAGCGAAAGAGAGATGAGGCGGCAGCACCAACCACAATCGTGGTAAAAGACCTCCAATGGGGAACAGGCTAGTACCACTTTTTTTTTTTTTTTAAAAAAAAAAAAAAAAAAAAAAAAAAAAAAACACCTCGAAAATCGAAAGAAGGTACAGTATGCCAATCTCAATCAAGAGAACGTAACTGAAGAACAATCATGTAAACCCCTATCTTTTGTCTGGTTTAGAACACTGCTGCCATGAAGGATGCCACAGCGGCTGAAGCCGTTCTCGCCAAGAACAGTATTTGCCTGGCGAAGAACGTTACAGATTTCATCAAACGCTGCCCCCAAGTTCGGGTCTGCAAGAATTTACGGCCAACGTTGGATCCACAGACATCGGCGATAGGCCGCTTGGAAAACGAAAGATGTGCAACGGCAGATCGACACAAGCGAGAACCGCGTCTGAAGCCCATGACCCTCATAAGTGCCATTGGGAACGCTGGAAATGGAGTTGGTGGAAGAATCAAAGGTCACCTAAAGTACGGCGACAAGTGCCACAGGCGCGTGTGCGCTTAGCAAGGCATTGTTCTGGTAATAAATGAAACCCGGAGGTTCATGGTATGCCCTTTTTGCCGCGAGGGAATTGTGCATCCGTGGAAAGTCAAAGACGGTAAAACGGCCAGCAGTAAGGTGCTACATCAACCGCCAATGCGAATCGTATCAGCAGTGTAAATACTCTCTCGAATGGGACGTATTGTCCTGCAAACATCGCCTCGCGGTATGAGGGAAATTTAACGAAAGAAGAATTGCTGTGAAAGGAACTGCGCTATCGAAGAACTGTCTATTTGATTCGCTGTTATATATAAAGTCACTTGGCGGGAAACAGGAGTTTTTCATTTTTTTTTTTTTTTTTTTGGCGTGCTGTAAGTTAAAATAGACCGATCCGGTCCATTTTATACGCCTCTTTCATCTGAAATCTTATTTTTGGATTTTCTACATCAAGCTTCCTGGCAATAATCCTGAGTATTAAGTACGTGCAGTGTTACTTCGGTTTTATTCAATTTGGCCACCACTTAAAAGATGGGTGTTTCATTTTCATTTAATACAGATACTGGGTTGACAATTTTACAATTGCCGTTGAATACAGTCTGTGAATGAATTGTGGTAATAAAAGACTAGGACAGTTGAATATCGTTTGCGCTAACGCAGATGCCACGGTAAACATTAAAATCAATGTGATGAGCGCTACCAGTACTGTCCCGAACTTCGCGAGGCCCAAAACCTTGACAAGTAAGACCGCCCTCACAAATTTGGGTTCTAGTGATGTTTCTGAGATCTTGTCTCCACACGGCACAGGATCGACCACGACCTACGACCTCCTGAGCGAATACCGAGATAAGCAAAGAACAGCGACAAATAGGACGGATTTCATTGTATGTAGGAAGCAGTATAGGCAAGAGTAGACTGATGAGAATCGATACGGACCACATACTATGATATTTATATCCTATGAAACAAGGAGATGTTTGGAAGGAAGTATTTTGTTATGGCAACAGGAGGATGAAGCTCTTGCTCGAGGAATAGGCTCGGTAAACAGCGATAAATTCTAAATTCTTGTTACGGAGGTGGAAGCTTACATTAATATTTTCGGCTTACCCAGGGCTAACTGTGGCCTCTATTGGCGAAAAACCAATGCACTCATGTCTAGAGTACAATTCTCATGTTTAAGTGTCTTAATGTACTGTATCTCCAATTATAAACAGTAAGACAGAAAGAGGTCTACGGCTTACGGATATTATCCATTCTTATGTACTGCTATAATACCGACCAAAGCTCGTATGATGCGCGCTGTCGGCTTTGTTCAGGATTTCTATGGGTCAAAGCCTCGGCAAATAAGATCGGCCTCGCAAGGTTCGATGTCTGTTGCCGCTTATCCTTTCTACATATGGCGAGAAATCCCCGTTCACTGGACCAACGTAAACAGCCAAAGAGACCTATTTCATTTTGTGCAGAATGCTGGATTATTTATTTTCCAGGTCGATCACTTGAAATGTTTCCATGAGGTACTGATATATATCCTAATTTTGCTGTAAAATGTTTTCATGATATTATGCAAAATGCCTCGGTCCGGAAGCATCGTCGCTCTGATTGATAATGCGCGGTGATTCGGACGACAGTACCAGTCCACCTCAAACGGTTCTGGACCGAAACACCCCTCTGTGTACTCAACACATAAAACTCGATTCATTATTGTTTCTTAGTGTTGTAACCTACCCTTATTCTATTGTATTATCTCTATTACAAAGCCATTCAAAAGCATATCACAAAGCTTGAAAAGCTCGCTTTGGATTGTGCTCACAATACTTTGTCATGCGGATTCGTGAGATTGATTGAAGCTGGCCGTGTTACCAACCGGGTTAAGCCCTTTTTCCTTTTTTTTTTTTTTTTTTTTTTTTTTTTGGTTGTTTCTGTTTGCTTCTAGAGTATTTCCACACTATCCCCTCCGAGTAAATATCTCAATACAAGCCAGTCGTGTGAGTTATGACTTGAATTTTATTCAAATCGATCGTTTAGATAAACACTACGTTTTGATACGGGTTGGGGGGGAACTTGTCCATATTTTCGCGTAATAGAGACACTGACTAGATAATTTACAACCATCATTGAATCCAGTCTTTGGTTGAATCGTCAAGATAAAAATACGAAGCCGCTTGCATATCGCCCATATTAATGCAGATGCCACGGTAAAGATCAAAATCTGTATGATGGGCCATGCCAACCCCATTCAGAATTTCATTGGGTCCAAAACCTTGGCAAGTAAGACCGGCTTCGCAAGTTTGGGTTTTGGTGACTGCACCATCCTTTCTCCACACGGCACAGGATCGACCTCGACCTACGGTCTCCTGGGCGAGCACCGAAGATAAGCACAAAACAGCAACAAACAAGACGACTTTCATTGTATATAGGAAGCGATATTGGCAACAGTGGATTGAATAGCGAGGGACTAAGTATCCTCATATTTATATTCTCTGAGTTGACGAAATATCGCAAACATGATCTTTTGAAATGGCTATGCAAAGAATGAACACAAAACTCTCAAACTGGATGTCGAAGCTTAGATCAGCCGCGTGTAATAATTACGGAGCTGGACTAGAGGGCGTGAAATACATTAAAGGCGGATAAATAGAAAGTAGACAGGAACAAGACAAGGCAGTGTGGTATATCCACTACTTGTCGTATTATCCATCCTAGATTGGTGTTCCCAAACAGAAAAGATCGGGATCTAGACGTGTTTCCATTCTGAGTGAACTTCTCCATTAGAACACCGATTGAGCCTCTTCATCCATAACTTGGATCTATCGCCGAGATCAATTCATACGGGTAAAGCTGTCACATCACAGCATGTGGATCCTTCCTAATACACCTTATAACCGAGGACTGCTCACTGATAATTATTAATTCCGACTCAAGACTAAAGTATAAATAGGCAGATCACATTAATCGAAATAAAGGCATCCAACAGTCTCAAAGGATTCTCATTGTCTCTTTTGCTCTAAATTCTCTCATATATCACAGGCAGGATTAAGAAAGTAAAATACCAGAATTAGGGCTGGAACAAACAGGAACTAAGTGGATTGTAACCAGATAGTCTGACACCGATTTATTATTATTGTCATGTGAGGGTATTTATATGTTACTGGAGGTTAATTATATGATGACCGATCAAATAGGTAGTAATCAATGATGGGCGGTGGGAAACCATATGGTAGGACAGAATGATTACCTGTCGGCACAAAGGTCATGGATAAGTCATAACACCGCCATTTAGACGACATTTGTCTTCTCAGAAAAAAAAAAAATACACGCATTAAAAATCCGAGTACAGACACAACTTCAAATACCTGGGCTTTATAATCAACTACGACATGAGTGTCTGAGAACCAGCAACACTCAAAAGGTTTTGGGCTCCAATCCAACACGAAGAAATGTAGATCTCGGTCCCCAGCCTGAAAATAAACTAACTGTTGAAACGAACACAACAACTGAAAACCATTCCACGGAGATCTTTCCGGTGGGTTGCAAACCTGCTAGAGAAATTGGCACTCATGATCCCAGCCATAGGCGAAGCCTTACTACATAACCAGTACTCCAAAAAGAAAACTTTGTTTATATTTTCGTGTAATACAGAAACAGAGTTGATAATTTTACGATGACTGATAAATACAGTCTGTGGATGAATCATGGCAACAAAAGACTAAGACACCTGGATATCACTCATATTGATGCAGATGCCACGGTAAATATTAAAATCGGTGTGATGAGCGCCGCCAGCATTGTTGAGAATTTCGTCGGGTCCAAAACCTTGGCAAGTAAGACCGGCTTCGCAAGTTTGGGTTTTGGTGACTGCACCATCCTTTCTCCACACAACGCAAGAGCGACCTCGACCAACGGTCTCCTGGGCGAGCACGGAAGTTAAGCAAAGAACAGAGACAAACAGGACGGATTTCATTTTGTATAGGATGCGATATAGGCAGGAGTGGACTGATGAGAATCGATACGAACCAAGCGGCCTAATATTTATATCTTATGAATGGACGAAATGCTTGGAAGAAAAATTTTGAAATGGCTACGCAGGGAATGAACTCTTGCTCAAGGAATGTACTAGGGAAGCTGCGATAATGTCTCAATTCTCAAAGAGGATGTCGAAGCTTAAATCAAGATTTTTCGGCCTTATCCACAAGGTGACTGCGAGCTTGATAAATGTAATGCACTCATGCCAATAATTCAGACATTCAAATGGGCTGATATAATGTACCTTCAATAATCATCAGTAAGACAGAAACTGTTTAGACTTATGGATACCATCTATTCTCATACAAATGCTGAGTCCGTATGATCCACGCTACCCAACATTTTCTCAGAGTTACCATGGTTTCAAATCCTTGGCAAGTAAGGCTGTGTGGTGTTTAGGAATCTATAAAGCAGCCGGTTGGTAGCAACAAATCAGGCAATAATCAATTTTGTATGAGGTTCCTTTTATTCTCGAGAGATGAGGCTGGAGGTAGAAAAAAAGAATAACAACTGAGGCTAGGTATCGATACAACCTATGTTTTATACTAGACGGGTATTTGGATGTGCAATGATCCGAGATAGAATAAAGTATCTTTTCCACGATGCTTAGTCAATAATCGTGCCTTCATAGTTACTAGTCAATAATCGATATTGACTATTTTGCATGTAAAGATGAATCGAAAAGAATGGAGGAGGGATATAAGCGACTATAGGCCATGTGTGCGGTATGAGTTTGCATATGAGATTGATTCACGTCAGAGAAAATAAGAGACGTGTTTGATGTGATATAGGGATATGATCCGATTGGTGAGGTGATTACGAGTTCGCTGGTAACTGTTTTTTTAGATCAGGGAATTTGGATTGTGATATAAGACTAAGTGGCATCACGGAGTGATATGTTACGGGTAAGCGGTAAGAATGTTATGATGATATGTACATGCAACACGCCGGCCTCGCAAGGTTGGATACGCATCATCATTTTTCCATATGGCGGAGGACTCCAGTTCCCTGGACCAACATAGACAGTCAAAGGCTGACATCAGTGCGTGTAGCATGCTGGGTTTTATACCTTGTGAAGTGGAATTCAGCAAAGATGTTTTATAATGTAATGACAGGTGCCCCTAACTTTGCTATGAAGTGTTTGTATCGCAGTATGCCAAAGTCTTTGGAATGGAAGTATCGTCACTCTGATGTCGTATTGAGTGGTTAATAGGTATGGCAGTCTCAGTGCGAGTTGTCTCTCTTGATTACATCTGAAGCGGTTTTGGATTGAAACACCCCTCCATGTAGACAGCACGCAGAAAAATCGGCAACTTCTATGGTTTCTTAGTGTTTTGACGTACCCTTTATTCTATTGTACTATTCCAGAGTTGAAAATCCATATCAAAGCAGATCAAAACAAAGTTTTAAAAAGGCCCACTTTGGATCGTCCACAATAATTTATCATGGGGCCCGGAGGATTGATCGAAGCTGGACGTGCCATTACCCGCTTTATACCCACTTTCCTTCTAAACTCTTCTGGTTATACAGTACTTCCACATTATTTCCCCCTGATAATTATCTCAATCAATTACGTACTATATACGGTACAGTATTATGACTTGAATTTTATTCAGGCTGGTTTTTAGAAAAAGGACTACAGTTTTGAGATCCTTTGGAGCCACATCTTCGTGAATGCAGGCAATGAGGCCGCCCTCGCAAATTTGGGTTCTAGTGATGGTTCTGAGATCCTTTCTCCACACGGCACAGGGTCGACCTCGACCTACGACCTCCTGAGCGAACACCGAAGATAAGCAAAGAACAGCGACAAACAGGATGGATTTCATTTTATATAGGAAGCGATAGAAGTAGGACTGGACTGATAAGAAATCGATACGGACCAAATGCCCTGATATTTATATCCTATGAGTTGACGAGATGTCTAAAACAAAATATCTTGAAACGCTTACGCCGACAAACTCTCAAAGCGACTGTCGATTACATCAAGCCGTCAAAATGCAATTTTACTCATGTCTCCTGTATTTAAATGGGCTAATTTAATGTACTTGCGACAGTAAACATGAAGAGAGAAAGGGTTTTAAGACTTATGGATATCATCCATATGAATATGGATGCTATGATACAGACCCAACATTGGGATTTAGGCGTTTTTCCATTCTGGATTAGCTTGTCTATTAGGACATCGTTTACGTCTCTTCAACCATAACTTAGATTCAACACCGAGATCAATTCATACGGGTAATGGTGTCACATTAGAATTATGTGAATCTTACCAAATATACCGTAACACCGAGAACTGTCCACTGGTAACTATCATTTCCGACTGAAGACTAAAAATATTAGTATACGGATGATATTCACTCGAAATAAACATATCAACAGTCTCACAATAGTTATTTGTCTCTTTTCTACAAGTTCTTTCATGGATCACAGCTATAAATGTTTGTATTACAGTATGGAAAAGTTCTCGGAGCAGAAAGTGTCACCGGCCTCCTTTGACATTGCGCAGTGATGGAGATGTCAGTACAAGTTTTCTTTCTTGATTACTCCTTGAGCGTTTCGCACAAGGTACCCCTCCGTTGACACAGAGCAGAAATCCCGACTACCCTTATTGTTTCTTTGTGTTGTAACATACCCTTTATACTAACATCCTCTGTTGCAAATCTGTCGAAAAGCATCTCACAAACTTTGAAAGGCTCCTTTTGGATTGTGCCACAATACTTTATTATGCGGGAGATTGATCGAAGCTGGATAGACTACCAGTGTTTTTATACTCTTTTTCCATCTGAGCTCTTTGCTTATACAGTATCTGCACATTATCGGCTACTGGTGATTATCTTGATACAATACATCCTGTGCGTTATAAATTGGTTTTTATCCAAGTTGATCGTTTTCTTTTAACGCTGCGCTCGCTACGAATTGGAGGCCAACTTGTTCACATTTTTGTGTAATAGAGACACTGCGTTGATAATTTTACAGCGGTCATTGAGTCCAGATTGCAGATGGATCCTGGAGAAGAAAAAGGCTAAGACGATTAGAGATCGTCCATGTCGAGACAGATGCCACGGTAGATATCAAAATCAGTATAATTAGTGCTGCCCATCATTGTTCAGAATTTCGTCGGGTCCCACGCTTTAGCAGGTAAGACCGGTATCGCAAATATGCGTTCGATGATTCAATTATTGTCTCGCTGTACGAAACAGGTTTGACCTCGACCTATGATCTCCTGGGCGAGCACCGAAGATAAGCAAAGAACAGCGGCAAACGAGACAGGTTTCATTTTGTATGGGAAGCAACAGAGGCTGAAGTGGACTGAATAGAGTCGAGACGAACCAAGTGCCCTAATATCTATATATAGATATGAAATTGCACAAAATACTTTCAAATGGCTACGCCGCTCCCTTGTCGATGAATGTAATTCCTACGCCGTGATAGACTCTGAAGTCTCAAAGCAAATGTCGAAACTTACATCGAGGGGTTTCTGGCTTACCCAGAGGGTGGATATGGCCTCTTATCAGTCGAAAATGCAATGCGCTCCTATAGTGCAATGTCACGCAGCTACTTCCTGCATTTACTTGCGCTGATCTTTATATAACTTGTGATATGTAGCAGCACAAAGACAAAAAAGGGATTTATGGCCTATGGATGTCGTCCATTCTTACAGAAATGCTGTGCACAGACCAAAACTCAGATAATTTGCGCTGGCAACATTATTCAGCATGTCCATGATTCAAAATCTTAGCAAGTAAGACCGACCTCCCATGGTTGGGTATCAGTGACGGCATCATCCCGTTGGTCTCTTGGGCCAACATAGACAATCGAAGACCGACTTTATTGTATGTAAAATGCTACTTATATATATAGTGTATTTCAGCTAAGATATTTCCATGGGGTACTGACAAACGTTGCTATAAGCCGTTTGCATCGCAGTATACAGAAGTTCTTGCAGTGGATCCTTGCAGTGGAAGTGTCTCCGCTCTGATCTGGTATTGCGCAGTGATACAGATGGCAGTGTTGTTATGAGTTTTCTGTCTTGGTTACACCTTAAGCGGTTTGGCACCGAAGTCAGGTGCGCAACGCAGAAGCCTCGACTATTTCTATAGTCTCCTAGAGGTATGGCCTACCCTTTACTCTTTTGTATTATTCCAAGTTGCGAACCCATCCAAAAGCACCCGACGACTTGGCTTAGCTGGCTGGTTGTGGCAACGTATGGCAACAGGCGACAACTAACGAACGATGGGCGGCTCACCTTGGATAGAACAATTAACTAAGGTATCTCATAAAGTAATTTGGTTATGGTTCGTTCTGATATGCACGGTTACCAACAATAGCCATTGGTTCATCCTATGCATGGGGTCTCGAGACTCCGATGATCAGACGATCCGACCCCCTCCCCACGATCTACCAACACTCTCCATAATTACGACCATCTTTCGGTTTTATCCCAATTTACCTTTGGGCATTTGAATTGGACAAGATCAATGTTCGCATCGTGGGTCCAGCATTTCTTCGCTGCTATGGCAACATCAGACTCGTATGGCGGGCTCACAACCTTTTTTTTACGTTCACGTTGGATGATCTACTTTTATCTGGCAGGGATAGTCGTACTTTCAAGTTGGCTGTCGGGGAATGTCAACTTTCGGTGTGATTATGGATTACGGCTACTGGCAGCTTACGTCGTTTCAGAAAAATCCTGAAATGTAATCCTGATGGTCATGGGACTGGTGGTTCGACACGGTACCGCTCTAATTATCAGGAACATTGGTTGGATCATTATGATCCACTACTGTCACCACAGCCTTTTTCGTTCATTGGATCCTTCCGGTTCCTTGAGACCTTCGGGCCCTTGGAGTGTGCAGTCGTCGGTGGCATCGTGTTCTATGATGACTCTATTGGCTGTGTGCCTGTGCAAATCCTGGATTTGTGTGTGTTCGCAGTTCACTTATTGGGTTGCGGAACAGCGCGAACATCCGATCCTACCGTCGTGTGCTTGCGGACAGTTGGTATTTTCTCGAATATTCCTGCGCCTGTAGCTAGAATTTATTTTATTCCTTCAGCAGTTTCATTTCATTCGATCTCAGACACCCACAGCCAAGAATACCATAGCAATTCAAATGACCGCAGTAATTAAGCCGCGCAGCCATCGCAGCCATAGTGACCACGGCCGAAAATTACCATGACAGCAGCTACAACATCATAGCAGCCATAACCACGACATCCAATAAGTGCAACAATAACCATAATCGTAGCTAGCGCATGCAGTACTGTAAGTAAATAGGAAACGTGTGAAGTCACCATCCATACTAATTTCATAAACAATAAATACGATAATGTGTTATCGAAATAATCCCGGACATCTTCTTCCATAGTTTGCCGTGGGACGATTACTATGGCTGCTACTGCCCAAATTACAAAGCCTGAAAAGGCTTGCTTTGTATTGTGCCAGAAATACTTTATTATGTGGACTAGGAGACTCATCGAAGTTGGACGTGCCAGCAAGCCATTTCGTACACTGTTTCCTTTTGAATTTTTTTGCTTCTATAGTATTCCCACATTATCCCTCCTGGTAATTGTCTCAATACAAATATGTACCTTCTGCGCGTTATACTCGGATTTTATCTAAGATGATCGTTTAAGAAATCACTAGAGTTCAATACGGTTTGGGTGAAATAGATACTGGGTGGATAATTTACGACGGGCGTTGAGTCAGTCTGTGGAAGCGTGAATAGAAAAAGCCTGGGACTTTTGGAAATCGAAGCTTACATCAAGGTTTTTCGGCCGTACCCAGAGAATGACTGTGAAATCTTATCAGTAAAAAATACAATGCACTCGTGTCAATTGTACAATTTCCGACAATGAAATGGACTGATTTGATGCGCCTGCAATAATAAGACAGAAAAGGGCTTTAAGATTTATGGATATCTCCATTATCATAGCTTCTCATAATGTAGGTACTGTGTAGCTCACTGATTGTATGATTTGCGCTGTCAACGTCGTTCGGAATGTTCGGAATCCCATGGGTTCAGAATATTGGCAAGTAGGATCTGTTTCGTAAGTTTAGGTGTCCGTGACCACATCATCCTCTCTATATATGGTGGGGGATTCCGGTCTCATGGATCAACATAAACAGTCATAGACCGACTTCGTTGTGTTTTTAGAACGTTGGTTTTTATACTTTCCAAAGTGGATTTCAGCTAAAATATTTGAATGAGGTACTGACAAACTTCGCTATAAAACATTTATATTGCAGTATCCAAGTGTCGTGGCTCTGATTTGGTAGTGTCGCGGGGATACAGATGACAGTGTCAATACGACTTGTCCGCCTTAATTATATATTTGAACGGTTATGATTGAATTTCCCCTCCAGGTACACAACGCAGAAAACTGGATTGATTCTATTGCTTTTGAGTTGTTATAACCTACACCTTATATATTGGATTATTCTACGTTGCAAACGCCATCGAAAGCATATCACGAAGTTTTGATGGTTCTGCCACAATACTTTATCATGCGCTTTCGGGAATTGATTGAAGCTGAACGTGCCACCAACCGGTTTTTACCACCTTTCCTTCTGGGGGGTTTCCGCTTCTACAGTATTTCCACATTATCTCCTTCGAATAATTATATCATACAAGTACATATTGTGCATTTATTCAGTTGATCTTTTATAAAAACAAAAGCACTACGTTTTGATACGGATTGAGAGCCAAAACTGTTCACATTTTCGTGTCATACAGACACTGGGTTGATAATTTTACGACCATCATTGAATTTAGCCTGTGGAGAATCGTGGCGAGAAAAAAGACTAAGAAGCTTGTATATCGTCCATATTGATGCAGATACCGCGGTAGACATCAAAATCAGTGTGATGAGCGCCGCCACCATTGTTGAGAATTTCGTTGGGTCCAAAACCTTGGCAAGTAAGACCGGCTTCGCAAGTTTGGGTTTTAGTGACTGCACCATTCTGTCTCCACACGACACAAGAGCGACCTCGACCTACGACCTCCTGGGCGAGCACCGAAGATAAGAAAAGAACAGCGGTTAACAGGACAGATTTCATTTTGTATATGAAGCGATTGAGGCAGGAGTGGACTGATAAGATTCGGTACGGGCCAAGTCCCCTTATATTTATATCGTATGGCTTGATGAGAAGTCTGATGTCTGAAACACAATATTGAAATGATTACGCCGAGAATGAACACACAGTCTTAAAGCGGATGTTGACTCTCAAAGCGGATGTCGAAGTTTACATGAAGGTTTTTCGGCCTTACCCACAGAATGGTTGTGACATTGTGTCAGTGGAAAATGCAATGTGCCCATGTCTATAGGACAATTTCTTCATTCAAATGGGTGATACAATGTACTTGCAATAATAACACAAAGGCAGAAAGGATTGAAGGCCTATGGACAACATCCTTTTTCATACAGATGCTACTATACAGACCAAAGCGCGTATGATACGCGCTGCCAACATTGTTCAAAATGTCCATGTTTTCAAAATCTTGGGGAGTAATACCAGTCTCGCAAGGTCGGGTGTATGATGCTTTCTGTATACGGCGCAAGACCCAGTCTTCTGTGTGATATATCCACTGCTTGTCGTATTTTCCAGTTCTAGGCTGGTTACCGAAACAGGAAAGATCGAGATATAGACACGTTTCTATTCTGGACGAGCTTTTCCATTAGAACATGATCGAGCCTCTTCATCCATAACTTGGATGATCACCGAGATCAATTCATATGGGTGACACTGTCACACCACAGCATACGGATGCTTTCAAATATACCGTGTAACCTAGGGCTGCTCACTGATAACTATCATTTTCGACTCAAGACTGAAAATTAAAGATATCTGATAGTCCCAAAGGGCTCTTACTGTCTCTTTATATCAGTTCTTTTATATATCACACCCAGACCAACAAAAACTGTCAAGGACCAATTTTAGTGCGAGTAGAGTGTACTTCTTATCTTTCATGGATGGTTGACAAACTCTATTAATATAAAGTGTTTGTATTGCAGTATGAAAAAGATCTCAGAGTGAAAGTACTGTCGATCTGATTTGGTACTGCGCGGTGATACAGAGGACAATGTCAATGCGAGTTTTTTGTCTTGGTTACATATCAAACGCTTTTGGACCGAAGCGCCCTTCATATACACAATTAATCCTATTGATTTTGATATGGTATGACATACTCTTTATAATTCTATTATTGGAAGTTGTTCCAAAAGTATGTCACGAAGTTTGAAAAGGCTCTACCACAATACTTTATCATGCGGGCTTGGAACACTGACTGAAGCTGAATGTGCCACCAACATTCCCCCCCCCCCTTCTTCTGGATCTTATTTTTTTGTCCCATAGGATTTCCACATTATCTCCTGCTAATATTATATCAATACAAGTACGTCGTGTGCATTATAGTTGTATTTTATTCAAAATGATCGCTCAAAAAAGCACTACGTTTTGATGCGGGTTGAGGGCCATTTACATCTTTGTGTTAAGTGACACTGGGTTGAAGATTTTACAACTGTTATTGAATCCTCACTTGGGATGAATCTTCAAGAGAAAAATACGAGGACGTGTGAATATCGTCCATATTGATGCAGATGCCGCGATAGGTATCAAAATCAGTGTGATGAGCGCCGCCACCATTGTTCAGAATTTCGTGGGGCCCAAAACCTTGACAAGTAAGGCCGGCCTCGCAACTTTTGGTTCTAGTAACTGCACCATCCTTTCTATACACGACACAGGATTGACCTCGACCTACGGCCTCCTGGGCGAACACCGAAGATAAGCAAAGAACAGCGGCAAACAGGACCGATTTCATTTTGTATGGAAGCGACAGAGGCAGGAGTGAGCTGATGAGAACCGATACGGGCCAAGTCCCCTCATATTTATATCCGATAGATTGACGAAATGTCTGGTATCTGAAGCATAGTATTTGAAATGATTACGCCGAGAATGAACACACACTCTCAAAGCGGATGTTGACTCTCAATGCGGATATCGAAGCTTAAATCAAGTTTTTCGGCATTACCCATAGAATGACTGTGACATCGGGTTTGTGAAATGCAATGCACTCAAGTCGATATTCCGAGATTCAAATGGGCTGATGCAAACATGAATGGAAAGAAATTTTAGGCTTATGGATACCACCCATATTATACAACAGCTATGATATTAGGTCACAACTTGTATGATGCGCGTTGCCAACATTGTTCAGAATTTCCATGGATTCAAAGCATTGGCAGCTAAGACCGGGCTCGCAAGATCTTGTGTCCGTGACCCTATCGTCCTTTCTATATACGGCGGAGGAATCTCGATCCCCTGGGTCACCATAAACAGTCAAAGACTGATTTTTGTTGTGTACAGAATGCTGATTTGAAACCTTCCAAAGTGGATTTTCGCTAAAATACTTTCATGAGTACTGACAAAGGTTGCTATAAAGCATGTATTGTAATGTGCAAAAGTTATTGCAGCGGAAGTGGCGTCGATCTAATTTGGTATTGCGCGGTGATACAGATGGCCGTGTCGGTATGAGTTGTCGACCTTGATTACGCGGACTGAGTGACTGATCGAAGTGTACGTGCCACCAAACTATTTTATGCCTTAATTCCTTCCGATTTTTTTTTTTTTGCTTCTACAGTATTCCACAATATCTCTTCCGGGTAATTATCTGTATATAAGTACATACAGCGGTCCCTCGATAATTTCACGGCCAGGGGGGGGGGGGGCAAGTGCCTTGAAAATATCGAGGTGTTGAAATTAACGAAATTCGAATAAACTGGGGTGTGATTGGCCCATTTGTGTATACAGCCTTCTCATTGTGCTCACGATAACACTTAGAAAGCTTTCAATGAAGAAACAAAGCAGTGACCAATGTAAAATATCAGCTTTATACTGAGTTGCTTTGCTTGAAAAACCAAAAGATTGCACATTTAGAGCAAAGTAGAATTGGAAGTTTTTTCAAAAATCATCAACTAGCTACAGTAGCTTGACTTCTCTCACATTTTTTCCTTTTCCAGATCCTAACCCTATACTTTACTATAAGTGGATCTTATTCTAGTTGATCATTTAAAAAAGCACTACGTTTTGATAAAAATTGGGAGCATCTTCTTGACATTACGTGTAAGAGACGCTGGGTTGATATTTTACAATGTTCATTTAAATCCAGTTTATAGAGGAATCCTGAAGAGAAAAATGCGAAGACGCGTGGATATCGTCCATATTGATGCAGATGCCGCGGTAGGTATCAAAATCAGTATGATGAGCGCCGCCACCATTATTCAGAATCTCGTGGGGTCCAAAACCTTGGCAAGTAAGGCCGGCCTCGCAAGCTTGAGTTTTAGTGACTTCTTTAAGGTCCTTGCTCCATACGGCACAGGATTAACCTCGACCCACGGTCTCCTGGGCAAGCACCAAAGACAAGCAAAGCACAGCGACAAACGAAACAGATTTCATTGTGTGTACAGGAAGCGAGACAGGCAGGAGTGGGCCGATGAAAATCAATACGGACCAAATGCCCTCATATTTATATCTTCTGAGTTGACGAGATATCGGAAACAAAATATTCTGAAGTGGTTACGTCGAGAAGGTAAACACAAGCTCTCAAAGCGGATGCCAAATCTAGCATCAAGGTTACCCACCAAATGATTATGACATCATATCAATGAAACTGCAAGGCACTCATGTCTATGTGCAATTAATGCATTCAAATGGACTGAAGACATCAATCATACTGAGAATTGGTACTGGTGGCTGTCATTTCTCGGACTCAAGCCTAAAATAACAAGTAGGTAGATCACATCAATCGAAGTAAACATATCAAACAGTCTCAAAGAATTCCTATTGCCTATTTTCTATAAGCTCCTTTCATATATCGTGGCTATAAAATGTTATATTGCAGTATGCAAAGTCCTTGGAGTGGAAGTGTCATTGCTCCGATTTAATATTGCGCGGTGACACAGATGACATTGTCAGTACGAGTTTTCTGCCTTAATCACACCTTGAGCGGTTTTGGACCGAAGCAACCTGCGTATACACAACGCAAAACACTCGACTATTCCTATTTTTCTCTAGCATTATGACGCACCCTTTTATTATATTGTATTGTTTTAAAGTTGCAAAGCCATCCAACAGCATATCCCAAAGTTTGAAAAGGCTCGCTTTGGACTTGTGCCACATACTTTGTCATGCGAGAGAATGATCGAAGCTGTATGTACCACCAAGCGTTTTATACCGCTATTTTCTTTTTAATTTTTTTTTTTTTTTTGGCTTCTACTGTATCTCGACATTATCTCTTCCCGGTAATTATCTCAGTACAAGATACAACCTGTGCGATATATTAACTGAATTTTATTCAAATTGATCGTTTAAAGAGCACTACATCTTGATACGGTTTGGGGACCACGTTTTATGTAATACCAAACAGTAACTTGATAACAGTAACTTGATAATTTACAACGGTCGTTAAATCCAGTCTATGAATGAATGGTGAAGAGAAACGACTAAGACGCTTGGATATCGTTCATGTTGATGCAGATGCCGCGGTAGGTATCAAAATCAGTGTGATGAGCGCCACCACCACGGTTCAGAATTTCATGAGGGCCAAAACCTTGGCAAGTAAGACCGGCTTCGCAAATTTGGGTTTTAGTGACTGCACCATCCTGTCTCCACACGACACAGGATCGACCTCGCCCTACAACGTCTTGGGCGAGCACCGAAGATAAGCAAAGAACAGCGGCAAATAGGACGGATTTCATTGTGTGTATAGGAAGGGAGACAGACAGGAGTGGAATGATTAGAATCGACATCGACCAAGTGCCCTCATATTTATATCCTATGAATTGACGAGATGTCTGGAGCAAAAATACTTGAAATGACTCCACCGAACTCTTGCTCGAGGGATGTGCTCCCTACGCCCCAGTAAACTCTAAACTTCAAAGCGGTTGTCGAAGCTTAGGCCAAGCTTTGCAGCCTTACCTACAGGATGACTGGCGCCCTTGTATCAGTGAAAATGCAATGAACTCCTATAATATAACGCCACGCAACAACTTCCTGCATTCAAGTGCGCTGATACAGTATTATGTTCATACAATATAGTGAAACACAAATACAAAAGGTGATTTAGAACTCTCATACTCTCATACAAATGCTATCACACAGACAAGCTAGCTGCCTACATTGTTAAGAATTTCCATGGGTTCAAGCCTTGGGAAGTCATACCGGCCTAGCAAGAACGGGTGTCAGTGACCTCATCATCCTTTCTATGTACGCCGGAGGATCCCCGTTCCCCTGGACCAACCTGAATCAAATTCAGATTTCATTGTGTGTAGAATGCTATTGTTTTATACTTCAAAGTCGATTTCACTTGAAATGCTTCCATGAGGTACTGAGATATATCCTAATTTTGATATACAGTAGAGTGTTTTTTTTCGCCTTCAAAAGGCCTTAAAGTGCAATGCGGCAATGCCCTGATGTCGTATTACGCGGTGATACGGATGATGTTCGAGTGCGAGTTTCCTGTCTTGGTCACATCTTCAGCACCCCTGCATGTATACGATATCCCCTACCCCTATTGTTTCTGAGATGTCATGACGTACCCATTTATTCTATTGTATTATCATGGTCGCAAATCCATCAAAAATACATTACAGAATCGGAAAGGCTCGCTTTGGTTTGTGACACCATGCTTTATCATGCGGGCTGAAAAATCGATCGATGCTGGACGTATGATCAGCAAACTGGGTTTTCGGCATGTTCAATTAGTTTGGGAATGGAAGGTTAATGAATATTCGGAGAAAACTAAGTTCGTGATGTAGACCCAGTCGTCATGATCTTGCATCACGTACACTTGCCATGTAAGTTGCAATTCGTTGGAGGCTGGTCCGCTAGAGCTGACCATCGGGTTCACTTAGGAACCTCCGGCCAATAGACTGCAATCGTGCGCTTGGGGATCTACTATTATATCAGATGGACACATGCGAAAACAAAATATCCACGCTACTTTAAAGACGGCTGACAAGCCCAACTCCAGTTTACTATGATGAGTGTATCAGCAAGTATCTTTGATTTTGATCGAACGCCTTACCGAATACTGCTTTCAAGTTCAATGTCCGTATGGTGCAAGGGGCGTTTGTATTTCCAAAAAGACGCGTGGTACGGCACCGAAAAACGGATCAATGTTGATATGCAACAAGCTTAATTTAGAACCTTCCGAAGATATCAGCGCATATCTTTACCTTCCATTATTTGTACCCGCCATATGCTTGACTGCTACTCGTGCTACCGGCGGCAGCAGCAGCAACAGCAATAGCAGTAATGGTGATGGGGGTGAGGAGGACAGTTCCACGACATTGGCCAACTAAGTCATAATTGAGCCTTGCCAGAGTATCGTGTCACGGCTACATAGAATTCCAGTCCGCATGAGCTGCCATGGCTAAAAATCCAAACAATGGCAAAAGTACCCGCAGAGCTTCTTCGAGTTGCTACATTAAATTACATCCTCGCTGTCTCCGGGCTCAAACGCTCTCATAAGGTTACAAGCCCTTTCATTTAATATAGGTCTAATTAATACGAAAGCGTCATATCTCGAGTGAAAGTGGAATGATGTAACACTAGAAAAATCAAGTGATTAGAATGGCTGTACATACTTCCCATGTACTGCAACCTTACACGTCTTGGGCTCGCTTCAATACATGTGCCAGTAAAATAACGCATGCACTCATGCATTATTCTCGCTCAGTAAATGCAAATCCTTGTTTCGGAGTGCATGGCTTTTGAGAAATAACTGTAAGTTTCCCCTATTACATCCATTCCATCCCATGACAATGATTATAATAGTGAGTGGTGTGTCAAAAAAAAAAGAGAAAATACAAGTGAAGGACGATATGAAGAAGCCAATCAGCTCTCGCAGTTTTCGCAATCAACCCAAAAATAGTCCCACAAGAAATGAGGGTTTAATAAAAACAACGAAGAGCTGCACGTGGTGGCAAAATACTGTACGCTACAATGGAACCATAGAAAAAGCTTCTTGAAAACTCGCATCTCTTTGATCATTTTTGATGAAGATAATGTACTACACTCGGGCATTCGAGCATAAAACAAATCTAAACGAAGTTGATTTACACAAAGAAGAGACATTCATTTGGAGACCTAAAATTGATGGCGTCGTGCTCATGGTTTAGGCTAAAAGTTCCCTTTTGGAATGGAGATCCAGAGGCGCGCCATGTCCTAGCCATGTCCAAAATTAAAATGAGTCAAACAGCACAGTCGTCAGGCTGTATTTCCCACATCCAGATGATCCTGCAGTAGAATGCACAAGCCATTATACTGAACATACAAACACCCGGTATGCGAAAGGATGCGCATGGCGGTACTTGGGAAGATTTTACGGCACTATTACATGATTGAAATCCTAAACGCGAATCATGGGTTCAAAATATGGATGATCATTATGCACATCAAACAATGAACTCAGATTGCGTCAACGTGCCCGTTGGAGACTGGTTATCGGTCCGTTCTTTTAAATATGAACATAGTTTCAAACAAGCAACTATCATAAAATAACGTAAAGAGATCGTACCTGATACCGAATTAGTTCTGTTTTGAAAGCTACATTCGTCCCTCGATAATTTCAATCCCCATTAATTTCAACCGTTCGATATTTTCACGGCTCCGGGGGCCTCCCACCGAAAAATAGCAGGTAACTTTCATGATTCTCTAATTTCAACCTTCACGGTAATTTTTGGCCGTGAATCCTTAACGAAGAACAACATCAGCCTATCACATTTGAGAATTGTAGTTAAATATAGGGTTGGAAGTCTGGAAAAAGAAAGAAGACAAGCTACTGTAGCTAGTTGATGATTTTTAAAAAGCTCCTAATGTTACTTCGCTTGAGCGTGCAATCTTTTAATATTTCAAGCAAAACAACTCAGTATAAAGCTGGTATTTTACATTGGTCACTGCTTGGCTTCTTCTTTGAAAACTTTTTAATTGGTATGTGAGCAAAATGAGAAGGCTCAGTGCACAAATGCAGCAATCACACTCTAGTTTATCGGGAACATATTTATGCCGAATTCGTTAATTTCAACACCTCGATAATTTCACGGCACCTGACCACCCCCCCCCCTCCCTTTGACCGTGAAATTATCGAGGGACGACTGTAGCATGCATTTGAAATGAAGGACACTTTCAATTACGCATTTGATTCATGACAGCAGAGCGCATGAAGAATTTTAATCTTTTCGTTCTTGTCCTGCTTTTCGATCATACATACAGTACAGCCATCTGTCTCTATTTTATTTTACGTTGAGTTTGCTGAGAGCCCAAATCAATCAGAATTCCAATGATTTAACAAGGATCACAGCGATATTCATCCCACAGCAACAAAACAGTCAGACAGTAGCAATAAGTCGTCGATAATAATGGGTTTTCCCCAACGATCTGAATGTTACGCGTCTATATTATTTTTGACGACATTTTTTTGCACCAACAAGCGTATGAACTTGATCATGCTGCCGATAATATGATATTACAGCGTATAAAGTGCACTCTTTTGCAATGACTTTGAGGGATATTATGCAATAGAATATGCGAAAATCGCTCATTCTCTGTATACTGCAACAGGTATGTGGAACAAAATAGAAGTACCATAACATTGATGAGCGATTTTCCGTCATGAGGGTCCGTATACTGTAGTACGTGATGATCAGCAACACTATCGTACCGGACCGAGGGGATGTATTGTGTATGATTTTTCTAAGCGCAGTGCACGCATGGCTGCGTTGTGGAATTATGGGCAAGGTATACAGTGGTATCATATGACATTCGACTCCCCATTGCAACAATAGATCAGTTATTATTCAAAAATTCAGGAAACCAATTTGTCAGTGCTGAGCATGCAGTGAAAACATTAATGGGATTAGATGTATTTGTTTTCCGTACTGTAATCAATATTTTGATTGGTGTTAACTCTGATAAATTGAGATGTTATAAAATTCATTAATATCGCACAGACAACCTGTTCTTCTCTATCAATACAAATCTTAATCATTTGTCTATTTTTCTTGGTAATTACTTGTATGTCAATAGGATTACTGTAAATGAAGAGTATTTTACATGAAGGATGGTAAGTTACATGAACGCATGCGGTGATCATGATTGATTTTTTTCTGCCAAAGGAAGAATAAAAAGATCCATGCAGAAAAAACCCTAAATTTGGATGTCCGAGTGTGACAGCTTTTCGATTTTGACTCACCTTGTATCTTGATGGGGGAGGGGGGAAACTGATTGATCAATCATAAAAAAATAAAAAATAAAATAGTAAATTCAGGCTATTTTCTCCCTTTCCCTCCCGTACCATTCTCCATTTTTTAGCTTTGCATCCACTAACGATGGCGCAAACGACAGGGAGAGTCGCTCAACCGGACGTAGAGAAAGTCGCCATTCTCGGTTCGGAATCTATTATTCTCGGATTTCATCTCACCGACTATATTCTGCGCGATGTCTTGACCAACATTCCCGCTTCCAATTATGTCCTCATTACCGACTCCAACTTGGCACCCATTTACTTGCCCACCTACGAAGAACGTTTCAACGCTATCAGCAGCGAAATTGCCGCCGAAAAGGGTCAGAAAGAACCTCGTCTGTTTGTTCGCGTTCTCGCTCCCGGCGAAACGTCAAAGTCCAGAAAGACAAAAGACGATATCGAGGATTGGCTTCTTTCCAACGCCGTCACCCGCGATACATGTTTCTTGGCCATGGGCGGTGGCGTGATTGGTGATCTCATTGGATTTGTGGCTGCTACATTCATGCGCGGTGTTCCTGTTGTCCAGATCCCTACGACCCTGTTGGCAATGGTCGATTCTTCCATTGGTGGAAAGACGGCCATCGATACACCCGCCGGAAAAAATCTGATCGGTGCATTCTGGCAACCGAAGCGCATTTTCATGGATCTCAACTTTTTACGCACTTTACCCGAACGCGAATTCTCCAACGGCATGGCGGAAGTCATCAAGGTAAGATCCCAAAGAAAGAAAAAAAATCTGGGAAAAGAACCTCCAGGAGATTGTTTCCCGAAAGATCCCAGGGACGGAGATGGCAAAAAAAAAAACTGACTTCATCGTTTTGTCGTACAGACCGCGGCTATCTGGAATGAATCGGACTTTGTGAAACTTGAAAACGGGGTGGAAGCCATACGACATGCTGTGTTACAGGGCAATGCTTCTGCTCTTGCAGGTGAGATGCGAATAACCAGCGTAGAAAACCAACATGGATGAGGGAAAATTTACGGGCATCAATTTGAATAGGTGCTACTCTGGACACGCGAACGGAAGCGCAGTCCTTGCTTTTGGATGTTATTCTTGCCTCGGCTAAAGTCAAGGCGTACGTCGTGACGCATGATGAAAGAGAGGGAGGTTTACGTGGTTTGCTCAATTTTGGTCACTCTATCGGCCACGGTATCGAAGCCATCGTGTCACCCCTGATGCTTCATGGAGAATGTGTTTCCATCGGTATGGTCAAGGAAGCCGAGTTGGCCAGAAATCTCGGACATTTGAACCAAGTTGCCGTGGGCCGCTTAGCAAGATGTCTCAGCTCGTACGGCTTACCCATCAGTTTGGAAGAAAAGAAGGTTAAAGACCGCATTGGTGATTTGCACTGTCATGTGGATGATATCATGGACATCATGAAGGTCGATAAAAAGAACCAGGGCGATAAGAAGCGCATCGTCATGCTGGCTGCGATTGGTAAAACCTTGGAACCGCGTGCATCGGTGATTGCGGATGCGGCTATTCACAAGGTGCTGGCACCCGAACAATTGGTGTTGCCTGTCACCGAGGCGGCCAACCCCCCGAAAAAGGAAGTCGTGCTGACCACCCCTGGATCGAAATCTATTTCTAACCGTGCATTGCTCATTGCTGCTTTGGGTAAAGGCACCACCCGCCTCACCAACCTTTTGCATTCGGATGATACACAGTACATGTTGGCGGCACTCCAAAGTCTCGGTGCTGCGGATTTTGAGTGGGAAAACAACGGTGAAACCTTGGTCCTTCACGGCCGAGGCGGTCAACTCAGCGTTCCTGACAAAGAGATTTACGTTGGCAATGCCGGTACAGCGTCTCGTTTCCTTACCTCTGTGTTGACCCTTATTGCTTCCGCCCCAGAGGGCAAGAAAGCCGTCCTCACCGGCAACGCTCGTATGAAGCAGCGCCCTATTGCTCCTCTTCTCACGGCTCTCAAAGCCACGGGTGCCATTATCGAATCTATTGAAAAGGAGGGTTTCTTACCTGTGGCCGTCACTCCCAACGGTGGATTCAAGGGCGGTCGTATCGAATTGGCGGCTTCCATTTCGTCCCAATATGTTTCCTCGATCTTGCTTTGCGCGCCCTATGCCAACGAGCCTGTGGAGTTAGTCTTAACCGGGGGTCAAGTCATTTCCCAGCCTTACATCGACATGACGATTGCCATGATGAAAGACTTTGGCATTGACGTCGAACGTTTGCCCAACAATACTTACAAGGTGCAAAAGGGCGTCTACCAGAATCCTGAGGCGTATGCCGTTGAATCCGACGCCAGCTCAGCTACCTATCCTTTGGCCGTCGCTGCCATCACCGGCCGCACATGCACCGTCACCAATATCGGTACCAAATCGTTGCAAGGTGATGCCACCTTTGCCATCAATGTGTTGCGGCCTATGGGTTGCCAGGTCGAACAAACTGAAACTTCCACCACCGTGACTGGTCCTCCCATTGGTCAACTTCGTCCTCTTCCCAGCGTCGATATGGAAACCATGACGGATGCATTCCTTACAGCGACCGTTTTGGCCGCTGTCACTTCCGATCCAAAGGGTGAAAACATTACTCGTATTACCGGTATTGCCAACCAGCGCGTCAAGGAATGCAATCGTATTGCTGCCATGGTCCACGAACTTACGAAAATGGGGGTCACTGCTTCGGAATTGCCGGATGGTATCCAGATTCACGGAAAACCTATCAAGGACATCAAAGCCCCTGCCGAAGGTATTTTCTGCTACGACGATCACCGCGTCGCCATGGCGTTCTCTGTATTGGCTACGGTGGTTCCCAAGGGTACCATTATCCAAGAAAAGAAGTGTGTCGAAAAGACCTGGCCCAACTGGTGGGACGACTTGGAAGGCAAACTTGGTGTTCGCTTAAGCGGTGTTGATCAGGGTGCTCGTTTATCTCAGGCGGAACGTAAGCATTTGGGTAAGATGCGCAAGTCCAACAGTCCCAAAATGGATCACACCAAATCCATCGTTATCATTGGCATGCGCGGCGTTGGTAAAACGACACTTGGACAGTATGCTGCTGAAACTTTGGGCTTCAAGTTTGTGGATGTCGATCACTATTTTGAAAAGACGCTCAACACGACGATCCCTGAATTCATCAACACTTGGGGCTGGGAACAATTCCGTGTCAAGGAAACCGAAGCTTTACAAAAGATCTTGGCCAAGGATTCAGAATACGCACGTGAATACGTCATTTCCTGCGGTGGTGGCATCGTTGAGACATCCGAATCTCGTGCGGTGTTGAAGGAACATGTGCGTCAGGGCGGCAAGGTGCTTCATCTGGTGCGCGATTTGGACCATGTGGTGAAATATCTCAACAAGGATACCACTCGACCCATGTTTGGTGAAGACATGATGACGATTTGGAAGCGACGACGCACCTGGTACCGTGAAGTGTGCAATTACGAGTTCGTGGCATACGCCGATTCCATTGTTGAGGATGGATGGGTGACACCCACGGAATGGCAAGCGATCAAAAAGGATCTTCAGCGGTTCCTTTTGTTCATTACTGGCCGAGATACGAATCACGTGGATTTGACGCCAGGTCGTGTGGGTGTTCCCACTACATTTGTGTCGCTGACGATGAAGGATTTACGTACGACGGTGGACAAGCTGAGAGAAATTTGTGAAGGAGCTGATGCAGTAGAATTGCGAGTGGATCTGTTACAGCAACCAGAGGAGGATGGAAAGGAAGTCGAATGCCAAATGTATCTGGAATACATTGCAGAGCAAGTGGCTATTCTTAGACGCCATGTATCGTTACCTATTATTTTCACGGTGCGCAGCAAAGGACAAGCGGGGGCTTTTGCTGACAACGACGAGCAAGGCATGTTCGATCTCCTTCGCTGGGGTCAACGCTGGGGTTGCGAATACGTCGACGTGGAAGTATGCTGGTCATCCGCCGCCATCGAGTCGCTCATTCGCGATAAGGGCAACAGCCTGATCATCTCATCGTGGCACGATGTCCCTCAACAGACACCGTGGGGTTCCAAGGAATTGGAAATTAAATACCAGTTGGCGGACAAATATGGTGATATCATCAAACTGGTTGGCGTGGCTACGAACCTGCAGCATAACATTGCGTTGGAAGAGTTCCGGGAAACGAAAAAAGCAGGCAAGCATTTGATCGCTATCAATATGGGTGCCGCTGGTCAACTTTCTCGTGTCATCAACGAATGCCTCACCCCCATCACTCATCCATCTTTACCGGCCAAGGCTGCTCCTGGTCAACTGTCCCTTGCTGAGATTAACCAAGCACGACATCTTCTTGGTCTCCTGGATGCCAAGAAATACTGGCTTATTGGTACACCTATTCAGCATTCCATGTCGCCTACCATCCACAATACCGGTTTCGACACCTTGGGATTACCTCACCGCTATAATTTGTTGGAATGCCACATGGTCGAATATGCCGAAGAGACTCTGAAGAGTCCCAACTTTGGTGGCGCTTCCGTCACGATTCCCCACAAGATTGCCGTGATGAAATATCTGGACGATATTAGCGAGAGCGTCAAGATGATTGGTGCTGTGAATACCGTCTGTGTGCGATATGTGGACGTGAATGGCAAGATGGAACGACGTCTCTTTGGCGACAACACCGACTACTTGGGCATCAAGCGTCGGGTGCAACCTTTGATGCTGGATCCCAGTAACCCACCGGAGCAGGGTCTTGTCATTGGCAGTGGTGGCACCGCGCGTGCTGGCTTGTACGCACTCCACCAGATGGGTATCAAGGAAATCTTCTTGTGGAACCGTACTGCAAGCAAGGCGCACGAATTGAAGAAGGCATTTGCATCTCTTTGTGACATCACGGTGATCGATTCCTTGGAGGCTGATATTGAGCCTGGCGTGATCGTCTCCACGGTTCCTGCTGACAGCGGTATTGAGCTTCCTGAGCATCTGTATGGTGGTATCAAGGGTATCATTTGCGACATGGCCTACAAACCTCGTCGTACCAAGTTGTTACAGCAAGCAGAACGTAAGGGCTGGTCGTGCGTAGAAGGTATTGAAGTATTGATTGAGCAAGGATTGGCCCAGTTTGAAATCTGGACCGGCAAGCGCGCCCCTGCTGATAAGATCGAAGCTGAAGTATTGAAGAGATATGAACTATAAAAATTGTAGATGCAAAAAAATCCTTTCTCATTCAATATATAATGTAGTTCATAATAATTTAAGAAGCGGACGACTTCTCCTTCTGCAACGTGGCTTATTTTTCCATTTTCATGTTGTCCTTTTCTTATTTTCTTGCTAATCTATTCCGGAGACGGTTTCCACAGGCAATGGATATAAAATGAATAAAGAACAAAGGAAATGAGAGGATAGAAACTGCCTGTTTATTCGAAATATGGGGAGATACTATTTTTGCTATTCTAGAACCATGGTCTAAAAATCATACTTGAATGTGCTGTCAAAGAAAGGTGAAGGGACCCATTTACTTTGGAAATTACCAAAAGGGATACTTCATTTTTTCGTTTATTCATTTTCTTCATGTTCATTTTTTTATAATGATAATAGTCCCGGTCACCCCCAAACCAACAAGTTGGCTGGGCAAGTTATCAAACTTGTTCCCAATCCCTCCCCCGCGACTGCTGATAAGCGTTGCCATAGGCACTTGGCGCCTCACCCCATCCGAAGACAAGGCCTGCTACGACGTCAGAGGTCTTAAAAAGGGAGACTTGACACCGGGCCACCTATGAACAACCCACCGATATATTCGTTTCCCGACTTCGTGCAAGTTGGGTCAGAGTCCCCAATAGTGCAATTTCATCAAAATCTCTTTTTTCTTGCAAGTTGTTCACATTTTTTATGCTTCTTTTCTTGTTAGCCATGTTGTAAGAGATGCATATCTAATGGATCCAACCACATACAATCACTTTTCATCTTCTTTTTAAAACGGAAAAAGATGATAAAATAATTGGCAGCGACTTTGGCGGAGTTAAACGTAGATGGCCGCCGTTAACCAAACAGTGAATAATAACCGACAGATTGCATGTATAGTTTTTTTTTTTCATTTTTATCTCCAATGAAAACGCACTCACTTTAGCAATTATGTACATTACTTCGCAAATAAAAAAAAAACTAAACAACTCATCCGTCAGATAATGTTCACTGCTTGGATAACGGCGATCACCTACGTATAACTCCGCCAAAATCGCTGCCAATTACTTTATCATCCTTTCCCGTTTTGAAAGGGCGATAAAAAACGATGGTGCTTGGTTGGATTCATCAGATAGCATCTCTTACAACATGGATAACAAGAAAAAAACCAGAAAAATGAAAACAACTTGCAAGCAAAAAGAGATTTTCATGAAATTAATTACACTATCGGGGACCCTAACCACAACTTGCACGAAGTCGGGAAACGAATGTATATTGATGGGTTGGTCATAGGTGAAATCGCTATCATGGCAGCTCATCGCAGTCTCAGGGGTGGGATAGGGGAACAAGCTTCGGCTTGCCCAGTTCGCTGGGGGTCACTGGGAATGGCGGTGGGTGGTGGGGTGAGTTATTATCTTTATAAAAATGAAAATAATAAGAAATTGAAGTATCCATTTCTGAAAGTTGCCCAGACTTTGGATTGAAAATACCTAGCCAAGCATGATTTTAGTCAATGATCCTAATAGCGAAGATTATGTCTTCCCATATCATGAATAAATGTACAGTGTTTAATTCTCATTTCCTTTGTTCTAGATACTTAAAAGGTATCAATTAGTTTGCTGGGAAAAGCTCCATTAAGCAACTGAAATTTGTGTAAAGCAAAACATCAACTGCAATATGCGAACTCGATATCCATGCAAACTGCGTCTGCGTAAGCTATTCCAGGTATCCTCTGAAACCTAATGTAGCAATGTCATCGATGCAATTGAGGATGTAATGTTTGGTGAAGAAGGAAGAATTAAGATCGTAATCAGAAAGACATAAGGTATGTTGAAACGACTTTTAGTAAGAACTAAGGAAAGGAAGGATAAAATACGAGATATGAATCATTAGTTCTATAATCTATGCCTGTCTACAGTCAATAATGGATCAATATATGCATTTATAAAATTATGAGAAGACATCTATCTTGTAGATAGCTCTTTTGAAAGACGAAAGATCATTCGCAAGAGGAATGAGTGATTTAAAATTTTCATTCATTGTGCTGTTCGGCATTTGTGCCCAGTTGTGACCAAATTCACAAGTTTGTGACCAGAGAACATCATACTTTTCATATTCTTTGCTGCTGTGTGTCTGTGTCTGTGTGTGTGTACCTGAATACGGATGAAAATGATGCAAATGGCTTGGTTGGTTTGAACCACATCCATTTCCACAGAGACGTACAAAATCAGTACCTTCACGTTCTTTGGCACATAACATGAGTCTGAAACTGATGAAGCGAGCTTACCTTGCAAAATGTAATAAGAATATTACTGTGATTGTCGTTAACTATCATGGATAACTAGTCTTATTTCAGAGAGACTTGGAGGAAAACAGCTTTTCTGGGCTTTGCTCTACATTTGCTTTTTTCCATCTCAGCTCTCTTCATTGGACGGCCCCATGAGTCAAACCTTCGCATTTGGTGTCATTTTGGTCTCCAAATATTCATTGTCATTGACAACAGGTCCTCTTAGCAACTGTGACCTTAAAATGGAGGCCATAGAAAAGGAAAGCAAAAAGCTTTCACTCAAGCGATCCATCCGATGAGGGGTGCTGGGACGGAAAAGACGAATGGAGGGAAAACCCGCAAAGTTGTTTTTCTCCAAGTGTCATCGCAGATAAAATCAAATTAACCATTATAGAGCATGAATATTTATTGGCTGATTTGAACTACTATTCTTACATTTCGAAAGAAAGTGCACTTCATCGGTTAGGGGCTCATGTTGCGTGCCAACATAACGGGATTAGTGACTTTGTGCGTGAGGACATGGCGTTCATTCAATCAAACAAGCTCCTTTGAATGATTTTCGATCGTATCAAAACAACAATATATAGTAAACAAAAGGTCAATTTAAACACACCTCTGAATCATAATTCTCGGCTATTAATAATCTGATCGCAAACTAGTGTGGACATATGTTTCCCTTGTTACTGTTGGTCGCACCTGCAGCAATCCTCATTTAAACCGGCTCCGTCTTTCAATACAGTACAGGCTCCAAAGACCGCACAATCACCCGAGTGCGAAAATGCGATATTAAACCATCAAACTTTGGCTTGAGTCTTTCAGGATCTTGAAATTTTCAGCCGCTTTGTCCATGGTCTAATTTTTACAAAAGTGACTCATTTACATCGGTGTTCGCTGTAGAACGTACAATCAAGCGTCCTAGCAAAGGTCCTTGGGACCATTTTGTCATCAGGAACAGCCTTTTTTAAAACAATTTGTCGCTAGTCTCTTTTCACCCGGCATTCATGTGTATTATGGCCGTCAATACACGCTGTGAGCGGATCGTTGGGTTGAAGCTGGATTGTGAAAAGGGCTTTGATTTTGCGAACAAGGGGTTAAAATCAGTGGTCATTTTATTTTAAAGAGCCGACAGCGAGCGCGCCACGACGAGCGATGTGACTGCTGCCGACAAGATTGTGTAAACAAGGTTTTACGCCCAGGCGGTTTCGGTTGCCTACGATTCCATATCTCATGTTTTCGCTAATTTCCCGGCGTCAGGTGCTACGTCCACTTGCGAAGCCTGTACAGCAATACACATTCCACCATGCAGCGATAGCTTATAACGGTGCAACTGCAGCAGCTACCGAAGGTAGGTTCCGAACCTGATGATTGGCATCGAATGATGGGCTCACAGTCTTTTTTCTTCTCCTGTTTCGCATCGGCATTCGTTCAGCCAAGCCCGCCACATCATCGTCACCTGCACGGAAAGAATCATCGGTACCGAAAGGCACCGTTTTGAAAGGCATCAATTTCCTCAAAGACGGCAAAGATCCCGTTGCCCTTGACGACAGCGAATACCCTGATTGGTTATGGGATCTCCTCGATGCCAAAAAGCAGAAGCAGAAATCGACCAAACCCACCAATAGACAGTTCCATAGAAAACAAAACCGAGACGCTATCAAAGCCATGAACTTTATGAAGGACAAGAAGACCTAAAGATGCTGCATATTTCCAACCTAGCACCATGTATCATAGAACAAAAAATCAGAACAACACAGAACACAACTTTCGTCGTTTATTACTCATTGAATGGAACCATCAGGTCTTGGAGTGATGTTGATTGAATCAATATATATTACTACCCGTGCTGTACAAATAGACATCCTAGATATTCGCTCTTCGGTTACACATCATCAGCATCCGTGAAGTAGAAAAATTCCACGGTTGGTGTATTGGAAAGAGAGTGGATTCGAGCAAAGAGGTGTGAGACGGGAAAGTAGGGCTTATCATCGTTATGAACTCTACTTGTATGTAAAAGACCCAATTGTGTGGACAGAATCAGTCCGGTAAAAAGGGAGTCAAAGACATCAAAGAAAAGAGTTTGAATTAGAGATATACTATCATAAGCATAAAAACTAAAGATTTATCCCGATATATAATTTATCGGTGGTTCGGGAAGGCGGATTGACCGTCTATATAAAAAAGGATACTTAGCGTATAAAGAATCACTGAAAGATTTCTCACTACTTACATTGCATCGATCCAGAAGGGGTGAAAATGCTGTGGCCAGTGGGTTGATTAGCTGAAAAATGATTTGTAGACATGTGTAAGTAAACGCAGAGCAGTAATATCCCATCAAAGATCACATAAGCTTACTTGACGGTTGTCCAGCAAAACCTGTCATTTGCGGTTGGAGATATCCAGTAGGCTGTGGTTGCTGCATAGTTGGGTTCTGATTAAAAGCGCTCATGTTTGGAGTCGAGAATTGAACGGCTCCTGTCATTTGGGGACTGACAGGACTCAGAGAAGGCGATCCAAACGGATTATCAGGTGCTATTGATGAGGAGAAAGAACAAAAAAAAGGAAAACCATCAATTTCCGTAAACCACCAATTCAACGTCATGAACCACTTACTTGCACTTGTCCAATTACGTCGACCTGTCGGTTGAGATGCCACGCCGCTGGACATGGTATGGCTCCGTTGTAACCCAGTAGATTGCATCGGGAACTGCTGATGCGGTTGCATGCTTCCTGCGAATCCTGATCCTTGTGCACCTGTCACATTCGTCATGGTATTCTGATATGGAAGCTGATTCATAGCACCCGTCTGTTGTGGCTGCCATCCTTGATTCATCGTATTAACATGGCCAGTCATCTGCGGTTGCAGCTGTTGAGCTTGCCAAGGCACTTGCTGAGCCGATTGCTGTTGTTGCCAAGCTTGAGTCTGAGCGGCAATTTGTTGCATTGCCAGCGCTTGTTGTTGTTGTTGCTGCTGAAGCTGTTGCTGCTGTTGCTGTTGCAGGAGTAATTGTTGCTGTTGCTGCTGCTGTTGTTGTTGTTGCTGAATGAGCAACTGCTGTTGTTGTTGCTGTTGTTGTTGTAAGAGCAATTGCTGTTGTTGCTGTTGCTGCCACGAAGCCATTTGCTGCGGCTGGTAACCGGTTTGCTGCGGCATCATATTATTCGGAGAAAATGTTCCTGTTTGGGCAGGCAACTGTTGCATGGGCGACATTTGGCCAGTTTGGTGCAAAGCAATGGCATTCAACGAAGGTTGTCCCGATGTATTCACTTGCGGGGATATGGCCGAGACATTGCTGTGTCCTGTCGCCAAGGGAATTTGTGGCTGCATACCGGTTGGACCCGTTTGTGAAGGCGATACCTGTTGAGCTTGTTCACTTCCATTCCAACGACCCAAGGACGGATTAATGGCTCCTGATGAATTACTCTGCGGTGATTGCAAGGATTGAGCCGATAGTTGCGGAACGATTGGGTTGGGTTGGCTTGCTTCTCGAGGAGCTGACGGTGATGCTACTGAAGCTTTGGGTTTATCTGGACGGGGCGACCAAGCATCATCTTCAAATCCGATTAAATCTTGCTTGACTGGAGCTTTATCTGAAGCTGTGCTGGCAGCCGTAAACTGAGTGCCGATAAACTCCAACAGATCAGGATGAACATTGTTAGGGGCAGACGTAGCAGGCTTCGGTCGCGTGGTCGATCGTGCCGTTGTTCGCTCACTGGAATCATTGCCTGATTTGTTCCACTCATCTTGCAACCTCTTTGCCAGTTCTGCATCCGATTCCATCTGACTTTTGTTCTTGCCCTTGCTACTTTCATCCTCTGCTGGTTGCTCTTGTTCATCATCGGAAGGTGGCTCGATTTTTTCGGTTTCCACATAACGTTCAATGCGCTGGACGTACTTTTCCTTCACACCGAGCGTTTTCATTTGCTTGTGGGTGAGATGGGGGATATCGCTGTCATCCAGTTTATCTGCTTTGAAGGCGGCTGCGTATTGCAAAGCCGGTTGCATGGGGATACCGATCATCAAGAGCCAATCGAACCAGTCCCAATTAGGGTTGACTTTCTTTTCTTGTCGAGCAGGAGCCGACCGACTACTGCCTGTTTCCTGGTGTTTGACCGGCGTCATTTCAATCGGCTTTTGATCTGTCAAATTCGCGAGAGGCTTATTCTCATCACTGTCATCGGCGCCGCTCTTCAACACATTTTCACGAACCCATTGTACGTCCTCCTCGCTCATTTTTTCCATGGGTACGTCGATCTTGACTCCGTTGGTTTTATGCAATCGAAGCTTTCCATCGCTCACCCCAAGTAACTGCGCCTCGACTTTGAAAGCCCCGCTGCGGTCGGTCCACGTTCGTGTTTTGTTTGGATCGGGTTTTGATAGATTTTGAGCCGCTCGCGCTGACATGCTGGAAGATCGTGCAAGATTACCGGTGCGCGATCGAGTCTGCTGAGGTGGTATATTTCGAGATGCCTCTGCTGCCTTTCTTTCCGCTTCCCGGCGTTTCTGCTCTTCTTGTAACTGCCGCTGTCTTTCTGCTTCAGCACGCTGAGCTGCCTCCTGCACTTTTCTTCGTCGCTCACGTTCTTCTTCCTGTTTACGTGCCTCTTCCTGACGTCGTTGTTCTTCCTCTAACCGGCGTCGTTCTTCTTCTTCCTCTTCTTGTTGTTGTCGACGACGTGCTTCTTCTTCTTCTTCAGCGAGCTGTCGTCGATACGCTTCCTCTTCCTCTTCACGCTGTTGTTGCAAATCGTCATGTTGCATTGATTGCGAAGATTCGTAATCTTCATGGAACTGAACATAAGACGAAGGAACGAGACCGGATTCGCCGCCTGTGGTTTCCACCTGCCACCAACCATCCGTACGATCGTAATCGGTCACAAGTACTTGTTCCTGCTCTGCAACGGACAATTCACCGGCACCCTCGGCTTGGAATGAGAACAGAATAATACCCCGTCGTGCTTCGGATCCAGTCGGCTGTTGAGATGCAGGTTGCGTGGCAGCCGACACTGGCGATGCGATCTCGGGCTGAGGATGGTCGTATTCGTCGTTGGACGGTTGCTGCCGCTGCGGTGATTGTCGTTGTTCATGAGCGGAAAGCTGACTGTACGAGGAGCCTGCAGTGTGTTGCGGTGCAACGGAAATGGCACTGGATTGAGCGGCTTGGCAAGAGTCGGCAATTTTGACAAGGATGGCTTTGGCCTCGGATTTCGAAGAAGCCTGCAAATCGAGTACGGCTGATTTCTCACCAACAATTTCAATGTGCAAATTCTTCCCATCAAACAGGTACTTGGTAACGTCTAAAATAGGATATTGCTGGACTGGCGACGCTTTATCGGTTTCACTAGCGTAGCACAGCATGCCATTGCCCACAAGCAAGTTGCCTTTGCTTTTCTTCTTCTTCTTTTTCGCAACATCGTATTCATGAACCAACCAGCTTTGCGCTTCATCGCCCGGGGGCTTCGTCGTTGCTACACTTCGGTTGTCTGTTGATTTTTGCTACGAGAATTTTGGGTAAGCATGCAATAATCAGGCCACAATAAGCATTCTTCTCCGACGTACCGAAGGCTCTGGCAGGCCGACATTCGAAGCAACTTCATTAGGGGATGTGGGCGCCGATGAAAAGTGCTCAGCTTCAGGCGGTACATTGCCCCGGTGCGAATCGTGCGTATCAACGGAACGCACATAGTTGCTAGGAGCCAAACCGATTTCCCCATTGCTCAATTTGACCAGATACCAATCTGGATCGTCCTGCTCCAGTAAGTCCATGATTTCACCCTCTTCAAAAGTCAGTTCCTCTTCTTGCTGTGCGGTGTAGCTGTACTCGGCTTCAACTTTTCCAAGAGAAGTAGTCTGTTGGGAGCATGGTCATCATAGTTAGTGCTTGGGATTCTCACATGGGATGAAAAAGTGACATGCCTCGGTTAGATAATTAGCTGGGACCAAACCACTAGGTCCTGGTACATCGCTGCTTGGTTGCTTCAACTCTGCCTTCCACCAATCGTCATCTTCCTTTTCAATAATGTACAGGATGTCGTCTTCCTTAATGTCCAGTTCGTCTGGAGTGCGAGCGTCATAGTCATACAAGGCTTTGCAGACTAGTATATACTTCATGATAGAAACGTGCGTACTACGATGAAAACAAGACCAATGTCAGTTACCACAAACCGAAATATCGACTATCGGCATAGATAAATTGTTGATTGTTTTATGGTCGAACAATACATACTTTTACACGAAGTATCCTAAAGAGGAAAAATTCGCCTGGTGCACATGGGAGGGGCGGGTCTATCAGCGAAAATTCGGGGTCGGGCTGGAATTGAAAAAAAGCCAATAGGAAGACTTACTGCATAAACAATTGGCTGTCGTCCATGGTGATTCTTAATCCACTGCTTTTTTACAAAGTTGTGGAATACACAGTATTAAAAACTGTCCGGTTTTTATTGCTTTATTTTCCAGCAGCTCCTCTTGGGCCTTACCTCAAAAGCGTAACTAAGCAATTTCAAACGCTTTCACACTCCGCAGAATCGCTACGAATATTACATGGATTTACGCGGGCGGATGGGGTCGGGTTTTTTGTTAAATGTGCACTGAGCAAAACCCGAAATTTCCCTGGTCGATGACTGCATCGTGCCAAGACGCTGCTACTTTTTCTTGTTTCGCCTCCTTATTAATCCCTAATCTTTCAAATAAGTCACAATATAGACGTGGCCCTATTTGTCACCTTTTTGCAAATTGTAGCTTTAATCAACTTTTTGTATTTGAGATGATACAAAAATGACCGGAAATGGGAAAATGACGTATTTCATCCTGAGTAAGAATTCAGGTTTCACAGCCTTTGATGTGGCACAGGAACCACCGATAATGCTGATCAAGTCAACCGCATTTGCTTGATACTCCGCTACTCAACCTGCACCCACGAATCATGCCTACTCTATGAGAACCGAAGTAAGCGAGTTGTCCTTTCCTTCAGAGATATTTAGCTTCTGTAAAGCAGTATATGTGACCTTGAACTTATTAACCTGGTGGAAGCAAGAGATAGAATGCAAGCTGGAACTGAAAATGATCAAGTTTTTGGCTGACATCAATGCGGTCGAACAGGCACTTCCAAGAATCTTTGCTAAAATCCTGAAGGATCGATGGCCATGTGTTTGGGAAGACTCTAGCGTTCTTGCTAAACTCAATTATCATATTATAGTGTCAAAGAAATCGCGTTGAAATTAGCTGATCACATTAGTAGGAATGGTTCGCTCTTCGTGGACTGGCTGTTGATGCTTTTATCGAATGAATTACAGTATTGGTTGATGTGAGCGTTTTTGTTCGCGTAGGGATCCCGGCAAAGGTTGCATATTGAAATAAGCCTGATTTACACATATACCAACGCTATATACGGTTTCCACAATCGACACAGTGCATGCTGCGTGGTACATTTTTATTCGAGAGGCTCCGGTTTAAATGAGTGTGCACCGTTTCCCAGCCGTGTTAACGGAAGAAGGAACAGGAGAAAAGGAAGATGAACTGGGGGAGAGGGAGATGGCTGTGAATTTTCTACGTCGGCGCAGTGTGTAGCGAACCAGATCGACTCTAAATTTTGCACCACTTTAGGGTCCTTCCTGTATCAGTCCACCAAAAGTCTCTTCGCACGGTCTTCCACGCCAGTCCTGGCTGAGGGGCTCAATTCAAACGAAGCTTTCAGAAAAGACCGAAGCGTCCTAAAAGCATCGACTGGACTGGAATGTCATTGTCGGCGAAGAAATAGGCCATATATGGATACGCTCGGTCGTCCATCCGGTCAGTAGTTGGTCGCCCCTGAAGGAATTTCTTAAGGACCCACTCAAATTGTTCCTCTAATTCCCGCCGAGAGAAATACAAAGCAAGGTTTATTCCCCTCTCCATACGTCGCCATTGGCCTTGCCGGGATGCGGTCGCCAAGTTAGCAGGAAGATCACTGTCGTGAATGTCGCAAACGGTATTCATTCAGTAGCAACGAAGCAAGCAATTTTTGCAATAAAATAAGATAGAATCGAAAGGAGTTTATTACTAGTTTGAACACAGTAAGCTTTTATAATGACCATCAAGTAGGATCTGGACAGCGCTTGTCGATCATCTCTATTCGTGCATCGTTTGCTCATACGGAGGTACTAACCGTTTCATATCCTCAACATGTAGCTTGGATTATCTTTGCAAAATTATATCACCGCGTGATTTATTTTGTGGTAATACATGGTATGGACTTATGTTTGTCCAATCAATGAACAGCTGTATGGGGGAAGCGTATCTCGAACGTCAAGCTAAGATTCCCTCACTATTCATATGCGTTCGAGGTTTAAGGGTGGACTTAAAGCTCTTCTTCATCATGGGAAGAAGATGGTTACAAATTCAGAGTAGGATAGTCTACGAATAAGCTTGAGCTTTTATAAATGCTACACCTATGCTATAAGCATATTGGATAGTGTACATACATCATCCATGGGCCGACAACAGGGTTTGCTGCCTACATAAATTATCTGACTACATGGATCGAGCCACGAAATGCTAATTCGAGAATATGACAGGAACACAAAAATGGGGTTTATCAAACTGTACGGTTAGATGAATTTTATTCAAGTTGATCCAAGAAGAGGACAAACATAGGAAAATAAAACAAAGAAAAAGCCTAAACCAACTATTAACTCATTGTTATTTGAGTATGAAAACTTATTTACAGCCTTGAAAGCAATATGATACTCGGAAGAAGAACACCCAAAACAGGTCGTATTTAACATAATGCTTACTCGCTGCAGCAAGAAAATCGCCCATCAGTATTAGAACCGACATGCTCTGTCATTTGCACTTACGTAAAGATAAAGAGATTGTTTGTTGCTGCGACAGCAATCGTGTTTTCTCTTGGATGCCACGAAGCGTGGAGGATCTTCTTATTGAAATCGATCGAATCCGCATCATCTCTTCGTCCCTTCATGCCGCCGTTACGTGGACCGGCTAAAGTCATCTTGTTCTTAGCGGAACCCAATCTCTTCGCTTTGAACGCGCTCTTATCCGCCTGAAGATTGATCTCCGACAAGGTCTCACGATCGTAAATGTAGAAATTGTTGCTGTAGGAACCTGTCGTCAAGTTCCTGCAGTTAAAGACAAGGTTAGCACTTGAATTTTTCTCCTGGACCTCGCAGCTAAACACTTACTTTCCATCACCGCTAAAGTTACACTCAAATTTGTCAAAGATGCAGTCATTTTCGTACAAGTCACAGAGGTTGCTTCGCAGGTGGTCATGGATATTGATGGTCTGAACGGGTTTCTTTTCCATATTGATATCCCATAATTTCAAAGTCAGATAATCGCGTGCCAAGATATATCGACCGTCTGCGCTAAACTTGACATCGGATATGGAAGAAATAATCTCGGAAAAGAAGGATCGGTTGTTAGGATCTTCGGCCGACTCAAAAACTAGGAGTGTTTTTTTTGTATCAGAATTCATATGCTTGAGAATCACCGTATCCTTTTCTTTTTTTCGCCGATAATGTTCAACCTACTTTTAGCATTTTGGTCACACAAAGCGGATTCTCTCATGTCAGCCAATTTGATCGTTCCTTTACTGCTGCTGTACATAAAGAGATTGCATTGCCATGGATGAAATTCAGCGGCTGTAATCACTTCAGTCAACTCTTCCATATTGGCCGGCTTGATGTCAACGATATCTATCAAATATCGTACGATAAATATCCTGTCTGTACGCACTCCGTAAACCGCGAGGCCTTACTGAAGCTCTGCTCTGATATGTCCAAATTCCACAAGTTAATTCGAAGGTCATCCGCCGAAATGTAGGTCTCCCCATCGGAGTTCACGGATATCGAGTTGATATGATAAGCATGCGCTACACCAAGGCAAATTAAAGTTTGATGAGTGCCGAGATAGCAACTTACATGACTACAATTTGCCTTACCATTAGCATATGTCTTTCTAGGAATTGCGGCAATGATGGTATCGTGGTGCATCAATTTCGGAAGCGTTAAAGGACGCGCAACAGGAGCAACTGGCTTGGGTTCCCCATCGGTCAGGTTCATTTGTTGAACCACTTTCAAGTTACGTTCAAATACTTTCCAAAGTTTGATTGTCTTGTCTGCAACACAAACAAAAAAGAGGATTAACGCCATATTTCTTGTACACTTCATTTCAGACGAACATAATTGGTTGATCTTTTTACATACCGTTTGTGGTTAACAGGAAATGAGCAGCATTCGTACGTCGACACCACTTGATTTTGTTGATTTTTTCCTCAATCTCCAAACTCTTTAGATAATCAAACTCGGGTTCATGCGACTGAAACTCTGTGTGGAACTTGTACTCGCAGCTTTTTTTCTAAAGGGGTCAAGTGTCAGCAGCAAGAAAACGAATCTGGAGTAAAGCAAAAAATGACTCACGCTTTCGTTACGTTCGAACAACACTACTCTTCCTCCTTTATCACCCGTTGCCAAGTAATCACCGGTATGGTCGAATTCCACAGCTGAAATGATATCGGCTAATGAACGCAAAATCCAGGAGGTAGAGAAACACATATAACAAATATATCGTTAGCCATCTGGTCAAGGGAGCACTATGAATGACGAGGTTCGACTACAGGGACAAGCGCTCGGCAGCCATAAACCCGCGTTTTGGGTCCTCTCGTCAGATTCCCTCCTCATCGAGGAATCATAACTGAAGCGCGGAAGCCATTCAGCTTCGAAAGAATAGCCAACTTACCTTCGGTGATATCTTCAGAGTCGCCTTTATCACCAAAACATTGGGCGAATTTCCACTTGTGTTCGTTTTCGGGTGTGCCTGTCGATGCTTGCATACTTGCTTGGTTATCAAACTGTTTTCTTACAGTGGTCCCTTGGATATGATGTCGGCGCGAATAGAAATAACTGGTGGCGTGGTTGCTTTAAATTCTCGTTGCTTTTTAACTGTCTCCTCTTCTTTCACACCCACCCACCTGCTTGCGTACTGGGTCCTGTCCGATAGAAATTAGAAGTGCGAACAGCTGGTGTCAGCTGTGTCCGAAGTTCATGTTTTTCGCACATTGGGGGGTTGGCAGTCCTTGCCATGACGTAGGGCAGGACAGCGTTTTAAACACCGACTATCGGCTGAACTTGACGCAACTGATCATCTACGCTTGGCTTCTGTCTTGACCAACTGCCAGTCCGCCCACTAACCTCTTCCGTAAGGGCTAAACCACCTACAATAGTCGCTTTTCTCTATATTTTCTACACTTGGATTAGGTATAGATAGAGTATCCATTACGTTGTTCCATTACCCTGTCTACTGTATAATTTATTTCAACTGATGCAACGTTTACTATCACTGTCAGAATCAATTTTTAAAGTGTGAAAGAAGCCTCAACTACTTGCAATATTTACAGTAAGTTGTGTTTCTTTTATTTTATTTTTATTTTTAATTTGTGGATGTATAGCTTTTTAGATCGGATGTGAAATGCTCAAGTAACAGATGGTCTTGGTACATACGAAGAAACGGATGGAAAAAGAGAAGAACATACTTTGTCGATCAGGGCCTTGCTTTTATACTTTTTAAGAATTTTTACAAATAAATGATATGGATCATTCTCGTCATCCAGTTCGAGAATGGGAGAAACTAGTTATCGGAATCTACAAACATGCGCGGCGCAATATTCATCGCCATCAGTTCCTGGAATAGCAATTTGCACGCGTATGGAATGTGCAGCTGGGAAACCCGCGTCTTGTTCTTGCATGCACGACACTCAAAGTTGTTCTTCTTCAAGTTCGCTACTGCCATTAAACCACAAATGTCACATACGTGAACACGGTATGCATCGGATGCATCGAATAAACGTTCCTAATCAAAGAATGACCTGGGTCAATCACCGCCCATTGTCTGCACCACAAAAATAATAATTTCAACACTTACTTTCAGGAAAGCCGCCACACCGTGACTGATCATACAATCTCTTTCCATCTCACCGAAACGCAAACCACCATCTCTTGAACGACCTTCCACAGGCTGGCGTGTCAAAATCTGGACTGGACCTCTTGCTCGACTGTGAATCTTGTCGTCCACCATATGCTTCAGACGTTGGTAATATGTGGGGCCCAAGAATACTTGAGCATTTAATTTGCGACCGGTAAAACCGTTGTACATCACTTCGAAACCACGCTTGTGATAGCCTTGCGCCTCCAATTCGGCCGAAATGGCTTCTACTGTAACGTCCGTAAAAGGAGTAGCATCACCTTCGTTACCAGTCAAAGTCGAAACCTTGCCGAGCAAACATTCAATCATGTGACCAATGGTCATACGAGAAGGAATAGCGTGAGGATTGATAATAATGTCAGGGGTGATACCCTCTGCTGAGAACGGGAAGTCTTCCTGTCGGTAGGTAATACCAATGGTACCCTTTTGACCGTGACGAGACGCAAATTTGTCACCCATCTGAGGCACACGCGTCGATCGAACTCGTACTTTCACGAACTTCAGACCATCCTGGTTGGTTGTCAACATGACTTGATCGACAATACCGGTTTCCGTGCTTCGTAACGGTGTTGATGCATCGCGTTTGTTATGTGATTGTGTTCGCTGACCTAATTCTTCGGATTCAGCAGGTATCGGCGCCGTCTTGCCAATGATAATATCATCGCCAGATACACGGGTACCAGGCGCAATCAAACCATCATCTTCCAGCTTTTCGTACGTGCCATGCTTTAATCGTAATGTGGTTTCGCGTGTCGGTTTCTCAAACTCCTCCATGAACATCATGCCTGCCTTCTTCTCGGCATCCATGTATGTACGGAAGAATAAACTTCTGAAAAGACCACGATCAATACTGCCCTGATTCATAATCACCGAATCTTCTTGGTTATAGCCAGAGTAACATAGAATAGCGACAATCGCATTTTGACCAGCAGGTAATTCACGGAATCGCAAGAATTCCATGGATCGTGTGGTTGTCAAGGGCTTTTGCGGATAGTACAGAATATTGGCGAGCGTATCCATACGTGTCTGGTAGTTTGTCAGGTACACACCCATGGCTTGTTTACCCATAGCGGATTGATATGTATTACGAGGAGACTAGTGCACAATAAGAGACAGCGTAAGCAAAAAAAAAAAAAAAAAGACACATATACAAACACATATTGTTGTTCATGCTGTTCATCACCACTAAGATCATCTTACCTGATTATGATCGGGGAAAGGAATAATACTGGCACAAATACCGAGAATCATACTGGGATGAATCTCGCAATGTGTCCATGTGTGGGAGTAAGCGCCTGTTTGACTCTTGACTCGACTGGCCAAATCACGAGCTTGTTGTAACGAAGTGCCGTATTGAGCGGCCATCCGGGATTCTTCCAAATCTTCTGGCGTCATACAAATCATGGCCGTCTCTTCTTCATCGGCATCAACATATTCTACGATACCGTCTGCAATCAAGTTCTGCCATCGATAATCGTCCTCCGGATCTTGCAAGCGGATAACGTGCTCTCTTGTTAATTTCAGCTGTTGATCTTCCACCAAGAACAGTGGTCGACAGCAACGTCCCGCATCTGTGTACATGCGCAATTCCTTTTCGCGAATATCTCGAACAATACTAACTTCGGGCGAAATATCCACGGAACGTCTCATTTGTTTCAGCGAGTTGATCAGTTCACCAGGATCACGATGAATACCGATCCATACACCGTTCACAAACACTTTGGTGGCGTCGGGAATGTTGTTCGCGCTTAATTCTTCCAAATTCTCCATGGCCCATTCTTCCAAGAACATGATCAACGGCGTAGCAGAAGAACCAACAGAGATGTAGGACATCAAAGCCAAATTCTTGACCAAACCACACGCTTGACCTTCGGGTGTTTCGGCAGGACACACCAAGCCCCAATGTGTGTTGTGCAACTGACGGGGTTTAGCGATCTTACCATCACGACCAATAGGTGTGTTACAACGACGCAAATGAGATAAGGTGGAAGCAAAGGTATATCTGTTCAAGACCTGCGATACACCTGCACGAGCTTGCATGGCCTTCTTTTGGTCACCCCAATTACCCGTGGCTAAAGAGTATTTTAGACCATTGGTGATGGTGTTGGATTTGACAGCTAACGTCAGATTGAACTCGCGACTTGATTCGATACACTAAACAATGTAATGACCCCACCATGAGTATACCAATCAACCTCAAAAAGCACAATCTCCTTACCTTTTGTAAATATTTCGCTACATCCTTTGTCAATTTTTTGAACAGTATTCGGAAAAGACCCGCCATCAAAGGACCGGCCAAATCCATTCTCTTTTTGCCGTAATGATCACGGTCGTCCAGTTCACGTCGTTCCAGGGCTGCCAGCAACAGTCGATGGATCATGTAACCAAAGAAATAGGATTTACGTGTTTCGGTCTTGTAAGCAGTGCCAACGTGGGGAAGCAATTCTTTTTGCAGAATTTCCGAGGCGTACTTCAAACGCTTTTCTTTGGTGGCACCGACTGTGGTTCCTCTTTTACCGATGAAATCAAGTGCAACCTCCTGTTCTTGAATGACAAACGCTTCTTCAATGGAAGGTTTCAACATCTCCAACATTTCGTAATCGTTTCGATCGTAGCAAATATGTTCCAATACATCGCGATCGGCGACTTGTCCGAGCGCTCTAAAGACCACGACAATGGGTACGTCTGATCGGATATAGGGAAGCGTGGCTCGAATACACTGTCCGCTTGAACCACGTTCTGCTGAGGGACGCATCATCTTGATGAAAAGTGGTGAGGCGTTTTTAGAACCTTTCTCGGACTGTGATCGAATTTCCGCTGTATATTGGACGTTGGAGGGAGGCGCTTTGGCGAAGACGTAGACTGTGTTGGTGGCCATACGTTCCTGTGCAATCAAGACCTTTTCCGAACCATTGATGACAAAGTAACCACCCATATCGAACGAGCACTCGTTTAGTTCGTGCATTTGACTCTCGGGCATTTCGTTTAATATACAGTATGTGGAGCGTAACATAATGGGCACCTAATCGTCACCAATGAGCCCGCATGGTCCAATGCCATTTGCACCAAAAAAAAACCACACTCACCTTGCCAATGAACACTTTGGTCATGGCGGGTGCTTCGGATCCGTTCTCATCAACGAAAAGGTCATTCAGGTTTGTTTTTCCTCCGCTGCTAGGATCTCTGGGGACAGCAATTTGGGTTCGTTTACTCATGTCAACGTAGAGTGGCGATGCATATCTATAAAAAGAGGGTCGATTAGTCATCTGTCAAAGTCAAATGCCTAATGAAGAGCCTGTCACGATGAGGTACGTTAAATTACGAATTCGAGCTTCTTGCGGAAACATGGGCTGTGTGCTACCGTCGGCTTCCGTCATGGTGGGTTTCGATAAATAAATTTGTCCAAAGTCAATAATGTATCGTTTCTGCAAGCAATTTGGCATTGAATTAGAAAAAGGCGCCAACGAACAGACAAAAAGTTCATTCGCAGCCTACCGTGATGTTGCCATCGCCACCAACGTGTTGCAATACGAGGTTGGAGTTTTCGTCGACAAGTTCTTGCATGGTATTCTGCACAAATTCGTCAAAGGAATCCAACTGCTGTCTTACGAGACCTTTTTCCTCGAAGAAAGACGAGATGACCGCCCAACAGTCCTCTTGCCTGTAGCGATCCGAAAACCATATCAGTCAATAGAACAAATTAGAGCAGTTGGTGTCCAACTTACGTAATGGATTCGTCCTCATAGCCTTCTTGTTCGGGAAGAAAGTATTCTGTAGAAGATGGTCAACTGCACAGTCTAATCTGTGTGTGTGTGACATTCTCCAATGGCTCACCTCCTTCAGGCATTGCGTAAGCATCGTCCATTACTGCTGCCATATTGTAGGAAATATCTGAAGTGAATCTCCTGGTTGAAGCAAAATGGGGTTATCGGATGGGAGATCGAGAACCTGCTCACTCTGTGAAAGGATAGCTTGCGAATTTACTGATACGGGTATGGTCTAACCGACGGGCACAAGCCACAGGATGATGTCACGGATGTCGGAGGTTAAATACTGAAAGGGGAAGAAAAAAGAAAAAAATCAACGTTCGCTTTATCAAGAAAAATTTCACTTCAGAAACAGGCAATTCAACGACCATGGATCTTGGGTTATCAAACGAAATAGATATACAATTTTTGATGTGATTAATAGACAAGAGTAACAAGTTTATAGCGAATGAAAAAAGCTAAACAACTGCAGAGAATTTGGACAATAAGAATGGACACGGTAGTGTTTCTTTCGGTCATTGGGCCCAAGTGAGCGAGCAATAAATTGATCAGGGTCAAGTTATTACATTCCAGAATATCGCCTTGAGCATTGGATTGGTATACTCGCAACAGCCCAATAGCACGCAAAAACTTCAACATCAGCTTCCCAAGCGCGGACACTGGCTTTTTTCCGCCAATCTTTACGGTGGAAGCTTTTAAAAGTCCCGTGTCTGGATCAAGACGTGGCATACGGTGACGCGGACACTCAATGAATCGGAATAGTTGTGGGCATGAATAGAGAAAGTTGACAATTTGAGGCAAAAAGAACAACACCAACGTTTTTGAAAAATGACCCAAAATGCCAACCACCGCCAAGGTCATACCGGCAAAGTAGCAGAAAGTATCTCCTACAAACAATTTGGCAGGGAACCTACGATTGACTCCACTGAGCTTCTTGTGCATAGACCTGCATTGAGATATTTTGAAACACTTACCAGTTATGCCACAAAAGAGCAAGCGTCACCGCTACGAAAGGAATCATAAGGTATAAGCTAAACAGATGGGCTTCAACGCTTGCGCGATCGTCATTTCCAAAAATGAATAGTGTATCGTTGATAATAACAGAAAGACCAATAATAAGAGCTTGACCGGCTTCAATCCCATTAATACCGGCCAGAATATTGATGGTATGCGTGCAGAAGATGATCAACATCTCCATATACACATAATAAAGGACCCCTGTTTCACTTGTTAGTGACTATTTCATTCGTGACATTGTTTGACAGTGTCCCTTACCTAGGTCCACCAGGTCACCTACGTAGGGACGCAGCTGGATAGGCATGACAACATAGGTCACACCGAAATTCGTGTAGTAGAAGATCAAAAGGGGAATTCCAGCAATGGCAGGGAACCATACTTTATATCGCCACCTTACATCCAGGACGTCGTCCGCGAAACCCAGAAGCACCATGGATTGGATGGCAAGAATAGCCGACAGTATCTCACCCAGCTATTTCACGCATGATTAATCCAAAAGCGCGGCTATTTCGCAAGACCATGTCAATGCTACCTTATGGTAAGGAAAAGTACCTATCATTGGATCATCTTCGTGGACCAGACGAGCTTTGCCATCGAACCAGGCAAAGAATGGAAACGGCATAAACGCAAACAGGGTGATCAGGTAAATGATGGCTGTAGGCAGCCCCATGGTTTCGGGACTAACATATTTTTTTTTAATTATCGCATTAACAAGACGGCAAAAGCATGTTAGCAAACGCACATTATGGATCGTTCTTTCTTGAGAACATCGACGCCTGACAAGCGAGCATTGACAAAGGTCTGTTTCAATTTGGGAAGCACTTGCGAAGTGATCAATCCAGCGATGACGGATAGTCCGACGGAAACTTTCAAGTTTTCGTGGCCATTGGCAACGTAAACCGCAAGGCCCACGGTGAACAAGGTAGCTACCACCAGGAATAGGTCTCTGCGTGTAGAAGTGGCCATGATCTTTGCAATAGCGTGCAGAGTCCGACCAACACACAAATTACAACCCAAAAAAGCGCAAAATGCCACGACCGTTTTGATCATTGGGCTGCGGAATTTAAAACCGATATCTGTGCCGTTTGGACCTTCCCGTCGCGTTTCATGCACATGCACCCCCACAAGGAAACTGTTCAACACTTTTTTATTGTACACTCGAGGATCGAATGGAAGGCCTTCTAATTTTGTTGTAGACTTCAAAACTAGAGCATCAGATCTAGCCCTCATAAGATGCAACCGAGAAAGGGTATGTCTGAGAATAGGAGAAAATGAGCAAACGCACAAAAGGAACTACGACGACTATGACAGGACGACCCATCTCGTACTTCTATTCATGGTGCGGCCGAAGTCCCACTCGTCTCGGGTTGATAAGAGGATGAAGTTGCGCGAGATACGTGATAGCCCACCTATTGAATGGCGTGAGTTTCCCAATCTTCTTCTGATTCTTCCACTGTTTCAAAAACCATAAAAAAATCAAAACTTACATAAGGTAACAGCAAGTAATGGACATAATAATGATGGTTCGAATCAGCCTAAAAGTACATATGGTTAGGAAAAGAGGCAGAGGACTAGTTTTCAACGCTCTCCCTTATGTTTCAGCGCATGCAACTCGTTTTTGACCATCGAAACACAACACTTACGTTTGGTTATTGCCCTTTGGTGTCAACACGTAGGCTGCTGCCGAGACGACAAAGCACGCAATGAAAGCCCAGATGATATTGTATCCAGACATGACCGAGTCAATTCAAGGATTGGAAGTATTTCTTTGCGAAGACGGAAACCACCTGAGTAGGTTTCAATTGAACCTTGGGTATCAAAAAAAAAACCCAGCAAAGTTCGAAACGAAACGTCACCGAAAAACGTCACCATCGACTTTGATTGGTTGAATGTGTTTATTCGTTCCGGGAAACCGACAATGGCAAACTGTCGCAGGTCGATTAAAAGCCATGCCATGACCTCCAACGCTCAACAGAAAGCCTTCATTCAAGATTACAGCAAAAGTCATGCCTCCTGTTGTGAAAATGAAGACGATATTGAAAAGCATATCATTGAAAACCATCTCACTGATATCTTTGACGTGATTGTCAAGCCAGCTTTTGCACAGCAAACGCATCACGCGTTAATCAAGCGACCCAAGGGACGATACACCGATCCTGTTAAAGACAGTGAAATACCCATGGAGCAAAAGTGGAAACATTCCAAGAATGGTTACTGTGCAGCGGATATTGTTGAATGGTGTATGTTAGCAGTACCTGTAAGTACGGGTTGGATTTTTGATTCGTATTTCCTTTCAGGGCTTCTCATATATTTTTTTTTTCCTACATGACAAGAGCAACACGGCAAATGATTTGTTCCGAAAAGTAGCCCCCATCATTCTGATTATTCTTGATGACTATGATCTGGAGTTTAAGCGGCAAGGCGTCAAGATCTTCCATTGTGTCCTGAAAAATGTCGATGCGGCGCAATTGGTGAACTCTGGCTTAGATCAAGTTTTTTTCCAGGTACATATCTCAGTTATAAATGCAAATCGCATAGGGTCATCTAATGCTTTATGTGCTTGTAGGCCTTAATACAATGTCTACCGCATGTCACCGATGAACGAGGGGTGGAGCTTATCCGTGTGGCGTATCCTTGTGTTATGGATCTCGTGTCATTAACGCGAGCAGAGAAAAGCAAGGAGCGGTTGACCATGTTCGAGAAAATTATGACGGAGGGTATCATTGTGGGTTTGATGTATGCTGGTCATAAAATCAAAGTTTTGCCCATTCTTCTGCAACCCATTGCAAGATTGTATAAAGAATTACGGGCGATCGGAGTCCGCTATCTCAAGGTACTGACATACTTTTTGGCGGACGAAAGCCTTTATTTACCAAGAAATGGCTTAGATCACTTTGCTTGCCATAGGAGACGCTCTCATGATCCACCCAAACCAGAATTTTGCGTCTGAAAAACTGGATGAGGACATTGTTCGCCTCCATGAATCGGCTATTGCAGCGCTTGCAGAAGTGATTCGACAATGCTGGCCACGGTAAGCAGTATCAGCAATTGTGTATCTCTGTATGTGGTTGCTGATGACAAGAATATTGTAGAATACTTCACTATCGCGGATCCATTCTCAAAGCCTTAGCAAATGCATGGCTTAATTACTACGATTCCCAAGGTAACCATCCTCTTAGATACCTATTTTTTTTTCTGTATCTCTTAACCAGATCATTGCTCTTTAGATGAAAATGCAGCAACTATACGTGATGGACTGAAAACTACCTATCAGCTTTTTGCTCTAGCTTGCGAAGGGAAACAAAAGGTACGTCATCAATATTTATCCTTTTTAAATGGTGTTTGAAGAATAACAAACTTGGTAGCCTGACGTGCAATATCTCATGAAACTGAACGCACGTGCATTTTCTTCTCTATCTGAATAACGCTTTACTACGCATTCCACACCTGTAAATATCGTCAATAATTAACCTCACATTCAAGCCAACATGTGCTGCATCATCAGCTGTCGCAAGTGGGCATATTTGATCAACATCACCAATAGTGCGCATTCTTGTACCATTCATCATGTAGGCTACTCTCTGCCCTGGCTCTGCATTTAGAAAGGTGATTGGCCCGTTTTTCCCTTCTTCCCCTCCTCAACTATAAGCTTTGCCACAAGGTCTCGCAATCATCTCCAATTCCAATGAACAGAATATCACATGTTCAGGGGGGGGGGGGAAGCATTCCCGCGATCATCGCAAACTTAAGGCTAAAGTCATAAAAAGCGTCAGACACGGGGCGATGCACGGATCAAGAACCCTTAAAACCATGTTCTGGTTGAATACTTGAATCTAATGCTGTTGTTCATTACCAACGATAAAAATGGACATGCGGACGCATACAACTCGAAGATGATCCATCATATTGCCCAAATGGAATGAAATGATTTAGTGCAAGAGAAGCAGCTGAGATCGAATCTAATTTGCTGCGGCAGTTTGAAAACAAAAAATAACCTCCCCACAATATGGTTTACCGTCAACCGCTGTTCAATTGAAATGAATACAGTGAGTATAATTTCGTCCAATAATTTACCAGGGACTATTTCCTTCTCTCTCATGGTAGAATTATTATTGATCGGTTCATGCTGTTGCTGTGACTTTGGCAACCAAGTTCGATGAAGGGTGTTCGCCAATGGCGGAGTTTTTCAGGCGCCGCAGTAACACATAAAAAAATTCCATATAAAAGGAAGGAAAAACTTTGATCAAATTCTGGCTCTTTAGTATCCGAAAACTCATGGTTCAAGCTCAATTATCATCGTTGTTTACGAAGCAATTGTCCAATTTTGGCATATCGTTGGAAGATGATGCCGTCGATTATATTACCAGTATGCTGCTAGAATCCTCGCTCGATGACCCAGATGAGCTTCGGGAAGCAACGGAACCCTTCTTGATTGATGCCTCTATGGAGCAGTCGCAACTGGATGCCTTTTATAAAGCCCTGTCCCGAGAAATGGGACCTTCCGAAACTGGCAATGCAGCCTCCACTCCCGCACAGCGGCTTCCTGTTGCCAAACAGCCCTCGTCCACCTCACCTGTGGCCAAACCTGTCCAAAATTCTGACTCCGAGGTAATTGATCCCCTCATTTCCAAACAAAGTAGGTTGTTTGGGGAATACCGTATTCACGTTTGTACCAGACTCCATCGTTGGATAAGGCCGACGATAAGCTCGCATCACCCTCCAAAGATCTCGCACGGAAACGAAATAAGCGACGCGGCAAGAACAAAAATGCCGGAGCCGAAGAAGATGAAGTGGAGGAAGCCAACATTGTCGCCACTTCACAGCAAAGCCGATTTCATCTCGAGACATTGGAAACAAATTCCATGGACATTGATCTGCCGACAGTGAATATTACGGTCAATAACTTGGATCTACTTGTGGACGCTCATCTTAAACTGAAGCCTGGCGTGCGTTATGGTCTTGTTGGTCAAAATGGCGTTGGAAAGTCAGGTCGGTGGTACACAATAGGATGCTTCAATGACAACCCATGCTGATTGAATCCCTTTTGCACAGTGCTACTCAAATGTTTAGGCGAAAATATTCTCATTGGGTTACCGCAAAATCTACATATTCTTCATATTTCCCAGTTGGAAGACTTTGACGCGAATACCACTGTAAAGGAAGAAGTTCTCGCCTCTGACAAGGCTACTACAGCTGCATTGGAAGAAGCGAATGGTATGTCATGCAACTGATGTCTTATTTGCTATTTTCACTTCTAACATAAACTGCCTATTCTGGATAGCTTTAACAAGTGTCATGGGTTCCACCAAAGCAGCCGAAGTTTCCGGTGTCAAAGTCAGCGAAGCCGTCTTTGATATCGTTGTCAAGCGACTTGCTCAAAGGGTCGACGACGCCTCCCGCCTTGCCACCAAGCGTTCAGGTGCGAGGGGTCGTGAAGCAAGGCAGCAACTCGTCCAATTGGAGGAAGAGTTTGCCCAACTGAAAAAGCAGGATCCGCATACCTATGTGACCCCCCAGATGACCAATGATATCATCAGCCAAGTGTTTGAACGCGCAGAACTGGTCAACATGGAAGCGCGGCGTGCCAAGGCCAGTAAGGTGCTCAAAGGTCTCGGATTCAGCGATCGCGAAATGGAAGCTCCCGTCTCCACCTTTTCGGGAGGCTGGCGTATGAGAATTGCTTTGGCGAAAGCTTTGTTCTTGGAACCGAATATTCTGCTGCTTGACGAACCGAGTAAGTTATGAACAATCATGGTATCCTAATCAAAACATAGGCACTAATTCCTTCTTTTAAGCCAACCATTTGGATTTATCTGCTATTTTATGGTTGCAGGAGTACCTTATCAATGAAACAGATGACCTGACTGTCGTGGTGGTATCCCACGATCGCGAATTCTTGAATGCTGTTACCGAGGAAACGATTATTTTCAAGGACAAGCAGTTGAAATATCACGCTGGCAATTTCGAGGATTACGAGAGAAATTCGGAAGAACAACGGATCAGAAAGCAGACAATGCTCGATGTAATATAATGAATAATTCATTATTGGTTTGGAAACATGGCTCACACATTTTTCTAGGCCCAAGAAAAGCGAAAGAAGCAAATTCTTGCCAGTATTCAGCATAATGCGCAGCAAGCCAAAGCCACTGGCGATGACAAGCGACACGGAATGATCGCATCACGGAAAAAGGTAGATTAGCGCAACAATTGGATGATTCGTGGCTTTGGTGTTGACCTCGTTTATGGATGACAATAGAAACTGGAGCGACTTGGTATGGAAAAAACTGAGGACGGCAAACGGTTCAAATTGAACAATCGTGCTGGTTACTTTTTATCCACCCACGAGCAGATCGTCGTTGAAAAAGCGAGCAAATCTGCTTCTATCAAAATCCCTGATCCAACCCCTTTACGTTACCACGGTCCTGTTTTTTCCATGAAGTCCGTTTCCTTCCGGTATCCTAAAGCGACCAGCGATATCATTCACAACTTCTCTATCAATATTGGCATGACCTCGCGTATCACTTTTCTTGGAACAAACGGCAGTGGTAAAACAACGTTACTGAACCTACTGACGGGAAAATTGCAACCGACTTCAGGAGAAGTGTATCGACATCCACTTTTGCGCATCGGCTATTTCTCCCAAAACGTGGTCGATCAGCTGGATATGGACCGTACGCCTGTGGAAGAAATGATGCGACAGTACCCCTCGCTTAGCGAGCAAGACTGTCGCGCCCATTTTGGTACGGTCGGTATCAGTGGAAACGTGGTGTTGCGGAAAATCAAGAGTTTGAGTGGTGGGCAACGTAGTCGTGTGGCTTTTGCCATGACACTATACGAGTTACCGCATGTCTTGATTCTCGATGAAATCACGAATCATCTTGATATGGGTACGATCGATAATTTCGTTGAAGCGTTGGCGGGTTTCCAGGGCGCTCTGATCCTTGTGAGTCACGATGTATGGTTCCTGAAACAACTAATGGAAACGTTGCCTGAAGAGGAAGAAGACGAAGAAGTGGCGGTACAAGACGATATTGTTTATTATGAAGTCAAAGGTGGACGAGTCAAACGCTGGGAAGACGATATTGATGCTTATGTTGGTTCGGTGCTCAAGCATGTCCGAAAAACGCGCTTCTAACCCAGTCGGCCATGACTGGTTTTGTTGGATTTCTGTATATACCTTGTCTGATTACCGCTATTGTCCTTTTCTTAACTTCGCTTCTTGTCTCTATATGTCGCTAATAAAAATAAGCGTTCTTATGGCTTATGGCGATCTTCATCATGATCGATTCAACTTTTTCCTGCTGTTGTTTAAATTTCTGGAAGTACATTACGATTGCATATTGTTCACCCTTCACATAAGAACACAGAAATACACTGTAAAGAGGAAAGAATTTTGAGTTTTTTACTGCCCTTAACCCTGGCTTTTTACCGGCAAGTTCCTTTTTATTCATCGTTCACTTTTACCTCGATCTGATCTCCCTTTGATCTAGACCGTTGAAAATATGTGCTACTAGCAGTGAATGAGATATAATCTTCAGCTAGCTTAGCCGGTGTCACAATTGAGAAATACTCGCTTACCTCAAGCATGCAAAGATTAGATCAAAGCAATACAAATGATTTTTTTATTAGGCCATGGGAACTCCCCGCCCGCCTGACGTGAAGTACAAGCCTTGACCGACTGGGTGTGCAAAGAAGCGCCTTCGGGTGTCTCTTTGGCTGGAGAGCAGCCCTTTGCGGTTTGCTTTTCCAGTTCGTCGTTCAGGTCGCCTCTGCCAGGGAAGGCTTCGCTAGCGACGTCGACCCGTCGAGGGGTGGAAAGCTCGTACTGATGCCGCACGCCGTACTTCTCTGCCTGAGCAATCCAGTAAGCCACCAATCCCGCCGACCAGCTTCAGTAAGAACTATTTTTCCCTCCTTTTTCTTTCCCCCAGCATTCCCTTCCCTTCCCTCCCCCTCCCTTTTTTTTTTCTTTTCTTTCGTTCGTACCAAGATCTTGACGATTCGGCAACTCAACGACTCGACACGACACGACACGACGACCTTTCAGCGTTCGGCATTGCGACATTCCGGCATCTCGGCAATTCGACCTACGACGACTCAACGGCACTTCGACTCAACGGCACACAACACGACGACTTGACGACGACGGCAACTTGGTTTTTTTTTTTCCTCCCCCTTTATGTCCGTTTTCTCCTTCCCCTTTTCTTTTTGGTTCTTACTGTAAGTATGGTTTAAAGGCTGATCCGGGCAAGAGGGCAAGGGTTCAATACGAGCGGTGAGGTGCGAGTAACTTTCTTTCCAAAACGGTGAGACTCGCTGGTGGGGTTGGAGCTGGTACGTGGCCTGAATAATCCAGTCGGTAACCACTACGGCGGTGGTTAACAAGAAGCAAGCAAAGCCAACAAGCACGCCAATACCGGAACGGCACATGAAAATTGGATGGAAACGCCTTGGAACCTGGCAACTTGACCTTTTCCCAGCACGAAACACCGGTTCCAGAAGCATAAAAAAAATCTACAAATCATCAAGTCCATATGCGTAATATACCATTGCTTACATTTCACAAATTTCTATTGCACAAAACCAAAAACACACACACACACACACACAAAAGGAATCATGTAATAATTATAATTTTTGCAACATATATTCATCGTCCAATTTCTGTTCTTCATATTCGCTTGATTTTGGATTCTATCTTTCTTCAAAATTGCTCCGCTTTGCTTGCTTCGCTTATAAATTTATCATAATAAAAATATTCATTGTATTGCTTTGACCTACTTTATGTAAACGAGTATTTCTCTGAATGCTGAAAATAGAGTATGTTATTATTGAAAGGTTGCCGATGCTGTGGAAATCTGTTGGCATCGTGAAGGCCAACTTTTTGGGTGCGCCAATTTTTCATAAACTGACAGCATCTAAACCCAGATTTTCACCAAGCCCTCCCCATATGGGACAAACTTGCATTGTATGACCTACGCACACCAATAATCTCATCATATTACAGTATTTGATAATATTTCACTAAACTTTTCCATGGTCAAAGACAGTGATGGAGGATTAGCTAGGCATTGAATGCTTCTATTTGGCATATTATTGGATTTTTTCCATCCCAAATGTCACACTGGGTGCAGTTTCCTAAAAGTTTTTGCATTTAATATTATAATACGTAGAATTGTAGGTGGTTTCGAAGGCGACTCGAAAAATGCAAGAATGGGCAACGACGATTTTGCGGTTCAGCAGTGCCTTTTTTTCCGTTATGCAGGGCAATATCGAAATTGTGCGATCCCACAGCCAATTTCCCGTGTGTGACTGTTTATCCACTGAATTGCAAAGCCACGGATCACACAGACAATTTTCGTTCTTTTTTTTTAATACTATCCTTCACAGCTTTTCTCAGGTCGTGTACACTCCATGGTTTCTAAAAAAGCAGCTGAGCGCAAAGGCAAAATTGCGAAGAAAGCCAACGGGGCAGAAAAACCCCAGAACGTGCCGTCGACCTCCCCGACCACCGTGAAATCGGTCCCTCAATCGAAACCCAAAGAGAAACCGTCGAAAAAGCGTACCATTGAACAATTGGAAGAAACCCAGAAAGACGAAGAAGATGATTTCGGTCAAGTCGCCATTGATATGGGATCCTCCGATGAGGAATCGGATGCAGACGCTGAATCGGACGGTGACATTGAAGAATTTCCGGAATTGAGCATTAGCGACGATGAAGCCGAGGATGACAGCGATCTCGAAAACGACGAAAACGAAGATGAGGCCATCGAAGCTGAACTTGAAGAAGAAGAAGAAGATGAGGACGAGTATATGTATGGTGACAGTTTGGATGAGGCGGATCTGGAGGAAGAAGAAAATGCACAGAGATCCTCGTCAAGGTAATCAGGACATGGTGGGGCAGTTTTGAATGCTGAGATCTAACATGATTTCGACAATAGTGTACGCTCATTGCCAAAACTTCCCGAGATTGAAGCCAACTACGACAGTGATTCTTCTACCGAAGAAGTAAGTTTGACTGTGCTGTACGAAAGGATTGGGGTGGGATAGTTTTTCTGACAAGGTGACTGCGATTATAGAATGAGAACACTGTGGGTAATGTTCCCATGGAGTGGTACAAAGACATGCCGCATATCGGTTATGATCTCAATGGCAAGCGTATTCTCAAGCCTGCGACCGAGGACGAATTGGAGAAATTCTTATCTACCATGGAAGACCCTGATTCCTGGAAGTCCGTGCGCAGTGAAAAGGATGGCAAAGATATCGTACTCAACGATGAGGAAATGGATATCATTCAGCGTCTCCAAGGCGGTGAAATTCCTGATGCCAGTTATAACCCTTACGAACCCACCGTTGAATGGTTCACAAGCAAGACCGAAACCATGCCACTGTCGTCTCGTCCTGAACCTAAACGTCGTTTTGTTCCATCCAAGTGGGAAGCTAAGAAGGTGGGTTACTTCATAAACTCATGGATCACTGAAGGCGTTTTTGGAAAACTAACATCTCTTTCCGTAGATCATGAAAATTGTGCGCGCTATCCGTGATGGACGTATTGTGCCGCGTAAGCCCAAGGATGAGAAACCACGATTCTACAACTTGTGGGGTGATGACGATAAACCACGCGAAGATCATATCATGCATATTGCTGCGCCCAAGATGAAGCTTCCTGAGCATGACGAAAGTTACAATCCTCCTGAAGAGTACCTTCTCGATGAGAACGAGAAGAAAGAATGGGAAGAAATGGACGAGGAAGACAGACCCAAGAACTACTTGCCCAAGAAATATAACAGCCTGCGTCACGTTCCCGCTTACGATCGTTTCATCCAAGAACGATTCCAGCGCTGTTTGGATCTGTATCTCGCACCTCGTGTGCGTAAGAACCGACTCAACATCGATCCCGAGTCCCTGGTGCCCAAGTTACCCAGTCCCAAAGATCTTAAGCCTTTCCCCACACATCAATCGATCTCTTACGAAGGACATACAGCACGTATTCGAAGCATCTCGATCCATCCCAGCGGTTTGTATGCGCTTTCCGGTTCGGATGATCAAACTGTGCGTTTATGGGAAGTGGCCACGGGCCGCTGCTTGTGCATGTGGCAATTTGATGGTGTCATTCATGCTTTGGCTTGGAACCCAAGCTCCGATATCTGGTTGTTTGCCGTTTCGGTGGGCCATGGTGAGGTGACCTTGATCGCGCCTCCCAAACTGTGCTCTGGAGAACAGGCGATGGCTACCGATCAATTTGTCAAGGGAGGATTTGCGAATGTGAGTGACGACAAGGATCGATCCAAGGCCGTCGTTTCTTGGAGCAAACCGTCTGAAGCGGAAGAAGAGAAATATGGTTTCAAGGTCCGTCTTCAGCATACACAGACCGTGAAACAGATCACTTGGCATCGCAAGGGTGATTACTTTGCCACCGTGGCACCGGACGCTAGAAACCTTGCTGTCCTTATTCATCAAACCACCAAACACCAAACGCAAACACCTTTCCGACGTCTCAAGGGTTTGGTGCAAAAGGTCGCTTTCCATCCTATCAAACCCATCTTCTTTGTTGCAGTAAGTAATCGTTTAGCATATGATAGGAGGTTGATTTTGGATTGGCTTTTGCTTACCATGGGCGACTTGCTCTACTTTGATAGACACAAATCTATGTGCGTGTGTACGATTTGATGCGTCAGGAATTGATCAAGACTCTGCACTCGAGCGCCAAGTGGATTTCCAGCATCGATGTTCATCCCGGTGGTGATAACGTACTTCTCGGTACTTATGATAAGAAGGTGTGCTGGTTCGATATGGATCTGAGTTCGCGACCCTACAAATCCTTAAGGTACAGTATATCTATTGGGACGCATCACGGCCGCGTTAGGGACTAACATGATGATTTTTTCGGCAGATATCATACAAAGGCTGTACGACAAGTCGCGTATCATAAGCGATACCCGCTTTTTGCATCTTCATCCGATGATGGCACTATCCAAGTGTTTTACGGAATGGTCTATGACGATTTATTGCAGAATCCTTTGATCGTACCTGTAAAGATTTTGAAGGGCCACACAGAAAAGGATGGTTTAGGTAAGTTAAAAAAAAAGTCTCTTTGATTCTTGATTGATCGATTAACCGACACAAAAATCATATTAGGTGTATTAAACATCGAGTTCCATCCTACACAGCCTTGGATTTTCTCTTCGGGTGCCGATGGTTCTTTCAGACTTTGGACCTAAAAAGGACATCCAATAGATCATAATAATAACCCCCTCTTTGATTTCATCGTTTCTGCAATCATTTCAATTATTTTCTCATCTTCAGTGGTCTCTTTTTTATTTTTCTTTTTATCCACTAGCATAAACAGCTTCTTTAGTTACAACATAAGCATCTCATCAAAACCGTTTAGTTGATAAGGGTATCATTTTTTTGTGGGCAAGGCAGTTCCGGCATTGTCCAGAGCCATCACTCGACGGATTTTTCTCCGTCCAGTGACTGTCATTTCTGATGGGCGATGGCCCATTTCACATAAATCGTGAATGATGCTTTTGCTTTCCAAGCATACTACGTGTTTCGTTGTCAAATGTCAGACCAGTTTCCGTACGTACCAGTGATTGAAAATGTCTTGCATGCTTTAAGCTCATATAGCTGGAATTAGCTTTTCTGAAGATCGAATGCAACATGAAGTTACCGATCCTGTACTAAACGATGCGCGACCAATGACCGGTGCAGACACTCCCGCATCAACCGCTGCTGCAGCAGTGAACTTGACAACAGTTCAAATGCCACAATCTCAGGAAACATCGCAACAAGCACTCAATGAGGATAGTCCGATGAAGCTAGAGGTACTTCAACATGAATCGAGCTGAAGCACGTGAACAATGGCAGGAACCTGATCTGCTTTCTAGGATGACCATCGATTTGTACACAACTACCCACCGACTAAATCACACAGTAGTACTTCGTTATCAGGAACGGTTCAAGCGACCATGACGAAAGCAGAAAATATCAGTACGGAAGCGCCGGCTCATAATCATCGTATGGATGGATTATCACCGCGTTCGTATTTGGACTCCACGGTGGTGCCAACATTGTTAGACGGTATGAAACTTTTGGTCTCCGAAAGGTACGCTTGTCTTTTTTCAGCTTGAAGCGGGGGAGAAAATTGAGTTTCTTTGAAATTGCTCACGGCAGCAGACCTGCGGATCCCCTTGCATTTTTAGGAAGATATCTTTTGGAACGCTCCACAGCCAATGATGGGGAAGATAGAAAGCATTGATAACGAAAACCACGGTAACGGCAGTGAACATAAAACAAAACAAAAAATCAAAGGGAACCCTTTCTGGATGGCAAAATAATTTTCATCGTCCGCCCTCATATTCATTACTTTTTGTTCCTTTGTGTGTGACAAGAAAAAAAAATCCAATAACTGCTGGCCGTTGTCTACTTCTGACTTCCCCTTTTATTTCATCTCCTTCACGTATCTACGGATACAGCCACTTTTTATACACCTTATTTCTTCCATCTTTTTTACACTCCTTTTTTCGCCTTCAAGTCTCTTTACCTTCCCTCACACACTTCCTCCAAGTCTTCGCATAGCCAATTGCGCTAATCATTTTGCAACATACCCTTCTTTTTTTCTCAATGTAAACATAATTTTTACTTCTCAAAAAAGAAAGGAAACTTCAGTCCATGCAGTCTTGTTCGAATTATACTGATACCTGTTTAGTATCATTGCCATTGCATCGTTCTAGTTAACACCATGGGATTTATGGAGAAAATCAAAGCCCAAGTGGAGATGTGGAAAATCGAGAAATACACAAAACGACGACCTGTCACCACCCCCGACTTTGAACAGAAAGGTGATGTTTAAAAACAAATTGTGTTCTGTTCCCCGGCCAAAAGCCCAGCACGATAGACCCTAACCATCTCGATCTCTCGTGTAGATCGCGACTTTTATCGTCAGTACTACCAAGATGGCGTATACCTACATCATCATCGACGAGATGCTAACGATCCTAATGTTCCTTCTCGAACGAATTCTGGTCTGGGACGAAAGACAACGCTTCTACGTAAGAAGAGCGAACGAATCGTTCGCTCCTCGGAGAACTACAATCAGTCTTAGAAACTTTTTTTAAGAAAAAAAAGTCTTGTTTCAACACCGTCCTCATGGGAAAAACGAATAAAAATCAAAAAACAAAAAACTATAAATGTAATCGAGCATTGTCATGACGATTCTGAAACAAGAACACTTGAAGATTGACGCTTTGATCTTTTTTACAATAACCATAAATTAACCCAGGTCACAAGGTTAATTTAGGAATGGAGAGAAAAAGAAGAATTGATGCCACTTGAACCCTTGCTGGTTGGTTTTTGGCGCTAATGATGGGTATCTTTTTTCCAGGCACAAGAATAATCGGGTCATTTCTTCCTCGTACCTACTGTATTGCTGGCAGCCGTTTCTTTTTTTTTTTCTTTTCCTTTTTTTAGACTATAATTACTCTAGGGCGGAATCAGAAGCGGGAAAGCGATAATGACTCGAGGAGGGTCAAAGACCACTCGAGAAGTGAGACGACATTGCCGAAAAAGGATGTTGTCCCTGAATCGGATTCCCTTTTTTATACGATTTATTCCAAGATTGAATTCCTGCTCATGCTCATTGAGCTGGTGGAACTTAAAATGAAGGTTTCTCGGTGACGGATGGTGAGAAATAGCGTAAATCGTTGGTATCGCAAAGGAACGGAATAGGCGACGACGTGGTGGAAGAACAAGGGGACGATGAAGAACATGATGACATGGACCGTGGTGAGGAAGGGATGGATCGCGCTTTCCGATGCTGAGCCACAGCTTTGTTTTGCCGTGCCACTGATCTCGAATACCGCAGGCCACACGCATTGCATAACCTATAAAAAGCATCTTTCAGGGACTCTTCATTGTAGTAAGAAAAAGAAAAAGACCAAAAAAAATTCAGGGAAAAAACAAACTCACGTTTTATGCCCCGACGGGCCCCTGCGCCATTCTGGACTGGAATCAGTTCCGCAACTTTCACAAAAGTGAGGCGTACAAGACGAATGGGATCGAAGGAATGCGTTGGTCCCTTTACTTGATGTTAACAGTGAACGGCAACGCCTTACAAAGACAGAAGGCTGTGCTGGTATATCTTGATTTGATGGAGAATGGGCTTTTCGAGCGTAAGGAATGGCTGAATTGGTTTCGTTACTTCCTTGAGCAGATGTCCTCTGAGTCATTAATCTTTTTTCTGTGTTTAATAGTCCGGTAGACAAGCTGGAAACGGTTGGAAATCCTGTACTCATGGATGGAAGTAAACGTTCGGGGGCTTTTCCGTAACGTGGATCCACGAGCGGCTCGGACCATGGCGAGAGAAACCCTTGTGCACTGGGCAAGGTACTACAAGATAAATATAAGCTACCTTTTGCAGGTCAAAGTCGCATGCCACTAAGCCAAATTACTCTTTATCGCTTTTTTCCACTTGAACGTTCTGGTGACTTGGGCGGTCGACGGTACGAGAAGACAGCGAGGATTGGGTATTAGGCGAATCAATGGAAATAAATACAAGGCATCCGTAATGAATGACGAGACGATCGACAACATGAGATTTGGTATATAGCCGCTTGATGGACGTATTTTGCATAGAAGAATGCTGGTATGACGTGATATCTTTCAACAGAGTAGGATCCAAAGGATGATGCGATGACGTCCACAAAGTCTGTTGCAGGTTTTTGTATAGGATAGTAAGATGGCGGGAACGTGAAGAAAAAGGGATTCTGCTGTGCAAGGTTTGATGTAAATTCTTTTTCAGGTGATGAATCATCTGTAACATTTGTAAAAAATGCAAAGCAAGTTTTAGTGTCCACGAAAGCGCCATCGCTGAATGAATTGCAAGCTTACGTTATTGTCATAGGTTTCTACACCACACATGTGATGGCCAGCCACTGTTTCATAAAAAAATCGAAAGAATAAATAAGCCAGGTCTGCCCACCGATAAAAAAAAATGGAAATTTTGCCATTACTTGGATGGGTGTGGAAAAATGCAAGTACGCATTGATCGCTAACAATATACATGGTCAGATCTACCACCATCCACGAAGACGAATTCTTTTATGGTCATACTATTATCAGTCATGATGAACAAAATGGATCCTCACGGCGGCAAACTTACATAAGCAGGCGTACTCCAGTCCTGTAAGTTTCGTAAACGGCATCTAAAGACACGCGAAAATTATCATATAAATAAACCCATAAAATCATAAGCATTGCGTAAGTTTTCAAATCTATTTCTATACTATAATAATTGCCTAGTAATTGATCCATTGAGTGTCATGGTATCCATAAATCGTGTGAAATCGCGCCGTGCCAACGTGACTTCGTCTGGATGAAAAACATCATACAGTGACCGGTGTGATAGTGATGTCGAGTGATGAGGAATGGCGGATGAGTAGAGGAGAACGAGATCGTTCAGCGTTAACAAAGCCCAAAAACATGCAGGTTGCATAGTAGAGGAAATACGATTAGAGACGGGAAAGAAAAAATGAAAGAAAAAAAGGTTTATAAGAAAAAATTGAAGGTTGAAACGGAAGGAAGAAATAAAGCCAGTTGAATAAAAAGTTGAGGAATTGAAACGAACCTTCAGTTAGGAAAAAAAAATGGTGGCCCAAGCCGTTAACATAAAAACGGGAATAAGGAATCTGAGAACATCTGAATGATCTTGGGTGTACAAAAAGTTGAACCAAGAGCCGCCATAACATATCGTAAGGGTTTCGATCGCTGTGTAACTTTAGCTTCTCATTACACATGAAGTTCCCACTTTCGATCATTTGCATCTGCCTCATGTTGTTTTTTACACACAAAAGCCTAACAGAGACAAAGCCGACGATATGGATATTGTCGCCAATTAAAGAATATTTGTCGGCAGTTGAGAAATTATTGTCGCGAGCATTTGCCATAACAGATATCTATTTTCTGCCGTTGTCCATCTCACCAAGTGTGCTGTGTTTTTTAGAAAGATAAAATGACGTGTTACCACGGGTTTCTGAGATGTAAGCGTCATTCACTTTTTTTTATACGCTCTGGAAGTCGCGACTAACGTTTGGCAAATACTGCACCTACAGTAAAGCAGATAATTAACTTCGTCGTAGTCGTAGATAGGATTGCGAGAAAGTTCTAGCCATAAATCGTTTCAAAAAGAAATATGAAAGGCTAGTTCATCAAGAACGATGCAATTCGTGGAAAGCACAATCTGTTTATTGCCCTTTTTGTACGTAATCGTAGGTTGACTACTGAGACTTTTTCCTTACTGCTTTTATCCAATGGCGGGCACTGCACTTGTTAAAGATGATAGATTGGTACTATAAATATTGCCTAGTCCCACCTATGTATCAACGCGGTCCCCGTTATCTCTCTCCACTAGGTTTCGTTTAAGCTCATAAATAAGGTTTTTTTTCGAGGAGCGCAGAGTCAGTTAGTAGTTGAATAAGAAATCGTTTCGATAGCGGAAAATTAAGTCTCTCGTCAACAGTAAAGATCCGTCCATCGGTTTAAACCCCGTGTTCACCTAAACATGTCCTTGACGACTATATTTTGGTTTATCGTGTGTGACAGCATTGTTGGGCACGAAAATGGCTTTGCACGACACTAATTCAAAAGCGGCGACTTTATTTTCTGGGATGGCTTCCAGATATTTTTGATTTTTGTATGACAATGCATTGGCTGATCAGAGATTCGAAAAGCGGATGAATTCGCCGTTTTAGAACCGAGTAAACTTTGTGTGATGAGAAAAACGAGTTTCTTGAATAAGATTGGTGGACCATGTGAAGCTGGGAGCGACTCACTTCAGCAGCATTGACCGGCCGCAAAGTTTAAAATTGAAAGATTTGGTGCAATGTTGCACTAGAATCGAATGACACAACGCAAACTTTAAACAGGAAAAAATGATCTTGTTTTGATTTTTCTTCTTTTTTTTTGCAAGTTACAGCCGGTACGATGGATGTTGTCGCTAATTAAAACAAATTATTGTCGCTTTATTTTTCTATAAGGCATTAGCGGAGTTTCAAAACGCGACAATGAAATGCTTGATTTTTTCGTGCCTCAATGGGCAGCTCTTTCTCATTCTGCTACAAAAAAAAATATGGTCAGCGAGTTCCAATATCCTTGCCAAGAAACTACGAATATTGAGGAACAGACTTCCAGAACGTTTTTCAAGAGCGGCACTGGATGAGAAGGACGGTGGACCTCGGCTCACATAGGTGGAACAACTCAGGAAAGAAGATGGCATCCCTTGATTCGAAGCTTTTCATCCCGGATGTCCTGCGGTCTGTATATTCGATAACAACACGAACCGTCAAGCCGTCGCTGATGATGCCCTGGTACTGTCCCGGATGACACTCAACGATAAGTCGCGGCCCACAGACGCAAAGTATCAGTTCAGAGATACCGTGACGACACTTGCAGGTAGAGGTACTTTGCCACAAGCCTTCTACTACGAAAAGGACAACGAGACAGTGTATGAACGAACGGAACTGTTTTCGGAAGATATTTTCAAACTCATAAAAACAATATATCACTTTATATGAGGAGAAAACGTCTGCGTCCTTCACACTCTTCGCCAAAATAAAAATGGTGCGCAGTTTTTGAAGACGCAGAAATCAAGGAAGCGCGTCGACTCAGGGAGTCGAACTGAGCGAAAAATTATTTTTATCATGAAAGCCGAAGATCGAGGTATTGATCGTAGTAAGTATAGACTGACTGATGAAAAAATAGGTGTTGTTATGTTTATAATGTTTTTAGCTCAAAATATTGGCAACTACCAATCTCGATTCGAAATGTTCATAAAAGGCTTAAAGATGGATGCCTTTGAGGTGTTCGGGTATGCCAGAAATAGTCCGCACAACTTAGCAAGCGAAGCTTTGAAAAATAAAAACCTTTATTGCGATCTCGTTCGTTGGTCGAATCCGTTTACGTCTCGTCAGAAAGCCTTGCTAAGAGCCCGATCCTCTCACGAGATATATCCAATGCGGATGGAGAACTGACACAGGTGGAGCCTGATGACTGTGCTGGTATCACGCAAGTAAGTTCCAGGAAAATAAAAGATTTGGAGGAAGATGACTTCGCGTCCCATCTTTTGTTCTTATTGCTGACGTCCATCTCCAGCACCTTTTATTATTGCTCGCTTCCATCCCCAGTTCACGTTTTATTATTTGCTCGCTTCCACCTCGCGTCCATCTCCCTTCGATTTGAACCCATAATGTTCTCAGATTCATAAGTCACCCTTACGCATTCTCAAGCAACTTGTGTTTTTTTTTTTTTTTTTTTTTTGGAAAAGATATAAATCCAGAGAATGAGCTCCTGTGCGAACGAAAAATCGAGGCAATGCTCGATGTTGAGCTTTGTTATATAAACAACATACCTACAGAACCTTTTCGGGTGGCGAAGAACCGAATCAAGCTTTTCCCTTTTCGATACCAACTATATCGCCGTGAAAATCGTGAAGAACTTACCGTCAGAAGTTCATTGATGAATTGGATGAAATGAAGGGTAGTTGTGCCTTTAGATAACGGACGCAGCGACTTTGGACAAATGATAAGATAAAGTCTAGCGACACACTCTCTTTGAAACAGCATTATTGCAAATGAGAAGGCTGGATGAGGCATGTGCTTTTATGTTTGGTAAAACCTCGATCTCTCTGTTTTTTCTGGATGCCCATCCATGCTTCCTTGCTCTTGGTCATCCAGTAAAGCCAAGTTTGCCATTCTTTTGTCTTCACCAATTTTCCAGGGGACGTATCATCATGTTGAATACTCAAAACTATTAGTATCGATCTCCATAGCGAATCGGAAAATCGGTCATTCGCACTTGTCTTAAACATTTTCTGCCATTATCCAATTTGCATTTCTGGCAGAAATAATGGTTGCATTGATTGGTAGGCACTAAAGAACTTGGTTTCATGGAGTTTTGGGGTCAAAAGCAAACCGAGCCGGATTCATGGAGCTATCCCATCGACCTTGAGCTTCAGCATCGTGAGTAGTCTTCGCCAAGGTCTGCATTAAGGACCGATTGAAGCCTTTGCAGAGTCCGTTGGTATGGGGTCGATACGCCAACCATTCAACAATCGTAGGAGGTCGCTTACATAGCAAATATCGGCCAGGGCATGGCGCTTTAATTCACCTTCGCATCAGTCAAAAGCAACGAGACGTGTTTGCTTCGAGGACACCATTCGACGCAGCCACCAAGTTTTCTCGTAATCTTCTTCGATACTTTGTCGTTGCTGCTGCCGTTGGCTCCAAGGTTGTGACAAGGCAGCCGTCAACAAAATTGGTCAATGGATCAATTAGAAACATATTTTTCACAGCTTTTTTACTCGTGTGGATAGCCGTTGCTTCCGTCAACCAGTTGTTTCAATAGCGACCTTTTTTTCATTTATTTTTGGATCATGCGACATTATTGCAAAATAGACGAATTTATGTTCTAAAAACCTGTAGATCCCTTCTTTTCCAATCCGTGTGTCACCATGTCGTCCATAAACATCGAGAAAACCCCCTTCTCCCCCGATTCCATGTGTCACGGTAGAAAAACAAAGATCCGGTCGTCTGGATTGTACTGGCATTTTGTAACATGTCACAGAATTCCCGACGGTATCTTGCCGTTTATTCCTTTTAATGTTGTCCGTTCCATTCAACGCAACTCTTAAACGTGACTCCGTCTCCGCCAAAAATGTCCAGTGCGCTACACAAAAAGGAATTTTTTGTTTTTTGTTTTTTTTTCCATTAGTTAGTAATGACCAGCCATGTTGTATTCTGTAGCATTTGTTATGATTACCTGCCAAACGTGAGATCGACTTTGCCTTTGGACAATGTTTCTACAAGTGCTAAATCTTCCAGTGCTGTGTTCAAAAATGTTAGTCATTGAAAGCTAAACGCTATTTGAAAACTCCGCCTGACCTCGTCCACCGCCCGCGTAGGTCGTTGGCAATGTCACCCAGTCACCCAAACCTGGATATCAAAAGAAAAAAAAAAGATAAATTCGTCATATCTTATCGTTGAAAACGTCATCCATCTGATCTTACATCGAACGAGATCCTCATCAATGCCTTTGCAAAGACCTTCCACATCGGCGGCGTGAATGAGAAATTCGCTAACGTCCCCATCGAGAAGAAAACAGTTTAGCATTTTTGGCAGCCGTTGTTGCCCTGTTAATAACGATTGATTTTACCTGCAATATTCAGAAAGCATGGCCAATGTTTCTACAAGTCAAGTGATGATCGTGATCAGTCATGCATTGATTGAGCTTGTTTCTGTTGATTTTTCTTTACCTTTGTTCACTTCCATATCGGTCATTGTTTGCCATTTGTTCATGGCCACAATCCATTTATTATCCCGTCGTCGACAGCTGACACCCACCACGCGTGAATAAAGAGAGATAGATAGACCATTCGCGCTAATTTCCGTCACTCACCTTACATCCACCACCAATCGATCTTTGCCGACTTTGGCACTGATTTCTTGCAGTCTTTCCAAGGAAAACTGCGCGTTGGGGAACAGATAACTCGTGACGATTACCTATATTCCATAGGAACGGTGAGCGCAGCTGTGCTGTAAGTCTCGAACCGATGCGTTGTATACCTTGGAAGCTCCAAAGTCTAACCACTGTTGGGCGTTGGCGGTGGTGATGCCGCCGCCTACTTGCAAGCCGTTTGGCCAAGCTTGCAAAGCTTCCTTTGCCGCGTCGTCATTGTTGGGACCAAGTTTAATGACATGGCAACGAGTAATATTATGCTTCTTGTAAAGATCCGCATAAAACCTCGGCGATTCACTGGTGAACAGTGTTGTCAGTTGTAACTGTGCAAGGTATGACCAAGTTTCGTCATTTTTACCTTGAAACAAAGTTGGTGCGTAGTCCCTCGGGAGCCGCATCACTTAATGATCCGCCAACAATTTGCTTCACCTGACCGTGATGCAAATCAATACAGCCGTTGAATCGTGTCATTGAATTGAAACCGAAACGCAGAGCTGCAATTTTGGGAAAATCATCGGCTCGTTTAATATCGTGACGGGGTTTTCAGGCACAGACAGATGCGCATCCCAAAGAAGGAAATGTCTATCGCAGACAAACGTCTTCTTTGACAGTAACATCTCATGCGATTTCCCAAAGTGTACCAATTTGGCCCCATTTCCATTCCAGAGACTCAAGTATTCTATACTTCGCAACACTGTTTGGGTCTTGTTAACTTGAAACCCATTGCTCCGTATGTCAATCCGTGCCATTATCGAATAGCTGAGTACTCATGATACCACAGTGGCCGTATCCTTTTTTTTTTAGAGTATATGATGCTCCAAAGCTTTCCGTATCCACTTACGTTCACGTTATCCTTGACATTTTCACAGATGTACTTGTCATTAGTAAAAGAGTCGCCACTCGCTTGCACGATCTGAGCCCTGAAGAAGCGAGCGATATGATGATCAGTGCCCAGAAAATCGGGCACGCCATTGAAAAGTATTACAATGGAACTTCTCTAACCATGGCTATCCAGGATGGTCCACAAGCAGGGCAATCGGTAGGCGGATTTTGGTCGCTTATTCTTTATACCGTTTTGTGTCATTTAAACTCTCTGTCTAGGTACCCCACGTACACATGCATTTAATTCCGCGTCGCCAGGGTGACTGGGCAAACAACGATGACATTTACGACGAGTTGGATAACAAGAAAAAGGGGGTAGACAATGACGAACGGAAGCCACGGTCAACGGAAGAAATGAAAGAAGAAGCTGATCGTCTGAGAGCCCTTTTTGAATAAGATGACTCTGCACACCTTGTAGACCGGCCAACAAATACACATCACACCACATTACAATACACTTCTGGAAACAGTAGAATAGTTGTCTTGTACAAGACATATTGCAGTAGGATATATTCACATGGCTGAGTGCGTAAAATACATTCAGAATCACTTGGTCTTGTGTCTCTTTTTCGCTGAGCACGGTAGATTATGATCATTTTTGATATTGAGTGACAGTTTTGTCAATGCCCGGATGAGCTGTCATTTTGAACTCGTACAACATAGCCTGCGGATTTATAAATATGGGTTTTCAGTTCGTCCAAGCTGTTGCCTTCCAACCCGTAAAGCTATTGTATTGGTTCATCGAGTCAGATCACAATCATTGCGGGTTCATGGCGATTTCCGACTTACGCTTGAGATGAATTCCACCATATTTCCTTCTGGAATTTCCGCTTTGGCTCTTGGGCCCCAGTAATACTCCCATTCCGGTACGGTATTTGGATCAGGTTCATTTGTCTTGGTCCGATGGAGATAACCCTGCTTCACAAACGTGTCCAAGAGCCTATCACGATCGCCAAACGTGGGTGACGAGTCGGTAATTTTCAGTCGATCCAGATGCTGTTTCAATTCGCCTGAAAAAGATCACGGTTATTCTCATACTGCTGACCTGATTGACTGTCTTTGTCTTTACCATCTTCTAGAATCTGCTCATGCACCAGAATCAAGGCTAAAATCACGTACAGAATGCCCGTATTGGTATACTCTTCATCGGAATATTGGATGAGTTCGGGTACGTTGTATTTCATGGATAAAACATTTCGTAAGATATACGTCCTGCTCGCTGCTAATTTGGTGCCAGGCAATTCTATCGATCGTTATTAGCAGCTGATGGCTTTTTCGACTTTTGAAGATGTATGTACCTTTACGATTGTTTGCCACGGACGGCTTTTCTCTTAAGGGTAGCTCCACCATTTCCATACCGAAAATGTGGCGTAATTTCTCCTGTGCACTTCTGAATACTACGTTGAACATTCGCGGTCGTTCTGACAAAACTGGAAAAAGTCAAATTGTTGGTTAAAACCGCCAAGTCCGACGAACGGTTTTCGATTTGTCACGCTTGCTTACCTCGTTTACTGATTTCTTCACGTCGAATCGTCTGCTTTTTAAATTCACACGCAAGCGCATAACGTACGGTATCTTTTACTTTACGCTCCAGGTACTAAGAATGCACGGATTGAGTTGGGATCCGTCGATAAGAAGACAGAATTCGATCTCGGCGAATGTTACCTCGTTATCCCAGTCCGTGGTTGACGGTGCGTCGGTGTCGTCTGTTCTTGTACGCTGTGTAGAAGGTCCTTCACCGTAGTCGTCGTCGTCGTCGTCGTCGTCATGTCTGCGTATCCGTTTGCTTGGCTGTGAAGCACTCATTATAAGGTATCTTTCAAAGGTGATCGCAACCAAATTGAAAGCTTGATGCGCGACGGTTTGGACGTGCCATTATCGCAGTCCCCGAGCGGAGAATTGAACGAAATAAAATCCAAGTCATCACCTTTTGAACCCAAAATTGTAGTTGATCTATTAGCACTGCTTTTTATTCGAGAGACCCTGAATGTCAGTGTTTATGAGAAGGTTTCTGTGGAGAATAATATGAGTAAACGAGAGTTCAAAGGAATCTTGTGAACAGTGAGATCTGTTCCAGAGGAGATGCCCTTTTTTTTTATACAACTGCGGTGATTGAAAGCGGAGCTGTGAATCAGCGTGGGAAAAACGAGGAGACAAAAGTGGAGAGAATGAGTATATTTTCTATATTACCTCTCTTTCTTCATCCCATCTCACTCGTCTTATCGTGCGTATCGTATTACTATTATTCTCAGCGGTCTCATAGCTCATAAGAATTCTCCATTAGACATGATTTTCCAGGCCATTTCACGCCGTGCCGTCGGTGTAAGCTCACCCCAGGACGTGCTTATATCGAATGGACACTAACGTCAGTTGTAGGCTAGCAAATCCGTCTTTCTCAAGCGCCATGTCGCGTTTGTTGGTCAGAGAGCATTGAACAGCGCTGCTTATAACGCTGCTGTGGCTGGTTTGACTACTGAACAGGAAGAAGTAAGTTTTAAAAAAAGTGACGAGCGGTTTATGCGGGTCATTGATGATGTTTTGTTTTGTGTTGTTTTCCTTGGGTGTAGCTTCGCGAAGCGGTTCATGACTATGTTCAGGCCGAGCTTGCACCTCGCGCTGCTGATATTGATAAGGCAAACGAGTTCCCCATGGATATGTGGAAGAAGTTTGGTGAAATGGGCTTGTTGGGTATCACGGCTCCTCAAGAATATGGCGGTCTTGGTTTGGGTTACTTGGAACACACTTTTGTCATGGAAGAAATCTCGCGTGCCAGCGGCTCGGTGGCTTTGAGTTACGGTGCTCACTCTAACCTTTGCGTCAACCAAATCGTCCGCAACGGTAACAAGGAACAAAAGGAAAAGTACTTGCCGAAGGTAGGTATTCCGTTTCTCCGCAAGCCAAACGAAAAACAATTGGACCGGTGTACTGAAGTGCACTATTTCATAGTTGATTTCTGGTGATCACGTCGGAGCGCTTGCTATGTCTGAGCCCAACTCGGGCTCTGATGTCACCAGCATGAAGCTTCGTGCTGAGAAGAAGGGCGATCGCTACGTTTTGAACGGTAACAAAATGTGGATCACCAATGGTCCCGATGCCGATGTCTTGGTCGTGTATGCCAAGACCAACCCTGAAGCCGGAGCTCGTGGCATCACCGCGTTCTTGATCGAAAAGGTATAGCCCAGTAAAACCCATAATTCATTGAAGAGAAAAAGGCCACTGACAACAGTATTTTTACAGAACTTCAAGGGTTTCTCCACCGCACAAAAGCTTGATAAGCTTGGTATGCGTGGATCCAACACCTGCGAGTTGATCTTTGAAAATTGCGAAGTGCCTGGTAAGATTATTTTTTCATGGAAACCGCATTGGAAAAACATGATCACTGATTTTGGTACTATACAGCTGAGAATGTTCTGGGCGGTGAAGGCAAAGGTGTCTACGTGTTGATGAGTGGCTTGGATCTTGAGCGTCTCGTTTTATCCGGTGGTCCTCTTGGGTAAGTCAACAATTTTTATTTATTTATGTCATTTGGCTCTAGCTATCTGAAAAAGGAAGGTGTGCAACTGATCCTTCAATTTTTGGTTTCGCAGTTTGATGCAAGCTGCTATGGATGTGGCTGTGCCCTATGTGCATGAACGCCATCAGTTTGGTGTTCCCATTGGCTCTTTCCAGGTACGTGGGAGAATGTGTAACAGAGAGGAAACTAGATTAGCTAATTTTGTATGAAATAGCTCCTCCAAGGTAAATTGGCCGACATGTACACCAAATTAAATGCTTCCCGTTCGTATGTGTATTCGGTGGGTCGTGCCTGTGACAAGGGCTTCATCAGCAACAAGGATTGTGCGGGTGCGATTTTGTATTCGGCGGAACGTGCAACTGAGGTGGCCTTGGATGCCATTCAGTGTCTCGGTGGCAACGGTTATACCAACGAATACCCCACGGGCCGCATCCTGCGCGATGCTAAACTTTACGAAATTGGTGCCGGCACCAGTGAAATTCGAAGAATGTTGATCGGTCGCGAATTTAATAAGCTTTTCAAATAAATACTTGTTTACATCTCAATAAAAGAAAGAAAGTACATCCTTAGATCCACACCATTTACCGAACTGCCTTTATTGTAACGTCCATAATCGTCCACAACGTGTCAAGGGATGCTTCCCTCACTACAAACATTTCCCACGCATAGCAGTACACTATGATGGGCAACTCCTTTTTTTAAAACATTTTGTGCGCAAGACCCATACGAAGCTGTTGACCATGATTGTTCTCACTGCATAAAGTGTGTATAATGCATGGCTGGTGGATTGTGTGTGGCAAGGACAGTTGCAGGGCAGAGTATTCAGCCTGCGATCAATTCCCGACAGTTTTATTCTGTCATGTTTGTGTCAGAATGGAGAGAATAAATTTCTGCGTCATTTAGATCGGAATTATCAACACTAGCAATTGCAGCTTTTCCTTTTTCGTTTCAATGATTATGCGCTAACACATAAATTTTTTGGAAAAGCATAGCTCTTGTGCACACTGAAATACACGCTTATGCCCTTGCTTGGGACGCCGGTCTTTTGAGCATTAGCCCATCAGCAGCAGATCGTATCAAAGGACACGGTCGCGCATTTTTATATTTCCAGCTCGTAACCCCAATTGATGGCGCCTCCGCCATGAAACCGAAAGTTGGCTGATCGATAACCAAGACTACAAAATTGCCTGCAATTTTGTAGTGCGAGGTTTCACTCTCGGGATCACCCTGCAGTAACGTCAGTGACGGCTCATAACTCGGTTACGCCTCGCCTAGGCGATCGAATGCTAATAATGTTCAGAAGGATGTAACAACGATCGACCAATGGCTGGATAAAAAAAAAAGAAGGGGTTGGCGTTTTTATATGGGTCATGCAAAGTGGGTTGGATGGCGTCGGATTTGATGACAATTCTTTCCAGCATCTTCGGTGTAAATTTGAAAGTCCGTATCGTCGTGTGTTCGTGCGATGTTGCGTGATCTTTGGGAGTCCGATGCTTCTTTGCTTGTGCGTGCCCCTTCAACTCAAAGAGTCCCTTACTTTTTTCTTTTTTTTCCCTCTTTCTCTCTTGTCTTTTCGTTCTCGTCGCTGCTTTTTCACACTGAGAATAACCCAAAAATACACAACAACATGGAGTTTGAAGATATTGTCGACATGGATTGGATGAACTCTCACACCACCACCGATGATGAGTCCTTGACTCCCATTAAAAGCGAAACACTTGAATTCTCTTCTGACTACTACAATTACGGATACATGGACCCACCGTTCCTTCAAGAGGAATTTCTACTCGATCCATTGTCTGCACCGCCATCTGCTTCCATTGAACCAGATGCTGCCTTGGATCATCCTTCTACCCCATCTGCGCCACTTTCATCCTCCAAATCCGAATTCACCATGCCTACCACCGAACAGATTAAACAACTCATTGAACTGGCCAAACGCCAGTTAGCTTTACGCGAACAATTCATGAAGGCCCAACCCGCCATCACCCCTGAAGAATCTAAACCCACCGAAGAAAAACCCCAACAACTCATCCTGCCTCCTCCATCCACTGAACCCGAATCCTGTTCAGAAAAGGCAGGCTTGCCACCGTTGACTGCGCCACTGTCAATTTTCGGCGAAATGAATGACGACGACTTGCCGCAAACCATTGCGCCCGAGTCCCTTATCATACCTAAAGAAGAGAAAAGACGCCAATCTGTGTCTTCCGCGCATGATGATAATTTGTCTCTCGAACGGTGGGCTGAATCCGATGGCATCGATCTCAAAAAATTGACCCCCAAAGAAAGACGACAATTACGAAACAAAATTAGCGCAAGGAATTTCCGCGTGCGAAGGAAAGGTGTGTGTTCTTTTTTTTTTAATATAACCTTGGATGAGCAAAGAAATTTCATGATCATGCAATGGCTGACTCGTCGGTGTGTGATAGAATATATTACCACATTAGAAGCCCAAGTAGACGCTCATAAAAGAAATGCGGATACGTTGCAGATGCGGTTAGGCAAAATGGAGGAAGAGAACAAACAACTTCGTTCAGAGGTTGACACGCTCCGACGACAGAATCAGTTGCTTCTGCAGCAGCAGCAACAACAACAACAAATCACACCTGCCTCTTCCGAACTCACCCGTGCACCTTCCTCTCCTCGTATCACTTCCCCTCTACCAAAACCGAAAAACAAAGATATCAGCATGCTTGGCAACAAGGCAAGCGAAACATATCGTCAAGACAATTGTATCCTCGTATCCAATGCTGTCATGCCCGTTTGGGATCTCGATCGTATCCTGGAACGTCCCGCCGCCACAATGAAATCGTCCGCCGTGGCACATGCACCGGTCGATCCCTATCTGCTTGAAATTGGCGGTTACTTTATTTTATCACTTCTCCATTTAGCTCACGCCACCGCTTTGTCCTCATTTCCTTCCAAGGTTCCCTCTTCATCGCCATCGGTTGACGCCGTTGATCAAGACGACGATGCGCCCCTCATGCCAGACGATCGCGATTTTACCAGCCGATCAGATTTGAAGAAGAATGGCGACGATTTCAATCCAGGTTACATGGAATATCTGTACGATACATTACTTATGGCAGCCTTGGCTACCAACGTCACCACCCGATCTTTTTGTTGGTGGGATACTGCTAGTTATCAAGGTGTCTGGTAAATAGCCCTTTATTGTATAAAATATGTCACCAACACCCTTTCTCCATATGATTTACTAGCATTTTTCACATTCATCCTTTTCCCCTTGGTTTTTTTTTCCCCAAATCTCGCTTTCCCCAAATTCCCCCAATTCCCCAATTCTCAAATTCTGCCTAAAGTCTCTTTACTGTTGCTGACATTGTGTGTCGCTTTGTTGCAATTACGCTGCAATAAAAATGATGCATTACAAAGAGTTATTATCAAACTGTAACAATGCCTTATTGCTACCTTTGCTACTTCTTGATCTGTGATGATTCTCATATACCATACCAACGTTTTTTCTTTCAAAATGGCATTATTCTCCATTAAACCCGATCACTCGTTGAATATCCACACTTCTGCAACGCCTTATTTTAGCCTTCTGCCCTTTTTTTTTGCCTTTTGTTCGCTTTTCTTAGCTCGTTGTTCACTCGCTCTTATCATCGCCAACAGCTTCTCAGTGTGGCTAAATGTTTTGCCGAATTTTTCCGGTTTAATATTGTGATGAACGAAAATTTTTTGGCGAAACTTTCAGAGCGGACTATTTGCGCTACAACGCGCGCAATTGTTTCTGTCGAACGTTGCGCGATCGGCGAAGCGTCTGATCTTGAAAGATATCTCTATGATGAAATCAATGCGTCTTGAACGCATGTCTTAAGCTTCATTGCGATGTGGAAAGAATTCTCCTGCCTTCCTTCTGAAAAAGATATCGAAACCATTATTTTTTTTTTTCTAGTAGATCATGTTATTCCCTGACATGACAAAAAGAGACTTGCTATTTACTTTTTTTTTCGAAGAAAGGCCAACAAAATAATTGGATATCTGCATGTATTATGCGAATCTTTTTGATATTACAACTATAGCGCCAAATGATTCTAATTGTAGCTCTACTTTTTTTTTTCTGTCGAGGTGTACAGTAATGAATGCAATATTTTACAAGAGAAGAGTATTAGTATTAATGAATATGGGACCTTTTTTAGTCGGCCTGGGGACAAGTTTCAGAAAGATGATCGCCTCCACAGTAACGGCAAGCATTCTAAACGCCAAGTAGGTGAGTCATCTCGTTCACAATTTTTTATTCAACCATTTCTTTTTTGTTCGCTTACCTGACATTCAGCGCTGGAATGACCGGAATCGCCACAGTTACCGCATCTTACGACGGTGGATTTTTGCCACATCCGCTTGCCGCGATGATGGTTCGAACGCATTTCCTCTCGGTATCCTGCAAATAGGTCTTGGTTGCCAAAGCCAGCTGTGACCCCTCCTGATTTGCCCGAGATTTTTTGCTCTTCCAAAGTGCTGATCCGAGCTTCCAAAGACAGAATGTATCGTTTGGCCTCTTCGAGTTCCGTCTGCTTACGCGCTTCGAACAGTTGAAGTGTCTGCGCTTCACGCTCACGAGACAGCGTAATCAAATCGGTGTAACGACTGGTCATCATTACCATCTCTTGCTGCATACCCATGATGCTTTGTGCAAGCTGTTGATTTTCTCGGTGAAGAGTCTGTGCAAGGGTCAAAACAGCGTCCTTATCCATCATCTGCAATTTCTCGGCCGTAGGAAAATCTGGGGGCATCATCATTGGATTTTGCAACGGAAGCACTGATGTTGGAAGCATGCTCGCCGGAGATACCATCGGCAGAGGTGCATTGGGCATATTGGCGTTGGGAGATAATCCAGGAGGCATCGATACCGGTGCATTGTTGCCCATCAAATTTTTCAATGAAAAGCTCACCACTTCGGCCTCTGGTTCAGGTTGCTTTGCTTCAGGGAATAAAACACTGGATTGCTTGACAGGCGACCTTCTCCACGATCCTGTCTCGGCGGGAGAAGCCGCGGGTTTGGAAGGCTTATTCCACACATTGCGTTCGTTATTCCACGTATCATTTGACTTGGCAGTCGATTCATTCCACTCGGATCCAGGTTCTGTAAATACAAAATAAGCAAATAAATAAATATTTCCATGAACCGCGAACAATCAAGCACGTATTCCAATGACGTTTACCTTTTCGAGTAACAAGATGAGATTTGAAGCGAACTGACGACTCTTTGGCAGACTTTTGTTGAGAATTGATGTTGTTCTTTGAAGCTGGACTCCAGCCTTCAGTATTTCTCCAGCTGTCAGCAATTTCTTCCTCCGACCACCCTGTGGTTTGCAAATGCTGACCTTGACCCGGCTCTCCCCAGTCACCATCGTTGTCAGCATTGCCAGGAGCAACGGCAGTCGACTCGGTCTCCTTGACCGTCTCTGCAACAAGCGGCTTACCCCAGCCATCATCCTCACTGACGGGATTCGGCACAGCAGCAGCAGCAGTGAAAGACTCACCCCACGCACCATCGTTCACGACCTTGACAGGGACAGGTCCATTTTGAGCAGCTGGTAAGTTTGGTTGATCCGTCCAACTGTCGGAAACTTGAACAGATTCCCAATCATTGTCAGCTGGCGCCACTTCTTGCAAATGACCCCAACCCTTTGGATTCTTGGACAGATCCACTGTACCCCATCCTCCGATATCACTTTCCACAACTTTGGGTGATCTTTGACTCGGGGTGGCTTCAGCAGCGCGGACACCAGGAACATCTCCAGAACTGGAAATAGCTATACAACATATCAACAGGTGCCCTCACCAAAACAATGCACAAACATCCCCAATTTTTTTTCACCTACCAGCTTTCTTGGCAGCTTCTTTGCGTTGGGCCTCTTTGGCTCTGGCTTTCTCGGCTCTGGCTTTTTCGGCTTTGACTTTCTCAGCTTGGGCTTTTTCGGCGGCCTCCTTTGCTCGGGCTTTCTCGGCGGCTTCCTTGGCGCGTGCTTTCTCGGCGGCTTCCACTGGTTTGGTTTGGGCTTGAGCTTTCTCTTTGACTTCTTTGGATCTGGCACGTTCGGCAGCTTCCTTGGCCTTTTGAGCAGCTTCTTTGGCTCTGGCCTTGCTTGCTTCGGCTTCTGCCTTGGCTCGTTCGGCGGCTTCGGCAGCTCTAGCTCTTTCCTCGGCTTCCTTGGCTTTCGCTCGCTCGGCGGCTTCGGCGGCTCGCGCTTTTTTCGCTTCTTCATGAGCACGCTGTTTCTCCAACTCGGCCGCGGCGCGTTCCTTCTCCAATCGCTCTTTCTCCAATTCGGCTTCACGCAATCGAGCCGCCTTGGCTTCCTGATACGCCTTGGCCTTGGCTGCTTTGGCTTCCGCAGCCGCTTTTTCTTTTTCGGCCCTTTCTCTTTCCAATTCTTCTTCCTTTGCTTTGGCCGCGGCTTCTTTGGCTTCTCTTGCTTTGATACGTTCCAATCTGGCCGCTTCCTTGGCTTGCGCTCGTTCCAACTTGGCTGCCTGTTTCTCCTCGGCTGCTTTCAATTGTTCCTCCGTCATCTTGGGCTGGGGAGTGGGTGAAGGTTCCTTTGACTCGCTCTTCTTCTGGGGAGTATCCACGGGAGAGGGAGAGGCCTGCTTCGGTTTGGCTTCAGTAGGCAATCCAATCACCGACGATAGATCGGGAATCACGTTAGGTTCAACCGACGTCGCGGTGGCGGCAACATTGTTGTTATTGTTACTATTCGCTCCTTTCTTCTTCTTATTCTTCTTCTTCTTGTTGCCTGTACCGTTAGACTCAGTATCGCCTGTATCGTTGGCCGCGCCAATGGATTTCAAAAGCATGTTCTGTCGTTTCAACGCCAAGTTTTCGCCTTGAATACGCATGCCTTCCTTCAGAAACAGTTTCCCTAAAATCCCAGCCAGTTCCCGCCGACCTGTCTGTACACCCTCTTCAAAATCTTCCAGCAGGATTTCACGCTCTTGCACCAAAAGTGGGTGGTCCTTGACAAACTGCTTGACGGCTTGCTCAATCGTGACGGCTTCCATGACTTCACCTTCCTGCATCAAAGCCTCAATACACACGCGGCTGAATTTGCAAAACAAGGTTTCGGGAAAGATCTTTTGCGTGGCCGAATAACGGAAATGCTGTCGCAGAGAATAATAACCGTTTTCGATCTTCTTGATCTTCTTCTTGAAATCTTTGTGGGCGACCTTGTCAAGACGACCGGCGACGTTGGGTCTCGATTCGTCAGTATAGGCGCGTTTCAGATTCTCTATCTCCTCGATCAATTCGTTCTTACGCATTGACATTTGCATTTGAATGGTATCGACGGCAAACGCCACGTCATTGGTAGGATGTAAACCGCAAAGAGATTCAGCAATGCCGTTGTAGTTGCCGAGACGCGCTTCCCCTTCCTTTTCGTAAGCCGCCATACGAGCGGCCATTTGCTGGATAGCCGGTACGACCAAATCCCACAATTTCTGCACCACATTGCGTGCGCCTTCTAAATGAGGAATGACAAAGTCTTCGTGAAATTGATGAATGAAATTGATCAGATCGTCAAAGTAGCCGAGAAACGATTTATCCACCACCTCCATATCCGTGTTGGACCGTTTTTTTTTTGTGGCAGGAAATGCTTCGGACCAGAAATCTTGAAACGGGACGATCTTCTGCTTTCGAGCAAATTCATCTACCCTTTCCTGACACCCCTTTCCCATGAAATCCGCTCGCTCGTTTTCAATGTCCATCAATTGCTGCAAAAACTGGGTAAGGTGACTCCAGGTATCGTCGAGGGATTTTTCCAGATTCATCAACGCTGTCTTGGCTGCCTTGGCCATCTTTTCGTTGAGAATGTCACGATCGACATCCAACTCGGCGGGGGATCTTGAATCGGGCTTCATATGATCACAGGTAGGCTGGGTGTGAGAAAGTAAGATATCGCCCGTCAGATTCTTTAAAAGATGGAAAAACTCGGAAGGTAGACAAAGAGATTGGCGTTCAATGAGGAGCGGATCCAACAGCTGGGCCGGTTCTTTTGGATCGTCCACGAGGGGTATCGCGTTGGGGAATGGATTAAACTGAAGCGGTTCAAACAGCTGAGGGAGCATGGACAAACGGCTGGGAAGAGAAATCCACATCATACAGGCAGAAACTAATTCCTGAGTCCAGTTGACACTGTTTTCAGAACTCCCTTCCAACAGCTTTTGAAAATTGTCAAACATCTTGGAGGACGATTCTTTTCGAGGCGCGGCCGAATCGGGATGATGCACCGCAAGTTGATATCGACCCGCCGGCACAATATCTATATGCTCACTCGAGACTTCCTCCTGTGTTTTCGCATTCCACACAAAGTGCTTCTTGTAAATGAACTGAGCCCATTCTCGACAAAAGTAGCAACGGCTTTCAGGATCGCATGGTCGGAAACGACTGAGCTCTTTCGAGACCAAATTGTGTTCAATGCGCAAAACCTCAATGGGAGTGTCCATAATGTTCAAGTGCACGGGAAAAAAAATGGGGTTAATGAAGGGAAATATATCAAAGGGAAAAACCAAACGGCAGTGGAACGTCAAAGCTGTATCTGAATTTTTTTTTTTTTTTTTTTTTCTTTTGCTCGAATAAACATTTTCAGTTTTAACTGATAACCAGTCCACTTATGACGGTAGGAGTTTAAAACACGACTTTTATATCTTGCACCTTTTTTTTGACATGATAAGTATCAGGAGTGACAGAATCCATATACAATTTCATATTCACTAATGTTTTCATGGCACCTTGGCTCTCCGTTTTCTTGTTTTCTTTTAGAGATAAGTACATTGGTCGATATGGAGGAGAAGAAACAAATGTAAACAACGAAAAGCAACAACACTTAGAACAATGAAATAAGAACGAGGTATATGTTCTTTGGTCATGGAATTCTTTCTTTTATGCAGTACCTTAATCACTATAAAACATTAGCAAATTTTTCAAGTATTTTAATAGGATTTGTATAAGTATTGACAGGTTAGGAAACTTACCTTTGCTGTCGTATAGAATAGTCTATCATTGACAGCAGGCTCCCCATATTATTTTCGTAGGCGTTATCCTTATGTCGATCCTTTGTAAATTGGCAATATTGTGCCACTGCTTGCATAGCAGCAGCAAACAATTCAAAAAGAAAATAAATCAACCAGTCATCGCTCATTGTAAAAAGCACATACATACTGTCGATAGATTATCCACATTTTGCAACTTTGTACTCTCTTTCAGGCACAGAGTTTACCTGCTGGCGCTTGCCTGGTCACATGACAGTCATTTTTGAGGACTGCTTTTTTGTGGGGAAGGGGAGCAATGAACCGAGTGAGTAAAAGTACTTCTCCAAAAAGTAGATGGCCGACACAAATAGCGGCAAGGAAACGCCCAAGATGGCCGCATCCAAATTGGACATGAAGGATACAAAAAAGAAACGAGCAGCCAAGTTGGACGCCTGTTTCAATAAATGGCTCCAGTTCTTTCTTCACAAAGCCGAGTACGTGCCATTGACCACATGCTTGTAAAAGCGTTTTGTTCTCATCGTTTTATATCAATCAGTTATGTAACTCTTGGAGCTTTCTTGCCGCACCTCGCAAAACATCACAAGACGGAACTGGAAAACGCACAGGGACAAATGTCCCAATACATGAAGGAGCAATTAATCGTAAGCACCGTCGTTTGCTTAGAAAAAGATCACGCGGTCAAATCTCACTTTGCGAATACAGAATGCATACAAACAAGCCAAAGAAGATTACCAATTTGTCGAAAAATTGAATCGCTTGGATGAACTCATAGAAGAGGCATATCAAAGTAATGAAAGTCCAAAGCATAAACGTTTCAGGTAAGTTACTGCATAATGTATCCTGATGCGCAAATTTTACTTATTTGATGAAAAGGAGAATTGTACCTGAACCGCAGCAAGTGATACGATCGCACATGATTAATACAAAGATGCAGGAGCTGCAACGTTTACGCGAAACTGAATCAAAGGTGCCTGTTCCCAGTAAACACTTGTCATCCATTAAGGGTACTAATGTGGCTCTATCGTTATCAGTTGAAAGCTAGGAACATGCAGTTGATGAGTCAAATGCGCGAGATGAGACAGAAATTGAGTCGGGCGTCCGCCGAGGTTGCAACGGTTGTTCTCGAGTTTGAAGCGGTATTGTAGACGATCTTAAACAATGGCACGACACGGCATGGCATGGCTTTTATGAATACTAATCTTCTTGTATAGACCGTTTCTATCGCCAGCACAATACCCACCGAAGAACTAATCGAGACAATGGAAGGACTCGAATTGATGGTCATTCCAAAGGCATAACCTTCTTCTATCATTATCATTGCATGTAAATATCATTCACTTTTTCATCCATCTCCAGTATCCTATCGCATGTTTAAACCCACTGCCCATTCCTCTTATCTCGCGTCAACCCCTATTGCTTACAGCAGACACATGGATTATAAATAAAATGACAATCAGGAATGCCTCTGCTCATAAGAGATCCAAAGAAAAACAGGTTTTATGTCATAAAAAAGACCATGGGTGTACAGTCCCTCATTTGTATGGTTCCATCAAGTTACTTGCCCAAAGCTTGCAACCAACACAGAGACACCATATGCTTCGTTGTTTATCATCTAGCTTTTGTGTCCCTCTTCAAGAATTTCGGTTGGTTGACGGTCGAATGCTGTTGGGAGAAAAAAAAAAGAGCATTCATTGCGCTTTAAACATAGATACCGACGGATATGGAGGTGAAAATAGCTCCAAAGCCAAGAAACATCGATGCCAACAGTGACGTTTGAAGTTGCTTCGCTAATGAGGTGTTCTTGCTTTGCCTAGATGATAAGATGAGTCAAATGGCACGAAATGATATGGAATAAAGAAGGCGGTACGTACACAGCAAAAATACCACTGATAAGAAGACCCGATGAAATACAGATATACGCCAAGAGAGGGTATAATGCTGGCATAATGGGCGCTTTCAGAGGAGTCGCTCCTATCCAATCTTCCTGCAATTATACAAAATGACATGGTTAGACCCGCATGGCTACACTGAACAATATAATTCCTAGACTCACTTGTACGGTCATCTTGACGATCAAGTAACACGCTGGGCGGTTCAACCAGAGGAACGTAACTTGGCGTCATTCGATGACCGATTTCAGAGCCCGCGCCGGCCCCAAATTGCAAAAAATACGACAAATTGCCCGCTGACCAGACACCCATTTCAGTTCACCATGGAAGTCACCGCAAGCACCTTGGAAACCAGTATACAACAGAACGATACCATCGTCAGAGAAACACAGGAAACGGACGTTATCGTCGTCAAGCGCGAACCCTGGTACAAGCAGCCCACGTTCCTTTGGATTCTGAAATCGACGGCCATTAATTTCATTCTGCCATTCTTCAATGGTGTGATGCTTGGCTTTGGCGAAATTTTGGCGAATGAACTGGTGTTCAAATACGGATGGTTTGGCTTTGGCCGGATATCTGCCGCGACTTCGGTGGGATTGCGTGAAGGCGTCCCGCTCACCGCCACAGCCGAATACCGAAAATCCTTGCAAGCAGGGTTGAAACACCAACAGCTTACAGCCGAAGGAAACAGCGTGGCCAAGAACACCACAGAGTTGAGCCAACAACCGCTTACAGGAGAACAAGATAGAATTGCCAATAAAATTCACGCATAAATGACCATCCAACTCTATTCGAATTCAAGTTTCCTGTTTGTTCAGTAACGAACAGATAATCTTAATGCTAACGTGCAGTTTACCCCTACCCGTCAATTTTCCTTTCATGGCCCCTTTGAAAGATGCCTTGCCTTACTTGGATTTTTTCGATCATACAACATTGAAATATAGGCGCAATAGATTTGTGCAGGACGTCGCTGAACGCAGCCTCACCAGATGTATTCAAACGCTCAGTGTGGTCCGTACAAGCAAGCATCGAATGTAAAGCATATAATTAAGCTTCTTATTTCATTTTACATCAGAAATAAAAAAAGTAAACATTGCGTTTCTACGGTATGCTCGCGGTAGATACCGCAGCAGGTAACATCTTTGGCTTCTCAGAGAGAAATCTGCGACAAGACCATATTGCAATTATTGGTTTTTCTATTGTTCGACGCGCGATCGGGTATGACTTTCATCTTACTCTCCGAGTCACCAACTTTTTATAGGATGGAAATCACTACTTTCGCTTATATTTACATGCGTCCTTATATAAAAGATTGGTGTGCATTTGAGAGCTGATCCTCGTTAGATTTGCTTTATGAGAGTTGCTTCCTTGGCTCAGTTGGCGGAGCGTCAGTCTCATATATCTGCTTCGTGTAACATTTACGTCTGACCATTTTGGTTTTGAAGTTTGACGTTGATGCTACGATTATGGTAGACCAGAAAATGACAACTAGTACATAAAGAATACAGTATATACACAAAACATTTGTCGTATTGTGGCCATGTTGCAGCTGGTATTTCATTATGGTAGTGTGGCTTAGACCACGTTCGCAAAACCTTATGCTTCTTTGTTAAATTACCTGTAGACCTAGGTTACTTTAAGATGCTCTGCTGTAATAAAGCAATAAGCATATGTAGTCTCTCGTAAGATACGGTTTTAGTGCGTGTATAATAGTTATCCTCCGTAGGCTTTTGGTTGGCAGCATGGATGGGATTTAGGATCGATTATCGAAGACAGTCACGGTAATTCGGGCGGCCACACCCACCCAGCTCTCCTCCCATTTGAGGAATTGGCCAGGTTTTCCATCACTTCATATCACTTGAATATGTCGTATCCCGATGACTATTCACGTAGAGATCCTCTACGTAAGTATAGCTATATTTATTCGTACCACTAATTTATTGACCTAAATTGCTTGTAGCTTCCAATGCCGCCGATCTGGCCAATTCTTTTCTGAATTCCGTAAGCGATGAGCTGAATCACGCGGGATCTTACGAACAAGACTCGAGATGTATGTTTCCTTCTTTTTTCTTTTCACTTGTATCCTTTCATTCCCATTCACGGTTCTTTGCCGTCATGGTTATGTGGCATTTTTGCTGCTCTACTGCCGACACGAGCAACAAAAAGCTTGGCAGCTGACGTTTTGCATATATCTATTATATAGCTCGCTATCACGACGATTATTATAAAGGAGGTGAAAGCCGTCGACATCATCGTGGCGAACGTTATCGTGATTCACGAGATCGCGATCGTGATCGAGGTCGTTCACGGCGAGACCGGTCCAGGGACCGACATGATCGTTACGACCGGTCTTCAAGGGATAGACATCATTACAGCAGTCGAAGTGGTAGAGATGATAGAGATAGACGATCGAGCCGCAGACGAAGTCCTAGCAGACGAAGCCCCAGTCCACGTTTCGGACGTCACAGTGGACGCGAAGAGGACGTTGTACCATTGCATTTAAGAGAACGAAAACTCGACAACTGGGACAAGGCACCACCTGGTATGGAAATGATGTCAGCAGCACAGGCGAAGCAAACAGGTACATGGGTGATATTATCATGAAATTTGAGAACACATTTCAACTGACACGGTCTGTTTTTTTTTTCTAGGTTTATTCCCTCTTCCTGGCCAGGTTGTCGGTACGCGAACACCACAGTCATTCCAGTCACCTAGTCAGTTTGCCATGTGGCCCGACCAGGGTCATGTTAGAACCACCCAAGGTGCCGCAGGCCCTGTGGCGCAAAATGCATTGCTGGCACGACAAGCGAAACGTGTTTATGTGGGTCAGATTCCACTCGATGTTACCGAGAAACCTTTACATGATTTCTTCAATGCCACAATGACGCAGATGAACCTTGCCGAAGCGCCACCAGTAACATCAGTACAGATCAATCACGAGAAGAATTTTGCTTTTGTAGAGGTAATATACTTGCTGTGAGAGTCGATTGGACAAAGAACAAAGGGAATATTCAAGACTTCTTTCAATAGTTCCAGACACCTGAGCAAGCCACCGCAGCAATGTCATTAGATGGTATCATGTTTGAGGGTCATTCACTCAAAGTACGCCGTCCCAAAGATTATGTTCCTCCCACTGGTTATGACTCGGGCAGCTATCCTCCTGGTAAGTTGTCTCGGATAAAATAACATGAGTGTGTGTGTATGTATGTGCTGACATAAAAACAATGTAGGCATGGTTTCTATGATGGTGCCAGATACACCCAACAAGATTTTTGTTGGTGGTTTACCTTCTTACCTGAACCAGGAACAAGTGATGGAACTATTAACTTCGTTTGGTGAACTTCGTGCCTTCAATCTTGTGACAGACAGCAGTGGCCAATCCAAGGTAAGATTCAATGAAACAAAGAAGAAGCATCGCGTTAAAAAAGGATTTATTATGGTACGTAGGGATTTGCTTTCTGCGAATATGCCGATCCAAGTGTCACCGATTTGGCGTGTCAGGGTTTGAACAATATGGAGTTGGGTGATCGTAAATTGGTGGTTCAGCGTGCTAGCGTGGGTGCAAAACATGGTGTGATGGCAGGTGGTGCAGCGGCACCCATGGGCATTTCTCTTGATTTTGCACCTATCATGAGTGGAGTAACAGAAGAAGATGCTACACGTGTATTGCAATTAATGAACATGGTGATGCCTGATGAACTCGAAAACGATGAAGATTATCAAGGTAATCTTTTTTTGTGAATAAGCGATTGGTAGAGGAAAAGTTGAACTTAATCTTTGATTATAACAGAAATTTGGGAGGATGTGGCTGAAGAGTGCTCAAAGTTCGGTTCCATTGTCGATATGAAGATCCCAAGACCCACCAAAACAAATGATGTGGTGCCAGGCTTGGGCAAGGTATGATCATGGAGTGATTCTTTGGATGTGAATTGATGTGACTTACAATGATAAATAATGACAGATTTTCGTTCGATTTCAAACCAAAGAAGAAACTATGGCTGCATTACAGGCTCTTGCTGGACGTAAATTCGCTGACAGAACGGTGGTGACCTCTTTTGTTGAAGAGGACAATTATTTGGCTGATCTCTTCTAATTATGCAATTGAAAAGGCTCATCGGGATATTTTACTTGCCTTAAGGATTTCGGGAAACTAACAAAAAAAAACCTCATAGATCCATTGCAGTATTTTATGATAAATTGACTATTGAGTGTTTTCTATTCGGGTGCTTTGTAATCCAGGCTGTGATAAAAAGAAAAAAGAGCAAAGCCTTTAGAAAAGGGATAAAAACGGAAAAGAAGACGAAGGCAAAAGGGATAATGAAAATCGACTGACGCACAACCATCGATGTATCGCATATATCACGAATATATAAAAGAAAGAGGTTACAGTAGCTTGATAGGATGTCGATCACTGGACAGGTCGCCATACGTACTTACTGGTATGGCTTTATAGTATGTCTGCAAGCATATTTACAGCGGTGCTGTCGCATTCTGGAAGTTAGCCAATTCTCTGGGCAGTTGCAAATTTATTTATTTTTTTAGTTTGGCTCAAACGGCATTCTACGGCCTATTCTATGTGCGTCATGAAGTTTTCGAAGCGTTCGTCAATAACCGAAACCCCAATGATACTTTTTCGTGCGCGCATTGAAGAAAGAACTCTGTCGTAGTCTTGGCTGGAATACGCTTTTGTAATATGTCTTCCTCAGGATTGATGAAAGACAAGCTCATTGCGCCAACCAAGTCCGTATGAGACGGATACGGCAAATGTCATCCACAGAAAGGATAAAAGAATGATAGCCAAAGAAAAGAATGTCATCTATGGACGATAGTTTACTGTAACAGGGTGTTATACCCGTCATCTTGATGGGTGAGTTCCTCACATCTCGAATTTGTCCAATAACGAGTATTTTGTGCTTGTTACGAGGATATTATTTCTTTTTTTTTAATGAGAAAATATATGAAGTTAGTTTGATTCATTTGAGAACGAGAAAGAGGAGGACAGCAGGGTTTACAGTTATTAGTACAATTTTCATAAATACTCTTTTTTCTTTACAGCTGCAGTGGCGACGCCTTGAGCGCTGTTGGTGAGGCTGTAGGTATGCTGTTTCAACAGCTTGTAGCCAGCTAATCCAGTCAATATCACGACTCCAGCCACGACCGACAATGTGATGTAATGTTTTGACAGCCATGCCTCATCCGATTTGTCTTTGAGAGAACCCGGAGTAGCAATCGCACTAGATAATAAAATGAACAACGCTATACATCCAAGAAGGACAATGCTGCACTTACGGATTCATTGCCAAGCCAGTTAAAATGTGATAAACATCCGCGAGTTGATGTTCCTTCACTGAGACACTCAAAGGTACGGCTAATCTAATATTACGGCAGTAAACGTCCGGTTGCACCTCGTAGCGTTGAGTGACCAGATCCAGTTCACACTTTGTAGCAATAAACACGATGGGCAGGTGATCTATCTTGTATTTTTCCTAGACATGAAGCGTCAGTTACCAGACCTTTTCCAGGAACAACTTTAGGCATAAAAGAAAATGGCCTTACCCTTAATGACGCGACGTAGCCAAACGAGTTGACATCGCTTGTATCATATACAAAACATAACAAATCGCAGGCGTCCAATCGTTTCTTATTGGATAAAATTTCCGCTTCCTGCTCTGCTCCCACTTCTTGCAACTAAACCATGGCAATTGGTGAGCGCTCTGTTACCAAAATAGATCCTCATCCTTGATACTTACGACAAGGTATTTTTCAACGCCCTTCATCTCGACGGAATTAACGACCTGGAATGGTTCGGTGGTCGGTTGATACTTTTCTGAAAATGGCTTGTGCACAAATGCTCTCATCAAGGAAGTCTAAAACCAGGTGATCAATGAATCAGACTCGATAGGCAGCTTCATTGCTCCTCTTCTAAGCATCGTACCTTGCCAGATCCAGGAGCGCCAAAAACGTAACATGAGAATACGTTTCGTTGAATTTTCCCCTTCTTACGATCCGCTTTCTTTGGCCGCGTCACTTTGAGTGCATTCCGTGTATCCCCCTCGAATCCGAGATAGGCAAAATATTTCAATGTGGTGCGATGGTCTATGAGGGTGGTCATACTTTTTAAAGGTTGATATAAATGGGCACTTGGGTAAGCATCGCGATGTCAATTTTTCCAGCTTTTTTGGACCGTAACATACCTCCATTGTGCTAGCCAGCCTTGCAAGGTCACTGACCCTGTTTCGGTTGTGATGGTTGTATGTGGAAAGGCCGTATTTGCCCAAGGATTGCCGGGAGAAGTGCTGAAAAGGGCTTCAAGTTCCTGATGATTCAGAGCACCATCTTTGTCCTTTCAATGGATTACTACGTTAGAACCCATTGTGGCACACGATTACACTTTTGCTCCATACCTTGTCGAATGCTTGGAATAGTTCAGCAAAGAATTGATATCCATGAGGACTCAGTTCCACCGAACATTCGGCGGGAACATCGAATCTTCAAGAAAAAGCAAGATGAGCCGGAGTCTTCCTTTTCTGTACACTCCAGGGCATACTTACGTCGGAAGCAAAAAATCTTCGCGTAATGACAAGTCATCGCCATATCCAAATTTCCGCAAAACAGTCCATGTTGTCTCCAGACGACCGCGTTGGATGAATAATGAATGAAGGAAAACAAAACCTAAAGATACATCCAGCGCTCACATCAATCTCTGTGTTGTTCGCTTCTACTATTTTGTAGTGTTTACGTTACCGGTCTCTGTCAAGCCAGCGTCGGTTACTCCTGCTGGCTCATGTTCCCGCACGACTTCTTTCACTCCATCCAATTCCTGCTGTTGCAAAGGCGCGTTGAAGCATTTTCTCTGACATACAATCGCGATATGAGTAAGAAATGCCGCTTACACACCATCAGTGTCCATGCTTCGCATTTACCTGAAACTCGTTCAATTCCTCGTCATTCAGTAAACCGTCGTTATCAATGTCACATAATTTGAAAATTCTCTTTAGTGCATCTATACATTGAGGTTTGAGAATCTGCAAAGCAAATAAGAAACAGATTTTAATGACATGGGTTGACTTGTACAAAATCACGGGACGACTTACGTGTTCCCGGGAATCGTAAAGAGGGGCGGTAGGATGCAACACCGCCTTTTGTGCGAAATAAAAGACCTCGGACACGTTCAGTAACTGTTTGGCCGAACATTCCACGCATGTCTCCACTTCCTATAATAAATCGCACCATCGAGACGTAAGACGACCAAAAAAAAGTTCCAAAAGTATCTTGATTTGACTTGAAAAAAAAAGAGATAAGCGGGAGAGTTACCTTGAATTCATTCATGATTGGAATCACTTCATCTTCGAGACTTTGATTTGTCACATCATCACCACGCAAATCGATCTTATTACCGACCAAAACCGAGGGTACCTGTATATACAAGTATTTCCATTTCAGTAAGTTCGCCTCTAATCCACGACTATTTAAATCTAAAGGAAAATAGGGGAGATTGGCTCACATTGACACCTAAAGACCGTATATAAGGTAGCCAATAGAGTGGAAGGCGATTGAACGTATTAGGATCATCGATAGCGTAGACGATGCAGATCACATGAGCTTTGCGGATCTCTGCTTCCAACTGTTCTCGATGTTCCGGACGAGCTATGCATAGGAAAAACAAAGAGAGAGAGAGAGAGAGAGAGAAGATGAAGAAAAATAATCAGAAATTAGAATTTCAATCTAATCACAGGCCACGGTGGGCGTCATCGTTGTCGTTGGTTACCTGAAGAATCCATGATATGCATCGTCACATTTTCAGGTGTTACTTCCGGTGGAATGGTGACTTCGGGAACGAGGTGTTGGACCTTGCATAAAAACGAACCATTAGCCGTCTGCACTGAGGCATTCAAAGAAAAAATTGTCACTTTACATTGGGTATAAAAGACTCCTTTATCAACGAGGTAATCAGAGTGCTTTTGCCTACGCCCTCTGTAAAATCGGCAGGAAATTCGCAACGAATGATACAAAGAAGAGAAAAAAAAGGTAGAATGGTTTTGTTAGTTGGCCGTGTTTTTTTGTCCAGTGCAGGAATTCGTAGGCTTTGAATGGGTTAGTTATTGACACAGGGAAACCTACCGTCACCAACTAGTAGGATTCGTACGTCTCTTCTCATGGACGGAGAAGTTGTGTATTGAGCGCGTAAGATTTAATGGACAACGAAAATGATAAAGAAAAACCAAGGAAATGGAGAGTGGAGTACGTGCAAGGAATTACGATACAAAACCCGGATTCTGGTGAATCGGTGAGAGCTCGTAACACTAGGGGCAAAAAGTGGCGACGAAAACTGTGAAGAAAAAACAACAAAAAAAGCCGGGAAGGCGCCCATCTGGCACCGAGCACGACGGAGTATGAAATCGGGCCCAGCACCGTTGTCCACATTCTGAGCATTCAGCATGACAGAGAGAAACACCGTCGGTGGAGAAATCAAAGGGTTTATTTAAACTGCAAGCACGGTAAAAAAAATCACAATGAAAGAGAAGCAGCTATTTGTAAGCAGAATATAAAAGTTGAAGGCTTCTGTTTACTTTATCTTCTTTTTCCCTTTCTTCCATCTTGCACGAGTAGGGAAAAATGGGTTATATGAAGGACCGCTGGCGGGATTTGTTGGGGGGATTGGGAGAAGAAACATACAGAAAAAAGAATGAGGGGATTTTTTTACAACTCCATGCCAGTAGCTTCGTCTTCGGACGAGGCATAGCTAACGGAACTCATTTCATCCGAATCTGAACTTTCTTCTGCAGCAGCGTCAGCTGCTTCCTTGGTGGCATATCTCGCGACATAATCTTTCACTTTAGCTTCATACTTGGTCGGTTCGCGCATAAGTAAAGCGGCCGCTTCACCATTCAAAGGATCGGCAGGATTAGGATAGCGTATAAGTTGTGGTAAAAACACCTCAAAGATATTGATCATATCTACACAGGGTGGGGAGTTAGGTATTCCACACAAACAACAGAAGTTAATCATTGAAATATACCGAACATGGGACTCCAAGTCTGGTTGATAACGTCCAGACACACGGATCCGCTCCTAGAATAGAACTGTTAGTGGGATTCTTCATAGATAACTGGAAGCCTTTACTTACACTTCGTCAATGTTAGGATGGAAGATTTTGTTCATAAAACCGATACTGGGCGATTTGTATGGGTATTGATCGGGAAGTTCAACATGAACTTTCCATACACCACCATTGAAGGGAGCTGCAACAACAATAGAAAGTGGTCAGTACATTTTTTTTTTCTTTTTCCATTGAAGTTGTTGATGATAAGGAAAAAAACATTGCAACATACTATCACTCGGACCGTGGAACCGAACGTAGAACTCTTGCATATTATCGTTCACCAGAGTGACTTCATAATCACTCATTAAGCTATAACAAAAAGGCATTTAGGAAACTCTCGACAAAAAGACTTTTTAATAAGCATTTACAGTTTCATAACGTCAGTCTCGATCCTCCTTCGTGGTGTCGACATTGGTAATTGTATCAGAAAGCTATACAGGTCGTCTACCGTGCACCCGTGCGGCTCTTATTTCTCAACAAAAGTAAGTCACATGCTCAAAAAAGGAAATTACTATTTTGCGAATTTGGCCAAAGATCAAGGATTATCTTGGCGCGTCAGGGTTATGCTCGTTGTCCTTCTCATCAGCAGAATGACCAGCTTGACGGGTAAAGGCAGTAGGCCAGGATTGTCCCATAAATACATCAAGGGCAATGGTTTACATATTTGACTTGTATTCACGTAACGATTCCAGATTTTGTGGTCTCGGACTTGAGGACGCAATACAGTGAAGCCTCATTCTCCCGGCTCTGTTAGAGTCCTTTTTCCACAGCAGGAGAACATCCGGAAGAAGAATAAAAAGTAAAGTTCATTAACTCCTTCTTTATTTCACAATCTCATTGATTACTTTACTTGAGACGCAATAAACTCGCTCATCCTGAGTACGATGTCTTTTTGAGGCTCAGATCTTTGATAACCAAACTCTCAGATGCACCAACAATTGCAATGAAAAATTCCTCTGTCGTCTGGGGCAATAACCTTGGCCGGTTTTCTTTTGGCAGACCTTGCAAATCTCTTCAGATATGCAGGTTAAAACCAGCCCCATCAAGGAAAAGACTTTATTCATCCGGTCCATGTTGGGATCATTCTTCCGCTCCAGAGCTAGGTTATGCGTGATCTTGGCAATCATCTTCTCCCGGAGGATTGAGAGTAACAGAGAATTTACTAAAAAGATGCTTGTGCAAGGCCGAGATACGTGATGGGATGGATTTCCGGAAAAGCCCTCCAAAAGCATGGACCCAGCTTTTCACAAAGTCAAACCCACCTTTTTGTCAAAGATCTTGCATAACAGGTCAGCGTACGTCTCGTACAATTTTTGTTGCTGGAACGGCCGCTTAGGTTTGCTGGCTTCGGGAAAGAGTTGCGCTTCCCTCGTCGTCGTTGTATTCTTCATGTAGATGTGGTCAGTCCGCGCGTTGATCCAAGCTTCATCCCTGCTTGTCTGTTACCAAGCTCAGTGACAATATCGATTAGCTCCTGATTCTGCTGAGAAGGATGATCTCAAGATGTTTCTCTGATCCTAGCAACGGGAGATTTGCTGTTGTTATTAACCGTACTCAGAATCACAAACTCAGTTGAGGGGAACTTAGTAGCACTATCTTCCTCAACTTGCTTAGAGTCACTTGGTTTGACCAAGGTCTTCCCACCGAGCAAAACTTTTTTTTATTGGATCTGGGGTAATGCCGGGCCGATTAGGTGTGACCAAACCTGTGGACGCTTAATCGTAAGACAGGACATCCAAGCAAGGAGTACAAAACACCAAGCCGCATATCGATAAACAAAAGGCGATGATTTTATCTTTTTTTTTTAAAAAAAATAAAAATAAAATAAAAACACGCCATCAAGCTTCTTCAGTTACAGGTCCTTTATTCGATACCTCCACCAGAGCTTGTGTGTTCAGCTGTGCAGCAATTTTTTCTGGAAAAGAAGTAACAAATGAATAGGCTGAGGCGAGTGTTTGCATCATTGTCATTGGTAATCACATATCATCAAGAGAATCGGATAACCCTTTGAGGAATATCTTTATCACAACAATGTTACTCTATAAGTTTTGAAGGACAATAAATACGTGCTGCTTATTCAAATTACTCATCCTCTGATAGCTACCGGTTTCTTATTCTTAAGCAACGGTAATCTTTCTGATCCACTTATTTATCTTATATGAGACATTGATAGTTTGATGAAATCGAACAACCGCTGTTTAATGGTTGAAAAAAAAAAAAACCACTGCGCTGCATAGAAACTTGTAATATGAAGAAGCTTCAGGGCAACATGGTCGCCCCTCAGAACATATTAAGAAACTTGTAGATTTTCTAATTCTTGCTGCACTCGGAACGCATGATTCTTTTTAATGATTTTTGACGTACTGTAACAAGAAGTAATTGTTGAAATCTTTCAGCGATAGTCTACACAATGTTTAAAGAGTCCACTGAAACTGTGATCCGCATGGTAGGTTTTAGCAACTATGATAAGATAAAAATCTTTTTAATTGTTGTCAAACATGGGTTTCTTTCTTAGTGCATATGTTCATAAGTTTGCGGTTTGGTTATGGAGGACCTCTTTTTTGTTAATTGTCATTTGTGACCTTTTTCATTCGCAATTCTTTTCTTATCGTTGTTATTCTTCACTGTCGCTTACACGGCAGATTCAGAATTTAGCGCCATCAGCTCACATACCCAGTAATAATGGGTATGCACGACAGGCAAGGCTTAGTTTCGTTGCATAATCATATTAAGAACGACACGCATCAAATTTGAGTAACAACAGCAATTGACACTAAAAGCCGACTTTTGGCTCGAATGGATTGGATCGAAATAAAACTTGCAGCAAAAGAGAGATCAGCGGGTTCTTTTTCATTGCCGTAAAAGTCTTGCTTCCTCGTTTTGTGTCATGTTGAGAAACATGGATCTTGTTTTAAATGGGCACATAGGTAAATAAAATAAATAACCATGATTCCACTCCTCACTTTTGGTTGAAGAATTTGTCACTGTAAAACGTTTTTATCAACCGACTATTTTAGCGGAATAATAGGTGAGATCTGGATGAGTGAAGAGTGGGCAGCAAAGCAAATAAAGAATGGTGATACAAAAATCCAAGGGATACACATGGCGAGAGCTGATTATTGTTGTCAAATGGCGTCATTTTCAGAAACAGCCCAGTTCTGAAATAAATAAAGAAAGGGGGAGGGGGCAAGACGAACAAAAAAGCCACCATGACTTTGAGACGAAGTTTGCGATTCTTGGTTTTCGAGTGGTAATGATAGCGGTAACAGGGAGTTCAGTAACGATGGGTGTGGATGGGAGTAGAAGATGCGGCTGACATGGAATAGTGGTCGTCTTTGTTGTAGTGGTCCATGGGAATAGGTACGGTTTCAGGTACATAATGCGAGCTGATGCCTGCTCGCTGCATCATGAGCATTTGATCTTGATTTTCACGTTCCAGACGTTTGCGCATGCCTTTGACACTTCGCACGATATACCATATCAACAAGCCAAGAAGCAGAAGACCGATGATAATGATAAAAATAAACCGATCATGCTGCTGGAGCCAACTTTCTTGTTTGTCTTTACTTTCGTTGCCGCTCGATTTAAATCCGTCGTCTTGGGCTAGTGCAGCGGTGAACCATACTGCTGCCAATAGTAGCAAGCGGTTGCTGTGGTGAAGGAAAGGCATGTGGGCGAAGGACGAAATACAACAGCAGATCTTTTTTTTTTTGCGTTCTGAAACTTGGATCGCCCAATGATCGACGATGCAACTACTAAGGGATTGGAAGGGGAACTGCAACAGTTAAAAGAAAACTGTTTTTTTTTTTTTTTTGCCAAAAAGAAAGAAAATAAAAAGATCTAAATAATCCACGAAATGAAAGGATTGAGCACCGAATCAAAAGAGACGAAAAAGAGCAAACCAATTACGCTCTATTCTGAATTGGTGATGGCGGCAAAAAAAAAAAAAAAAAAAAAAGAGAGTGTGAAAGAGAGAAAGAAAAAAAACGACCGTTTTGCGAAGCGGGAAACCGGAATTCAAGCTCTTTGATTGATTGGCGTGTTAAAAATAGACAAAAAAAACGTTTAATGATCTTTGGCTTGTTGCTCGCGAACTTCTTCTAATGTAGGTACGGAAATCATGGCCCCTGGTCGTGAAACCGCAATCGATGCAGCAAATGTCGCTTCCTCCAAAGCATACTGCACGCGTGCAAAATAATCCATGTTCTTTTCTTCACGCACAAAAGATGATAAGAAATAACCCTAAAAAACCGAATCCTAGTTAGGTCTGGGTTCCAAACTAGGCCATGATTTCTTATATATTTTTTGATCCCGCCATGGCAACTTACCACAAACGTGTCACCGGCACCTGTGGTGTCCTTGACGGCCACCTTTCGGCTGGGTACATGGAAATCGCGCTCTGCACCATCATGTCTGAATTTCGCAACCAAGCCTTGGCCACCCAAGGTAAGAATGATTCCCTTCATTCCGCTAAAATGATTCAAGAGCTCAGTGGCCAAGTCCAAGCCGGTTACTTTCTTTTGTCCGCCCAGTTCATTATAGAGGTCATCTCCTTCTGTTTCGTTCACTACCAATATCGCCACTTTATCAAACGGGAACTGGTTCAAAATGCCTTTGGTGAGCGGAGCAGGGTTGAAAAAGACGGATAATCCTGAGAGAAAGGAAAAACAAAAGCGTAAATGATAGTTTGATCTCCAACTGCATTCGAGAACGATTACCTTTTTCGATGGCCAACTGCATGATTTCACCGCCGTGGCTGATCTCATTTTGCTGAACGATCCAATCGCCAGGGCCAAACGACTCGAGCACCTTGGCCGCCTGTTCCACTGTGTAAGTGCCATTGGTACCCGGGAACAGCACAATACAGTTGTCATTGGTCTCAGCGCTCAACTGGATGAACGCGCGGCCATTATTCTGTCGAGTCGAGGTTAATCCTTGGCCCCAACATTGACAAACCTTTTTTTAATTTCACTTGCCTCGTTATCGGCGATCTCAGTAAAACTCATATCCACACCATGCTCACTCATGTAATCACGAATCTGTTATCCGATCAAGATGGATTTATATTAGATGGTATGCGGTTTTTTTTTTTTTTTTTTTTTTTTTTTTTTTTTTTTGCTTCTTCAGAGAAAACTTACCCAAACCGCATCTTTTCCGACTTTGCCAGCATGATACACGTTGCCGTGAGCCTATTGAACAAAGTTTTAGAAGGCAAAAGACTTATATCACCATTTTGTTGTTATCGTTACCTTTGCTAGGGCTACCGACTGGTTGGCACCTATCTCATCACTTGTCAGAAACCGTGTATGGTAGTGAGGCTGACTCTTTCTCAATTACCTTTACCGCCGGCGCGGACAAAGTAATCGGTAGACGACATGGTCTCACCGGAACGGCAAATGTGAGGGACAGCGAAGAATTCGTCAATGTTGATAGAGCCGTAGTTCAGAATTTTACCCATGGCAGTGATGCTTCAAGTGGGAAAACGAAAAAAGAAAAAGCAGTAAATGAGGGTTATTTTCCATCGTCGGTCATTCATGGCAGTGCACTTAGTTCGCAGGGCTGTCAGAGTGGCGGGATTCAGCAGTGGTTTTGATTGGATGGGAAATCTCTGTATGCGATTACAGTTTATACAAATGGAGGACGGGACTTGAAATGCCTCCGAATAAAAACGAAACCGCGGAACCTTTGGCAAACTGGAAAATTGTGGAATCAGGACATGACGTATATCAAAATTATCCAGTGCATAGATGGTATAGTTTCGCTACAGTTACGACGCGAAATGAGATTCAAATGGGATTTTGAGGTGATGATTGTGAAGTACTTGAGAGCTTTTAACATGAGATTTTCATTGGTGACGACAGGCAGTCAATGCCGCCCTCGTATGTCCAAGTGTAAAAAAGCCGTTTTCCGTATAATTGGTTGCTGTTGCGATATTGATGTATTCGATGTTCACAGTTAAAAATAAAGAAACCTAAATCGTCATAGGTTTGTACACCTTGCTGTATGCGTAAACCGTAACAAAAAGAAAGAGAGAGATCATCAACAAGGTAGGGATTAGGCTGTCGTTGGATTTCGAAGATAAAATATTCCAGCTGGGTTTTTTTGCATTGTCATGCCCTTTTCTTTAACATGCCTTGGACAGATGCTTTTGAAGCTTCCTCATTCGGTACGCAAAAACCCCCAAAGTTTACGTATTACCGATCCTACATTTATAACCCTTCCTCATTTCCGTTGCGACATCAAAGCTGTTTTGTTCGCTTCTTGGATTTCTGCCCCTTTTTTTATACATATTGCTGAAGTATCAAGGTTTCTCACCGGAAGCCCTAACAGTGACCGGTTCAACGGCAGTATAATAACACGAAAGTGTAAAAGGTGCACCGATTGTGTCTGTCAAAGTTCTTTCCTTTCTTCCAAACCTGTACCACACCTTTCAAAATCTTTTTTCTGAGGCTGCCTTTTTTTTTGGAAACGAGGCAATCATGAGCTCCAGGGCGTTGACGCTAAAAAATAGAGTTTATTAGCTACCGACCATCAACTATTCCGGGGCGTGATTTGCACGTTGATCAACGCTGCATGGCTCTGCGTAGTTCTCTCCTGCCGACTTGATTGGCGCTCCGGGCAACAAAGCCCTGTTAAGCCCTGTTGAGGCTCACGTCACAACAGGAAGCTTCTTATAATACCATACTGACTTGCTATCTTTTCATTTTCTTCCGTTTTGACTTGTTTTTATTTTCCTTCATATCTGGTCTGTTACGTATTCATTTTTTTTGTCATTGACTTTTTAAATTTGTGTGACTTGAAGCTAAATAAACTGAATCCAGAATCTGAGTTTTCTGACATTGGGGGCTACAGCGGTCAATGGAAAGAAAAGCTTAACAGATGACAGGCCAAAGCCAGTCAGGGAAAGTCTGTTGATGAGATCTGTTCATGAAAAATGGGCTATTTTCAAGCCAAAAAAGATCACATGATTTAATTTTGGTGATTGGAACGTGGATATTTGTTTTTTTTTTCTTTGCAGAACATGAAAAAATTTCCCGTGAATAAAAAAAAAAAATTCTAAGCAGGGAATCGAAAAGTGCAGCTTCTTTTAACGTGCACTTTTTTTCCTCCCTTTTCATCATGATCGCGCCTATCACTGGCAAGTTCCGACGACAAATTATTAGAGACATTGCTATTTCCTTGACACTGGGAGGAACCGCAGGAGCCGCTTGGTGGAATCTCTACCACATTCCCAACATCAAACGTCGCGATGCACTTTACGCCAAGCTGGAAGCTAACAATAAGTAGCTGCACGCCTCTCTCCCTCTCTCTCTCCCCAACTGCCATTCTATTATTGAACCAAAAGGAACTGTTAGCAGAATCCTTACGGTTCCCACTTTTTTCCTCAACTTGATTTTGTCATCTATCTGGTCTGTGCGATTCATGCCGTTTAAAACTGTCTTGGACTAGTTTCCTTTTTTTCTTCAAAAAACTCCTTCCAATTAGTGTATGAGGCTCTGTACCCCTATCCTTTCTCAAAAATAAACAATGCTAACGATCCAGATAACTTGCATGATACCAATATCCCTGCGGGGTTTGCCAGCGTAATCCATCCATCCCTTTTTGGGAATTCAGAGACCGAAAAATTGAAGTAGGTTATGCCACAGTCAGCCGAGCCACAGGCCAAGGCTGTTTTTTACTGTGAGCTATAAAAAAAAAAACCAAGTATATCATTTATTTATCACACGCAGGAACTTGCTCTCCGTGCAAGGTATTTTAAAAAGGCGGAGGTAAAAAACGCACGTCGTTGTATGCGATCAACTGTGATCCTCTTTACATCTAATCGACAATGTTGACCTTGACGGTTTCGGTGGCGGTGATTCTTCCACGGCGCAACTGGACAAGTTCGATAAAGTCAACGGCGTAGGATCCAGGCTTGGTGTTCTTGGGAATAGTCCATTGCTTCTTGTAGGTCACGAACTTGTCTTGCTTAGCAGTAACCGGGCTACCAACAAACACGGTTAGTGCCGTTTCTTCTAACATTTAACTTTCTTTTTTTTTTGGCAAGGTTGATTGGTTACCAGGACTTGTGAATGATAGCAATTTGTTGTTGCTTCTGGTTGCCGGTGCGACGGTGGAAATTAATATCTAAGCTGAGAGCTCGGCCCATGGAAGTGTGTTCTGCAAGTCATTGGTCTTTTAGGATTAGAAGAACAATTCTTCAATGTTTGGTGTTAAAGTCTTATTTACCGTAAACAAGGGGTTGCATCACATATTTCACAACAAGCTTTTCACCGGCGCGGAAATCCTGACCGTTCTTGGGTTCTTGGATCTTGATGAACTGAAGCTGGGAATAAATGCTTGCATAAGCAGTTTGGAACAAGGCCACCAATAGGACAGCCACCAACAAGAAACTCTTTGACGACGCAACCATGACCTGGAAGAAAAGATAAAGGGGAAGGAAAAAAAGAGGATAAAGGAAAGGAAAGAGGCAAGAGAAAAAGAAGTGCAATTACTCTTTTTTTTTTTCTTTCTTACTTTACAGAAATAAATAATGATGGGCGTACAAGTCATATTATGCCAAAAATAGCGGGTCAAAAGTCTTTGCACCCATTCATTTCCTTTGCTTCTTTTTGATTGATTAAATTGGTCACACAAGCCTCAAAGCCCGAAAATTGAAGCGTGCTTTGCATCCGCATCCATCGTTTTACCATTTGCTGTGATGTTACTTTGTGCACAGGGACCAGGCTTTGCCCACCGCCAAAACCCGACTGTTACAGAATAAGGTGTCTAGAAATAAAAACAGATTTTTCCATGTATCACCCTGCTTTTTTTTTTTTTTACCATATCTCTACCATTATGCAGTAATCAATAACAAATTCACCCTCCAAGTTTAGGTGAGACAACAGAAAAAACGGGGCACGAGCAGAAAGCAATAAAAAAAAGAAGGCCAATTTATTTATTCGGACACCTTGATCAAAAGTTTGCCAGACGTTTTTCGGCTTTCAATATCAATATGGGCCTGCTTGGCATCTTCCAACGAGTAGACTTTGTGGATATTGAATTTGAGCACATCTTTATCGATAAGATCAAACAGCTCTCCCCACCACTTCTTGGATTCCTCGCGCGTGGTCAGATAATTGAATAATACCGGTCGCATCAGTTTCAGATTTTTAGGAGCCAGCTTTTCAGTGATGGAAATCTACAATTGTTCTCTGTGAGTGGAATGAATGCCACAGCAGGATTACTAATACAACACTTACGGGAGGTACCACACCAGATGCGTTGCCAAAAGAAATAACCGAGCCCAGACGACGTGCACAAGCAATGGAGGTGTCAAACGTTTCTTTTCCAACGCCATCCAACACACCGTGACAGCCAAGTCCTCCAGTAATTTCCTTCACTTTTTCCACCACATCTTCATGGGAATAGTTGATCACATACGAAGCACCGTGCTGACGTGCGATGGCCGCTTTCTCTTCGGAGCTTACGGTACCAATGACCGTGGCACCAAGATACTTGCACATTTGACACAAAAGCAATCCAACTCCGCCAGCGGCAGCATGAACCAAAATGAAGTCTAAACAGAAAACATTTCATGAGATCACCACCGTCATCGAGCTTGAACCATTTTATTTCCCATCATGCTGTTTTACTTACCACCCTTCTTTACAGGATAAGCGTCTCTTACAATGGTCCATGCAGTGAGTCCTTGAACGCCCAAAGTGGCCGCTTTTTCGTAGGACACGTCATTTTTGATCTTCTCCACCATCGAAGCCTTGGCAACGCTGTATTCTGCATACGCTTCGGCGCCCAAGCAAATAACTTTATCGCCCACTTTGAAATCCGTCACATCTTCACCGACTTCCGTCACCTCGCCAGCACTGTTAGAAACCAGTTAGTCTTTCGTCTCCTCTCTTGTATGCTCGTATTCGTTGCGTACCTTTCGCGGCCCAGAGTGAACGGTGTTGGCAGAGGATAGATACCGCGGCGATGGTAAGTATCAATATAATTGACACCTAACGCTGTTTTAGACCAAATGTTCCAAGCAATGGACAGGGCGACATGACCACCACTTACCGACGTAATGATTCTTTATGAGGACGGAGTCTTTTCCAGCTTTAGGTTTGGGAATGTCCTTGTAGATCATGTTTTCGACACCACCGGGGGTCTCCACAATAAAAGCCTTCATAGTCGACATGACTCGAAACTGAAAAATAGGACGATGAATAGAGTGACGAAGAGCGCTTTGAAGCATATGGTCAACTCTTTCTCTCACGCTGTCATTCCTTAAAATATTCAAGTTCGGAGACCCAATCGGGTTCGCTGAATAATCCATCCTTTTTCTCGCATATGCTGTTTCACAACTGCAGCTTACAATATCGTACTCTTCATGGATTGTTCATAAAAAATGAAGAATATTATATGCTAGCCAGCTCGCTATACAATAGTTTTAACTTTTTATGCACACGGTGATGGGTCAGCACCAGCACCTACTAAATTGGGGAAAACGCGCCTCAAGGCCTGCAGTTTTCGATTCGGTTTTAAATTTAACCGAGCCATCCGCTATATCGTTTTCCAAGAATACTGACAGCATCCCTGATCCAACAACTTGCTGTCTTGTAAGAAGTACCATCAATTGGACGTGTTGTTGAAATGGTATATGCGTCGGCTACTCTTTCTAACCGATAAGCTTTTTAGCTTGCTTCTTAAAAGAAGCTCGAAAGGTGGCGTGGATGCTTATCATGCATGCCGTTATTACCAGTGCACACATAAGCAACACGGTGGTCCGAGCCCGCATACGCAAAAGATTACTAAGCATCTGAGAATTGGCATTGATTATCCTTTTTTGATGCGAAATTTTCATTTAAAGAATCAATTACACAGCCACCGCAAAGTAGGGTGGAATTGCTGGGCTGCAGTTAAAAATTGCACCTTCTAACATCAAGACTTTCACAGCGTACAGCCTTTAATGGTCCTAAACGATCTTTCACTCTCAATCCTCTCAAACAATATTAAGCAACCATTACTGGTAAAAGGTCTTTAGGTTCGTTTCGGTCGATACGAACATGAAGCATACCTATGAGGAAATATGTCGGCCCTGATTCAGGTCAATAAAATTGTATAATAAGTCTGACAAAGAGCAGGTTGAAGTAAAATGTAGACAGCGCTTATGAAATGAATTACAGTTCGGATGTACCTTATATTGTGTTGAAAACTTACATGGTTAGTTCATAGACAGCAAGTAACAAAGAGAAATGGTGCGTAAGCTTCGAAAAGCGAGCCATGCAACAACGCTCTCTTGTGAGCTTGGTTTTTTATTGGCGGAGAAACTCTGTATTTAAATTCGCATGAGAATTTTTTTTGTCCTCTTCTTTGAACGTGTTGTTGGGTATAACTACGTACGCGGGAGTTGGCTGTGCCAAGAAAGCGTTTCGTATTCACATATGGAGCAGGAGTATTGATAACAGCTATATAACAAACGCAATAGGGTTATACCACATATGCATGAATCTGCCGTGTCATTCTTTTTGAACGATCCGCATGTGGCACTTGTTATGCTCCAAAGACAACACGAATATCAAAACTTGGGCTATTCTCTGACTGTTGCAAGGAGTATATTTTGCAATGAGTTCGTTCAATGCCTACATTTCTTCAAAATATCATGGCTAACATTGTCAATGACGTTGCCTATTGAATTCCTAGGAAGTAAAAAGGACGGCTGCCCCTAGCTGTTAAGAAAGGAAATGGCGTTTCGGTTTGGTTTGGTTTGGTTTTAATTTGGGAAAAAAAAGTTCGATTGAGGTTTAGAGGAAGAAATGGGTCATGATCGAGAGAATGTACTTATAACAAGATGACCTATTCTCAGAGTTAGGGTTCAAATATTTGTTTCTGAGAGTTTCGTTCGGTCTTGGTTATATCTGTTTCAGTCTATGCGATCTCAAGCGAGGTTTCCCTGGCAAATATCAACGTTTTGAAACATGATATTGCCTTGTAGCGATACATATGCGCTTCGAAATTGGCTGTATCACTGTGAGTCACAGCAGGTTATCTCAGCAACCACACTGAAGATACTTCAAGAATACCAGTCCAATCTTTCGTTGCCGTATATTTTTTACCGCGATGGGCTACAGATCAACAAGGAACAGTCGAATCTGGTGACACAAATTCTTATCTGGTTTTGTGGCCTCGTTTTTTCCAACTCTTGACTTCTTTTCACCTGAATGACATGGTTTTAATCAAGAATATTGACGATATTCGAAATAAGTCTTTTGACTATATTATCGTCGGAGGTACGCCATTCGAATCACACAATGCAGGAAATGAAAACATGTTGGTCGGTCATGCTCAATAAAGACCTCCGTAGGCGGAACGGCGGGCTGCGTTCTGGCGAATCGGTTATCCGCGCAAAAGCATATTGAAGTGCTGCTTTTAGAAGCAGGCACTGAGGTTGCCCAAGAGCTGGAAGCGAGTAGAATCCCTGGCTTGTCCGGTCGTTTGAGAAAGTCGGAAAATGAGTGGTGCCTACGAACCACCACTCAGGACAAGATCAACGATCGAAGTTTGGATGTTCCCCTGGGGAAAATGCTGGGCGGTTCCAGTGCCATGAATGCTACCGTGGTAGGAGGTTACCCTGGAATAACACGGTAAAACGCATGATGATCTCACGCTCAATGCGGATAGCTCCATCGATGCAGTCCCAGTGATTATGACGCATGGCAAATCAAAGGCTGGACCTACGATGATTTGCAGCCGTACTTTGAGAAGGCCGAAAAGTATCACGCCAGTTCTGCATCAAAAGTCAATGGTCACGGTACCAATGGCCCTATGCATACGTCGGATGTGGAGGTGGGACCTCTCGGTGTTCCGTTCAGAAATGCTTGCGCTTCTCTAGGATTGAACTTTTACGAAGATATGACCTTGATGCGAACGCAGATTGGCGTGACCAATGTCCACGCCATGATCCATCGTGGCCAACGGTCTTCCACGAGCGCTTCTTATATGACGGCTGAAGTTTTAGAACGACTGAATCTTACGGTGGCACTTGGGTGTCAGGTCCAAAAGATCGTTATTGAGAAACAGCGTGCAACCCATGTGCGATTTACTCTGAAAGGTTCTCAGGAAAACTTACTGGTGTCCGCTCGACGTGAGATTATTGTGTGTGGAGGAGCTATTCACTCTCCTCATCTATTGATGCTGAGCGGCCTTGGTTGTGCTCGACAACTGGCGGATCACGGAATCGAGGCTATCAGGGACCTTCCTGGCGTTGGGGCCAATCTTCAGAACCATTGGCGAGTACCTTTTGTCCACGAAACGACAAATCCTAAACAGTCGCTTCACGGCGGCCTATTTCGAGATCCCCACAGTCTTGTTGATGCCCAGAACGGCAAAGGCGCTTTAACGAGGGCATGGCCTGATGCCGTCGCTTATTTCAATATACCGGTAAGTTCATCGTGAAGAGTGTATCTGATCAACAACACATGGAATAATCCACTGGCTCCATCAGGATTGTCCCAGTAATAGTAGCCATGCAGCGGATGCTCCCCAGTTTGAATTATTCACGGGAGGTATCGCGCTTTGTGATTTATTGCCTCAACTGCATGATGTGGATTGCGCTACGCTACTACTTGTCTTACTCGCTCCATTTTCTCGTGGCAGCGTGAAACTGGGACCTATCGTGGATCCGGGATTATTGCAAGATGAGCGTGACGTGGAATGTTTCCATAAAGGATTGCAATATGTACTGCAAATCGCGAATGACGACGCGTATAAGCCAAATATCAAGCGATGGATTTTAGCTCCTACAGATGATCAAAGTCCTCATGAATACATTCGGCAGCATATCGACAGTATCCATCATTATGCAGGCACGTGCAAGGTAAGACCCTACAAAAGCTAATACTTTTTTACCTCTCTTACTAAAAATAATAAATGATATTATAGATGGGACACTCTGATGATCCAATGGCGGTAGTTGATGCCCAGCTCAAGGTGATTGGTATTGAAGCGTTGCGAGTAGTCGATGCTTCCATATTTCCGCAAGTGCCGGCAGGACAGATCTGCTTCCCCGTCATTGCCTGCGCTGAAAAAGCTGCGGATGTGATTTTGAACAACGTGTACTAAAATCCATCTCCCCCCATAATAATCAATGTCGATATTAAATGAATAGTAGACAAAATGTAAAAAAGGTGGCAAAGGATGATGTTGCATGGAAACAGATGTAATGCAGATGATGGGCATCCGTGATTTTATTTGAAGCCCAGCGCTTATCATTGGTTTGAGGATGGATTGATTTCCTCGGGCAGGTCACGCCAACTTGCCTTTTTTCGGGTTATTTTTTCTCTCTTTCTTTGTTACCATTCAAGTTCATTTGTGTATATATATATTTCTTTTTACTTAATCTTGTGAGTTGGCGGAGAAGATAAAACGACGAGAAAGCATGCTACAAAAGTTCTTTGGCAAGTCGATATCGAGGGATAATGATGATCAGTACACCTTTGAGTTATTGGAGCCCGAACCGTAATGTGCTTTTGTTCATCCCTCTTGTGTTTCTTTTTTACTGGTGAATTGAGGAACATGCAAGAGTTGACATTGTTTAAACTTTAGATGGTGTCCCACTCCTATCAAGGAGAACCATGTCCGTGTTCTTTTCTGCCAAGACGCTGGCGAATGCAATAAAGTGATATTATATGATTCCGATTATGCGACGTCCACTGCATCTTCCAAGAATCCTTTAAACTCGGAGCTCGCTCGTTCTTGGAACGGCACATCCCTTCATCACACTTTGACCAATCGTGCGAATCTCGAAGGAGGCTCCTTGGTGGACAGAAAACAGGAATTTGGGCCTTCCAGTATGCGGGCAGTACCGTCCATGGGCATGCCGGACTCTCACCCAAAACAGCCTCATCGCACGGTAGAGTATCAATTATATTGCGAAAATCTATTCTTCGTTGACTGATGTGCCTTCAATGATTCTGGTGCTTGGATGATTCCTTTTTTTTTCTCCTGCGTTGACGCTACATATTGCAACATTTTCAGACAAGTCGTCGACTGGATTTGATCGGTGATATGATTTTCGGCACCGCGCCTCTCGCATACAAAGGCATGAATACCAAAGTTCATTACAAACGCGGCAAAGATCCGCAAGTCGTCTTGTCCAAACTTTTCACACTCAATTCAAAGAACTCCAATATCGGTCGACGACCCTCGTTTTCATCCGTGAATAGCGATCGTTCCAACGCTTCGTCAGGAATCATGGACGATGTGAGTCTAATAGCTTTTCTTCTACCACCCTCCATATCGATCTATTGACATCTTGCATTCAGTCCAGTGACGATGATCAAGGACGATATACACCATCGATTTATCCACCTATCCTCGGTTTACATGCTCGTTCCTACTCGAAACGATCCCATCGTTTCAATGTCACCAATATGGAAAACGGAACTTTTCGACCCATGCCTTTACCGAAAACGCGTATTCCAGAGGCCGTCGATGGTGCTGTAAGTACTTTTGTAGCGTCTCTTTCACGGGAAAATCTTGCATGTCGTTACTTACGAGGCGGCATGGCCATCATCCTCAGCCAGTGCGATCCTCTTCACGTTCGATTAAATATGCAGTGGCTGTCATTATCACACTGGAAGATAAAAACAAGACTTTGTACGATTTTATTTTCTCTCATTTTGCGCTCATCGAAAACCACCTCCATCAACTACAAGCCGTTGCATTTCAACAACTATGCAACTATTTTCAACGTCAATTGAACGGTCCATCACAAATGCAGGTAAATAAAACGACAAGTGTCAACCAGAAAAACGGCATCCATAACCGACTCTTCTAGATGCATAAATCACGCCACTCGTCCTACTTACATTCCAATGCTTTTCAACAAGATGCAACGCTAATACAAGCCGTCAATCATTTCAAGAAAGCATTCCACGACCTGTATGCAACACCGCGTATTCAGGTAAAACGAAAATGTACACACAAGTTTTTAAGGTGAACAATATCCCTTACTTATGAGTTCGAATACTGCACAGGAACCGCTATGGCTCAATATGGCGACGTTTCCTCATCGTAAAAGTGATTACAGCAAGAAGCTGATGAAAGAGCTCCTGTATCTGATAGACGAACTGAATAACAAACAACATCATTTTTTCATCTCCACCATGTTCACGGCGGTCTTATCCCATCATTTGTCATGGGTGCAAACGGTCGCACCGCCGGAAGACGAGCGAGTAAGTATAATTTGTCCATTCTTCTATGTTAAAAAATCGGCATCTCAACAGTGGATAACAACTAGAATATCGGATGTCACTATGGAAATTATGATCCGTTATGGGCTCAACTAAGGTAGGGCAGGCTATGCCATGCTATACTGCTCTAATCCATTGGTCTATCGAATTCTAATAAAGTTCCTAGCGATCTTTACGGTTATGTCAGCACGCCGTCGACCATAGCGAGAACGATTGTGGTTGGTCGAAAAGCGAGCCTTGTACGGCGTGTCTTGTACATCCTAAGTTACCTCATTCGCTGCAACGAAGTCTATGAAAGCTTAGAAACATTATCAGATGCAGAGTCGGAATACATCTTTGGTCGTGAACAAGGTCTCGATGATACACTCGCTTCAAAATTGGAGGATAAGATTGTGCGTCAACTTATTGGATCGACCACGGACGTCGAATCCATTGCGATACCCAATACCCAGCGCGACGTGGATCCCCAGCTGTATAATCCCACCGAATCTCCCGAGTCCTTAACCGATCATTCCAATGCAACCTCTTTCAGCAGCACTCCCGTCAATAATCATGCTTTCATGTCAAGTCGTCGTTCATCCACTGATATGGCGTCCGTGGCACAAGAAAAACTGTGGTTAAGCAAAACCAGAGACAAAACGGGAGACTGTGGTCACAGCGATAAAGCAGATTCGATATCACTGCATGGACAGGAATCACTCTCACGTACAGAGCGTACGGCAAGCTCATCTACTGGCACCACCTTTCAGATTGGATTGCCAAGGTAAGGCAGAAAATGGACACTCTCCGAAAGAGGATGCGGATCAATTGACTCACGAAAAACTTTTGTGACATTTAGATCGTCTATTTTCCACATGGAACCAGACATTACTGCGATGAAGGAAACTGGAGTACCAACGGGAGCGGCCGACCGTTTGTATGCGAAATCGTACGGAAGATCGCTGATGGCAAGCTATTGTGAGAATTATAAATCCGACTTTGTCCTCATGGGTGTGCGCAATCGGCTGTCAACAGAGGCTCTGGAAACTGACACCAAGAACACGTTAAGGCAATTTGCCTTGACCGACGCCATTACCAAAGCGACCTGTATCTTGATCAATACTGACACATTGCAAGTATCCTTTTTTTTATGAATCCCGTGATATGCTAATTGACGTTTGAAAAATCTATAGTCAGTGCCAAATCTTGCACCAACAACTCTTACAAGAAGAAGAACATCCCCAGTACGTATTTTTGAAAGGATGTCATACCATCTTTTATACTTGTTTTTTAACCCGCAGACTCTACAGGGAAAAATCGAATAACAAGCAGAGGAAGTGGGAAACAGCCCAGCTGTCGTCTTTGGTACATGATATGTTGACGGATATCAAAAGAAAAGCAAGTTCAGGATCGTCTTCTGACGAGGTAGATGGACAATGGCTATTTTATTATTCTGTAAGGTCTGACGTGTAAATTTTGTTCTATTGGTACGATCGTTAGTTGATCGAGTTACTGGAAGATGGACTTCAGCTGGTTTATTTACGTAGTATCCTCTTGCAAGATTGTATTCACGAACATTGGAACGGTCTTGATACCGCGGCCATTGAGAACTTTGAGTTTATGGCTTCCAATATTGGGTAATGTACTATTGAACAGAGCCAGTCATCGTCAGTTATTCATTTTGCACCTTTACAGGGTTCACGCCAACGACATTCCGTTATTGATCAGCATTTGCAGCGCTTATGATACCAAAATTGGGGAACTCTTCCAACGAAAGGCTGCTTCATAGGGTTGGATCGCGGCTCATGTACAGTTTATTCTTGTAGCATACTTTATCATTCTTCAACGTACAATTTTTACAGTACCTGTATAAGAACCATCATCTGTAATTGGGGCCAATATGTCACCATCATAGTGACCGCCAATCTTGCAAACAAAATCATAAATATAAAATCATTTCCAGCGATTCCTAGATTGACTTGAAATCTCCTGAAATTGTTCCAATACTAATTGGAGCTGTCCTATTGCAGTATTTGAAAGGGAAATCAAAGATGGAAAAGCACTCAAATTTAGGACGCTAACTTATACATTTTTATCTAAACTTGTGCATACAGCGCATAAATGCAAGTATGTTTTGACATGAAATCAACCCTAATTGTATGCTTATGGCACCATTACTCACATCTCGATGAGCGCCTGTTAATTTTCGACCCTTAGGTTGCTGATCACCAGCTTGTTGAAAAGGCGGAAACTTCGGGTCATAATTGTCAATCAAATTGAAAATTACAGCTATGGTTAGCACCCAAAGCACGAGCAGGAAGTGGAAGCATTAAGAGTAAATATTATAACAAATACGTCGTTACAGTGCAGCTAATGTGATAATTCTTACTGTAGGATCAAGTGAGTGAGCAATTGGCGACATAGAGCCTTCTAATGTTAATTTAGGGCACTTCACACACACAAAAGATATTTAATCTCGGTATGGGCGATTAACACTACGTGTGAGATGGGTAGTCGAAGAGCTGCATAATGCGAACATCGATAATTATTAATACAAATCGTAGCAAAACAAGCACAGGTGGAAAGATAATAACCGGGCAAAGTACGGCAGACGGCGGCGTGCTGGATCGAAATGAAGGTTATTGAGCATTCCACCAATATCGATTCCTTCGCTTCTTTTTTATTTATTTATCTGGCATCAGTATCACAATATAGTAGAGATTCAGTTTTATCAGTTTTAGACATGCAATTGATCATTCAAATCCTTGCATAAATCGATTCCAAAACCATTTTCGAAGATATCCTCTTCAGCCCCCATCAGCAGTGGAAACTCGGGAAATTACTAAATATGGCAATCGAAGCACTTTTCGTCTACCGCCCAGCCAATCAGAAGCGATTACTTAATCACGTGATCGTGTTGCTCGTAAAAAACAAAGCGTTTTGAAAATATTAAATCCTCAATGGTCTAGTGGCTAGGATCCGACGCTCTCACCGTCGTGGCCGGGGTTCAATTCCCCGTTGGGGAATATCTTTTGACACTTTTTTTTCGTATCGATGGGGGATCCATCTTCGAATGGCGTCCTTTTATATCAATTTTTTAAACGGAGCCTTGTGACGGTTAAAGGGATCCCGATCCATTCGTCGATATCCGATTCTAATTCCGTGCGCCTAAAATTGTGGTCCCATGTTTTCCTGGTCTGTGGAAACGTGCATGGATCCGCCTACCAAATGCCCTTGGTACTGCTACTTTGGTTGCTCTGATCTCGGGTTCTGTTTGGGTGTTGGACGCGATGCTTTTGCGCATCAACGGTGGTCCCTCTCTCAGTATCCCATCTTTAATTACACCTCTAAGCCATTCCCACTCCCGGTGTTAGACCAAGTGTGGATAGGCCCGCTTCCGTCAGGATAATTTGTGCCCTTTGCTTCGCTACTATAGTCTCTTTTTATAGGTTCTTTATCACGTTTATGCCGTGGATCGACAAACATTTTACCAACGAATATCATCATCAAGATTCAATCTCCCGCTGGGGAGATTCCTTTTCTTTTGCGATTTCTAGCATATACGCGTTATTCTTTTGCAGCTACAGTACTTTAAAAGTATACTTTCTTTATGAACCTTTTTTATGCCACTTGCAACTCGATATCTTTACAACAACCCTAACATATTTGCGATTCCTTCTGCCATCTCTGAAATCACCGACGAAAAAGCCATCTTTTATGCGCTCCAACTCGTCGATCTATTAATGAACCCACAGCACGCCTTGATTAGATCTCAAAGCTCATCTTGAACTCTATCGAATTCTCGAATGACTTGTCGTTTCGACCACTTCCGCGCATTCACTTTTCGACATTTTTCACCTTCGGGCACCACTTCGGCCATTGTTCACCGAAAAAGGAAACATTTTCTAGGGCCACTAACTTTTCAGACCGCGTTTCTCTGTGTTACCATGCCTCCTCTTGCAATGTCTGTGGGTCTTTCGATCACCGGTCATGCCGACTCGGAAGAGTTCCTTTGTCCTCGATGTCCCTAGTCTCGTCCAAGGCACCTACTTCACTAGCAGATTGCTAGTTCAGCACGGTAGGAAGAAGCGCTGGAACTAAATGCACCATCACTTGACACCGCTATGGTTGTCCGCGCAGCTTGGCTTCCCGCTCCTGGTTTGTTCAGCTACGCGTTCCCTCATTGCACCGCCGCGGTCCCGGTGATCTGCCTATCGAAGATTTTCTTGCTTCTATTGCATCTACATCGATTTATGTCCATTATGTCATCACTATACACCAGTCCGTCGCGCTTGCAAGAGCAATATTCAACCACGCACAATTCTTTGCTTATCATCTGATCTTATTCTCTGATGTGGTTAAATTGCTGTTACTCATCACCCCAAGTACGATTGCAACGGCTATCCAATCGGCTCTGAAGATAACGATATCTTGGTTTCTTGTCATGGTTGTGAGCTACTGCCTCTATTTATTCGCGCCCACCTACTGCTGATGTCACCGATTATTTCCGACAATGAATCTGTTGTTATAAAAGTTCCTGCTTCGCTGTTTCTGGATTTTCGCTTTGCTCGATTTTTGCTTCCTCTTTTTTCTCTTCTCACATATTTATTTTTTTGTCGCATAGTTTGTTCGCTTTGTGAATTCAGAGTACAATCTTTCGCACTTTCCACTTCGGAAGCATATTTTATTCAGATCAATCACATATACGTACACTGATGTTCTTCTTCACTGCATAAACAAAATTTCAGCTGACTCTAGCCTTCAATAATGTTGCGTATAACAGGCGATCCATGAGTCGAGGGTTGACTGTTTTTCAACAGTCTTAACAACGCAAATAATCTATAATGTCATTTGCGTGTTACTAACTGCTTGCTTTCATTAACCAGGAAACAAGGCCGAGACAGGACCGCTGAACCTAGTAGATAATGGGTTATAGGTGGCAACCCCCTTAACTAGATTATCTATTTCGAAGTCATCCTTGGAATTCGTGCATCGACCGATCGATTGGTTTGATGCTCTGTTGAATTTCAAAGTATGTTTTCTGTACATCGGTGCCTTGTACCAACGAATTTGTCGAACTTTTGGTTTTACGCAATTTATCACAATAGCATCAATGCAAAAACCTTCAAGAGATATCGAAAGACTTTGTGAAATATCGTCGATCATCTTTTGGGGTGCAATTCAATCGAAAGACGGACAAGCAGAATTCATCCATCACGATTAACGCAAACTGGATTCGTGGATGCTACTTTCCACCCGCTGGAAAGGAACTCCGTCATCCCCACCTCATGTGCGTCAGCCATATTGACGCCTTACCCGTGGTATCTGCCGACTATCGCCGGCATATGAAGCCGACCAAAGCCTTCAACTCTTTGGTCAAGGGAGGAGTGAAGCCCGCCTTTGTCCCAATTCAACGACACACTATCTTACACGAATAAAGTAGTCCACGGTTCGCCACGTCCACCAAATGGCCATTCCCCCGCGCACGTTGCCTTGGCCATAAGGTACGACCATGTGCGTTATTGGCTCAAGCGCGCTCCTCACTGTTGCCATGATGGTCCATGCGCTTACCCCTATACCTGTCCTTATTTATCTCTCTCATCGCTGTCTTAGCTGGTTCTGTTCTTGCTTTGTGAAAGCATTTAACGCCACCCTCTTGTCTAGTTGCACTGACCCTCCGTAGTCTGTGCATAACACATGTCCCGTTTGTCTTCCCAATAAAAACAGAAGAATTAAGTCATTTGTATCAATCGCATGTCATTTGTGTTGAAAAAAATTTACACTATGTCAAATAAAAAAGCTTTACGAGATCCGTTAATATTGGTTGGATATCCTATCATCATTTTTGTTTTTGTGAAACTGCCCTCTCTCACTGTTGTGGTTGGAATAAAATGCTGGGCACGCTGTTTCTCTTTTTTATGTTTGCAGGAGTAGATGATGCGTGTATCCTCTATATTCGAAGGGTAACAATAATCACCCGGCTTAAAAATTATAAAAGACGCAACTTGGCCATTAAGTTTATAACTAGAATTGTGTTAAAGGCGGGGGGACCTTTTGAACCAGGAACCGGGAGAACCGTAGCATTTTCGAATCGGAGTTGATGGTGTGACTTGATTGTTGGAGACGGAGGGCGCGTTAAAAATTGAAAATGGGATTGACGCGCTTCGCGTTGATCGCGCGTTTTCTTGCGACAGGTTCAATGCACATTAAGCAGGTAAACATGTCAAAAGAATTGTTAGCGTCTGCATCTTTTTATCAGTTACTCAGTCGTTTGAATAGATTACCATCCAAGGCTTCAAGTCCTACAAGGACCAGACCACATTTGACCCTTTCAGTCCTAAACATAATGTCATTGGTGAGTAGCAAAAATTCAACATTCCACGGGCCAAAGCATGCCATATTTCTAATCGGTCAATTCTCCTCTGTACAGTGGGTCGCAATGGCTCGGGCAAAAGTAATTTCTTTGCAGGTGAGTGTGGCAACGAGATGGTGCATTTATCCCTTGTCCCTGCTTACGTCTCCTTTTGTTGCAGCTATTCGATTCGTCTTGAGCGACGCCTACCAGAGTTTGAGCAAGGAAGAACGACAGTCATTGCTCCATGTAATGTTCTCTTATTGGTAGTGTGGGTCTGAATTCTCCTCTCATCTTTTGATTTTTTTTCTTTGGCATCTGCAGGAAGGAGTTGGAGCCGCGACTATTTCCGCTTACGTCGAGATCGTCTTTGACAATGCCGACAATCGATTCCCTGTAAGAATACTTTGACAACCAATACAAGCTGTTTGCAACTAGTATCGCATATCTCACACTGGAGCAATTGATTTTCAGACCGGAAAAGAAGAAGTGGTTCTTCGCAGAAGTATCGGATTGACTTTGGACGAATATTCGTTGGATGGCAAAAGTGTAACGTGAGTAGGGCAACGAGGTGCGATCTTGGTGTACTGGGGGCGAATACTAAGCCTTCTACATTAGAAAATCCGACGTTATGAACTTGTTGGAAAGTGCCGGATTTTCGCGCGCCAACCCTTATTACATTGTACCGCAAGGAAGAGTAAGGAACAAAACTTGGACATCTGACAGCTAACGACAAAAATAACTCACCGGTTACGCTTGAATAGATTACGTCGTTGACTACAGCCAAAGACGAAGATCGCTTGCAATTGCTTAAGGATATCGCGGGTACTCGCGTCTACGAACAGAAACGTGGCGAGAGTACTAAGATTATGGAAGAAACAGGTAAAATAGGCACAATGATACAAAACCATTGGACGAAATGGAATTCCTGAAAACCAATGGGCGTCGTCTCACCTACTTTTTCGGTACAGATGCCAAACGCATGAAGATTACCGAAGTGCTTGCCTACATCCAGGACCGTTTGGCGGAATTGGAAGAGGAAAAGGAAGAGTTATCCCAGTTTCAGACCTTGGATCGTGAACGTCGTTCGCTCGAATACACCATTTACGCACGTGAACAGTCGGACGCGAACGATAAGCTTGAGGAGATGGACGAGAAGAGAAAGGAATTGCTGAAAAACAGTGAAACGAAGCGTGAAGAATATGCCGATAATGAAGCGGCCATTTCGGTAAGTACTGCGGTCATGTCCATCAATGGACCTTGTCATTGACTGAATGGTTTTGCAGACACTGGAAACCAGTATTCGCGATATGCATCAGTCCATTGAACTGGCGGAAGACGAAAAGATTGAATTGAACGACGATCGGGCCGACTTGATGAAACGACGTGCCCAATTGGAATTATTGCTGAAAGATCTCGAAGATGGACAAATGTCGGAAGAAGCTTACAAGGTTCGCGGATCATACACAAAAAATATTACGCAGACACAGAAGACAAAGAGTTGTATATATTTACCGTCTAAAAATCAATAGGCTAAAGTAGCGCAACAGCTGGAAACCATTGAGCAGGAAATCAGCACAACCAAAGAAACGTTGGATCGGTTGTCACCTGAATATCAAAGTTTGGAACAAAAGGATCAAGAATATCGACAACAGTAAGAAATGAATAATTCTGGCTGTCTTCTCGCCCCGATTCTCCACTACCGGTTTGCTAACTACCGGTTTGCTGCTTAGGCTGGAAAGCTTGAAATCGCAACAAGCTAGTTTACATGCGAAACAAGCGCGCTTGACCCGATTTGCAAGCAAAGCCGAGCGTGATGCATGGTTGCAAGCTCAGATTCAAGATATTATGACCAATGTCCAGACTCGTCAGAATCAGGTACATACTTACATCATGTCGGTAATGGAAGACGGGACCTGATGAACGGGAAAAAAAAAAACGTGCATTTAGATTCAGATTCTGGAACAAGAAAAGCTCGTCCTTGAGAAGCAGCTTGAGAGCAAGCAGCAAGCGATCCAATCCATCCGTCAAAAGGCAGCTGAACAGCATGCCGCCCATCAGCAATTGGCAGAAGAGGAAAGTCGCTTAAAAACGGCACGAGACGATGCTACCGAAGAAAGAAAGTAAGCAAACTCACTGATGCTTTGCTGGATGCTAAGGTCGGTTTTTAATGGCTCGCCTTAGAAAATTATGGCGTGAAGAAGCCAAATTGGATTCGGTGATCCATAATTGCAACGATGAAATTCGAAAGGCGGAGCGCATGTTGGCCGGATCCATGGACAAGGTACTCTTTGAGGCATAGGCATGTGTGGATAGCTCGTTCTTCAGGAACTGACAGCATTGATTAGAAAACTAGCAGTGGCCTCGCCGCTGTTGCTAGAATTACAAAAGAGCGTAATCTTGGCGGTGTATACGGGCCTCTGTTTGAGCTTTTCAATGTAGACGAACGATTTAACACTGCTGTGGAGGCAGCCGCAGGATCCAGGTACATTAGCTTGGCTTTTGAGAGCAGTCATGTTCCTCCACTTGATCTAGTATACTAACCTCAAGCTGCTAGCTTGTTTCATGTGGTTGTGGATACGGATGCTACAGCAACGCAATTGTTGGAAGCCTTGAATCAAGAACGTTCGGGTCGAGTCACATTTATTCCTCTGAATCGTATCAACCATCAAACAGTCGATTATCCTCAAACGACCGACATCATCCCTCTCATTCGAAAGTTACAATTCGACTCCCAATTCCAAAAGGCGTTTGAACAGGTAAACAAGAGAATGGAAGCGTAAGCTTTTCCTTTTTACTGAACTGGGTTTCTGGTCCAGATCTTTTCTCGAGTAATTCTTTGTCGAAACCTGGAAATTGCGGCGAGTTACGCCAAATCTCACGGTTTGACGGCGGTGACTTTGGAAGGTGGGATACACGGATGCTGACGCATTGGAAAAATTGTCAAGAATAATAACTAACGATCGGTTGCCACAGGGGATCGTGTGGATGGACGTGGTGCGCTGTCGGGTGGTTACAGTGATCATCGTCATTCGCGACTGACAGCAGCGCGACAGTTGAAACTAAATCAAGATAAATTGCATCAAGAGCAAGCGCGCTTAGTGCAAGTGAAAGCGGATATCAGTCGGTTGGATCAACAAGTGACTCAGGTATTGGGCGAATTACAAGTGGTGGAAACCAACAAGAAGAAATTGCAAGTTCGAGAAGACGCACTGCAAGATGAGTCGAAATTAAAGAGAGACGAAACACATCTCCGCGAACTGCTCGAAACCAAGGCAAGTAAAGAGAATGATGATTTTCAGTGAACATTGAAAACTAATGGTGGCACTCATCGTGTTTTCTTGCACAGAAAAAAGCACTGGATAGTATTCGTGGCAATGTGATCACACTGGAACAACAAATGCAGTCCTATCAAGTCGAGTTATCGTCGGCTCTTTCCCAGACACTATCTGCCGAGGAACAAGGGCTTATTCTTCAGCACAGTAATACCATCGAGCAAGTCAAGCGTGACATGCTGGAGGTATCCAAAGCAAAATCGGCCGTAAGTCAAACCATTAAAAAAGGCTTGTGCCCCCCGTCCGCCGAAACTGATACCTTGGATCTTTTTTTTTTTTTGTTGACCAGGCTGAAAGCGAGATTAACCGCTTAAGGAATGCTTTGGAAAACGATCTGCTACGACGAAAAGAAGAATTAGTGACCAAACAGGATCGTGTGCTTGTAACGAGCAACACTGATGAATTGGCACGCAAACGCAAAGATTACCGCTCGCTTGAACGAAAATTGGGAAGAATGACCAAGAAAATCGAAGGTAAATGAAATGGGATGGCGGAACGTGGCGAAGAGTTCCCACCCTAACGTACGTGTCTGAACCATACCAGAACTGGACAACGACATTGCGAAAAAACAACAGAGTCTCGTCGAATCCGATAAAGCACTACAAAATTTGACGGTATGTATTGTAATTTTCGATGGATACAACCGTGCCACTTACAAAAGATGTTGCCTGAATAGAGCGTGCAAGTCGAAGTTGGACAGACGATCCGAATGTATGAGAAAAGTCTGGAACGTCTTCTGCTCCGTAAAACCTTGCTGTTACAAAAGAAGGAAGAGTGCAATGCCAATATCCGTGATCTTGGCGTGCTTCCCGAGGACGCTTTTGAGAAATACGCGAATCTCAGTGTCGAAAAGGTAGAGGACAAAAATCAAACGTTCATCCCCTACGTTGATTCCGTTAACTCTTTTTTACCAGTTATTGCGACGACTCCATCGTACCAATGAGTCACTGCAAAAATACAACCATGTCAATAAGAAGGCGTTTGAACAATACGGACGATTTACAAAACAGCGTGATCAGCTCACCGCACGTAAAGCGGAGCTGGATAAATCGGCCGATGTAAGAAGCCTCCATACTTTTTTTCTTATTAAATCCGTCCCCTTCTTTTCTAACGCTTCGGTTAATAGGCAATCAGCAACTTGATCGACTCTTTGGATCGTAGAAAAGACGAAGCTATCGAACGCACGTTCCAGGATGTCAGCAACAACTTTTCCGAGATCTTTGGTACACTTGTACCAGCTGGTCGAGGCGAACTGGTGATGAAACACCGGACAGATGAACAGGTAAGTGATAAACGACGTTTTATCGATGAATGAACCCTGATGTCACCTATACTTCAACTTTTTGGCAGCCAAATGATGGTATGGATGTGGACGACGCAAGTACCAATCAGCATGGCATTTTTGAACGATACAGTGGCGTATCAATTAGGGTAAGGACACGAAAAAGAACAAGATGAATGGGAGAAAATGAAATGAAATGAAGGATGATATCATAACTGGCTGCAACTAGGTATCATTCAACAGCAAATCAGATGAAGGAATGATCATGCAACAGTTGTCGGGTGGACAAAAGTCACTCGTGGCGTTAGCATTAATTTTCTCTATCCAAAAATGTGATCCTGCACCATTTTATCTGTTTGATGAAATCGACGCCAATCTGGATGCTCAATATCGTAGTGCTGTTGCCGGTAAGGGTGGCTCGCCGTCATCTTGTTTTTCTTTGGGATTTGATGAATAACCATGGTGGGGTTTGTGATTTTAGATATGATTCATGAAATGTCGCAATCGGCCCAATTTATCACCACCACTTTCCGTCCTGAATTACTAGCCAATGCCGATAAGTTTTACGGCGTCACTTTCCAGGGCAAAGTATCGCGTATACACGGCATTCCCAAAGAAACCGCTTTCAGTTTCGTGGAACAAGTAAGCCTTTTTTTTTGTAAAAGATATTGAAAAAAAGTTAAACATGTGTCTTATATGCATAATTGTAGGAGCATATTCATTAACGAGCTTATCAATGATAAGCATTCCCAAGCTATCCTATCATTCCCAAACATGGCGTTTCTTATCAGATACAATTTCTTTTTTCCTTTTTTTTTTTGGCGATTTGGTCTTTGGAAGAATATGCAATCGTTACAATAAAGAAAAAAAAGAAGAACAAATCCATCCGATAGATGAAAAAGGGTCAAGGTGGGAAATATAATAATGAAGTGGGATGGCGGGTTGTAACCGATGCCCACAGAATGAGAACAAGATCACTATATATGCATATACATGAATATACAAAGAAGTAGGGGATAAACAAAGTGGAGACAAAGAAGAACCTAGATAAAAAAAAAGGATAAAACATAGATATAAAAAAATGTCATAAGTGCAAATTTAACAGAGGATGAGGACGATGGCGGATGTTTATGGAATGGTATGTGGTGACGGATCCGGTTTGCTTGTTGCTATGGCCATTGAACGGGTGCAAATAAAGGCAAATCGTCCGTGCTGGTAGGAGCAGAAGAAGAAGAAGTAGAAGAAGATGGGATCATTCCCTCAGATAAGCGGTGGTGGAGTTTGGATGGGACGGTGGAAACAAGGTAGTCGAAAGGCACCGCGAGTACAAGAGTAGTTGTATTCGGTGCTTCTTCTTGGTGAGTTATTCCTCGGTCCGTGCCATTATCATGGAATGAGTGGTCGTCTTCCTCCATGGGTTCATCGTCGTCATGCAATTGGTCAAAACAAGCATCCAACCAAATCTCTTCCTGCGATCGTTGCTGATCAAACGTGGAATGCAGCAGAGGTGAGAACATGGAACTCAATAGAATATTGCGAATCAACACTTGGCGTCGAAGTGTGGGTTCCGTACGAGGTTTGCCAGGATGGCATAATTTATAAAAAGACAATTGAGTAATATAGTCATGCTGTTGATAAAACACCGTTAAACTATGACTGTCTTGCATAATGGAATACTCAGTGATAACCATGCAGCAAAGAAACCGTCATCGCCTAGGATACGATGATGCTCAAAGCAAAACGTTATCACAAAAAAAAGGAAAAAAAAAGAGAAAGGAGAAAAAAAAACCGCAGAGATAGAAATAGGAAAATGAAAAGAGGACAAGAGAACACCATTGGAACAAAGATAGGGAAGGGAAGGGGAAGGATGGTTGCATGACTGGCACTTTCGACCACCGAATGATCTGTCTCCGCGCGGTCCCCTGGACGCCACTCCGTGATTTGTATCAGAATGTGTAATGATGGCTCATGATGAGGCCCAATACAACAGGCACAATAAAAGTGAATCTGTGAGTAGGGTGCTTCAAGATACGACCCGATGATTCAAATATGCTCTATGGGTGCTTTGAGGCCATCGATGGCGATATCGAACGCATAAAGTATGTGCATTTTGTTGTCCTTATCGTATTTGCATTGAAACCAGAAGCGTCTGTTTCTCCCAAAACGACCATCGTGCTGGCGCCATTTCCAATGGTTATCATTGGATAGACTCAATAATGGATCTCGTGATGAGCTCCTCTTTTTTTTTTTTTTTTTTTTTTCCCTGGCTCCCTCGTTGGTTTGGTTGGATGACTTTTTCTGTCTCTCTGTCAACATCAATATATTCCAAACGCTTATTTGGGTTAGTACCCCAGGTCCGCTGGCTAGGATGGCCAACATGATGTGATCAGTCACTGACTGTGGACCTCCCAATCCATCATAAAAAGGAATAATTTATTTCCCGTGACAAAAGGAAAAATGTCAAAATCAGAATGACCTGCCTAAATAAGCCTGTGCTTCCTCGGTCAATGCAAATGGGATTGATTAAACCGGATCACGCAATGCCGGCATCCATTTTCAGCCAATACCGTCCATCAGTCCAATGACACGATTTTTACCATGATGAAAACATTGCGTGCCACAAACACGCTGTTTCCCCCAAATAGTAAATAAAAAAACCACCCATCCACCCTCACACACACATACACAAACAGGTAACAAGGAAAAAAAAAGGAGAGATCCACAAAGTAGCATGACTCGGTTTAGGGACCCAAGAATAACAGAAAGATTATCGTCGTCATCTTATCCTCTGCCCAAATGTATCTCACGCTCTTTTTCAACCAATCCTCAATTCACCAACTCAACCTTGTGTTATTGATGCCGGATACCCACACTCTTCATTCGGTGAGAGAATAAAACATTACACCAATTGACTGGACTCAGTTTTTAATCGAATATGGACATAATTGAGTATTCACATTGTGCTCACGGTTTATGCGCCTATTATGGATAAGGGCATTTCGTATTATTGTATGCTTGTTCGTGCAAAAAGCGCTGTGCGGCTCATCTGGCTAACAAATCAAGATTTTGGCTTTGTCACAGTTTTGCGATCACTGATTTTGTGGTGAATGTGGCGCAGTATGACTCCAGATGAATTGTGGCATAAGCATTTCACAAGGGTTATGTTGAAGGTATTTTTCAAACAGACACGAGTAAATATTGTATCATCATTCGATGGGTGATGCTGCGAACCAAGGATTTACTTTTTCATTGACGAATTGCACCGCATATAAAAATATCTTCAAGATCTCTATTTCAATTCCTACACAGGCGTCTTTTTCATTATGTAAAGATTACGAAAAGCCCCTTTATATCGTAGTGTATGGTTTGCCGTGATTTTTTGATTTATATTTATACATTCATTAAGTAATCATTCTTTGGGCAATGACGTTCGCTAGAATGCAAATTCGTGGCTTTTCCCACGCGGTGTGCTGATGTGGTTTTTATACCTATGACGCAGCGATACCTGTCAACAACCAAAATCGTAATACAGGTGCATATAATAAAAACAACTATCCAAAATGCCCTGTTTCGTGGCGTCTTCAATACGTTAATACTGTAGCGGGAGGAAAAGAAACGAAACGAAAAATGCCATCACGAAAGATGCTTGTGCATGCATGGCAGTGTATTTAATAGCATTTCGCACGTTGTAGTTGGAAATCCTCTAAACCCATTTTGCAACGATAACTATATGCAGTTAACATTGGAAGATACAGATTCTAGGTCTGTAAGTTTTATTCATCCCCCATCAGCGACTGAAAAATATACACTCCTCTTCAAAATCAAACTTTTGATCGGCATGCAGTAAGCCGACTACCAGCGACCGTTCCCTTACTGCTTTCAGTACTTAAATTATGATATTTCAAATTCTACGTCAATTCACATATCTAAAGACTGTTGAGCATGAATGATGATACTTTGGCTCCGCAGACGAGTCCCTTCTCTCTAATACGTAAACAGGAATCTATCTTTCTTTTTCCCTCGAAGCAGATAATGTAAAGAATTGGAGAAGGCAAATATATTGAAACTAGTGTCGTATCCAATCGGCAAGAACAGCGAGCCCAAAATGCACTATTTACACTGACCCTACTTGATGTAAAGTCTAACAATGGAAGATTTATGATGTTACAGCCAAGGGTGATATTGATTCATAATCTGAAGGAAAAACCATTCATGCGCATAAAATCAATGAAGGAAAGCCAAAATTGCTTTGAGGAAAAGAGTGGCCAAAAATAACTACAGTGCTATCATAAAAACTTTTTGCATTCACTATAACTGTAAACAAAAGCGAATAAAAACGATCAACCCGTTCGTAATCATATGAAGATGACACGTGGAAATACAAAATACATGCAGTTCTTGACCTCCACACTACTGATCAAGCAAGCGATAAAAAATTAGGATATACTATACAAGAGAGCGGCTCAATAGCACTAAAAGTACGCAGTGGTATAAAGCTTTTCATTTGAATTTATAAGAATCACCCGCATTGGCCCATAAATATTTCCCCAAGGTAAAAATATCTAGATGTTTGGACAATCAATTTATGGGTCTGTTCGAGCATAGACATGGTTGAAAGCAGAATAGCTCAAGTATGACACTATTTCCATTGACAGGCATCTATTAAATTAAAAAAAAAAAGCTAGTGGGCCATCTCAGACTGAAAGCAATCTTGATTTCATAATCGTAAATGCTCACCCAACTGCCCAAAGTCGATGGAAAAAGCGAACGGTGAAGAAAAGGAAGGCCCCTGATTGGATAAATTCCATCTCCGAATGCCGAGCTGTCTGGGGAAACCCATCGGTCCGCCCAGTCACTCAAATGCCTTGAGTCAGCATTTTCATGAAATTCATAAGCGGACATTCGAATCGGATCGTTTTCCCTTTCTCTTATTCAAACCTTTTTTCATTTTTTTTTTTTTTTGTTTCATGGCCGTCGTTTCCAAAGACAGTTTACCGCCTTTCGGCCATGCGCTCGCCGGTTCAGCGGGGGCCATGTTTGCCTTGGCACTGGTTTATCCATTAGATATGTAAGTGCCGATGTCTCGACGTGCCGCCATTCAACTGCAAACCCATTTTTGTTTTTCTGTGTAGCATTAAAACTCGGATCCAAGTGCAAGCGAAGCATGAGAACATTGATGAAAAAGACCAGGAGAATTACAAATCGGCCATGGACGGGATACTGCAAATCCTCAACAAGGAAGGCATCAGTGGATTGTATGCCGGTCTAGGCAGTTCGCTGTTCGGGACGGCGTTCACCAACTTTACCTACTTTTACTGCTACTCACTGATACGCGCTTCTTACAATCGACGATACAACCGTACCGGAGGAACGTTATCGACAGCCTTGGAACTGGCACTGGGCGCCGCAGCTGGAGCGCTCACCACGTTAGTGACCACTCCCGTTTCCGTGGTGACGACTCGTCAGCAGACGTTGCCTATCAGCGAACGACAAAATCTTGTACGCACATGCAAATCGATCATCAAGGAGGAAGGCGTTGAGGGATTATGGCACGGCATCAAACCATCGCTCATTCTCTGCGTCAACCCCGCCATCACTTACGCCAGTTTTGAAAAGATCAAACAATTTGTACTCAAATCATTGTCTGTGACATCACTTTCACCGGGCTTGTCCTTCTTGGTGGGTGCGTTGAGTAAGACATTGGCCACCGTTATCACGTATCCGTACATCATGGCCAAAGTCCGATTACAATGGAAACCGTCCAAAGACATGAAAGATCGCGTCGTCGCTTACAAGGGAGCTTTGGATGTACTTAGTCGTGTGCTAAAAACGGACGGATTCTTCGGCTGGTACAAGGTAAGAAAAGGGTTAAAACGTGTAGTCATTTGTCATTTTGTGTGTAACCCATTATCCATCTCTTTTTTTTTTTTAATAGGGCATGAGTACGCAGATCACCAAAGCGGTTTTGTCGCAAGCGTTACTGTTCATGATGAAAGATATCTTTACCAACTACACTGTCCTCCTTTTCGCCTTGGTGCGAGCAACGCGACAAAAAGTGGTTCAATAGGACATTTTTATTTGATTTCTATAGATTATGGCTTCCCTCATCCGCCTTTGTGTTATTATTTTTGTTTTTTCTTTTCTTGTCACTTGGAAGATTACGATGAACCTGTTTACTAAATTGGGAAAATGTGGATGTTTTCAATGACCCAGACAACGGACGGCGCTGCGGCGCTGGAAGGGGGTTTCGAGGGGCAATAGGTAAAAAACTGGATACTTGAAAAAAAACCAAGGGGGTTTGCTTTCTGGGCAGGGATAAGGACCCAACACCGATGGCCAAGTACCAAACAGAAACTGAAAAAAAAGTAAAGGACAAAGACAAACTCACAATATTCACGTCCTGACAATGGCAAGACCAAGCAGCATGGAGTGACCGCGTCGCCACTGGACATAAAGTGAAGCAGTATCTAGTCCACCATTCTGCATTACTTTTTACAGGGATCGCAGAAGCAGGTTCTTGGAGAGCATACTAGACTGTGATAAAGTAGCCGTGCTTTCACGCGCCATGGTCGTTGTATAACTTGAATAACGACGTTCATGGCTACGTCTATCGTATCACCATGTCGACGTACAAAAGAGATGAGCTACATTACCCATTCCTATTGATACAACATATGAATAAAACAGCGTGTTTGGCGTTACAGAACGGATGGAACAAATTTCCTTCGGGTGGTAATTTTTTTCCCTAGGTGCTCTCTGTGGTAAAAAGTGGCAATTGGATAGACGCACATAATCCACGTTTCTTTTCTTCTACCGATTTTCTTTTTACTTTTTTCTTTTGGCTTGTCTTCCATGGCGTCATGGCAGACGAGTCGTCTTCAACTTCGCGTACCGCCGCTGAACCGCCACTGGCGAGCATGCTTCTTCCCATGCAGGCGTCGGCCATGGAGGACAGTTTTGAGAATTTGGATCTAAACCAACATCCTCATCGTCCGCCTGAAAGCATGCCCAAACGTATGAAACGCATCACCAGTAAACGCAACTATGAACTGTTCAAGGGCAACAATGTCTTTTTTTGCGACGGTCGGTTCTTGACCAGTCGTGCCTTTTGGGCATTCGCCATTGCACTGTTCTTCCTTATTGGCCCCTCGGTGCTTTTCGCTTATTTTACGTAAGGATGACTCTCCCTCTTTTTTTTCGATTTTAGTAATATGATGAAAAACTTATACTGTCTTTCCTGACACCAAAACAACAGGTGTCCATGGTTATGGTACCATGTGCATCCCGCTGTGCCTGTATTATTTGGTTATCTTTTCATGTTGGCGTTTGTGTCCATGCTGAAAACTTCCTGGACCGATCCCGGTGTAAGTGGGTGTGTTCGGTGGCCTGTGAGTTGAGACGAATATTGATAGGGGATTCACCAGATATTGCCACGCAACTTGGATCCATTGCCACCTCGACCGTTGAACGAGGATGATTTTGGTTACCCTTACGGCAACATGAATCAGTATGCGCCTCCATTGAGAACGACCGTGATTCAAGGAGTCAACGTCCCATTAAAATACTGTGACACCTGTTGCATCTACCGGCCTCCTCGCGCTAGTCACTGCCGACAGTGCAATAACTGTGTGGACACGGAAGATCATCACTGTATCTGGCTCAATAACTGCGTCGGCAAAAGAAACTATCGCTCGTTTTTTGTGTTTCTCGTCACAGCAGCCTCGCTTTGTTGTTACGTGGTAGCCTTCACCCTCGTTCATCTCATCACACTTTGCCTGGAAACGTCCACACACTCCTTCCTTGCTGCCTTGCAGCAAGCACCCATCAGTTTTTTTCTCACTATTCTGTGCGCGATCCTCATCCTTCCTGTCGGCGTGCTTCTGGGATACCATTGTTTTCTCGTGTTACGTGGTGTCACAACGCATGAACAGGTACAATTGAGATGGCCATGGGGCCAGTCTGAATCATCGGTTACTGACGTTGGGTGAAATTTCTTAGCTACGGTCGTCCTTGGCAAAACGACCCTTTGAACCTCATCCTTTTGATTTTGGTAACCCGATTTCCAATATGATCCATATCCTTTGCAGACCTCAGCCTAAAAGGTAAGGCACGACCCGCTTTGGGGACAATGGCGTGCGGTTTTAATTGACCTTGACCTTTGTTAGTTACTTGGCACGGCGCAAGTATGCCGAAGAGTGGTATGAACTCCGGGAACAAGAGAACCGGCAGAATCCACAGGCTGACAATGGCATGGCCAACCCATCGCTTACAGCGGCGGAACGCCCTTCCATTCATTCTCCTCCCTCCACGACCTCAAAACCACACACAATATCACGTTAATCCACTTCTCCGTTGTATATACTACGACTTGTTCGTTTCTCTCCAACCTCTTGTCATCATTTTCATCCATAGACCACAAAATTTTTTATACAAGCCCGCCTAATGACATTCCAGAACGGTGTAAAGCTCTCAACTTTGTTTTGTCGACAAAAAGTGCATCTTGTCTACAAATACGCTCCTTCTCTTTATATCAAAATAACACCCATTACTTTTTTCCCATGCTTGTTCGTATGCTTAATGTAAAAGAGATTACTAGACAAGCATTAAATGAAGGAACGGGCTGCAGGATTTTTTAACTGGAAATTTTTGCAAGGTGTGCACCCCCCCACGGAGTCCCATTTTTCTTGGCTCATTTTGCACGAGTAAAAATTTCCAGCCACAACCGATCCGGTGTTGCAAGTCTCTTTGAACAAAAAAGACACCATGGCTTCCTCAAGCAGCCGTGTGTTTGAAGTGGATCGGGCCACAACCGTCATCAATGCTTCCAACAAGAGAATCTACCTAGCTCTTGAAGCCATGCAAGCCTTGCACATTGGCACCGGCGATCTGATCACACTTGAAAGCGATCAACAAGACACTCACGTACATGTTGCACTATTTGCTTCGCTAGGCGTACAATCGTTACTAAGCCATTATTCCAAATAGATATCCGTGGGCGTTGCGTGGCCGTCATTGACATTGAAGTCTGACTGTAATTGAACTGCGGCTAATGAGAGACACTCTGACGAGAGATCTAACCCTGCAAAAATACTATTCTAGTGGTTCAGCTGAGTCCCGCCACGATGCTCAGCTGTCAGTGTGAAATTGGCGACAAGATTCATATCCACAAATTTCAGGGGGTGCAAGCGGTAGCAACCTCAATTCACATCAAACCGCTGGCAACCCTCGATTATCCCGTCAATACCATGCTCATCGATTACATCAAAGAAACCCTGAGTATGCATTTTTGTATTTCATTTATCGCAAGCACTGTGACCCTTGCTTACCGATTTTGATTCTATCTAGTCCAAGGCAAATATGTCAATGTACAACATATATTTGAGATCTCGTATCACGGAAAACCGCGACGATTTATGGTTGAGCGTATCAATGACAGCGCCGTTCAGGAACCCAGTCTGATTTACGAAATAGTCCGTCCGACAAAGTTGCATATGGACAATCTACCGCAAACAACGTCTCCAAATAAGTCGGCTACCGAATCATCAACGAACAAGGTCACGTATGAGCATATCGGTGGATTGTCGGAACAAATCAAGATTGTGCGGGAAATGGTCGAGACTCCATTACAGAATCCAGAGCTTTTCTTACAGTACGGTGCGTGAGAGATTAACCCAATATGCGATTATTGGGCAGTTTGACTCAGTAAGGCTGGTTTTTGTGTGTGATTAGGACTGCGACCACCGCGCGGTATTCTGCTGTACGGACCCCCTGGTACGGGTAAAACCTTGATAGCTCGTGCTGTTGCTCAAGAAACGGGCGCGCACTCCATTGTCGTGAACGGACCGGAGATTGTCAGTAAATTTTACGGCGAAACGGAGCAAAAGGTAATAGATCGTCACATCATGCTTTTTTTTTTTGGCCGAGTAAGTTGGATTGATGCAAGTGTGAAATGGAAATAGCTGCGTGATCTGTTTGACGAAGGAGCAAGACGAGCGCCGACGATTATTTTCATCGATGAAATTGATGCGTTATGTCCAAAGCGCGACGAGGTAAGCTAGGAATTGATCTAGTACCAGTCAAATGGCTATGAAAGAAAGTGGTGGATATTAACGTGAGGAAACAGGCGCCAAGTGAGCTTGAAAAGCGTGTGGTGACGACCCTTTTAACCTTGATGGACGGTGCTTCCGAAACCAAGCAGTCAAAGAACGACCGAATCGTGGTCATTGGCGCAACTAATCGTCCCAATGTTTTGGACGAAGCTCTTCGTCGTCCCGGTCGATTCGACAGAGAAGTAGAAATAGGTGAGTACCGAAGAACTTACGTTGAGCGGCCCAATTTCTTTGCATGTACTGTTATTGACATGGTTGATGTATCAAGGAATTCCCAACAGCGATGCCCGATTATCCATTTTATCGACAATCATGCGCAGTATACCTCACACCATCAGTACGGACGATATGGCCATCCTGGCCGGTAAATCTCATGGCTACGTCGGCGCGGATCTGGCGGCCGTTTGTCGTGAAGCTGGATTGAAATGCATCAAACGATGCGCACGACAATCAGGCAAGTCAACAATACCAAAACAGGGCTCGATAGCTGAGAATGCGTATATTGACATGTATAAAAAAATAATCAGACTCGGTCGATCTTCGCGTGAGTATGGAGGATATGCAAGAAGCCATGGGCGAAATCCGACCAAGTGCAATGCGAGAGGTACACAAAAACATGGCAAGACACAAGCAAGGTCTACAGGAAATTCTAAACCGAAGACTCGATTAGATTTTGTTGGAAGTGCCCAAGGTGTATTGGAGTGATGTCGGCGGTCAATCGGAAATCAAACAACGATTAAAAGAATCGATCGAATGGCCTCTTCAGGTACTGCTGCATATAATTGAAACCATAGAGGCAACGACACATGCGGTTTGATACTCACCAAAACCATTTTCGCGCAGCATCCAGAAGCTTTTGAACGACTGGGCATCCGACCGCCCAAAGGCATTCTTTTATACGGACCACCCGGTTGCAGTAAAACTCTGATGGCCAAAGCACTGGCCACAGAAGCCGGTTCGAATTTTATCGCTGTCAAAGGGCCCGAGGTAAGATTCAAGATGGAGCGAAACAACGAATAGAGATAGATTCCTAATGCGAAAAGGGTTCTGGTAGTTGTTCAGCAAGTGGGTGGGTGAATCTGAAAAAGCCGTCCGCGAAGTATTCCGAAAAGCACGAGCGGCATCGCCATCCATTGTGTTCTTTGTAAGCACTGATAAGCTCGTTGCCAAGAAAAATCTACTAATCCAACCGTGCTCTAGGACGAAATTGATGCGTTAACGGTGAAGCGTGGCGGCTCTGGGGATGGTGGAACCTCGGTGGCCGACCGTGTTCTTTCACAGTTACTGAACGAACTGGACGGTATTGAGCCACTGGTGAATGTCACTGTGGTCGCGGCAACCAACCGACCTGATATTATTGTAAGCAATCAATCGTTACGCGAAAAAAAAAGACCGTTTCTCATTTCCTTCTTTGTTAGGATTCGGCCTTATTACGTCCGGGACGCATTGACCGGATCCTGTATGTGGGACCGCCGGATATCGAGTCGCGTTGTGAAATTTTTAAAATTCAATCAAGGAAAATGACATGTGACAGTGATGTAGATATCCAAGAATTGGCGGCCATGGTAAGTGTAGCGTGAAATGAAAGGGGGAGGTCTTGGCTTGCATGTGATTTACCCATTTTGTCGCAGAGTGAAGGCTGTTCCGGTGCCGAAGCAGTAGCGATATGCCAAGAAGCTGCACTTTTGGCAATGGAAGAAGATACGGAGATAGATTCGGTAACGTAGCTTGTATTGGAGAAACTGAAAGTATCACGAGCTCACAACTAAATCAAAATTTATACAGATTAAACGACGCCATTTTCTTAAAGCGTTATCATCATTCACGCGTCGCATCACCCCAGAGATGCTTCAGTTCTATGCCGACTTTCAGAAGCGATCCGGGCTTCGAAGCTTGTAAATAAAAACTATAAGAATTTGTACACCTTTTGGTAGATCACGGCCTCAAGCTGGATTTGTTCCATTCATATACAAAGTGTAGATAGCGGAAAAAGTATAGAGTCATCTTAGACGTGCATGTTTTGCGTCATGGATAAAACAAATAGGCGAATCCGCTCAGCGATGGGTCATCTGATCGGAGCAGAGGTGCTGGGCTTTGTGCATTGACTGACGATTCCGGGATAAGGCAAGGTGGCGGGCTGAATCCGAAAAGGGATGGACGGTGTCACCTGGGAAATTCGCAGCCGAGTGTCAAGAACCCAAATTGGGCGCCGACCGTCGTTATGCGGCCCCAGTGCCTTTACCGCTTCCCAGATTCACCATGTCCTTTGGAGTAGAACTAAAGGTAAGGCATCAATGCAACGGGTTTCCAGTAGTTGACTTGGTGCTCATACCTTATGGTGAATTCAGGATCAGATACCGGCTATTACGGAATACGTGGGGGACGGGATCCAGTCGTTGCAACAACTTCGCCAGTTTGTTCGAGAACGCAGCAACATTGAGCGAGAATATGCACAAAAACTGGAAAATCTGGCAAAAAAGTATAAAGGGTCAGGAAAAAAAGCAACCATGACAGACGCGTCCGATGAGTGGGACTGGAACAATAATTCCAGGTAAATCTTAAAAAACCGGCTATATTCAACTGCGATTGAACTAACCTCGATCCCACATCAGTACATGCTCCGTAGCGTGGTCTTCGCTTCTTGCGCAGACAGATCTGATCGCGCAATGCCACTTTAAGCTCGTGGACGAGCTGAACGGGTCCGTCGTGGAAGCATTGAAAACATCCGCGGCCATGAAAGAGGAAGCTCGAAAAAAGGTAACCGCCGAGCCAAGCATTTTAACCTATGACATGAGGATACTCACTCAAGGGACGGATTTGCACTTATATTAGCATATCGCGTTTTATCAAAAACTGAAATCGGAGCGGGACAAGATCTATTCGGACAAAGATAAAGCCAAACAAACGTACGATGACGCTTGCGCAGAAACCGAGAACATACGTGCCAAGATTGATAGAGGCACAGGAGATCAATCCAAGGTATAAGAAAAAAAAAAGAGCATGACAAAAGGAGAAGCCCTTGACAAACTAGGTACTGACTTGGAAGCATGTGGATGGTAGCATCAAAAACAGCTGGATCAGGCGTTGCTGGATTGTTACAACAGCAAAGTAAGATACCGCAAAGGCACAGTAAGCAGAAATAATGATGTAGTAACCGGATGGGTACTAGAATCTCTACCTTCTTGCCATTGGCATGGCCAATGCTGAACGGTCGAAATACTTTGAACAAGATCTATCCATGATCGCTGATGTAAGCCGACATCATCACCAAGAAAAACTCTGCATGTCTTGATGATATTCATTTGTCGCCTTACGTTTACTTAGCAACTGCAAGACTTGGACCGTTCACGAGTGTTTGCATTGCAAAAAATGTATACGACTTATCTCAACCTGGAAAAGAAGACACTGCACGAATTGGTGGGTTATTACGACACGGCCCTGGAATCGACGCAGAAAATGGATCCGGATGTGGATGCGGGCGTCTTTATACGCGATGCACTAGGATCATCCGATAATCACGATGCCGCCGCCAATGTGGAGTTCCACTTTATTCCATGGAACGGCCATGGTTCGACAACCACTGACAGAGTAAAAGAACTTGTCGTGCATTGCTATTATTATTTTTTCTTACGGTTCAGTATACGCATAGGATGATCATCTTGTAGCCAACGATTCCGCTACAATTTTCCTCAATAACAAACTGATCAAAAATCGAAAATTGCTGGATACATTGGCCGACGATCTTTCCAAACGATCCACCGAAATGATGCAACTCGAAAAGGCAGTCGACGCCATTGACGATAGAGCGTCCACAGAGTATGACACGGCCAAAGAGGTAAAAATTACCAGGAAGAAAAAAAAAAAAGAAAGCGTTGTTTTCACCTCTGTGTTCCTTGGTTTTGTGTTTTTAGAAACTGGTTGCTGTGATGCGGGATATCACTTTGTTATCTACGCAAAAAGTAAGAGTTAAAAGCGAGGTGGATCTTATTATACGCAATATTGGAGGTAAATAATAAGAGACATGGGGCAACCAGCATGATTTGACTAAGCAGAGAAAATTCATTCACGAACGGGCGGATCTTAGATGGCGGACTTCAGGCGCAAACTCATGATTTCAAACCTTCCTCTTTTACTATCCCTACGACATGCGACTATTGTTCTAGTACGATTTGGGGATTATCCAAACAAGGGCTGACATGCAAAGGTAAGCTGACCCATGCCAAACCAAAGGTCACGTGGAGATTCACAACTGGCTATGTGTATTTTTTTCTAAGCGTGTGGATTCAATTGCCATGCCAAGTGTGAAATGAAAGTGGCTCCAAATTGCTCTCGTACCCGAGGAAAAATCAATCGCCAGAAATCAATCAGTTCAGCCTCAGTACGATCCGTATCTTCCTATAAAGCTAACCCCGAAGCCACCGCAGATAATTCAAGGGCCGAATCATTCACAACGCCTATTGCAGCGCCTGTGCAAGAGTCAACGGGACAGGAGCCTTTGGCACGCGCTCTGTACGATTACGAAGCACAAACTATGGAAGAATTATCGATCATGGAAAACGACGTTTTAACTGTACTGGAGGAAGATGGTAAAAAAAAATTCACTTTTTCATTAAATTGAACGAATACAGGTAACTAATCTTTGAAGAATATATTTTGTGACAGACGGATCTGGATGGATCAAGGTAAATGAAAAAAAAGGGGTGTGGCCGCTTGAAAATGAGGCTCATTTCTGCTGGGTATGATAAAGGCACGCAAGGGAGACCAAGTAGGACTTGTTCCTGCCAATTATGTTGCCCATGATGATACTGTTCAGGATATGCGGTCATCACCAGACACACCCATGACGGAGACGTCGATTTCTTTCACTCCCGCCATGTCGACGCCTGCTGTGGAAGAACCGGAGCCCGAACCGGCGACGGTCCCGGAAGTCGTAGTTGCGTTGTACGACTTTGAAGCGGTGAATGCGGATGAACTGAATATACGACAGGGCGATCAAATCTTGGTGACTAAAAAAGATGACAGCGGCTGGTGGGAAGGTAAAAGAAAAAACGTCATTCATATCCAATGCTACTTGCTGACATTTAAATTTGTTGATATTTTCTCTCTCTTTTGATCTGGAAATGGGCCAGGTACTTCGAACGGTAAAACGGGTATTTTTCCAGCGAATTATGTTGGTCCATGCCAATAAAAGAATAAACCAAAAAAAACGGACGTTCGAGAACAATCATGCTACGCTAGGATTCATGTAGTGGTTATATAAATATCATGCAATGGCTTTGTTTGACCGCAACTCGCGATGCCACCACACAAAACCATGATTTGCAATTGCTCAGCTGTGGTCGCAGTCCATTGTATAGTAGAATGAAGGTACAATTAACCAAAAAAAAAGATACATATATACAAGCTTTATTAAAAGCAAAACAATTGAATACATTATAAACAAAAAAAATTAAAATTGCAGATAGTAAAGAGAAAAAAAATATATATGAGTAACCGTGGGTTTCACACAGATTAGCTTTCGTATTCCTCGATGAGGTCTTGCTGGATTTTGTCGGTCAAGCTTTCGAGTTCATTGTCGAATCCTTGACGCAATTCCGTGGCAACGGTTTCCAGATAGGTGGTAAGTGCGGGTTTCTGTGAAGATGGCATGGAGGTGGGAGGGGGAGAAAAGTAGGCCCCCAGTCGGGACGAGGAAGGTATCAAGGATTTTAAATAGTTTATCCACCGTGAATGGCGACAAGAAGAGTGACTGTCGTCCGTGGCGGACTTGATCACGTCGCACTGTTTCATTGCGTGCATAACGTGCGCCGTAATATCGTAATCTCGGATCGTCTTAAGAATATGGAACGTCACGGCTTCATTCAACGAATGCACAAAAGACGCCACCTCGTTTTCAGGCAACGGCTCTCCGGGCTTGATATCAATGTGAGTAGGCCACAAGGTGGCAATAAATCCGTCTACAATAGGCTCCACTTGAGAGAAAACGTGATTGTTCATCTCATAAAGATGCTGTCCAACGTAAGCCGGCAATTTCAGTACGCATTTCTCTAGAAAAAAATAAATACATGCCATGTAAGTGGATCAGTTGAGAGAAAAAAAAATGTGTGACGCTAAAGAGTGCGTACCATTGGCATGGGACAAGCCGATCAACGTCGCTTGTTCCTGAAAATAGGGCGTTCGTTTTCCATGACGATAGCTGTTGTATTGCATTTCCAGCAAAAGCACTTCGCTGTATGTACTCAAGACTTCGTCAACGATATTTTCATAGTAGGATTGGATATCATCCCGAATGGCGAACTCGGTGGCCAAAGGCCAATTCTCTTCGACAAAGACAAGCTGTCGACCCAACACGCTAAACACAAGTGTAGATAAAAGTACCAGGAAAGACAATTGCATCATGAATGAAGCATGAGCAAAAAAAAAAAAAGAAAAAAAAAGAGAAACGAATAAGCAATGCAGAAAAAAGAAGAATGAAAAGCCGGCCTTCTTATAAATGTTCAGGTCGTTCCCTCCTGTGACCGTGCGGTCATACCGTGCAAAGGCATAGCAACTTTTTTTTTCCTGTTATGGCTATTTCACCCTGACCGGAGTGGCTGGAAATAAAGTCCAGTGGGCCACGGTGTCGGATCCGGGTATTTCGGGGTTCGTTGAACGCGAAAAAAAAAAAGTGCCACGGCGGACACTGCCACGTCTCTCTTAGTCATGTTTACAGGGCGTTTGGACGGTTTTGCCGTGCTCCCTTCCGTGGGCGGGAGGTGGGCGTTTTTTTTTTTTTTTTTTTTTTTTTTTTTTTTTGGGCAAACATCGAAAAACATTCTACTGGAATAAATTAGTTTGCTTGTAATACAAACAAAGAGTTCTGTAACTGCAAACCGAGCCAACCGCGTTGAGTGGCATTTTTACTTAATTCTTGTGGTGATCTATCCAGGAAGCTTCTTATTACTCCTTCGCTTAGTATTGGTTTTCCCTTGTTACGGGATCATTTATGCCGATACTTTTTTTTTTGTCATCGCGCAGGAAGAATGGACCATGCGGTTTTTCTTAGTCAGCGTCTGGCACCAAGGAAACTCATCGATGTCGTTGTTTAAAAAAAAAAATTCTGGCCATGATTTCCTTGCGGAGTTTACTGACAATCTCTGTTTGATAATATGAAAATGACGTTTCATCCACCGTCGATTTATCCTTTTTTTTTTTGCGGACTGTCACTAAAAAACCAAGATCATTGCCCTGCAATTGCAATTGCAAAAATGGCACAGAATTTAGCATGCGCGTGTCAAAAAAGACCCCATGAATGAGGCAGTCCACGTTAGTACTTTTCCATACATGATTCTGTGCTCCGCATTGGGCTGTCCGAACCCCTCTCAACTTTTCACCTCCGTGGGTTATGTTCATATTTCTTCATTGAAAGATGCGGAGCTCTGATGTCGTTGCTAATGTTGGTAATATTGTTATTATTGTTGGCCGGTGCATGCATGTGTTGAATCTTGATCTTTGATGATATTTTTAGCATCCGCCTAGTGATAAATGAAACCGGTGGGTGCATCATGAGCAACTATGCGTTCATTCGGTACATCTTTTTCCAGCTTATCGGTCTTTGGAAACTACGCAAGAAGCGTATGACGACCTTAATGGATTCCCCGGGAAACTGCTTCCCCGAAAATTCCGGCTAAAGTATTCGGTTATCCTGTTGTTCAAATCTTCCCCAAGTAGCCCGCGCGGTAATCATCCTCTACTTCTGCGCATACACTTTGTGCATAGTAAAAAGCAAATGGTCAGCCATTGCGCAAGCAATTACAAAAAAAAAAATATACATCATCATAGACGCGATACAATGTAATGCAACCTGCACACGCACACACAGAGTAGATCACTATTCACAAAAAGGCCTGGTTTTTATTTTAATATAAACAACTGTTTTCATGCTTCTTCCCAGCATGAAGTTCATTACAATACATGAACAAGTTCAGGAAACCAGCTTGCCAATCTAACGGGATTCCATGGCAAACCTACAATGGATAGAATGAATCGACCGGTCGGTGACAGAAACTCATTGTCCAACGACTTACCATTGTTCCCTACAATCCACGGCCGCTCTTCGTACCAAGCGCTTCTTATCATCAAGAACGGCGGCCAAGGCTCGTACAACCATGCCAGCAAAAGGCTTAACAGTTTCGGCTGGGCATGCCTTGACAAAATGAGTGAGACATTGCACAGCGGCAATCCGTACTGCCGTGGGTCGATCGCGGGTCAGTGATATTAATGCTCGTATGACAGGTTCTACTAGTTGTGCAGCTGGGCCCGCTGCTGCAGGCACAATGTTCTGTATCACCGCAATCATGATCAAATTCATGTGCGTATCGTGTAACTCCAGTGACGCGATGATCGACGGCATAAGCTACAACGGGCGGCATAAGATTTTTTTTATAGCCATGATTGGATCGCCATCAGTGTGCATCGTATATAAAAAAAATACTCACCCTCGTCACGTCATTGGCTGCAATCTGCGATGGAACGCTCGACAAGATGTCCGTTAATGCAACCAAACAGCTGAATTGGATTTCATGATTTTCGGAAGCCGCGCCTTGCAGTAACGGCGATAAGCAGTGGTTGAAAACGCGTTGTCTATACAAGATCTGGAAAAAAAAATACAAGTGTTCAATTAGGCTTTACATGCACCTCACATGACCTACAAAGAAAGGGCCAATTTAAAACTTACAGAAAGTGTAGCATGGGACGCCTTATTTAGTAAAAAATCATCTTGGCGTAGAATGACTGCGAAACTTTGGGCCGCCTCCTTTCCGAAATGGGGCGATTGACACTGATTCACGATACTGTCCAGCAGTTCGAATCCCAGGCTGTGGCCTCGTACCAGCAGTCCTTTTACCAACTAGACGGCAATAAAACAAAAGTTTTAAGTATGCATCCCCAATCTTGTTCTGCGTTGTGCATTTTCTTTTTTTCTACTAGTTTCGTTTATCTTACCCAAGTCGTCATAAGGAAGGATCCCTGTCGTTGACTTTTCACCGTGGTATTAAAGTTATTAATGAGTTCTAGGAATAAACGGCGAATGGACGGGACAATATCATCTGCCACTTTGTGTATCAATTTTCCAAAGTTCTTGACTGACCGATAGAGATGCCCTCTTACCACGAATATATTTATTAACGATACACGCCGTCGCCATGGCGAGTGATTGCACTTTAATCAGGCACGGTATCCGTAAACTGGTGTGCACAATATTGTCGAGGAATTCGGCAACCTCACCGGCGGGCAGGTATTGTACCTAGAATAGTCTAATGAGGAAAAAAGCTTCCTTCCCCTTTCAAACAAAACCCCAAGGTGATTCTCACTTACATCGCGTCGGCTGTTGCCTATAATCGCTGTGAATAATATGGTGATATCAGGGATGGAATCTTCCTATTATTCAAAACATCAGTAAGAATCAATATCACGGGCATTTGTCGGTTGTCCCTTTCTTTTTATTACCATAATTGGATCATAGAGTTTGTTGGCAAACGTCGGTGTAGGTGGTAACCCCAATACACTCGTGTCGCCTCGAACAAACAAGTTGAAAGTATCCGCCATGATGGAATTTTGCATGCTAACATAAAATGTGTGAGCGATTTTCCTGCGCTATTTTTTGGGTATGGTCATCCGACATATTTTTTTTACCTTGCGTTGGATTTTCTAACAATGATGGCGAGTATAGAGGCCAGAATGTTCACGACGGAATCAGGGAGATACCAGGAGCAAGTCGGTGGACTCAAAGAGGCTTTGACGCAGTTTGTCAAAATATAAGGCAAGAGCATCGTTTGTCCCAACTGCAAGACCTCGGCATCCGTAATGACCACGGATAACAATCGAGAGATACAATTAGCTAGGGCGCAAGCATACGCCATCACCTTGGTATCTAAATCAAACTGGGTCAGTCATTTACATGATTAATCCAAAAGCTCGGGATCACTTTACCTGTGTGTTCCTGAACCGCCCAATCAAATTTAGTGACCAAGGGCTGGACAATGGCGGTAAAGAGAGAGGGTAATCGGGCCAGATGTTCAATGGACGATAGCGCATCGGCATAATGATCAAACACGGGATGATCCCCATCCGGAAGTTGACTGATAAGATCGGGAAAAGTGTATCGAGCAATCGAAGTAGGGTTGCGTTTGGATAAAACCACCAACGTCGATAATGCAAGTTCTCTGTCCAAGGAATTGAAAATTTAGTGTCCTTGTAATTTTTAAAAGCTACCCAAGGATGGTCTTACCGTAGTGGTGGATCATCGATGGTGAGCAAACGTGTCAGGTGATTGACGGTGATATCCATCTGTACAAAGAGGTCAATTTTCATGGAAGCAATGCTGTTATGATTTGTGTATCGGTACTTGCCTCATCAGGAGCCATAAAATGCCTCATCACGGCCATCAGTCGTATGCCCTGAAGACTAGAATATCTCAGCTGACGATCGGTGGCTTGCTTGCCTATCAGTGATAAAACAAACACTTGGAGAATTTGCTGCTTGTACATTAACAAGGGCGTTTGCAGATCGCGTTCTGTTACAATTAAAAAAAAAAGAAGGCAGGGGAAGGAGAGGAGGTGTGTTTGTTAGACCGCACGAGAAGCAAACGAGGTGTGTTGTGAACTTACGTGATTTGACATCATCCACAGATCCATATTGGCTCTTGCTGGCTTCGAGGATTTCGATAAAAATGTCAAGAATGGCCTTTTGTCGACTGGCAGGATCCGTGATCTTGAACTGCTGATAAAGAAGCGGAATAGCCGCATGAGCCACCGAAGTACAAGCGGGATCTACAGAGCAGTGTCAATGAGATTGCCTTTTTGCTCGCAACCAAGCAATTTTCCTGGCCATCTCACGTACCGGATGCGGAAGCGGCTGCACGAAGAATGTAAGCGGCCGATTTGGCTTTCTTTAATTCCGGTTCTTTCAATTCTTCAATACATTCATTCAAAAGCGCGTCAATGGCTTTTTCCACGGGATCGCGGATATTAGCAATGCTAATGCCAGTAGCCAAGGTCGCCACCACACTATGGATCGTATCCAAGGCGGCCTTTTCCATCGCCACATCCGATGCATAGTACACCTAAACCATGATCCCGATTTTTTGGTTAATTCGAATGCGGTCGATCGCGTTCAAGCATTCATGTACGTACCTCTTTGACAAGCGCATTAAACATGTTGTATGCATGCGGCAAAAGTGCGTGAGCACCATATGTCGACGCACAAAGAGCAATAGTGTCCATGACATCTTTCTATATAAAGAATGAGAATGACTGTGTTCCACCAGGGACTGTACTGATGCTCATATTTACCTTGGCGCTGCCGGCCCATGTCACCAGTTTTTCGATGAGCAAAGGAGTGGCAAAATTGGCAAAGTAAGGTGTGGCAGCGAGGCAGCGTCTAGCGTTAAAAAAATACAAGCAAGGGGGATCAGCCATGAAGAAAAGTAATTCAAAAAGCCCATCTGGGTTTCCTACCTTAGACTTTCTTTCAGATCATCAGTGGTAATACCGTAAGGATCGTTGGGAGGAGGCGTGAATTGAATGGGGAAATAGCAAAAGACGATCTCAAATAGATCCTATATTGTGAAAATCCATAAGTCAACCAAGGCCAGTTCACTTTAGGTTGTTCAAAGATTCAGTTCGTTACCTCGACGTGACGAGATATATCGAATTTATCAATAATAACGCGGATGAGCTCGAAGGCCACCAATAAATTACGCGGATCCTTTTCACCGTCCATAAAGTTCACAAAGCCGGGAATAAAGTTCAGATCCGGTCCTTGCAAGGCTACCAAGCATTTACCGTTAAGCGCACAGCCTCATTCTCCGAACCAACAACAAATTGCCACTTACCTGGCAAATGATGCTCAATGCATTCTCCAAAAAATAAAAAGATTTTATGTCGCGTCGATTGGATCAATTTTTTGCTGTCAATTTCCGAAAAGATGCTAGGCAGATGGGAAAAAAAAAACCACGCCGAGTGAGACTTTGGCGTCATTACATTGAAAAGCGCGATATCGACTTACGATTGGCAAATCAAGGTAGCATGGTGACTTTTGAAACACGGCGTGGCTGTCACCACGCTCAACATATCAAACCACGGGGCAACCATCGCGGGGTCGGCGAGGTGGGTGGACACGAACTCCACCAAGGCTTGCACTGCATACAGCGTAAGAAAAACAGTTATAGACGGGCTTTGTATCACGCCAGGTATTTAGCCATGCCATACCTGCCACATTGTCGAGATTATTTCGACTGTGTGAGATGACTTGAGTCGAGAGATCGATGCCTAGATATCCGAATGAGAATGCGCACGGTCTTGGTCAATTTAAAAGCAATACGTACATTTGGCTCGGTAGACGCCTTCTGCCTCGTCCCACCAAGCGCCTACTATGTCGAGCACATTGGATATAGTGATGATGGACTTTGTCAGGTCTACATTGCAGGAAACACACAGTCAGCGCTTACATCAACATGCAAAAAACCCACCGGGCAAGAAGCCAATTACCTAGGAGAATGTGTGCAAGGAGTGACGGATCGACTTCGTCACGAGAGGACACGAGCCAATCGCTAATGAGCTGGCGACAACGGCTGGTCATGATATCGATGTCTTTATTTTCTGTTTTTTTTTGTTCCCCTTCCAGACTAAGATTATCAGATTTTTTCCCGAATGAGTGGATGATTTTATCAGATTTTTTTTTGAACTGCCATGACTGCCAATTTCAGCCAATGACAAATCTTTTTTTTTCATTATTTTGTCTCTGTCCAGCTGTTGCAACGAATAATGCAAGGCAGGTTTTTTAAGATCATGGGGGAACCCCATTTTTTTTTTCAGAATTAAAGATATGGACTGGCCATAGCTGAGCGATTGATATTTAATGGTAAGTTACTGTTTAGATTAGAATGACTTTTTGCGCATTGTGTATTACGGCGATGACCCTGTGTTAAGTTTGTGTGTAGTTTCCATAACAAGTAAAGCCGCAATTTGTCATGGCCGTTGCGGTGTAAGCGACATCAGTGGTGCCTTCGAGACTCAAATCGATACCTTCAACAGATGATAGTGGGGGGGGGGTAGTAGGGCCTGGAATGAAAGATCTGATCAAGCATAAATCTTATTGCCACGTTCCAAATATCCCATGACCCGTTGGTTATCTGATTCTGTTGCATATGCCAAAACAATGATGTAAGATGAGCCAGAGATAATATGCCCCGCACAGTTCGTTGGCAGCACATCTCGTCATCGGATACTTTACCAGCACCAATGATACATAGGTTGGCACTAATACGATACGCTACAATGTGGCACTCTGGTTTGCAGCGGCTACCTTTTTCATCTATTATTCAGCAGTTCAGCATCGCAGTTCCAGTATCTCTTTCTTCTTTAGGCATAAAGAAGCATCAAAAAGCAGCGTGTTACAGTCGCTCTCCCTTTCTCTTTGTTTCAAAATACGTTGGCCTACGACACGGGCCTGGCTTCTCGCTGGACAAAGCAGAAAAAGGAAGGAGAAAGAAGATGCAAGAGATTTTGATGTCCTAAATAAAAATAGTCTCCAGTTTAGGAACCAGGATGCGCCGAGGTCCATCAGCGGGGGAGTTACACAAGGCTGATCGTCACATTATATAGTTTGGTAATCAAACTCCGCGAGTCAGCCACCTAGGAAAAAAATTACCATGTCTGATATAGGAACCGGATCTTTACATTGTCAAGAGGCACAGCACCCAATATCATTCAAAATCTAATAACTCTTTGTTCTAGGCTTGTAAGATTCTACTTGCATGTGGTCGTGATATTATGCCACGGAGAACAGTCATCTTCAGTCATCAAAAAGGTTTGACCTACATTGTCCTCATTTCAAAAGCCGACAATGGTAATCAATGTAATGAAAACTAGGCTAATGACAAAGGATGCAAACGAACCAACTATTAGATTTTTGATAACAAACAAGGAAACAGTTGTAGAGCCAATGATGAGAATAGGATAAATTTATCCGGAAAAGCTGCTAAAAGACGACGAGACACCTTAAATAAAAAAGGGCATATCTGATTGTGTTGCAGAATGTAACTCCTTTTCATATAGGCGTATGTACTACAAAGACCTTTTTTGGTTTGGGCCGAAATGGGCCGAATTAGATTGACCTGATTTGCTTTGGTTTGCCTTTGTTTGTAATCCCTGGAACGTTGATCATCCGGTGCTTTGTACACCTTTTGATGACTTGGTTGAACTTGAGTGACAGTGAGAGTCAATCATCCGACATTTTGAATGTCACACGTTATTCTGCCATGAGAAAAAAAAAAAAGTGACGGAACTGCACGCCGCATGACGCGGTGGAATTATTTTTACGTTCCCTCCTATTCCACGATCTTTAGAGCGCATCGCCACATGTTCCCCGTTCCCTAATCCCGCTTTCACGTTGCTCATTCTCGCCCGAGTGTTTGATTTATAAGGGGGGAAAAAGTATTATTTGTATTGTAGCAGGAAATTAAAATCGAAATAAAGCGGTGTACTGTTTGTGAATAGGGAGGGCAACAGGAAAGCAAAAAAAGATCAAACGAGACAAAGCAAGAAAAAAGGCAGAGAGATACGACAGTATAAATAGCTGGAAAAAAGGGATTCTACATAATCTAAGAGAAAAAAAACGGGGATGAAAGGGTGAAAGAGTTGGGGGGCTTTTAGTTTAAAGAAGAATTACGTAACTACAAAAAAAAAGAGAAAAAGAAGAAACAAGAAAAAAAGCTACTGCCGTCCTGCGTGCATCCTTGGAATATGAAGTTTGGAGGGAGGGTGTCTTCCTATTGGGCTTTCTTTTTGGCCTTCAATTCGTCTTGAGCTTCAATGAGTTCGGCATCTCTGGCCTGCTTGGCCATGACTTTTTGATCGTTACGTAAGTTGGCGTCGTACTGTTCATCGGTGGGTTGACGATGAGAGTTACCCAGACGATCCCACAAAGTAAAGTACTGGCCGTAATTGTAGTTGAAGTATAAATGATGCACAGCGTGATGGGCGGTGGTGTTGATGATGTGCGAGTGCGAGATAAAGTTACCATCGTGGATCATGACGGTCCAGAAATTGACAAAGACGAACATGAACACATAGAGCCACTTGTGCATAGGCACCAAGTAGGCATACAGATGATAAGGAACCGACTGCATGTAACCATCCACTGGGTGGAACGCATGTGATGCAAAAGGAGAGGGAACTAAGACAATAAAAAAAGCGAGGGTAAGTTTCCAAATCGTTATCTGTCACCATTTTTCGTCACATACCAATCCATTTATGGTGAGGCTGCAAATCATCAAGACCAAAAACAAATAAAATCATAATAAATTAGTTGATGAAATGAGGCATTTTTCCTATATATTTTATCCTTCGTGCCATCCATACCTTGTGCAATCTCTTATAGAGTAGAGGGTGATGCAACCATCGATGAGCCCAGTAGATACCAAAGTCGGTAAAGAATAAAAAGGTGGGAACGCTTGCCACGAGATATAACCAACCCTTCAGATCCTGAGGCACGCCATCGTAAAGCATAGAATGACCATTGACTTCACCAACAAACCAAGGCACCGTCAACACTAAAGTAAAAAAAATTCCATAGAAACCAAACAAAAAGAGTTACACGATGAGACACAAATTTTAACACACGGCACCATGGATGTATATAACAGAATACACTTGTATCCCCTCTCCCCCCCTCTCCCCACCAACACCGTAACAACAACAACACATACATGAAAATCCAGGGATGGCGGAAACGGCACATTCGATTTCGAGACGCACTTGGTTCTTTAAAAATTTAGGGTGATCCATGGTTTCGTGATCAAATACAAAGTAGTAAGAGAAAGAGGCCATGGCTAGATAGAAGAACCAGCCGCCGAGGGTGACCATGATGAAGATGGACAGGGATTGACGTAGGACATTATCGCGTGTCCAGTTAATGGCGAATTCCGAAGTGGCATTGGCGGCCATGCTGGTTGGAATGAGCTTTGCATACAAAGCATCAAACACATGTTCATCCGCGTAGTGGAGAACTGAATCCATTTTTCTTCCGATTTGATAAAAAAGAAAAAGAAGACTTATAAAAGAATTTTGGGTTCTTCTTCTTTTTTAATTAGGTGAAAAGAGAGCGAGAAAAAAAAAAAAAAAAAGAAAAAAAAATCTCGCTTGTAATATTTTTGTATTCATCCTGAATTTGAATTGGACCTTAAATTTTTTTTTTTCACTCGGGACTTTCTGTCTAGCAATCCGGCACAGTGTTCTCAACTCCCCCTTTTTCAATCACACCACAAAAATCGAATCGCAACGTAACACAAAGTCCTTTCTGCATTCAATGTTTATCACCCTCTTTTCCTTTCCATGTTCCACACAACATTATCATGCATGTCAAAATCCTCCATTCAACATATAAAGAAACCGGCACCCACTCCATAGTTATGCCTCTGAAAGGGACTTGGTTGTTTCCTTGGTATTTTCTATAACGGTTTCAACGACGTGAAATCACCGCTTGGCATTCACGTGTCTTGGAGAGAAAAAAAAATTTGACCGGATGTACGCAAATGAGAATGGAAAATCCATGGCTTTTCTATCAACGATGATTATATCTCCAGGGACAGCGCGGGCAGCGGGGTCGAACCATAGCCAATGACAGTCAAGGGATTAGACCGATGAACATGGCCTGTTGCTCTCTCATCGCTGTGTGGTTGTGGGTCCAGACATACCCATGAGCGATTATCTTTTTTGTTTATCACCTTCTTTTTTTTTGTCACTGTTTCCTTATCGTGCATGAGCGTCACATCAAAGCACACACCATCGTCTTCATCGGAGAGTCAAAAATAATATCAAGGCGCCAAAAACGGTGCGCTTGCATGCAACAATGAATGTCGCGCGCGGAATATTTTTTTCCTTTGGCCTTGTGAAATTTCGGTGAAACCGATGCGACTTTTTTTTTTTTTTTATATATCGCTGTAAGCACGGTCCCCTTCCTGTTATTGAATATCATCGAATCATTCTCAATAAAAACACGATGATACAAAGCAGTTGACAAAGGACAACATGCTAGTGGCACTTTCCCAAATATATCAATAGCACTATACAGTACGTGATCTGGAATCCAAATCACTTATTGCTGCTATTGGTATCAAGACGCGCGATGAATGGCTTCCTCTACGGTAATTTTGCCGATAACCCCCATGATGCATGCCGTGAGCTGCTCATGATAAGCGAATATTCATCCGATCGATAACAAAGTATCCAAACGTTCATGGTTCATGGTTCATTGGACAGTCGTACAGATCAACCGTGGCAATATTCATCCGCCGGTGAAACTCCGTACCTCCCCGCATACCACATATGCTATTAGTTCCACATATCAATCTAGTTATCCCAACTCCATCAAACTTTTTTAGTCTATGCGATGCTAAAACTATCAAGCGTTCATAATAAAAAAAAAATAGGGTGGATGAAACTGAGTTGCGTTTCGATTCCTTGCAAGATAACGCCCTTGATATGTGGTACTTGCCAAATACTGTACCGCCACCAATTTCTAAATGGGGTCTCCCTTTTGGAATTCCATCATGCTGCAAAGTTATATTGTATACTTGCTGATCCCAATCACAATCATAGTCAGTAGATGTTATATGATCAGACAGTATGTATGAATTTACTCTAAAAAGCCCTGCAAGCAAAAGAATCATTCCATCAGACAAAAAGTCACCCTCCAGTGATCCTGCTTCCTTGGGAAGTATCGACGATCAAAAATTAATATTTCCAACAGAATTATCATGAAACGAAGTGAGCAACTTGGCCTTGCACTATCAAACCGGTACACCAAATCTTTCAAGTCGTCCGTTTTGAAAGCAGTCCACAGCAACCGGTCGACAGCTAAAGTAGATACGTATCTCCACTGTGAAAGAGATGGTCGAGCTTGTAAGTATAAGCCACATAGACTGTAATAGTAGATCAAATATATCAGTAAGCAGGATGATGATGATGCAAAAAACAATGGTATATGGTAAGCTTATATGAGTGATACAGTGTATATGTCATTGGCGCTCATTGTAATTAGTGCACAGCAAGCAAACATTTACCATGATGATGATGATGCATTGCGTCAAAAAAAAAGAAACAAAGCTGCACGGCCAATGCCAGGGTTAAACTTTTCCCGATAATCACCGCAAGAAAATTAATTATTCACGCACTTGATTAGATCTCTTGAAACAAACAAACAAACAAACAAGTAATGATTCAGTCATCGTTGTACCAAAAAAAAAAGGTATGATGACAAGCTCCAATCCACTCTCTTAAGTTCTTTATCCATCTGTTCTAATCTTTTAGAGATACGTGACCGAGTTTCAATATAGAAAATAATACAGAGGCTGCAGTGTTATCTTGGTTCAGATATCTTGGCGAAACAAACGCCCTTTACATATTCTAAAGAAACTATTCTATCTTTGCCATGATGTTTATCCTACAAGTGTTGGTACACGATTGCCTATTCGTTTGATTATATTTCAATACAGCGATTCGCGTTCATCCAATTCGCACATCAACCACGAAGCGGGTAAAACAGTGTCGCGTGATTCAAAAAGAAAACGCGAAAGAGAGGACTTTTCTAACGCTATAGGATATGAGTCATGGTTGGGAAAAAAAAACAAGACGCCAGTAGGTTCATAGTAACCTGGGCCAGAACACTTTTTGCATTGCCATCTTTTCATTCAGGAACTCAATTTACGCTGCGGAATCCGCAAATGTCAAGTCACAGTGGGTTGGGATACGTCATGATGATAGCATCCGTCTGTCATTTTGCAGCATGGGGAAAAATAATGAAAGGCTTTAAGAGGCAATAAGCGACCGCTGAATGGCTTGGCAGAATTCAAACACTTTTGTTCTTTGTCTTTATCCTTTTTAATTTTACTTTTTTGAATCCATCATGTTGATCAAGCATTTCAACGAAGACGAAGCGTCGCGTATCTTGAAACAAACACCTACCGGTCGGTTTTTCGATGACAGCGGTCCCAGCACCTTGGCTTACAGTTCTCGATACGCAACCGGCGATGTGCCCAAATTCAAAATTCCAAAAGAGTCGGCCGAGCCTCGCGTAGCCTATCAACTCATTCACGATGAACTCAAATTGGACGGTCAACCAAGCCAAAACTGTGCCAGTTTCGGTAAGCTTGATAAAGAAAACCAAGTAAAAAAGAGACTTGTTGATTCACTCAACGTTTTTACGTCGATGAATTTTCAGTGCATACTTGGATGGAACCTGAGGCTAAAGAATTGATCATGGAGAATATTGCGAAAAATTTGTCTGATCAGGATGAGTATCCGGCCACCATGGAATTGGTCAAACGGTGTATTTCCATGATCGGCAATCTTTGGAACGCCGATTCGGCCATCGGTACCGCTACCGTTGGCTCCTCCGAAGCTGTCATGCTTGGTGGATTGGCCATGAAGAAACGCTGGCAAGCCAGACAACGTGAGCAAGGCAAAGACACCACACGACCTAATGTCATCATGGGCAATAATGCCCAAGTCGCACTCGAAAAATTCGCTCGCTATTTCGACGTGGAATGTCGACTCGTGCCCGTGTCAAAGAAGGGTCACTTTGTCTTGGATATCGATAAAGCCATGGAAATGGTCGACGAAAATACCATTGGTATCTTTGTCATCCTTGGCTCCACTTACACCGGTCACTTTGAAGATGTTGGACGACTGTCACAACTCCTCGATGAATATCAAGACAAGACCGGTATCAATATTCCTATTCATGTGGATGCAGCAAGGTAAAGAGAGAAGGGATAAAAAAAAATGTGGTCAACACTGGTGGCTCAAACCCTGTGCGCGTTTTGTAGTGCTGGCTTTGTTGCGCCATTTGCATTTCCTGAATTAAAGTGGGATTTCCGATTACCGCGCGTCGTTTCTATCAATGCATCAGGACACAAGTACGGTATGACGTATGCCGGTAGCGGCTGGATTTTATGGCGAGACGAATCATACCTACCCAAGGTGAGTAAGCCAAGCAAAAGATTCCAGAGGGATCGTCAGCTGATAATTCCGGTTAGGAACTCATTTTCGAACTGCACTATTTGGGTGGCACCGAAAAGACATTCAACCTCAACTTTTCACGTCCCGCGTGTTTTGCGGTAAGTCCCACTACTTTGACAATGATTGGTCGCGGTTATGCTTAGTCATGATTCCCACTTGTTACAGATCGCCCAATACTACAATTTCCTGCGCCTTGGGATGGACGGTTACACCAAGATCATTGAAAACGATCTCACCAATGCGCGATTACTGTCTGTCGCCTTGGAAGCCACCGACTACTTTGACATGGTATCGGATGTGCATCGTCCCGAAGGTATCTTTGGATGGGAACACCGCAGTTCGTTTGAAGATATCAAGAAACGCGCCAACAAAAAGGAACGCACAAAGTACAATCCATCATTGCCAGTCGTCTCGTTTAAACTCACGGACGAATTCAAGAAGAAGCATCCGCACGTCAAACAAAATGCAATTAGCACACTTTTACGTACCAGAGGCTGGATCATTCCTAACTATCCATTACCGCCGGACGAAGAAGAAACGGAGATTTTACGTATTGTTGTCCGCGAATCCATTTCACGCGACATGATTGATAAGCTCGTGGAGGAAATCGTGGAGATGACTGAACGTCTCAAGAACGTCGAACATGCCATCGATGCAAGAATCTGTGGTTCAGAAGAAGATAACAAAAAGGACAAGAATATGGAAAACAACGAGCACCTGTCACCATCCACCTATGCAAGACCTTGCTAAACACCATAAGCGGTGATTCAAAAATAAACAGACATCCCCACCGCTTTCAATTTGTTCTCATGTTTCCAACATCGGCTCAAAATTTAGCAATAAAATAAAAGTGGGCACCCGATCCGCGGGCCCTTTGTAGCTTGCCTTAGTTTTTTTTTCAGCTTATCGTCGTTGCTGTTTTTAAGCTCTTGGAACCATGGCTTCTCTTAGTGCCATTCATATTTTTCCTGTAAAGTCATGCCACTACGTGCAAGTCGAGGAATGCAAAGTGCATCATTTAGGATTGGAAAATGATCGTCGATTCATGCTCATTGACGAACGAACCGGTCGCTTCATCAGTCAAAGGTGAATAAACAGTAATACATACATCCATCTATATTTAAACGAGAGTCACTGATGGCTTGGTTAAAGAAAATATTCTTCGATGATTTTGTTGCGCCCTGTTATTGATCTGGACAAAGAAACGTTGTCCTTGACCTCGGACCGTCAAGCCCCACTTGTTTTACCTCTGCATCCAGACACGAGCGCTTTGCAGAAACGATCGGCGCAACTGTGGAAGAATACCCTCACCGTGTTTGATCTCGGTGACGAAGCAGCGGCATGGTTGAGTGAGTTTTTCCAACTTCACCGAGATCACGATATTCAAAACAGCCACAACCCGGACGATCCGGTGAAGGACAACGACAGTCTGGTGAAAGCTCGTTTGGTGTATGCCGAAGATCCAAAGAAAGGCGTTTACCAAAATCCGGCCCATGTGAAACTGCCTGGCGTCCACTCGCCTTTTACGGACTGGTCGCCTATCTCGTTTGGATGCGAGGCGAGCCTGGACGCGATGAATACCGACCTTGTGAATCAAGGGATCAGTCAAGGCGCTAAAATTCCACTCATTCGATTTCGCAACAACATTTCGATTTCAGGCACCACTCCTTGGGAAGAAGAAAATTGGCTGGTGGTAAAGTAAGTCACCGACCGACTACACAGCGATAGCTGGTGGCACGAAAAAGACTAATGCGTTTTTTGGCGTAATGTGAAGGATCGGGGAGGTCACATTTTACGTTATACGACCTATTGCTCGGTGCACAGGTGGGTAGTTTTTGGAGTTGGATTGATCCACATAAATACTTGCTCACTGTTTGTCTGTATGACCAGTGCCGGGAGTTGATCAGGATACGGGCATAAAAGATAGCTGGGGTGGTCCCACGCCTTATCTTGTTAAACACCGTCAATTTGCTGAAAAGCCCAATGAAGGCCGATTTTGCGTGGATGTGGTGCCACTCACCAGCGGTACAATTCATGTAGGCGATAAAGTCCAAGTCTTGGAAAGGATTCCCACAGAATACCAACAACAACCAGTCAAGGCCGATCAACCCAATGTCCCCGCCAGAAGATAATAATAAAACGAAAATGAAAAAAATGAACCCTTTGAGCAGATCCGCAGCGAAATATACATTCCTTGATATATTTGAAAGCTATCACTATTAGTACATAGGAAATTTTGCGCTTGGTAAAACAGGCATCCTATATTTGTCAGGCAACTCATACGTTTTGAAAGTATTTTCTCATTCATCATTGTGTGCATGTTTGTGTGTGTGTTTTAAAGCAATCGCGGACAACCTCTGGTTAGAAGAGCGCATTATCGGGTTTTGTTTGTGGCATCGCATCGCAAGTCTTTCGACTTACGATTCACAAACCAAGAAAAAAGGAAGATACTGCTACTAGCCAGACGGTTCTGATGAAAACTACAATTAACAAGTCTGCAAAAATCGCTTATTAACAATGGCGTAATCGGAAAGCGAAAAAAGTAACATGTGTCAAATGTGATGTAGTTTAAAGTGAGAGCTATAAATAGTACAAAGACAAGACACAGCTATCTATACGATACTACGGAAGACCAAAGCAGGCGGCGACTTGAGCAAAGGATATTTCTTGCATCCAATAGCGAGGCGGAACCAGAGGGGAAGCAGCAAGCAGCGGGCGACAACGTTGATGACAAGCGGTGACAGAAAGAAAGGCAAAAAGAGATAAAGAGGAAAAAAAAATAACTTACCAAAACAAAAAAGTTAGGGTGGCCCATGAAAGGCCGAAGTCCTCAGGAAGCAAAAAGCTCAGGAGGTCAACAGCCAATTCTCAGGAAGAAAAAGAGTTCAGGAAGTCCAACTCAAAACCAATAAGTGCACCTGAGGAGCCAAAGGGTCGGAAAAAGGTCTTGACGTCTTCTTTCTTGAGTCTTGAATCTTTCTTCTTTCTTCTTTTTTCTTGCTTGAGTTTTGATGTCTTCTTTCTTCTTGCTGGAGCCTTGAGCCTGGCAGTGAATCTACTGTAGAGGGATAAGAAACAGAGGGCCAATTAATGTTCTGCAACCTTGGTAACAAAAAACTATTGTCGTAAAGGTTGACATCAGTCATCAACGCATCCCCCTGCTGCGCACTTTAGGCTGAATAAAAGAGAAGGTGAGAAAAGAGGAAAAGAGAAGAAAGGGGAAAAAATGATTGGACTGCTTTCATGAAATGTAAACAGAAAACAACAAAACAAGTTTTTTCTGCACGTCACAGGCAAAGTCACTTTGCCTTTTGATTTTCCATCATTGTGCACATGCTTGAAATAATTATGCTTGAAAAAAAGTAAGGGAGAACAAGAAGCCTCTCTTAATCACCATGGACGTTCCTGATGTACACTCGTATCAATGCGTGGTTATTTTCAGATTCAGATGGTCGGAACACTCATCGTCGGGTTCATATTTCGGTCATACGATTGAATATGTTTCGCCTTCACATGAATTACGTTCGGTTTTGACAGCAGAAGATCTGAACAACCCTGTCCTCAGTCATCATATACAGTCATTTAAAGTCTTTGCACAGCAATTATTGACTGGTTATATGAAGTTGATGAGTTTCCCTGTTCGTATCGTGGTAACTGGCAGCTGATTGTATCACCGCCTGGAAATGAGGTGATACGGACATTTGCCTGTGCACTCCGATCACTTTGGATTCATGCAGAGGGCGGGTTGGCACACTTCGAAAGAAATATGCACAATAAGCCTGCTGTCAAAGAAGTGGAGGGACAATAAAAGTCTGACACAGTTGACGATGGCGGTGCTGCCTATGTCAAGCCACCATGAATCGCGGCCACAAATCAAAACAGAAAAAAAAATTCTGCGTCCATTTTTTCCCCCCAACGTTGACCAGCAAGGGCCTGAAGGTTTGACGATGAAATGAACGGTCGGCTTCAAATGGAGTGATCACTCATGAACAACGTCTTTTTAACGTTATTCGACGGTTTTCAAACGGAGAAACTACGATGCGAAACAAGCCCAACAAGAAACTTGCAAACACGACGGCCCTCCACGCCGGCACTACAAATCTACGGTACCTGAACACCTGTTGGTGAGACCTGGATATGGGTATGCTTCGTTGACTGGAGTCAGAGTCATGGCTGCCCAGAAGACGTCCCCTGTTCAGCTGAATATTCGGCGACACACACGATGTGGGTCTTCGGTACTTCAACCCAGTCTGGAGCCCTAAGCTGGGGTACGCTTCGTTGATAGGAGGAAAATCAAGGTTACCTAAAACACAGCGGCCGCCTGAACGCTACCCGCCTCTCAAGATTGGCGAAAGTGAGCCTAAAGGTAAGCTCTATTTTGCAGACATGGTCACTTTGTTACTATTTCCCTTTGCTGAATTTGAATGTCCTGTAATAGGTAAGCACTCAGCCACGCGAGTAACCGATGGGAGCATGGGAGTTGGTAAGGAAGGTTACCAAGGATTCCGAGATCCACGTGTCAGAAGCAGCGGGACCAATCTTCGGCCGGCGCACCTCTTGCTGGTCAACTAAAGAAAGGTCAGTAATATTTGGGAACGGTTTGGCTACTGATCATTTGGGAGTCCCTTTGTAGGTCAGTTTCGGTGTCGTCTTTGGTGGTGTTGAGCAGAGCAGAGAAGAACAGGGCAGAGCAGAGCAGAGCAGAGCAGAGCAGAGCAGAGCAGAGCAGAGCAGAGCAGAGCAGAGCAGATCCAATCCTCATCCTCCTTCTCCTATGGTGCGGTGTCGACTGGCTGGTTGTCCGTAGTTTCCTTGCTGTAGAAATAGTGTTCCTTTGTTTCAATGATGTAAATTATTCTTTATAGATGTGGTCGCAGTCTTTTCCTCTCCAGCTTTTTTTCCCACTGGGTTTCTTAAGAGGTTTTTACCGGCGCGACCATCTCCTTTCTTGGTGTTTTTTTCTTTTTATTTCCAAGATAAAAAAAATCTTTTATAGTACTGGTCTGGCAGTACTTATGCTTCCACAATCATGTTCGGGTGTGCATACACCGTCGTAGTTTTTCTTTGAAGGTTATGACATTGAATAAGAGATTGCGTTCACGAATAATTACAAATAACCGACGATTATGATCTGATGCTTTTTACAGACGCTCCGCTCTTTCCATCCATCATAAATGCACTGAGCGGAGAAGCAAGCTCATTTTCAAGCGAAGATGATTTACCAATCTGCAAATGGGTCAATTCATGCGAACAATACGTACACCACAACGAGCTGTGTGTCCTGATAGCTTTCAGTGCATATCTTTCTTCAAATTCCAATGAAGTCGTGCTGCAGAGACGAAAACTGATATTGGTAGTCTAAGCCTTGTTTCAATGGATGTGCTTCGTTTGGGCATTGGGAAATATTATAAAAGGCAGGTAAACATTCATGATCTTACTTTTCTTTGTTTGTAGAAAACTTCGAAACCGCGGATCAACCTCTGCGTTGAAATATCGCATTATCGGATTTCGTTTGCGGCATCACAAACTTTCAGCACACAGGTACACGCAATAAATGCGAAAAACAAATACTTGCTTTCAAAACGTACAAAGTGTATAGTATTTTTTTGATCAAACTACAAGTAAAGTCTGTTGAAATATTCTGCCGTTACTGAAATTTAAAACTAAACTGGTAGTTGAAAAGTTTTTTGTTAGTGATCTAGATGCAGGATATTGAGTTGGAAGAGTGAAATTATTCAGAATGATCCAAAAGATTGGCTGGACCGTGTCTCCACCAGTACGTGCATTTCTTTCAGACTAGGATTATATACAGTCTACGTTTCTGCAACAGTCACGACTGCAACCAGCGATCCAAAACCACGAGTCAACCATTATCGTTCTATCAATGCCGAAGCTATGGCTCAGAAAGGCGCAAAATAGATAACAGCGCGTGACCATGACTGAAAACTATGCCCTTCGATGTCGTCCTCACCGATATCAAAGTCCTCAGCTATGCTTTCAAAGACATGTCCGACTAAATGTTGATTTGGCGATCACCGTCTTTAAGTAGGCATTCTCTATACTTTGACACTATATTGATTCACGCATTCGTTTCATCGTAAGGACTTATCCAGGTACTATGCTTTGATATTGGTTTGTCGTTGTAAATGTACCAAGTTATGAATAGCACCAACTGGATCGTTGGAGTCTGGCTTGAAAGCGAGGCTTAAACATCTAACGGCCGTTCCAAAAAAGAAAAAAAAGCCCAGCTGCCCAATGAACAAACAGTCCTCCTTGCAAGAATTTTGGCCATTGTTCGGGAAAATACTCTTTTCAACCATGTCTCGAAATTTACTGACTCGTTGTCACCTCCTTCCCAGAGTTTCCTTGCCGTCGACTCTGCGGAAAGCAGCCTTTTCTACCTCATTAAAATCCGCCCACCAATCTACCGAGTCGCCTAATAATCCAAAGATCACTCACTTTGGTTATCGCGATGTCGCCGAGGAAGAAAAAGAATCGTTGGGTAAAATTAAAAAAGGCAATGCAATTACACGACGGCAAGACTGATTGATAAGTCCATTTTGCGCCTGAACAGTGCATCAAGTGTTTGCCAATGTGGCTGGAAAATACGACGTAATGAACGATGCCATGAGTATGGGTATTCACCGTGTATGGAAGGACCACTTTATTCGTACCATGGCACCGGGCCCAGGAACCAAGTTATTGGACGTGGCCGGAGGGACAGGTACAATGGCGTGAGGCCAAAACGCACAAAAATTGCATGTTTATCAAAAAGCTTATCCGATGCCACTTGCAGGCGATATTGCGCTCCGATTTTTGGATTACTGCAGAAATGTGCATCGCGACGGGACGGCCAATGTGACGATGGTGGATATCAACCCGCACATGTTGGAAGAAGGCAAAAAGCGGTTTGCCACGACGCCGTATGCACATAGTAAGCTTTAGAAAAGAAAAAAGGACGCTACCGTTGAATGGCATTTCACTGAGGATGGGATGGAATTTTTTCATTAAGCGAACCAAGCCAACTTCTTGGTCCAGAACGCTGAGCATCTTGTGGACATTCCTGACGAGTCGTTTGATGTATATACAATTGCATTTGGTATCCGTAACTGTACGCATGTGGATAGAGTAGTCAAGGAAGCATATCGCGTACTGAAACCCGGCGGACGATTCATGTGCTTGGAATTCAGCAAGGTCGATAACCCGGTGATTGGCAAGTGAGTGAATTCAGTTTGCCATCGATGTCACGGAAGTTTTTGTGGATATTTATTGTCTTTTGTGATATGTCAGACTGTATGATATCTACTCGTTTGATGTCATTCCTGCTTTGGGTCAGATCATTGCCAGTGATCGTGATTCGTACCAATATTTAGTCGAAAGTATCCGCAAGTTCTACCCCCAGGAAGAATTCGCGCAAATCATTCGTGACGCCGGATTTACCACCATCGGGAAGAGTTACGAGGACTTGACCTTTGGCGTTGCCGCCATCCACAGCGGATTCAAAATGTAGAATTACTTTTCTCTTTTTATTACACCCCATGTTCTCTCTCTCTCGCTCTACCTCTCTCTTACTGTAGACTTGTTTATTTTAATACTCTCCCATCTTCATACATGCATTAGGCCACTAGCATATATATATAAAAAAAAGAACCAATGTATTTCATCAAAATCTTGCTTTATTTTATTGGAGGGTGGTAAGAACATTATGGAATGAGGGCGTGTCAACGCGTCCCGCCCTCGCGTGGTCGATATGTGACTTGTTTATCGCGCGAGATCTTTGGATCTCCGCAACGCGTGCATGAAGTGGTTCCTTGTTCCCTGTTGCTGACATGTCTTTCTTCACTCAATGACCCACTATTTCTCAAAAGCCATCTTGCCAACATGGGTGACAAGGGATGAAGGGCGTTTATTTACTCTAACCGAGAACCCGCACACGTTTGTCCTGAGACAGGTGAGTCACTCCACCGTCTTTTACCCGTTACGGCTACTTACAACTGATGCTTGGGTGTCTTCATTTCACTAGACGTACTCCATGCGCCATGAAGAAGAGAATATTGACATGTTATTTTTGGAATTAACTGACGGACATTACTGGATCCCGGCCATGACCAGTTTTAGACGCATGCAGCAAATCTTGGGGTAGAAAGAACGCAGTGACTATTTTTTTGTCCTACGACGTGCCGCAGTTTAACGTTGGATTGCATAGTTGTCAAGATGTGGAAGGCAGTTTGAGTGATTTATACGGTGCCATGATATCCGTGGAAAAAACTATGCTGGGAGTATATCACCGAGGGGAAGTTTTGGCGCCTGCGATTTACATTGCCCAGTTCAAAATACAAGATTTCAAAGCGACTCTGCCATTCCACGATATTCAGGATATCTACACGCATCCGCGGGTCAAAACATGGTTAACAGAACTCCAACGTTCACTCCCGTAAGATTTTATTATTGTTGTGGCTCTATCAATATTCATGTCACTCACTGACAACTTTCTGTTTTTTTTACCTTTCAGCGATTTTTCAGCGATATTCGCAGGTGCCAAACCTCCAGGTAAAAAAACCTTAGCGGATCAGCGACGGATGACCTTTGGGAACTCATCAAAATATGTGTCTCGGTTTCAGAACTACGTACAGTGATAAGTGAATACGAAAAAGTGCTGGAAATATTTGAGTGGACCGCTTACGAGTACTACGGACCGGTGCCGCCGTCAGAGGTAAATTTTGGCTGATGGAGCAGTTCACGGCAGTGTATGATCTAATATGATGTCGATATTCAAAGGAACCGCCGCCACCCTTCAAGGACGTAAAAGAGGAGAAGAAACCAAGCTTGCTCAATACCGAAACCCCTGCGGATCGACCTGTGGCAAGTCGGTCGAAACAACTGCGGAAAAAACGAACCGTCTCTGGGAATCCTACAGACAGCGCGAGTCAACAGGAATCTAGTTTATCGGAATCTGCACACATCATGCAAAAGGATGTGAACCCTGCACCTGTCCTTGTAAAAGAAGAAAGGGTAAGTGAGATCTTCTGTCGGGGAAAACAAAAAAAAAAAGAGAGTGATTGTTTATTTGCTGGAGATAGCAGACTATGTATGCACCGTTAACGCAAGACGAGGTGATGGCAATTTTTCGTGCGCCATTGACCAATGCAACCTGTGTCATTTCATTGGATCAAGCGATTTTGCTGGACCCAGACGAGTGTAAGTGTGAAGCATATCAATACAACACAGGCCATAGCTGCTGCTGATACGATGGATTTTCGGTTAGATAAGGGCACGGCAGTAGCTGGCCATCCAAGCCCCAGTGCGCCAGACATGGCTGTACCCGTAGCAATGGAATCCCCTGGCTCGATACCTATGCGTCCTTCCTCTGAGGTTGGCAGAGGAGCTGAGATGACGATGGACTCCCTGAAAGGAGAAAGTGAACTCGAGGTCGTCAAGCATCGTCTCCTATCAAACCTGGAAACTCAGTCGTCGTTGAAACGACATGCAAGACTGGATCGGTTTCGTAAAGCCCAGTTTTTCTGTGCTTTGGGCGATTTACGGATTCATGATTCCACGTCATACCATGATCCTTCCTCTTCCATGTCATCCTAAACTATATACATATATACCTCGATGAACCTCTCCTGCCATTCCGCTACCTTTTTTTTTTTTTTTTTACTATTCTGTCTTTTTGCCCTTTTTCTTCCATTTTTTCATTCATGTCTCGGCCGATCGTTTATTTAGAAGGATCTCCTTGGCCTCCTAATCTGTAAATACGAAATAAATGCGCTATTCTATCATATTCTGTACACTCATGCCTGCCAAAGGAGAATTTTGTCTTTTTTTCTTATATATGCTTGGCTGTTCACACGAGGGCCTCCTTAAATCCGTGCCATGGAGTCATGTAATGCATTTTAACCACCCTAGTCGACTAGTCTCTCCTTCAAACATTTTGCGGTTGGAATAATTGACGGAATAATGATAATAGTTAATAAAAAAAGAAAGATAAACAACGTTTTGAATAAAATAAGGCATTGCGGCATTACTTATAAGAAAAAAAAAGAAGTTAGGAGGCCGAAAAATAAAGAATCTGGCAAGGGGCGTTCATGCGTGCCCAATCCGCAACAATGACAGAATTTCAAAGGAAAAACATACATCTTTGCTTGCGCAGCAAATAAAGAACGTAATAAAAAATAATGAAAAAAGTAGCAAAATCAAGAATAAAACCGGAATACTAACTGAAATGACAGGAAAATTTGGTAATAAGTGGGAGTTGAACAAAGGAAGGGAAAGGACTGATTAGCATGTCAAATAATGTCTGTGCGTTTTGGGCCAAGAACGGTTGAGAGAAGACGTGATTAGGACAGAATGATGGATGGGCGGAGCAAGATGATAAATCAAGGGTGCTTGTGAGGAACGTATTAAATCGAAATTACGGCTCGGTAACTTCTTTTTGGTTTTTTTTTTTTTGATTGAATGGGTCTTTTCAAGTTTTTTTTTCTGGTTGTTTTTATCTTTTTCTGTGGTATAAGCTCGTGAGGTCGAGATCGGAGCAAGGAATGAAAGAATCCACAGAATTTACGAGGCAAATGGTTTAGGTGACTGAGCCGAGCTGGTGCTCACAGTGGACATGTTGTTCAACATCGTATCTTGAAGCTGACGTACGGTCGAAGCAAGGAGCACTCCATCACCTAATTCCAATATAGATTTTTTGTTCAATACTCCAAACTCCAGCACCTTTCAGTAAACCTGTATGTGTTATTACCTTGCTGTTGGGTGAATTGAACACAGGTATAATTTGTATGGACCAAGAATTCCATGCGACATTTGACTTGTCGCTTCGCCGTCTTGATCTCGGCCTTGAACCGCGAAACCCCTTGCTTATCGCACTTTTCATAAAATCGTGCTTCAATCGAGAACTATAAATATATAGGGGAAAAAAAGAAAGAAGACCACAGGTCAGTTGTTCGGACTGGGTGCACGATTATAGAGAGAGCGTCACTTACGTCGTTCATGGCGCGGTGTAAAGCGCGCAAGATTTCTGTGGTATTGGTATTGGTGACAATGAGCGAGCATACTTTGGGTTGTTTAAAGTGGAAAAGGTTCGAAAGCCAAGATGTTTTGGGGACTGACGAAGAGGGACTACTGGTGTAGGGCGACAAGCTGGGTACTTCCGAGGCAGCACTGGTGGTGATTGTGCTTGAATTGGATAAGAGGCTGGGGGTCACTGGACGGTTGACCGAGGTACTCGCTCGACGATCGGATCGAATCGAGACTTGGCTTCCACGACGAGGTGTTATCGGGGCTGTAGGCGAGAGCATGGTCGGGGTTTTGGCCGAACTCGAGCCACTGCTGCTACTGGAACTGGAACTGAGTGTACTTCCATCCGACAACGCAGGCGGTGGAGGAAGGCTTGGATCGGTGAACACAGACATATCCAGTTGTTTACGCTCACTGCGTCGTGATCCGTTCAATGTATTGAGCGTATTTCTCAATGCATGTGGGACACGGATGGAAAGGCGTTTGGGGTTGGCTACCTTGGGCGGCGGTTGACATGATAATGGTCGTTCCTTTTGTTGCTGTGGATCCACCTTGTTCTTGTTCGAACGTAATGTGGACTTGGGTGGTAATTCGGGAATCAGCGCACCAGCATCATAGGAAGCCTCGTGGCTGTTGGCCGCAGCTGCCGCCGCCTTGGCAAATGGATTTTTACGACGCAAGGTGCCGGCAAAGCTGGAAGCGGAAGGTTTAGGATCCGATTCGTCCTGTGTAACCCCATTGATTTTATGCCTAGACGTACATCCATTGTTTGTTTTTCTTTAGCTGCATAATCCCTGGGTCCCAAGTTTGAAAAATGAAACTTACGCGTCTTTGTTTTGATGCAACGAAGAGGGTAAGACCGATTTGATAAATCGGGCATAAAACGTTTCGCTTTTTTTCATCGCTTGAGCGGTCTTGTCGGCCGAGTGTTTTCGACTGGCCGCACCCGAGGGCAGGGGTGGTAACGGGGGAGGATGATGCAAGAATTCCTGACGTGGTGAACGCATAGATGCCGCCGAGAACCGTCGTGACACCTGTTTCTCGTCATCAGGACAAAGCCAAGGACTGGTAGGACGTACGGTATGCTTGCCATTGTCCACCATGGACATGCATCGTCGATCTCTCTCCGTACGATGGCTGACGGTACGATAGCGGCGTTGGGAATGGATGGAATCTACATCGGAAAGCACATAGGGGTGGTTTATCATCAATGAATAAGAAAAGTCATGGGTCAAGAGAAAGGGATAGTGTAACTTACCAAAGCTTTCGTAGCTGTCATATTCACCGTAACCATAGTCATCGTCGTCATGTTCCATTTGCCAGTAACGTTCAGCATGTTGTTGCAGCAACACGTAGACGACTTTTTGCATATTGGGTTCACTGTTGATCAGAGCATCGATGATCACCTCATCGCTTGTTTCTCCCCAGAGGAATTTGATGGTTTCCAGCAATCGTTCGTCGATTTCCGAGGAATCATTGACGGGGCGACCGATTTGCTCGGCTGTAGGGGCAATCGGAAGCATGGCGAGGTTAGTCGGTTCCACTTCACGGAACCATGGGTGGGCCATGATTTGTTCCATGGTAAGACGTTTACTGGGATCGACAACAAGGATACGCGTGATCAAATCCTTGGCTTTGGGTGACACTTCGTCTGGAATGGTGTATTTGCCGGCCTTGACCTTTTTCAACAATTGACGGATATTCTCATCGTCAAATGGCAAATGGCCGGTCAGCAAGGCGTACAAGATAATACCACAGGACCAGATATCGGATGCCGAGCCGTTGTAGGGCATACCCTAATGGATATAAAGTAAAAATTTTGGGGGGAGGGGTGATAGGGAAAAAAAAACATTGAGGGGAAAAAAGCCAGAGAGCGTTGTTTAGTGATTCACAGTTCAGGGTTTGTCTGTGCATATATCTTACAGCAACGATTTCAGGGCTCGCATAATGCGGTGATCCGCAGCTCGTCTCCAGCATGGACCCTGCTGGTTGTAGTGAGGCCATACCGAAATCGGCAATCTTGATGCTTTGATTCAAATCCAGCAGTAAATTCTCAGGTTTGAGATCTCGATGACTATTAAGAGCGATTGGATACAATGCCAAGATCAGTCAAGATTCCGTTGCCCATTTTTTTTTCCCGTCATACCAGATCAAGTGATGATGACAATAGTCCAGACCCAGAATGATCTGTTGGAAATGGTGACGTGCTTCGGCTTCACTAAGCTTGCCTTTGCTGACGAGATATTCAAAGAGTTCACCGCCTTCAACGTATTCCAAGATCAAATGCCTAAAATACATAATCCAACCGTCAGTATTCAATCCACATTAAGGAGAGAGAAAAAAAAGTTGAAAAAATCCAGGGGTTTCTATTTTGCACTTGGCTTTCTCTCATTTCCATCTGTCTTTTCCTTGAATCCCGCCCAAAATCAGTGATCAGACGAGAAAAAACCAAACAACCCAATGCCGAAAACAGTAATACATAATTATCACGCATGAAAGAAAAAATGAAAAAAAAAAGGATACATTACAGATCAGGTGAAGAAGCATCGTCAATGACGTCCACTAGACCCATGACATTGGGATGGCAGATCAATTTCATGATGGCAATTTCTCGTCGTACCGCTTTTTCAATGGCCGGATTCGCTGCCAAGTGGGCTTTACTGATAATCTTGATTGCCACTTGTTCACCCGTGAATCGATGAACACCTAATTTGACTCGACCTAGGCATTTTTAAAGAAGAAGAAAAAGAAGACAATGCGCGTCAAAATGGGTTGGGTCCAATTCTCCTCTTGTCATTTCGAGAGAGGCCTGGTAAAGAGGCTTTTCTCGATGGCAAATAATTACCGGAAGCGCCCTTGCCGAGTGTTTTTCCCACATAGTAGTCGCCAATCATTTTCCGCGGTTTTTGGCTGTGTGTGGATAACGTCCCGCTGCTGCGACGGCGATCTCGAATCGATTTCTGTGAACGATTACGGGTTAATATTGCGGTGGGAGACACCATGGATGTGCGTCGAGAAGAAGGATTGGATCGATAAGGCTGAGGGTCATTAATAACTTTGTTGTAGTGGTGGCCGGTATAGTAAGGATGATCCAAAGGTAAAGTAGCGTGCATATTATTAAGACTATTTTTTGGTTTTGAAGAACTATATTATATAAGAGAAACGAAAATAAAAACCAATCCGTATTAAGAAAATAAAAAATGATATTAATTGTTGAAGAAAAAAGAAAAAGAGAGAAGAGCAAAAAAAAAAGAACACAATCAACTCAAATCGTCGTGGGGTTGAAAATGAGGAACCAGGTTATATTCAGAGCATAAGGAGAAAAGAAGGGAAGGGCGGTCACTCAACTGGTCAAGCCAGGGGAACGGGATGGAGGAGAAGGGGGGGCCTGTTTATCTTGGACGTGAGAAGCCTAACAAAGAGTCAAGGAGAACATGTGCGTATAAGAGTGTAAATGCGAATGTCGATATGTGTATGTGTATGATGTGTGCGTGTGTGTGTGTGTGTACAAAGTAAGCGATGATCGCACTAGTGGGGTGAGTGTAGCTCCATGATCTCATCCTACCTACTGGTTTGAAAGACATTCACCACCACTCATGGTTTTGATCTTTCTTTGTCTTGATTAGACTCCTTTTTTTGGGATCAAAATTTCCCGTTCCCACCTTTTTTTCGCTCATAAACGGCATACAATAGTGATGCAACAACACGCCTTGCAGCGAGTCCATTTGCTTATTTTTGCTTTTTATTTACATTTGTCCAAATGTTCCAATCACTTGCCATCAAACTAAAAACCAGTATCATGCCATCCTTGGATTTTCGTGGTTGATTTGCTTTTTTTGGTCATATCCAAAGGATCCACTCGTTACGCCGCACGTTGGGATGATGATCCATCATACCAAATCCGGGTTCGATAAACCACACCATCTCCGCGAACAATAAGCACGGGAACCCTGTCTTGAATACACGGAATGTCACATTCGATACGATCCGGTGCAGCGTGCAAAATTGTTGTCATGTGAATTCCTAACCAGACCATCATACTGTCAGTGAAATTCGATCCTTGTACTATCAATCGGTCGCCTAGACGATCCAAATGATCAACAATGGGCATCGGTGTAATCGCACTCGTGGGAGGATAACAAGGCCAGAATGTGTACATGGCGCAATCTAAACAACGAAAACGAGATGGATAAAAAATGATAATAATATTAATAGTAAGCACTTGTTTTTTTTCCTCCTGCCCGTCGTATATGTCTACTGATTGGCTGATCCGATGATCAGTGATTTTTTTCTTTACCTGTGCCTACAATCGTCCAAACGGCACTATCTGCAATGGTCTCATACCAAACAGGCGGATGACAGGCGCTACCGTGAGACGACGCGCTACTGCGCCTTCGACGGCTGGGATGGGATAAACAGGCCGTACTGAGCCAAGGGCCTTGATCACAAGGTATATCACTCATGCTACTGACGCGGCGACGATGGGCGGTAGCTTTATGATCGTGAAAACCGGTTTTGGACACATTTGATGCTGGGTCCCAGGATACTCGACGTTTCCGCGCCAAGCGAGCAGATGATGGATGGTCAATCAGCTCGTCCAGATGAGGCCGATCATGCGAACTCGAGGGAAATGATGAAAGTGTGGCTGAGGGCGATGATGGCAGCATCATTTGTCGATGACCTGATGCACGATAAATACCGACGACATCTTTAATGCAACTCAAATACATGGGGGCTTCGGTCGCATGCGGCCAGCCCGGTTCGGAAACAGATTCATGCATCGTTGAATGGGCGCTCGTGCCAGAGGGATTGTGCACAATCTGAAAACCGATTTTGTGCAGCTGCGACACTGGATCGCCCAACATTTCATCGCCATACTCGCCGCCTCCTCCCGAACACGCATGATTCACCGTAAAACCACCCCCTCCAGTGGCGGCATTCCCTCGTTCCACCTTGCGAATCACCATTACCGGACTCACCAAGCCCGTATTGACGCATTGAAGCACCACACGTTGGTTGTAATAGATGGGCATCGGCTTGCCATCCGCCGAGGGTTTCAAAGCGACGCGTGGGGGTGTTGGCCAAGTGTCTCCTTCGTCATTGACTGCATCCGCATCATCGTTACGTCGAGGATCGACAATCCAGATGATGAAAGGATCCCATGATTGCGTATGCGCTGCCAGACAGGCATCCGGAAGATTCGGACTGTCATCGTTGTTGGGCCAATCCAGTCGTTGATTGGTCATGTACGATACCGGTAATCCATTTGTGTTTGTAACACTGAGATAACGAGTCGATACAGTTTGAGATCGAATCCGGTTAAACAAGGATACTGTGGAACCGTGGTGAATACAGACTAAAAGCAGATAAAAGAGTATTCGACATGTCACGATGATCTGCTTGCCAAATAAGAAATTTTGCAATCTGCAACACTTACGGTCAACGTTTTTTAGACTCTGACGTTTCTTGCTAGGCTTACTAATGACGCGAATGGGCCGGCTGGGAAAAACACCAAGATGAATCCCGTTGGCTAATTGGAGACGGACGTGCATGTCCACTGTTTTAGGTTTTTCATCCGTATCACTGATGTGTAAACATTTGGAGACGTTACGTCCAGACACGATCGGTTCATGCATACGAACCGATGGCGTCAGCAGTCTTCCCTTGAGCGATGGTTGCGATGTATTCCACAAGGCGCCCGATAATGTGCTCCAATCCATGGTTCCCGGTAATACCTGGTCCGCGTCCTTTTCAGTTAACGGATCATTCGACAGACGAATGCGAATTTCCGGGGGATGCGGCTTATCACCAACACCACCACCACCTTCTTTGCCAACCTCATCGTTTCGTTGAGGTTTCGTCCACCATTGAGATCCCAGTAACACCGTCGTCGGTGGAGGGCACAAGAATCTAATAAATTTCCGTCAGCCCGTCAGCCATCATTTTCTTTTTCTGCCCACTGGCAAAGTCTTTATCAAGTGTGATGTGTGTAACACATGGGCGCACGGAAACAATGGCATAGAGAAATGGATAAAGGATTACCTTTTCTCGGTACCGTAACTTTTTTGAGCAACTTTACTGGTATGAATCATCAAGGTGAGTTCACCGGTACAGATAGGCGAGCTGCTGACGAGATATTGTTGCAACAATATCTGAAATTCGGCAAGATTGGATAGCACGGTTGAGGACTGATTGAGCTGGAAGGATTCATCCAACTTTGATGGAGCGTCATTTTGAGGCGTCGCCTCCGTCATGGAGGAAGATTGGTTTGATGTAAGAGATGGAGAAACAGGCGCTGGAGGGTTTGTCGCCGGCGTGAACATGGTGTCGACGGACGGGGAAAAGGAAGCAGAAGAGCCAAGAGACGATGTCATTTGAGAGAAGAACTGATCATAGGCAGTGGATGGCATGCCTTCTTTCGTTTGGGTGGGTATGGTGTGGGTCGGTTCCAGACTTGCATCGTGACCGTAAAACGAACGAGGAGCTGCATAGGAATTAGGATTGCATGATAGCGATTCGTTTGTAGCAAAACAACCTTCCATGCGATCAACCGCACCTGTCGTCATGATTGGAGCATTGATAAATTGGCAAGGCGATTGTGAAACCATCATTTGCGGTGACGGTGCATCAAGAAAGGAAAAGCTATTTAAAGTTTCCACAGCCGACGCATTGAATAGCGCCATTGGATCATCATTCAATGGTTGCATGGAATCTGAGGCAAGGACAGGGACAGTGGCACTGTGCTGGGATGGAATGGGCGGCAACATTTCCGAACACATGGAAAAAGATCGATGATCGCGCGCCGGCAAATAATCATTGGAGAACGAAGTATTGCAAGAAAAAGCCAGAGAACGATCATACTGGGTACTGCCTACCGCAATTGAATGACGGCGAAACGTCGGATACAATGGATTCGCGTATTTGGCAGTGGGGTGATAAGCGAAATCATCATCATCGTTGTTGTTATTATTATGATGGATCGATGGCGTGATATTCATGTAGTGTCGCTGATCAGCTTGCCATTTTGTGCGACCATCACTATGTCGGATCGTCGCCGCCGCCGATGCAGGTTCCTCTTCATTGGCCGCCATGAATTCTCGAAGGCCGAAATCCCACGAGTCGTTTAACAAAGCCATCGCAGGGTTGTCCTGCTGTGAAACTTGGCAAGGCTTATCGAGGGTTGGACCCGACACCATGGTCCCGGTCGAATGATGATGGGCGACATCTTGCTCATTCATTGTGTCGCAGAATAAGAAAGACGTGTTACATAAACTAGTGGGGAAATCACCTTTATCATAATTATTATCAGCGCATGTGCTCATGATCTATTCAGTGTGGAGTGATGGCGCCAAAAAAAAAAGGAGAAGGAAACCAAAAGGAACAAACAGGAAACAACGGGTTAAAAGAAAGAAAGAGAAACTCGAAGAAAAAAAGGAAATACATAATAACATGCTGCCGAAAAAGAAAAAAAAAAAGAGGAAAACAAGAAAAACATTGGATGAATGAGAAGTAAATGCCAAGTGGGACTATGCATATGGAATTTGTATCATGGAATATGAAAGCACCGTGTGCTTGAAGTGAACAATGAAGAAGAAATATAAAGGACGCACATCGCTGCTAGGAAAAGAAGCCTTGCCCATAGGCAATCCATTCGAGAGCTTGCAAGTACCGCACGCGTTCCAAAAGTGCGGTTTTGAGCTGACTCGGGTCATAATCGTGTTTGCGGCCGTCGGTGACGATCCACTTTGCAAGTTTGGTTAACGCGCCAATACCGTGAATGGCCCACCAGCCATTGCTCTTGTCGGCTTCGTTAGTGTAGCCCGGACCAATGACAATTACACCGTACGCCCAGTAAGGCTCACTGTTGCGGAGATCTTGATGATGCAACTTGTCCAATTGAGGGGTAAGAACATCACTCAGTATCCAGTACTGATTACCACAACCATCTTTGCCCGCCAGCTCGAATCGCCACACGGCTTTGAGTTTCGCCACCATCGCTTCCAGTTCCTTCTTTTCAAAAGTCATGCGGGCATCACGAATCTCGACGTCCAGCGTTTCCAGTTCGATCCGGGTTTCCCGTGCCTCATGATCCTTTCGCACCGCTTCAAGTTGGCTTACGCGGCTGGTCAAATGGTTGCGCTTGACTTTATTCTTTGTTTCCTCGGTCTGAAAGAGCCGACGCTGTTGCTTGATATCCGTATCAACTTGCTTCAATTTTCTGGGCGCGTCATTGATCGCATGTCGGATACGAAGCTCCAGTAGCAAAATGTCCAAACACAACTGAATCATTTTCAGTTTCTCCAACGACGATAAATCGCGGTGTCGGTCTGCCTTCCAGCATTCCGTTGGCACATTGTCGCAACCGCTATCTTTCAGCATATCGCCTAAGGTTTGCCATTGTGACTTGCTGAGACCTTTCCGAGTCAAAATATCTAGAAGAGCTTCTCCACGCTCAGGATGGTTCATTTCCATGATTCCTTCTTCCTCTATCCACGCATTCAGGATCTTTGATGCACGACGCGTGCCAGGATCATCGGTTTGGATCCAGCCCATACTTAGGTTCGTCAACAGTTTCCATACAACATAGACCGCCAGCCGCTTGATTCGCCAATCGCCCTGAACATTCTGAACGCTAGCAATGATACGAGGCTCCATTTCAATAATGTCGCCGAACCGAAACATCCACTCACGGAGGTGTATACGACACCACACTTCCTCTTCTTCATAAAGCAGAGTGATCTGTGTAAGTGATGGTGGTTCCTCTAGAAACAGTTTTCCAAAGGATAGAGTAGGTGCAGGAGATGCCAATGATTGAGGTCTGGAAGAGAGAGGGAGAAAAAAAAAAGGGGGGAGGGAAGCAGATTGATCAGTGCCTTGCTAGTCAAAATCAGTCAAACAACCTGAATTGGTGATTTTTGATTTACCGTGATTCGCTTGACTGGGATGAACAGCAATAGCTTGAAAGCGTACGAGATGTTGAGTCAAAATCCATCCGTTTTGTCTTGCATGTATAAAATCACTTACGTGCACTGACATAATCCTCTATGGAAATACAATTCAACAACCTAAGTCTCTACTACTTTACAATTCATCGTTGACAAAAAGACCATGCGTACCTGCAGATTGGACACGCCCACGTATAAGAGCGATCGTTGCAATGTTCAAGCACCGAATGATTGGGTCCCAAGAATACAGCCTCTGCCGATCGAATAGCATCCCATGTTTCGCCACACAATGCTTGAACGCACGCTTCACAGAATGTGTGAGGACACTGTTTGCCACCATCAGAGGGCTTTTGCACTGTACAAGCGATCGTACCGGGAGCCACCTACCAGACATTTTCGAATAAGAACCTCGTGATCTTTTTTTTTTCATTCCTTTCAACACCTCAAACTCACCGAGCATTTTGGACAAGTCGTTGGATGTGCCTGAAAGTTTCACACAGAGTCAAAACCAAGTCTCTTGCTTTTTAATATTCACTGTCTGATCGCAAATGATCACTGTGGAAATTCGCGGACACACAGTGAACATTACCTTGTCTTTATTCTTGTCAATCACGAGTGACACTGCTGGTGAAGCAACAGGGGTCGGATCGGGCGTGGATGTCGGCTTGCTAGATTTGGCAGCGAAACATAATCTATAGATTCAGTCAGATCCAGAGCCAACCTTTCAGCATAACGACTGTAAATGAGCACACTTTGTTTGAACTAAAGCCGGTTTACTGGGTGCGGAAACCATGGCAGTTGCTTTTGTTTTATTCATGAATGTGGAATTGACATGAAAGCGTGAAAAAAAGACAGAACAATGGAAGAGTACGCGACGCGCCCAATGACCGCCCGGAAAACGAACCGCGCAGCAGATCCTCGCGCGGGCGATATTTGAAATTCCGCACTTCCAAATCCCTATTTCCCTTTTCCCAAATCGGGTGAAGCCAGCTTTCTGGATGCAGACTGAATGGCCAGTCAGATTGTGTTATTCCTCTACTTGCTGCTGTCAACTGCGGTATGTGCAGACGCAATGACATTGCTCGATCAGCTACGCAAAGATGCCGAAATTTGCATACGATACACTCATGGGGACAGTCAGACAGCGCTTGCTCATCCCTTGTCTACCGTGCTTGACCTAACCCACTTGACCGTCAACAAAGATGTCAACGATATCAACGACCACAGCTTTGAGCTAAAGTATACAATCAAGGCAAAAGAGCCCATTCAACTTCAACACTTGGAACTCTTGTATGGCTTGACACTGGAGAACGCAACCATGATGGCGGAAGGATTTCAAAGTTGGAGTCATTCAAGGGAGATGCATAAATACAACACTCTACCTCCCATTCAACCGATGGTGGCCTGGATAACAGAGTTTGATTTGCAGGGGTAAAAAAGCTTCTTTATATGCTTCTTGCACAATAGTTGCGCTGTAACATTTTTTTCTTTTTCAGGGATTATAACTTCTACAATTACTCCGGCAAACCAGGTTACATCCACTCCAACAGCTATACTTACTTGAGACACGAGGATCAGCTCTTATTTCTGGGCTCCGTATCCGAAGACAGCGGTTACACCTATTTCAAGGCAGATTTTCACCACAATCTCTTCAGCATCTACAAAGATATTGATGGCAAGAAGTTGTCGAGAGATGACACCCTCGTGATCAAGATATGGATCACCGCACAGCCGACCAGTCATATTCGTTCCGTCTGGGAAACCTATGCTTCTTATTATCCTTCGCAAACCCCGCGCCGAGAACTCGCTGGCTATTCTTCCTGGTACGACAATTACGAACGCATCACAGAGGAAGAAGTGACGAGGACTTTGACCGCATTCAAAGAACATCAATATCCTATCGATGTGTTTCAAATCGATGACGGTTACCAAATGCAGATTGGTGATTGGTTGCATGTCAACGAGAAAAAATTTCCTCGAGGCATGCAACAGCTTGCTCAAACCATTGCCGACGCCGGTTATCTTCCTGGACTCTGGCTGGCGCCATTTGCTGTCGGCATAAACAGCAAAATCGTTTCGGAGCATTCTCATTGGTTGATCACCGAGCCAGACGGTCGATTCATGAAAGCAGGTCCCAATTGGGGCGGATTTTACGCTTTGGATATTTACCATCCGGAAGTCGAAACATATTTGCAGGACGTATTGGACGTTGTCATTGACACTTGGGGATATCGGTTGCTGAAACTTGATTTCCTTTTCGCCGCCGCCATGCGGCCGAGGAACGGCAAGAGTCGCGGTGAAATCATGTGGGATGCCATGGCGTTGATTGATAAGTTGGTCCGGAAACGAGCCTTGCTCTTGGGTAGTGGCGTACCTTTGGCGTATGCGTGGGGTCGCATGGATTATTGTCGTGTCAGCAGCGACGTGTCACCGTGGTGGGATCACACCATTCTACGGTTCGCTCATGTTCGTGAACGGGTCGCCACCGCCAATGCGCTTCCTTCCACCCTTTCTCGCTGGCCCATGGTTGCCATGTTTGGCAACGATCCCGATGTCTTTTTCATTCGTTCGACCAACAACAAGCTGACAGCCCATGAACGGTACACGACGGTGGCACTGAACCACGCCTTTGGCCAGATCACCCTCATGTCCGATAACGTCCAGCTTTACACCGCTGAAGAGCATCAGTTGTATGCGTCGACGTTTCCCAAAGCCCATTGCCATATTGAAAAGGTGGTGTCACGCGGCGACCATGTCTTTGAAATCGATTTTATCTGTGGTCTGCAGCACTATATTATCTTGACCAATCTCTCCTTCTTACCTAGCACAGTTCACTTGCACTGCGATGACATTTATTTCGAACATACCAATGTATTAATCAAAGATACCAGTCAGTGGTATGAACCTCACCCGACAATTGATTTGGCTCCCCACGAAACGCGCATCTTGGTGAAGGTGAGCGATTGGTTTGCCGGTTCCACAGGTCATGTGATGTCAGGATGGGAAATCGCATCCTCCCATGTCACGGCCGAAAAGGTGGATCTTCAGCTTCGACAGCCCAGAAAGAAAGTGCCTTTTACCATTTATTTACGGGTCTCTTCCGATCGGGCTTTACCGAGTGTGCAAGTCGACGGTAAACTTGTGTCGGTGGAAATTGTGAATGCACTCGAGCATCGAAAGGATGGTACTCGATTGATCAAATTATGCGTAGGCAAAGAATAAACACATAAGCCTGAATGATGGCCCGTTTTCTTTTTACGGCCGATTTGATTTGTTTGAACTATGTAATGCATATGACATTGTTTTTTTTAATCATTCATTTTTAAAACAGTGGTGCATAAGGGACATCAGTATGACACCATGCGATTCATATCCCATTGAAAAAAGAAAAAAGAAAAAGTAGGGTGATGCAGTTCATTTGCCATCTGCCTCTTTACTCTTCTTCTCGTCCTCCTCTTGGTTTCTTGTTGTAACATGACCGATACATCCAACCATCGACAAGACGTGCTTAACAAAACGGCCAGTCAATTGACATTGGAAGGCCATCAAATGCAAGCCAAAGCTTCCGACAAGTTGCATGAAAGTGTTGATAAGGCCAACGATTTGATCTCGTTTCTCACCCGCGTTTGCCGAAATGTGACCTACCCTGTCGTCGACAAGTTCAATGCGATGTGCCAGCGATATCCCAGTGTGCGTTACGGCGCCATGATGCTGACCACGCTTTCGTCGTTGCCTGTGCTCACCTTTGCCACCATGGCTATCGTAACCCTCCTAGGACTGGTTGCCGCCGCCACCGTTACTGTATCTGTCTTCCAAGCCGGCGCGCTGATGCTTGGGGGATCCATTCTGTTGCCCATCCTTGGCTTGGCACTTGTTACCACCGTCGTGTTGATCGGTGCCTTGTTTGGTGCATGGTATTTCACCAAAGGTATGAAATCCGTCTCCTCCACCATGCGCTATTTCTTGACAGGCGTCTCCGAGGAAACCAAAAAAGATACCAATGCCATTCGCCAAGGCATTCACGAGGGTCACCAACGTTACGACGCAAGCAGAGCTCACGAAGACATCAAAAGTTCTTAGGAAAAAAAATGTTATCGGCAACCATTGATACATAGTCCTCCTATGTGTGTGCGATTTTACATGTGATTTGCATTGGTGCCTCTTTTACTCTTGTCATCTTTTGCATTAAAAAATGATTCTCTTGGCACTTTCTAACTGATTGATTTGATATTTTTACGTGAAAAAAGAAAAAAACATGACACATTCATATTCGTCATTTTGATGATGATGGGAAAAGAGAAAGACATATGAATTCAATTGGAGTCGTTGTTTTGCATTCGTCACGCTTCCTCTTGTGTTGCGGGAGCTGATGGAGCGGTGGCGGTTGTTGTTGCGTCTGCTGGGACGGTATCAACTTCCATTTGTCTTACCGAAGTTGTGTACTCGGTGGAGTCCGCGGGGGTTGCTCCTTGTGAATCCGTCATGGAATCGTCGGTCAAGTGAGGATGAACGTGAGGGTTGAATGCCGGATTTCTTGCTGGATCCAGCATATCATTTGCTGCGTCGTCTTCGTCGTCCTTGTCGACCAGCAGATTCTCATTCCCCGATTCTGCGTCGGACACTTCTCCCAGCACCGGCGTATGCGTGCGATCAGGATCGTCATCGTCTGGTTTTCCGTCCGATTCAGCTACTCCCGGTGCAATCTTGGCAAGCGCTTCCGCCGTGGTGTGAGGGTGCGATCGACTCTCCAGCGGCAACGACGGCGGTAATGCACTACTCGCAGTCGCGCTGGAGGTTGATTGTGCAGGTGTAGCAGAGGCTTCCTACAACCGTTTTCGACGTTAGTAGCCGGTTGGAATACCGATGTCCTTTCGTGTTGCACCTTTTCTGTTTCTGTCATAGAAACGTTATCACCGTCGTCGTCGTCGTCATCATACACAATCGTTCGATCCGCTACAATCTTTTCATCAGCTCATCAGAACTTTCTCGCAAGTAATAAATAGATTAGGCTCACATTTCACCCATTTATAAGTTTGAATATTCTCAAAGCGCGTCGTCGGTGCCCACTTTTTTTCCCTATAACATACAATTCAAAGAGACAAGCAATCAATATGAGGATGATCAGAGCAACCGAGGTGACGCAATCTACCAAGCTTGTGTGGGTTGAGATAAAGCCCGCAAAAGACGGTTGTTTTCAGAGTGTTTTCGTTCCCGATGTCGACCTAAAGACATGGCGGACGCTGTGTGAAGGGAAAGGTGGGTTCACCAGGGCGCTTCAGGCGAGAAAATCAAAAATACCAAAATCACGTGGACTTCTTTGAATACCATGCTTTATTACTGTTTTCTCTTTTTCTTTTGCCTCTTTTATGCCTTTTCTCTAAAATATGGGAGATCATCTGATAGATCCAATCCATGATAGTTTACTGGTGGCATCCAATTATTCCTTCCTTGGTCATCAAGGAACCAGTTCTGCTCACAAACAGGATGTCCCTCCATGATAAGAGACAGCAATAGATGGTTTTTAATACCAGGATGCCTAGCTAAGCAGGCCATCGATTCATTATCGGCAAATGGTCGTTTTGCAATGGAGAGGCCGGATGATCGGAATGAAACGTGAGAAAAGCGAGTCGGACTCTGGTATTAGTAAAATGGCGTATCCTGCTCGCTCTCCACTGTGATCCTCCAATCCCAACGATGCGCAGTCGGGGATCGACGGCGTGGGTCTATTTAGATCTTGGCGTTGAATATTTTCATTTTCCTTTTAGACTCTGATCAAGTCGATCAGTGGATGAGAAAAAGCAAGATACATGCTAAAAAGAACCGAAATGGAATCGTTTCCATTGAATCTAAACATGCTCGCTGGGAAAATCGGCAGAAAATCTGAACACACGTTCTTTAGTGTCTCCAAAGAAACTTAAATGAAATCGTGTAACATGCTATGTAATTATCATTGGCGCTCTGCACGAATGAATTGGTGCCGTCCATGAGGAGTTTTTTTGTGAATATGATGATCTTTTCAATACCCAGCCATGCAAAGTCCGCCCAGCGATTTTGGGGATCCCATTGATCACTTGTACATCACTGCTGAAATAGCTGTCAATCACCGAGAGTAACACAAGATCCCGGTCTCCCATTTCATGTTTTCTACATTTAACATATTCATGACGTGATGATATTGTTGCAAACGTCATTTTCTACTCATTTTCACGCTGATCATTTTGAAAAAAAAGGAAAGGGCACTTGCAGTGAATCTGTATGACCGCTCGTTTTGTTCATTTTGCTGCATGGTTACCAAAGTAACGGAGCAGGAGGAATACAAGAGAACTTTTTGTCAGGGGAAAAGAAACATCAACAGTTACCATGCATGAGATGGAAAGATCATGTTTTTTTGGGGGGAATTAAAAAGTAAAAGGCTCGTGATAAATGCGAAAAATGATTTCTCACATGCTTTACGTAGAAAACCATTGTCGGTGATTTTCGCTTCATTACCTGGGAGCTCGCGATTTTAAAGTCAGCGAGCCATTGAGAAAAGATTGCCGATCTCTGTATAAAAAAAATACTGGACGGTGACCGATAATACCCTAAACTGTCCTTTTCCCAAACAAAGCATATTACATTCAAACCGAAGCAGAAAAACCAATTTGCAACCATGTCACACAGCAATGATGGTCACTTGTAATAGCAATCACAGCGATAATGCGGAGAAGGATTAAACGAGGCAAAGATCGCCTTGGGTTCATCATTAGATCCTCCAAATGAGGTTAGCGCCATGATATATTTTTAAAACTTTATACTTTTGGTCCGTTGTCAATATTAATTAGCTCTATTTTCGTAAAAATAAAAAATAAAAAATCAGCGGAAACGAGCTTTTACCTTGCAAGGCAACACCATGGAAATCAAGCAAAACACTCAATGGGCGTTGGTAACAAACTCGCTTTGAAGAATATCTATCCACTAATCGGATTTTTCCGTAATCATCATGATCGTCAAAAATAAGTACACGTGGATTTCTGTCTCCTCGATGGCAGAAAAATGCTATGTGCTCGATAAGCAAAGCAACTATTATCTTTTTGAGCAGAAGAAAAGAGTTTGTTTACGACGAGGGCAAGGATCATTGGGCGATCGGACAAACTTGTTACGAAAACATGATTATGAAGAAACTACGATTTGTCCCTCCCCCGCTCCCCCTTTGACCCTTGCATATCACAGAACAGTACAACGTAAGAGAATAAAAAAGAAATACAGACACAAACTATTATGTTTCGATTCTACCACTTATTGAAAGGACTCCAATGTTGCTTCAAACTTTTTTTTTCGTGGTTTTTTTTTTTTTTTTTTTTTTTTTTGGGACAGAAAAGCCCGCCACGTTGAACTTTTCCCGTATTAGTTGGGATCGAATTGGTCGGCTATCTCTTACATTACTTTTTCCTTTTCTTTCATTCTGTTGAACCTTTCATTTCCGTTCTTTTATCGTCAAATTTTTTCTTTTAAACTTGAACTTCGTTGATCCCGGGTGATGTCATACCGCTCATAGCTATTTGATATTTTTTTTCCCTCGACGCATAATCATGATCAAACCTCCCACTATGTCTATCAATCAAATTGTTCAAACCGACCCTCCCGTGATCTCCAAACCCGTATCAACCAAAGGCATCTATTCACCCAACGTTATCTACGGTTTTATTTGCCATTTGTGTATTAATCCAGGTTCTCATGGTTTATCAATAGTGAAAATATTTTACAGCTTCAAAGGATCCGAAACCAACTGCTTATGTACATTCGATATGGAACTTAAAGAACTGACGGACCGACAGTGGATCAAAGTACCTTTAAAACGATGTCTACTCTCTGTGTGTTCGTCATGGTACGGTGTGACTCTCTTTTTCCGCTCCCGGTTTCACTGCCATCGCTATTTTCTCATCACATGGTTTTGAATGTCTAGCCCTGATCGACTAACAGTGATCGATCAAGATACCGCCGTTTATACCGCGAACTTCGAAGAGAACACCTTGTCCAGTGGTGTCATCTGGGAAGGTCACGGTTTGTTATCGACGATCATTGATCAACACCAACAGGACGATCACATCCAAGCGACAGGCAAAGTGATCCCATCCACGGATGCCGCTTACGATTATTGCGTGGAAATCTTGATGCAGTTACATCCGGTAGGGTAGTAAAAAGAGTTGATGGCCTTGATCTTCCTCATCTCACCATGATGGATAAAATAATAATAATAATAATGGCTAGGTTCCACGTTGTGCCACGCATGGTAAAAACATGGTGCTGAGCCCAAAACAAACATTGCCATCGATGAAATCGCTATTAAACGAACCTGAACCTATGCAACCTTATCCATCACATGAAATGCCACTTTTACCATCCGTCTCACGCTCATTTTACAAGGAATCTTACGCATATCCGTCGCAACATGAACCGTCGTCTTATCTCGGTAAACGTTTGCCGTCTAGCGCGAGTGCCCATTCCCTGTCGCCGAGTGAAGACATGTCCAGTCCTTGGATGATCCCTGCGCTAACTCACGACGCCAATCAAGCGTCTAAAACGACCAAACGACGTCGTATCTCCTCCATCAATACCTTGCGTCACATCGCGCTTGACGATCACCCAAACTATCGGAAACTGTCCCCACCGACCACGACCACGACGACGATCAAACTCAACAATGATAAACCGCTCATGGACGCTTATTACCATCAATCACGTCGAAAGAAACGCGATACGAAACCGCCCAACACGAACGATATCCGACCTTTCGTCGCTATTGAAAAAGATAAAGACGGCCACTACGTTTTACCGGCCGAAGTCGATTCATGGACCGTACTCAGTCTAGGCAAAGTGGTCTGGGATCGCCCCGCATTTCACAATCAACGATACATTTATCCGGTAGGATACAAAGTGAAGAAGTAAGTAAAGATTTTCTATATTTATTTTGATCTCCAAACAATTATCACATGTCAAAAAGGAAAAGAAAGAATTGTGTCCTGATCCATGACCTTCTCCTCAAAAGATGGTATCGCAGTATGGTGGACCCTCACAGTGATACTCAATATACCTGTCAGATCCTCGATGGCGGTGATGAACCTATTGTAAGTAGAAATCATTCAATTCTATGAATGTCCATGTCCAATTATTGATCATACAATTGCAAATGAAATAATTTTAAAGTTTCAATTGGATGCCGATGATAACCCTGGGCAAGTATGGCGTGGACCCACTCCGACCACTGTATGGACCATTGCCGTGCGAAGGTAATATACTCGTCATTCAATAGCATCGTTAAACGGATGATGATCGTGGGGAGAGCAGTGATGATCTAACGAAACCTTATCGTCGGGGGCCATAGGGCTTTCGCTATCCGCAATATGGACTACGGCCATAACCCCGTTGGTCCCGATTTTTTCGGCCTCCGCAAAAACACCATTGCTAAAATGATCCAAGATCTACCCAATGCTGACAAGTGCAAAAATTACATCCGACAGAATTTCGAAGCGATGAGTACCAGCAAAGGCAAATCCATTCGTCGAGCCAACGCGCGGGCTGCGAGTGTCAGCCACCCGTCCACTCTCTCCTTATCTCCCAACATGTCCCGCTCTTTATCCGAGGATGGGTCGATCGATGAAGAAGAGGAAGAAGACCACACCAGTACGAGCGATCATAGTCGAACTTCTGTAAGCTAGACCGAGGATCTCTAGCCCACCCAACCGCCTAACATGGACCTAAATCTATTAAGACCTTTCCCTTTCCCTCCCCTCCCATGTCATTGGCAAACCACAAAAAAAGGGAAACCGGGTAAAAAGAAAAAAGGCATGTCACTTTCCTTCACAGTTGTAGTTTTTTTTCATCATTTGTCACCATATTGATTTCCATCATCCTTAATTTATGCTAAGAACCATACAAGAGAAAATTTTCCATTTACGGAAAAACTAGCGTACCTTCTCGAATATAAAGACGTTATTTTCAGGCTACAACCATGAATAACAATTCAGCGTTCCCTAAAGTGACCATGACTTTCCTTTATTGGAACACTTTTATTGTAGACCTCGGACGTCGCGAACGTCAGGTTCTCGCCAATGGCAACTGCCAAAATGTAAACACGCAGCTCAACGCATGGTCAGAGTCCTAGCAGATGGGATCATTCATTAGCTGAGCTTAGCTTACTACGTCAAAGCCGAGAGCCAATATGGGTCAGTGTATTGCCATTGAGAAAGAGGCATGAGGATGATCAAGGGTGAAACTGGATTCAAAAGATTTGAACAGGGAAACCTATCAGTGAAGTGAAGCGTGTGGGTTAAATCAAACTCAGATTGCTATTCGCGTGGGGCGGTCCATTTTTTGGGCGCGTAACGAAAAACTTGAGCGTGTGTGGTGTTTCGACGTGTAATGAACAACAGCAAAGAAAAAAAGCAAGCAACACTTGGGTACAATTGCAACAACGTCTTTTGATCTTTGTATTCTTCTTGCTTATTCATTTGTAGCTTCTTTTTCGGTGACGGCAAGAACAAAAAGCCTGCCACCAAACCATCGCCACCAGAAGCTCGCCAATCCACCGAACTCACCGATCAACCTTCTCAAGCATCCAGTACCCCTCTTGCAGAAGAGGCATCAGACGCCAAAGAGGGTACAATTCCGACTGACGTATGGATTGTTCTATTATATAACAATACTGATCAAAGAAGTCGTGATTTCTTAGACAGACCTTCTATCCCCGGCAACCGCAGAAAACGATCCAAATCTGATCACGACCAAGATCTCGATGAAAACAAGCGGAAAAAGGCTGAAGACCGCAAACTGACTCAGGTCCAAGATGCCGAAGGCGATCTGTTGATGAACGATGTCGATGACGACAAGGCCAGTGTACCTTCTGACGACGACGACTTTGATAAAGAAATCGAAGAAGCCAATATAGAAGAAGAAGAACAGGCAAAACAAGAAAAGGAAGTGCGCATGATGGCTAAAACAGTGTAAGCATGGCAATGTCAGTAAGATGGGTTGACTTCTATTCACACTCTTTTTAATAGAGCCGAAATGTCTACTGCACAGACTACTTCCAAGTTGGGCATGACTTGGAAAAAAGGCACGGCGTAAGTGAGCCTACAACGGCACCAATCATCAGAAAAAAAAAGTCGACCCATTTTGATGATGGCCTCCTATAGAGTCCCCTATTCAGTACTGTGCAAAACGTTCGAATTGTGTGAAAACACTACCAAACGACTGGAAATCACGGAATATCTTGTGTCGCTCTTTGTACAAGTCATTGAACTGACCCCGGAAGGTCTGGTAGAGTTGCTCTATATGTGTATCAACAAGGTAAACACATACTTTCCCACTGTGTTGCGTCAACATCATCATATTAACGGCGGTTTTGATCGCAGTTATGCCCCGACTACGAAGGCCTGGAATTAGGTATTGGCGAATCTCTGTTGATGAAAGCCATTGCACAATCCACCGGTCGCGATATGAAACAGTTGAAACTTGATTATACAAAGTGTGGTGATCTTGGGACTGTGGCAAAGGTAAGCCATCTGACAAACCGACATCTTTCTGAAACAGGCACAGTGTATTTTACGCATGACTCAGAATAGTAAATCCTCCCAACGAACGCTGTTCAAACCAAAAGCCCTGACGGTTCCTCATGTGTTTTCCACGCTCAAGGACGTGGCCCAAATCACCGGTCAATCAGTAAGTCTTTGGATCGATGACTTGGGTGTTGTGGGAATTCCCTTGAGTTGATTCTCATCCTGATCTAGGCCCAAAGCCGGAAAATCGATAAAATCAAAGGGCTGTTGGTTGCCTGTCAAGAAAATGAAGCCAAATATCTCATCAGGTACCGTGAATTTTCAATCATGTGACTGTACATCTTCTTGACGCTTTACCGGGATAGACAGTTGGAAGGGAAATTGCGCATCGGCCTGGCGGAGCAAACTGTACTTTCAGCTCTTGCCACCTCGGTTGTTTTGACTAAAGGTAATGATTTGCTATCGCTCATTGGTTATTGTTCATGTGCCCGGTGTCCTTGTGTGCGCCTTGACACTAAAATCATGTTTTAGATTCTGGTAAACTTTCTAAACAACAAAAGGAGCACGATCTAGCGATAGCAGCCGACACCGTCAAGTCTGTATACAAGTAAGTTCATGACAGACCCAGTGTACTCGGCCAAGTGAGATGTAACATGAAAATGTACATAGTCAAATGCCCTGCTATGATATGCTCGTACCGGCTTTATTGAAATATCCTCTCAATCAATTACAAGAGAAATGTACAATGAGACCCGGTGAGTTACAGAATGGGAAAATAAAAGAATGAGTGAGGATTCTTACTGTGCTATATATTACAGGTATTCCACTGAAACCCATGTTGGCCCATCCAACCAAGAGCTTGACCGATGTCTTGGATCGTTTCGAAGGCCATACATTTACTTGTGAATTTAAATACGATGGTGAACGTGCTCAGGTAAATCTTGGATCTGCGTTTGCTCCATTTTCCTTCGTCAATCGAGACTCACCATTGAACTTACCGTAGATTCATCGCTTGCCCGATGGTTCAACAATGATCTACAGTCGCAATTCCGAAAATATGTCTGTACGATATCCAGATGTCATGCAGAAGCTGAACAAGGTAAAGAATCGGCTATTTCTCTTTGACGCCTGTGCCAACGGCTTGGATTGACCGTATGAAAAAATTAGTGGCTCAAACCGACAACGACGTCGTTTATTCTTGATTGCGAAGCTGTGGCATGGGATCGTGAACAGAAATGCATTCTTCCTTTCCAGGTCTTGAGCACGCGCAAAAGAAAGGATGTCAAGGAAGAAGACATTAAAGTGCAAGTGGCCATATTTGCGTTTGATTGCTTGTATTTGAATGGCGAGGTACGTTTGATAATGTATGACGATTTGAAAGATTCATCTAATGGGGGCCGTTTTGTTCCAGCCATTGTTACGGAAACCACTTCAATATCGTCGAGAGAAACTGCGGGAAGCATTTACAGAAACCGAGAACGAGTTCTTCTATGCACGCCACATGGATTCTAATAATATTGAGGACATTCAGACATTCCTGGATGTATCCATCACCAGTAACTGCGAAGGTCTGATGGTGAAATCGTACGATGGCGAGGAAGCGTCATACGAGCCTTCCAAGCGATCACGCAACTGGTTAAAGGTGAAGAAGGACTATCTCGGTGGCGTGGGCGACTCGATGGATCTGGTGGTGATTGGCGCCTTTTATGGTCGCGGCAAACGAACTTCGGTGTATGGTGCTTTTCTGCTAGCTTGTTATGATCCGGACACCGAGGAATACCAGACCATTTGCAAATTGGGCACCGGTTTTTCAGAAGAGAATCTACAGCAACTGCATGATTCCCTGAAGGATCATATCATTGAAAAACCTAAACGATTTTATTGTCTCGGTGAAAACCCTGTCAAGCCCGATGTATGGTTTGAACCCGTTCAAGTCTGGGAAGTCAAATGTGCCGATCTTAGTGTGAGTCCTCGCTACATGGCGGCGGTGGGTCAGGTATGTGATCTTTTCCTCGTTTTATTTTATATGTCTTGGGACTTGACGCATTTGTGTTTTTTCTTTCTAGGTGGATCCTTCCAAAGGCATTTCACTTCGTTTCCCCCGATTTATTCGGATACGCGATGATAAGGAACCAGAGGATGCAACCTCCAGCGAACAGGTAGGCTCAGTTTCCTTCTGATAAAATAAAACTCGATTAACCATGGTATGCTAGGTGATGGAATTTTATTACAATCAGGCAAATCAGGGCGGAGGCCTCAAAGGTGGCGAAGATATGGACTACTAACAAACAACTCGCGTAATAACGTCTTTGTCATTTTTCCATCTACTGCATCTACTATCCCAGTGCATTCTCTTCACATCAGAACATTAAATAAAACATCCTTGTCATGTGTATAACGTTTTTTAAACTCGGAAGCCATCTTATTGATGTAGCAGTCGATAGCCGGCGGGTCAAGGTAGGAATCCACGCCAGACGCCGCGGAAAACTTATCGCGGATCAAGTAAAAGTTTCGGAGGGCATGATATACGGTATACCGTACATAACCGCATGTAGTATTTGTCATAAAGCAACTGTGTCATATGAAAGTCGTTGGTTTATCAATAAACAATTAGACACAAAATACGGTGCATGGATAGATTAAATAGCTGAAGTTGTTGGTCGTCTTGCTTATTCAATATTTAAAATATCTAAGACAGTCTCTCCCAGCATCTCGAATGTCTGCTGAATGATCGGTGAAATGGCCTTATCATCAGCTAATGCGAATAGCCAGGTTTTTATTCTTAAAACAAAAGCCGCTGCAATTTGCTTTTTAAAGATGTATGCAGTAAAGGTATACAAAAGTTAAAGTACAACCTACAGTGTTACACAGCTAAGTAATTGAAACGGCCAGCGAAAATAACTTGAACCAAAGAGATTCCATGTAACCATGGAAGGCCAGAACCAAGGAAGAAGCAGCAAGCAGCGGGCGATTGACGTTGATGACAAGTGATGACAAAACAAGAAAAGCAGAAAGAGGTAAGGAAAAAGATACTGTAACTTACCAAAAGAAAAGCCACGCGGCCATCAAAGACCGAAGATCTCAGGAAGGACGATGCTCAGGAATTGAAACTTCTCTCAGGAACTTACAGAGTTCACCATAGGAGAGCCGAAGCGTTGTAGACTGAGGATTCATCGTCGCCGTTGTCGTCAGTGAACCTACTCTAGAGAAAAGGACGAAATGAGTGTTAAAGAATGCTCTGTAAGAACGCGACCAAAAAAATCATTGTCATTAATCATCAGCGAGTCTTCCGCTGCTGCGCTTCCAAAAATAAAAAGAAAATGATGGAAAAATGGCGATTGAGTGCTTCTTTTAGCGATATTTCCAAAAAAAAAAACTTTTGTAAGAGATGACATCAATGGACTCTGGGGAAAAAAAGAAGAATCGGTCTGGACCTCTCACCCAAACGCAACTATTTTTTGTTTTCACAAGCATCATACGCATCGTTCAATGAATAGAGTCTACTTTTTTTATTTGTTCTACATCGAACTATTTTGTATCGAATGAGATCGTTATCCTCGAGACCAAAAAAGCGGTAGATAAGCATCACTGGCTGAGATAATATGTATGCGGACCCGTCCGAATGGCTTGTTGATTATGTCTCTAGAAAGCTCTGGAAAATAAAGATAGGGGAACCAGCGCTATCTGTGTCTCATTGCCAACAACGACCCACTCATTCTATGGTGACCAGTTTGGTTAGTTGAACATCCAAATCGGAGCACATATTCTTTGCACATGTGCATGATAAACATAATAACTGGCTTTGCTGGGATTGAACGTTCGGTAGAGAAATTTCCCAAGGCTTTACGCAAAGATGGTACGACATCCCCTTCCATCATTTATCCGCGTAATGGTAACCTACGCGTTTCTGCTGTGAGGAAGTCCATGGTTTTTGCACAGGTTGTGGGGAAAGCACAGCAAGTCTACGTTGTGTAATCAGATGACAGCGCATTATCTCTTAATATATACAGACAGGGTGGAAGCATATTTCTTGGCAGTGTCTAATCATTGATTCAGAGAGGGCCGGATTTTTCGATCTTTGTATGCGGTTTTTTTGTCAATTCCAAAACTCCCAATTTGGTTTCGGAATCTGTAACCCAGGTGCATGAGATGGTAAACAACCAAAATGCGTATCCGCAAAACGGTTTTTCCAGCAAGCTCAATGTTCGATGAACCGGAAACTACAAACCCGTCATAATTAGTTGATCAATGATGGGTTCTGATTTGATTCCATGACGACATACAATATGCCAGGCTTCAGTTCTTACCTGCAAGAAAACCGGTGCTCGTTTACGCCAATCTAAATCCATTAGATTTTCTACCTGCTCAAAAAAACTGTTACAGCCAACAACAGTTATCCTCAATGCAAGTTTAAAACTGTCAAGAATGGAATCGATGAATACGTGGATGACTCTCGATAATCCTGACAATAGGTACAGAGAGCGACAACCTGGACCAAATGCAACCAAATCTTGCTAAAAAACGGACCGCTCCTTGGAGATGTCACGGATGCTCCCAAGGATGCGTTAACATAAACGACCATGACAATGAAAGCAAATCCCTAAGGGGTGCCAACGCAGTAGCAGCATGCGTTGTTTGTATTTCGGGCTTTATGCATAAATTTGACGGATCTACAGGGTCTCCATTTCAACTTGAGTTCTTCGTCCCAAGTGCCAGTGATATGAAGGAGCGAACAATTTAGAATGCTCCAAACTGTGTATCTTTGCAAAGAATAATTTCCTTTTATATGCCTCGAAAGGCTATTTATTGGGAAGCGTCTTGATAGTAAGCAGAAAAGATATATTTTTATTGGGTACAATGGAATATATAAGTAAATGGATGATACAGACAGCGGTCTACGACTAATGTTTAGATGCGGCCAGTGGGTGGAGCATACTTGGATTAAACGACGCTATGAAGACCAAAAGGGCCGAAGAAGCAAGCAGAGAACGATGACGTTGATTACAAGTGATGATAGAACGCGACGAAGAAAGGAGATAGAAGAAAAAGGTATTTACCAGTCGAAAGCCGGAGGTCGGGTGTAGTCGTGAACCTAACGAGTCAAGAAGTTAGAAAATTGCAGTGGCAATACTAATTAAGGCGGCATCGTCTGGAGATTTTCTTGCTGAATGAGTGACACCAGGGGAAACCCCTGTAGCTTCACTAGAAATCCCTGTGGCTTCACTAGGTGATTCTGTGGCTTTACGAGGGGACTCTGTGCTTTACAAGGAAGAATTCTGTGGCTTCACAAGAGTTTTCGTTGTGGTGAAATTATTGGATCGTCGTTTCTCGTCCGCCGCAGCCAGGAGACCTGCAATAGCGATAAGAGGAACACATCAGTAGCTGCCCTCGAACCATAGATAGAAACGGGTGATGAGGGGTGGTTTTAAGTCGTCATCAATCATCAACGACACGCCACAACTACGCTTCGTTGGTAAAGAAAACAAGAAAAAAAGGAAAAGAAATTGGGGAGTGTTTTTTACCCTCACTTGAGAATCCGTTTGGTTCCATTGGCTCAGAGAGCCACCGTTGGCGTCATAGGATCACGGGGTCATTCACTCATTAAAAAAAGGTCCTTTTTTTGATTTTATTGTTTTCTACGCCTTGTACAGTACACAGATTATTGTCAAAGCAACAGAAGCAAAATAGGTCTAATCCATACTTGCCAAGACATTCCCTGGGCAACCTTTACCATTTAAATTGGGCGCACCTTTTTCATTGCGCACAAGCTTCAGTTCACGATTTCCAGGAATATTCCCAATTTGGTTTAACTAGTCTTTTTCATCTGAAACCTGGCTCTTTTGGGTGTAACCTAGAAAGGGCATGACAGTAAAAAACCACATTTTCTAACTCGGCCCCATCTCGATGAAAAAAGACGCGGGAAGTCGCAAACCCGATGTAATCAAGGTGGATGGAATCAATGGCGCAAAGAGGGTAAACTGTTAAGTTTGATGAATCCCCGGAAATGTCATTGCGCAAACCGAAGTTGGATGGGCTGCATGTCAAAAAAAAAAAGATGGCAGGATGGCGAAATTTTTGCTCAGTCCCAAGCCAAATATGGGAAATCTATGCCGTATTCGAGGAATCATTGATGCCATTATTCTTTTTTCTTCCACCCCGATCCACTTTTTTCCTTATTTTCACGACAATCGACGTTTTGCCATTGGCTCTCCAGCCGTAAGCAGCCGGAAAATATCGGGAAAGCCATATCTTTACGCATTTTACCCGTCACGTCTGCATAATTCCCCAGCCACTGCTGGCAAATACAAAAAGGAAGCCTTTTCCTTTGATCAGGATGTTCGTTCTTTTTCCCTCTTTTCTTTTCTCTCCTTTTCTCTTCTTTTCTTCTTCCCTTTAGTTTAGTCTTTTTTTTTAGATGCGGACGTCTCATCCAACCACCAGGTGCGGTGCAGTCGCCAGGCGGGTGAAGGGCTGCGAGCTGTGGGGGTAGGGATTGGGGCAACGGCTTGGGGGTTTCCACGGCATCGACAAGACAGGCCCACAATTTTGATCATTTTTTATCACCATGGCTTTAGTTAAACCCAAGCCTTCATCTAAAGTCATTGGTGACATCATCTTGTAAAAAATAAAAGAAAAAAAAACCTATAAAAACATGCACTTTCTTACTGTCTTTACTTGTTTACGTTTATTCAATACTGAATGGCGTCTGAAGAAGCTGTGGAGAGCCGACATTCAATAGTTGAAGATACGACATGCCTATCATATGAACACTTTTAGGAAAAGTTTGCCAACGCCAGAATAAAAACTCGTCAGATCTCATATGAGTAAAAATTCACGGCATATAATATGTAATACAAGTCAATTAAAGCGAGCCACTCAGAAAATAAGTTACGTCTGGGAGGTCTTTAGCTCGTTAGCCTTTTAGATTCGAATTCAGATTCTATTGTTGGCTTGACCGGTAAAATCGACAGTCAACCTCACTTTAGCCAACAACATTGACAATGAAGGTGGAGGCGTACAATGGAGAATGCATCAACACACGTCCGAATCGCCATTGCAGATTGGAAATTCACAAAATTAGTGATGCGTAATTGCAGTGAACTCGTAGATGAAAGTATTCAACTGAGAGGAAAGCGGCAAGGTAGTGTACAGTAGGTATCGGTCATGGAAAATTATGGACGCGCCATTGCAGCTGACAATGAGCGATTCTCGTGGCAGTCATTGTCGTGATCTCAGATCCCAAACATGCCCTGATCTTAGTCGCCATTGCTCTTAACTGAGTCGCAGAAACCAAAATCGGGTTTAAGCAATCCAGTATGTTATTAAGCGATTGATTTAAAATGTAGCTCAGGCTAAGGACGTGATAATACAGGCGTGAAGCGGTTTTCCAGTAAACTAAGATTTTTGAGGTGTCCCCGATTTTTTCCGCATGAATTCAGGGCAGATCTGAGCGCTCGTTTTTTCTGCGCTGCTGTAATCGAGGTGTCACTTTGATTTCCAGGTGGTGATACAATCGGTTGCAAGTCTCTATCACAACAACGCAGACTCTTTACTCTTATCTGAAAAACCTTTAGTTACTATATGAAAACAGTCAAACAATGTAGACTATTATACGCATTTGTGCTGTGCAGATAAGATTCCTGTCGAGTATACGATGAAATACACGAGAAGCGAAACATAGTCAATCGTATCACCGAGATGACTTCGGAGATGACGATCTGATATTAAAAAACCACCACGCGCATTGTGTGGATCAGGAACCACTATGGTCGTCCTCAAAAAAAAAGTTTATCATGACGAGTTCCGTTTCCTCAGCGTCAGTAATAAGATCATGTAAATCCATCGAGTTAAAGGCAAAGCCACTTATTATGTGACGGGCAAAAAACTTTTTTAATTTTTTTACCTTTTATTCAATCAGTCCAAAGGGCGGTCGACACTCGATTTAGGTAGGCTCTCAAGTGAATAGCAAAAAGAGCATGTGTCTGTAATGAAAGCCCACAAGCTTAGAAATCTACAGCAAATACATGTGTATTTTAGATCTGTTTATACAACACTACACGTGATTAATTTACATATACAAGAGACAAAACTAAGTACAATAGACTACAGCTCTACGAATAAACTATACGAGAGCACCGCGTAAAAATGGACTTGGAACCAGTGGCACTTCCAGGCAACTAGAGAGAAAGGAACCATGGCAAAGGTGAGAGGCAGACGACGGCAAAGTATGATGGATGACAAGTAAAATGACAAGCGAAAAAAAGAAAATAGACAACTCACCCTTTACAGCAACCGGCTCGAATTTGTCTTTCCAGAAAAAGGTCAGCCACCTACACCCACCCACTCCTCCCTCTTCCCCTCACCTCACATCACCCCATCCTCATCTCACTTCATCCCACCTTTATTTACTCATTTCTCATTTTTCCATTTTCCTCTTCCTCTGTCGGCCAACTTTTTTTCCCTGCGGTCATTCTTTTTTTACTGCAGTTTTCGATTGTCTCGGCGCCTGGAAGTACAGTGACACGATGCGGAGTTTGGCGCCGATAATGGCAGTGCGCTCAGATCACCCCTGGATTCATGCAGAACAACTAGGCACAATCCAAAGAGTTCTTTTCTGAAACTTACTAGTTCAGGGCATTTGTAACAGTTATTATCTTCAAACACACTTACCGTAAAATTAATCCAAAATTTGGTGAAGAGATGATTATGGAATCTAATCATTCTGTAGATATAGTCAAAAGTGTCTGAATGTCATGTGCAACGTATGAGAATAGAAAAAATGTCACCAAATTCCGAGAATTGAAACATTCAAGATCGACACTTTAGTCAAGTTCATAAATGGAGATTTCCTTCACGGAATCATCATCACCACCAACAAGCTGGCCAAGAGCCATCATAGTCGGACATGCAAAGGCTCGATAGGCACTGTGCTGTGGACGTTCATACTGATCGCGGTGTGACTGTGTAGCCTGCGTTTGCAGCAAATTCGGACAATCACCTTTCATCCTTATGTTTCCCGATAATGTACATAGGCTTTTGACTATTTACCCTTGCCCGAAAACGAAACACCCTTCGAGCTGGTGCCACCTCTTCGCTCCCAAAACGATGATTTTCCCTCGGTTTTGGCAGCTTTATCATCACTGCAGGCAACCTTTGGTTCGTTTAGATCAAAAATTAACGTTAACAGGTAAAGATAGTGTAAAAATAAATTATTTATTGGTTTTTTTTTTCTTTTATTTTTTACAAGATGATGTCACCAATGACTTTAGATGAAGGCTTGGGTTTAACTAAAGCCATGGTGATAAAAAATGATCAAAATTGTGGGCCTGTCTTGTCGATGCCGTGGAAACCCCCAAGCCGTTGCCCCAATCCCTACCCCCACAGCTCGCAGCCCTTCACCCGCCTGGCGACTGCACCGCACCTGGTGGTTGGATGAGACGTCCGCATCTAAAAAAAAAGACTAAACTAAAGGGAAGAAGAAAAGAAGAGAAAAGGAGAGAAAAGAAAAGAGGGAAAAAGAACGAACATCCTGATCAAAGGAAAAGGCTTCCTTTTTGTATTTGCCAGCAGTGGCTGGGGAATTATGCAGACGTGACGGGTAAAATGCGTAAAGATATGACTTCCCCGATATTTTCCGGCTGCTCACGGCTGGAGAGCCAATGGCAAAACGTCGATTGTCGTGAAAACAAGGAAAAAAGTGGATCGGGGTGGAAGAAAAAAGAATAATGTCATCAATGATTCCTCGAATACGACATAGATTTCCCATATTTGGCTTGGGACTGAGCAAAAATTTCGCCATCCGTGCCATCTTTTTTTTTTGACATGCACCCCACCCAACTTCGGTTTGCGCAATGACATTTCCGGGGGATTCATCAAACTTGACAGTTTACCCTCTTGCACCAGCGGTTCCGTCCTTCGATTACATCGGGTTTGCAACATTCCGCGTCTTTTTTCATAGAGATGAGAACGAGTTAGGAATATTGCTTTTTATCAGTCATGCCCTTTTTGGGTTACATCCAAGACGCCAGGTTTCATAAAAAAAAAGAATGGTTAAACCAAATTGGGAATATTCTTGGAATCGATGATCAAAAAAGTGTATGATGCGCACCATGAAAAAGGCACGCCCAATTTGAATAGGTAAAGGTTGCATGAGAATGCGCTTTGAAACTGTCTTGGAATCGGTTGAGATCTATTTTTTGCTTCCGTTGCTTTGACGATAATCTGTGAAGTGGAAAAGACGTACGAAAACAATGGGATCAAAAAAGGGTCGTTTTTTTTTTTTTGATGGCCTGAATGAACCGGTGAACCTATGACACCAACGATGGCTCTGAGCCAATGAAACTAAGCGGTGTCCAAATGGATTTTTCAAGTGGGGCTAAAAAACATGCCCCCCTTTTTTTCCCTTTTTTTTTCTCTTTTCTTTACCATAGAAGCGCAGTTGTGGCGAGTCGTTGATGACTGAGGACAGAATTAACCCTTTCCCTCGTTTCATTTCTATGGTTCCGTGGCAGTTACTGATGTGTCTCCCTTATCTCTGTCGCAGGCCTCGAAGACCATGCCAGTGTAAGCTTAGATAAGTCTCATGGTTTGCTGACATTGACTCGTTAAGTTGACTGTGCCACCCCAGCTCGGTTTCGATTGGTAAGTATTTTTTTTTTGTTTTTGCTTCTTTTTCCTTCCCTTTCTCGTCCTGTCATCGCCTGTCATCAACGTTACTCGTCCGCTGTTACCGCTTCGGTTTGCTTGGTCTCCATACCTTCGTTTGAATCAAAAACCTATTTCTTTGCTGGCTAATGTCAACCAACTAGATATAAAACTGAATTTGTACTGTAAATAAAAATAAATTATCCCTTTGCATATCGTCTTTACCTGTTGATGTTTGACCTGAAGATGGATGTTTCTCTCAGTCGCCAACTCAGAGTGGTAGTCGTAATGATGAGTCCGTATAAATGACGGCGAGATAGCGTTCCTTGGAGGGAGGAACGAAACTTATTATGCAGATGGGTTGCGCTTAATCAGCAGTATGACATTTTGTGCTCGTGTCAACGGCGCCTGCACGGTGGAGAAAAAGAAGGAAATCAGAATTCCTCATATTTGCCGTTGGAAGGGTTCCTAAAAAGAACGGGGGGAGACTCTCTGGATGCAAACCAATTACCTGGACCTCTATATTTTTCTAGGCACGGCCATCTGAAATGGCTGGCAATGGCGTTGTCGTCCTTTGGCTTTTGAGCGTTGAGTGATATGATGAAGTCATATCACAGAACCATTATGGAAAGACCAGTTGAAGGATGACAAATTATCTTTTGCAGATATTCTTTATGCAAAAATCGAAAGATATTATTGAAGAGGGTTATGGAAAGAATAGAAAAGAAAAAAAGAACAACAATAGTATACTGATATTGAAAACGCTCTAAAGCAAGTGTATAAATTACATACATAAAATCGATCTGTACATCGGAAACGGTAGAAGAGAAATAAAAAAAAGGAGAAAGAGCTAGTGTGGATGTATCAACGTGCATCCAAAATATTAGGAGATTTAATAGTAATCTTCATCATCTTCGTCGTCGTCATCAATAAAGTCATCTTCATCAGCATCGTCCAAGCGTACGTGTTCCTTTTCATGAGCGCTTTCCTCGGATTCTTCTGCTACTTCTTCCTCTTCCTGATATTCGTCATCGGATTCCTGAATTTGAATCCTTTTGCGTCCTCCTTTCGACCACGACAACGGCATCCGCGGATCTAACATCCCTTTAGTAACCTTTTACTCTGTTAGATGCATCCAATAACGCTTACTCAGGAACCGTGATTTGAAAAAGTTGGCCATACGTGCAGCGTTCTTGTTGGCTAGAGATGTTTCGTGGTTATATTTTTGTGCATTCTTTCGAATCAGCTCAATATCATCAATGACCGCCTACGTTGCCTGTGGTGAGTCAAACCGTTCCCTTCTGCCATTTTCACATCCAAAGCAGCCGACATACCTCACGATGACGATAAAAGCCTGTGTTGAGCCGCTCATAGACCATATCAAGGCAAATGGGATAAGCGATTTGTGATAGATAATTTGGATAGTCGTAATAGTTGACTTGGTGGACATAAAGCTGGAATTCGTCCGAGTTGGACAGCCACGTAATGATATCCTTTGCGCGCTGTGTATCCGCACGACTGAGACGAGGACCAACATCGTAGCGTTGTCGGAAATCTTCGCCACTTGGTACAATTTCCCACGGACTTAGGTCTTCCGGAGACGATTCATTATCATCCCTAAAGAGTAGGTTGACGGTTTAGTTGAATGAGGTTGTGGACGATAGTTTTACAGAGGCTTGAATGCTAAAAAAAAAGGGGGGGGGGCTTGCAAAACATCTCTTCTCCGAATCCGCCATGCCCAAGTTGTTTTTGGACTCTTCTTACCAAATGACATGATAATAAGCCCATGGGCTGGGCATTTTCGCTCGACGCCAATCCATGCCAGTGGAGCACCGCGTGGAGACGGTGCCGGAATATCTTCCTTCGTCGTAAATAACATCGACCTTTTGTCCAACCTGCAGCGTCTTGAATATTTCCATGGACACCAAGAACCGTTCCCATAGTACAATAAATTCAGGACATCCGTCCTCGTCACTGTAATCAATCGTCACATCACGCCCGCGTGGTGCCCAGATAGGTTCTGCATGTTCCAAAAGTGCCTGTCGTACATTGACCAATTCCTGCAAATAGACCTTTAAACGGCAAAAAGCAGGTGGCCCCACTTGCCAACTGATCCCTGTCACTGTACCAAACACAACAGGTTCGTTGCTATTCAACACACCATGCTTCTCATCAAAATACGCCGTCATTTCCGATGTTTCCCAGTACTGGGCATGCCCCTCGGTCATGATTGCAATACGATCGCCCATTTGCGGTAGATACTTTGACAATGACTGCGTGGTGCATTTGATCCATTCCGTCGGTTCATGTTGTTTGATTTCAGCCACAGTCAGGTTACGCAACTTGCCCCGTAATTCACGATTGGCCGGACGGGCAATACGGGTTGACTTGGCTTTGCCAGGTTTGCCACCGCGGGTGGTAGAGGACCGTACCGCAGCAGAAGAGGATGACGACGACGCAATCGAGGCCATGAAATCATCATCATCAGGGTCAGGTACATCTGAACGTAATCGTCGCTTGCCTTTTCGATCCGGTACCTGCGGTGTAGTCTCTGGTTCCGCCGCGGTACGACGTGTGGTCACTCGGCGAGGAGCTACGGTGGAAGGACCCGGCTCGGAATAGTCACTCTGTTGATCATCGTCTGGTTCCTCTTCATTTTCATCGTCGTCCATGACGTCAATGAGCTCGGATTCCGATGCCTCTTCTGCATCCTCTTCTTCATCGTCTAAATCGCTTTCAAGGTAGGACATACGGACGGTGCGTCGACGTCGTCTGGGCCGTACAGGCTCTTCGTCGTCTTCACTTCGATCCGCACGTGTTTCACGCGTACGCTTACGTGTCGCTCGTGTCGCCCGTGTTGACACACTACTACTTCCACCTCGCCCACGTCCGCGGCCCCGCGTTGGTGCACGACTGCTACGGCCTCGTCGTTGCATGCCTGTTCCTCTCAATGGAGCGGATTCATCAGGACTCGTAGATCGACGACGGATTTGTCCCGCTCGACTTCGCGTCACTGGCCCTTCTTCCTCATCATCTTCAAAATTCTCACTCACTTCATCACGAGCAATAAACTCATCGGAACCGCCTTCGGCACTGCTATTCTCATCTTCGCTATTGTACGCTTCCTCATCTGCTTCGTCATGGTAGTCCTCGTCGTTGGAATCGTCGGGGAGTAGGAACGGCTGAAGAGGAGGCGGAAGAAATTGAGGAACGGAACTAACATTTGCATCCGTTTCATCTTCGTCATCGTTTCGAACAAATTCTCGTCGCCGCTTCGCCACATGAGCTCGATCGATCGCAGGCATAACAACGGTCATTCGTCCCGATTTAATCCTGACGAAAACATGTTTTAGTACTCAAAGTCCACTATCCCATACCAAAGATGTGGCGCGGGGACTTACTCCTCTTCTTCCATCTCATAGCATGCCAAACGTCGCAGATCTTCAATCTCCAAAGTATCAGGATGCACCGGTATATTTCGACCTAGGTGCACAGGAGTTAATTCACGACTCTCACGTCGATGGCCATCAAGACTTTACCGTAACCCAATTTTCGTTGATTAGGATACTCGACACCTCGCCAATCAATGATGGCTGAACATGGCAAAGTGTGTGGTGGTTGCTATGTATCGATCGGTATAAGTTCTGCAATTCCCAAAATCCTCGGTGACACCAGAAAAGCTCCAACAGGAAAAGAACAACTTACCAGAGTTTGTTCATCCACAAAGGATCCATCCGGCGAAAATCGAAGCGGCATGTAATCGGTGTAAAAATGCTGGCCTCTGGTCCAACTCCTTACTTTATCGTAATCCTTGTCGAGGCCCCCGATGCTGAATAGGGTGCAATTTCCATCTTCGTCCGTAATCGCATATTTCATACCATCCTTGGAGAATTTACAATCCAAGAAAATGCGGCCAGAATGATGCCGGCAGGTGATCACCTTGTTACGGTGAAGATCCCACAGAATGACATTGCCATCATAACCTGCGGAGAGAATGGTGTTGGGGTCATGGGGATGACTGTCGAGAGCGTACGTTTCGCCTTCATGTCCCTTGAGGGTCGCTGCTGGTTCGCCATTGCATGCGTAGTATACCCGAATGTCACCGTGGGTGGTAGCAACAACACACAATCGGTCATCGGCCGTCCAAGCAATCATAGATACTTTGGGCGTGTCGATTTGCGCTGCGGCATCAGGCGCGGCAGTCTGTGTTTGAGTTGGATCGGTGGAGGGCAGTTGAGTAGCTGGAACAGGTGCGTTTATATTGGAGGAAACCGGCTGTGTTGCTGACACGTGGGATGATTGATCGTTTGCTGTGCTTTCGTAAAATGGTATAAGTGTGCCAAACTCGGTAGCTTCTGAGGCTTCCATGGCACCGGTGTTACGGTCGACTGTTTCATGTGCTGAAGACGGTGGATTGTTGCTTGAAGGCGTAACGACACAGACATTGGATGGTTCTTTGATATCCACTAGACATCCCAAACCAACCACTAAGTCCCATGAACTTGTACTGAACCGATTTTTAATGTTTCCCACTTACAGACGATTGAATTCCATTTGCGTTTCTCCTTATCATAGGACCAGATTCGCGCCGTTCCGTCCTGACACCTACAAACGATCGAGAAAGTGCTCAGCATCCATAAAGTGCATCCATCTCGGTAATTCGTGAGAACCCGACTAAATGCCTTACCCGCTTAATATCCGGTGTCCGTCATGACTGTAAGCCAAATCTGTTACACTTCCCATATGACCTTCCAGATTTCCAATCGGAATCACCGGTTGAGCCTGAACTTGGCCGCTTTTGTCTGGAAACAAGGCACTTGCCACCCGTCGACGGCCACGGCCCACTCTTGCGCGAGCATCACGATCTTGTGAACTATTAGCATCGGTGATGACATGGCCATCCTCGGTATCCATTTTGATGGTTGAAAAGACATATACAAAGCCATCATCACCGGCTACGGCAAACTTGGTTCCTGTGTAGTTGAATGACGAACATCGTAATCGATCGCGTGCCCTGAATTTACAGCTAAATGTGATGGGCGAGTCGGCGTCAAAAAATTGAAGTGTGTCTCGATCCCATTTCCAAAGTCGTACAAGACCATCTTCATTGGTCGCCATCAAATAACGCGTCTCGGGTCTCGGTGACGGCGAAAAATTAACAGTCGTAAATGGTTTGGTCTGTGCAGCACGCACCATTAGCATCGACGCATCTGTCCCACCGTGATCCAACAACTTACCGTGGCTGTATTGGATCGCAGACTAACCACAGGCTTATAACCATCCATTGTCCATACGCGTACATATCCGTCTGAAGATGCGGTGGCAATCAACGTATTCTCTTGATTGATAGCAATGTCTGTGATGACGCTTTGATGCCCTCGTATTGTATAGATAAGGTAGCCGGTGCGCACACACCATACTTTGACCAGAAAATCATCACTTCCCTAATGTGTTTACCAAAAAAAAAAAAAAAAAAAAAAAAAAAAAAACCATCCTTGCTCAGCGATCCCTCATCCATGTCAACTTGTCCCTTTTTTTTCACTGACTGTAAATAATCGTCGACTGGTTCTGTCAAAAGCTAAGCAAAAAACCGGATTTCGATGTCCCGAGATTGTAACGCGCTATGAAATATAAGCATGACAGCAGCAGATACGTTGGTGTCATTTATATACCTCTTTGTAACAGGTGGATAAAAAGGTCGGCGATGGACCTGTGCGCATGATTTTGGCTCCCAATTCCCGAGCAATGAGCATACGATCTGCCGACCAAAAAAAGAAAAAAAAATAAGAAAAAGGACAATGGCATGAACGCGTGAGGAAATATGGAAAACGGTTGGTAATTCATGCCGTTTTTCAGTGGTTTGAAATACGTACGAACGGACAACTTGGACAATTCTCGTTTACTCATGGTGAGGTAATTGGAGCGTGCATATTCTTCGTGAGGGACAAATGCCGAAAGCATCGTTAATAGAGACTGATCGCCATGTCGCAAAGCACTGACACGTAGCACTTTGGGGTCGCCGGTGTCTCTGAAATGGGCCAGGAACTTGCCCAACAAGTCTAATAGATAAGTTCCGTTTACGTCTGGAAAATCGTTGGACTAGATAAGCCAAAAAGAATTCACAAGTGAGAAAGAAAGACAACTATAGAACAGTGTGAGAGCGATCAATAGTGTAATTTACCAGACGATCCAAGGACATGGGCACCTCTGTTCCTTCGTAGGACATGCTGTGAGGAAGCAATTGGCGATGGTCATTGAGTTCTTTTTCCAAAGCATAGGCCGCTTCCTTGCATGGTCCAGCATTGAGGAATTTGGCGATCAGATAATAAAGCTAAAGTGGGGACTAGATCAGAATATTGTGCCAAAAAGAGTTGCAAAAAAGGCGTGTTTGTCTGCTTACCTCTTATACAATAGTAAAAAAAAAAAAAAGACACGTCAGCAAAAGCGTATGGATGAACGTTGAAGGAATCGTGAATGCGTCAAAGACTGGTGAATAGAATGGTGGAAAGCTTGACAGTGGCTTACCTTGCTCCATTGTTGTCAACCCGATCACAAGACTGGGAAGGGAGGAGGAGAAGCGGGCTCATTTGAAATTCATGACTGGTTCTTCCTTTGGTAGCCTACGACGGAACTTGAAACCCCGACCATGGTGGGATTTGGGCAAAATTTCAGGTGCCAAAAAAATATCCCAGATAAAGGGGCCTTTGGATAAAACATATGAGGAAAAAAGCTCGTCGGTAAATAAGAATCAAGGGGTAAGTTTTGGCAAAGAAGAAAAAAAAAAGACAGGGCACTAGTAATAGAAAACAATAGACAATACATAGACATAAGGTTTTACGAATGGTGGCGCTGTACAGTAGAAGGAAGTTTAAGCATTAAGTGTTGCAGCGAGCCGCCACAATGCAATGAGCGGAGACAAACTAGGGAATGGCTAGTCTTTGTTACTCTTTTTCTTTTTGGGCTTTGATGTTACTGAAACGCTTGATCGGGATATGGGGATGGATGCGAAAAAATAAAAAATAAAAATGCTGCAGGTGATGCAAGGATTCTAACGTAACGCGAACTTGCACTGTTTTGTTCCAAGTGTTCCAGCTTTGTAACGTTTTATACTCGTCGCAGTCAATCAAAAAACTTTTGTATACTATTTACTATTAAAGCCTGATTGTTCTGGTTGTTTTTTTCTTTTTGTTGTTTTCATTACACAAGCACAAGCACACACACAAAAAAAAAAAAAAAAAAAGAGAAAACGTTCGACCTTTTTCTTTTCCCTTTATTTTTATTTCTTTCCTTTTTTCTTGTTCTCATGAGTCCTTCGTTGTCTGAGAAGCAAGGGTTTGCTCCGTCCTCAGCTCGCTTCATTCGTTCTCTGAAAGGTGTTCGGCATTGGTGGCCATCTCGACCTCCGACGGAACCGAATATGTACGCCAAAGAAGCAGTCGCCATGACCTTGACGGCCGAGTTTCGACCGAGAACCGATCCTCACACCGTGACCTTGCTTCATCCTGATCTTCACTTTGTTCCGCATGGCGGTCATTTACTCATGTTATCCAACGATGCCAAAGCTTTCGTACATTACGAACCGAAACGCGCCCACGTCGCTATGGGCACCAATCCCGATACCAAGTCGACCAAGTCGTTGTGGTTGACCGTGGAGGAATACGCTTGGCTTATCCAACAGTTACAGGAGGAACAAGGCGTTCATGAAGCGCTCAAATCAGCCAATCACTCGACCTCAGCTTCCATGCTTACCGCTTGGGGTTTGGGGTGTCCTATGCTGACGCCCGCGCCCATGTTGGGCGTGATCAATGCCCAGATTTGTACTCGCACATTGGCTCGCCGACTAGCGCGCTGGGTTCAACGAGCGAAACAACGTTCGGTCCCTGATCTTTACCGTCAATGTATATTCATGTTGCCAAAAGCTCTTCTTCTCCAAGCCGCCGCCTACATTCCCATGACCAAACCTTTACCTTCGCTCGATATCCCTCTACCCATTCGCCATACTCTGAAAGCGCCATTCTATCCTTTGTCTTTGTCACTTCATCAACGATTATCACGGTACTGCCAATACATCGCGTGTACATCTCATTCATTCGTCATCGACACCACAACGACTTCTTCATTTGCATCCATGGACATCAATCATGCGTTTCATCCTCTAATATGCCGAGAATGTCATTACCAATCGTGTTTGGAATCCATTCTGGATGTTTCGGTCCTACCACCAAAAAAGGAAGATGATCGCCCTTCTGGAAGTTCCGAACACGATACCATGCGTCCCAACAGTCAGCGAGGCAGTGCAAATCAAGTGATGGATCCTACTTTCCCGGTATCGCTTTTCCAGACCATCTGGCATCCAGCCTCTTCCATGATCTCCACCAGCGACCAACGAGGATCGGCTTTTGAAACATTACCGACTCAATCGGGCCACTTGGCAGCGTCCAAGAAATGTTTTTCAGCCATCGAATGCAGCAACGAGTCGAATTTCTCAGACACAACGGTTTCATCCATCATGCCTTCGGTGATTCAATCTGAAAAGCGTGGTTACATAGCCATTGATCATCAGCATGAAGAGATTGTGGTTGTGTTTCCAGGACTGTCGTCTTCTGATGCATTATTCGATCATGCCTCGTTCATGCCGGTGCCGTGGCAGGAGGCAGATATTATCAATAACAATGAAGCCATCAGTGCAGGTCGTCGATCGCGATCACGATCACGAAGACACAGTCGTCATCGATCCTCGAAATTCGCAGCAAACGTGGATGATTTGGAAGAAAGGAAACCAGAAGCAGATTACGCACCTTGGGTATTGGATTGTGCTCTTGCTGCTTGGCGTCGCTGTGAGCTTCATGTGGCGACGTATCTGATGCGGGTGTGCCAAACCGTACCGAATCATTATCGCGTTGTGATTGTCGGTCATTCGCTTGGAGGAGGTATGTCTTGCGGGGAAAAAAGAAAAAGAAAAGGAAAGAGGGCAAGCATGGTTTGCGGATGGGAGCACGCGTGGGTTGAAATGATAACTGATGCCTGATTTTGTATGAAGCGGTCGCTGCGTTATGTGCATCATCTCTTGTATCAACGGGACTTTTGGTAGACCGAGCTGTTACGTACTGTGCTATTCATTCCCCTCGAGTGGGCAACCATGCTTTTGTCCAACAATTAGCTGAACAGCAAGTTGAAACAATTCGGGTAACACATCCTTCGGATCTTGTGGCACACATGCCTCCTAGAACGAGTGGTCTTGTTCATGCAGGCTCCACCACGGTATTGACCATGCCTTTGCACGACGAACAAGCAAATCATGGTTACATCATCCAATCCGACAACCCTACTCATGTGGAAGACCAGATTGCTCAAGCATTTACTTCCGTTGAATATGATGTGCATCAACATCAATCAGCATGGGGAATCTTACTCAGTCCAAACCAATGTAGGGAAAAGCAGTTTAAATAGTATTATCCGTGGAACTGTTAAGGATTGCTTTACGACATATTATTGTCCCATCCTATTTTTTGTGATGGTGCTATATTTCTCATACACTTCATTCATCCCCCGCCCAAAATCATTGATCTTCCCTTCTATTGTCTTGTAACTTTTCTGTGTATAGACAGATATACATTCCATTATATCGTATTTTTCATTCTATTATTTGTTATCATTTATAAATTTATGACACATATTTATTACTCAACCATTCCAACAAGAAACAACCAAGCAGATCCATAGAAGGCTGAACTTTGGGTCAGAATCACCGCACCACAGGGTAACGGAGAAAAGCAATGGGTGATGCTGCCAGTATCATACGTGCTGCATGGGATTGAGACTAAAAAAAAAAGAAGACAACGGGGACAGAGATAAACATTTTATTGAAATATAGATTGTATTTGTTGGTATTGCAAACCTGTTGAAAACCATATGCGAGAAGAGTAAGTACGAATAAAAACAAAATAAAGAAAAAAGGGTTTGAAGAGTAGATGTAATGAACGAAAAGGACGAAAGTGGGAGGAAAAAGCGGAAGGGGGTATTTTATCGTACAACTGAGTTAAGCGAGAGTAGAAAGCTTGGAATTTTTCTCTACTCTCTATAGGGTGGGGGTTCTTCGGCGCCAGCATTGCGGGTGGCTAACTGATAATAAGCGCCTTGATCTTGGGAGCGACGCAGCTTTCGGTGGATCCAGCCCGTACCCGGTATACGTGCCCACCAACGCCGCTGAGGGACATTCTCTTGCCGTGCGCCACCAGCGTCCTCTTCCACAAATGGCTCCTGTTCCGGCAACGGTGAAGGTCGGTTTTGCCATTTCTCAATAAGGTTGTGTACCCCCGTCACCATTTTTCGAGCTTGCTGCCGTCCAACAAGCAGACAAGTCGCCACAGCTCCGGTAAGTAAAACGGCCCATATAGCGGAACGCCACTGATCCCCCAATGTCCACTGATGGAGGGTGGCACCATAAGCGTAAGGTGGAAGATCGTCGTTGACAGCACACACACTGTGGTTGGCACAGCGACCAGGGAAATAAGTGGGACCATAGTAGCATTCCATGTTGTTGTGACATGCTGCTCCAACCGGTCGTTTCGGCTGGCATGTCTTTGTCACCTTGTCGCAATACGATTGTCGTGTGCAATTGCCGATATACTGTAAATCGGCTTCTTCGATCACCTCGGGCCCTCGATAATCGACGTAGCTGTAAAGTTCATCTGATAATGGAATCGTAACACAAGGCATGCCAGTGTCGTTTTCGATGGAAGGGTAGGGTGAATAGATGAAAAGTTCCAAAGGATTCACACTTAATTCAAATCCTCTAAAATCTAAAGACGTCACAGAGAGATAGAAAGAATAAGTATCAGATTGATAAACCCAATGTGAAAGAAAAAACACATTTCCCTATTCATTTAATGCTGGAATCATAAGAGTTGACTTACTTCGACTTTTGCAAATAAGACCTTCTTCTGTAGCGAAACATCCTTGCAAAGGATATATCGGGCAGTTAGTGCGATCCTGACAATGTTGCTCGGCCAAGGCAATAAATGCGTAGGAAAGAATTAGCCAAGTCAAGCCAAGCAACATGCTGAAAAGAAAGGGATAATTTCAAGAAAATGAGGAAGGGTTGGAAACTGTAAGAGCCAATGAATGAACCTGAAGAGCGCAGATTAAAAAAGCACGTGATCTGATTTTTATCTGAATGAAAAACGTCGTCAGTTGAGCTGTTCAACAATCTTGTGCAAGTGAACGTAAACGATATACTCACCTCACGCTCAACTGCCGACGTTTCCGACGCTACTGCGGAATATGGACGGCTCAGTGTCAAACGATACCAACGACTGTGTAACCTGGTTCGTCTGCAAGCTTATTCCGGTGAATGTGGAGTACGTAAGGGTGATGCCGACAATTTCCAACGTTGAGGACGAAAAATCTTCAGGCCAGCGTTTTATCAAGGGAAAATCAAGTCAGAAGATTGGTTGCGAATGCTTCATCAACTTAAGATTCCCAAATTTGATTAAATTGATGTGAAATTTGCAGGCCACCAGGTGTTGCTCCATATTATCACCGTTACACCCATGGCGACTTGGAACCGGACGATGCTGCAGATGAAATATTGCTCAACAGCCACGAGCAAGTCGTCGATTATATGAACCAAATCTACGTTGCATATGTTCCCGCTGCGCAAAGCATTATGAAAAGAGGGCCATGTCATCGAAAGAGATATACTATGACATGGTCTTCATCACCAATTATTTTGACGACAAATCCATGCAGTCATTTACATCTTGGTGCGGTTCGGCCAAGTTGGAGTTCACAAAGGCAGCTTTACAACGAAAACAACAAAAATATGATCAACAAAGATCAAGACGCCGACGTAAATACATCGCCGAAAAATTGCCATTGAAGTGATTCATGTCACAGAAAACCGCAAGCAACGCATCAAAAAAAAATATCAAGAATGAAGGGACCAGATCAACGGCTATGCTAGAAAGTCCCCTAGCAAGGAACGGACCAACACAAGGCTGCGCCTCCTCGACGCAATGATTGATCGACTGGTGAACCATTCGCAAGTGGACTCAATATACCCGTCGTACCCTTGTACATCGAATGAATGTCTTTTCAATCGCGATCAACAGGAGACAACGCGCGTACCACGAACCGCCGGAAATACGCAAGACATTTTGCGTATCCTTTCAGCAACTGAGAAATCAGTGGCAATTGTAACAATTGACTACGCTGGCTTCTCGACCAATGTCAATGACCTTTCTACTTTGGTTGAGAACCACAAATGTCTTCAAGCGATTGTTGTTGACAATTTGGCAACATTCCACCGCTCATTGGTTTTCACCAGGCAGGAGCTTCTGCCACCCAGTGTATTACAACTTTCGAATGTCGCTTTGTTAGCGTCCAACGGTCAAAGCAATAAATCTGTTTTCTTCGAAGTCATATAATCCTTTTTTTTTTTCGTCTTTTCATGAGCTTTCTTTGTATTGTCATGATTATGGCTATCTCGGCATACCATCAATATAAACATTTTTTCCCATATCCTTCACGTTTATTATAAACAATGCACTAGTGTCATCACTCGGATAAAAAGAAACCATCCCGTCTTTCCTGAATTCGTGCAATATGAAAAAAAGTGGTCGAAAATAAAAAAAAAAGTGGTCGCCCATATCTGATTTTCATTGTGTTGAGCCGCAAACATTTCTTTTTCAAAGAATGCGCAATCAGTTGAATTGAAATATAATGAGCAACGTAGCTTCATCGATTTTTTGTTGCTTTGAGGCACGATCCTTGGCTCTACCAACTATCACAAGTGGGGTGGCTCGTCTCGCCCAATTTTGAGACGCCGTTCAACAAGTGATGTTAATAAGCTGAGCAAGCGCAGCTCATTATCTGGGCACTAATTCATTCTCCGTCGGTGGCCTTTGCTTTTTGAATACCAGCAAATTCGATCGCTGGCATTACGTTTGGAATTTGCTTACCGTTTATCCAAATCACGCGACCCTGGTATAATATCCAATGCGAAAACATTTTTTGAACCACCTAATATTCGTGGGAAAACAGGTTATAGATTGATTTCTGGGAAATTTAACAAGTGTTATAGAATAAACAGGATATATTATTGTTCGAATGTAAAAACTTTTTTTTTCTAATTAGTCATAACAACGGTAGTCATTTTTGAGGTCTTATCGCATGTAGGTGAGGGAGATAAAAAAAACAATGGAATTTGCATAGATTGAGCATGGGTTAGAAAGAATATATAGGAAAGAAAGAAGCGAAATGATTAGGAGGTTGGGGTTAAGAGAGAGAGTGTGAGAGGGATGGAGAGAGAAGCGCGCGAGGAGAGAGGTAGGGAGTAGAGGCCTTGATACCAATAAAAGAGGGATAGAAAAAAAAAACTTAACTAGAATTAAAAGCAAAAGTTCCCAGATAGTGTCAAGAAAAGATAAAACGGTAATGGTAATTCAAAGAAGGATAGTGGCAGAGATGAAGCGTGAAATATGGAAATGAAAATAATTTCCCTCACCCACGGGTTAGAGCATGCTTGGTTCCTTGTATTGGATGGATTGGATGGAATTCATAGGGTATTCTGTAATTTTTCGTAAAGGAAGAGAATAATTAGCTGTCAGAGAATAGTGTCAAAAAAGCGTCAGGACTTACCAAGAGAATATCTTGCGGGTGCATAATGATGCTGTACTGCAATGTCGGTAGCATGGGTGTCAATCATTGTCACTGGTACAGACGGAGTATCTGTATGAGGCAAGGGTGACTGCATCCATGCTGAAAACGAGGAATGGGATGGTTCCTGTTCTTTTGCTGCTGTTACTGCCGACGTCAACGTCGTGTTTAAAACGTCGTCTGTGAGTTGATCGTCGTTACTCATAGGAGGCGTGGTTTCGCCGGTCGAAGAAAGAAAATAGCTGTGTGGCACATTGCCTGTCGAGGGAGGTATCCCCGGTTGCAACATATTGGTTGCCCCAAACGTAGGGTTACCAGCACCGTGTGACATTTGCATTCTTTCATAATGACCGTACTGCTGTTGCTGTTGCTGTTGCTGCTGTTTGTCAATTATCATGGAATTCGTATAGCTCGTAGTATGGTAATGATTCATGGGGAACTGCACTGAACGTAGAATGCTTTCCAGTTGCTCAATACGAAGTTGCTGAGCCGCCATTTGATTGTACGCTTTCGTCATTTTATCCTTATAATATTCATGCATATCACGGTGGGCTCGCTGCATCTGCAATAGCTGAGCCTGTAATTTGTCTTGTTGCGTCATGCCTTGATTCGCATGCTCGGAACTGTCGTGGGATGATGGCGATATGGGCTCTGTCAAAGATTTATTACAGTCCGGATGGATGGCAATCTCCTGATAAACTTGTGCTGTATCCATGGTATTAGTCGTCAGAGTCAGTTGGCTGGATGCCTCAAGTTCCGGCAGCTGCGTTTGATGGAACTGCTCGCCGTGAGGTTCATCAAATGAGTCGTCGCAGGTGAGAGATAATGGATGAGACAAACGTTGTTGTTGCAATGGCGACAAGGATGACGATATGGAGGATGAGCTACGAATGCCACTGTTGGAGTGAGATGCCTGGATTCGATACTTTTGCTGCGTCGATTTATCAGAGACCTTGGTCTCAGACACTTCCGAGGACGTAGCTTGAGGTGAATGAAGGTGGGTATCTTCGTTAAGTTCGGATTCCTCTTCCGAGCCCACATTAAGGACGGTTTCGAGGTCTTTTTGAACTTTTGCTCGTTTTCTCCGTGTATATTGGGGGGTTTTACGTCGAATGAGATGGAAAAGATCACGTCGACCGGGTCGAAAGTAAGGATGATACCATCGACATGTTTCTTTATCGCGATTGTCTTTGGATTTACGCGCATCAGTGTCTCGTTGAAAACCGTATATCTAAAATTGTTCATGTCTGAAATGATAAGATGCGTCTGCCTTGCCTCCTGAGTATAGGAATAACGAGTGGGAAAACCTACATTCAGCTGTCGCACAAAAGAAGGGAATTTGCAATGTTTAAATAATCGTGGCAATACGACCTCTGTGAATTCTACAGGAAGATAGCACCGGAAAAAAAAGAGATGTTAGCAAAGTTGGTGCAATTTTTTATCCAATGAAATGAAAGGTACTTACTTGGAATACAATCAATAATAAACATGTCAATGCCATTTTGTTTACACCAATGTGCATATTTTTGTCCGTCATCGGGTGCTTGCAAACTCCTGTAGTGATGTTAAGTAAAAAAAGGTTTTCACAAAATCAAATGCAATATTTTTTTCGTTCTTTTTAGGCAGTCGCTCCTTACCGGTAAAGTTTAGAAACAAACCCGGCGATACCACGTTCGGGATGATGAAAGTCTTCGCAAAAAGGAGTAGAAGGAATGAAGCTTTCACATTTCAAATGCCTTGCTCCAACAATTGGGTACCAATAATGATTGCTGTCTGGGTCTGTGTGGTGTACGAGCATCTTGTCCCTCGGATCAAGGTGTTGGGTATCATGTGATATGCTGGTGGCCGATAGAAACTGCGACGTCGGTGAATGCTCTTGTTTAAACATGGGTGCATCGACCGTGTCGGAGACGGAGATAAACGAGCGGGAACAAGAAGGTTGTTGTAACGATGGTGATGGTAATGAGGCTCGATGGAATGAAGAGTCGGCATAGTGAGGCAAATTCATATTTTTCTAGTGGGGGATCGCTGGTTCCGCCGTTGCTTGGTGTAAAAGTTTTATCCAGGAATCAAAATTTTTGGTTTTTTTTTTCTCTTGCTCCTTTTTTTATATATATGGATGATCAAGGGCTGTTTAGCAGAATGTCAAGGACGAGGATGTGAAATAACAGATCGAACCAGAAAAGATGACTATAGAACAAAGGAAATAAAAGGTGAAAGAGTGTGGGAGAATTGAACGATTGCTGAAATAAAAATAGTGAAATAAAAAAGAGACTTTTGAATAGAGTAACATTCAAATACGAGTCACCTCTCAAGAAAGAAAAAACAAAGATGGGATAATATATGTTAAATATGCGTGTTGTCACGTACGGCAATGTTTGTGCGGATGTAATGTATCGGCTTTGGGGGTTTGGGAAGGGGTGGTTAAGGAGACACGGGGTTTATCCCTGGGTTTTTGCACGCACGCTGGTTTTTCTCTGGGTTATCTTGTCTTTTTCTCTCCTCGATACGCGTCGTCGTCGTCTCGGAAACCAAATCCCGTCACGACAAAAAAAAATAGATAATGAAGCAAAACAAAAAGAAGAAATATGAATACAGATCTGAAAAAGTTAGAGAGGCACAGTTTCTGTATAATAATAATAAAAAAATAAAAAAAAAGACAAAGTGGATAAAAGGGCCACAAAAGAAGGCAATAAACAAGGAAAATATCGATGTCCAAAATTTTCAAAAACCTTAAAAAAGAATACTCTAACGATCGATCCGTTGTTTTTAGCTTTTCTAAGGCTATTCTTTTTTTTTCCCTCTCTTACTTCTCTGTATGCCCTGATAAAAAAATACTTTCCGTCACTCATTGGATCGGATACAGTACTTCCAAAGGTGCCACATCCCGCACGAGGCATCACAACGGTAGAAAACTCCTCCTTTTGTCTCTTCCGCCACTCCTGTGGAGTATTCACTCCCCTTTTCCCTTTTTATTTTATGCTATGCTAACCGGTAGGTTCCAAAAAAAAAAAAAAAAATAATAAAGAAATTTTGTCGTGGATCATCTACCACACAACAAACGAAGGAGAAAAAACTTTAAACAAGAATGGCATCATGATGTTCCTTACGTTATGGATATAAAAGGTCTATTGCCGATGTCTTCCAGTAAATTCTAATTCTTCTCTCGTTCTTTTTTTGTTCAAACCACTTTGCCATTCAGGCGCTCCGTGCGTTCATCTCCCAGTCTTGTCGCACAAAAGATAACAAGGAGCAGACGATCCAATATCAACAATAAAACATCTATTATCACACATTACATACATACAAAAAAAGAACAGATGACACATTATCCATTTCCTATTATTCCCATCTCTTCCATGACTCGCTTATATATTTTGCCATGGACCTTCTTCCCCACAGGTGCATAACCACCCGAGGGTTGACCTCGTAAACGTTTGAGTCCATACGATACCCATCCTGCAAGCCTTAAAAATATCCATTTTTCACAGATGTAACTGATGATCAGGTTGGCCGCCGCAAGCAACACAATCGTCCATCGGAAACTCGGCGGAAGTGGTTCCAGTTGCATCCAGTCCATCAAAAAAGTCGACGGATATAAAGTACACCATGTCGTCAGTGTAACCAGCACTGCCAGCGTGAATACAAGTCGGCCTACAACCCCCCAATGCATGTTACATTTCCCGCCTCGGCCGATTTTCTTAAATGTTGCAATTTCACTTACCGTTCGTCCACAGTGGTTTTCGGTAAGGCGGTCCAACACTAAAGACAACCGCCACCAGAATATACTGGAAACTCGACAGCAGAAATAATACCGTGTTCTCCAAACATTCGATGTTTTGCCCATCGGGATCAAATGTCGGTGGAACATACCTAAAATCGCAAAATGGAAATTTTTCATCGTCAGTCAGTTAACTCAACACTAAACTCAACAACATAAAATAAAAAACCATGACCACGATGGATGGGATTCAACACCCAGGCGAGAAAAAACGATGGAAATAAAAAAAAAAAAGAAACACCCGAGAGAGGAACTTACCAATCTTGTTGATGAATTGCCCAGTAAGCGATAAACTGAAAACCAGAATTGATCACGATTTGGCCAATGAGCGAAGTAAGCACCTTTTTCGATACCAGACTCGCCGTGGGTCTCACAGGGTACAGGAATGGCCAAGCAGCTGTGTATCCCACTATTGGTACACCCCGCCCCAGCAAAAAAAAAAGGAAAAAAGCAAAAAAAAAAAAAAACCAGCATTTCGTCAGTTTATCAAATCCGTTTGCTAAATGCATACATCACCAACTTACGATATACAGCAATCGGTAGAATTAGGAAAAGATCGATGTACAGGAATTGGAAATCTCCCAGATTACTGCCAAACGCATACAGTAATGTCACCGTGGTGAACTGGATAATACTGTAAAGCGCCATGTATTTGAAGCAACTAAAACTCGTTACTAATGCCGCTCGTCCTTCCCTAAAGAAAAAGCGGCAAATGAAGAAATATTAGCCACATTGGGTGCAAGATTTTTTTCCTTTTCTTTGTTTTCAAACACCAAAAATCATGCTTTAGGGTGACTTACTTGATGACATCGATGACACATTCAATATCCATCGTATTGCTGGTAAACGGAGCTGCAACGGAGGCTTCCGCTTCCGATAACGAGATACCAATATCGCCAGCTTTCAAGGCTCCGCAATCATTGGCTCCATCGCCACAAAATCCAACACAGTAGCCAATGTTTTGCAGCTCCATCACTAGCTCCTGCTTTTCATCAGGAGACATACGAGCATAAATAGCACCTTTCACAAGCATACGGTGAAGCACATCCGTCGCCGCATGATCCACCATCCAACGAAACGCTTCGCCGGTCACAGCAAGATAATAATGTGAACCCATCGAATACATCGACTGATCTCCTGTCGATAATGAGGATGGCGGCTAAAAATTCGTGCAAAAAAAAAAGGCAAGCCATACACGAATCCTTTAGTCATCATTTTCTTTGTTACTTAGTTTACGACACTACCCGTTATTCGACTTACCTGGAGTGTATCACCATCAAGTTGACGACCCTCTTGCAATACACTTTCCCAGACAATCTCCGAATCCAACTCCATAGAAGATCCTCTCAAGAATCTAGGTATATAGACCTCGGCGGCTTTCTCAATCAGACCGCATTCACGAGATACACTGACGGCTGTCAATACATTGTCGCCTATGTAAAAAGCCCCATACATTTTTCAGTTATGCTTCTACCCATGGTTGCACATCGTGAACCGTGCAACCTTACCTGTACACATAATCTGTCGGATGTTGGCATCACGCAATGTAGTAATAGCGGGTATGGTGCGTGCTTTTAATTTGTTCTCGAATACGATAAAACCCAAAAATGTCAGATTCGATTCCACCTCATGTCTATTTCACGAGAGGAAAAAAAAAAAAAAAAAGGTTTGCAAAATTCATGATCAGACCATTATATGAGTCCATCTATCATGGCGACACAGAACTTTGGCCACCAAAAAAATCTTACCTCTTCAATTTGTGCAGTTTATGCCATTTTACGCCCGTCAACTGTCTGGATGCGCAAGCAATTACGCGAAAACCACGATGAGTATACCAATAGAGTCTCTCTTCATAGTCTTGCGGCACTATTTCCATTCCCCTACTATTAGTAATTTCATGGAAACTGTCGCTTCAAAATAATGACTTACTGGTATCGGGTATACATATATCTTTCATCACTTCGGGTGCTCCCTTGACAAACACTTCCATCGTAGGATGGGTCAACCGTCGGACAATCACACTCATTCGTCGTAACGCCGAAATGAATTCGAAGGAATGGATAATACCGAATTCTATAGGCTTAGTCCCAGCGTCACTAGTGTTGTTCAGAGACAAGGTTGGAGGTCCTCCGGGAGGTCGTACAACGGTTGGCATAATGCCCACTTTGGCACTCTTTTTCGCATGTAAAGCCGCCAATTCACTTCGTGGTTTAAGTCCTGTCGACAGCAAACCGCTACTTTCTTCCAGTTCCCAACGGGTGAAATCAAACATCTTCAAATCCAGTGGATCACCTAGCAATTCGCCTTCGACAATTTTCAATGTATGACAAGTTGTCATGGTGCACAAAATCTTGGGCTTCGTGCAAGCGGGATCTTCATCGTTTGGATCGATATCGCTCACTGTATTGATTTCTTGGTCAAAATATTTTCGTCCATCCGCGTGGGTGGTGACGGAGCGAACCCCGTGAATATCTAGACCATCTTCGGTCAATGTTCCCGTCTTATCGAAGCACATGCAATCAATTTTTCCGCCAATATTGACCCGCGGGGGCGAAATACAAAAGATGCCGACTTTTTTCAGTCGGTTCATTGCAAAGCTGGTACCGATAGACATCGTAGCAGGAAGCGCCGGCGGTACCACGATGGTAATCAAATCCAATGCACGAAGCACCATCGTGCTGGTATCAATGCCAAGACGAATAAAGTTGATGGACGACACCAGGAACCCAAAGGCCGCTATCCCACGTTCATGTTAATCATGGATCCTGTCGTCAACGACCCGCGCACAAATGATTTGTTTTCTTTTTTACCAATAATAGCCAATACCCCAATGAAACGAAACGAGTCGCGATAAAATTTGAAGTTGTTCGGCTTGGGGAAAAGCATGCTGCGAATAAGGGCGCCTTTGGCGGTATTGAATCCTGTGCGAACCACTAAGGCGGTTGCCGTAGTGATGCCTTGGCCACTTCTCACCCGAACCACTTTGGTACCCATGAACATGAAATGTTTCGTGAGCTCGGCAGGTACGGTTGCCTGTGACAAGTTAATTTTTCGAAGTGTGATGTCAGCCATAGGTGCCTTGGAGACCGGCACTGATTCGCCCGTAAGCATGGATTCATTGAGAATACAATCCCCGGAAGTAAGAATGGCATCGCACGGAACCGTATGGAGATCAGTAATGTCGATAAGATCACCGGGAACAAGCTCCGCCGAACTAATGGTTCGCCCTAAAAACCGATCCGTGTGGGTCAGTGCACTCACGCCCTCTCAATGTGTGGCAAATGGAATCCTGAGAAATCTTTCTGAACTCACATGATCCATTCCGTAATGCACGGACACTGCATTCAAATCGGGACATATCTCTCATTCGTTTCATCATCTATGGGAAACAAAAACAAACAATTAACGAAATTTTGAATGGTTGTACATAGTCAAGTCAAAAGAGTCAAAATTCACCTTTTTCGTCTCGACCAATGTGGTGACGATGCTGACGGCGCTGATCAGAAAAATACAGAAAGCATAATAATAGTAGTCGTCCATGCTCCATAGAATGATGCTTCCAATTTGAAAAACATAAAAAGGATTCAACACCTATATTTCGTGCCAATAGGAAATGATCAGTAAGTTTTAAGCTGACCAAAAAAAAAAAAAGACCAAACGTGTTACCTCGTCGCGCAGTAATTTTGGAATCGGTTTTTCACGAATATTGATAAGATTCGGACCAAAAACAGCCAGCCGTTGATGGAATTTTTCAGTGGATAAGCCCGTTTGCAAGTTCTTTACCGAATTCCATTGTCGATCTTTCCAAAACCTAACGTCTCCAGTTTTAGACAATTACCTCTTTTTTGCTTGTCAACTCTTTCTTGTCTGCAGCGACTCACTTACCCAACAATCAAGAATTTGCGCAAAAGCGGATGAAATGCCAAACGCATATATCGATATTCCACAAGAATTAATCTTTGTAAAGGTTCATCCAGGTTGAGGAGATCATGCGTGTCTTGAGGATCGACAGCCATCGTCTGCATTTCTTCTTTAATTTGATCTAGGGAGAAAACCGAACCTAGTTGATCTCCATACAATTCACGTAACGGACGAATAATTTCGCATTCGCGGTATTGGTTCTACCGCACCAGCCATGGCAACCAAAATCAGCATTTCTGTTCATAAAAGCACAGTCCCCTATGCGATTTTTCACTCACCATGAACACCAGCCATTCAGCATCTTTCAGCGGCACCTTGTCACTGACCCACGCAATCCACCACTGCGGTACCCAACGTGCGACTAACCATAAAAGTCCAAAGGAACCAATGCAGCATAATCGATACAATAACAACCGCAGTCGATTATATCGATGACCTTCAATCGTAATTTCAATGTCTTCTTCGGGTAGATATAAATGTTGCTTCCATTCATCGTTCAAAGGATCACCAAATCCCTGAATACGAACGTCTGAGTGATCTTGGCGTGTAACCGAACGGTGCTTAGCATCTTTGATGAGTCCCTCCTCCTCACTGAGCACGCTTTCATTATCACTTGATCCACCGGTATCATCGACATTTTCATCACTTGTGTTTAATTCGGTATCGCTAACATCTTCTTCCTCTTCGCTTTCCAAGACCTCATTCTCCGCTTTACGACGCCTGCGGTAAAGACCGGAACGACGCGAATGGAACGAACCCATGACCGATGAAGCGTGATCCGGACCGTTGGTATGTTCCGTGTAAAGAGGTGTGGAACTCATATCAACAGGTTGGCGTGGCGTTTGATTAACAGGGCCGATGGGAGAGGCGCGCATAAGTGGTGCAGAAGAATTTCTCCTCGCATGGGAAGCTTGGATGGGTATTCCATGGCTTGAATGAGAAGAGGATGCATTCACAGTATTGGAATCTTCCAAATGAGAAGTCCCATAGTGTGTGCGTGTCCTAGTCGAGAGCTGTTTCGACATTCACGAGCGCAAAATCAGAAGGAGGCATGCAAGGGCTTGGGTAAAAAGCAAACAAAAGCAAAAAAAAAAAAAAAAAAACGACCAACCCAAGAAAAAAAATCCTGTGAAATTTAAGGTTTGGCATGAGATTGGGTCTTTTTTTTTTTTCAGCCTACATTTTCCTGGGATTATTACTATAAAGATCCTGATTGGTTAAACGCGCAGTGACGTAGTGAATCGTAACCATTTTTGGCAATAAAATAGAAACATTGCTGCGACATGAAATCAGAACTCCACTTTTCGATCCAGTCCACTCCTTACAACGGCCAGCGCAAAGGGAATACAGCAGGGCAAATGGATATACTGTAAAAAATACAGTTATACACTTCATCTAGCTGTCTGTTTCAATCAAGGTGAACAACAGCGTGTATTTTCAATGCGTGGCTTGCTTGCGTTTTGTTGATATTTATTGACAGTCAAATCAAAAAGAACAATGCCAACAACGGTGATTTGTCAAAACTGTCATATGATAAGCATGAGAGCACCCTCATCTGGCATTTTTGCTTTTCCCTTTTCCTTCCTTTTTATTGCAGTTTTTAGGAGTACCAATCGAGAAATAACAAGACAAAACTGGCGCCGATCAGAAATGCTAATAGAAATTTGCGAGTACCGCGGTTTCGTTCCCGCGTCTTGATCAGTTGCACATTGCCTTCTTCGACACGACCGGTCGACATCACCGCATCGGCATACAACTTATCGGTTTGGATGGTTTGTATTGCCAGATGATTTGTTAATTGGGTCTGCAACGTCGAGATTTCAAGTAGCGCCTTTTCCGCGGTTCGCACCTGATTGAGCGTGTTATTGAGTTCTTCAAGCATGGTGGCATTCTCTTTTTCAAGCACTTGTAATTGTTCTTGTGAAAGTTGGGCTTCAAATGTGTCTAATTCCTGCAAACTTTGATCTGTTGATAAAGCGGTGGTGGTGGTGGTGGATTTGGTAGGTTTGGCCGATAAATCAAAGAGGACAGGAGGTGGAATATCATTGGCGGCCGCCGTTCGATGCAGCTGATTCTCTGATTTTTCGAGTTGACGCGTCAGTCGTATTTCTTGTTGGTCCTTTTGTAACTTTGAGACGTCCATCAGTCGTTTATTAAGCAACCAAGTGATACTGCTCCGATGCACGGCTAGCGTATCTTCGGTGGCGGCCGAAGATGATATCAAAACTGAACTGAGGAAATGGGCAAGACGATTGGCCGGCAATTGCGCTTCTTTCTGTTGACGTAACTTTTCAGCTTCTTCCAGTTCCTTGACACGGTCCATGCACCGTCTTATGATGAGTTTGGCTTGAAAATCGATTTCATCCCGTTCACGATCCGTCAAGAACTGAATGTCGGTCGGAAATATGGCAAAGAGAGAACCTTCTTCATCCGTCACATGGGGCTTCACAACTCTTTTGGCACGTTTACGTTGAATGTGCCGTGTATCGGTACTTAGGTAAGGACGCCGAATGGAAAGAAGGAATCGACGAAGACTATCGATGTGTTGGTAGATACGGTATGCTTCCTTGGCAAACAAGTCGTAGGAATTTTCATGCACCGGTTTTCGTTTATGACCTACTGGTTTTTCCGGTAATAAGGAAGCTTTCTCATTAACAATGGTCTGGAATTCAGCAGTTAAACTGGGCATGGTCACCAGAAACGCAAGTAACGGACTCGCGGCCGATTTTGCGATGCAGCACATTGATCGGTCCTTCAAAATACCCACTTCCACTCACGTGAGCCCGCCCACACTGTTGGTTTGAGGAGGAAAATTTATAAATCACTGGCAGACTACATTATGTGGTGCAAGTTCTTTTTTTCTCTAATAGTAATACTATCATCTGTATTTATTCTTGTAAAAGAACAATGTGTTGACTAGTTTATTGATCGTGCGGTTAGATGCCAGAAAAGTTCTGGACAATATTCTATGCGTTGAAAATAGTGTGTAACCTCGTCGCACCCAGCAAATTCCTTGGAAATACCGTAGATCCAAAGTTTTACAAGACTTCTTTGACTATTTTTTATTCTATCTCTGATCCGAAATCTGACAATGACTGCAATTGGTGGTTTTTATCGGGTGCAAATAAAAAGCCAATTTATCGATTTACTGTACTTGCATGAGTTTTTAAAATGGTCTCTTTCTTTGGAGGGGGGGTCTACATAGCGTATAGACACGAGAAAATGAATTGTCAGAAAAAAACCGAGGTTTGGAAAATCCAGAATGAAAAAAAGGGGGCAACAATCCCGCTTATATTCTTTTATATACTCTGTGATCACAATACACAATATTTTCTATCTCTACACGTTGGAACAACAAAGTCAATCATGAACTATAAATTTTATGAAGGAACTTGGGAAATATATTTCCAAGCAAGTGCCTATTGACAGCGCATCTTCCGCCAACTTTGATGTTGTTGGTGGTTTACGATTTCTGACTGTGCTATGATCGCATGCAACACGTACAACGTTGCTATTACCACTTATAGTGAACAGGCAAAACATCTTGTTTGTACCATTTTTCTCTCTTCCTTCGTCCGCTCGCCCGACCATACTCCAGCTAACCTACAGTCACTTTTATCTGGTGACTATAAAACCAAGACACAGAACCAAACTCCCGCTACTATCTATCGCTCACGAAGACATTATAAAAACTTGCTATGATCTAACCGATTATAAGCTTCTTTTCATATAAAGTGTAAGTGTTGCCCACTAAAATTGATCTATAACCTCTCGAATAACATCATATATCATAGCTGTTTTTGAGAATAAAATAATTCAAGCTCACTGTCAGGTCTCATTCATGTGCTAAAAATCGCAAATGCACAAAAGCTACGTCACCAAAAAAATGGGAAATTTGTGAAGTTGAAAAACCCAGACAAATGCAAGTGAGGGGACGTCACACTTGCCACATTTGAAAAAGGAAATAGGAAAAAAAAAAACCCAACCTTGTTCAAACCCAAAATTTTTTTTTATTTGCTTGTTTTTGTCATTTCTTTTCACTTGCTTTTTGCTGCGTCCTCTTTGTTGTTATATCCTGGTACTTTTTTAGACATTGCATAAGTATGCCATTATTTCAGTTTCGAAAGACCAAAAAATCGGGTGAGCCTGGCGGTTCAACCGATCTCAAATTACGCAGAACCAAATCCACAGGCAATATCAAAAACCCCATCACGATGCAAGTGACACCGGCGACGGAGCCTCCCTTGACAACAGCCGAGAGTGACAGTGCAAGTGTATCGAGCAGCGGAAGTAACAGTCAAGATGGGTTCCTGCACGTCCCGACCATCTCAACGAGCACCCCGCTCAATAAATCGTGTTCTGAGCCGACCACGCCTCACGATGACAGCCTCATGTCGCGGTTGAACAGCCTTGGCACCAATGACTTGGAACTTTTGTTGTCCCTGGAAACCCAGGCACGCCTGGATGCTTTGGATGAACGTAATCGGATGGCGGCGGCGGCTGCAAGTGAATCTTTAGCGGCCCCACCGCGTCCAACGCGTCTAAAATTCGAACTCCCGGTCACCCCTCCTCGTTCTCGATCGCCCGCGCAGCATCTCGCCTATCCCCGTGCACGTCCATACCGTTCTCTGCCGGAGCAAGGGACTCCGGTGCCAATGGTAAAGAAAGAAAAGCCACGCCCAAGGCCTCGTTCCTCGCGTTGGAGTCGTCTTGTCCGCGGCGATAACCATGGGAACCATGTCACATCACACCAGCAAGAGCTGACCTTGAATGCCAAAGTCAAATTGGTTCGCCGTCCACTGCCGACTTTGGGTCATATTCGTTACATCGGAAATGTGGATTTCGCTCCCGGAAAGGAAATGTTTGGCGTTGAGCTCATCAGCCGTGGTAAGTTGCAATAAGCTCACATATTTGTTTAATTGCATGTCCCCGTGAGTTTATTTTTTTAAAACGTTTCCCATAGTTGGCAATAATGATGGCTCCGTAAATGGTAAGCGTTATTTCAAAACCGACCCTCACCGCGGCATTTTTGTTACCCGGGAGGAACTGGCACTTGTATAACCAAAAAAAAAAAAAAAAGCCAATCAGATAAAATCTCAAGGAGACAGGCACGACAACCACGACTTTTTCGTTAGACTATATACCCCTTTTCTACTCTCGGGAGTGGTTTTGTTATTTTTATTAATTTCATCCCCTCATCTATACTATTTAATCATCATTCAAACATATGGACAGTAACATTGCCTTCATACATCGGTGACGAATCAAGTATTTCGGCTTTTTCAATGTCGAATGGGCGGCAAACAGTATTGACGTTCGCTCAGAAAGGCAAAAAGACATCATTCTTTGTTTTTTCCTTTTTTTTGAGCATATATGATATCAAATGCGTATGCACCAATGCAATTTATTGAACTAGAAAAGTACGAAGAAAAAAACCCGAACCAAACCAAATCCCAACAAAAATAAAGAAAACCAACAAAATCAAATGCATTGAAAGAAAAAAGGCATCACTGAGAAGCATAATTTAAGCAATCATCCATCCATCTTTCTCGTCTTTCCATTTTCTTCTGTGGTCATCCAAGTCAATAGGGAGTTGAGAGGACCGAGAGGAAGCGGATGAGGTGGGTGCAATAGATACGGTGGGTAAGAGTTGTTCTACAGGCATGCTGTGAACGCCATCCCATTCCAAGTCCTGTCTAAATGGCATTGGATGACCTCGCACCCGACGATGAAGACTCGCCACATTGCTTGCAACACTGGATCGAGCGCCCGAGGATGACGGTAGGGCAATATCCGAGAATCGGACACTGCTGTTACTGCGTCGGTGAAATGACCGTCGAGGTATACTGTCATCCTTCCAGTCACCATCGCGTTCCAAATCTATCACGCGTGACATTGATTTTGAATTCCAACTACCATGATCGGTGTAGGTATCTTGCATGCTGACAGGCAAGGTGAGTTGCGGATCATCGGAATCCAAGCTGGGATTATCATGCATAAAATCCGACGGATGTAACGCCGTACTCTGCAAGGTAGATGAGGGAACATGGTTTGCATCGCGAGGAGCTGTGTCCACTTGAATGCCTTGAAAATCGCTGTAACCCCAATGCGAATGATCAGGGAAAAGCGTCTCTTGGTGCGTGTGAGAAGTAGACGAGGTAGGTAAGTGAAGATGTTGTGTGGACGACGGAATGGAGGAAGGATGACCAGCATACGCAAAGTTACCGTATAAATTGTCTTTGCGATGACTGTGGATGGATAAATGATGTTCATTGACCGGTGCCGCATGATTTCTCAAAAACGGTCTCTCGCGAGGAGACCAAGACATATGCATGGTGCCTACGGTGTTGGCCCTTGGACGACCAGCCCCATGGGGCGCTGACCCGGAGGAAGGGAGGATCGGCGATAAATTGACAGATTTCATCGTTGCCGACGAAAATCGATCTTCGGTGTCATGCTCCCGGATGGGTTCGGGAGGGTCAAGAACGCGTGGAAACGGCAAACCTGTGTAGGATCCAAGCGGCTGATGATGAAGATTAGGATTCGGAGGAGCGTGAGAAGATGATGAGGTCCCCATCGGCCGCGATGCGGACTGTTGGAATTCGGGCAAATTGGGAAAGGTAGGCGACATGAACGGTTGCGAAGCGTAACCTTTCATGGGCGGAGGGGGCTGTTGCGCGGGCGCCGAGTGGTGCACCATGATATTAACGTGATTGGGATCGGAATAAGGGATGGGATTGGTGACGGGTGAAGACAGGTTGGTCATGGTGGGTTCCTGTCGCGGAATGTAAGGTGGTTTGAATGGTGCTATAAATGGCTCTCCGGTAATAAAAGGATGCTGCTTCGCTTGCTGAGGCGACCATCGTTCAAAATGATTCAAATTGAGTAAACCTTGCAAAAAGTCGATAAAGGCTAATCGCGTTTGCTTTTCTGTAATAAATAAAACATTGGACATAGGGTGGGGGATGTTAAGTCCGGCTTGTCAGTATATAAAATTATCGAGATAATAAAAGAAAAATCACCTTTTTCAACCTCTTTGGACGTTAAAGATTCTTTACGAATCATTGGATAGCTGAGAATGAGTTCTGAAAGAGTCTTTGCTGAAAAGTAGCGCTTGGACGGTTGTTCCGTTTTCCCTTGTTCTCTTGAATATTGTGACAAGGACCGTAGACGATACTGCTTTTTTCCATGGTCATCTGAATATCGTTCAAAATATTTGTGTGCGTTTTTCCCCATCTCAACCATATACGTCGGAGGCACACTAGACGATGGTTTTAGCGAAATGATACATAAATAGTAGCAAATAAAGCAACGTACCCAAGCATTTCGACAATACGCGATATTTGGTTGTACTCTGAACTACCGGGAAACAACGGTAAGCCTAGGAAAAGTTCGGTGGCAATGCATCCAAGTGACCACATATCGATAGCGCTGGTATAAGGCAATCCGAGAAGCACTTCAGGGGAGCGGTAAAATCGTGACTGAATGTAGGTATAGGTGGTTCGCATCTCTTCGCATGCTGAACCAAAATCAATGACTTTGATCGTAGGTGTTTCTAGACTAAAAATACACAAAATGATTAAACGAAACGACGATGGGCTATTTTTGGACGAAGTTGTTGTGACCCTTCTGATGGCTTACTTTTTCAACAAGATATTCTCGGGCTTTAGATCACAATGAATTATACGAGCCTCGTTTAGTACCGTCAACGCGTCGAGGATTTGCGCCGTAAAAACGCGTACGAGGTTCGTTGATAATCCTCGAAACTGATTCTGTTTGATGAGTTCGTAAAGATTGACAGACATGAGTTCGAAGACAAGGCACAGATGATTGCGAAAAATGAAGGTGTCCCTCAGACGTAGGATGTGATGTCGATCTTCCACATCATAACATTGATTCAGCTGAGAAAAAAAAAAGATCGAGCCAGATGAGAACCTTATTTCCCCTGCACAGCAATGGATCACACAATTCACAGAGCTTACCGTCTTCAAAATGGCCACTTCCATCATACTTTGTTGGAAATAGGCTGGTTTATTCTTGACCACTTTGACAGCCAACATTTCCTGCGTTTTCATGTTCCGGCACTTAACCACTTGACCGAACGTCCCCGCTCCCAGCACATCTAGAATGATATATCTGTAGAAAAATTAGAATGGAGCATCGTTTTACGCAAGCCAGCACGCATCCGCAAAATGAGTAGAAAAATACATACTTGTGACCTTCTGCATTCCCCAGGATATCATTGACGTATAAGATGTAGTCAAAATCTTCGTTATCGTAACCATCATTGCCACATGATTTACTAGGCTTGGTCAACACTCGACGAGGATTGCGGGTGGAGCTGTACTGAAAGCCGACATTACACGCTCGATACGTGGTATTCAGACGTTGCGTTAATGAAATCAAAGGCTACAAAGAAAAATGAGATTAATAAAAACACAATAGGCATGGTGATTCAGAGGGATCACATGTTGCAAGATGATAACACAGAAAATCATAAACAAAAACGAAGAAAACCAAGGTTGACATACATTGATACGAGGTAAATATCGATTGTAGAGTGGTGGTTGAAGACTGTTGTGACGCACTTTCCGAAAAGCTCCCGAGTATTCTGATGGAGAAGGGTGGGCTGGAGATACATCATATGCCGGTTCTTCTGGTATAGCGACGGAGGTGGACCGCATAGGTGAATTGGAGCAAGGTAAGAGGTGCGGAGACGTATTTTTGAGCGAGGTGGGCGTCATTTGGTAGCGAGGAGAGTGAGGAGAGTTGGCGAGTGAGGTGGAAGTGGTTGCAGAAAAAGACGGTTTAGGATTAGGCAAGTGGTGAGTGTTGATAGTAGGTAGTGTAACGGAAGCATGACGAGACAACGAAGTAGTAGCATTACTGTGAGGCTGAGTTTCGGACGTTGTGGGAGATTGTAGGTGAGTTGACTTTGTGCGTTGATGGTATCTCGTGCGGTTAACAAAGCCGTGAAAAGAATGACGATAATCGGGAGGTGGTGGAGGAGGAGGAATGGAGTTGTGCGGAGGACTAAGGTGGGGTTTAGGTGCGTCGTCCTGATCGTGGATGGTAATACCGATATAGTTTGTGTCTTGGGTTAGCATATACGGTTGAGGCGGCGGAAGCGGATGAGACTGTTTGTAATTAGTATCGTCATTGGGCGAATGAAGGGAATCCATTGAAAGAAGGAACGGAAAGAAGACAATAGAGACAAGGTTTCGATTAGTCAAAGACTAGTCAATAAACGAAGAAATGGACGAAGGAAGAAAAAAAAAAAAAGAAGTAGCAGGGCAATACAGAATGGAAATGCTAGTCAAATGGTAGAAACAAAAGTGAGTGAAAGAAAAGTAGTAAGAAAAAAAAATATAAAATATAAAAAAAAGGAAGAATAATATAAAAAAAAATACAAATAAGTATAAAAAAGAATATAACTGCTCTTTCCGTTCTACCACACAAAGGGAGGAGGGCTGAAAGGGAGGTCTTTGAAAAGAGCTGAGCTTGCAAAAACGGGAACATCGTTTGACTCTTTCTGTCAATTCATCCACGCTGCGCCTTGTGACGGGTTTCTGGGGAAACCCCTCCAAAAAATAACGCTTCCACTACTCCGCCGTCAACCCATCCCATACCAAGTTACCTTTTTCATTCTCGATGCCTCCTCGACTGCAAGCAACCCCGATTCCCACTCAACGTCCTCTCCAAAGCGAAATCTTACTGCTGCATAAATTGCTCAGTAATGTAAGTTGGCTGTCCTTCTGGCAAAACCTCAATCCCCCTAGTTTTTTTCCACTCTATAATTTTTTTTAATAATTATGCTGGTCTCAGGATATTTTACAACAATCAACGCGCATTCTAGACCACTTTACTGTGTATGTCATTTGAATACCTTTTTGGAATCGCAGTTTGTCTCATCTTATTTATCTGTTTCTCGCGCCAGTGAACGGATAGATTCAGCATCCGCCCAGCATTTGAAAGATGTCTTGTTACAAAAATGTGCCGATTTCGAACTTGTATGCGATCAAATATACTATATACTGGTAGGTGCATTCGGGTGGATTTACCAATGACGAGCAATGACTCAACAGACGAAAAAAGGAACAATCGAAACGGGTATTACAACTGGATAAAGAACAAAAGTTGATACAGCAGAGAGCTGAACAGCAAAAGCAAGATCAGCAACAGCGGGACGGCGAAGCGACCCAAGAACAGACAGTCGAAGCCTTGGATACCGATTTAACCATGGGTTATGATTTATCCATGGCAGTGGACGGAACACAAATGATGGATACCGACTTGACAGATCAACCTCCGAATCCGTCACAACAGCAACAAGGGGAACCGATGGAGGAAGAGGATTTGGAAGAATTATTACAGCTTCAAAAAGAACGTATGGAGAGATTACGGAATGTGGTAATCTATGGAATGGATGCAGAATCACTCAAATCCAAAGGCGATAGAGGCAATGAGGATCTATTGTTTTAATGATATTCAAATTGTATATAATCATCAATCAAATGAGTTGGCTTCAATGAACATTTTTTATTTAATGGCTGGCGGCACTGTCACGAAATTTGGTGATCACTGTGGAATAAGGCAGGCTGTTAGTACGAGTTTTTCTATATGGCATACTATCATTCTTTGATCCATTACCTCGTTCAATGCCTGCAAGACCCTTCTTTAATTCCTCCATTGGAGGACCGAAACTGAGTCTCACAAAGTGATGACAAGGAGACTCAAAGAGCTCACGACGGTTGGCAGGCTAAGAATGGAAATATGAGCACTCGTATCACTGCATCCTTTTTTTTTCACAACTTACATTGACATCAAAGAATATACCAGGCACCAAAATACTAAAGAACACGAATGTAATGAATCTTTGTATCACAACATACATGCGTGTGTGCAGTGCATCACTTACACTTTTTCCTGCAAACACTCTTCAAAAAAGTTGAGACCAATATTGATGGGTGATGGCAGTCCACTGAGATCCAGCCAAATATAAAAGGTGGCTTGCGGAGGAACGCGCACCTTGAGTCCCATTTCTTCCAGTCGCTGAAGAACGTAGTCGCGCTTGCTACGGAAATGAACTTGGAGATACTTGGCCTCGTTTTTATATACGGCAGGATCAAGCAGAGGAAGAGCGGCTAACTGCAATGGATGGTTCGCACCGCCTTCCAAGAACGAACCAGAACTTTGCATGGAAGAGATCACGCTTTTTGGTCCCACAATCCAACAAACACGCCATCCAGGAAGCTATACTCTCCTTTTATCAGTCTCCTGTCACTCAATCCTAGCTTGAACCTTTTTTTTCGATACTTACTCTAAAGTTCTTTGTCAAGCCATCAATAATGATCACCGGATCATTATCCACGTCTTTTTTAAATACAAAAAAGATAATTTCATGTGAATTCTTTGCCTTTTCTTTCATTGGTTCCACTTGCTTTTTAATACCTTGAACGTATTCAGCAATGCTCACTGTGCGTCCATTTTCCGATTCGTCATGAGAGTAGATGTAGGCCGAGTAGAATTCATCCATCACCAATGTCGTATGACGCTCTCTCGCGACTTCGACCAAGTCTCGCAATTCATCCCCTTCTATCAATTGACCGGTAGGATTGCGGGGATTAGAAGCAACAATCAGGCCAAGGCCGCGACCTGAAATCTCTTTGCGGATAGTGGCCGGATCGATGTGATAACGAGTCTCTTCATCGAGAGTCGTGGGTATAGGGACAAAACGCTTGAAAACAGACAACATTTGTTCATAGGCAGTATACTATTCATTTCATCGTAAGTTCTCACTCACCCATTATATCCCAGAGTGTATTATGCTCCCTACCTCTGGCAAGAAATATCCAACATTAATATCTCCAATGGTAGACGCGACGCGTGTCAATCCTGCACGACCACCAGGAACAATGCAAACCTGTGTAAAAATAAAAAAGATTAAATTATCGAGTGATTACAAATACAGCCTTCAAAAAGAAGACGCACATTTTCGTAAGTGTACTTGCTCGCTTTGTCCTTGCGATAAACGTCATTGTACAGGTCAGCCACCTTAGCACGAAGTTCTTTGATGCCTGCGGTGGGAGCATACTCAAACGCTGACACGGGAATTTCAATATTGGTAGGCTTATCACTGCAACCATCAATATGACCCACTAAACGAAAAGAGAACAAGCTAACCATGCTTAGTTTCATTTTTCCTAGTATGGATGATTTCATTTTGGCGTACCTTCAGGAGCTCCTTGACCAAAATTGGCTGTCCGCAGATAAATGAAACAAATCGAGTCAGTTTAAATCCATCCCAACAAATTAACAGCACAAACGGTTATATTTACCCCAGGAGCTGTCACCATAAGTAAAGCCATTCTGCATCGCTCGATCCATTACATAGATAACGCCCGTAGAACCAGGATGATCGATACCGTAAATCTTGGCCGCTTCTTTGGCCTGGCCTGCTTTGTTCGCATTTCCGGGATAACTTCTCAAGGTTTGATGGGCTCCCGAGTCGGATTCGCTACATCGTTAAGACAGACATAAGAGAACAAATCGTTTCTTAAAACTGCCGTGTCATCCACCGAGCGTTACCTGCGGACTTGTTGGACCACTTTTTGAGCGATATCATAGAAATGATATTTGCCTTTGCCGGTTGTTCCGTTTTTCTGAGCCTCAGTTTGGGTCATGGTGAAAAATGATGAAAGAGTGTTGATAAAGATACAATGTGGAATTTCTTTGTCCCATTTTTATATAATGGCCTCAAGAATTACTGTCCGTGCAACAGATTTAACTGAAAAAGGAAGCCCACTGACGGCATAGCATTCAAATGCCGCATCACGCGTTCTGCAACTTGTCGCCACTTCCGAATACAGTATGCATACAATGAGCGTATTGACGTCTACGTTTTCATACAACATGACGCCCTTGAGATGTGTCCGGTTAGTCTTTAAGTTGAAGAGCAAGTTGCTGGCGACGGCTCCCGCCATTCAATAGCGAATGACGACAAACATGAACGGATCGTCGAGCGGACTTTTGAAACATGATTAACATATTTTTATTCAGGCTTGGAAGCTGCAACGTATTTGTCTGGGCTGAGGCATGGCCATAATAGCGCAATAAATATCCTATTTATTTCACTCTCTATGTGATGAATCATATTGGATACGAATGACATCCATGGAAGCTGCCAAAACCGATGTGAAATTCACACTCCGAGAAAAGGGGCTCGTACTGCCAACTGACATCCAGGACAAGCCAAATCAACAGCAAAGAAGTATTTTTTTTTCTTGCGAAAACCACTGAATAACCAATCATGTATCTTACTAAATTGCCAATCTAAAAAAGTATGAGAAGCTCTCGACTGATGGTCCTTCTAGATTTTTGTTATGTTTGCAGTCTCTATGGCAAGTCTAGATTACGTTTTAGATCCATAGCAGCAAATGATCACACACTAACACATGGATAAATTTTACCCATAAAAGTAACCATAGGTTACGGGGTTCGATGATTATCACCGGTTTGGATAACCATTCAGTAACCCTTTTCAAGATTAAATTGCCATTAAGGTTTTTGCCGAGCGTGTCACGCAATATAACGCCATATGTACACATAGTGACCTGCTTGGCATACTATAAAGCATGAAATACTTTTTCAACAGAAACAATAATCTTGGCTGATCATTTATATCGCTTATAGAGTACTGCGTAAGAGAAAGTAGATGTGGATAATTCGGACAAACGATCAAAAATGGACTTGAAATGAATGAAAAGCAGGAACAGAGTTTTTCCGAAAGGTCTCAAAGCGGTGTATCAATGATCCGTACGATTGATCGGTGTAACGACAGTCGTTGTCAATCAAGCTGAAGCGGCAATAATACGCGCTGGCATCAGGAGCTATGTGCAGATGGCCATGCCCACTCATGTGGCTCGATTCACTCTTCCTGGCTATGGAATAACCGCTGTGGGATTCCCCACAACAGCATCTGGCCAGTTGAGTGGTTCATAACAATCTTTACGCGCGCGTACCTTGCCGATGAATCGGTTGCCCTCAATCACGGCATTGTTTGGGAATAAGGGATCGTATGCGTTTGATCGTTTGTTCTCTTTTCAACCATGAGGAAGCCCTCAACGGTTTTCATGCAGAAGGAGAAACGTGTGGGATACAGTGCCAGTTGTCCCTTGACAGTTTCTTTAACAGCGGCTTTTCCAGATTAGATAAAGGCTGCTTTTTAAAAGATACTTCGTGTTCTCGGATGCATCTGTTGTTGGCGTTATAAGCTGGAAACTCGTTCACAGTGGTGAAAAAAAAAATCGGACATCAAGCATTCAAATTTCTTTATTCGTCTTTTTATCGGCGCCCAGTGCATGAAATTGCCTCCAGAGTTGGACGAATAGCCCTTTTGTCAAGAAATTCAGTGCCCTTAATGGGACAAAGCGCTGTCAGATATTGTCAGTAATCCAGAAAAATGGGAGCGTCATTTATCACTGAACAAGGCAAGTATTTCCATAATAAATGTCTCTATCTCAACAGTGCACGATCCTGTGTGCTGATATGGATAGCCACTTCGTAACCCTTTTACAAGTCTAAATCGTCATTAAAAAGTTTTTATGCACTGTCGAGCGAGCGAGGAAACCAATGATTCGTGACATGCATGATGAAAGCGTTTGGCATACTATGGCACATAAATACTATTTTACAGGAGACAGCAGGATAGTCCTGGCCACTCACTGTGTCGGTGGCAGAGCGATTGGGTGCTCTCTACGAGAGCCACCTGTGACCTTGTTGGTGGAAAGGATCAAAACCGGACTCGAGTGAGAAGTGATATCTTTATGGGACAGGCTTTTTTCGAAATGCCTTGACAGCGGTGGTCATGGTCCGCACGATAGGTGCAACGAGCCGTTCGACCACCGTCGGTGTGAGGAAAGCCGAAGCGGCAATACGCGCTGGCATCAGTAGCTGTTGAAGTTTATCAGTACATCTTTGGTTACTGTGCCCATTCGTGTTTTGGTTCGCTCACCTTGACAATAGCATAGGTTGCTGTGAGATTGACCATGGTAGGATTGTTCAGGTCGAGCGGATCATAACCGTAACGCACGCGTACCTTGTTGATAAACCGATTGCCTTCAGCCACGACATCTTGGGGAACAGGAATCGTATACCCTGATGCTTTGATGCCATAGTAAATGATCGGAAATGGTACAATGGCTGTCAATTCATGCAGGACAAGAAATGTTGTGGTGTACGATGCCGGTTTATCTTTGAAAGCTTCCTTATAACGGCGCCAGCCCTTCAGTTCGGAAGTGGATTTGGACGGTGTTGTGAATGTGCGACGAGGGACAACCGAGCTCCGTCTGCCTACCGTTGCTGCGTTATGTGCGACTCGTAATAAACTGCTTGAAATTGTCGAGTTCATTTTACGTAGTTCTTTTTTCGAGTCCTTGAGGAACGAGGAAGCAATCTGCTTTGCTGTAACAGGTTGAGTTTTTTCACTGTGCCAGAGAAAAATGGTCGGAACTCGAAATTGTATCCCGGGTCCTCGTTGACACGATAGGATCATGACGTTGCAAAGGCGATCGAGTCTCATAATAGTATGTTACCACGATCCATGTACCGTCATTGCATAATACTACATTTTTTGTAAGGAAAGAGCGTCATGGAACAACTTGCGCAATTGTTGTACACACACTGAACGATGATACGATCAGACAGCGAGGACCGAGAATACATTTGCTTGCACCATAAACCAGAAACCGATGGACGAAAAACAAAAGGCAAAACAACTTTGATCGGTCGATTCATTCAACATGTAGGAAGGATACTTTATTCTTTTTACTTGCATGCAGCTCATATTTCTTTTTTCTTTCCATGTTTTTTTTTCTGGCATTGCGCTGTATTTAAGAGCCATCATTTTACTTGAGCAGCAGTGATACTACAACCAACTTCATTTGCACCCTAGCCTATTATTCATTGTCGTGGCTGCGGTTTGCAGACAGACTCCTTGAAGATCAGGGACTACACCTTTGAGTTAAGTTGTTGGAGGTCAGCACGATGGCTTTTGGCCTAATCAATTCTTATATTTCATGTGCTCTATCCACATTTACTTCATATCGCTCGACTGCCGTTATTTTTCTGTTATTATTTGATGAATCTGAACATAGTTACAGTAGGGTCAAGTGTAGCTATCCACTTTGCATGGGATTCGATCCTTCTATTGAGGTCTTTTATAACTTCACTGTGACGTTGACCGTAATCTTCCATATTCGTGGGGGAGCGTTGATTGCCGAGAAAGGTATACCGAAGAAAAACAGATTGCTGATTTAAAAGATCATCCCTTTGCTAACAAAAGGAGGCGGGTTCAAAATCATCCAATCATGTCTCCGCGGAATATGGCACTGCACAACATGCTACCTGGCGCTTTCATTATTGTACCCGAGTAGACATGCACACAAGGAACAAAATTCGCGATTGTGGGCGTAAATTTAATCCAAGTATATTTGCTTTCTTTTTCTCTCTCTGAGTTTTGATTGGATGTGTTCTGGTGGTGAACGTCGTAGTGGACCCTACGATATGACAAACTCACTGGCAGTCGAGTCGAATAAACGATGAGATAGTTGCAAGAACGGATGGCTCCAAGGGGAGACGTATGTTTATTCTAAAGTTGGTTATTCTCTGTTCTTCTTCGTGGTAAAAAAAAAGTTGGAGGATTCAAGGAGACACCGTTGATTGGTGGAATGGAAACCCATTGGATAAGGTTTGGTGTTTGCGTGTGTGCACAAAACACATTCTGCCACAGAGATCGTGCTCTTAATTAAAAGGTCCCCTAAACTACCTTCTTTTCCATGTTACTATTCAACACCCTTTGAACAACCCCCTTTTTCCCCCTTAATGAAAAAAAGGTGTGGCCTCCTTCATTACACTTCAAGTGCTAAGCACACCATAATGAGCGGAGCACACCTTGCAGTAATCAATATTTAGCAATAAAGAAAAAAAAAACACGCACATACATCGACCCACATCGATCCACAGTTTCAAATCCCGTGGAAAACTGGAAAAAAAAAAGGTGGTGGTTATACTCGGTCAAGGAGTGGATCATGTTTATTGTACGAAATGGCCGTAAACGACCATGCATTATTACCGCTGATTTTGAATTCACAAAGTGACACATCAATCACATACCCATAATAATTATACACGCACACACACGGAAAGACGTACACGTCCATCCGTGTACTAGAACAGTGATAACCAGTTTGGGATCCTTTTTTGCATGCAAAAAGAAAAAAATCGAAAACAGGCTACTATTTTTTTGGTTTAAACGGAACAGGTGGGTGAAGAAGACGATGACCGAGTAGGATGACTTAGGTGAATTTTCGCATGGCGTCGCAAATTGCTCACCACCGAGAAATGACGTCCGCAACCTTCAACAGGACATTTGAACGGTTTCTAAAATGAATCAACAAAACCAAAACCCTTTTATGAGACATCACGGGCTTCAGAGAGATCACTGAGTATCGGCGGCTTACCTCGCCAGTATGGCTGTACATGTGTGTTGTCAGCGAGCTTGGACGGGTGAACTTTTTGCTGCACAGCGAGCATTGATATTTTTTGGTTCCCGAGGAGGAAGTGGTAGCCGAATGGAGTTTGGGAAGAAAGGAAGGTAATGGGCCAGTTTCGGATCCAGTGGTCGAAGGAGAAGACGATCGGGACGTTGCCAATGAAGAACGACGTTTGGTGTGGAACGCGGGTTGGTTCACTGACAAATAAGTTGGTGAATGGCTTCGGGCCGAATAATTAGGATGACTATTGCTTGCATATAATACTGGATCTTGATCCAACGAAATTTTGCACATCCATTCATGAGTACAGAGAATATCAAATGAAGACTTTGCAATAAAGAAAAACTTACCGGGTGAATTGGATGAACACATCGCCTGATAAGGATGACTACCTACGGTAGGGTAAGCGAAACGATGATCGTAAGGAGCTGTCAGGGCGTTGGGACTCGATAACCGCATGGCAGAATTGGAAGTATGTAAATGCATGATAGGACTGGAGGACTGGGTTGAGGAAGGGAACGACGAGGCCACTACAGGAGGTTCACAAGCGCTTCGGGAGATCATCAGATTTTGACGGTTATTGCATCGCCACCATTGTTCAAACAGAGGTTGGTCGTTGCAATAAGGAAGTGTCGCTGGATTGGTGGCCGAAGTGAGCGGATTGGTTGTGTAACAAGAAGGCATCGAAGGGAATGGCATGCCATTCACCTGCTGCTGCTGTTTCATGGGGATGGATCGTTGCGGGTGGGGGGTGGGGGTGGTAGTGGTAGTAGTGTTTAGCGACATCACTCCGTTATTCCAGGCAACCGGGTGAGTAGATGCATGCATCATGGCCGAGGTTGTCGTGGTTGCAACGTATTCTTGCGGAATGATTTGCCCACGCTTGATCGGATAATTTGATCCGATGTCGCTGGCGATTCCTCGATTTTTCGAAACCGGTATGGGCTCGGAAAAGTTGACATCCAGGCTCATAGCGGGATACACGGAGAGCATTCAGAAAGGAGTGACACGGAAAGAAAATGGTACAAAGAAAAAAAAAGAGAGTAAGACGAAAAAAAAAAAAAAAAGAGAGGAAGTTTTTTTTTTTTTTTTTTCAGGTGAAAAGGGGATGCGATAAAGTGTGTGCAGGAGGAGGAGTAAAAAGAAATGAAAAAAAAAGATAAGGTGAGATTCAAGTATACAAAAAGAAGCAGTTTCCAGCTAGCCGGATACTAAGAAAAATCAAAGAAAACGAACTCGAGAATGAACGGCACGCCGTTTGGATCGAATATGAAAAAAAAAGGAAATTGAATATCTACAAACAAATGAAACGAAAATAAAAAGAGAAAGAGAATCAACCCTTTCAAATCTTTTTAAATGGTTTTTTTTTGGGTCTCTTTTTTCTGGAAGAGAAAGAGTGAAAAGAGTTCAAAGAAAAAGAAGGAAAAAAAAGATTAGCTTTTTGGTTTTGCAAGATAAGAGAAGCTTTTTAAATCTATCAACAAGGTTTGCATGGAACTTGGCTTTATTTTCTAGACTTTTTTTTCCTCTTAAAAAAAAAGTAAAAAAGCTAGGGGTCACTTTTCTTTGACTCAACATGAGGAGTCGAGAAATACAAAATGTATGAGGTCAACCGTGTTTCTGGGGGGAGATAACGAGAAAAAAATAAAAAGGTAGTTCGGGGAAACAAAGCGAGTGAGAGCACAAAGGGAAGGTGGGTGGAGGAGACAGCTTTTGGGAAGGGACATTGTAGCACGAGACTTATTCAAAGTGGCAGAGCCAAGAGTGGAGCTTGCATGCCAAACAGGTTCAGCAAAAAACTATACAAATGGCCCTGTTATTGAACTATAAATAGGGCTCTTGTCCAACCCGAGTTCAGAGTCGATGTTTTTCCTGATCAGGGAATCGACGCGATGATGAAACGCACTGGCACACCTTTTTTTATTCATCCAACGCCACCAATTTCCATTTTCGACGCTTATTCCAGCCACTGAAACACCCGTATTCCCACACTTCAGTGATCTTTTTTACATCTCATCATTCATCGTCCGTGAGTAGGGCGATCATTCACCCACTGTGAAACAACTATGTACGAAAGACAACAACATCCGCCTTAGCAAGAGATGACAAAGGCATTGGTGGATATTCCATGTGTCGAATAGAACTTGAATACACTAATAATAATAAAAAATATAAATGGGTAATGGTCCAGGTGCTTTACCGTACATGAAGGAAAAAGATCAAACCGTAATCTATTCTTCATTTTCTATTCATCAGTGACTCACAAAAGTAAGCACAGAAGAAAAAATAAGCTGAAGGGATGTTTAAGGAGAGATTGCTTTTAATTCATAAATCTTTCCGTCACTGGCGGCCACAGCCAAATTTATGTTTGGTTTGGCCAAAAACAAGGTAATGAACCGAGGAACAGGCACGTCTTTTAGTACAAGGGCAAGGGATGACGTAGATGCGGGCTTCTCACTGATACATTTTTCACCCCCTGCTTCTATGCTGTTTTATCTGTTCATTATCCTGTGCAGCAAAGTTTTTTTCGATATATTGGGTGATGTTGTAATCTTACTCATAACAAACCGTATTAGCATTCCGTGGCCGCCACTTTGTTGGTGAACACTGCAGAAATTGGGTGCAAACAATTTGATAATTGTTGTATTTCTCTATGTTTTTGCAATGAGAATTAGGATCACCAATGCCTTTCACTCTGTGACAGTGAAGGAGGCTAGTCGGATGCCTCTCCACATACGAGTTATTTCTCCATGCTAAGTCATGTCGTCACTCATTTAAAACGGTTTGAATTTGCCTATGATTTTGGATCAAGCAATTGCCTGTAGTGCCATAGCCTTTCTCCGAAGCATCATGGACTCCCATGAGCGGGTTTCCGCGGATGGTTACTGTTTGTGAAAATACCACAACAATTTGTCCATCCTTAATTGGCCCATACAATATGATAGGATAACATATGATTTCCTTATGTGATTATAATCAAAACGAAAACAAAAACATGTACGATCAATTCCACGGATCCTTTTCTTTGGCTTGTTTTCCTTTTTAAAATGGCGGGCCATTTTAAGATGTATTAGAAGTATCAAATAATTTTGTGATCAAAAACTGTATAATGAACTTCGAATTCAATATCATCAACAGTGCGTGTGGTCGTTGTATCATAAGATGACAATATACAGTCCATGTTTTAGTGACACTGTATTATCTGACCTCTGTACAGGCAGAGGATTTCAGTTGCAATAAAAACGAGTCAACAATCAAGGGGAAATGACGGAACGAAAGAGAACTCAACGAAAAGGAGATGAATGCAGTGCTCTAAGTGACGAACAGTCGGCGACCTTGCAAGCGAGCAACAGTCGACAAAAACGCCTCATAGCTGACCGACTGGATTTCGTCGTGCTGGCAAACATGATACCAAGGACCGTGACAGCCGATACAACGCCACCAATTTCCAATTCTTGAACCTCGATGAAGTCAATGCCCAGCAATGCCACATCAATTTTTCGTTGGTATTTGCGAAGCATCAAATGGTGCCATGGTCAAGCGCAAACTCAAAATTGGAGCCACGAATATGAACGTCCTGTCGACCATATCCGCCCGTATTGGCTCCAAGCTTGATGTCAATATTGACCCAGAGACAAACTGATGCCGTGATCAATCTTTCTTTTCATGGACCTATAACAGAATAGATAAGCTTTTAGATCAAGAATGGTTTGAGTTGCAAATAAAAGCAATTGACACTAAAGCCGGAATGCGCAAATTGACTGCCACCGTCAAACGCCTGGTCAAACCATGGTTTCCCAGTGGTAAGACGGTTATTGCCGACTCGGGTTCGGCTCCCCGGAAATGGTGCAAATGTTGAGTGGACTTGGCCTGTTCTCGATCATGCTAGTAACCAAAGGCAGTTCTGGCCTCGTGGAATGCCAGCGTATGATGTGCTCGAAAGTCTCGGTGAAGATTGTGATAGCTACTTTACGGCAACAAAGATGATGCAGGATGTAAAATGCTCCATTGCGCCTATCGAGATAAGAAAGCCAAAGTATTCGTATCTAGCTGTGGTACTACACGCTTGGCTGGCTCAAGACAGTTCTGGATATTAATGGCTCTGTCAAGACATTTCAAAGGCCTGATGTCTTTGAAGAATATGAGCGTCATAAAAGTTAGCAAAAATCGATGCTTCAACACATCAATGCAAGAAAAATACATTAATCAAGTTTTGCTTTACAGGTTCAGTTGATTTTGCAAACAGCAGGCGTGATTACCTGTCTTCCCACCATGATGTTATACCGACCGAACGTTGGGAGATGCGTTTTCTAGGGTTTATACTGCAGTTGTTGAAGCTAATGCTTTCAGCAGCTATAACGCGTTCGCTGATGGAGAAGGGCGTATATTACATGGCACCTTCAAGGACACACTGGCTTTTACTTTGTTGAAACACTGTGAAGGATTAACCAACACTGTAGCACCAACCAACCCAAAGAGAATCTTGCGAAGTGCTTATCGACATGAGTACATTTCCATGAAGTATGATCAGGGTAATAGCCACAAACGATTAGTATGTCAACCATGCTTTAAGCGTGGTCACCATGGTGTCATAGTGGAGCACAGGTGCAGTTGTGACTGCGACATACCAATGTGTAAACATTGCCATCTGCTGCATTTGCGTGAAGTTGGATTAAACTACATATAAATCAGTAACATCTATTCAAATAACACCGAGAAATACGGTATACTGATGGATTTAAAAGCTTTCAAAAACTCGACCCATTTGGGCCGATCAATTTATGTAAAGAAGCGGCCACCGACAAACTTCATCACTTGTGATATAGTAGACTATAATGCAAGCAAATCATTCACTGATGAGGGTAGCGAAGGGCATGTATACTAAAAATTAAAAGTCTCAGAGTGTTCTGGCATCGATCTATGGTCATGGTTAATTTAAAGACTTCGACCCAGGAGCTTCCACTACCGAAAAAAAAAAGAGTGGCCATCCCAATCCTTTTGGTTTTTTTTTGTTCTCCTCTTTTTTATCTTTCTTTTTTTTTTCGTCCATTCTCTTTCTTATTTTCTTGTTTTCTTTTTTTTCTTTTTATGTCTTCCATTTCTCTGTCCTGTATATCTTTTTTTTTCCTCTTGCGTTCTTTCTTTTATGTTTTCCATTCTCTTTAGTTTTCCTCCTCTGTTTTTTCTTTTTTTGTCTTTATCATAGATTTTTTTTTTTTCATTCATAATAAATTCTTATTAATTGCGTCCTCATTCTAATCTGTTGCCATGTCATCACCACCATTTTAAATCAGAGTTTACTGGTCACTAACGGGTTACCGAGTCGGGCCAGCGGTTGACCCTTGATGTCAACGGGTAGGGTCAGAAAAGGTCAACCCGAACCGTAAAAAAGCTCGGTTCGCTTTTGGGTATCCTTTTGGTTATCCTTTTGGTTATCATTCATCGGTCGGTACACACAGGCGATCGAAGACGTCCATGAGACACAAGATTGTCGATATGTCCATGATCAAATGTGAGAGACTTTGCAGGCTATCCGGAATCTTAACTTCGGCCAGTTGTAGCAGGGTGTAGACTTCTTCTGCAGGCAGCAGCAGAACGTAAAATGTCAGAGTACGGCCCACGATTTGAACCCCCAGGACGCCATCCAAGCACTGTTTATCGAGGGACTCTTTCGATAGGAGGGCCACTCTGAGCAAGTCCATGCACACCAAAAAATGATCGTTATCTCGCGCAGCGGGTTTCGCTTCGCCATATCCACAGTCGGCGCCCCATTTTTCACCGCATGACTTTGTGATACATAGGTCTGGACAATGGTCAATGCAGCTATTATTTTGCTTTGCCTCCATGGTGGTTTCATTAGTCCGTCGGAGGTACACGCCGTTGTCTGGATCGTCAAATAGGCCCATTAAGAGTGGGTCTACAAAGCGCGTACACAGCTCTGTCTCGTTGATGTCCTCCACTATGGGAAACCTCGGTAACTTCATGATCAGCACGCTCAATCCTTTAACAAACTTGAATGCATTGCCTTCCTGGGCGAGTGATTTCATAGATTTTCTGCTTGCGTCCTGCTGAAACTGCCCCGGACCAACTTATCCAAGATTCCAAGTAAATCACCAACCATGTTCAAGGGCGTCGGTGGTGGCTGGATGTCATACATCATTTTGACCGAGCTAATGGCAGTGTTCCAATCTTTGAGATCGAAGAAGTGTTTGATTTTGTCCAGATATTTGTTCGGTGTCAGTAGTAAAATTGACGTCGCGGCCAGTACCACATGCACATGTTCTTCGAGGGAGACTTTCCACTTACACTGTTTGATTGAACTTTGCATTTTGTACAAAGCTTCAGAGATATCAAATTTGCCAGCCATCAAATGCTTGCCTGGTGGATGTCCAAAAGATAAATCGAGGGTGAGCAGTTCATCGTGAGAACGCTTGACAGAAGTGCTACCCTGTGTCGTATAGATAGGGCTCATATGCAACTACATAAGAATTACCTCGGTTTAAGCAGATAAGAGACACTAGAGTAGTTACACACTATTTGTACATTTAAATCCCGATACCACTTATTATCCTTGAATACCAGATACTAAAGAGATCATCTCTTTCGAGAATAAACAACAGTCTCACCGTACTCAACGTCTCTACCCATCTATATCACTGCTTTAATCTTCATCACGTTTTCCTTCTGCATAGACTATGCTCGATTGACCCAACGCACAAAGTTGTCTCGGAGCAAGCTTGGAACCAATACGGGCGGACATGGGCGACAGAACGTGCAACGATCGATGAGACCAGATAAGCTTGATAATCGTACGTTCTTAAGCGCACAAACGGATGCTTAATCCACGAGATTGTTTTGCGATTCCGTGGCGATGATGGACTTTTCTTCAATACATAGTTGGGCTACGACGTCTGCGGGCAGCGAGTGTATATCATCGTCGTGAAAAGGAAGATTACTTGCAATCAGTTTCCGCTGTTTCCGTCTCTAATAATCCGGTAGGGCAAACGTTCTCTCTTAGCGGCAGAGTATGAGAAAATGTAGGGCAACAGGCTCACACTCCAAATCCTGTGGTCAAATGACGTGACCTTCCGGGTTTCCGATCTTGCGGTTATCCTCGTTCTCGTTGGCCAAAACCGAAATTTTCCCTTTTGATGCTGGTTTGCCATATGAGCTTTGAATGTGGCTCACTGTGCCTTGCATTCTGCTGGAGGAGACTTAAGAGATACTAGGACGGCAAGGCTATCTAAGCACGTTACTGTCAGTATCTTTTGTCATTAAAGAAATTATAATCATAAAGATAAAGGTTGAAAGAGCTTACATTCGCCAAGAGCAAGGTTCGCCTCTTCAACTAGAGGGCTCGTAAAGGAACCGGCAAGTTCATCTGAGCAGAACTGTCAGTATTCTAATCAAATAATGACGAAGATAAAGAATTGAAAAGTGCTTACCTTCGCCTACGAGCAAGGTTCGCTTCAAGAACGTGAACGCGACGCCGAAGCATTCGGACAACTTCGGTCGTATCGAATGTTTTCCCACAGATTAAAGAGTCTCTTGGTCCATTTGTATTTGTTGTAAGCCTGGATAGCAATGTTGTCAGAAATTTATGTAAAAGAAAAAAATGCTTGAAAGAGCGATTTCAGAGAGAAAGACAAAGAATATCTCAACCGCAACTCTTTCGTCATTCTTATATATACTGTAGCCAGAAAGCTTTCTCACGCCAAGCACCGAGCACCCACGTAAACAAGTTAGTTTCAGTACTGATCTTGTTACAGTTAGCTCTTATCCTGTTCCTATCCAGCTATGTTTCTGTTCTCTTTTCTTTTCTTTTCTTGTCTTATTTCTGTTCGTAAAAAAAAATCCTAAGACCCTTTCTTGCCCTGTCTGCTTTCTTGTTTCATCCGCCCAAAAATTAGATCGCATCCTATATTCTAGTCCCAACCCATTACACTAAGTTTTCTCTGTTTCTTCCCCTTCGCCATTCCTTTATGTGAATTACACCAAAGAATCTCACATGTTACTCCTAGCTTCGAAGAATTAAGTCAGAAAAATCAGAACATTCCCAAAACGCAGCACTAACTGGCCAAGAAGCTGGAGTTTCACATATTTCAGTGCAATCCCTTCTAAAAGTCATTAGTTGACGAACTGTGAATCAATCATGTCACAAGATTTGACCAGACATCTTATATTCAGATAACCCACCTGCTGACTCAAAAGCTTGATTTTAAACAATGAGCATACACAAGCAAGCATACTTACCTAAGGGTCGTTGGCGACGGGACTCAAATGAGAACCTATTGCAGGATTTATCAATTCCAAAACCTGCAAACACATTGGCGATTGCTGAGAACCGCAATAGACTGATTTTCAACAACTTTAATACAAAATACAATTATAGACTTTGGAACGATATTGCCCCAATAATGTCTCCCTGCATCATCCTAACGGACGTAACACCATTGGTAGTTTTGGTACCGAACCAATTCTTCCTCAAATCCCATCATGCGAAGGAGCAAGGGGCCAAGAACATTGTTCAGCTGTCTAACAACAGTTTTCCTGGTTAATAATTAGTACAACTCCGAGGCTTACTAAAGAAGCAATTCCTGATTGCCGCGTTTATGTTATTCAGACACGTTCGAAGCGACACTTCGATATTTTTGTCCTCTCGGCCAGTTGCCTGCTTGCATATCATTTTCAAATTTCGAGTGATCCCTTCTTCCACTGTAATATCGTTTTCCATGATCTTTTTTGGTACAGTATTGCAACCATGAGGTCGTCCTGATGATATCTTGAGAGTTCACAATGGATCGGGTGCAATTACCCGCCAAAACAGAAGCGCAGCCGGAAGAGCAAAGATAGAAACAAAAATGAGCACTCCTTCACCTTGGATCTCGTCCTCAAATTTCCCAATTGGGACATATCTTACCAATTAAAAGTGCCGATGCAAAAGCTACTTACAATATACAGCTGTGCAACATTGTACGTTTTTATTCCTTGGATACAGTATGAAATCGGTGTAAGTGTGTGAGAGAGAAGTAACCTTTTATGATCGTCGATGAACCAAGAGGTCTTTATAATCACTGTCGGATTTAAGTTTTTCTGTATGACTAGCGCAAGGTGGAGGTCGCCTTGAATATCAAGTTGCACGGTTCGGCTCCACTGATGACGAAGATCCGACAGTGGAAACAAAAGTTTCGGCTCTTATCTTGATAAGTTGATGTGAATTTGCATGTTGTAAGAATTAGGTAGAAGGGATGGATGCTATTTGCTACAGTTACAGTATGAATATTTACAATGACGCAAAGAGAAGGAGAAAAAAATGATATAAACAGTGACAAAGTATTGCGATGAAAAACATCAGCGTACTCGTGCTTTCCAAGGATAACCGGATCGATTCGATCAGGATCATGATGCAGATATGGATCTCAAACTACTCCCATTGGCGCTGGCGTCTCGACTGCGTGTCACTCGTCCTTCCTGTTCGGATCCACCATCATGTATCGGAAAATGGTGCCGGCCGCCAAAACGACGTTGGAATTTGATGAGTTCGCGAGTGAGCATATCCATCATTTCCATGGACGTTTCCTCCGTTTTGTCTTTGGATGATCCGGTATTCCTTTTTTCAAGTGCTTCCTCTGCCATGCCTTTCTCTGCAAATTCCGTGCGCGGAGAAGCCGGAGTGTCTTCATTGAGCGGAATAGTACTTGCACTACTTAATGATGAAGACGGAGACCCGTCGTCGGTCTGCGTGGGAATGATGATAGGCGCAGGCCGGCCCTGAGCTTTGCTTTGAGATGTTGCTTTGTCTGCCACAGCGCCATTGCAACCATCCATATTCGGTTGATGGGGTGATGCTACTTGCATCGCGGTTGACGAAGCTATACTTGCATCGTGGACCGGACTCTGGTGATGAGTGACATCGTTGGCCATTTCTACCTGAATGGTGCTGATATATTCAAGGATTTGTTTGGCTCGTCGATTCATTTCTGAAATGGTCATACGAGCCGATGGCAGTCGAACACGGGCTGTAGGAGACGTCGCGCGCGCTTCAGCTGAAAAGTGTTCAAAGATGGAAGTGCTAATATCGGGTGTGGAAGGCGATTCAGTTTCTGCTGGCTGAGGAGTCGATGTTCGTGAACGAGGTTTGTTGGTTGGTGTTCGACGCGCTCCTGTGGTGGTTCGTCGATTGCTTCCTCGTCCACGTTTTTCTGGCGTTCTGACAGGCTTGCTATTGACAGAGGGGCTCGTCTCATTTTTGCTGTTGCTTCGTGAGGCAGTCGTTCGTTTCTGTCGTGCGGGTTTAGCAGCATCACCCTCTTCTGAACCATTGTCGTCTGTTGTCCTAGAATGAGCAATCTTTGCAATGGCATCAGATGTTGATTTCTCCTACCTTGTTCCTTGACAAGTTCCATATAAGGTTCTTCATGACCGACAGAGGACACTGTGGATGACGATGGTTGGGGTTTATCATCCTCAGCTTCCACGGCGTCTCCTTCAGGTTCGTTATGTTTGGGTCTTTTAACTGTACGTTCCTCATCTTGCATATTTGGAGAATTTTTTGGTGACACTGGTGAGGTCGCGTCCGTCGATTTCTGATACGATTCTGCAAATACAAGCGCATTGCGTGTAGCAAGCACGTCTTCCAGCGACATGGAGGCCTCCCGACTATTCAGCGTCATTCTTTTTTTTGGTGCCTTTTTATCGATGGCCATTAAATGTTTTTGTGAGGCGTTGATGTACTGTCGGCGAGTTCTACAGAATCAACATGGAATTAAGAAAACAAATAAATCAAATAAAGGGCTCTGCTTTCCATGGCTGTAAAAAAAAAAGATAGGAGGAAGGACTTACTTTCCATGACTGAGTTTGATCAAGGTATGATTTTCGGGCTTGCATTCTTCACAATAATATTGTTCAGGGATATCCTTTTCTTCCAAACCCACACATTCGCAATGTTGCCAAACTTCACATTTATCGCATTGCACCATCAAGCCAACATTGTCTAGATGAAGAGTAGATTAATGTTGTTATTACAGTGAATCTACTGGTGAGTCCGCATACTTACGGAATTCTCCACAAACGCAGCGTGTCACTGACCCTCCATCCGAGCTTCCTTCGTCAGAGGTGGACTGTGAGCGGTGCCGTTGACGTTGCTGTCGCTGCCTCCTACGGCCACCACTACTGGACTTGCCTCGTCGTTGAACGGCTGTACAAAAGATAGGGTAAAAACGGTTAACTTGCATGCAATGGGTAATCCACTTTTTAATAAAAAGTTGCACATACTCATACTGATAAAAGTTGCACCGATCGAAGTAACACTTTACAGCGTATGTTGATTTCCACAAATTTGAAAATGTAACGATGAAGTAGTACGATAATTAGGATAAGTGCCGACGGACGGCAAGGATTAGCGTGCAATAAGTAGAAAAAAAGCTCCTTGCGATATTTCGCTTACCAAAATTCTTTTCTTGTCTTTTCACCAGAATCAAAGTCACACCATGCATCGCCATTGGCGGAGACGCAGACAAAACCTGCTGTTTTGGCACCCAATTCGCATTGCTGGACCAAGGCACAATTTGTTGATTGGCCGAACGATTTTTTTTTTCTTATCACCATGTCACAATGTGCAGCCCTGCTTCAATAATCTCAGGTCATAATGGAAACAAGTAGACCAATATCACTCAAACCAGCATTTTGAGTCGAGAATATGGTTTAAGCAACATGGTTTCAATGAAATCCATGTCAAATGGCCATTTATAAAAAGAGTCTTTCTTATCAGTTATGCGTACGCATTCAATTCAAGAGATTTCAAGTGAGGAAAAAAAAATGTGTTGAATCTTGCAATTTACAAAAAATGGAGAAATGGGCTCCTTTTCGATTTATTATTTCTTACAATTCGTCGGCATCTTCTTCGGCTTCATCGATCAAATGTTCTGTCGAACCATCATAATCATCCAACAGAACGTCGGTCTGTTCGTCTTGCCCGAGCGGGCTGTATCGAGGACCTCTCTGTCTATTGAAGAGATTGAAACGACGGAAAATATTCAGATCCGACCATGACTGAGGCAGTGGGATGCGTGAAATAAGACCAATCAGCGCTGCAGGAATCACCACCGCCGCAGCAAAGATTTTCGTTACCCAAGGATGGGATAACACATTGCCAGATGGTCGTGCACTGTCCGGAAGACGAATGCGTCTATAGATGCAACGATTGAGTGATTCACGTTGCTCATTAGACCTGTGATATATTTTTTTGACTTACCCAATGCGACCGTGTTTGCGATAATAAAGACAAGCAAACAGCAGGCCAGCTCCAACCATGGGAGCGAAAACATACAATGGCCACATGGTGCGTGATCGTTTCTTGCCAGGACACCAATGCTTTTTACCCAAGAAATCTTCCTCACCTACACAGGTAGAAGCAGCAATCTTGCGATAACTGTAAAAGGACACCATGTTAGTCACATCCATTGCCCCATTTTTTGAATAACAATCGATTCGATCTTTACCCTGTGGGTTCATAGAAGAAATCGATGGTACCATCACATTCGGGAACCAGCGCCGAAAGGCCAGGCACCAAAACACATTTATTGTTCTTGTCTCGTACATAGTTGAAATCACTGGGTAAAAAAAGACGGCCTGTTAACCAACGATACAATGACTGATTATTCAAATCAGCTTACCATTCAAAGTCCTCTTGCGTACAGGTGCAGTTACGAACTTCTTCACGAGGTTGGACCAATCGTTCGCCAATGTAACAATCATGATCCCGAATACGTCGATAATATTTCGTCTGTCATAATCAAGATCAGTAAACTTGTAATAAAAGAGATCACCTGTAGCACTTACCTCACGGCCAAACAGACATGCTTCACCGCGGGTATCCTCAGGGCTCCATAGTTCGAAATCATCGTCGTTCGGATGATCAAGATCCAGTTTACCTGTCACAAAACGGAATGAGCCGAGCAGACCATCACGATATCATGAATCACACTTACATTTGGTGGGATGAATGGCGCTAAAATCAATATGATATCCTACATATTTGCCCGTGCCACGCTCTGTACCGAACAATACGTATTTTTGACTGGTGCCGTCTGGTTGCGTGATAATATCATCTACTTTCACCTTTTCGTTCTTTTTGGCAAATTCGTAAACATTCCATGAGAGTCCCTCGTTCGTAGTGTATCTGAGAAAAAAAAATGGAAAATCAATATCGAGGGGGTGTGATCGATGTGGAAGAGATTTGCTTTCTTACTTGACGCTATTGGTCGCATCTTCATCGTCTACCAAAATCAGTAGGGCGCCTTGATCGGCAAATTCCCACAAGTGGGCACCTTTGTAGACTTCGAACCAGGTTTTGCCGGCATCGCGGGTCAAGAACATATCGCCATCACGATAAGGCAGGAGATCACTGCCGACGTTACCGACACCGACCATCAAGCCCACCGCGCTGGACGTGCTAAAGAGATCCCGCGTGTTCTTACGTTCCGAATAAGCGTGTAAATGTAGACTGCATGGGTTACCCTACAAGATCAAACCGCATCACTTGTTAGAAACGCACATTCTTTCCATGGCTTTGGCTTTACTCTACTCACATGGCAGTTGTATTTCTTGCCATTGCTATCCACTTCCGGAGGATCCAAAGGCACCCAGTGGGCACCTGCGTCGGCAGTTTTCACCGTAGCCAGTTTCTTTGGGTCACCGCCATTCGCACGACTAGGATTTGTCACCTTGTTTGCGAGGGCAATACCTTCGATACCTTGCATTTTCTCAAAGTCCACGATGCCGAGTTCGTTACGGTTGGCGTTCTCCAACGACAAGACGAAATATGTGCCATTGGAATTGGATGTGAAAATGTTGCCATATTCGCTGCCCTTGTGCGTGTTGGTCGATACATGAATCCACATTGAATTGGCAGACTCCATGATGGTGAAAGCCTAAAACCAGCATGAGCCGTTTGTTGCATACTCAGCCAAAAAAAAAAGAAAAAAAAAAAGATTGTAACAAATTTGATTTACCTCTGGCGACAGATCAAAAGAGGCAGGGAAGGTAGCTGGGGCAAATGTTTTACCGTCCAGACTCACGTGAAGACGCAATGTGGCGCCACCAATGTTTGACTTGAGAAAGCAAGAGAACAAGTACGACAGTTAGACATGGCGCATCGCTTTAACCGGTTGATATCACTTACTGCTGCCACCACCAAGAACTTTCCAAAGACAGCAACGCCCACAATGTCATCGAACAGATAATTTCTCGTGGAGAAAAAGTCGTTGGAAGAAATGAACTGGACGGGATTGGTGAAGAAAGACCGCTGATTACCCGACTTTTCACGATACTGTTCGCAAAAGATGGAATCATGATCCGCGCTTTCAATTCCGCCATCACGGCCCCAAATGCAATTGCGGATGTAAGTGTCAATGGCATGCCATGATCGTCCGTTATCTCGTGAATAGAACGCTTGCGAATGACAGTTGAAAGAGAAAAAGTCGGCGCAATCACTTTCGCCCAAATAAAGTAGGTAATCGGGTTCGTTTTTGTGGAACTGGAGTACGGTGCCCTGAAGATTCATCACCGGTACCAGTGGCACCGACATTTCGTCAAAGTTGCTGCCTTTATCTTGAGTGCTGTAGTGAATCTTTCCATCCGTGATGAAGTATGCCTATTCGTGTAATCATTTGAGCCTCCGTGAGTCCTCCTCCTTCATGTTCATCTTCCCGTCGCTCCACTTACCCGTTCTTCGAAATGAGGGTTTTGATAGATGGCAATCACGTTGGTGCCCGGGAACATTTCTTTCCATTGACGACCATCATTATCACTTCTCCAAATTTCACCATCGGCGGTGCGTACAAAAACTCTCTAGTATAGATTACCCCGAACATCAGTACATCTTTTGCCTCAAATCTTTTCCATGATCATACGCATCAACTTACGTCTGTATCAGTAAAGTAAATGTAATCCACAATACGATCGGTAAATTCATGCTGAGAACAACAACAATGTAATTGTAAATAACTTTTTGGATTTTTTTTCTGAAAAAGTTCGCCTACCTTTGTGGATTGGATATCGCCGCCTTCACCGCAATCCCATTCTTGTTCCTTTTCCAAGTTAATACCGCCAGTACATGAGCTCTTGGCGATCTTTTTATATCCAGATCGTCCCTTGAACTTCTTTCCAGCTTTACAATCCGTTGGCCGATCAGGATGGCGACCATAAAAGACGCATTTACCCTCATCGTTACGCCAGAAACCAAAATCGCTAGTCATGGCACGCCAAAGAGGAGAAGAAAAAAAAAGTGAGAATGCCATTTTTTACCATCAACTACTTTTGGGTGAAGGGACGAAATGGAGATCTGTTATACTTACCATTCATAATCGATGTCACGGCATTCACAGTTTTCTTGAATCACTTCAGGTTCTTGGAACTTGTTGCCTACGATGCAAACGCGATCTTTCTTTCTTCGCCAATAAACCGTTTTCTTGCCCAACAAACATGCGTCATCGCCGTCATCGTCTTTGGGAATCCATCGTTCAAAATCACTCTTTTCGTCATTGTGTTTATCGAGATTGCAAGCGCGACGTTTTGTGTTTGCAAAATCGGCGACAATGATGACCTGCGATCGCTGATGGTCGCGCGTGTGGCCAATGATAATGAATCGTAGCGTGGTAGACTTGGGATCTGTGGTAAGTGCGTTCACACGAATGGGGACCGACGAGAATTTGTAGAAATGCCAATTCTCGCCTTGATCCCATGAGTAGAGTAATTCGTTCGTAGGGCCTTCATCGTTCACCATCACGAGCAACGAGCCTTGATCGCCAAATTCGTAAAGATGTTCGCCTTCCACGACCTGAACCCAGTTATGGCCTCCATCGCGCGTCAGGAATGTGTTGCTCTGCTCATAAGGCAGCAAAGAGGGTCCGACATTACCGACACCCATGGCAAGACCAGGAGCGCCGCTCGCGGTGAAGATAGCCCCGGGACCGTGAATATCCGTGCGACTGTGCAAATTGAGTGTACAATCTTTGCCATTGCAATCGAATTGGTGGGGTGGTGACAATGGTTGCCATTGACTGCCGTCATCCCAACTGATCATGGTACGCACTTTTTTTGAAACATCCCGGTTGCCCACCAGCTCATCCGCATTCATGACTTGATTTGCCAAGATGATTCCGTCAATGCTTTGCATTTTTTCGAAATCCACGAACCCTAACGCGTCACCATTGGTGTTGTCCAGCGCCAAATGATAAAAGGTGCCATTGTCGTTGGACTTGTACAGTGCACCGTGAGCTTTACCAAAGTTGACGGATTTGAAAATGTTGAGAAGAATGGAATGCGTAGTGGATTGCAGAACGGTAAAAGTCTAGAAATGAAAAAATACAGGTAAGCCATGTTTTTCTACTACTACCGTTCCTGATGGAAAGATGGAAAATCAGATGTATCCAGAGAGTGAGTACTTACATTGCGATCGATGTATTGATCCGGGGGGAATTGAGCTTCGGCAAAGGTGCGACCGTTGATACTGACATACAGTGAAAGATCACCATGTTGGCTTGATGCGACGGCCATGAAATCTTCAATCACAAAGAACTCCACCACGCGTTCAAACAAGACTTCTATGCTTCGTCCCCAGTCCACTGTACGCATCAGCTTGAGGTTGTCGTTGACAAGATTCTTTTCGTACGCAGAACAATACACGGTCTCCTTTTCAATGTCGTATTTGGAGTCACGGCCAAAGATACACTTTTCGACGTACATGTCGAGCGCATCCCATCGACCGCCGTGATTTCTCGAAATGAAGCCTTCCGAATGACGTGGGGTGGACGTGGCATCACCAATGAACAGTAACCAATCTTTTTCCTGGGGATGGAAATCGAGCACCTGCGAGGTGTGCTTGCTGGGAGGTAAAGGGGTTTGAATACGCTCCCATGAGGCGCCTTGATCTTTGGAACTGTAGATTTCGTTGTCCATCACCGCGTAAGCTCGCGAGTTATCAAATTCATGCATGACAAAGCTTCGTACTCTTCCTTCGTTTTCGAGCACGCGATGCCACCTGATCCCATGTTCTTCCGATCGCCACAATTCGCCATTGCGAAGTCGAAGTAGCATCGCCGGTGAATCCTTGAAATACATGAACTGATCAATTTCATCGGCAAAGATCGTTTGATGAGTCTGAATATCGTCATCGGACGGTTTGGCTAAGCCATTGGAAGGGCGCGAAGTACTGGGCATTTTGGCGTTCTCGCGGCAGCTCCGATCGATGGGTTCATCCAATTTTTTGCCTGCCGAAACATCGCACGTGTTGCCTGGAATCAAACGATAACCGCTGGAGCCAGGATACGTATCGTCGCCGCTCACGCACAATTCGGCGGGTACCCGATCAGGACCAATGCGGACACATTTACCATCGGATGAACGTTGAAAGTTGTAATCACATTCATAATCGGCTTCCGTACACGGACATGGCTTCATTTCCATCACGGGATCACGGAAATCGTTGCCGACGTAACAATCGCGATCGGCCTTTCGACGATACATCATCTGTTCGTGACCCATCAAACAGTCAGGACCGGGAGTCAAGTCTCGGGCAAACCATTTCTCAAAATCGCTCTTTTGATCATTTCCTTCATCCAAAACACATTGACGAGGATACATCTGGGTAAAATCCAAATGGATTGCCTGGTAGGGGCTACTCTCCGATCGTTGAGCTCTTCCTACCAGCAAGAAATTTCGCGATGTCGATTTAGGATCCGTCGTAAGCAAACGTGCACGAATGGTCGTGCCAAGCTCCTGTTTCTGCCTACATTACGGGGAAAAACAAACCGTGTTAATCTGCCATTTATTCCATGACACCGGACATTTGCCACTGCAGGTTCGGATGGACTTACCAGCTATTGCCTCGATCTTTACTCCACCAGATGTGATCGGTTTCCCGTTCATCATCCACAAGAACGATCAGGGTACCCATGTCACCAAACTCATACTTGTGAGCTCCTTCACGAACCATTTTCCAGTGGAGACCTCCATCAACGGACAGGTAGGTATCACATTGTTCGTATTCCAGTAAATGCTGGCCAAAATTACCAACACCCATCATCACACCGACGGCAGAATTGGAAGTAAACACTTGGCCAATGTTGTGTGGGGAAGTGACCGAATGCATGTGAAGAGCACACTAGTTTTCAGATGTGTGGGTGAATCGAACAGTATAAAGGGAAACACCCCCCCCACCAAAAAAGAAAGAAGAGTATACCTCTGATTCTGAGCATTGCATATTATTTCCATTTGTATCTTTGACATTAGTGATGAGTGTCCAATGAGCGCCGTCGTCGAAACTCATGCGGGTTTGAAGACGTTTTCTATTGCCGCTGTCGACTTCCTTGGCATTGGTTACAGTGTTTGCAATCATGATACCTTCAACGCCTTGCATTCGCTCGAAATCGATGATGCCCATGGTGTTGCGATTGGTGTTTTCCAAGCTCTTGACGAAAAAGGTACCGTTCGAGTTGGACTTGTACAATGAACCAAAACTCTCACTGTTGCCTGCAAGGACGTCTACCAGCAAGGAGGCACCGGTGGATTCGACAATGGTGAACGCTTTTTCGTGCAACGCGGATCCTTCGGGAAACACGGCTTCGTGCCAATTTTCTCCATCTTCCGAAATGTACAGATCCATATCCGATTGTGTGGGCGATGGCTTGACAGCTGCCACCAGGAACTTGTTGACGGCACTGACGGCAATGACGCCACGAACGTCGGTGCCCGTTCCAAAGTTGACGGGTTGCTCCGAATGGAAAAAGTCTTCGGATTGAACAAGCCGCAATTCATCCGGATTGAGTAAACTGACGAGCCCACTTTTCCGTGGTGACTCGACACACATGATTTCCTTTACCGGCGCGTTCTGGAACTGACGGCTTGAAAGGGACCAAATACAAGAGGTGGTATGTGTACGCAATAAATTCAACTCCTCAAAATTATTCAGGGTATAATAGACCTATCCCAGCGTTCAATTTAGCATCGTTTTACAACAAAACGAAACAATCAACCGATCTTTTTTTTTTTACCTCACTATGGCAATCAAAGCCGGATAATCCACCAAATTTACACTTGAAACCGGTAAATAAAACATAGTTTGATCGTTCAGCGTGGAATGCCAAATGTGGATACGAGGCCGCCGGCTCCACCGGCGTTTCAAAAGGCTGCCACGTAGCGCCTCGGTCGGAAGTCTTCCAGTGATGTGTATGTTTTCCCAGGATGTAAGCCTTATTCAATGAAACGTGACCGCGACAGTCAGCGAGGTTAACTATATGGTCCATGATCCCACTCCGTTTCTCAATCGATGAATGCCGATTCTCACCTTGTTATTGTCAAAGGGATGTTCATATATAAAATGGGCTTCATTATCAGGGATATCTTTTACAGAGGACCATTTCTTGCCAAGATCATCTGAGCGCCAAACGTTATGGGACGCACCATCCAACCATAATATGACCTGTTTGTATCTGGATGAGCTCACATATCCTTCATTGCCTTTTTTTCCAACGATCTCCAAGTCTCGGTATTGTACCTCTGATTCTTTGAAATAGAAAAACTTTTCCGGTGTGTTCTCGAAGCCGCTTCTCTGCACGGTGACCTGCTGAGCTGCAACCTGAACTGAGGCGGCCAGCGCCGCAATCAATAGGCCCATCCAATACAAAACGAGCCTACCACGGACACTCGGTGGGGCATTTCTATGCCGCAGGGTGCCCGTCATTGTTCGAGTAAGAAATCAAAAAGACGGAAACTTTTTTTTGTGGGTTGCGTTGGAATCGACAATGTTTCGTAATTGACCTGCGTATATTCCACCCATGAACAGAGACAAAACGTTAGCAAGGAGATACGTTATTACGGTCGCATTGCGTGTCGGGACCGCTTACCAGTGAGTGTGAAAAAGTACTTTTTGATACAGCACAAAAAGAAGACGAGAATACAAGCTGTGACCAGAATATGAAATAGAAAAAAGAAAAAGCACCCCCTCAAAAACCGCGCTGAGAAAATGCCTGTGCTCTGTCAGTTTCCCATTTCTCCGCCAATTGCCGACCCGCCACCACCCAACAGCCATTTGCGTCATTGACATCGGGATGGCGCTGGCTTGCTTATCCGCATTTAGAATCTTGGCGTGCCAAGTCCGATTTCATTTGACGATAAGCGAAGCAATAATTGAGGCTGTGTAAACAAAAGAACATAATAACAACACGAAAAGGCACGATCAAAAGCAAGGTCTTTGTGGTTAGGTTGTAGGCAAGGTCTTTGTTCATTTCAATTACGAAGCCTTGCACGGTATTGGAGAAACAGAGGTTGGGTTAATGCATGAAAAACCATGCAAAAAAATGTACGTTATTTGAGCTTTTGATTATTTTAAATATGAAAAAGGTCTATGTTCGTGTCATTTTCGCTTTCGTTGGAAATCGTTCCAAAGGATATACATATACAGAAACCCGCTGTGCATGTTTGATTTTTAGTGTCACCTTACTCGTATCTATGCTCCGCTGTGCCTTGAAGACGTCTCGGTCTGCCGATAGTGGTCATTAAGACGAGCTACCAGATCATCGCCCCACGACATGGCTTCTCTGTCACTTAGGCGATAATGATCCGGACTAAATGAAGGACTGTAAGGCACCAGATCAGAGTTACTGCTACCGTCGTAGTAACTCGTGCGACAACTACTGGCAATGGTCATACTCCGTCGCGGATTCATAACGGCCAGATGAGGCGTCATCATATTCCAGCTTTTTTTGTAATCCATATCGTTGTTAAATTCCACCCACTGAACGGAAGCCACCGATTTGGCTCCCAACGACGCACGTGATTGCAATGAAGGGCGTTTTCGAACATTGGCTTGAGCGTCGATATCATGCGTGGCGGTTCCAGGTAGTTGTAACAGTTTGGATGTGCGTAAACCGAACAGACTGGAACGTCTTCGGGCGAACGATACGCGATGATCACCGTCGATGATGGTTGACGGATACCGTTTAAATAAATTCGTTGACGCAGCAGCCGACAATGCAGTATCGACTTCCTCACTGTTTCGACGGGATCCAAACATGTTCAGTGTCATCTGTTTCAGCGTCAAGCTTTCCCGTCGTTTTTTTCCATGGATCCCGTTGCCCTCCTTTGTATTCTCTTTGGTGATGGGTGATAAATCCGTCGATGGGTTGATAGAATGATCGGTGCTACTAATCGTCAGTAAAGGACTGCAAGTCGTTCCCGTAGAATTTTGTCGCTGAACGGCGACCGGAGGCTCTTGCGGTTCCACATACTCCACTTGCTTCGTCTCCGCGAGAGATAGTTGCGGTGGTGCTTGCGCTTGCATGCTTTCGCGGTGAAAGCGGCCCAAAATGGATCCGAAGGACCCGGTGCTTGCTCGATTGGCTTGATCATAGGATCGTAACTGTAGCATGGGGTGTTCATCATGAACCGACTGACGCTGCGTCGATGCATGCGCTGTAGAGTGACGTGCAGATTCCAGACTAGCGGGTGTTTTTGATGTACCGGGCGGAGAAAGACTGAATCGAGCTGCTCTGGAATGGTCGTACCGCGCTTGTCGACGTTGTTGATAAGACCATACAAAGAACCCAATGGCTAGACCCAGCAATCCTAAAATACCTACGACGATCCCGCCAATAGCGCCTTTACTTAAACCACCGTCGCCATCTCCATTGGACGCTTGACTTTGGACCAGGTCGCTTTCCAGCTCACGTTTGGTTACAAAGTGTCGCACTTTTACCGATGGGCCCCATGATTGTGTAGCAGTATTCCAGAAGAGTGGGTGCATGTCGGCAAGTGCCAAAGGCAAAATTTGTCCTCCAAAAAACATGATCGTCGTATCGTCGATCGCTACAGCTGCATGGGCTGCACGAGGCTGAGGTGCCGATCCGACCCTTTTGCAACCAATGGTTGCCAATGGCGATTCCAAGTCGAGTTCCCAAACATCGTCTAGAAAAGTATCGCCAAACCGCCCTCCAAACACTATGGCGCGATGGGTTCCAGGCACAAGTGTCATGGTAGCATGCGTTCGCGGGGGCAAGGTCGTGGATAGTTTTGCAGTGGTGGATAGCAAGGTTCTCGTATCGAGCCATGTGCATCCTCCCTGTTCATGGCCTTGAGTGGATCCGAAGCACGACAAAATCCAATGGCGGTAAGCCAAAGCGGAGTGACCAAAGATGCCCTGAGGAAATAAATGATTGTCAAGTAAAGTCCAGCTTTTCCAGTTCATTTTCCAGAGATCGCCGTAAACAGTCTGATGGGATCGTCCACCAATAACATAAACAGTGTCGTTTATTTGTGTGGATGTATGACTGTAACGGAGTGGAGGCTGTCGATCGTTCAAGGGATCCGGATCCGTCAGATTAATTGAAATAGGAGGTGCCGGTGCACGGTACGATTGTAAACCAAAGAATGAAACTAGTGCATTTTTATGCCAATGCGCGGTTTGGCCACTGACAGGTAAACTCGGATACTGATCAAAGTGAACAAAAGCATCGCGGTGAATGTGCAAGACCAAGTCGGTGGTCGCATAGGTAAAGTCGGATAGATTGGTGATGCCGCCTTGAATGCGGATCGTGCCGTTGGGTAGTTGGGTTGCGGTGTGGTATATTCGGCTCGCGCATGCTGCTTGAATGGAAAGAACAAGGATGCACCATGGTAACATGCTGATGATCGAAAAGGCCACTTTTTTTTAGTTAAGAATACAACATGTACAAGTAGGGAAAGGACTGGAAAGGGACGCAGCTACCGGGTGCACTGCAAGGAACCAAAAGAAAAAAAAAGCGTTAAAATGGTCAACATCCTGTATTTGAATCTTCTTGTCGTGTCCCTCGAAAAATAGGGGTTGCCTGTTCAGGTAATCCGTCTCACGGTGCTGCCGCTAAAATGCTCCGCATTGCCCAACTGTAAAAAATAGAATCACCTGCTGTTTTTGCCAAACGGCACTGTTTCCCATAACGCACAATGATTGGCTATGCTGTTTAACACTTCTCAACAATAGGTATGACAGCACGACGTTGGCATATAATAAATTATGATGACCTGTGCTCCAGAGTGGGTCATTTTTTCTTGTTTCACGCAAATTTTTTGGAGCCCGGTTCTATCAGTCAACCTTGACTTGCCACAACATTCCGTCTCATGATGCCCTAGTCTTTTTTTTCAGGTCCTGTTTGTATCACTTTGGAACACCATTGAGAAATTTAAGAGGATGCACAAGTCGCATCGCATTCGCTCAACCATTGCGTGGTGCCTAAAATCCGCCAAAAATTTGCATGACAGCAAAAAAAAAAAAAAAAAAAAAAAAAAAAAAAAAAAAGATTAAAAATAAGCACTTGCACAAAGTAATAGTCCGCTCTTTTTGTAAGCAATCGCATTTTTGCGTAATTCCAGGTAATCCAAAGTTATTTGATTTCCTCGATTTCTCTTTGTGTAAAACTTTCACAGGCATGTTCGCAAGCATTTTCGCGCAACTTTCTTTGCTGTACTTTGTTTAAAGCGGTATTAGATAAAGGGGACTCATACATCCAAAATAAACTAGCGCTCCCGAATTGGTGGAACGTACACCGCATGTGCCACTCTGTGAAATTTCTACTGTTTTTAACAACCCGTATGTACTCGTACATGTGCAAATACCTCTGTAAAATGGGGCACTGAGACGTTTGACAACGGCTCAATGATTTACCATGGTATTCTGTAAAAGCATGATTCAACACAGACCACCACGATTGTGTGTCGTGCCCAACACAACCCTTATTGACTTTGTTTCAACATCAAATGGGATACGCCCAACCCCTTGGGAAGTACGCTGTATTCCAAAACTATGATAGTTTTTCCGCCTATGTATGCAAGAAGAAACCGCTGGAAAAGTTTGATAATCAGAAGACAGTATCCAGGTGATTTCTCAATAGGCAGACATGCACCGCCTGTTGACAATTTCGAGGCCCGCCACGCGCATCATATCAAAAAAAAAGAAAGGGCGCGTTGTTTTCACAGACGCGTTTTCTGTTCTGTCACCGGATCTTTCACCATTCTTTTACAAACATGGATTGGCATTCCAAAGTCGGCGAATCGTCCAAGCCGCCCAAACTCTTGAGCTTGTCTTTGTCAAAGAACAGGAAAATCACATCCTATGCACCCACACCCACCGTTGATCTGGAATCGGCACCCCCGATGGAGGTAACTTGCTTGCCCACGGGTCCTTTCATGACGCACTCTAAACATATATTCCTAATGATGGATCAGGGTAAAGGGAAAAAGGCGGTTGATTTAGTAGTTCCCTTGACAGAAGTAACCAATGCATCAATGCCAAAATCAGACTCGGATTTTATGGATCTCGACGAACAAGCAACGACATACGATAATCTCGACAATGACGACGACTTTATGGACGACAAGTTGTGGCGATCTTCAATAGACATGGAGGAGCGGATCCAACATAACGAGAAACCCGCCGAGACACCAGACTTGGAAACTTTAGATCAACAAACACCACGATTGGAGCAGCTGTCTGTATCCGAGGAATCAAACAACACAGACGAGACTCCATCCACCGTACTACCGGCGAAACGGAAAATGGTCGGCGAAGATGTGTTTACCCGGAATTGTGTCAAGACATGGCAGGCTTCACGCATCAAAGCATGGGAAGGCCGCTATTTGGTAGGATCGAAACAAAATGCACAGCGAATATTGGGTTCAATCTGACGAGGCCTTTTTTTTATTTTTATTTTTATTTTTTATTTTTTATTTTTTTTACCGAGATAGAATCCGGAAGGTTATTACTACCGGTTTGTCAGTAAGTAAAAAATCAGGGAACAGTGGATCGGGTAGTATATGTTATTGATCTAGCTCTCTAGCTCCTGGAGAGGGACAGCAGAATGGTGGCTGGTCGAAATCAGAGCATGTCTTGTTCATGAAACGATACGATGAATGGGTTTCTCGTGGATGGAAGATTGGTGCATCATGGGGTTTATTCAGCAAGGGCATCCCACACAGAGTAAGTCCATCGTAGAAACGGTGCAGAGACAACCGTGCTGACATGTTGTGCTAATCGTAGGTGGGATACCAATGTATGAATTACTACAGGAAGCTTGTTAGCGAAAACAAGCTTCAGGATGAATCTTATGCTGTAGTGGATGGTAAACTCAAACAAATACATAAGGAACGGGCACCTGCTGGAGAGGTTCCCACCACCGATCTGGGACCTGAATGGAAGGAGGACGAGGTCAAGGCAGTGGAGAAAGATGTGGATGCATGGCTCAAAGAATTTCATAATCGAAGCGGATGGTAATAGTAAACAGAAAAGGTGTCTTGAAAAGCTGCAGCGGTATTCATACTTTCATTGGATGATTTTTACTGTTGTAGTGCGACAGTTCGATCTATAGCACCACCCAAGCCGAAAGCAGCACCTCGAGTGGCGAAATCCATATCGACGAAGAGGTCCCCACTTTCAGATTTAATGAGAAGACAGCCGGTGAAACGATCATCTGCTGAACTCGACGATGATAACGATTTCCTATTGGAAAGCACCGAGCCGGAAATAGCTCATCTACGGATCGCTCCTCGTGATTGGGAAGCCGAATGGAAAGAGAAACTTCAGCATTACCAGGAATTCATGAAGTAAGATGGCTACTTTTACTGGAATCTATCTTTTGGGCTTTTTCTGATATTGATCTTTTTAGATCTTACTTGGACAAGGAAACACGCGAGGCCTATTGGCATGCGAAGCAAGCATGGCGTCGTGGTCTCGCCACCACCGAAATGTAAGCAATCTTTATGATTATTTCCTCTTCGCAACACACCTTTTTTTTTTTTTTTTCTCTGACATGTTTTGATATTCCAGGTTACTGAGGAATAAGAATTGGCAAAAGACAGCCCCATCAGAGACAGAAACGGTCAAACCACAAGCACGTACTCAGCAAGCTTCTTTGTCGCGATTTTTTGCAGGCGTGAAAAAGCTAAAGATCGATACCCCCGATGAACTTATTTCGAATGTCAGAATACCCAACGATCTTTACAGCGGTGTAAAGCAGATTACGCCACTATCGGTTGCACAGACACGCAAAACAAACGACGAACGGATACATTACTACGAACTTGAAGATATCAAGGACTGTTTAGGCGTACTGGATGCGGTTGTAGATAAAGGATCATCAGACGAAACGCACCAATCGCCTTTGGAGGGAATTTTGGTAGATCCGCCGTGGGAATTTTATGTCAAAGATGGCAGAAACGATGGTCACTGTCACTGGAATCTTCAAGACGTGGTAAAGTGTCTTCAGATCAAAGCGATTTTTCATAGGGACGTTACTGAATTTTGAAGCACTCTTTAGGCATCCCTCTTAGAAAAAGTGCTAGACAAAATGACAGCTGGGCTCGTCTTTGTCTGGGTGCATAAATTAATACAAGCAGATGTCGTAAGGATGATGTATACGCTTGGTATGTCCTAAAGAACCTTATGGCTGGAGTACTGCTGCTGACGATAGTATCCTTTAGGTTGTAAATATGTAGAAAATTTGGTATGGTTCAAGAAATCGATCAATAACGTACAACTGGATCAACCAAGCCCATACTTCAGTTCGGCAAAAGAGATCCTGCTCATGTTTAAAAAGGTCAGTATTGCTGCTCTTTGTGAAACATGACATGACCATCTGTATTAATAATGTATGCTGCATGATCCTTCACAGGGTGATGGCTTTGAACTTCGACATCAACGATCTCCGGATGTTATCATCGATTTTGAGCTGCCTCGCAGTCAATGGATCGACCAAGGTATGTGGATTATAACTTTTTGATCGATCTCGAGTTTTAATAAGTCTTGCTGCATTCAAAGAATTCACGGAACCGAAACCAACGGCTGTTTATGACATGATCGAAACCCTCCTTCCCAAAGCAGGCTACGATGAAGCATTAAAGAGAGGTCGCCTTCTAGAATTGTAAGTGCAGTATGGCAATCTCATTTTCACTGAAGCCGCGTTGCTCAACTCTTGGTATTTCATAGATGGGCCAAGAAGGCATCTCCCAGGCGCGAAGGATGGGTCGCATTCCATCAACGAAAAAATACCACTGTATCAAACACCCAAATATCGTGGCCCAACGATTGCATTCATGTTGATGATATTTAATTTTCATAGCCAAGCCTTGTATAAGTATGATGCTATGACTGTTATTATCAAAAAACGTACATAAAAAAAAACAAGCAAACTCTATGATTCCAAATGCATTGTTTCGAGTAATGAGTTTGTCATTTTCCGCAAGTTCTCTACAAGTTGCTGATTAATATTGGCAAGAATCAACCGGTACCACACGATTAAAACCCCACCTTCAACATTGGCTAATGAGGCATCTTTCTTGGCGGCAACAAGATAGATTTCGGTATAATCTTCCATGGATTCCTGCTGCAGACTATCCACGGACGATCGACTTTCGGCTTCCTGAACGATGTTTTCGGCGTTATGAGTGGATGATGGTGCTCCATCGACGTTTTGGTTTTCTGTATCTGAATATTCGGTGGTAGATTTGGTGTTCAAAAGGCGATTGTAAACGCGTTGTCCTGCAATCCAGTAATTGGAGACAGACCGAGTGTATATTTCATTGGTTCGCGGTAAACTAAGGAAGAAGCCAGGACATCAATGGACTGGAGAAAGGTAAGAGTGGCGTCATGTTTTGTTCTGTACCTTTCAAAATCGTTCTTGATTTCGAGTAATTGCAGCAAAATGTCTTGTGTCATTGGAATACCGCCCAAAAATTTAGCATCCTGTTGACGAGAAGACTTGCAGATGAGTTTGCCCTTTTGATCGACCATGGTGCTTTTCATATTGAGCGTGGCATTATCATAGTAGAAGCACTTGTAATGTTTTCCCAGGTTCAGACTAACAAATTGAATCTTGTTGTTTTAGCAGGGGAAAAGACATCTCTCCTCCTGATGCATCATCCACCCACAAAACATTACCTCTTTTCCTGAGCCGTCTGCATGTTCTCCAGGACCGTGGCCGTTAATGGTTCAATGTGTTGGTCAATCAGATGATTTTCTAGTGAGGGATAAAACGAGGCATCAACGATCATCTCTTGGGCCTCTGCACTAAAGGATGGCAATAGGAACGACCACACCAAATTACTTTGATGCTATGATTTGAAAAAGAAAAAGACAAGTTGGTATTACATTATATGAAAAAAAAAGGTCGCTTATCCCATGCCTTACCTTGTATATCACCAAGAAATATTCCGTCAAGCCATCATGAGGTTCTGGTGTAGTTGAAGCGTTTTCGAGAGCAGACCTGCTGCTCAGATAAACACGGACAATCTCCGCTCGGGCAATACATCGTTCTTCGCCATCCATATCCATGCAATAATCTTCTACCAGACCGGTTAAATATTTTCCTTGGGTCATTCTCATGTCTGTGGTCGGTATTGCGGTGGTGGGTGAAGAAGGTTGTGGTGGGATATGTGAGGTAGCTGGCAGCGATGGTATGGACTCAGTGGAGTTGGCTTCGGAAATGGGGGCTGAATGGATAGGGAGGTTGGATTTTGAGGCGGAGGAGGAGAAGTAATTGAATATTTGTGCATGTGAAAACGATTTGGTGAGAAGTTTGAAGCCGCTCATCTACATCATTATCACTATGATAAGAAACCAACGAACCGGATTCAGGATACGCTTGTATGAAGTTTTTACCTTGGTGTCGCTTTTACTGGCTGCTAGTTTGCGTTCCTGTAATCTTTTTTCGCGTTCTTGATCTTGAGCTAGGCCTTTTTCAACGCGTTTCAATATGTATTTTCGCAACGCACAGACATCGTTGATGCTTATCGAGGGTGATCGATAGACTAGAGATCCTTCGTCCGCGTCGAGAACCACTAGGTGATCAATAGCGGAATGGAATTTGTCGACGATGGACTGATCAAGTTCATGCACGCGCATATAAGTGGATCGAAGAATAGGGTAACTTGGAACCCCATTGAAAACGGCCGAAAACACCATGGTATCCAAGCGATCAAAATCCAGTTTCCAAATCCAATCCGAGAAAAATTCTTCAATGCTGTGCATCAGTGAACGCATGTGCTGCCGGCTCGGCATTTTCGATGGCGAGGAGGTCTCTTCTCCATACAATAGAGAAGCAAATGTACCATTTAAGAGCTATCAATGAAAGATGATAAGTATTGGACGAGGTACTGAACAAGGTAGTTACGGCTTACTCTAAACTGTTCATAGCCAACTTTTAAAACGGCTTCGAGTGCTCTGTCGTTCAAGGAAGCATCGAGGTACTCCGTCACCAATTTTTCTTTTCCCTTGCTGTCTTTGATATGGCGTCGCAAAATCCCCAGTTCAATGCTCATATGGATCCAGAATCCTTCTTCGGGCTGCAGAAACACCATGCGATTCTTTTGCGTGTGCACATTTTGAGCGAGCTGCGAAGGAGAAAAGGCGCTTGATTGTTTGGGTTAGTACAACCATCAGGTAAAAAAAAAAAGACGAGTGAATAGGCAATAGTTACGACGTGAAATTGACGAGGGCTTGAGCGAGTCCCACCTGCTTCATTTTCACATCAGCAGGAACGACCTTTTTGGCTGTATAGTACAAGATCTGATCTTTGGTGTTCTCTTCCGATTGACTCAAGGATGAATTATACACACAGAAATAAGTCAAGGTTGGCGGGGTTTTGCCTAGCTGAATACTATGCGTGTCCACATCCTTGTCAATTGATTGGATCTCTTCCATGGAGAATAAGAGGTTCAGAAGCAGGAAACAAAAAAACTGGCCAATCGTCGGAGTACCACACACAAATTTGGCAATTCTCTTTTTGTGTGTGTTGCCAGCCGCGTTTTCCAACTCCATTCAGCACACAGTGGTTTATTTTTTTTTTATCAAGGAGAACCAAAATGACCCAGTTACTGACTTTTTCACTGAAAAGAAGTAGCATCAACTTTTCTTGCAAGGCAATGAGAAAGCATCGTAATACAGGCGACGACAACGCAAAATAACATACAAGAAGCTGGCTTGAATATTTTCGAAAAAAACGGTACCCTGACGCCCTCCTTTTTCAATTGATGGGGTCTTGAAAAATGGTATTCACAGGAATATATTATGAATAGGTGCGTCCGCTTATGAATTCATTATCGTCACAGTACTTTAAATTGCTATAGTTCTTGACAGTTGCCAACGTTATGCTGGCTGAAAAATTATCAACAAATGTATCTGGTGCACACATGGCTACAAATTTGAGAAACACCGATTATTCATGCGTTTCAATCGGCTGTCATGATTGCATGGAAAGTCGTTATGCAAAAGCCTATGTGGTGCATGACTGTGAAAAGTCAGCGTGGCTTTTTCTTCTTTTTTTTTGGGTTGTGCCAAAGATGGCAGTGACCGGATTTCCGTTCCAGTGGTTGTCCACGTGCTGAGCAGGCATCATTTGGTTAATGAGCATGCTGAAGGGAAATTCTACTAAATGAGAAAAAACATGAAATAAGTGAGCAAAAAGTGGTTCGAAAGCACAAACGGATGGCTGCATTAGTGCGATCATTTGTTTATGGTTTAGTGCTCTATCAAACATTCACGTCAGACATGCCGGCACAGCAAAAACCAAAAAAAAAGCGACTAAAAATGTATCAATGATTCGAGAATCTAGATCCTAAATTTAGCAATTAATACCTTCTATTGGGCTTTTCTCTATACACAGGTAAAATACCTTGCAGGCAGAGATGGGGTCGCGTATGCATAGGTAGGTATGACGTAGTGTGATAGCGTAGTCATATGGTGGTCATTTTACAGTGCTGAGGATCGACTCGGGGAACGGCTCCGTTGCGGTCATACTTGTCGAGTTATCACCCCCCGCCAGGCGGTGATTTTTTTCTCGATCACTCACACCCGATTGTTTGCTTGGCGGAATATCTCGGTCATGGGAGACGAAGGAAGGCAGGGAAGGGGTGTCGGATTGAACCTCCGCCATCCATACAATCTATCGTCTCAAATTCGGCTCCCGTTTTTTTCCAATCTTTTTTTTTTCCCTTCCCCTCTCATCATCATCATCATCGTCATCGTTCGACATCACCATTCAGCATGCTTGTGAAAGAATATCGTGTGATCAATAACTGCACAGAGTCAGAATATCAAGTCGGTGAGTGTTTTTGTTTTTCGTTTATAGTCGATCTTGACCATGTCAAACTGATGACGACGACCCCTCCTCCTCCTTCAATCTAGCTCAATTATACGCGACGGCTATGGCTTCCAAGGAACAAACCGGAGGAGGAGAAGGTGTTGAAGTTTTGAAAAACGAACCTTACGAGAAAGAAAACGGAGAAAAAGGTCAATACACATACAAGATCTTCCGTTTAGCATCTCGTGTGCCATCTTTTGTTCGCGCCATTGCCCCTGCGGGATCGCTCGATCTTTATGAGGAGGTAAAAACAATCTGCCAGATTTACGTCTCTTTGCCATCGAAACAACGCTTACATTGCTGGATTCTTCCTTTCACTTTAGGCATGGAACGCTTACCCGTATTGCAAAACTGGTAAGTACTAAGGGGTGATGGAACTTTAGGGGTGAATGTTGATGTTGTAATGGAGTGCGGGTTTTCCAAACTGGGAATATCAGTCAATGATACCCAACGTGCGCTATACGTGTATAAAGGAAAAGATCATCTGACGTCTTCGTTTCTTATCAATCTATTTCCGTAGTCTTAAAGGTAAAGCCTACTGCAAACCAGTCTGTATTTCTCGCGTGAAGAACTACGGAACTCACCAATTCACTGTAGAATGGTTGGATGAAAGACAACTTTTCCATTGTTTACGAAACTCTGCATGTCGATGGTTCTCGCGGTGAACGGGACAATGCGCTGAACATTTCCGATGCAGGTAGATCATCATTCCCAACCTGCGCAACCTGACTGTGAAAGCCATGTAATGATACTGATCCTATGGCATGTGATAGATCTTAAGAAGCGTGAAGTGGTGATCATTGATGTCGCTAATGATAAGATTGATCCCAAGGAATACAAAGCTGATGAAGATCCTAAACTCTTCCACTCTGAAAAGACGGGCCGTGGTCCCCTTACGGATCCTGAGTGGCAAAAGAAGTGCGAACCTGTCATGACTTGTTACAAGCTCGTATACATCGAGTTCAAATGGTTCGGTATCCAAGGCAAGGTCGAATCCTTCATTGCCAAAACCATCCACAATCTCTTCATCAAATTCCATAGGTAAGAGATTTTTGATTCGACTGTTCATCCATCGACATCCAAAAACTCACCATGCTACTACTTTAGACAACTCTTCTGCTGGACTGATAAGTGGTATGGCATGTCCATTCAAGATATCCGTGAATTAGAAGAACAGATCAAGAAGGATCTGGATGTCAAGAGAACCGAAGGCGCACCTGTTACAGATGGAGCAGCTCAATGATGGGAAAAATAAAAATAAAAAAGGGGGTATGGGAATTGATGTTTCTTACAATGATTTACTGCCACACACATCTCTCGGTTGATATATTTCCAGTGAGAAGTTCATTCTCGGCCAATATCCGTGGAATCCCGAATAGGTCTTCCGAGAATGCCTTAATTTGCTGTGTTTTGGAAACACCATTCACTGAGCGCAGCTGATCGATGAGCAGATTAAATAGACACTTGATACTACTGCCATCAGGCCCTGATTCAAACATAAGAGCTTCACTTCACAGAGGTTCTCGTCGCATGTATGATATGCTGGAAAAAAGAGAGACGTGGAAGCTCGCAGTTGCACTACATATCATACTGTGGTCGTAAAAGCATAAGCTGGCAAACGACGAGGATCCGCTTCGGCTGATGTTCTTGCCGTTTATCGGCCCTGGTAACCGTCTGTCGTGGCTGTAGGCAAAAGAGATACTACGTGTCAGTGGTGAACAATGCCATCGGGGACGGGCTGTGACTGGCTGCTGTTTAGAGACGTGCTCGCATTGTTCCAGCAGAGTCCAAAAACTACCCTTTCTAAACCATTATCTTCAATGAGTCAAGAAGCATTTCAGTTTCCTTCCATTCACGAATTTCCTCCCTTTTTCACGTACAGTAAAATGATGTACTGTCTATTGACTTTGTATGCTCACAGTGAACTTTTTGCTTGTTCAGACGCCAACCCACCGAAGCAACATGGCACAGCCAAGCAAGTCAGTGGGCCGACTTAATTCTCAGCTACTGCCGATATCATCGCATTTACCGAATCGATCTGCACCAAGTCACCATGCCCAGTGCCTCGACTCTGTTTGAAAATACCCGCATCAAACGTAAGGCGGGAAGGTCGCAATTGCTTTGGCATACTAAGAGTCAACTAACGTCTTCTTGGGAATTCTTAGGACGGTTATCTTTCGAAACCTTGCAAGATATTATTGATAGAATGGTAGACCAAGGTAGGCGCTCTATCTATGAACGTTTCTACTTGGAAGGGTTGGGTTCTTACAAGTTCACACACAGGCACGGCCGACTGGGAAGGCGGTAGTAAAGGTGATAAAAGTCAAGCGCTCATCTATTGGCGGAAACCGGAAGATTGGGCCAACCTTATTTGGACCTGGGTAAGATTACATTTCATGCAAATGCAAGTTCGGATACCATACCAACCTTGGTTACTAGGTGAATCAAGTGGGTGTCAATAACAGCATTGTCACCGTCTACGAAATTCTTCACGGGGAACTAGCGGAAGGTCAAGGTACAAACGGGGACGGCCCTCAGAACGCACTGATCTGTCATTCTAATCTGTGGTTTTTTTTTTTTTTTTTTTTTTTTTTTTTTTGCTTAGAATTCTACGAAATGGATAAAACAGTCCTTCTCAAAGCGCTCAATGTATTAGTAAAGCGAGGTCATGCTCAAATCTTTTCAAGCTCTGAAGATGAAGACAGTATGGGCGTCAAATTCTTTGGTTCGCAGTGATATCAATAATGATAACAGAATACCACTGTAAACGTCATTTTTCTTAAATTATCCACCAAATTCCATGTTCTTATTTCCGCAACAGCTTCATTGCCCAGTCAACCGAGATGAATATCTTGGCAGTTTTCTTCATTATTAAACAAAATTTCAAAGAAAAGAGTTACGGTTGGTGTCTGTCGTGAAGGTTTGCCCAGCCGCTCTGGAAAGATCGAGTCCAACTTGAAGAGATAGTATATCCATCAAGGATGTCGTGTGGGCTCCAGGCGGAGCATGGGATTCTGAACGAATGTAATTGCTGAAGATCGGTCCGATTCGTTCAGTCCAGAGTTGCGGGGGTGCTTCCAAAATTTAATCATGACCTATGACTCGGTAGGCATCTTGCAACGATTTTGGCCCATTCAGTATGGCGACCATCCACTGCAACTGCTGGGCGAACAGGGCACGATATCATAGCAGCGTGGTGCTTTAATACAGTTTACACTGGCAATTTGCGGTAACCTTTGTTGCGCATCGCCATGTGGGTGACAACAGCCCGAGCCGATCGGTTGATCGTGAGGCATGCCAGCATTTCAACGAAACTCGAAATTTATTTATTCGTACATATGAAGGCAATATCAAACTGCTTGCTTTCGTCAATATATGTATTGTTTTATTTCTGCTGCTGATTGCGAATGGACACTTGTTCGCTCAAAACTGCCAGTGCTGCAAGTTTCTTGACATCGCACCTTTTTTGGCCGTGCGCCGTCGACTGGTCCCAAGGAATACATGCATGCTTTGTTCTGTTTGAGGATGTTGCTATTGCCTGTACCCCGAAGTGTTGTTTTAACTGTTTTTCCTACTATCTCCTATCATTATTCCATGTTCCCAAATTCTCCTTAAGTTATGTGTTTTTGTATATTTATATTTCTTATGCCGATGATGCTGTGCTGATGGCGGCTTTATTTGGCTTGTGGTGTAGATATAGTGTCTCTACGAAATATAACATCCGTTTCATAAACGGCCTTTCGAACAATCCGCCAATATTGCATTGCTCGATCAAAGAAGGTAACTATTTCCTTGCGTTTGATTATTTTTTTTTTAAAAAAAAAAGGCGATTCCGCCTCCTAAATTTTCTCATTCTTGTTGTTAAAACTCGATGCATGGAATGTTCTGAAATCCATACACGATGTCAATTGTACATGAATTTTTCCAACTTCAGTTTGGTACGTTTGGTCGAACGCAGGCGACGAGGCTGCTAAACAATCCCATTGATTCGGGTGGAAATAGCCGATGTTCCGAATTGCCTATGTAAACATAACATTACACATGGCTATTTATTTAGGACGGTAGGTTGACTATAGGCCCTGTTTCTCTGTTTAGAGGAAGGGCTACTGTGTTCCCATAGATATATGGATGTTGGTAGTGCGACACCTATTACTTTTCGCCCGAAATATTGGTTCGGTGTAGTTTTATAAATATCAAAACGACATGGCATATTCACATGGAGTTTCAATCCGGCTATCTGGATCCTCAATATCAAGAGTAAGGAGACATAAATGACGCAAAGCGAATTTCTTTTTTGTTTTCAAAGCAATTTCAATACGTCATTCAAATCTGTCACAAGTTTTGCTGAATAACAGTTGTCGCCTCCTCTTTCCTCTGTTGCTAGCTGGGAACTGCGTACTTCGAGAAACAAATGTTTCCGAAAAAGATACAGTGAAGAAAAAAAGACACGCATTCTATAAGACAGTTACAATGGGATTTCTATTTTTGGACGAGACGGCTCTGAGAAAAAAGTAACTAATAATAAAAAATCCAACTGGCGGTGGAATGACTGCACGCCATTGGGAGGATTACAAAAAGAATTTTTATTTCAAAAAGATGGCATGACAACGGAAGGATTAGGAAGAAAGCTATGGATGTGTATCTATTGGGCTCAAACAATCAAAATAATCATTGATGCACAATGAAAATAAAGAAGCCCAAATTAGGCCTCAAAGGAATGAAGAATGGACTAGAAAAATTAAGAAGGAAAAAAAAGAGGGCAGACGTTCGTTAGCCAGCGTTGCGATTCGGATTGGGCACACAGGAAGAGTAAGGTGACACGGCATACAAACCCCGTCCTCCCCTTGACCCCAGATACACCCAGCTGGTTATTACGGATATTCTTGCACCATAAGCATATGCCTCTCTAATCTTGCTACCACTCACCTGGCCCTTTTTTTACCTTTTTCTTTCTTTTTCTCTGTTTCCTTTGCTTTTGCACTGGACTATCCCTAAGTTACCCATGCCGACCGTCACCACTACCCAACCTAATCCTGTTTCTACCGCCATACCCACTACACCGGCGCTGCGTCAATCTCTAATTATGGCATCTAAAAATCCTACCCTGTCTGAAAATGGCCAGGATCTTTTACATTCTCCATCCCTGGATCATTCAATAGAAAATAATCACTCATCACACGTTAGAGACGTCATCTCAACTAATCGCTATACCCCAGATACACTTCATTCTCCGGTATCTGCCCATACCGACAAACATCTGACAACGCCAGACATCGAATCGCCCTCGTCGACAGCCGGTCTCACACGCGCGCTCGAAACAGACGACGAACTGTTGACAGAAATCATTAACATTTCAACAAATAATGGATCCCACTTGTTCTGGTACAGTGATTAATTCATGATTTGCATTCTTTTTTCTTTTCTATTTTTTTAGTGCCTCAACTCATCATGTTGTTAGGGTACCTGCATCGCAACATCCGGAATTGGCACCTGCCGAATTCGAGAAATATGTGAGGAACCATGGACTGGTGGATCGAGCCAAAACGAGTATGCGACGACGTAAATCCGTTTTATCAGTCTCATTCACACCGGATGAGGAACCTATGGTGGATAAAGGCGCCGATCGAGAAGCGGCCCTGGCATCGCTGGAAGCCACACCTCGAACACGTTCCAGTTCAGTCCGTATACCAAATAAAGATCGTACATCGGACCCGAGTGATGATAAGTCAAGAACCGAAGACGATCATGACGAAACTCGCCGAAAGGAGAAACTTCGACGAAGTATGAGTCTACAGTTACCCGCACCAGGTAATAAACCAAAAAAAAAACAATGACAACTACCCACCTGCATTTGGCAACACCTAGTAACCAAAAAAAAATGAAACTCGCCTGTTTCTGGGCTATTTTGCTGCCATGGATTAGGAGACGAAAACCGAATACCCGATTTTCTCGTTTTTGATCGTCACTCGTCGCCTTTAGATCGATCTTCGGTCATTGTACCGCGAGCTGATCGTACTTCATTACTGCGACGAGGAGCAAGAACCAAGTTCCAGAGAAACTCCTCAGTAGCGGTGGATCACGGTAGTGTCAGTCCAAAGAGACCATCTGAGCGAAATTTGGATGTGCAACCAGAGCGCGAAGATCTGCATGCCAGAAACCACGTCTGTGATGTCAATGTACCTACGACAGATCCAACCATACCATTCAAAGAGACACTCCCAGAAGCTCCCGCACCATTATCCTCTCCATCTTCCTCGCCAATGTGCTCAACGGAAGAAGTCCCAGACGAAGTTCAAATTCTGGCGGTCCGAGAAGAAGAAAATCGGATACCGAATGAAAAACGGCCAGAACGCAAATCGACCTGGACATGGGCTTTTTGGTCGGATGAAAAGACAAAGAAACCCAAAACAGACCAGCCTACCAAGTCAGCGGAAGACAGGTCAAAGAAGCGAGACTCACCTCCCGAGGTGGCCGCAGCCATCCCCTCCCCTTCTCCCACTCCCAGCAGTAAAAAATTTGGTCTCTCATCGTTTTTCCGCAAATCCTCCTCCAGCAGCATCAGCCACACTTCCACTAAATCGAATCCCTCTGACACCACCCAAACTCCCAACGTCACCGCTCCTGCCGACTTTCAACTCAATCGAATGCAAAATCGACTCCCCATTCACATGGAGCGTGCTATTTATCGCTTATCACATATCAAACTAGCCAACCCTCGACGACCGCTGCATGAGCAAGTTATTATTTCCAATATGATGTTCTGGTACCTGTCCATCATTAGCTCCCAAAATCATGGTGGTGAGCAACCTTCCAAAGCCAAGATGGTGGCTGCCACCAAAAAGCAGAGAAAATCTCGATCGAGGCATAACTCGCGACCGAATCAGCAAATGAAAAAGAAGGAAGTGCCACTGCAACAATACATGAGTAGCACAAAACAGTCGACAGGGTTTGTGATACCGGACAACTATCTTCGTACTGGTCCGGAAAACCACAAGATGGCCCACGCTCGGAAAAACAACAGTTCCGACGATGAGTCGGATGAAGACGATATGGAGGAGGACGATGACTTGGATGAAGAAAGCTCTTCGGATGAAGACGATAACTACATCACAAAAAAGAAAGTCACCACGCGCCCCAAACTCCCTCGACCGTCTTTGAAAAAGCGATCGGCCAAAGAAGATGAAGATAATGTGCCATTGGCTATGTATAGAAAAGAAAAAACGTGTTAAAAGAGTAAAAATAAACGCAAAACAAAGGACAAAAAAGAAACAGAGAAACCCGCCCCAACTCTCCGTGTTCGATCATCTGGTTTTACTAATGATAATTATTTCGTTGAACTATTTCGATGTGAAGAAAAGACAAAAACATTGATCAATCGCTACACTCATGAACTCGTCAAGAAGGTCTTAAAAAGGCAAGTCAATGGTGTGTCCCATGTGGCGACATGTTTCAATGCCGCTTCAAATCGCTTTTATCGGAGAACAATACGGTTCTGTGCGACCAAAGGAAAAAAAAAATGTATCTGATAAAACACCAAAGCAGGGTATTTTGAGGAAGAGAAGAAGAACTGCACTGTTTATAGTTCACGGTCATCAAATGTTACAATGCTTAAGATAAATAAATGTATCAATCGATTATAATACAGAGATTTTGGATACCTTTTGGTCTTATGTATTCGTGAATGCTCAACCAAAAACAATTCACCCAAGAGAAAAAGTTTACAGTGAATTTGACCTGCTTTTTTGTTCTATGTTCAGCAATGTGCGCAAATAAAAAACTTGTGTGACATTTCTTATCTGACAAAATCTCCATTCAAATGCTCCTGCCAAAAAAAAAAAAAAACAAAAAAAAAAAGCTAGCATCTCATATTTAATAGAATGAGGCGTAATATATACAAGAGAATATAGTAAGAAAAAAAAAAAGAAAATACTGCCTATGGATGCGGGTCGCCAGGACACAATCTAGTATCACCATCCCATGAGCTCTCCAGGAGTCCATGACAATGATCGCTCTGTCGTGGTATATAGAATTACAAGATTAATAGAATATCGGAAAGGAAAAAGCAGAAAATAAGAGGGTGAATAAAGAGGGAAAAAAAAAGAGAAGACATTTCCATGATCAGCCATCGTTGGATTCGATGGTTTGCATCTTTTGATTCGACCAGAATACGTCATGAAGTCGATGAATATAACCGGAAAACGTAGATCCTTTGCTGCCGATGAAAAGCCAACCTCGACTGGCCACGGTGGCATCCACTAACGGCACAAGGAACTTGCGCATACTTTTTCCAGACAGTTCATGTTTCTCCTTGTCGAGCGCCATCCAAGCTTCATCGTCCGGACCCATCAAATCATCGATTGTGAACGTACAAGGATTATTGGCCCATAAAGGATCAAATGCCGGCGTCGATCGAGGAGCCCGTGCGTCCGTTGCCATATATATTAAAGTGATATTGTTTGTTTTGGCCAATTCCAGACATTGTTCCAAGGAAAGGGCGAATCCTGCCGTGACTTTGGACGTGAGTGGCCATTGGTCGGTTGGTGCAACGACACGGTTAATTTGCGATACGGTGCTGTTGATATTTTCTGGAAGTGCCTTGACAAACCAACCATCCCCCGATCTGGTAGAAAAGAACCAAAAAAAAAAATCAACAAGGTTAAAAAAAGAAAAAATTCCTTCCACGTTCATTCCTCCATGTGGATCGATGAACGGTTTTCAGACCTCCACTTCTGCATTTGTACATTAATATACTGACATACCTTATGTGTAACCCCATAAAGTTGCCTGCGCCTCCCAAGCGGCGCACAAGCTCTTCAGCGAGTTGAAGCACAGCAGGGTGACGATACGTAATACTGCGCTGCAACGTACGAAGGAACTCGTAATGTTCAGGTCGTCGAATGGGAAGCTTGCCAGTACCGAACAAACTCGAGAAATGAATAAGCTTTTCGGATCGCTCTCGCAACTGGTAAATATCCAGACTGGCTGCATATTTTCCCAATCGATGGGCTTTACGAGGCGTATCGAAAATTCGCCAATCGTACCGCGTTTCACCTGAAACCCGAATAAAGAAAATTTCATTGTTAACATGCCTGATTGTCTTTTTGTTTGGATTTGACTATCTTTTTTTTCGTGTGTTGACGATCCCATGCGACACATTGGATGGAGATCTATCTTACCTTTGAAGAATAAAATATCACCGTCCACGTAGGATCCGCTGGGGCGGCTTTCTTCGCCCCCACGCTGAATGCCGAACTGAGTTTCTAGCCAATTCAGATCAGACTGGTCGCGTAGAATAATTTTAACGTTCTGTTTCGCCCATGAAAGATCGAAAATTTCGTCAAACGGCAAAAGTGCATATCGCTCGCGATTAGGACACGAAATGTTCCACTGCTGTATCTCGATGGTATATTCGTCACAGTTGGTGGACGTGCTTCGATCGCGTATCATGTGTTCCAGATGCAGCTTATCAAATGGACTCCATCCAAAAGGTTCGCCCAAAAGAGCCTTGGGTAAGATCAGAGTTCGATTCAGATACCATGCCAACAAAATCCCATTTTCCACTGTAATCACAGAAAAACAAAGTATATATGTTAGATCAATAACGTATCGTTTGATAAGGAATAAAGCAGTCAAACCGCAAAAAACGCGAAGATCACACCAAACAAAAATAAATAAATAAAAAGGTGGCGCATTTTGCTTGATATGGTACCTTGTATAAGTTGGTTTTGGAAACCGCTGTGAGTGAAGAAGGTGATGTATTTCTCGTCAGGATCGATAATTGGTAACGCTGGAGATGCTGACGGCAACAGTGTGGATGGGGTCGTCAAGGGGTCTGGAGTTATTTCTGATTCGGGATCGAGCTGCCAAGACTGAGGCGGTTCAAAGTTGACGAGATTATCGTTCTCTTCGCTAAACAAATCCGACTTGTTCGCTTGCAATTGTGATAATGTAAGAAAAAAGAGATAAAAAATACATAGTGTACAAAGCAACAAGACCTTGTGTCGAAAGGTCATGATGAAGTAGACAAACGGAAAAGAAAAGGAACGGAAAGGGCCACGATGTGAGGCAAGGACAGTAACAAAAAAAAAAAAAAAAGTGCCAAACAAAGCTCAGCTGTGGTCCAGTTACACGGTTTTTTTGAGAGTCGCAGCAAATGAAGACTGGACAGTACAAAAATAAACCTGTCGGAAATTGGAAATCGCCGTAACCAGCGTATTCAGCTTGTATAGCCCGCTTTCAATCCCTTTATGTATCACGTTCCTAGCCGTTAGTAAATTTGACCTTGCGAATGGCATCATGCACAGCGCTTCATCTATGTGACAGGTTTTTCTATTGCAACTCAATGCAGATCACAATGACGCTTTTAAATCAATGCTTCACATAGATTATTTAGGTCATTTGAGTTCCCGACATTTATTTTTAACTTCATGGTGATAGGCCCAAACACAACAAGCCAGGACTCCGGCATTGCCGATAGCCTTACTTGCCTCTTTTGTACTCTTCAAGTTATTAATCACATTGTCCACTTTAATCAATTTGTGAGTGCTGATTTTCACGTCCCTCCCCAGACCCGCACACTCATTTTATGGCCACGAAGCAGCATTGATTGAACGTCCGGTCATAATACATTCGTGAAACATCCACACCCACTTGCATACTCGGGCATAATTCAGTCCACTCAGAATTTGCCATCACATACAAGTGCATCCATTCGTCCAAACTGACTCTAATCTGCACAGAAGAGTTCCGAGCAGTGATCGTTGGCTTTTTTATTCTTTGCGGGAACTACGCTTGTACTCCTTCAATACATTGTCAACCATATCACAAGATAGCCCTAGATAATGTCGCGGATCACACAATTGATCTATTTGCTGATCCGAGATCAGCTCGGTCACTTGAGGGTCGGATTTCAATATTTCAGCCAAGGTTTTATGTTCTGATGATGCTCGGCGGCAACAATCATACACAAGATCATGCGCTCGCTTCCGATCTAATAGGGGAGCCAGTCTTATCATCACCGCCTCGGAGACCACCAGGCCATTGGTCAAGTAAAGATTTCGAAGCATGGCTTCAGGGTGCACTACGAGACCACCCATCAAGTGGCAAGCTTGATCCAGTGCACCGGCGGTCAAAATGAATATCTCTGGCAAAACGATCCATTCTGTGACAAGTGTCAATTTTAGCAGCTCTCTGTTGTGCGACCAAGGGAAGCATCGACATTAATTACCAATGACCCAAGGTCCGCTGGACCTTTCGTGGTCTTGCACCATGGACTCCATCAGCGCGGCTGCATGTTGACGTACGGTAGCGGCTATAGCATGGATGTAAACACAGCTTATAGGGTTCACCTTGTTTGGCATGGCGGAACTGGAGCCTCGATGAGGTACAAACGGTTCAGAAACCTCCCCCACTTCTGTTTGCATCATAAGCTTGCCGACTGTTGGTCAGAAAAACGTTGAAAGAGTTCTCCATATTTATATTCACAATACCTTGACATCCGTGGCGCACTTCGATAGGGTCCCGCATAACATGGCTAAAAAAGTTCCAGTCTCGACAATCCCATCACGCTCTGTATGCCACGCGATTTCCGGTACGCGGAGGTCGAGTTCCTGTGCCAATTGCTCTTGACACTGAGTGGCCTTCAGTGAGTCCGTAATGGAGGCCAAAGTACCTGCAGCACCCGAAAATTCCAATGTGAGAACTCGCTCACGGATCTGTGCCATTCGCTTCCTGTGGCGCTGAAGCGTAGCTAAAAGACGCGCCATTTTGAATCCAAAAGTGATCGGTACCGCTTGCTGCATATTACTTCTTGCCACCACTACATAGTCAATCGAGACGACTTGTATGAGCGTTTCTTTCAAACTTGATGTCGACCTTGTACGTACTTGGCTGTTCTCTGTACTTTTCGGCCAAATTGGCAATATGGTGCATGAGTTCGTCAAGCTGGTTTTCGATTAAGTCAAGGGAGGCCCGAATAGCCATGACTGTGGCGGTGTCCGTCACATCCTGAGTGGTTGCACCAAAATGGCACCATCCGCCAAGTTCGTGGGGACATAGAGCAACGATCTGTTGCACCACTCCCAGAACCGGATAACCGATAAGTTCGGTATCTCGCTTCAACTTTTCGAAATCCATGTTCTCAATCTTGCATTTCTCGACAATCACATCACGAGCTTCCTCCGGTATGATGGCCAATCTTGCCTGGGCGATAGCAAGCGCAGCTTCCCACTCTAAATAGTACTCGGTCCGTCTTTTGTCGGACCAAATGTCTAAGGATGTGGTAAGTCTATCTCTATCCAAGGCTGATCAGCTACAGTGTTATAACCTCGCATAGGGCCGGACCCAAAGATATCTCTGAAAATACAAGAATCAATTATGCTTGACATGATATGAAAACGAGGGCAAACGAAGAACAAAAAGAAGAAGCCGCGAGGTTTCAGTTCAAGCAGCTATAAATGATAGAATCTTGAAAAATCCGCAGCCATTCGTCAAGAAATTGTCTCTATTGACTTATTGTTTATGTTTATATTGATATCCCTATAAAATTCTTGGAACTCGCATGATGCAGCCAAGAAAGGTTGCTGTCGAAAGAAGAACCCCAGGAATGTACGTCTTCCATGGAAGAGAAAACAGCCTAGTCAGTTGAAAATGGGTATATCGTTACTTTGTCAAAACAGTATCCGACTTGAGTGTAGCATATCCAGCTTTGTCTTTTCGTCTCAGCAACGTCAAGTCTTTACATGGTGGGATACAAAGCCACCCTTGAGCCAAAGTAAACGCTTACTCCTACATCAATAACAGAAAGAACTTGAGAAAAGAGTGCCTGCAAATGGTGCATCTGATCATAGCCGAAAAAGACAGTTCATTCATGCTTGTCAGAGTTATTAGACACCTTGTTGAATGACTGGACGTAAAGTTTTTATCAAGACAGGACTACTGTTAAAGTAGTCGAAGCCGATCTGCGGCTAACGCAATAATAATCTCCCATCTCAAAACGATTCTCAAGGCTATCCACTTGTCCCTCGGAATTGAGCGCCCATGAATAGGGTTTAGTTCATCAAAGTTCGCGCGGTTGGTGAAACCACGGTCGGTTTTTCCAACGTTGAGATATTTTTCAAATGCCGATCATGTTGACCAATGGCCAGTTCCAACTCGCGTTACGTGACTGTGAAATTTGACGACGAAAAAAGGCTCCCCTTTTCTCCAACCCTTATCCCATTTCACTTTTCTGTTCCCATAAAGCAAGCTTGTTCTGGGCTTTGCAGAACTTTTTGACCAAGCAGACGAAACCAATCCTTTGGACGACTGCATTATTTTTCTTTATTTTGTATTGCTATGGTGTCGGAAACTCCGTTACAGCAACCACCCGTCGTGACTCAAAGGTAGACCGAACCCTTTTTGGACGAACGCCTACTAACCTTGCTTTTCTTTTTTTCATCGCAGTGTATCTGCTTCTGCCAGCGACTATTCTTCCCCCATGCCTGCATTGGACATGCCGAGGAATCCCAATGGCGGATCGCCAGTTACCGATACTGTAAGACGGCTTCATCCTATAGAACACTCGAATTCTCGCCATTCTTCACCACTTCGATCTTCTCCTGCTCCAGTCCTTTCAACGTCTCCGGCCATGCATGAACTGCATCCATCTTCTACTCATGGACCCCCCATGTCCGATATGCCGTCCAATAGTTTACTTGGTTCTACTTTACCTTATCGGAGCCCTGTAACGACTTCTATTCCCGTCCGTGTTTCTCCACCTTATGAGAGACAGCGTGATGCGGCCACCCAATCCCCGCAAGCGTCAACAGTCACACCCTCCTCTTCAGGCAATCCCTCCGCCGGAGGCTACCGTCCCCTCAATGTAAAAGACGCACTCACCTATCTTGATCAAGTTAAAGTCAAATTCGCGGACCAGCCGGATGTATATAATCGATTCTTGGATATTATGAAGGATTTTAAAAGTCAGGCGTAAGCATTGGAAGCAGATCGATAGCTGTATTTATTCCATCGCGATTGGCTAACTTTTCTTTTTTTTTTTTCATTCGTGATAGTATTGATACGCCTGGAGTGATCGAACGCGTCTCAACACTGTTCAAGGGATATCCTGCGCTGATTTCGGGATTTAATACATTTTTACCACCTGGTTATAGAATAGAATGTTCCGTCGATGCCTACGAAAGAGATATCATCAAAGTCACTACACCTTCCGGTGTGACAAGCACGACCCACGGCGAACCGCTCAATCTTCCTTCAGATACTCCTATGACGGCGGATGCGCCTCCACCTCCACCACCGCCGTCTCATTACTATCCTCATCTATCGACATCCATTCCCTATCATCCATCCTCAATGTCTTATGATGTAACGAATCGTGGCACTTCTCGGAACGTTGATCCACCACCGATACCTGCTCCTCTGCTACCGATTTACCATCATCACACTTCCTCACCCCAAGCGCAACCTTCGCAGATCAATGGAATGTCGGAAACAGATGCATCCTCCAATCGTCGTGTACCTGTGGAATTCAATCACGCCATTAATTATGTGAATAAAATCAAAGTAAGTGGCAGATCGAAACGAAAAAAGCTATTGCGCGAGCTGTGTCTCATGTATCCCTGGTTGCAAGAATCGATTTGCGGCGGATCCCGAAATTTACAAGCAATTTTTGGAGATTTTGCAAACTTACCAAAAGGAGCAAAAACCGATCCAGGAAGTATGTTTGAAACTGACAGATCTCTGCTATTTTCTATGATGCTCACGTCTTGTTGCATGTTTCTTTAGGTCTATGCTCAAGTGCAAGAATTGTTCAATGGAGCAACGGATTTGTTGACGGAGTTCAAGCAGTTCCTTCCTGATACATCGGCAAGTCAGCCAATGGCAGGATCGGTTTTGTTTGGTGGTGGTAAGCGAGCACGCAAAGATAAGGGCAAGCTTTTTCTGGTTTTGGTCCCTAATGATTATTGTTCCTTCTAGTATCGTCAAAGGATAACATTGGAAAAAGAAAAAGAGGTGGTTTGGCCGCTACTGCAGGCAGTGTATCAAAGGTAGGTGGAGAATTGCCTTGCTGCGTCAGCGCCCTTTCGGGATCGACTAACATGGGGATCGACAGAACTTGAAACGGTCGAAACTTCTCCATAAACCCGATATCCAATTGTCTGATGTGCGCTCAGATATCAACCCTGATTTCGACTTTGATGGTCCGAATTTCGCCGCCGACGAAACCGAATTCTTTGACCGCGTGAAAAAACACATCAACAACAAATCCAACTATCTCTTGTTTTTGAAAATGCTCCATCTCTTTAGCGAACAGAGAATCGACCATAACGAATTGATTGATCGTTTGGGAAACCTAATTGGAGACAATAAGGAGCTTTACGACAAACTCAAGACGCTGGTTGGCTACGATGGCACCGATTGCATTATCGAGAATATACCCGCCACCTCTGTGAAATATGACTTGTCACGATGCAAAATCAACGGCGTCAGTTATCGACGCCTTCCTCGAGAAGTAAGAAGCCTTATCACTGCTGGTATCAGTAAATGATGTATTCTAATCACGGCAGTTGACTTGTGTAGTGGCGAAATGATGTATGTTCTGCGCGTGATTCATTGTGTAAAGAGGTGTTGAACGATGCGTATGTTTTGCGACCATTATGGTCACGGGAAAATGCCCGCTATGTGACCAAAAAACGAAATCCATACGAAGATGCCATGAATCGAACCGAGGAAGAGCGGTAAGTCATTCTTGAAAGGCAGAAATGAGTTTGAAAAAATTTCATGATAACCGATACTTGGACGCAGTTATGATTACGATTTAAACATCGAGTCAAACTTGAGTACCATTGCTTTACTGGAACCGATTGCGAAAAGGCTATCAACCATGACGGAGGAAGAAAAAGCCGAACTACGACTTCCCGTAGGATTGGGGGGTCCGTCCAAAACTATTTATCAGAGCGTTATCAAGAAGATTTACGGCAAAACCCGCGCTGCCGATGTGATTCGGTCCCTGCATGAAAATCCTTCTGTGGCGGTTCCCATTATCTTGACTCGATTAAGGCAAAAAGACGATGAATGGAGGAAAGCCCAAGTAAGTGCAATCATATTTTTTCTACAAGTTGAAGTTTTTGAGAATGTTGGTTCTTATCATGCACGGTAGCGCCAATGGAATAAAGTATGGCGAGAGATTGAAACCCGAAATTACTTTCGGTCTCTTGATTATCAGGGGCTGTCGTTCAAAAAGATGGACAAAAAAATCATTTCCACCAAGGAACTGATTGAGGAGATTGAAGGATCATCCGAAATGCAAGACCTTTCAATATCGGCCTCACGACATGGACGTGATAGACAGCTTTTATACTCGTTTGAAGATCGGCCGCTCTTTAGGGACGTTACGCGACTTCTCTATTCATTTCTGGAACGGCAAACCCTGTACACGGTGGACGAATGTGAATTGATGCGATCGTTTATCGAAGTGTTTATACCTGCTTTATTTGATATTCCCGATATTCAACCCGATATGGATCTATCTGAACAAGAATCTGAAGAATCGCGACTTCGTCAAAGTGATGATTCCGAAACCGAAATCATGTCTGCATCTGCTCAGCGAAGTTCAGGGCGTGGACGCGGCTTCTCCAAACGGTCGACAACGCGACGTAAAAAGCCCTTGAATAATCGCAAATCCCGTCGAAGAAGAGGTTACACGCCCAAAGAGGAAGTCCAAGATGATTCGGCCGATGTACCGGATCCATCTGTGGAAGAAGATGATGCTGAGACTGGAATAGTATCCAAGGATGCCGACAACGACACTGTCACAGATACTGCACCTTCCATATCGGATTATCCTGCCGCCGTGCCGGTCAATTCCGTAGACGATGAGCTAGTCAGGGATAGCCTATTCTATTTTTTCGGCAACGATCATTTCTACTGTTTTCTACGGTTATACCAGGTTTGGGTTTTTTTATAGTCGACTAAAAATGTACAGCTTGTTTATTAACCTGGTGGTTAGATTATCTATGATCGGTTGGGAAAAATGAAGGCGCTTGATGCCGAGTACAAGTCAGACATTGAGAAAGAAAAGAAAGCCAACAAAACTTTGATGGAAATTGGTGTGATGAACAAGCAATACCATGGTAAAAATAGCAAAATCTTAACAGACAGTCTAGCGCAGTCAATTTACTCTATTGATTTAGGCATCGAAATTGATGGGGATCGAGGGTATTATCGCACCATGCACAACATCATTGATCGCTTTTTCGAAGGAGAAGTGGATCATCAAATATTTGAAGAATGCATACGTTACCTCTACGGCAATCAAGGTTACTTCATTTTTCCTATTGGTAAATTAATGGTGGCCATCATGCGTCAGGTACAGAAAAACGAGCTCAGAAAAAAGAAAACGAGACATGTCCTTTGTATTGATATCGTACGAATTATTATTACAGATGCATTTCATCATTGCGGACAAATCCACGCAGGAAATTTTGGATCTAATGAAAAAGACAAACGAAGCAGAGCGTGTGACCTCGGAAATTCTAAAACAATATCAATCAACAGTGAAACGCATGATTGGCGACGACGAAAAATTATACAAATTTACCTTTGTAAGTCCTTTCTTTATTTTGATTACTCACATGGATGCAAAGCAAGTATACTCAAATGTCAGCAGAATTATCAGGATCGAATATTGTCTATACAAATGGCAACTTCAGGAACGGCTGCAGAAAAGACCAAGGAAATGGAGGACTACAATGCATACGTATCAGAGTTCTTTAACTGGGCCGAAGCGACGCCTGGAATTCAGATGAATGAATTACGGCGACCGTTTTTGGCAAGGTAACGTTTGAAATGGGGCATGAATTATTCAGACTGCTGACCAAGAGATCGCATAAAGAAATCGTACTATAGGATCCATTGATGAACCAAGAAGGATGGATCGGTTGGAGTATAATATATGTCCAAGTACCTATCGTTTATTCTACGTCAATCACACGGAGGACATGCTTTTCCGTAAAAGAGATACCGATATGACCGATAATGAAGGAAAGCCGGTCACCTTTCCGTTCCATCAAAGAAACATCAAAATTCTATCCTGATTTGTATATAAAATAATCAATCCATACATGTAATGACTATAAACCAAAGATTCGCTATTCCTTTTTTTTTGGCTCTGAAGCTGTGACAAAAAGCATATTTTTTTTGTGGTTCCCTCGCGGATTTTTGTTTTGTTGTTTTTGCGAGGCGGCATTTGTTTGTTATACGGATTTAGTTTGTTATAGGTATTTAGTTTGTGCGACCAACTCTAATCAGTTATGGTATACTTGAGCCGTGGGACAGGGGAATAGCCACAAGCATTCTTCTGTCGCATTGTTACACATGAAGGAAAACCGGCTGCCAGTAACGACTTTTTAAACATTCAGTCCAACTGGAGTGGCTATTTGAGCAAACTTTCTTTCATGACATCATCATAGCCTACGCACAGATTCATTATGGGTGATAGAGCTAGTTGATGGACTAATAGTTAGCGATAGTTTTTTTTTTGGTTTTTTGTTTTTTGTTTTTTGTTTTTTTTACTTGTCACAACGACGTAGGGAGAGGGAGAGATAGAGGAAGCAATCTGGTATAACGCGAAAATAGATACGATGGTTTAAATGCACAAAGAAGGATAGGATGCAGATATGTTTACTGGAGCGACCATGGGGATGGCCCGAAAGGGAGCTTGCGATGTACGCTCCTTGAGCGCTGGGGTGCTCAAGCGAGTCAAAGCGTCTTGACCGCCAGTATGGTGAACAATGGCTGCACTGTCAGCAGCATTTTGATTTCGTACTGTCGTAGCAGGATTGTTTCGTCGATTTGGATGATGGTCATGTTCTCCTCCATGGAGAGGCTGTGATGAATTTTTGGAGCTGCTGCTGTAAAATGAGCGTCTCTTAGGTTGGTCAATGGGCGGTGTCAATGAGTCTATCGAAGCATAAGAGGTGACGGCACCAGCGACTTGACGGGCAAGGTGTAAATCCTTCTGTATGTCCTTTTTCCCAAGACCTAATGGCAAAGAATGTATTGAGCCATGACAAGTGAAATAGTTAAGGACTATCAGTTATCGAATGATAACATTCCACACAACAACAGAAGGTATAGGGGAAAAAAAGGATATAAATCACACTAGGTCGCGTGGGGGACATCCCATCGGAGGAATCGTCGGATACGGAAGAGTCTGTAGAGAGAAAATAGGGAACAGTAGTTGAATAAAAGGGTCGAATGTCGCGAGGAGATCGTGATTGGTGTTGGTGTTTACCTTGAGAGGCCGAGCGTGCAGAGTATTCTTGCTGCAGTCGAATGATCTTTTGCTGTACGAGGTGCATCATTGACCGTCGAAGCGATAATTTATCCAACTTAATTTAACCATATCGATCAGACCGAATGCTGATTGAATGCATTTGACAAAAACAAAAAAAAATCACTCGCGCAATGCTTATTACCTGATACTCATCATGGGCCATTTTTTCCAGAGAGACAAAGTTATTTCTTATATTGACCTGCTGCAGATCACGTTTTCGCCCAATAGCGTCCACAGACCGGTCTTTCTTCAATTGGATATCTTGCAAAAGATTATTATAATCTGCCTGTGTTCCGTTCATGATCGCTCTTTCGATGTTTTCCAGTTCTGCTAATCTTATCAAAAAAAATCTTGTTAAATACTGCTGAAAGGTTCTGTCATTAAGGAAAAACATGCTTCCAATTAACCTTTCTTTTCTCTTTTCGCTCCGTTGAGACGCTTTTGTGTCTTTGGAATGTTTGATTGGACTTTCAGCTGGGTTCTGAGCTTCTGCTGTAGTTGATGTTCCGACGGGCCTGGATGTGCCTGATCGCTTTTTGACGGATTCAATCGAACTGGAGGGTGAGTGCCGTCGCTTTGCTGATTTGGTCAAGTTGTCGCCTGATCCATTGGATAATACAGCGGTTGTTTTAGATTGGCGAGTAGACGAGGTGGGAGCAATAGTAGCGGTACCAAGTGCTTGTTTGTCTGTTTTCCCCTGTTGTGACGGATTATCAGTTGCAAGGGACGAGTTGGCGACGGCGAAGCGACTTGCTCTCCGGGTCAATACGCGGGGAATGACCAAAGTCGAGTTTGCAGTGCCTTTTGGTTTGGCCATGTCGAGCGGGTGGCATTCACAAAGCAGAGCAAAAGGGAGAGAACGGAACAGGAAAACGAGATTCAATAAGGGAAGCGGCTGAAATGAAGAAAAGGGAAATTCAAGAGGCGCAAGCAACCATTCGACGGCGGCGTTTGAAATTGTACCCCATTTCGGAAAACCTGTGTTGATCCGAGAACATATTGGCCTTCGTCGATCCTTTGCTCCAAGAGGATCAAAAAGGGGGAAAACTTTTTTGGATTCAACTCTAAATATAATGGATCAGCAACTACCATACTGTATATAGTGTGTATAAGCAAGTCATCCATTGTTGGATTGTGATCTAATGTAATGAAGCCTTTTTTTTTCCCACTGGCGAAAAAGAGACCATGCCTAAAATCACCTACTGTTAATTGTTGTTAACCGCAATAACCCGGTTTTATAAAGTATGATTATATGGATTTTGAACTCTGAAAGTATGTGAATTTTTTCGCACAGAAGCTTCTTACGGAGTCAATTATTGAATCACCGGTACGCAAAGGTATGCACGAAAAGATGTCTTTATAAAGATCTGTTCCAAATAATCACTCTGAAATGTTTACACCAGATGTTGTTTCATGGTAGACAAAATATACTACCGCATTTGAAAAATGGGAATGCATTATAAGCATTCAATCAAGCTGTTGAATAAAAGTGCGTGATATGGTTGACAGTAAGACGAAGCGTTTCAAGAAAGAGCAAAGGCGAGAGTTGGCAACTGGCACAATTCTGTAGGACGCGGGACGGCTGAGATTAAACTTTCACGCGCTTGCAATAACTGTGACAAAAGAGCCGCAGTTTGAGATATTTTTTGTCTTTTCGTCTTTCCTTTCCAACATGTTTAAACCTTTTTGCTGACAACATTGCCAATCAGTCTTTTCACACTGGCTTCATTGCAACGCATACACATACAATGGATCATAAAGAGGCCGTCCTTCCATGCGCAGTCCGTACTGAAAAGCATTCGATAACATCGAGACGACCGGAGCTCTCAGAATGATCAACGAAGTGCAACTGCATTCCCCATTGAAGCTGCCAATGGGAGGTATGGGTCACTGCCCTAACCGGTCTTTATCGACCTGCCGTTTCTTACTTGACCTGCAGTTTGAACCAATACAGTCCTCGCTTGAGACTGTAAGTGGCAGGCTTAACATGCCATTCGTACCAATACAGTCTTTTTAATTGGGGTGTCGGCAGCCTGCCAGAAACTTAACGAAGGCAAGAAAAGCATTAGTAAGGAAACAAGAGAAAGACGGACGAGCCCTTGCAAGAGGAGAAGCACCCGCCTCGATGACGAAAGGAATCGCGCGAAATATTTCTATTCAAGAAGACGGAAAGCCCTAAAAAATTTGATATAACATATTCACGTTCTTGAAGTGAACCTCACTCTATGTGTATGTGGGCCCTTTCAATCTTTATTTTATGATTATTATTTGTTGAATGACAAATGATACTGACAGTAACGTGCTTATATTACTTTGCCGTTCCTAGTATTACCGGCTCCTTCACGTGCCCTCTAGTGGAATGCAAGGCACAGTGAGCCACATTCAAGGCTCATATGGCAAACCAGCATCAAGGGACAATTCCGGTCTTGGCCTACGAAAACAAGGGAAACCGGAAGCAACCCTTTTGGAGAAGTCAGAGAACTTTTGATTTCGGCCAAGGCAGCAAATGGGCTTTGGGTGACCCAAAACCAGCGAGTGCGCGTTTTTTGACCGCGCGATTTGAGTGCGAGCCTGTTGTCCTGCCGTCAAAGAGGATGTTTGCGCCACCGGACTATTAGAGACGAAAACAGCGAAACTGATGGCAAGTGAGCTTCCTTTTCACGATAACACATGCTCGCTGCCCGCAGAAGTCGTAGTCCAACTATGAACTGAAGAAAAGTCCATCATCGCCATGGGATCACAAAACATTCTCGTGAATCAAGCATCCGTTTGCGCGCTTAAGGATGTACGACAATCAAGCTTACTTCGGTCTCATCGATCGTTGCACGTCCCATCGACGATGTCCGCCCGTATTGGCTCCAAACTTGCTCGGAGCCAACTTTGTGCCTTGGTCAATCGAGCATAGCTTATGCAGAAGGAAAACGTGGTGGAGATTAAAGCGGCCTCTCGAATACGATATCCCACCAAACCTAAATGGCTTGAGACAGTTGGTTTCCGGATTCGGAGACCCAAGTACATACAAGGGGTTCCGTGCGTTCATGGAAACCGTCGCTTCCCACGAAACATTATTGCCTGCAACCATTTTCACCCTTTGTGATTTACCGCGCAATGACAACTATGGAATATCCGATGTCGCTGCGCCCAAAATTGGATCGCGCTTTCTCAAATGGCCGGGTCATTCCTACTCAACCGACTTGCGATTTCGAAATCAGGTTTTCAAGATGCATTATCGTTTTTCCATGCCACGGGATCAAAGGTAGGGGGACATATAGCAGAAGTATGCTCTCTACTCTTTTGCGATAATTGACAAAATGTTTTATTACCTTAGAAAACTCAGCAATGGCGAACGTTGTGCGATTTCGTGCAAGCATTGGAGTTGGAAATTGAAACAAACGAACAATTAAATATGTTGCCTTTCGGGAGAAACATGTTAAGCCGTTGGCCGACATGATTAACCAATCTTTGTTTACTGCGAACAAAAAAATCCGTGTCAACGTAGCAAAAAAGTTGATCCCTGTGTATGGGAATAGCGAAATGCGGTAGCGCCGGTACGAAAACAGACCGGAAATATTATTTTATAGCGAAATGGGGCAAACGAAAAGACTGTTGATTGCCGATGAAGGTTCTCGATAAGTTGCTGAAAAAAAAAAGTTGTCTTGAAAACAATTCAAAGCCGAACGTTGGTGGGATGAATACAAAGATCGATACGATCGACGACAACAGATGCCCGGAGAAACAAATATTCAGTATTTCACATACAAGATGCAATTGCTTGAAACAGTCGATCCGGACAATGTAAAGACCGAAAGGACCAATCAAGGAATTCAAGGCCTCACGACGCAGTATAAATAAAACCCACATTTATTGTTTCGATTAAATTCATAATTTATATTCCTATGTGATGATTTCCGGAATAGAGTCTTGAGCACAATCTTTGTCTTGTTCTGGAAGTATTTTCGTTGTGTACTTACTCATATGGATGATATGCTGTTCACTTATAAGCTAATGATCTTCATCTCTTTCCTCACCCTTCTTGGTTTTCTCCATATATTAACGAGCCTTGAAAGTATTTTTTATTCGGTTGGTTGCGAATATATATTCTTTATCTTGTCTTCCATCAGCACACCGATCATTCTTCCTTAACGGACCTGTATACAGTCTTTTTTCCTATTGTTAGTTCGAACGCCAAGGAAACGACATGACACGATTGCATTTCCAATTAAACCGACATAATTTCTCAAAATATGACTTTCTGTTTCTGCATACGGCATTTACGACAATATTCAGACTCCATAACGACATCTGCTGGGAACACTTCTTTTTTTCTTTGTAAGGGAGGCGGAGATCCAATCATTAAAGTTTCCATTGAAGCTTGTATCAGCTGCCGCGTCAGCATTCGTCATAGAAAAAACTCCGATATACAATATAAAAGACAGCCTCTGTTTTTTTCTCTTATATTCCGTTATAAAATATACTTATTAAACATGTGCAAGCGAGTGACCTGTTCTGACTGTGGGAAGTACACCTGGGCCGGTAAGTTTGGCGATGGAATAAATTTACAATAGTTTATAAGACTCATAAATGCGGGTTGTAGGCTGCGGTCAACACATCCAACAAGCTTTGGCTGGTATCCCCCCGGAACAGATCTGCCACTGCAAGGACAAGAAATAAGAACCCTCCTTTTCCCTATGATTGGTGAATCTAGAAAAACTAGTCTCATAATCTCCTCCAAAAATCTGTAAAAAACTCTGTTCCTCACGCTTGTGTGAATGTAATGTTGTTGCCATCAAAAAAGTGTGGTGTGCAATAATAATAAAAAGCCAATATCGGATTATATCAAATAACAAGAGTTTATATTTTGAATTGGTGTTACAAAAATCGAGCGCGTTTTTTCGTAGACGTCTATTGGATGTTATAAAGCAAGTTGCTGCCACCCTCACGGTTGCTGGGCAAATAGGTAACATTGCGAGTGTTAGACAAAGTCTGTGCGATTTCCTTGCTGGCTTCGATACGACGGAAGTTAATCAAACTATGCAAAAAAAAAAAGCAACACAGGTTAATGGATCAAGCGATCGTTGGTGCCTTTTTTTTGTCAGCTGTGATTATTACCCTTCACCGGCCTTCTCCAAAGCAGCGGAAATCATCTCGGCAGCTTGAGCATCACCCTCGGCACGGATAATAGCAGCCTTCTTTTCTTGTTCGGCACGGTCGACAATGAAACGGGCACGTTCGGCTTCCTGCTGAGCAATCTGCTTTTGTTCGACAGCGTTGGTGAATTCTTTACCAAAGGTCATGTGGGTCTAGCAAAAAAAAAAAAAAAAAAACAACCTTTACTGTGAGTGTCCGCAGTCTACCAGCAATTTTGCCTGCACCATTTGTTGCACTTACGATGGAGACATCTTCTAAAGCAATGTTGAATTCTCTAGCACGCTTGTAGAGCTCTTCACGAATCTTTGCAGAGACGACCTCACGCTGGGTAATGAGTTCACTGGCATCGAACTGAGCGACAATGGACTTTAAGACTTCGTTACCAATGGAAGGCAACACTCTCTCGTCGTAATCCAAGCCCAAATTCTGGTAAATGGCGGGAAGTTGCTTGATTTCAGGACGATGCAACACACGAAGAGTCAAGGAAACCATCTGCATATCCTTGGAACCGGTGGTGGTGGAAATATTACGGGGTTTGGTGCGAACATCGAACTGGACGGCACGCTGCAACCAAGGCACCAAGAAGTGAGTACCTTCACCGACGGAAACCGACTTGACACCCTGAATACGATCGAAAATGACGGCGCGGTAACCACCCTGGACTGTGAACAATAACAAGGAAATGTTAGCTAAGCGGAAGAAAACAGCGACGAATTCGATCGTTGTTTTTTACCATCGTAAAGAGCGGATTGAATACCGCCCACCGCAAGACCGACGGGAATAGCGTACTTTGCGATCTTCTGAAGCACAGCAGCCATAGTGTTGTTTGTTGTAGCTAGTACTATTACTCACTGAGCCAATCTCGGACTAAAAAAACAAACAATTCCCAAATCCACGTCACAGAGGAGGACTGTGTTTTCTCCTTCCTTCACGCGCATGCCCAAAAAAATGCAACCGTTTTCCCCGCTCCCCGTTTTTTTGAGTCGCTCCGAAAATAAAAAATATGCCCAAGTTACACTCCTTTCTCAGCAAAGCCAACAGCCTGCATCCGCATATTATCAGCCATCTTACCGTTGAAGCACCACCTAACAACGATAACTGTGCATTAGACATAATCTATGAATTGCCACCGAGTGTTTTCGTCGACGTGAATCAGTTGGCCGACTTTGCATCGCTTATTGGCAACGCCACGGTGTTCGGGGAAACTGATCTGGAGGCTCCTCTGGAGCATGTGAAAGACAAGCGAGGAAGTGTTGTCATTCTACGCCAGCCTTTTACGAGAGAACCGAAACGGGTGATTGACGTGCCACTTCACTTGCGGTATCAACAGCCTTCTCTGACGGAAACGCAACGTCCGATCGAAATCCCTCTCCCGGTAGCAGGCTGGACCTGCCATAAACTCGGCCAGTCGGCTCCATACCCTCCTCTTGATGCTAAATATTCCCTTGTTCAGGCCATCGATCGAAATGCGTACTTTACTGCGATTGATCCACCCACGGACGGTGTATTGCAACTGGGTGTTCCTGTGGGTGATGTGAAGGATAGATCATTTGTGGAAGTAGGCACATTGTCGTGTGTTGTTCTGTGTACTGTCTGGATTCTTGTGGCTGTATACAAATCATTAGCGAAACGAAATAGAATTGAAGCTAAAGGCAAAAGAAGAAAGTCAGAGTAAAAACGCTCCAAAAAAGGCATATCCTTTATGTTTCTATTGCAGTGAGAGCCGCAATCATTGCATATTGTTTCGGGTAGTCACCACTTTATCTTTTGGTTTGTGGAAGGAACAAAGTGACAATTAGAACTGTACCTTGAATAAAAGGGAAGGGGAGAGTGTGAACCGAGAATAACAACAGCAAACTCGTACTCGAATGAGAGGAAACAGACTGTTTTTTTGTCTAATGTAACAACATGTATACTAAGAAATATGTCAAACCACTTTCGCAATATAGCACAAACCCAAACCCGAAACGTGAGCAAGGCAGCTATGATAAAAGGCAAATGTTAGGCATATGCATGATACAAATCATCCGAATGTGTATGTGCGAAGTGTTCGCGATTTTCTGTGTACATTATTTCGAGGTTGTGAACTTATGCAGCAATAATCCAGATAGAGATGGCACTGGTGACAGGACATGCTATACGATGGATGCCTCGCATAAATATGAGCATTTCAAGGGACACTATACTGTGAAGGAGTCCGCACGATGGAGATATTGACAAAGAGATCTACAAAAGGCGCGGTTACGGCTGCGTAGATCTTCCACCTTATTCTCCTGTTCTGAATCCTATCGGGTAGTTCTGGTCTGTTTGCAAAAAAACAAAATGAAACGAGAACAGTCGTTGGCGGAGGAGACGTATGTCCTCAAGAATACGTGATGCACGCAATAGTATCCGTCTGAGTGACCTTCAAGTTTTTTGTTGATACTCTGCAACAAAATTCGATGATGGCGTGAATGTAAGAAATTCCATGAAAAGATACATATAGTGTGTGTTGCACCTCCAAGATATTTTTTGACGGTACAAAAACACTTGTCACTTGGCACACCCTTTTCCATCAACTTGTGAGTCATTGTATGATTCTTTGACCCAAAATCTCTAAGGCACCTGGTAGCTGGTGAATATTTTCTTTTTTATTGCATAATGCATAGTTTAAGGGAGGAGAGGATAATGACGGAAAAAGAGATGAAAGGACCTTTACGATTCGAATTCGTATGGAACACTGAACGACGTCGATCTTTGGTTGCATCGATCAAGGAGTAGAAGCGCTTTAACGAGCTCTTCGTTATCACATGGTTTGCATAGACGCCAAAAAGTTTCGGTGATCTTGAGCAGCGTTCTGAGACTTTTCATATTGATAAACGTCGCCATTTCTTCAATTGATCGAGGCAATACCATATGGGCTATTTCTTGCATTACATAGATCCCATCATGTCGCAAACGGGTGAGGAAAAAGGTAACGCCAAAGCCTAATACAAGGAATAAGGGGGTTACTCTATCCTTCCATTTTCCGTTTGCTTACCATAGATCTGGAACGATAAAGATGCATTCAACGTATTTTCGGCAATGGTATCTTTCGTATAAATGGCCTAGCGTGTCAAGTCGTGACAAAGCAAGTAATTGTCGCATGTTGCTTATGCCACTTTCGCCTCCCCAAACCCGAGACTTGCTCCAAACACCTTCGGATTGAGCTTGCTGATGGTTTGCATTTGGGCGTTTGTCTCGCGTTGCATCGCAAGTGACGTTTGCCCAACGTGAAAGTCTTTTTCTTGTGCTGGGTAAACGTCGGCAGCGGGTGTAGCGCCGTACAACAGTGGAAGATAGAGTTGCAGCGTCAGAGAAAGCGGTGTTTTCGGCAATATATTCTCTAACTTTCGAGGAACTGCAATTTGACTGTTACGATCTGGCCACTCACGTTCTCCATGCCGAACTGTCAAACGAATGGCACTGTTGACCACGGTCGATTTTGTCCCTGATGGCGCCGTGACAAATAAGGACATGCGCAACACTTTGCTGAGCGCGCTCTTCTGCTTGTATTTGGCGTTGCACATACTCTCCTCGCAATTCCGGATCTTGTTTGGTTAAGCAGATATTATCGGAAACCGTCGCACTGCTGAAACGCTTCCAAGACGCGAAGGATAATGTCTCCAACGGACAGTAACTCCAAGACGGGACCAAGAGCGACAACCTCTGTTATAAGGAAGTTATATGAGAAACTTCATGATCAGCGTCAGTTGGAACAACTGGTGGATAAGCATCCGCAAGTTTCGTCCAGAAAAAAGGCCAACACTTTGTGCACTCCCAAAACTCTCCAATTTTTAGCGTGACGTCAAACTAATCAATTTGGGAGTGCACCGAGTGTTGGCCTGATAAAAATCAGGTTGAAACATCAGAGGCTTTTGAAAGAAGAGACCTTGACTTTATGAATCAAAAATGCATGCAATTCAGTATACTTTAGCGACTTATGGAAGGCTTTTGTAAATATTCTGCCTCCAAGTTGCTTGGTGAGAGATGGCTTACAGCATAAACCTTGAAATAAACGGGTTATAAAAACTAGCCAGACTTCTATATACGTAGCTTTTTTTCAAATATAGGATTATTTGCGAAATATGTATTATCATCATAATAAAGAAACAAACGAGAGATGATATGCCGTTGATTTTTGCGTTGGTGCAATGGTGCAATGCTTGAAATCACGCCTCTTTACTCCTCTTGTGTAACGTCACTTCCCATCCCGAAGATGCGCCAGTAATTCCTGAAAAAAAAAGTGAGAGCTTTTTGGGTCTTTGCGAGTGTATCTTTTTTATTTTGTGTGTGTTGTATATTTAGCTGTTGGACTTGTTCCTGATATTGGCTTTGTTTGTAAAGTACTGGAAACACCATGCTCGAAGAAGACGACCTGTTACAATCCGGTTTCCTGGAGTCGAATGCTTCCAAATTCTTCATTGACACTGCTCCAACCCATCCTTCGCTTTCTTCGCCATTCTACACTTCGGACTTCGGAGTTGAAGCCGATCCTTGGGGAAGTGGAGCCAGCTTTGATCCCATCGTCGACATGCGCCAAGACCTCACCGTGCATAATGCCGTCGATGACGATATTCTAGGTTCGGGACTCACAGCGGCCAGTGTACTCGGTATGCTTTTTTTAGACACAACCAACTTCGTTTTTGAAAAGAAGCAAGTGAATTTTACTCCCAAAAACCCTTTTTTTTTTTTCGTTGTTAGTGGGTATCGATTTGCCCGAAATATACGATACAGCCTATATCCGGGCTGGCCCAGTCAATGATCGAGTGACGCTTGAGTCCCTGAAACGAGTTATTGGTCTTTCTGGCCTTCCTTCTCGTACCGTTGAAGAGGTGAGAATCGTTAACTGAAAAAAAAATAAGCATGCGATCCATCAGAGAAACCAAAAATTGATCCCAAAAGGATTACAGATATTAAACATCATCTCTCCCGCTGATACGCCTTACATCATTCGAAATGAGTTTAATACGGCCTTGGCCCTCGTTGCATGTGCACAAAAAAATATGGGTAAGCAGCTGCAAGGATCGCTTTGACTATCACCAAGAAGCAAAAAGACTCAGCGTTCCTTTTCAACGTAGACATCTCATTATCAACCGTGTACCAACATCGCAAAGGTAAAAGTGACATTGATTTGCTTCCTCACGATTTAAAATCTTAGAAGGATGAAATTTTCAGAGTTACCTATACCCATGCTGTCCAACCTGGATACGTTCCACATCAAACGAAATAACCAGACCATGAAACCGATGTCCAATCCACCCGATACCCGCGCAGTGGACGATCCCTGGAGATTAACCACCACCGTCGACCCTCGGCCGAATGGATTCCTGAACCTCGCCAATGAGAAAAAGGGGCAAGACGACAGTCATCTCAAACCTAGGAACCATGCATTAACCGACAAATTAAATTCGCATGCCAACGGTCTGCCCCGAGCTCACAGTGATGGTGGTTTTTCCTCGGCGACAACGGTCACTCACGTCGACCCATCCATCACTCCCAAAGATATGTTGGCTGAACCCGCCCCCGGATTCATGTCAGACACACCCAAACCATCGGCGGCGCAAAACATGCGTACCTGTACCGAAAGTCATCGCTGGTTCTCAGACCTGGATTACATCAAAGTGGCCGTAGCGCCGGAGAAAGAAGGGTTTATTTTTAAGCATGTCAATTATATCCTCGAAAGTCAGCTGCGATCATCGATTGTTCTTCGACGTTACAGTGATTTCTTTTGGCTCTGGGAAATTCTGCTAAAACGTTATCCCTTCCGAATCGTGCCTAATCTACCACCCAAGAAAATTAGTGGCAGTAAGTAATATCATCTTTGGCTTGCGGGATAAAGAAGATATGATTGGCTAAAACCAAGATCAGAAGATGCAATGTTCATGGACAGGCGCTGCAAGGGTTTAACACGGTTCATCAACGGCGTCATCCGACATCCTGTACTAAAGAACGATGATGTCGTAAAAACATTTTTGACAGAGCCTTCGGTAATACACATTCCCCAACTCCATTTCGAAAAGCATCTCATTGCTTCTACCCTGTTAGGAGTTTCAAGCTTGGCGCCGAGCAAATCATCCAGTGACAGACGAAGAATTTATTCGAATGAACTCTAACACAGAAGAGATTGAAACATGTATACCCCCCGATATCAACGAGCGAATCCAAACCATACGTAACCAACTACCCATCATTATTCAGCATTATGAAAAGCAATGCAACATTGTGGAACGGATGACAGCATTGAGAACAGCCTATGGATCAGAGTATACCAATTACAGCACGGTCTTGCAGTAAGTTGGGAGGGTGCTCACATGGTGACAAGGATTATTGACACTGTGTACGCAAATGGTTAGTTCTATGGGCGAAGTGGAACAAAAGTGCTATATTGTGGGATGCAGTGCATGCCAGCACGTAGTTCGAGGATACAAGGCCGTAGCAGAACATATGGAACGTGCCACTTCCATTGTGGAGAACGAGGTAAAACAACGCACCATCGATCATTTGCACGGTTGGCTAAGAAACAAAGCAAAATGTCATTTGCTATGTGTAGAGCACGGCGGTTGCCAACGGAATTCTGGAAAATTTGAGATACCATCGAGATATTTTTATCGGATTTGCAGAATTACTGGAACGGAAATCAAGGTTGGCGGCCAATCAGATCAATACCTTGTCAAAGAAACTGGCAGGCAACAAAATCAAAGTGAATCAGAATCGCGGCGTTCCAGGGTTGGAAGCCGAAGTAGAAAGACTCGATGTCATGATACAATCGGTAATGTATCACATATTGGCTGTTATCTAACCTTTCCTGCGCACCATGTTGATCTTTTGAGTGACTAGGATTTTGAGCGGTTGTCATTCCAGCAACGACGAGATACCCATATCAAGTTCTGTATCGCGTCTGAATTATCTTATTTGCACAAACATCAAGCACTCGTTTCATGGATGTATCAAAAGTTTGTTCACGAGCAATTGCAATTTGCAAGACAGACCGTCGATAACTGGAAAGCACTGGAAGTGTTTACGAGCGATACCCCCGAAACGACCGATTTTGCATAGTATCTTTCTCCTGGAAAATACTGTTTACTTGATGCCTCTTTCTTTTTCCTTTTTGTATTTACACAATCGGTCGTCTGTCAGACAATATCAAAAAAATCACATAAATCATGTTAATGGAGACAAAATAGTGAGGACCAATAACAGCTGCATTCCTTCAACTTGTATACTAAATTTCATGAATAACGGATGACATTTGCATGCCCTTTGTGGGCGATGGCTAATTTGATCAATGAAATCAAAGAGATTTTGGTTGATCGTCCAGAATAAATCAAAAACGGTACATCCTAGCTTTCGATTTTGCCCAAACTGCATCAATACAGTGCCCATCTTCTATATACCAAGTTTCATGGTGAACGGACATTCTCTGATATGAACTAGGACAGGTTCAATTTCTAAGAAGGATCCATGCATAAATGACTTGATTGGTCAGAATTTCAGGACGGAAACATGCAGAATACATCGTTCCCTATCTCGGGTTGACAGGGTATACATCGACTTCCATCGATTCAGAGACATCCATATAATGGAAAATGTGCCTGCTATTTGCAGTGGCCATGTACACCGAATTTACGAGAGAAAATGAAATAAAAAATGTATCAATACTATAGGATAGTGCCGATGAATGGTACCGATAGTACCCATCATTCAGTATAAACAACAGTAAATATTCCTGACACACTGCAGTAGATGGATCCCATAATCCTAAAGAACACAAATTTTGTGTGTGTGTGCGTGTGTGTGCGTTTGTTGATTTTTTCATTTCCAAATGCGGAACGCATCTTACCGATATTACCGATTTTCAATTCTGTAAAAGGCAATCACATTGAGAGCACGAGGATTTGGACGATCTCCCTGCCTACTTTGCCTAAACTGGAATCGGTTGCACTTCATTGGATCCCGTCCGTCTACTATGTTACCTGGTACAATGCAGGACTGATATACTCGCCAGTTATTGATGAAGTTTGAGCAAAACCGAAAGGTGGCAAAGACACTTTCTGTATCATTTGACTAAGGTGTGTTTTGGTGACATGACCATATGACTAGGAACTGTCCAAAATAACTTTATTCTTGATTAATGGAGTTTCCATTGTACATGCCTTCGCGATCCCTCGGATCTTCATTTTCGGTTGTACGCAGTGTATTCACATTGCTACCACTGGCGAAAAAAAAAAATTGAAAACGATGAGTCTGGGTGTGGATTGTTGAGGATTAGTAAGTGCTTACGGATATCTTTTATATGGTCTGGTAGAGGAGCTTTCGCCTCCTCCCAGCCGCTGACCGCCGCCTCCGTTGACTTGCAACCCGTTATTTCCATCTGTGGGACTTGTCATGTAGGAAGTCACTGTCTCAGTGACGGTAGAACCCACAGTACTGACGGCATTATATAGCAATCCACCTGCTGAATAGATGTAACCGAGCAGGCCATTGCCTGAACTTTCAGCGCCACCGTAAGCGGTGCTGATATTCTTTATCGCTTTCATAATAATTGTGGCGCTCGGACATAAACCCAATTCTCGCAAGGTACGTTGTTCGTCCGTAATACTAAAGTGGCGAGTAGGGAATTGGGCAATCAATTTATAGGGTTGGTCGCCGTCTGTTCTATTCTGTAGTCATATCACTGCCCATCAGTCATGTTAAAAAAGCAACAATGTGCGGGTTCAAAATGCTTGCCTGATCAATCCATTCTTGCACACTTGATAAAGTATCAGTGGCTGAAAAATCCAGTCGGTCAGTCCCAGTAATAAAAATACACATTAAATATCGAAAAAAAATAATACCTTGAAATTTCTGGCGAAGACATACTCCATCCAGTTGACGAACACTGAGATGACTTTCATCATAGCGTCGGTGACTAGGATATAAAAAAAAAAAAGTTAACGGAATGTGTACATAGATAGTGTTATTGGATGTTAATGTTTTCTTTTTATTCTACATACCTACTACTCGCTCTTGGCTTGTCTTGTGTAGTGACGGAGGGTTGATTAGACGGAGTGGTCTGTTGTCGAGTTTGAGCACGTTCAGCTTTATCCTTTGCAATCTGTTCGCGAATCTTTTTTCTGTACTCTTCCTCTTGTTTCTTTTCCTGTTTGATATTTTCAAAGTATTGTTTATCTTGACGCTCTTTCCAAGATTCGGCAAACTGCTGTTGCTGTTTTCCCTGTTCTCTTCGCTTCAATTCTTGTTCATATTCTCTCTAACCAAGGCATTCAATAAACCTGCTACACAACACTCTCATAAACCATTGTACCTGTTTCTCGCTCTCTTCGCGCTGTTTTCGTGCCTTGTCTTTGTACTCTTGCAGGTTTCTCTTGTTATCGATATTTGACTCTGGGGAGGATAGACTGGCTGGTGACGGGTCGACTGATGATCGTGTAGGTTCGGCTGCCGCTGTTGTACTAGCAGGACTCAAGCCGGACACCTGTGTGAAAGGTTCGGCCGCGCGCATAGAAGGTTCAGCCGTTGCTGTCGAAGATGACGATGACTGCTCTACAGGCATAGCCGAATGCAGATTATTGATTTTGGTTACGACCTCTAGGGGCGAAATGGTGTGTGTTCCGAAATCCTTGATGGTGCCTTGCTGGATAAAATAGATGATGGGGACAAGCGTTACGGGATCTGTGGATGGATTGGATTCGATTCAGTTTCTCCCCAAAAAGTTCATGTTGCTGGTCAGTGCATATTTACATAATTGTCCAAACAGCGTGGCATTGTCCGAGTCTTTATGAAACCGAAGCGCTACTGTCTTGGATGCCAGTGCTTCGACCACCTACAGAATGGTGTGAGTATCATAGTAAACAAACTGAGAATGTAGAGTACAAGCGCTTTGCATAAGTTTTTACCGCTGCATCTGCCAAGCATTGGGTCATGGAAGTACTAGCGTCGGTATCGTCTAAAGCTACTCAGCAAAATCCCCCTTATAAAAAGCAAGCATTAATTAGCAAGACGTACCATGAATGTACACGACGAGAGGCAAATTTTTAGTATTCACGACCGTCACCGCTTCGGCAATTGGCCCTGAAAACCAAGCGGTAGAATCGTCCATTATTAAAAATGACAATAAAAAAGGGCCACAGTTCACGCGGAGCATGTTGAATAAGTTGTATTTCGCATTACCCTTCGGGATTTCAAATCCCCCAATTGGGTGTCGATCGTACACAAGACACGCAAAGATTCGCTTGAAACAGAACAGATTTTGGGGACACTGCAAAGACTGTCCCAATGAACATTTTGCTAGATAATCTCAATAAAGTACTCGCTCGAGGCATTTGAAAAAATGCCAGTGCATTCCGGGGCTGTTCATGATGACCGAATCAGGAAAAAGTGTACTTTTTCACCGTTGCTATTTTTTTTTTTCAACCGTATCCACGTTGGATGATTTCCGATTGAAAGAGACGATATGAGATCTAGTATTCGTCACATTGAATAACGCTTGAGCTGTCCACAAAATCACACTCATTATAATTGCTCGATGTTCTTTAGTCTCTTTCTTTCAAAATGGTGGAAATGCGCGCGCGTGCAGAGAAAAAAAATGTTTTTTTTCAAAAGGGTATTTTATTATTTTGATAAAAAAAAACTAAACCAGTGCAAACCACTTCAATCGCGATGAAATCTGTAAAAACGCGGTAAAAAATGTCATTAGTATACCGTTTTTTTACGCGTGATCCTTTAAAGAGTCATGGAATGGATGATTGCTCGCGCTCAGCTCTGCTAGGTGTTTATCATCAAAAGATATTCTGCGTGGTGCATGAAAATTGTCATCATAGCCAGCAATATCCATCCACAACTCTTCTCATTCATCATTTTTTGACAAATATAACAAAATACATACCATGAACAGAACGGTCACCTTGTTATGAGATACAAAAGGGATCGATCAGTACCTATAAAGATATGAGTCAGCAAACTTTTTTCTTTATCATCCAGTATACGACCACCACGCCGAAATGAAAAAGTAAAAGATTGTGTTGATCAGGAGCATGATAATTTTTCTCTTCAGTCTTTTTTCAGAGAGATTCCCATTGATATAATCAAATCATCATGTACAACACAATCTTTTCTCACATACGACACACAGCACTTGGGATAGGAATCATTTTACTTACATGATGACAACGGATGGATGAGTGAAAAGGATGGATGCAAAGGGATGGATGGATAGGATGGCTGAATAAAAAAGAACACAACGGATGGATAGAATCTTTTTTTTCGCACCGTATTTAAGCTTAAGAGCGGCTCATGAAATCCACTGGGACGTGGTATTTTTCACTGACAAAATACAAAGCCAGTGTCCAAGTCCGCCTTGGGACACAAGCAACCGTCAAAACACGATAACCAGTCTATCATACCATTGCCCGAACGAGAGTCGTCGAGCTGATATTCTAGTTTTGACCATAGAGTAGATAAAGTATTAGCAAACAAGTGAGTCTTCAACCAGGACAGTTCTTTCTTCCCAGAGTCAATGGACTCAATAGCCAATGACAAATACCCAAGTTCACAGAGGCACAACATGCGTGTGCGGGGATCAGCCACCGTGGGCTCATTTCTTTTTTTTTTTTTTCTGAGCCCTTTTTCCCAAAAGAAGATCCAAACGCTCTTCATGTATTGGCTGAAGGAAAAACAAGTCACGAGATCTGAATTTCTGGAAAACCCGACAAATGGTAAGATTATTGGATAATCGTTTTGTCGTCAAATTGAAAGAGCATGATAAATGTGTTTATTTCATTATAAGAGAAGAAGTAAAAGGTAGTCGGTGATATGTGATAATTGCGGTTCTTTCTTTGTGGCACCTTGTAATAAGAAAAATAAAAAAAGGGCTGGACAAAAAAGAAAGGGGTTTAGGGATGGTCCTGGACAGTTAAAACAGTGTAACGGGTTTGGGCTTGAGTTGAGTTTATTCTTCGTCTTTTTTCCAATACGGTCAAAGTGTGCTCTCGTCTCCTTACAGTCAACCTATCGATTTTTTTTTTATATATAATTTTTTTCGTCATTTCCCTCTTTGTCTTTTTTTTTTTTTTTTTTTTTTTTTGGTTCCTCTTATTTCCTCCTTTTTTTTTTGTTTTACTCTTTTTTTTATAATTTTTTGTGTCTTAATATTACTTTTATAATCTAGTTTTTCCTTTTATAATAATGGCCAGTGATCAAGAAGTTGAAATGGCCGTTTCCATGCCGCCACCTTCTTATCATTCGCCTCAAATGCCTTCTCGTCTAAAATCCTTCTTCATCACTCCTCCGTCCGTCGAGCAACCTGCCCCTTCATTTACTGTACCTAATGATTTTGAAACGCCCAAGGCACAGAAAGGATTCAAAAGTAATTCATGGTTCTCCACCGCTTCCTTACAGAACAACAAAGGCATCCGTCGAGTCGCATCCGCTCCCAACGCCAAGTTGCTCAATTCAACCAAACAACATCATCCCACCATTCAACCCCCAAAGTCGGTCATGTATAACAACGTTACCGAATCCGTTCCCGCCCTTCACAACCAAGGCTCGCCTGAATACGTTCAACGTATGCGTTCCTTTCGTCGCACTTATTCATCCGCCAGCATCAAGGTTAAAAAGGTCGAAGTCGGTCCATCGAGCTTTGTTAAGGTGCGAATGTTGGGCAAAGGCGACGTTGGCAAAGTTTACATGGTTAAACAGAAGGGCACCGATAAATTGTTTGCCATGAAAGGTAAGAGTTATTTCTTTTCCTCTGAAAGAGAGACCGATCGTCCAACTCAAAATCCGTGCTCCTGTTTTCCAGTGCTTTCAAAACGAGAAATGATTAAACGTAACAAGATAAAACGCGCCTTGGCTGAACAGGAAATCTTGGCCACCTCCAATCATCCCTTCATCGTCACTCTGTATCATTCTTTCCAAAGCCAGGATTATCTCTACTTTGTTATGGAATACTGCATGGGAGGAGAGTTCTTTCGAGGTAAATTCTTTTTGCACCATCAATCACTTTTTTGTTCCACTTGTCATCCCCTTCTCTTGGTTTTACTGACAGGATTCTCAATGACATCATTCACAGCTTTACAATTACGACAAGGAAAATGTCTGGATGAAAATGGTGCTCGTTTCTATGCTGCCGAAGTTACGGCTGCACTGGAATACCTTCATTTGCAAGGTCACATCTACCGTGATTTGAAGCCTGAAAGTAAGCTTTTTTCCTTGTGTTACATCACATCATTTTGCCCACCTAGCCATCCACCTAGCCATCCATTCACCACCGGAAAAAAAAGATGTCCAGTGTCACTTATTAATGACCTTTTTTTTTTGATAGATATTCTACTGCATCAGAGCGGTCACATCATGCTCACCGACTTTGATCTCAGCAAAGGATCGGTTCCGCCCGGCAATCCTGGCGTCGTCAAATCCTCGTCCCCCAATCTCGTAAGTGGAAAGAAAAAGGCAATCAAATGAGTCGTAAACAATGCTAAATCAGATATTCAGCCACCTTCCATCGATACCAAAAGCTGCGTGAACAACCTCCGCACCAACAGTTTTGTGGGAACGGAAGAATATATTGCACCTGAAGTCATCAAAGGCTGCGGTCATACAAGTGCCGTCGATTGGTGGACCCTTGGGATTCTTATTTACGAAATGCTGGTACGTGCTCCTTCCACCCCTGACAAAATTTCTCCCACTTTTTGTCAATACTCATTTGATGATCTTCTTTCACAGTACGGTACCACACCGTTTAAAGGCGCTAATCGCAACGAAACCTTTTCCAAAATTCTCCATTGTGATGTGAATTTCCCTACACAACCAGCCCCCTATCAAAATCGAACCTTGTCAAACGCGTGTAAAAACCTTATTCGAAAGTTATTGCACAAGGATGAACATCGTCGGTTAGGATCCCGCGCTGGCGCGGCCGATGTCAAGGCACATCCGTTCTTTAAAAACATCAACTTTGCTCTTCTTCGTCACACCGTGCCTCCCATCATTCCTCCTATGCAGAAATCCAACGGTATCGATGCTCTCAACTTTCGCAAAATGCCACCGGAAAGCATGAGTTTGGACCTTGAATCCGATGATGTCATGGTCACTGTAAAATCAGGCAGTAACGCGAACCCTTTTGAACAATTTAACTCTAGTAAGTGACTTGATCATTGAATCATTGGGGAATAGGCTTATTCATTTTTCTATTGTTGTTGCCTCAGTTACTCTATATCACGACGGCGACTCTGACTTTGAAAATGAAGCTTAAACCATCCCACTATTCCATAATTTTTTTACTTACCCCGTTTGACAAGGAGGATACAATTCTCCAGTAATTTATTTTACCCATCAAAAAATACCATAATTCATTACAGTTTAACAAGGATACATTTCTACTCTCGCTATTGGATACCTATTTTTTTTTTATTTTTGGTTTTAAAACGGGATCGGCCTTTAATTCTGATCTTGTGAATAAATACATAACGATTAACTTACGTTGGTAATTGCCATTCTCTGCTGTATTTTGTTGCGTCGCTTATTTGATCCCAAATTTTTCTGGCTACATTATTTATGGTTTGTTTCTTTTTCGACATCATTCTATGTTCAATTAGTACTGTAGTTGGCTCTTGCTTGCAAGACCATCTTAATGTCCTCTTGGGCTGGGATTCAACCATTAATTACTGGATATTCTTTGGTACAGTACAGTTCTCAGTTTCTACATAAGTTTTCAGTGTTCTCGCTACGTTAACCTTGTACCATCCGTCCCCGAGTTCCAATGTGATATGCGCCATAACCGTTGATCCTCTCTGCATCCTACCAATATGGAAATTTTTCGCAGCAAATAATGTTTGTCATATCTTGATGTTAAATAGAGATAGAATATAAATCAATTATTTGTTTTTTTTATCAATTGCCTAACTTTCAAGGGTGACTACAGTATATTCTGTCTGTCCCATCCATTGGTACTGGGATGATTCCGAGATATCGTGATGTCTCTGAAATAAAAGAATCAGAGAAAGCCTGCGTCGATTGTGTTGTTAATATTAGGTAATTGGATTGCTAGATGTCCGCCTATGCCAATTTATCATCAGGTGTTATGCAGCATACAATAAAACGCTTATTTTCCATTCATTGCTGCAAAGGTCATCAGAATTTCGACCCGTGATTGGAACCTATGACCACATGCAGGTGTCTCTTTTTGCTGTTGCAGGTCGACTCACTCGAAACTGATGGAACTGTCATAAGATCTGCTGCCTGCTCAGGACTGGTAATTCGAGAGCTACTACGAACAAAAGATTCATTTAAAAGGTCCGCCCCGAGTTGAGACAATGGGTAAATGTAAACATAATGGAGTACAATTCTCTCTGCAATTGCTATTTGATTTCTGCGGAATGGTACGGATTTATTGGTTTTGTTTTTTTAAGCGGTTGAGCCCAGGACACCCATTTTGTCTAATGCACGAGGTCCCATTTCTTCCCACTCTTGTTTCGTTACCCACCAAGAGTCCTTGTCCTTCATAATATCGGCAAGCACCGCACCTCCAAGGTAAACCCTAATTCGCCGTCATAGGTAAGAATACGCATCTCTCATCATCCAATAATTTTGGTATACTTACATATGCTTGCGTCTGGGAGGATCTTCAATACGGATCTTGAATTTCTGCAAATTTATCCTGTCAATACAACCCACCCAATTTTTGTTTTCATGCATGATTCTCCGAACTCACATTTAATCTGCTCGCATCGCCATTCAGCACATTGGTCAGATATAACTGCTTCATTTCCTTTTCTAAACGGCTGGGAAGACCGGGGTACATGGTGGAGCCACCGGATAACACAATGTGTTTATACAAATCAGATCGGATATCAATATCGGCCGCTTGAATCGTGTTAAACAACATCTCCGCCATGCCAGGCGCTTCCACGTCCACCAAATGAGGCTGGAATAAACACTCGGGAGCTTCGAAACGTTCCGAGCCTACTTTGATGACGCGACCATCCGGAAGCTGTATAGAACAAGATCATTCAGTTTACCTAATGCAGACATCTCATGGTCTCACACAGCAACACTTACCTCGTAGCTTTCGACCAATGTAGTGGTTTCATTACCCAGTTTCTGATCAAGTTCAAGATCGTAACTATAACAAAATAGGCCTCAGCGCTACCGTCTCTAAAGTGTCTTGCAGAGATCAAAATAATAATCTACCTGACATAGCACAGCTTTTCCTTGATTTGACGAACTGTTTCGAAATCCGCTGTACGGTTGAATGCGTATCCACGAAGAAGCAAAAGTTTGATGAGGTATCGAGTAACATGACGACCAGCAACATCGAGACGGCGCGTCAAATTGGCCGGTGCGTAACCTTGGTACACGGGCACCTGAACGTCAACATGTTAATTCTCAATCCCTTTTTACACCACTCATCAACTTCATTTGTCATTCGCCCTACTCACAATATGTGTAACACCATCGCCGGAATCAACCACCACACCGGATAACAGACCTGCAAATAAAAGCACAGTATTAGGATGGTCTATCAACCAAGGCATATGAGATTTTTTCCCTTTTACCTTGCGCGAACAGCGTCAAGACAGCTTGAATAGCGACGTATATTCCCTGGAAACCGTACTCTTCAAACATGATTTGGGCCATTTGTTCACGGTTGGCGCGAGGATTCATGGGCGCTTCGGTCAACAAAATCTTGGAGTCTCTGGGATCGATTTTCAACATCTCGTCGAAAGTGTAATTCCATAAATGGCGCATATCTTCCCAGTTTCTGATGATGCCGTTTTCCATGGGATAAGACATTTGGAGGATATTACGCAACGCGGCCGCCTCATCGCCAATCATGATATCTTTCACTTCAAGGTTGCCGACCGTTTCCTCCGCTCGCAAAATAGGTCGACCAACCACACTCGGAAACACATGCTCCGGGAAATTGGATCCGGCATAACCACATTTCACAAACTAGAAGAATGAACAGTGAGTATATTCACAGACAGTGAAGATGGCCCAACAAGGCGTTTGCCGTCTGTAGCTGTGCAAAGACACATCATCTTTACGGTATATACACAAGCCAAGTGTGTTGAACTGAGATACTACTTACTCCGGTACCGTTATCAACGACAAGGGTTTTTGAAGCATTCATAGTTGGCTCTTCTCGTATTTCTTTTTCTCTTTCCTGGGCGGAAAAGCGACGAAGGAAGGTGGAGATATTCCACAAAGTCGCTCTTTCTGACGATATTTTGGAACTCCGCATTAACCGCGCCGTATCCGATGATGTCATTTTTGCTTGGCCGAAAAACTTCGCGCACAATACGAGAAACTTATTTTCACGCACGACCATATTTTGCCCGGTCGTGCGTATTTGAGCGGCCGAATTTTCTTGCCTGATGGTCAGCACCAAAGGCCCGGTCGATGAGCAGAAAGCTGTGATGCTGCACAACCTGGAAGAGCAGGAAAATCAACGTTTATGAGATGAATGTTATTTTTGAAAATAAGCGATCAAAGTAGAAACCAAAAAGCTGTAAAACCAAAGAAAGTTACATTTTGACTGTAAACTTTTAATTGGAAGAAGAAGGAAATAACCAGAAAAGAACACACGAATTCATTGCTTCGCTTTACAATGCCGTACGGCACTGCCGCATTAAAGTCGTTGTCCTTGATCGCAAGCACCATATAGCGATATTCGAGCCGGACATGTGACCGTTATTTGGCTGTGACGCAATTTTTCCCGGCTTGTCGGCGGACCGCCAGTGGGATCTGCCTTATATACACGGTTTGGACACTAATTGTTTTTCTTATCCCTCCACCTTTGAGAATCCTTTGCTATGGTACGCTCATTGGACTCTGATATGTTGTTTGCGAGAAGTCTCTTTGCTAACTGTGTGCTTTTTGTGACAGACTACCGCTGCTCGTCCCACCTTTGATCCTGCTCGTGGCAACGATAACAAAGCCCCGAGTTTTCAATACGGCGCTCGTGATCTCGCAGCACATACCAAACTTAAATTCAGGCAAGCTTTTCCTCTTTTTCCATTCCACGCATCTCTAGGATTGACCAAGTACACAACTATTAACACGGTGCTATTGACTTTTACAGACAACCGGGTCAAGGCACTACCGAAGAAATCGGTGACCGAGAACGATTAAAGGAGGAATTACGACAGGCTGAACGTGAATATTTCCAACAAAAACAAAAAGATGCCACTGCAACTGGTGGGCTCATCACAGCGGGCGAACAAACCGAAGAAGCAGATACACAGCGGCGGAGGTTACTAGTGGAAGCGGAAAAAATGGCACAAGTAGATAAAGACGAAGACGCCGATGCAAGTGACAGTGACAGTAGCAGCAGGTACTTGGCAATGGTCTGCTTATTATCCCAGTGACCTAATTAGGAGTTAACACAAATGATGATTTACAGTAGCGATGACGACGACGATGACGACGATGACGACGATGCAGCTGAACTGCTAGCAACACTACAACGCATTCGAAGAGAAAGAGCGGAAGAGAAAGAACGACAGGAGAGAGAAAAGCTGGAAGAGGAGGCAGCGAAAAGAGAAGAAGAAGCGATGACTGGCAATCCCTTACTGCAACTGGATCAGGAAAAACGGGATTTCAGTGTCAAGCGCAGGTAAGCTTTGATTGAATACTATATGTGATATGTCGTTTGCGTTTTACTGATGGTTGGGGTTGGGGTGATGTTTAAAGATGGGACGATGATGTGATCTTCAAGAATCAAGCGCGCGGTGCTGAAGACAAGAACAAAAAACGCTTTGTCAACGATATGTTACGCTCCGATTTCCACAAACGTTTCCTCAACAAGTACATTCAGTAAACGTTCTGTTTACTGTTCTTAAATAAACATGCATTATCATTTGAATCTTTATTTTTGTTGCAACTTGTCAATAACAGCATCCGACCAGTGATCGTCCTTGCCATATCCATCGAATGCTCGTATACGCCTTCCGTGAATGGGCTACTGAAAGTTGGAGCTCCTCTGTATGTCCTGATTTCGCTGTATTGCAACCACTGGTCAACGCTGTATGTAAAAAGTAAAAACACGCTCCACAACGGCCTTTGAATGATTACAAGTACATCCGCCCTATGCTCTAGCGACCGATTCAACAGCGAAAATATAAAGAAATAAGTGGAAAAATAGGGATCAGGTTGATTTGCACGACCTGAGAACATCCATCATTCATGATGTGCCTCAATATATAGACTACGTTATATCGGTTTTAACAAGCCGTACACCCGCTGTGCAGTGGATGCCACCTGCTACTGGACGTCACCCCCTTACATTGAGCGACATTCGTCAGACAAAAGCCTAACGCATACGGCATAACCTGGGCGAGACTCTTGATGGAACTTTGGTATATTAATGTCAATACTCTGGCATACCGTACAGTCATGATTCCAAACATGTGTGCAGCAGCACTTATTGACCCCCTCAGTCCCGTCCCGCCCAAGGTTATTGGGTATTTTTAAAAAAAAAATGAGTTAGTAAGCTCTTTGATTGATTCAAATGCCGTCAAGATATTTTACCTTTGTTATGTGAGGCAGCAGATACCCAGAGCTTCCCGACCGTAAAAAAAGAAACGATACAAATATAAAAAAAAAAGTAAATACATTAGGTGCGTCTGTAAAAAACCCCTAAAAACCCTGTGGGAAAAAAAGGAGGAAAAGACTGCAAGAAGGTCTATCGAATAAAATACAAAGTACATACTACAGACTACAAAAATAAAATGGTCGGGAAGAAGATCAAAGACAACACCACGGGAAGTAATCCAGGTGAAGCCAAGCGTAAGCGTTGCCGATGAAAAAGAGAGTCACACCACCGACGATGCCCTTTTGACGACAAAAACCGGATTGGCAACATTTGATGCGCGAAACAAAGTCGAAAGATTTGGAGGGATGGATGACTTGCCAGGCGAAAAAGAAAACCGGAGAGAAAACCAAAAGCTAAGGAAGAATAGAAAAAAGAACAGGTAAGTTTTTCCTTGTTGAAGAACTGATAAAAAACCATTTGATGGTACCTTCTGATTGTGAGGGTCGATTTAACCGAGTCAGCTACACGGGAAAGCCATAGTCGTGGCGATGGACGCAGCTAGGAACTTGATGAAATAAAATAGTACCAGGGCTTCTTAGGTGAACCGAAGTTAGAGAAAAACGAAGACGAAAAGAAGAAAGGACCTCCAAAAATAAAAGCTTTAAATATAAAAGCGAAAAAGAAAAAGCTTCAAAAATAGAGCTCCAAAGAACAATGAATTCCCCCTTTTTCAGGAAAAAGTCCAAAATAAAAACTGCAGATAAAGACTGTAAAGATAAAAAGCAGAAAGAAGCTGCATAAAAATTAAAAAAGCTACAAAAGAAGTGTGAATGACCACTTTCTAAATGAAAAAAAGCTCCAAAATAAAATCTGATAAAAGCAAAAAGAAATTGCATGAAAACAGAGCTCTAAAGTATGCATGATCACCTTGACACACACCAATGAATGAACAATGAGCAATGTCGCCAGATCAGCTACACTGGTAAAAGCATTCTGCTCATGCACCTTTAATCACCGAAAACTGGAAAGAAAAAATCAAAAGGACACACATTTACAGACAAAGACAACTTATTAAATAATGCTACAAAGACGCGAGATCGACATTGACAATAGCCCTTTACAGAAAGTTCTCCCCTTTCATTGAACTTTTCCAACATCTTTAAATGAATAAATAACACCAAGCGAAGTAGCTGCCAAATCCATATGATGAAAAGGAACACCATGTAACTGTTTTTTAGCTCGCAAATTTTGGCGTGAGGCGACTGGTTTTTAGTTTGGCAAGAATTTTAATAGTAGCACGTGTTGATCTTTTAAAGATCACAAAGTTATGCTCTTTCGGTCTGTAGTTTGTTGTTACTCTGAGGCTAGTGGGAATAGTAGCTGATTAAAGATGTGTTTGAAATGGGATGCTCCATTTCCAATAATCAGAACTCCGCACTCGAATTTGTGTATCCAAAGGTCTCGCTTGATGGTGTTCTCTTAACTCTAATCTTTTGTCAATAAGCGGTTGATTTTTCGGTAAGATATAGTTGATGTGCGCATAAATCTTTGCGTATCAATAGACAACCTACACACGATACGATCATAGTCATCAAGTGTTCTCGGCTTATCGTCCGGATGTAGCACCAAAAGTTTAGGAAGATGCGGTAAGCCTCGCTTCTGAAACTCCACTGTGTGTACATGGGCAACGACTCTTCCCAAAACATGGTTCTTCGTTAGATCTTCCATCAGAGCTTTTTTTTACGCTTCATATTGAAGACTCGCGCACAAAGATCAGGCCGATCAACAGCGGTTTGGAGAGGAACCAGCTCGTCCTGTATTTTCTTCCACTGAGGATTGCAAGTGAAAGTGATGAAAAGATCGGGCTGTCCGCATCGACGTACAATATTCATGGAGTCATGATAGAGTTGCCGCATGTGTCTGGGACTTCCTATGAAGGTGGATGGCAAGATCACTCGTTGCCCGACGCTCTGAAGGTCGTTGTCACCCAGCTCTACTGCATCTACGACACCTCGGTACAGATCCGTTCGCAGGTTCGTCTGATTGAGCCGTAAATACGTCAGCTGATTCTGCTCCATTTTGGCGTACATATCAACTATGTACTGCTGGAACAGGCGTCCGAACAAATGCATATCGTGGCCGTTGCTTCGCACCATCAAACGGTAGCTGTACCATTGCATAACCATGATACTGCGACCGCCAGGGGAGCGTGCGTGGATATTCCAACCGAGGTCACCATGTGGGAACATTAACACGTACTGGAGAGCATCATAGTGCTGATTCATCTCGCTGATACGTTGAAGTCCATGACTCCTCGATCGGAGCACAATATCGCGGCTACTATCAGGCGTAATGGTGCTATCGACCAAAATTACTCCAATTTCGCTTGCGGTGGGTGCGTTGTATCGGCGGGCATCGGGAGTGTTTTCCGCGCATATCAGCAATCGCACGTCTACAGCTCCATCCGACTCACGTAAAACTTGGGCCATCGACAGCAACAGTGGAACAAACGGGTTAATTTCTATCAGCAGATCTTGGAGAATTAGCAGTGTTGCATTTTGTAAATAGGGCGCCACAGCGTTTCGGTGTGCCAACTGGGTGTCAGAGTCGTAAATGTACAGTTGAGCAAATGCAGGAGTATGGTTGTCCGTTGGCGGAAGCAGCCACCGATCCGATGATAGATGCCTCCTCGAATGCGATAGCAGTAAGCTCCACTGCGATTGTTGGCCACTGACTCGTCAATTTGAGCACCTAGGGAAGTGAAACTGAGATTCGTGTTGTAGCCGCGGATGTGTTCGAGACCATTTTAATAAGGGTAGAGAGGTATATTGATGCGGTAAACTCACTATTTTGGAAGCCCTTTTTTAGAGGCCCAATGCTTCCATTGCGAACTGTCAGTGACCGTTTGCCGTTTGGAAAGAGTTTAAAAGAGGAAGCACACACAAGGCGGGTGATTTCGCATGATGTGATTGATAAAAGATGTCAACAGCTTACATTTTACGGCAGTATAACCCGTTTTATTTTCATTCATGCCAGTCCATCTAGCTCGACTTGGGAGAGTCTAAGACTAAACCAAGATAAGAATATGCCATCAGTTAACAAAGGGTTTTTAATGAAAATAGTAGTTTTCTGTATGACTGAACTCTTGTAACTGCACTATATGAATTTGTAAAGCCACTTTGAAGGCCAACGTGAGATTTATTAGAGCACGGAAAGGGGTCATATCCTGCTGAGCGCTTGGTATATCACCTTTTTTATTGGCAGGAAATGATGAGGGGGTAAAAAAGTCCGATCCACCAACTGTTTTTTTGAACCCAAAAATAAGCGCTTCTTTCTGTAGCTTCTTCTTTTTACTATTTCTTTGGACCATGTCGCATTCACGGAATTCAGCCGCTTCTCCTCCTCAGCGTTACTCTCCTCAAAGGAGCGGTAATTACGACCGTTACTCTGACGGCGAACAACGCAATGGGATGGATACTCGTTATGCTGGTCACCAGCACCGACGACGCTCACGTAGTCCTTCCAGCCGAAGAAGAAGTCCTTCCGGTCGTCACGGATATTCGAGCGATCGACATGACCGTGACTACCGTTCCTCGTGCTATCGAGATTACGGTCGAAGAGACGACCATCGCTATGCGCGATCAGATAAATACTACGACGTAAGCCGCAAGAGCCTTGTAGCAGCCCAACGTTAACCCATTTACAACCAAAAAAGCGAGAGAGGTCACACGACAATGCACGAAGACCCCATTCGCGTATAGCCCAAGACTCCATGCAACCCAATATCCAGGTCGTTCTTCGTAGCCTTCCCGAACGTGCAGAAGAACCAGACGTACGTTACTAAATGTTGTCTGTCACGGCGGCGACAATAATGACTAACGGTGGTAATGTGGAATTTCTAGATTGACAAACACCTGAAGTCGATGGGTGCCAGCATCGAACAAGTCAATCTCATCAGAGATCGTGATACAGGTGAGTATTTACATCTTTTATTAAATGACGAGACATGCATCAATGCTGAAGAATTTTGCCACCATTCAGGCGAATCGAGAAAATTTGCGTTTGTGCGATTCACAAGCGTGGGCCATGCCGTGGAATTTATGGATAAATATTATCCATACTTTTTCATGGGTCATCAGCGGGTTCGACTGGACTATAGTCGAAAGGAAGGCAATCGCGAAGACGCGGTAGAGTGGCGCTGCTCAAACGTAACAGAAATCCGAACCGTGAACAAAAGCAAGCCGTGGCCAGACGATACTAATTCGTATAAAACTGTGTTGCATGGGTAGTGTGGTAAATTCAATGAAGATTCACGTCGAGCATGCGTAGAATGTCGCACACCGTTTGAAAGTAAGTCGAGTCAAAAAGAAACGCATTTATGGGACGATACGCTTCATGATGGATGGTATTTTTTGTAGGTTCGACAGCCCAAAAGCGGTCCAATGAATTGGAAACCATTGAAATCAATGACGGTTCTCGAGATACTTCTGTGAACAATAGCAACATGCTTTTACTGCGACATTTGGATCATTTATCTACGGAAGAATCTGTATACCATGCCGTGAAAAAGTTTAGTGGGGTTCGTCGCGTGCTTCTGATTCGAGACAAGATGGCAAAAATGTCCTGTGAATTCGCTTTTGTCGAATTTGATAATGTACACGTAAGTGTGATCTGCCAGTGTGCAAAAAAAAAAAAAGAGAGACAGGGTAACTAATAGAAAGCAATGCGGATTGAAAATAGTATGCTGCCAAGGCATTTGCGGAAATGAATCCGACTTACACGGTGGATGGGCGTCAAGCGATTGTTTCTTACGCGCATCCCGATAGTTTTTTGCCCATCTACGTTTCGTCAGAATGGGCCATTCCTGCCGATGTGCCAGACGGGTTGTGGGAGTACTGGGACCCTCAGTCGTATGCAAGCGAGTACTCTGCGTTGGTAGAAGCCGCACGTGCACGTAAAGAAGTGGAAGCGAAACTGCTGGAAGAAGAAAGACGTCAAAAGGAATTGGAAGAACAGCGTGCCAAACAAGCTAAAAAAGGTAAATCCCCTTCACAACATCCTTGACTGGTGAACGCAGACAACAACTCATTCTATCCTTTTTTTTTAACTTCAGAGACGAAAAAGGACACTTTGGAAGACGATCTCAAGGAATTTTATGATGATATGAAGGATATGTTTGCTGAAGACAGCGGCAGCCACACTGATATATTTTCAGTGCCAAAGCAATAAAAAACCCAACAATTTTACAGAATAACATGACATATGTAACATTTTATAAGAGCTTTAAATCAATAGGAGACAAAGGGGATGGTCTGTACAAGGAGATATGGTTTTGCAGTAAACGATATAAAGTTTGCGAAAAAGGTTTCTTGTTTTTCATCATTGGGGAGGTGAAGGATGAGGCCTTTTTAATGGCTTATTTGGAGCTGGTGTACTTGGTGACAGCCTTGGTACCTTCGGAGACAGCGTGCTTGGCCAATTCACCGGGGAGGATGAGACGCACAGCGGTCTGAATCTCGCGGGAAGAGATGGTGGAACGCTTGTTGTAGGTGGCCAACTTGGAAGCTTCGGTGGCGATACGTTCAAAGATATCGTTGACAAAGGAGTTCAAGATGGACATGGCCTTGTTGGAGATACCAGTGTCGGGGTGAACCTGCTTCAACACCTTGTAGATGTAAGAAGAGTAGGTTTCCTTGCGGGTGATCTTTCTCTTCTTGCCATCGGCCGACTTGGAGGTAGGCTTGGTCTTGGTAGGAGCTTTACCAGCGGTGGTCTTATTGTCAGCAGCCATTTGGGAGAAAATATAAAGAAACGAGTATAAAAACAAGAAAAAACTCGACTGGCGCCAAAAAAAAAGGTCAGCCTATTTATACCATGCTATGTGTGACCGCGTTCTTGAATTTTCCTTCTCGTTCTTCAAAATCACGCCCTTTACCCGAACCCGCGCTTTCGAACGTGATATCGCGAAACCGACGCGGATTCACGTCGAATTAGACTATTCTAAGCTCATTTCACTCATAAAAAAAAATTCACCCACCAAGTGAAAAAAAAAAAAAAAAGAGGGCGTCTTCAGGTCAACCGTGTCGGAAATTGAATTTCCCAGCTGTATATAAACCTTTACATTTTTTGATTTCCCCCCAAAAAAGAGCTTTTTTTTTATCAAGTCCCAAAAAAAAATCACAAAGTCAATTATCATGTCTGGAGGAAAATCTGGAGGAAAATCTGCTGCTGGTGCCAAGTCCCAAACCCGTTCTGCCAAGGCCGGTCTTCAATTCCCTGTTGGTCGTATCCATCGTTTGTTGCGTCGTGGCAACTATGCTCAACGTGTGGGTGCTGGTGCTCCCGTCTACTTGGCCGCTGTCCTCGAATACTTGGCTGCTGAAATTCTTGAATTGGCCGGTAACGCTGCTCGCGATAACAAGAAGTCTCGTATCATTCCTCGTCACTTGCAATTGGCCATCCGTAACGACGAAGAATTGAACAAGTTGTTGGGTCATGTCACCATTGCTCAAGGTGGTGTCCTTCCCAACATTCACGCCACTCTCTTGCCCACCAAGACCAAGAAGGGCGGTGCTTCCCAGGAACTCTAAATCCCCCCTGTTTCTTCCTGATCCTCTTAAACATGTCTCACTTCACATCCTACAACACACATACGCCACTTTTTTTTTACTGATCGTGCATGTACAATCAAAGCTATTGTAAATAATAAAACATCAAATCCTAATGCCTTGAATACTGTTTGTCTATGGTTTTTACTTTTAATTTTTTTCTCATGGTGTTATTCTAAAAAAAAAATTGAGGGCAATACAATGGCCAATCTATTATTTGGTGGCTCTTAAGGAATCCCTGTAGTCATGGTCATCTGACATGGTGAAGGGTGTGTGAGGTATGACATGACATACACAGTACGTTATTGGCAGAATATATAACGGGGTATATGCTACTTTCTTCTGACGTTGATTGATCTTTGTGCACCAAAAAAAAAAAAAAAAAAAAAAAAAAGGCGAAAGATTACGTTTTTTTTTTTTTTTTTTCCTGATCATTGCGCGTCGCTATCTTTTTTGGCAACCACGCGACACGAGAGGGAAAACGGCTCCGCAAAAGGGACTGCTCATTCCACAGTCGGATGTGTGTTCGCGTTTCAATCGCAGCAGAAGAAAAAAAAAATATCAATATCAACAGCCAAAAAAAAAATTACATCGCGTCTCAAAAAAACTGTTACATCGCTACGTGAATTCAACATGTTAGAAAAAAAAAAAACCAAAAGCATAATGGTTCGCGCCGATCATACCCGATCGAGGTTATGTAAAATCTTACAACACACCTACTATTTTAACCTTGACGTATTTTATTCAAACGCGTGGAAGTAGAAGCTGTGAGAATGAGACACCCTGAACATCAACAGAATAAAATTTTATCACATATTCTACTTGACATTGCCATATGAAGGCTGTGCATGCGACATTATAAATAAAATTGTCAACATTTTAAAAAAAAAAAAAAAAGAAGGTCAATCAAACTATGAAGCTATCACCATCAATATCTTTTGATTCCAAGTCTGGGTTGTTGAATTAATTGTCATGGTAATGACTAAACGAAAATGGAAGCAAAGAAGGCTTTATTATATGTTGCAGAGGCTCTAAAAATCTCACCTTCCAGTAACCCTAACACCATCCCAACTCCGTCCTTAACCCTAAAAAGCCACTAACCCTAGTAAAGATTTCGGGTCATTTTTCATGTATTTTATTGTATTCATTGTTTCCATATGGTTTCGACCCCATTATTGCATCGAGATCAATTGCAAAAAATTCCATAAATTTATATGTGCCATATAGCTCCTAAAAAATCAGCTTCTTGCTAAAAATATTTTTGTAATAAAAAATAAATACCTACCATTATTAAAATGTTTGGGAGTTATGCGCGCTAATTTTCAGTCACAAGGCAGCCACATTGGGTTTTTGCTACATTTGTCGGCTTTGATTGGGTAATTTCGAAAAACAAATATATAAGATTGGTTGAAACGAAACCAGACAGCTGTTGATCGGCCCGACCTTTGCGCTCGAATTTTTAACATGAAGCGTAAAGCTCTGATGGAAGATCTAAAGAAGAACCATGTTTGGGAAGAGTCGTTACCCATGTACACACGGCGGAGTTTTAGAAGCGAGGCTTACTGCATCTTCATTTGCTTTTGGTGTTACTCCGGAGGATAAGCCGAGAACACTTGATGACTATGATCGTATCGTGTGTGCCGAACTTCCGGACAGAGAGAGATTTCCTGATCTCTACGACACCGTCAGCATATGTATGGTGCACGGTCCGTGTGGAACAACGCATCCGAGGTCTCCCTGCATGGAAAACGGCTCATGTAAAAAGCGTTACCCGCGGCCTTCAATGAAGCTACTATCGAAGATCACAGTGGTTACCCGTTATACCGTCGTCGCAACAATGGTGATTTTGTGATCAAGAACCACGTCCAGTTGGACATAGATGGGTTGTTCCCCACAATCGATATTTCTGTGCAAGATATAACGCTCACATTAACGTCGAAATCTGTACTTCTCTGGAAAGCGACAAATACCTGTACAAGTATGTTTACAAGGACCACGATCGTGCTGCAGCAGCAATGTATCATGCCGGCAATGATAGAAAATGTCAGGTTCCTGACCCGTTTGCGCTTTGGATGCAGTTCCGCCAACATTTGGCAGAAGACTATTTAACCTTTTTGGAGCAATCAAAATCAAGACAATGATCATCAAAATTGAGCCGCCCCAAATCGTGTACGATCGCGCTTTGCTGGACATTGAAGAGCATCTGAACCGCCAATCGAGTTCACTGCTGAATTACGATCGCTTTGTTCTTCCTGATCGCCAAGAAATTGGCATAAGCACATTTCGCCGTCAGCCCAGACTGGTAAGAGAACAATACGATCTCATCGCAGACGCTGCCAATGTTCCCCAAACACACGAGTACCTAAACCGTTATCAACATGCCGTATACCACGCAATTCTCCAGAGTGTCACGCATGGAAGCAACGAATCAGCCCGATTGTTCTTTGTTGATGGTCCTGGTGGCGTCTTTACCCGTATATTGTTGTTTTTATTATTCCTTTATATTTTACTGTATGTATTTTGTCTTATGCTCCTTTGATTTCATCCTTTGCTATGATTTTTCAAGTTATTCTTCACCTTTATGTTTTATGCTTTTTGTCCTTATGTTCCTTTTGATTTTATCCTTATGCTATGTTTCCCCGAGTACGATTTTTTCTGTTATCTATTTTTGTCTCTCCATTTAATATTATACGATGTCTGACTATTTCTGTTCCTAACTTTGTGTACATATTGTTGTTCCTCTGTCGTGGATGAAGAAAATGATCGCTATGTGGCGGTAGGTCCTCTTCATGTTCCTCTCCTTTGGATTGCTTCTCACCAATGGTATTCGAGACGTCTTCCCGATTATTTATTCTGTAGTTTATAGTTTGTATTTTGTATTTTATATTTCATGTACATATTCTTTTCGCAGTCTTTTCCTCTTATTTTCCCACAGGGTTTTTTATGAGGTTTTTACTGACGCGACCATTGTTTTTTTATCTTCATGTACTTTATTTGTTTCTTTCTTTTTATTCGGGGGACTCTCGATATCTGGAATCCAACTCGAAGTTACCGTCACTTCTGGCCACGTCAATATTTTTTGCCTGCTCAAGCTGACACCACCGATCCATCGCTTAACCGTCCCTGGAAGCAATTTTATTTTCCGCATCGAAGAAGAAGCTTACCTGGCGGTCCGTATTCATCTTTGTTTCTTCCGGTACACCATTTGGTTCAAAGGTAAGTCAATTACTTTTCCTTTGCTATGATGTAGTGAACGTATACTAATTCAAAAATTTTTCAATGTCATATAATCCAAGTCATGTCAAGCGATCAATGGCTATCGAAAACTCAAATAACAAAGGTAAAATATCTTGACGAAAATTTAAATCAATCAAAGAGCTTACTAACTCATTTTTTTTAATACCCAAAATTCCCACACATCATTCTAGATCTATCATAACCTTGGGCGGGACGGGACTGAGGGGGTCAATAAGTGCTGCTGCACACATGTTTGGAAATCATGACTGTACGGTATGCCAGAGTATTGACATTAATATACCAAAGTTCCATCAAGAGTCTCGCCAGGTTATGCCGTATTGCGTTAGGCTTTTGTCTGACGAATGTCGCTCAATGTAAGGGGGCGACCTCCGGTGGCAGGCGGCATCCATTGCACAGCGGGTGTACGGCTTGTTATTTACGCATTTATTTTATGCGAAAGCCTTATCATTGAGAGATAAAAAATCAATTCTATCCTTCATGGAGTCTTTCAATATTCTATATTGTTTATTCATTCATACACTTTTGCTTAGACATCTATGCGATCTGTAAAATAGAGAATCCATGATTGTTTACTTGACAAGCCATTGAAAAAGTCCCAATGAAATGCTTGATTTTTACAACATTCACATAAAAATGATAAATCGATTGATGATTACTTTAATCAGGAACTTTAAATGATTCATAACAAATATAGCATGAGCAAGGTTATATTTGATATGAATTTCTTTTTTTTTATTTTATTTTAAAATCGATGGACTATTCTGTCGTATGCATCTACCAAAGTGATATCGCGATTGAGTTTCGGTACATATTTGCGTTATGACAAAAATGGATTTCCACAGTCCGATCCCACCCATCCGTAGCAAATCTAAACAAAGTGATATCGAATCGGTCAAGCAGCAAGTTCGGCCTTCACTCGTTTTAACCATTCCGAGTGTCAACGAGTGATCAATGCCTTCCAATGTGAAACCGGCGGATGATCCTTGGTTCACTACCGGTGATGCAGAAACAACTTTTTTAGATCGTCGCTCTTTCTTATCAAATGTCAAGACCAAAAAAAAGACACAATAATGATTCCCAAGTGATCATATTTTTACAACAAAAACAATATTTTGGCTGATGCATATTTATTTTAAAGGAGATTAAGATGAGTAATTACAGAAAAACTTTGATGGACGAGGAGAAAGGGGTAACTGTACAGAAACGTATCAATTTTTTTTTATGAAAGAGACATATCCTTTTGTGTTTTGGCGGTTTTTTCCTTGACGAGAATGTCTAACAAGGAAAAGGATTTTTTTGTTTGCTTAAGAGCGTTCACCGCGGAGACGACGAGCCAACTGGATATCCTTGGGCTGGATGGTCACACGCTTGGCGTGGATAGCGGCCAAGTTGGTATCTTCGAACAAGGAGACGAGGTAAGCTTCGGAGGCTTCCTGGAGAGCACCGATGGCAGAAGATTGGAAGCGCAAGTCAGTCTTGAAATCCTGAGCGATTTCACGAACAAGACGTTGGAAAGGAAGCTTGCGGATAAGCAATTCGGTGGACTTTTGGTAACGACGGATTTCACGAAGAGCGACGGTACCGGGTCTGTAACGATGGGGCTTCTTGACACCACCAGTGGAAGGGGCGGATTTACGGGCGGCCTTGGTAGCCAATTGCTTACGGGGGGCCTTGCCACCAGTAGATTTGCGAGCGGTTTGCTTAGTACGAGCCATGGTTGAATAAAAGAGAGAAAAACAGGAATCTAATTTTCTTACGGGAAAAAAAACCAAGGGCTCTCTTTTATATGTTTGTGTTACTCCGCTCAACGTGTTGTCCGAATTCAAATATCCCATTACCATATTTGGCTTAATCTGACTACGATTTTTTTTTTTTCCCTGAGCGCCAGAAAAACCAAAAAAAAAACACGTCTCCCCCCAAAAAAACTATTTCTTTTTTTTTTTTTTTGCGACACGAAAATGTCACGATCACTGGAACACGTACATCCATCTTTGTTTTTTCGATGAATTTTCGGGAACCATTGTATTTCACTGTATTCGTGTTATCGTTTAAAATGTACATGAATGATGCAGCATTATTCATAGCAAGGCGTGAAATAAGAAATACGCCCCATAAAGGAGTATTTATGATTGTATATGAACTGTGCAACTGATATGAAAAAAAAATACAGTCGACACGTAGTTTCCATGAACAGGAAATTTTTTTTTTTTTTTTTGGCTCAACGCGCTATCAAAAAAAAAAAAATTTCGTAGCTCAAAAAAAATTACATTTTTTTTTTTCTAGGTTTGCGGTCATTGGTTTTTCCCTTTGTGTGACTCCTTCCGATTTTCTCCTATAAAAAGCTGCATTTTTGGTGGTTGCATTTTTCTTTTCTTCTATTTTTTCTTCAAACCCACAAATAACTATAAACAAACATGACTGGTCGCGGTAAAGGTGGAAAAGGTCTCGGAAAGGGAGGTGCCAAGCGTCATCGCAAGATTCTTCGTGACAACATCCAAGGTATTACCAAGCCTGCTATTCGTCGTCTCGCTCGTCGTGGTGGTGTGAAGCGTATCTCTGGTCTCATCTACGAAGAAACCCGTGGTGTCCTCAAGGTCTTCTTGGAAAACGTTATCCGTGATGCCGTCACTTACACTGAACACGCCAAGAGAAAGACAGTTACTTCTCTCGATGTCGTCTATGCTTTGAAGCGACAGGGCCGCACCCTCTACGGTTTCGGCGGTTAAACATCTTCTCCCCTCAACCATTTATACTCCCTCTTTATGTTTTTCTTATCCCACTGTTCCACATTTTCTCACTCCACAATCCCTCATAAATCTTTATGTTGCAAGGCGAATCACTTTCTCTTTAGTTCGTTCACGCCCCATGAAGCTCGCTCTCCAACTTACATGATTTGTACTGTGTATACATTAAAAACGCCACCATAATCAAAATATATCATAACAGCTTGTTACATATCAAAAAAAATGTCATGGGAATGGTTTAATTTTTTTTCTTTTTTGGAGTGGCATCTCCTTGCTGGAGGTGGCCCCTTATTGGTCTACGCTGATTTTGAAGTATGTGCGTGAATGTGACTTCATTTTACGTTAGGATCTGCCGCTGCCGGTGGTTCCGCACCACGCTTCTCCCACAAGTACAAGGAAAAAAAGGAGCTCGCTGCCACGCCCTTTGTTACATCAAGAGGGTATTCCTATAGTGCGATCCCGCTACATCTGTTACACCGATTTAGGACTTTCTGTTTGTTACACGATGCAGCCTCCTTACATTGCATGTGCCTTGAAGACTTGACATCCATTTCCGCAGTCCACCTAAAAATTCAAGCTAGGAATCTTTAACAACATTACTTTGGAAAAATCTTATCGAGACATATAAGGTCATTTTGGAAGCCTGATGAGCGCCATCGAAAGATGGCCCTTTCATTACAAATCGTCCGCTCGGAAATCCATGTATTTTTTTCCTTTAGGACAATCAGCTTGATTTGTTTATAGGATGATGATTTTTTATTAACTTGCAAAGATTAAATATGCTTTACAGATCTTATATCAATTACTACAACGCCTGGCGAGTAGATGGATCATAATATATATTGTTTTCATTGCATAATGAGATCAAGCCTTGCATGAGAGACCAAGGGGGTTCAGAGTTCTTGAGTAGTAGCCATAGCCTTCTGGGTCTTTTTGGGTAAGAGATGAGCGTGAATATTGGGCAGGACACCGCCTTGTGATATGGTGACATGGGCCAAGAGTCGGTTAAGTTCTTCATCGTTTCGCACTGCCAGCTGCAGATGGCGAGGTGCAATGCGAGCTTTATGGTTATCACGAGCCGCATTGCCGGCCAACTCGAGAATTTCCGCAGCCAAGTATTCGAGCACCGCGGCCATGTAAACGGGAGCGCCAGAACGAATATATTTGCCGTAGTTTCTCTTGCACATAATCCGATGAATACGAGCGACAGGAAATTGAAGACCAGCGCGAACTGAACGAGTATGGCCTTTGGAAGTTGTGGTTGCTTTTCCACCTGAATTGGTACCAGTCATGATGAGAAGAAAAGACGAAAAAGAGATCAAAAGAAACAACAGACAAGAAATAAACTTCTTATACAAAGCGAGTGACTGTCCTTTCCATATCACTTTCTATTTAGTTCCTTCATTCACTCAATTATTTTGATATCAAATATATATGAATCCATCCTGGTGCATCATGTTTGATAACCAGTGAAGCTTTCGATAACATTAAATTAATAATGTTAGTTGGAACGCACGACGTGCTTCGTTAGCTTATTGGCTCTCAGAGATGTCCCTGTCCGAGATCATTTTATCTTTCTTACTTACTAAAACCAATGATATGATATTTTTCTTTTATTCCTTGCAGGTCCATAAAATTAAATAACCATGTAAATTTCAAAAATCCATAAAGCTTGTAATTTGGCTAAGGGAGTTGTTAGCGCATAGACTTTTAGACTCTTTGGAACGTGTATAGCCGAGATTCATCTTTGCATAACAGATCGACATAACATATTATAAAGGCAGGCTTGATAAAAAAAAAAAGTCAGGCAAGCCTTCTTATTCGCTCGATCCCGACAAGAAATAAATTTCAGCAATTTTTCGGCACTAAATCGTGGGCCGGTGTTTTTTTTCTTCTGCAGTAAAACCACCCGGCCTCGTTGCAAGGCTTTCACTCTATTTTTCTATTGACAGAATTGAAGGGGATTTGGTAGTACCATTCCCGATCGATTTCCTCGTTATTTTTTCCCACCGCATCTCTTTCTTTCATATCATAATCCGCCATGTTCATGTCAGGCACTTCTTTAGCTGATCTAGACCCGTCCGTAACACAACCACCTTCCACGGCCATGTCTCCTGCCACCACGTCCAACGAGATCGACGAAGGATCGTCATCGTTAATAACTTCAAAATCATCCTCTACTCTTCCGTTGACCGGTAACAGTAAACGCTTACCCTTGCGAAAACGCATGTCCAAGGATGTGCAGCCGCATCTACCGCCAGCGCTGAAATGGCAACCGGTCGAAATATCAGATTCTCCTTTACGCACACCTTATCCGACACCGAGTCCACAAAAAATCGAGATTATTCCCCTTCATCAATTACATCATGAGACATATCAGGAGATGGCATTCCACAGTTCGCTCGATACCAAAACTAATCCACCAAACCATCCGCAGCTTGTGGAGACACATGATATTCACGAAAAAACTGTCATCTCCACCCCCATTCCCACTTTGCCGCCATCCACAACTCATGTTCCCCGTCCACCACCAGCTCTGCCGCTCAACGATAATGCGCCAAAAGTGAAACCTTTGAAAAAAGTTCAACACTGGATTACAAAAGGCAAGCATCGGGAAAACGAGCCTGCTGCCGTCACTAAACCAGCGACGGGTGAAGTTGGAACGTCGCCGTCATTCCGGGAAGATCCTGTAAGCTATCGTTTCTTTTAACGGGTTTTGGAGCCAGTAGAATATTTTAAGCCATATCTTTTGACACTTTTTTTTTTTTTTTTTTTTGGTAGCCTCTCAAGAAACCAAGACTGGACGACCTCACAACCATGCCTTCTGGACGTCCTACCATTCATCCAACCCCTCCGCTGAGCAGCCCTGAAGTTCCTGTCAATACTCCTCCGCCACCATCTTCTTTTCCTCGTCCTTGTCCTCCTCTCTCCAACCGAGCCATCAACAATACTCTTTACTGCATTTGCCGGAAACCTTATGATATTCCGCGCTTTATGATCGCTTGTGATCGCTGCGATCAGTGGTTCCACGGCGAATGTATTGGAATCAGTGAAAAACAAGGTGAATTCATTGATTTGTATTTCTGCAGTGGCTGTGCCAAAGGTAAAGCAAAATGATCCTTCTTTTTCGTGCATCCGAGCTCACCTCTTTTTTTTTGCAGTCACAGGCAAACAGACGTCGTGGAAACCCAAATGTAAAAATCCAGCATGTCAGAAACCATCGAGAACCGGCAAGAATTACACGCAGCGGTCAAAATACTGCAGCGATCTGTGTGGCGTCCAAGTGGCTCGCGCTCGATTGGAATTGGCGGAAATCAAACGGCGTGGTACGTCGATTGGAGAAGTGGCCCAACGGCCAATAGAACTGAGCAGGATCATCCAACTTTCCAAAAATCGTTTAAACTCGTACGCGGATAATGATGATCGACAGCGTCTCTTACGCGTGCGCGACGAACGCAAGCGAGCCAAAGAAGCGATCAACACCAATGACAGGAAAACCTCGTTTCTGAAAATGATTATTCAGAAAAACAGTGAAAACCCGCCGGTGTGTGGGTTTGATTCACGGTTATCGTGGATGGAAGATGTTTGGATGCAAGTGGTCCAAATCCACGACGATGCTACCGTCGCCCTGAAAGACAAGGAGGTTCCCTGTTTTACGGTGTGCTCGCAGACCGGTCGCTGCAATAAGCATGCCAATTGGCAGAAACTGAAAGCGATGGAGCTGGAACATGAGCGCGAGGAGCAATTCGCAATTTTGGCTTTACTCATGGAGGAAAGGAAACAGATCTTGGCAAGGATGAAAAAACGACGAGAACACGGTGATATTACCGAAGCGTTGATCAATGGAACCATATCCCACCCAACCTCCACTGCATAAAGCGATAAAAAACACCATACCACGATTATTCGTTCTGAAGATGGGAGCGCACGAATTCTTTTCACAAGAATCTTCACACCATCCTAATGGATTGCATGTTCACTGTAAATCTTTTTACAATAAACCACTGTATGCTGAGCATCATCTTTTTTTGGCATTTTTTCGTTGGAATTTCCTTTTATAGATGATCGCCTTGGCAAGTTTTAATATTCTCGTGTTCCCAAATTATAAAGCTTGGCTATTTTTTTTTAAACCACCCCATTATCCCAATCCCATACCAATGCCATGGCTCTGGACATGAGAGCCAAGGCTCTCAAGACGATTGATTGTGACTGACACATGTATAAATAACTGCGAGCACTTTGTCTTGTTACAATTTGTACAAAAACAAACGATTGGCAGATAAGCGTTGAATTTGGAAATTTCCTTTTGTCACACCAGGGAAATTTCAACCATTCATCTATCATTGAAACAATTGTCAATTTTTGCCGTGCTTTTTTCATTTTGAACCACTTTTTGGCCTTGTCATCATTCCGGATCCATGGTCAATTTATCGGTTGCAGAACAAGAGAACCGCATTCAGCAGTTGAGAGAACAACTGGGAAACCAATGGACTCATCTAGACGATGAAGTAGGTTGAATCAAAACGTTTATGCAAGTGATGCATCCCCTTTTTTTAACATCTTGACAGTATTTGGTTCAGTTTCTCATTGCCAGAAGTTGGAATGTCGTAAGTTATATGCATCATTAGGCTGCTAAGACAGATTCACGGAAGGACTGACTGTTCCGGTTTGTATGATGGCAGGACGAGGCGAAAACACAGCTAGAAAATACATTCAAGTGGCGTGCCGAGAATGGAGTGGACCACCATCCCGTGGCCACCACTGAAAATCAATTACCTGTCCTTTATTCCGTTCGAGGATTTTCATCCATCCCTGACAGCAACTTGGAAGCGAGCGCCGGGGTGTCGGAAGCCGTACTCCGCATCAATCAGTATATGGGAGGCAGTTGCTTGCACAAGACCGACATCGATGGTTGTCCCATTTACATTGAAAGACTGGTAATAACGAACCTCTTCTACTGATTTATTTTTCAACTTGTTAAAATTTTCCATTGCTCAGGGCTATCATGCGGCCAAGGACATTGCAAAAAAGACGACCATCGAAGAAGTGCAGAATTATCATATTGGTTGCAATGAATTTTTGCACCGTGTCATTATGAAAGATTGCTCCCTCACCAGCAAGAAGCGCATCAATCGTGAAACTGTCATTTTTGACTGCGCAGGCATGGGCTGGCATCGTAAGTCATGGTTATTAAACGAATGTGCGATTCATTCATTCACCCGTTTTTATTATTTATTTCATCTGCAAGAATTCCACATGCCTGCTTTGCAATACATTCGCGCCATTTCTGATACAGATCAGAAATATTATCCGGAAACCCTGAACAAGCTTTTTATCGTGAACGCTCCCTCGGCATTTGTTTACGTATGGAAGATTTTCAAAGGATGGTTGGATCCCGGTGTAAGTTTGATTTTCTCTCTTTGGCCATGTTCATCGATGTATTGATTTGGTTTTTTTTTTCCACAGACCATTGAAAAGATCCAAATCTGCGGTTCCGATTATCAAACTGTCTTGTTGAAACAAATCCCTGCAGAAAACCTGCCTGATTTTTTGGGTGGCCAATGCAAATGCGAACATATGGCCGGTGGATGTGTTCCTTCCCAAGGTAAGTGATGAGAAAGACCATTTCCCCCTCCTTGACTCACACACGTGTCGCTAGTTTTGAAAAACGTTCCACCCATGGTACCGCAAGAACACAATGAGAAAACCCCTATGGCATACAATGACAGTGTCATGCAGCAAGCCAAAGTCGACGAAATCGTTCGTGGTCCTCCCTTTTATCATCAATCCGTGTAGACTTAAAACCCATCCTTTGTACATGTTGCATAGCGAAAAAAAAAAGCAGTAGAGAAAGATACATTTTAAAAAAAAGACACGTTTCTTGGATTTATGCTGTAGTGAAAGGAAATTTATTTGCAGATACAAAGATATGGGAAGAGATATCTTGCACGTTTAATCGAAGAGACCTAAATTGATTTAAAAATCCCACGTTAGCCACACGATCTTCTTGCAACGAAACATTAATGTTTTTGCATGCACTTACCGAAGCCCATGTCTTCGTCGGATTCTTCCTTCTCTTCTTCCTTCTCCTCAGCAGGAGCTTCAGCAGCACCACCAGCAGCGGCACCAGCAGCAGGGGCAGCAGCACCACCAGCACCGGGGGTACCAACGCTCATAAGAAGCTCACCGAAGTTTTGACCGGCAAGAGCCTTGGCGTAGAGGCTGAACCAGACGGGCTCAACATCAATACCGGCAGCCTTGACAAGGGTTTGGAGCTTGTCAGCCTAATGAAAACGAAAAAAAAAACGTGAGCCCATCCATTTCCGATAATTGATTCTCGAGCTCTCCCATTAGGGAGAAACTTCATTTCGCGCAGTGAGGGAAAGTTAGATATTTACAGTGATCTCAACGTTGTCATCCTGGAGGATGAGAGCGGCGTAAACGACGGCAAGTTCGGCAGACATGCTAGATAAGAGTGAGATGCACGTCTTTGATGGATACCATAGTCATGATTCTATACATACACGCAAATGGATGGATGCGATGGAAGGGGAGAGCAAATCCATCTGCCCATTCATCCATCCCTTCATTGCCTCTCGCGCCGGCCCGCAGTCACTCGGCAAAAGCCCTGTCGCAGCTTGAAAATTTTACCTGACCTGTTGATTGGCTCAAAATCAAACCACCACCTATCCAGCCCATAAGGGACATTCGATATGTCGAGACCAGACGTTGCAATCTATTCGATAAGAAAGCTAGCATCATAATTTGCCAGCTTCCTATCCTTGGAAAAGGATGTGTATGGTTTTGGAACCAGTGGGTTCATGAACAAATCAATAAATGCCACAAAACAACCGCTTATCCAGTCGTATACTTCATCGTATATTTTAAGGTCAAATATGATGCTGCCTGCGTGAGAACACAAATAAAAACAGCTTGCTAAACATAGTAAGAAGCCGTATAGCTTGTTCATGTCATCTAAAGGGAGCAAGTGAATTTTTTTCATGATCGAGGCTGAGTAACTGTCACGTGACTTTTTTTTGAACCGACGAAAAAAAAAAAAGTACTGCCAGCACTGGGGAACGAACCAAGGACCTTGGACTGTTCAAAAGTTTACCCTGAAGGAGCTTCATTTGATCCATGCATAATGTTGGATTCCATCCTTCTCGGTCTACGTGATGAAATTGCCATTGACGGTGAACAAGGTACTCTTTGGACATGGTACTCAACAAACTTGTAGATTGTTTGTGTTTTATTTACCGTTCCATTGCAGGTACTCAGTTGAGTACGATCTGGCAATACTTTAGGCAGATCCAAATGGATAAGGCCAAAGATCTGACGGGGACCGCCGTCGAACCAGTTATGGATTTGGCTTACAAAGCTTTTGTGTGGAAGTTTCTCAGAACATTGGAAGGGTTGACGTTTGTCGAAGAAAATGCCGCAGAGAACGGCGCTAAAGAGCCAAGCAAAAAGAAGAAAACCGCCGACAAACAAAAGAAGCAGGTCAAGAGAGATCCAGACGACGATGAAGACGAAGACGAATACATGCCGGACGAAGTCGACGATGAATCTGAAGAGGAGGACGACGATGACGACGTTCCAAAACTGAAAGCTCAACCGGTGGTGGGTATCGCAGAAATGGATTATGCGAATGTCGAAGCGCAGTATGGAGACCGTTTACGAGCGGTCGCCGATTCACAGCTCCAAAACGAGCAATTATATATCGGTGCTCCAGTAGGAAACAAGACAAACCTTATTAATGTGGCGCTCTGAACTGACTTTTTGAATTGAATTTAGCCTGGTCAAATCGTCTCAATCAATCTTATGATCGTCCTGAAAACGATTCTGCAAGCACGATCGAACGGCGTGCCACAAAGCGAACTCACCAAAATCCTCAACCTGGATGCTCGTTCCACCGGCCACTATGTCAAATCTTTGGAAGACTCTGGATTCATGTACGGACAAAGCGGTTTTGATGAAGAGGTCGCGTATTGAGTGTATTGATGTATTTTCTTCTGTTTATCTTGTGGGTGCTATAGTATACGAACCACTGTGACTTATGCTGGAACCCATACAAACCTGTGTGTGCATATAAGATACGGGCGCAGTGCTCCAGAGACTTTCAACGGTGAGGAAATTGTTAAACCAAATTTTATCAACACCCTGGGCGAGGCATTTTACATGGAGGACGTGAAGCGTCAAATGCATGCATTGCTGGTGAATGCTCACAATAACATCATGACCAGAAGTGACATCCTAACTGCCATGGTAAGTTGAGCTGATTTTTTTCTATTCAAGTCGCGCAGAAACAGTTGGCTGATCGTCGTCGCTCAGGGTTTCGATCCTCAGGCGAAAGGGACCAAGAAGTGGTTCCAACGATGCTGCGATACACTGATTGCACGCGGGTTTATCAAAAAATTCATCACGCATGTGGGCACAAGAGTGCACCGTTGCTATCAACTCGTTGATTTCACTCAAGGTATGTGTGAGATTCTTTATGACAATGCTATGGAGATATCAATGTTAATATGGACGTATCTTAGTACCGAAAACAGGAGAAAAGCAGAAACCCCTTAATGCTGACCACATGGCGCGTCCGTTTGTTTTACAGTCGACATTAAAAATGGAATCTGCAGGCAAATTGCTGCGAGATGTACCAAACGAATACCAAATTTTGCAACTGTTGCGCACAGTCGATGTCCAAGGTACAACACAAAAGGTAAATTGATGCGGCAGTGACTGAAGAAAAAAAGGGGGGGTGTTGTGTTACGAAAAAAAAAAAAGTTTTGACACCATCATGCAGGATATCGAGCGTCTGTTAAATATTGGGGAATCGAGAATTGTGTACAAAATGCTTGAAAGGATCATTTCAATGTCAGGGCCAACTTCGCAAGATCACGCTGTTTGTCGTGCCCTTGAATTCGAAGGTCGTCTCAAACGATATCGCTACTACACTTACCCGGCCTACATGAAGGCGGTGGAACATACCGATGTTGCGGTGTCTGATAACCCACCAACATTTTTGTTCAACGAAAAAGATTTGAAACTGGTCGATAAAAGCAAACGGGTACTTCCAACTAGAAACAATACGGGGAAAAGGCTCGGTCGACCTCCCAAATCGGACAAGTCTGGCAAAGCCGGCCCCAATAGCCCGAAAAAAGGGCCCGGTCGACCTGGCAAATCAGCTAAATTGCCCCAAGCCGCGTCTTCCACCGTCCCAACTCCTTCACTACCCAATGCCACCGATGATACCACGTCGACGCCTAATCAACCCTCGTCCCAACCGGAAACTCAACCCGACGCCACCCACGCCACATCTCAACCACCCGCATCTTCTGGCACCACTTCCATGCCAGTGGACTCTCCAGCGCCAGAATTATCGACCGCCGCCAAAAAGTCTTCTCGGAAAGGAAAAGCACCCTCGAAACTAGCACCCATATTCACAAGACAACGTAAAGCTGCTGCTGCTGCCGCCGCCGCCGCTGCCGCTGAGGGCGAAGCATCTGTGAGCGACGTTGAAACCGCTGAACCGCCATCCCAGGCGACTTCACCTTTGAACGATCATGTTGTGGAATCTTCCATCAGCCAAGCGTCTAAAGGGGTCGCAGCGAGGAAGCTTCCCACGCGTTCTTCCAAACGTAAAGCCAACGAGCAAATGGCAAAACTATCGCAATTACCTGCTGCGATTGCGCCTCGGCCAACAGACGAGGACGAGGTTCCTGCACCTACGGAGCCGCCGTCATCCTATCAGGTGGATGACCGACCAGTCAAGAAAAAGCGCGTGTCAGATTACTTTGTAAGGTTTGCAAAACCCAAAGGAGTTCACGTCCAAATCTCGCCCAAGCTTGCGTTTACGCCGCTTCCCGGGAACGACGCTTCCAATGTAACTCAAACAGTACCCGAGTCTCCCGTCCAACAGAACGAGCCACAGGAAGAGGAAGAGGAGGAGGTGCAGGATATGACAATGGATGAAGTTGGTCAGGATGCCTCGGCGTCGGGCGTACCGCAAAAGAGAAGGAAAAAGGCTGCTGCGTCCATCTCCCCGCTTCAGAAACGGTTGAAGCCCGAGAAAAAGCTTACTACGACCACCATGATGAACATTTCGCATTCACGGCATAAGCGCACGCATTTGCAAAAGAACTTGTACCTGGAACAGCGAAATAAGACGGTGCTGAAAATGCTGGAGGACAAGCCCGTGATGGAGTTCAATCGTGTCTTTCACCTCGCCTTTGAAAAGAAACGACAGGAACTGTTTGGCGGTTCGGCGCAAACGTCGCAGATATGTGGGAAAACGATTCGCCGTAGCTGCCAGCAGTTGGCCGATGAAGGCCTGTTGAAATTTGAACCGATTCGATACACGCTGCTGAACGGTAGCCAGCAGGAGCGATGGCTGGTATTTCGCCCTGAGCTGGACATGACGAGTACCGAAGTGCAAGAATACAGCGAATACATCAAAGACTACAAGATGATGGTGACGCCTGCCTACAAGATGGCCACTATTACCGAAATCGAAGCGCCGGAAAGTCTCGAGGCGCGCTTGGGACGCATGGAAGCGGAACTTGATGTGTTGGTGAAAGAGCGGCGCATGTCGGCGGCGGAACGACTGGAAAAGCAGATCAATGAAATCAAGCATAACCAAGCGCACGTCGAAGCCGTGTCGGAAGAAGCGCCGGTCCAAAGACCGGGCAACTGGCTGCTTACGGCGATGCAGTTTGGTTACATCAATTCGCGTATTATTCGAGCCAAGCTGGTGTACCAGTATATGTTTGGATTACTTGGCAGACCCGACGTAGAAGGGGTCAACAAGGAAGAACGGACGATCAATTCGGCCACCATGATTTATGAAATGCCCATCTCGTTATTCTGCCAGGCCATCGGTATTCAGCAAGTGAACCAAGTATTGTGTCAGTTCCTGGAGGATCCGGGATCGCTTGACTTGACGGTGCGCGAAGTTCCCGAGGAAGTGCAACCGCATCTGTTTGCACAGGGGACACGGTTTCGAAGACGGTTGCGGGTGATCATGGATTTGTTGACAAGATTAGGGTTGGTTACCACGGCGAAGAAAGTGTTGACCACCATGTCGGCTGGCAGTATCCCCGGCGAATATCGTTTGGAAAGACATGTAACGATGAAAGATCACCGGCAACCCGGGATTCCTGTTGTGGGCGAATACACGTTGGACGACGCTCAAATGGTGCTCCTCTATTGGAGTGATCTCCAATTCTTGTGTACGAATACGGATGCCATAGGTGAAGAGCTTTATTTCGAGAAGGGTGATGAAGAAGAAGCCATCGATATTCGATCGCTGTACACGGCGAGAAACTGGAGTACGATGTATGTGTTTAGCAAAGAACAGCGAAAGATGCTGAACAGTTTGATTGATCGCAAGGAGAAAACCACTCCTTACCGGGAAATCGATCGGTGCCGAGAAATTTCCGAGTCCTTGGGACTTCCCATCCTCGCGGTGCGTGGCTACTATAAGAAGGTGGAAGAAGCGTATGAACGTAAACGTGATCGCAAGACCATTCAACGCATCGAAGGTGCAACCTTCATCAGACGACGCAAGCGTCGATCCAATCTGTACGAAGATCCCACGAACCGAGTCATTACACTTACCACAGCCCTCCCATTCAAAAAGAAGCGAGGCATCCGGTGGAACCAGCATGAACCCTTCTCCGCGGTCAATCCCCCTAGTGACAATAATCATTTATTCATGGATAATCAAAAAATGCTGCCGGCCATGTCTGAACGTAAGTCTGATGTTCTCTCTCTGTGTGTGTCTGTGTCTGTGCGTGTGTGTGTGCGGATGAGGTTATTCCCTTTTTCTTATGATTTTTGTCTGTGAGTCCTGACGAATCCTATTTCATCTGATAAACAACCAAAAAATAGACGAGTTGCAAAAGAGTTTGAATGGCCGCGTCGTTCGTCGTCAAAAATGGAATTCCGAGGAAGATGAGCTGTTGTTGTATTCGCATGCCATTTTACGTTTACGTGCGCAGTGGAGCCGATTCTATTGGGGGGCTATTTTGCAAGTGCTGCCGGATCGTAAGCCAAATGTTGTTCGTAATCGATATCGCACTTTGCGTCAGATTCCCAGCCAACTGGAAAAGATGTACAAACTTGACGAGAAGTGGAAGCGGTACCATGAAGAAGGCATCGCGAGTGGTGCGATTGACGACGGTGACAGAACAGACATGGTCAATTTCGATATCCTTAGTCACTTGGCGTACTTTCTTGAAAGAGCGCGAGACGACACTACCAGGTAAAAAAGGATCTCTGTTCGATTTGAAGCGTCGAGCGTGAGCGTTGAGAGTTGTTGAGCGCTGTAATGGAAGATCAGCTATACCAACCGTTTTTCTTCGCTTTTTTTATAGTGATGATCCTGCGGGCGCGATTGTGTTGCCAAATTCTGTGGAAGCGGTGGGCAAAGTATACCGTGTCCTGGACAATGCATATACAGGGGAACCACGCATGGACGACGAATATCACAAAGCGCTTAGCCTGGCATCGAAACAACAATTATTCAGCAGCACCATGATTACACTAGGCATGAGTGGTCCCAAGTCTGAAGAAAACACGTCTTCTTTAGTGGATGTCACGAAGGAGGATCGTATAAAAGAATTGCTCATGATTCTATTCAAGGTAGCGTGTGGTTTTACCTCTTTTTTTTGGTTTTTTTGTTTGTTTCCTCCCATTGCATTAGTGGACTCATATTGTTGGTGATTGGTGATAGATGATTCTATTGACGCCTGCAGAAGTGTATGATCCATTTTATACATTTGGTATTATGGAACAATATCCGCCTACAGTACTCCAAGCGACAGTGAGCGAAGCTCGAACCCGGGGATTATTGACGAAAGCTCACGGCGCACGATCCATGGACCGACGTTTACCGGGTACAACTTGGGGCATTTCGAACCAGTAAGTAGCTAGAACAGCAAATGGGCCAATGTTGGTTTTTTTTTTTGTTCCTAAATCAGGTCTTGTCAGCTTTTTAGCGCACATGGCACCGCAATGGCCACCCAATATGGTGGCACAAGCCAAAGAATATGAAAAACATCTAACTGAAGCTAACACTTCGCACATCTCGTCCCTCGCCATCAGCAGCGGAATTATGGCATGTGTATTGAACCTCATGGCCGAAGACAAGGTATGCTCGTTGGATACTAAGAAAAAATTGGGGATCTCGTTGACTCACTTTACGAAACATAATTGTTCAGGCAACTGTTTCCATTGAAAACCGCGCTGTGGAACTCGCCAAGCATCGAGTCCCTTATCATCGGCGTCGAACGATTGGTATGTGCACCGTTGATTTTACATCCCTTTTTATCATTATTCTTACAGTGTGATTTGGATGGTTAGATCGTCAATTACTGCAGTTTTCGATGAAGGTGCATTTGGACGAACCACGACAATACACTGCTCCAGTGTTAAACACGGTTGCGGATACATTGACACCGCTAAACTTTGAGCGATTCGAAGAAATAGCGACGGGTCTTTTGCAGCTCCACACGGAGGAAAAACCATGGCTGGAGACCATTCTTCGGTTGTTCAGAACGGCGGGCGAGGATGGATTAACCTTGGTAGAATTAAAGGTATTGGCACAGACCTCATGAATATTTGTACTGAATGAATACCACATTGGGGCTGTACGGCAAAAGATAACCGTGAATTTGTTTTCTTTCCCCTTAGGAAAAATTTGTTGCTGTGCATGATGTTGAAGACCGTGTCATGCTTCGTTGTCTTGATATACTTCGCAAGACCACTCCACCGTTGGTGGCGGATGTGGGTTACCGAGTGCAGAGACTGGTGTTGACGACCTATCTTGAAAAATGGCTGATTGTGCCTTGCAAAATCCCGGTGCCGCGAGCCGTACGAACTCACAATACCGAGAACACCAGAGAATTTGGCCATCTGCGAAAAACAGTGGTGGTGCCACGATTATGGAATGATGTGAATGGCAATCGCATTCCTGTGATTGCGTTTGGTTGTTTCGAAGCCATGTTGGGTTCCGTTGCGGAACGGCCGGGCATTAATCTGAGTCAGTTATGTCGGCTTTACAAGGATGCCTTGGCCCGCATCGAAATTCAAGATTTGCTGGTCGAACTTGAAGCGTGTGGTGCGGTGCGATCTCTCACCATTCAGGTTCAACGCCCCCAAAAGAAGAAGAATAACTTGTTCTCTGGTCTGACCCAGTTCTCGATCCTCGAAAAGGACACGATTGCTGAAGAGACCGAAACCTGTTACTGGGTTCTCCCTGGTTACTATAGCAAACTGCCTGTCTCATAATCACTGCAGCCACATGCATCCGCATGCATCCGTCGGATGGAGCGGATCTGCTTTTTATTTCTTAATACATCCATGGCAGCCATCGTGTACATAAAGGATCTTTAACATGTTTGCAACAAAATCAGAGAAAGGAACCGTAAAAAAAGTTACAAAAATTTGGCCATCGTGTCGATTTGCCGTTACAATGGCATATAAGGTTGTCTGTAAGAAGAGCCTCTTTTACGCTACATGTCCTCGAGAATTGAATAAGAGCGGCACAGAGCAAAAGAAGCTTAGATAGAGTTAAAAAAAAGGCTATATCTTGTCATATATGTATGCAGATGCTGGAAGCTTCCATTGCAGCGATTTTTCTTAGAGATACTGGCATGACAATGCAGCAAGTGTACAATATGTGACAGGAGCAGGCATGTTATTTCATGTACGTAAAACATCATTCATACCTTGGCCATGGATGCAAAATATTGGTTTGACATCATCGATCTTTGAACTAATGTATTCATTGAACCTGAAAGGTAGCTACACATGGATTCTTCCAAAAACATTTTTCTCAAACAGAGTATTGTAACGACAAATCCTTTATTTAAATGATCGTTTTTTTATGATTTTTTCTTTTTGTGTCAATGTGTATTTGGATAATGATAGTAAAAAAAGAATAAAAAAAAATTAAAAAGACAAATGAAAAAAAGAAAAGGGAAAGGTGAAGGAATGGTTGGCGTGTGAAAATGAAACGGGTGGAGGGGTTGATTTTTTTTTTCTGAATTTTTGGGCTAAAATGTTTACGGGTAAGATTGTTTGTACAATAGGTGATTGAAGTGATGTGATGTGGCCGTCCCAGAAATTATAGTAACCAGGAGCGACAACATGGCGATGCTAATAAAAAAGATAATATGTGCGAGGATAGTTTAAAAAGAGCCAGGATATCGGGTAAATGATAAAAAAAAAGAGACAGATAGAAAGAGAGAGGAAGAGAGAAAAAGACGACGACAGAAACGACGACTATCCATCACACGAGTCAAGCAGCCAAAGAAGGGATATTGATCGCTCTTGACAGCCGATGGTCATTGATGGGAAAGAAAAAAGAAACACAACAAAAACAAAGAAAAAAAAGGATGTTTCACGGTTTCATGGGTTCATGCACTCAGTAAGACAGGACTGGTGGTCGCTGTCGTAGAAGCGGTGGAAGAGGTCGCCGGGCCAGCCGGAATACTACACTGAGCGGTTGAATTGGAGGCCATGACAATCAAAGAATTAGATGTAAGGGTATCTGAAGCTAGGGTTGGACAGGAGGAAGAAGAGGATGAGGACGGTTCCTCGGATACGGAATGTCTGTCTTCATGATCCTGTGTATGATGAAGCGGCTGCGGCTGATGTCTTTTCAATTTGTGGGTGGTGATGGTAGAACACTCCTCGTTGTCGCTGATACTTTCCCCATCTGGACGTGCTCGTTTCCGATCCATTCGTTGTTCGGGTTTAGGATGTTGAGGAGATTCCGAGTGGATTAAATCGAGGAACGAAGTCAAATCATGATGTTTTTCGAGCACTGGTTCGGAAGATGTGGGAGGAGTATGCGATAAGAGGGACACGGAGGATGAAGACGATGACGACGAGCCACCCTTTCTCGTCAAATCGCTCGTCACTGGATGAGGAGGATGATTCAAATTATTAAATGCTTCGTCATTCTCCAGCCAACCCCAGTCAAAATGGCCGGCCGCCTCACACACGTCGCCTGGCGGTTCAGATCCCGATTTTTGTGACGGCGAGGGCGGAACTCCGCAAAGTAAATCAATATGCTCGAGTGATGATTCGTCTTTTTCGTCTCTCTCATTTTGGCGGCTCGCCTTTTCAACAACGTCATGGTCGTGGCTTTCAATGGCGTCCATCCCATCCTGCTCACTCGATAACCATGCCTCTGAGACGGTCTCGGACGAACTTGTCATGACACCCACCGTTTGATATTGATGAATTTTACTCCACAGTCTTTATAAGAAACACAGATCATAAGTCAGCGCAAAATATTCATCCAATCTTCCCCATTCTGATATTATTTTATCATCGTGGGGCTTTGTTGTGTTTCTTTTTTTGGGTAAGGCATCATCTGATTACCTCGAGTTGAGTAGGATATTTCGAAGAGGTAGTTCGTTTTGTGGTGCTGGATTAGAAAAAAGTTTAGTTTGGCACGCATTGAAGAGACGAGCAACGTAAGGGTCAGTGACAGAATCCATGATAAGGAAAAAAAAAAAAGGGGGAAAAAGGAAAAGAGTAAAAAAAAACGAAAAAAAGGACTTTGAGTACCTAAAAAAACCTGCGGACATTAGAATAAGGAAAAGGGGGTTATTTTATGGACCAATCACAGGCCAGGATTACGAGGTGTTTCAATTTCCACGGTCGTGTGACACCTACTTTGTCGGATACTGGGGCTGCGCGTTATTTTTTTCGACTTCCCGAATGAGTAAAAAAAGAAACCTTTTTTTTTTTTTTTTTTGTCAACTTTGACATTCTCATCCCACCATATCAAATCAAGTTTTTCGTGTGCCCCCGATCATTTATTGTACCAGCGCACAGGCCAATTCACCGATTTGTCCTTTTTGTTCCAAGAAAGAAATTTGATTAAAAGGGAGAGAGCTGATCCAACTCGTTCTTTTATTATGTGGTTTATCCTTTTTTTTTTTTTTTCTTTTCTTTTCAACAAGTATCCATCTACATAAAGCGCACAGACAAGCTGAGTGCCATGACGGTTATGATCCCGGTTTTTCGTAACCCGTGGATCCATAATACCCGCTCGGCACCGGAACCTTGCGAAGACTGATTGGGTCGATGCGACCTGTGCGGTTGTTGTGGGCGATGAGATGATGATGCACGTTGCGATGACTGCGTTCCCGCGCCCGATGTGGATTCCTTGTTCCGGCTTTGCTCACAGGGCAGTTTGGGACCCGTGATGACCGATCGCAGAGGGGTTTGAGCGGAAGCGAAGCCAATGCGATTTCTTCCCGCATCGAAAATCAGATAGGTCGAACGTAAAATACTGTCGCCTAGCAAGATCATGCCTTTGGAACCTAAAACGGAACTCTGTTTCGTTTGAAGCCAAGGTGCGATCCCAAACATACACTGATCCGACAAAGTATTGGCACTGGCATTGAGTGGAATCACTAGATTTGAGACGGACAGTCGTAGCCGTACCGGGGGACCCGAAGCTCGGTAGGTGGTAGAGAACTCGAGATCCAGCTCAAGAGGCGATTGACGCAAATGACAAGGAACCAGAAACACGCCGGTGGTCTCATCCAACAACACCTGATCCTGTCCTGCCACCGAAAGCACGATCTGTTCCGCCAATGCCTGATCCATATACGACAGTGTTGTGCCCGTATCGATAATGACGCCGCGGGTTTTGTTGAAAGGGGCATTAAAGATGATTGCGTCGTCGTCGGCAATATGCAATGATCGACCATAGACCATCCAGTATGCGTAAGCTCCGTTTTTGTGACCTTTTTTCTTGATTTTGGCCACGGGAAGGTACTGGATCATGCCTGTGTATTTTTCCTCGTCGACGCCGCCCAGGATCAATTCGCCCGACCACCCCGAGTGGAACATGGAATTCATATGAACCGAAAACACTGGTTCACGGATGACGCCCTTTTTCGCCAAACTGACAATGAACGGTTCGTGGGCCGCCTTGACCGCCGATGATGAAAGCTCCGGATACCCGAGTCCGAGGATCCCGTTGGGGAACACCTGCTCTTCCTTGGGCTTGTTGGTCATCGTGTTTGGAACCGTAATGATCTGCTCCGTAGATTTTGCCAGTCCAAACGGTTGTTTCGCCACTTTCAGTTTGCCAATCGTCATTGTGTCGCGTGCATATGTGCCATTAGCCTTGCCGATACCGTATTTGATGGCAAAAGGATGCCTTGTCTTTTCAAACGTCTTTGATTTCGAAGGATCAAATCGATTCAACGGACACTGGATCTTATCGCACTCGATGGATGGCACCCACACATCCGCACTAATTAGTCCAAAATCAGAAACCAGTAAATTTTGTTATGGTTGGTGGGACAGTGATTTTTTTACCTTCCTGTATCCAGAGCGACGGTGAAATTCTGTGGTGGCGTTCCGATACGGATGTTCACGAGATATTCCGAATTGTCGTCATTGAATAGTCGTGATTTGAATATAGGTGGCGGTTGCGACCGTCGTTGCAACGGAGAATCATGCGGATCGGTATCCGTCATTTTGTTTCGCTTATACAGAGGCAACCGTATCACTTCATCTGAAGAGATCGGCTCCATGTTGTGCGCATGTCCAAAGCTACTGCACCAAGTCCAAACAATCACATACAAACCAGCCACTTGACACCGCATCACAAAAAAAAATTGAGCCAAAAGGAAATTTGGAGGGAAAAAAAAAGAAGCGCGGGGAAAAACAAACAAAAAGCTTTGGAATGATCACTTACGATCGGCAAATCTCTGAAACTTATGACAAGGGCTATCAAACCCTTCCATGAACATCTCGCCTATCCCGCCCAATCCGCGCAAATTTTTTTTTAATTTTTTTTGTGGGGCTTTACAAAAACGGTAGAAAATCTTGCATTGACTCAACAAATAGAAATGGCGATGCTGGCTCGTTGTAAATAAGGATATATGGCAGAAAAGACATATCTTCGAATAGAGAGAGTGTCTTCATTTGATGAAACTGGGAAAAGAATGGGGATTAACGATAAGATTAGGATTTTATTACAATATGAATTATTAAAAGTATACAAATTACACAACAATTTGTTTTACAGATTTAAAAGAGGTGGGCAGGCATGACGGCAAAGATTAATGATATCAATAGTAGACAGGAGGGCCAGCCTGACAAGGCGGTGGTGGCCGATAGGTTGGAGGTACTTTCTGCGGTAGTGTTGTTGCCATTGACACTGCCACCGACTCCTTTGGCAGTGGCAATACCGACGCGATTTTTACCCATGTCAAACACGAGATAGGCGCTGCGCAGGATCGAGTCACCAATTAAAAACATTTCGCTTCCCAAGGCTCCGTTGCCACTCATGGGAGCTATACCGAATAAACATGTATTGGTTCGATCGGAAGAGGAGGAGGACGACGAGGTCAAAGGGATGATGAGTTCTCTTGCAGGGACGGTCAATACCACGGGATTATTGGTGATCGATTTGGTTTGGGACATTTGAAGTTGAACGGTGGCGGGGGATTGGCTGGCTGCGCAGTCAATGATAATCACACCGGATTGTCGATCCACCTGGAACCCGCTGTCGCCGACAATCGATCGAGCAATCTGAATGGCCACATCTGTTGGCAGATAAGTCAGCGTCGTTCCGGTGTCCAGAATAAAGGCGCCTACACGCTTGAGCTGGAAATCCGGATTCTCCAAACCATTGCGCACTGAAATGCCTTGGCCGTACACCATCCAATAGTAGTATCCACCGGAATCGCCTTGACGGCCTTTGGTCGAATCGCCTTCGGGCAAACTGGCGGGCTTGTTTTGCAACGTGGCCACAGGCAAGTAGGTCAAGTCTCCCGTATATTTGCTCTGATCGATCCCGCCAAACATGATCTCGCCCGCCCATTCTTTCTTGGCTAGGCTGTTGAGATAGATGGAGAAGATGGGTTCTTGAATAACGCTTTGCTTGACGAGATTAAACACAAACGGAGTGTAGGCCTGCTGGCCTTGGGTGGTGGCCGCTGTCAGTTGAGGGTACCCCAAGCCCAAGATACCATTGCCAGTTAATCCAGAAGCATTGGCCGGAGTGTTACCACCGGTCGAACTACCATCACCTGGGGTGGGATTGGTCAATATATCCTGTGTCGTGGTCGCCAAGCCGAATTGTTGGTTTTGCACACTGGCTCCACCGACGGTCACGGTATCGGTTGCATACGTGCCATTCACATTGCCTATGCCGTACTGAATGCCGAAATTTGACTGCAAATCTTTAAATGTCGTCGATCTATCTTCCTGAAACCGAGCAAAAGGACACGATTTTTTGGGACATTCCGATGCAGGAATCCAAAGATCGGCACTAATAATCCAATAAACAAAAAAAAAGAGATGTGATATTTTTTGATTTCGGTCAGCAAGCAAAATGTGAGGCCATAGGTCAGTTAAGGCTGGATCGTTTGATTGTAAATTTGTTTTTTTTTGTTTACCTTCCCGTATCCAATGTTACGGTGAAATTCTGAGGGGGAGTGCCAACACCGATTTGAACGAGATATTGTGACCCTTGATCATTGTAAAGCTGGGCAGTGTATTCTTGTCTTTTGGTTAAACGTTGATACCGTCGACGCACCATGCCGAGAATATCTTCTTGGGTCTCCGGATTGCGCATGATGGGCACCCTCAAAGTAGAAGGGCCAGGAGTCATCGTTGTTATCGCCGCATCCGCAACCAACAATATGGATGCCACGGTGATGGTCGTAATAGGTAGTGTAATTTGCATTGTTTATTTGTAAGTAGAAAAAAAAAAGAAAAAGAGAAAGAGGACACAAGAAAAAAAAACTGAAATGTTTGATGTACAAAATGACTTTTGTGTGTATGTGTGTTGGTTGCTCATCACGTCGGTCGATGATGCGTGACTAAGAAAAAAAAGACAAACCACCGAGGATTATCTGCACCGAAACCGTGAGCAGGGACTCGGGTTCACAGCAAGCCATCAGGAAGCTGCTGCCAAATGTCATATTTAGAATTTCCAAACCTTCCTCTTTGAATCAAAACATAGTCATGAAGCATACCTACTCGATGTAAAACAAAGACCATTGACCACAAAAAAACTCTCACACTCTTGACGTACTTGAACAATTCCATACGAAACCAGTTGATCTACGTTGATTCTATGGAGAGAAAAAAAATTCTACGATCTGTTTGGATCGTCACAAAGATGGTCGTAAAAGATGTTTGTTTCCCCGAGCGGATCAAAGTGGTCTGTCGCAAAGACGAAAAAGGCAATGAGGGATAAGCATTGGTTTGACGCATACGCTGGCCGATTGTCAGTCGGTCTCAGGCCCAATTGTGATACATAATTGATCATCTCCCCAACAGCCTGTGTCCTCGGCTCGGTCTTAAAGTGACACACACTGTGTCATTGACATGATTATGGACTGCTTCTTCCTATTGTCATGACAAAAAAATTATCTATCGGGATGGTGGTGCTGTTTCAAAACCAGGTGATACACATGTACTGGCATTGGGATTTGACCATTTTGGGCTCATCTCATGCTGCGCATATTCACGGATGACTTTTTGGAAAAAAAAACATACGTAGACCCGATATGGATCGATAATTAACTGAGCTCAGTTTATATGCTTCAAATAAAAAAAAACACTACAAAATAACATTGTATTTATTGTATCATTGGCATTGATTGTATGTTCCGGTGTTCCGGTTTCACATGGTCAGACTTATTTCGAAGCCGGTTTACGCAACATGGCATCTCTATCGGCACCCACACCGATCCAATCCACTATTTTCACAATACAAAAGCATTAAGCAAAAAGTGAGGACAGGCCTAGGGTTCTTTATATCAAGCAAACTTACCAGGAACACCTGTTTCACGTTCAATGAATTCAATGTATCTCTGAGCATTGGTGGGCAAATCTTCCCATCGGCGACAGGCGGAGATATCAGTTTGCCAACCCGGCAGATCCACATACTGTACTTCAATCCTGTCAAGTAGGGCTAAATCGGCCGGGAAAGTTGGTAGTGGCTTGTCATCTAAAATATATGCTGTGGCGACTTTGATAGTCGGCAATTGATCCAAAATGTCGAGCTTGGTCACATTGAAGCTGCATCCCAATCGCGTGTTAAAAATAATCATGGCCATGAGGGCATTGAGCGCACAATGTTAATTTACCTAGTATACCCGTTGATCATGGTAGAGTACTTAAGTACGACCAAGTCGAGCCATCCACAACGACGTTTGCGGCCTGTGGTTACGCCGAATTCGAATCCCACTTTTTGTAAATGCTCGCCAATTTCCTAGGTCAATGATTGAAATAAGTTGCATGGTCGGTGGGAAGCAGGGGTAGTATAGTGAACTATCTCTTTTTTCTTACATTGAGTTGCTCGGTTGGAAATGGACCACCGCCTACACGTGTGGTATATGCTTTGACCACGCCAATAATGTTGGTGATCATTTTGGGCGGAAGCCCGAGACCGGTGCAGACACCACCGATGGATGTGTTGGAAGAAGTCACGTATGGATAAGTACCGAAATCCAGATCAAGCATCAGTGCGTTGGCGCCTTCCACGAGAATGCGTTTGCCTTTTTGAAACTCGGCGTGAATAAAGGCCATGGTGTCAATGACATGCGGACGTAAGCGGTCGGCAAGTTCCTTGTAGCGAGCTAATTCGGCGTCCACGTCATAGTCAAACACGCCGTAACGTTTGTGTTTGTTGGCCACGAGAGTTCTGAATTTGGTGCTAAACGAGTCAAATTCATACAGGTCGTGGATGCGAATACCGGAACGAGACGCTTTGGAGGAGTAGGTTGGGCCAATACCTTTCTTGGTGGTGCCAATACTGCCCACGCCTCGTTCAATTTCTTTCAAACCATCAATGACTTGATGCACACCAAACACGAGATGGGCACGGTCCGAAATAAACAGTCGGTCTTTGCACTTGAGGCCTTGTAAGAAAAAAAAAATGAGCATTCTTGTTTGCCCATTGATCACTTGTCATCATTTACCTTTAGCTTCCAGGCTTTCCAATTCATCGAAAAAGGAGGGAAGATGCACGACTACTCCCGAACCAACCACAGCAATACAGTTGGGATTAATCAAGCCTAGGTAAAAAGAAAAGAGCGAAAAACCGTGTTATTACTGGAGAAGCAACGACACCACACCGGCCGAAACACCTTACCGGACGGCAACATGTGAAAATCATACTTGGTGTTGCCTACGACTATAGTATGTCCAGCGTTGTTGCCACCCTAATAACATAGCCTTTGTGAGTGAAACCGTGTTTATTGCATGCAAAGTAGCGTGGTTCATTTTGCCTACCTGACATCGAGCACACACGTCGGCTTCACTGCAGAGAATGTCCGAAAGTTTTCCTTTGCCTTCATCACCCCATTGCGTTCCTAAAACCACCGTGACGCCATCTTTTGGTAAGAGAGACCCCATTGTACGAAACAAAAAAGAGAAAACGGTCAAGAAACCAAGACTCTCCAAAAACTTGGATGCGTGGTCCGTTTCATGCAAAAATTAAGATATCGGACCGTTCCGTCCAAAATCGCCATGAAACCGGCCAATTAGAATTAGCATCGTCGGACCATCAGTCAAATTTGCCGGTTCTTTGAAGCCCCGATTTATCCGATCGGTGCAACACGAAAAAGAAAAAAAAAAGACCTCATTCCTTCGCCACCAGTCTTGGCATGTCTCTGCATCTGTCGCCTCGGACCCGCTTGGATGCCACAGAAAAAGTTCTTTCAAAAGTTGTAGAATTTAAAATTTTACGCGCTATGATAGAGAAAAAACCTTCATAATTTGTGTGACAAGTCCTTTCACCCTTAACGCAAGGATGATACCATGGCATCGCTTTCTAAATGATGACGTTCGACTGAGCCAAAAAAAAAAGCATTTTTTCAAAGGATATGCATGTTTATGGCATCGTTATTATATGCATTCATCTCGCAGATAAAAGATGCAAATAGCCGGTTATCTTATCTTTCTTGCTTTTCTTTTTAGGTGCAAAATCAGACACCTTGTTTCTAGACCAACGCCTTTCTTAAGCCATCCCTTATATTACTGCATACTGTAAATGCGCGTTTTCAGTTGAACCGAAACCGAACAAACTTTGCCATCGTATGCGAAGCAGGTGTCAGGATCAAGGGGGTGCTAGCGTGTAAACCCGTTTACATGCAGCCAAGTAGAACTGGTAGGGTGGTTAACAACTGAGGAGCAACGGTAATCCGATATTACCGGGACGGACTCCCTGTGGACGGAAAAACCATGAACTGTAAACACTCATTGGAACCTAGTATCAATCTGACATGAAAGTATCCTTTTATCTCGTCAAATGATATAAAATATAAAAAATTATACCATAGAAAATAATAGTGCTCTTTTGCACTACCAAGCATGTGGAGTAATGATTCATTGTTTACGTTACATCATGAGATGCTTGCCCGCAAGTTGCCAATGAATGGCCATGTTACACAACAAACTGTAGAAAATGCCATCCAGGAGTTACACCTGCGTAGGCCGCAATAGTGGCATTGCCTTGCATGACGGCACATCCAATGATGAGAAAGATCGTAGCGCGTTTTATACAATGAAGAATGGTAACATCGATGGGAAATGATGTGCAAACGTAAAGAGACAATCATTGCATACAAATAAAGCGACATGTCAAAGCTAAAAAAATAAATTAAAACAAATTAATTTTCACATGGCCACTCCACACTGAGCTGGCTCCGATCTGACAGCATGTGAATATCTCAAGAGAGGGCTAAAAAGGAAATGCTTTCATTCTTGTTCATTCTCTCCTGCTCTCTCTCTCTTTTTCTTCTCTTTTGTTGTCTTGCGTGTTTTTGGTTTCCTCTTGCGTTATACTACTCCAGCTACTGCTACTAATCATAACTGGGTGACACCAATGGCGTCGCAGCTGACATTACAAAAGAAAACGCAATGGCAATGGCTACCTGTGTGGATGGTTCATCTCCTTGGCTACTCGTCATTGGCCGCCACCTTGATTAGCTTCATGGCCCAGTGCTACAAAATCTACGTTTCCAAGCAACAACTTCCCGATATTTTATTCAGGAAACGACATTCCAAAAATCCAAAGCTGGACAACTTGCACGATAAACCACTAAAAAGGTCAAGCAGTAACCTCAGTTGCATAAAACAACAGGTTCGCTAGCATTTTTCTAATTTTATCTGATGATCATTGCACTGACCAACAGACAACTTAGTCACCGCCGTCGGTTGAATCCACCCATGGAAATGTTTTTCGTGCATTATCACCTACCAACGGTTTCAGTCGTATTCTTAGTAGCCTTGCCTCCGTGAATCCAAAGAGAAAAGAGAGATTGACCATTTCTTTGAAAAACGTAATTCCGGTCCGAAAGCAATCAGTCTTTGACAATATATACTGATCTCTCCTTTTTTTTCTACCGTGTAGACCATCCTTTGGAATCCATCAGTGGATCTCGCGACGCCCAACCATGCCTTTCGCGAAAATACCACGGCTTTGCTCAGTCAAATCCATCAATCATACGATCTGTACATGATTATTCAGATCAATTCAGAAACAGAGCAAGATCAGATCCAACAATTACTGGAAAAGGCCAAATTATACGACGTGCGAACCACCCAAGTGATTTATTGTTCTACAGCAGAGGACAAACTCGCCATGATTCGTCGCATCCATCCTCACATCCACATTGAAGGCGGATCCGAATTCGACGATGGAGCCGATGTTGTACGGACGCTCACACCTGATGTTCCCAATATTATATGGACCACGTCTCGCTTACGGCGTGACTCGACCGGATCAAACCTCAACATCACAGAGACATCAGATACCAACGTCGAAATGATACCATGTATACTAACATCCTCTGTTGCACGTCATATTGGATTCGACGCCGCCATCAAACCATAGTCCGTCATGTTTCTTTCTCTCGACTCCATTACTACATCCTTCATCCTTTCTGTTGTTTGTCTATATCCTTGAGCATGTCTTTTTTTCCCCCCATCGTTCCATTAGCATTCCTGGCATAAACAATAAAATTCTGTTTTCAATGAAAAAATAAAGATTTACCTGACCATTGGCTGTGAGCGACTCGCTCATTGAGATCTTGAGCATCGGGGGACGGCATGGTCTCCATCATGGAGTCTACTGCGTAATATTTGGTGAAAATGTCGTCCGTTTGCTCGGGTAGTTGTTCCTTGGGGTCCCACTCTCGTTGTTTTTCGTGATAACCGGAGACCTGGCCGCCTCGACGTTCCGATAAACTTCGCCGGAGAGCGGGAGCGGGAGCTAACCTTGGTACATCCGCGTGAACCAATGGTACCTGACTGTGCAACGGCTCCAAGGACTTGAAAACCGGCTTGTCCTTACGCTGTAGCTTGGGAGATCCCAATGGTGCCTCCGATGATGATGCTATCGCGGGCGCGGGCTCTGGCTCGGGTGATGTCCCTTTTTCGATCTTGTTTTCATCCATCCCTTTTGATAGTGGTGATTGCAAAAGCTGTTGCGGTTTTTCAATTACGATCATGGGAACTAGATATGATCCAGATTGTGTGAGACTCGATAGCTAAATTGGTAACAGTGCACAAGTTTTACCTGGTGATTCGGCGTTGACCGGTGACGTCGGTATGGGTTGTTGTAACCCGTCTGCGGACTTGGTCCTCGTGTTGCTTACTCGACGGTTGGCTGGGTCGGGTTCCCAGTCGTCCAGGTGACCGGGACTGGGCATCTCGCGCTCTTGCTTCAATTGTCTAGCTTTTAGATACTTTCGACGCACCAGCAACATGGCGACAAAACTCTTTGCTTTCTCCTGTGCCAACATCTTGTCAATTTTTTCCTGCTTTTTCGCACGATGAACAAGTTCATCAAATCTACAACGGTTGTGGAAAGACGAGAGTTCAGATTCACATAAAGAAAGAGCTCAAAAAATGGAGACTTACGTCAGTGATTTGGTGACATCGACCAAGCGTATGGCCAAAATTTCCAACATTTCATGAAAAGCGATTCCCCGTGAACCGGACGTGTATAAAATTTCCTGCGCAGTGCCGTAATTAGAATGGCGCTTTGCTGAAGAGAATTAGGCATTCATATATACCTGATACAATTCGATGTAGCGATTGCGTCGATCTCTGATTTTTTCGACATTGATGGTCGATAGTAATTTATTGACGGCGTAGAAATTGTACAGCCGTTCTCCGGGAATGGCGCTTTGAATAGTCGATAAGGCGGTGGATTCAATCGCCGGGCCAGGAACAGAGACGTAATGAAAACTGTTGCGGTCGATCTTATTACTTGCTTTCAGCAAGTTTTGCAAACTGTGCTTGGAGTCGTAGATGTGGATAGCCAAAATGCCCTTGAGTTTCTGCAACGCAGTTAAGTCACCTTACATACATGAATAGGCCCACTTTTTTCATGGTTCTTACTCGAAGAAATCCAGGTACATCATTCATGTCCATGTACCCCGTCGCTCGAGGGTCAAACTCGGACCATGCTTCCTTGAAACTATAGCCAACCAAGATATCCGTCATCTTATGGCCAGGGTCTCGCCATAAAATTTTACAAAACTTACTACCGCAAATCGGTGCGCGTCACCAGCGTAAATCGGTTACGCTTGTCAAATGTAAACGAAAAATTATTAATGACAATCTAAAAAAGGAAATGAATTATTCGTTGATCATTGATATCGTGTGCTCGCTGGAGCAACAAATTACGTACCACAGTAAAGAGGTTGACAAAAATATAGGTACATATGACATAAAACATGACAAATAGCGTCGTGGCGGCCACGGAGGATCCACAATCTTCGCCCTCCACACACTGGGGTGATTGCACCGAATAATCGTGCATCAAGAAATCCCAATTTTCCCCCGTCGCCATTCGGAACAACGTCAGGATCGTGAGTCCGAAATCGCGGAAATTTGCATGCCTGTTGCCATACGGCCCAAAGCGCGTCTTTCCAAACAACTCTTGAAAAATGACGGCAAAAATAATTATCATCAACAAAAATACCGCAGATACATAGAATACAGACGGGAGTGCTTTCCTAACGGCGGGTTATCTTATGTTATGTCCTTTTCTTTTTTTTTTTTTTTTTTTTTTTTTTTTTACATGACAGTGTCTTATACACAACTTACTGCACTGCGCGAAACAAAGTGTCCAGCGCTTCATTTCGTTGCGCTAAACGGAATGCGACGCAGATCAACAATAGCTTGTACACTATATTCCACTCTACCTGTGACCTCAGTCGGGGTTATCAGTCGTACGGCATATTCAAAAATGAAGAGCTACCAACTTACACTGAGCATGTAATAAAATCTTGGAATGCTGGTAGCCAGTACTATGAGGATCGATGAGTTTGATAAAGAATAATGGGATGTCATGGGGCCAAAACCCGCTTACGCATGCTTATGATAATTCCATCATAAATATTCCACAGAGATGATGCCCACTAAAAATAAATATTAGCCATTGCTCTGGGCTGCGCGTTTAAGACCGTTTACTTTACCTTTCGAAATCCCAAACCAAAAAGTTTGACCAATACTTCAAAGATGTACATGAGCAGAAAAAATAGATTCATGTCATCTATCAATCTTGATTAATAGCCAAAGCCAGCATCTGCCCAATAGGGATTGTTACTTTGAAAATTGTTGAGCCAGCGGGCTTGGTAAGCGTGTTCTGACATGAAAACGACTGATTTCCCCACAATGCATATCAGTACGAAACCTCCTATCTAAAGTGGACCTTATTTCTCTTGCCTATATTCGCCACCAACATGGCCGTCATAAAGTGGGAGAACCTCTTGCCGGTTTTTCCCGTCGTTAGCTTGTAGCACAGTAGCCGGATGGGGTTGGTGGGTTTGTTCACTTTGCGCGACGGGTTGATCAACGCCAATTGACGCTGTAAATCTCGAAATTTGCGTTGCGCCCCCGTGAGAGATGAAATGCCACTACGTTGTTTGAACATTTCCAAAAGGACCTACAGATCAAAGAAGAGATTCAGGACAATGGAATCATCTTTCACATAGAACAAAGTAAATGAAAGCTTACACCGATAAATAATTGAATGGAACACAGTGAAGCGACAAACATAAAAAGCACATAATACGTCGAGTGCCATATCGAGATGCCGGTCCAATGAAACCGAGGTTGCTGGCCTGCGACGGGAACCACACTCATGGCCGAGAAGAGAGACACAATCTACAACAGAGAGCATATCACCACCAGTCAAATCTGTGCCATTGACAGTAGAATGGCGCCCAGAACAAAACACTTACCCATCCTTCTCCTGTAGCGCACTCAAACAAGTGCAACAACGACGATTTAAAGTCGTCAAACGAGTATTGGTAAGGGTTTTGCCAAACGCGAGGGATAAGGATATCGACATTATCTTCGTCTTGTGCCGCATATTCGCCCAAGCACATCTTGGCACCTGGAATCATCATATCGTTGCAAAAGCGGAAACGACTGTGGAAAATAAAACATCCATAGATGGCGAAGGGAACAAAAACCAGCAAGTTCAGAATGAGAGCGTCGATCATTTTGGGAAGTCCATGCATCAGGTCGAGGAAAATGATGCGCATGCCACGGATAAAGTAAACAATGCGCACAATGCGCCACACCCTCAGAATTCTGAGCCAACTGCTCCGTTGCATTCCGTGGAAACTGCATAGGACGATCAGTTGGCTGATTAGCAACGCCACATCCAAGATGTTCCACAGACTGCGCAAGTAAGATTCTGGCAGCACAATCAATCCATTCGCCACGATATGCAATCCCACGTCCAGAAACGATATACCCAGAAATACAATTTGCATGTATTCAATGCGCTGCCGTGCATCGGCTGGTCCATGATGCCATTCTCCCTGGGAGAAAAACAAGCCGAGGATGACGCTCGTACAGAGCATGCCAAGGAGCAGCCACCGGTAAATGTGATTGTTAATAATCATCACACTGTATCGACGAAGCCAGTGATTGGGCTTGAGTATTACGAGGGTGCGAAACCGTCGCAGGTTCTCGAGCACGACATCCTTGTTTTCTTGCGCCACACTCCGTTCATATTCATCGCCATATTTCACCAAAGTCTCCTCGCTCTTCCCCTCGGGCCGGATCAGATTGGCCATCCCCTCAAGCTGACCGACCGTGGAAAACCTTGACAATCGCATAAGTTTATCATTTTCAGTGGCATTATTGATTTATCTACCTACCCTGTAGAAAAAAAACGACGCTTTTTTGGCGTATCGCGATTGGGTATCGGCTCTTTTGACGAGGCAGAAGGCTGGGTATGATCGCTGAAAGAGTACATATTGTTCATAAAATCCTTGAATGTCGCATGGGTCACTGTGGCGGTCAGATGCGATGGGATACTCTTCAACTGAAGTTTTTTCTCGTCTTGTTTCATAAACAAGGGAAGTAACAAGCTAAACCATGATCTTCCATCAGCTCTACAGATGGGCATAGCGTGTCTTTTCTATTGACTAGACTTGCCTTGCAATTCGATCCAGTTGAAAGTATTCTGGCTGCCACCGGTGTTGTCGAATGTATTTCTTGATTTGAATTTGCCGGATTTCATCCTCATCCAGATTGAAATTCTCCATAATGACAGCAATAAATAGATTCAGCACAATGTCTGTAGCGGTGTGTTAAGTCATTTGGATTCCGTTTTCTGTTTATCCCTTGTCATTTAAAACTTACAGTGGACGACAAAGTAGATTAATATCATAAAGAGAGCGGCGTAAACCGCCGATGAATTTCTTTGACTATGCATGGATCGAAAGAGAATGTCCTAACATGATTTAAGATAAAGATGCCTTCTTTTATATAGGAAAGTGTTCTGTTGACTTACTGTCCAATTTTCTCCTGTCATAATCTAGAGTGTGAAAAAAAGGAGGGTTATTTATTCTACCCGAATCATGAACCTGTTTTCCGTACCTGGAAGAGAGCCAGGAACGCTTGATAGAAATTGTCGAATCGCATAAATGGCATCTCATCATCCTCGCTGGGATCGTAGTCTCCACCAAACAGTTGAACAGCAATAGGACTGAAAAGGAACAGCACCAGAAACGTGAATAACGTGAGGTTAAGTACGCCTTGGCCGTCACCAATAACATCGGACTGAATGTAAATTCTATCCGTCAGCCGTATCATCTTTGATCAGATGCATATTTTTTACGTACCAAAAGGCTCAAAACACGTGGCAATAGGAAAATGAGACGATACGATCGAAGGATGCTGAATAAAGTTAGGTATCGATAGGCTTGACCGTGCTTCACAAACGCCAGTTCAATCACTAAAGTGATGATGGCAATGATAAAATCCGCTCGATTTCGGTAAGACGACCAAAAATAATTCCATGTCTTGGCGCCCGCTAACCGGATGAAAATCTCGACGGCAAAAAGAAACGTAAATGCCCGATTCAGATTCACTAACAAAAACAATAATGTTGAGTCGCCATGTAAGTCGAGGGAAAGCCAAAAAAACTTTGTCAAAAGATCCACCTAGTACTCGTTCCGATTCGACATCGAGAGACGCGCTGTAAAAGCACATGACAATAATATCGGCTGCCACGACAATGGAGCCGAGGTAGGGAAACCATGGTTTCTTGACAAGCACATAAGCCCATCTTCGCCAGCAGTGCATTTTGTCTTGATCCACTCTTTGCCCTGTCCTCGCTTGAGTTTCAAAGATCCATTCCTCATTCTCTTGGTCGTCATAATCCTTGAGCAGGTGGCTCACTATTAATAGTCGCGGTTTCTTGTCCACCGAGAAAGCTCGCATATTACCACTCGCCAAGGCAAAGGAGGTGGTGATGACGGCTAATCATAGCAAGTCCACGGATGAGTTGACTATTTACAAGGGACGCTGTGTGACCAAAAAAGCTTACCGATAAACATGGGGATCATGATAAAAGTCATTAAATAAATACACGCGCAGTAATAGACCGTCGCCGCCGCCATGGAGATACTGCCTTGGCTCTGATACATCATGTCGGTCCATCCTTCGGTTGAAACCACCGTAAACACATTCAATAGCGTGTAAAAAATATTCTGGAAACTGACGTATCCCCACGCAGGCTCGTTCTGGAGGTCCTGAATACACACTTGACCAATTTGGCAGATATAACCGTCATTCGACTGCGTATTCACATACTCGCCGGTCCGCAGATCAAACACATCGGTTCGATATCCTGACGCATTAAAGTAACCACTGCACAACCTTTCTGGTTTCACATACACAATATCTAATTGTTCCTCAATTATTTTTAGACTGATACATCTCTCATGTATCGAAGCCAAAACATATGCATACCTGTCATTCCTTGATGTAATCCTTCTTCTGGCATAAGGGCACATTGCCTTGAAAAAGCATTCATAAACACAAACAGTCCCAGCAGCGAGAACAAGAGCCAGAAGAACGTAAAGAAACCTAGAATGTTCCACAGCATATCCACACTGGATCGCAGCGATTGCATAATAACCTAAGTTTGGGACGGTTAACTATGCTGCTGACATTATGCCATTGAGTTGATCAGTCAGTGGTCGCTTACTTCTGTACCGGCGGTAATAGGCAAAAACCGCAATACACGCGCGGCCGATAACGCTTGAAACAAGGACCAAGGTGTATGCGTAGTGAACATGGTAAAAACATCTACCCAGAATCCCGTGATGGCAATAATATCTAAAATATTGGCCAGACTGCCAAGATAGGCCCCGTGATAGATGGTTAGATAATCCAGTTCCTGAGCAGAGATTGCTGGTAAAGACGGTCGTGGTTTCCTGAATTCCGACGGATGACTGGCGTTGAGGGGTGAAGGAGGGCCGCTGTACCAAACAGACGGTTGCGAAGATGAGTCGCCCACGGACCATGATGGCGATTTTGAAAACGAGCGATAGTGGTTCGATGCATGGGCTGAGCTGTGGTTGGGCGAGTTTTCCAAGTCGAATTCCTCAAATGATTCATGCCGACGAAACCGATCGGGACTGTAGTGCACCGGCGACCGCGTTCCATCCGCATGGGTAGAAAATCGATTCACTCTAGGAACGCCCCGTACATCATTGTGCCCCTCGGAATCGTCCGTCTCGGCCGATGGATCCTTCTTTTGCCGACGAAAGAACGCACGAAAACGAGTCAAAACGGAACGGAACGTAGGCCGCGACGTTGAATGAGACGAGAGTAGTAATCCATAGACGATAATCTTGGCCACTGCCTCGCATCTATCATGGGCGGAGGTTTTTATATAGTTGACTCGATCGACACAGGCTAGTCAGAGTGAGGGTAACTTACGTGTAAATGACGTGAATGCCTAGCAACGCATACTGACTGGCGCGCGAGAACCCCACTTTATCTGCACTCGTACGGATAGGTACGGTGGCTAAAATCAGCCATTGCGCGACTAGCAGAATAAATATACAAAGATTGAACCATCTGAAAATTGAACGGTTATTATGAGGGGGTCGTTGATCGATCTTGTTGCAGCCCGTTTTTTCCTTACCTCGATGCTAACAGTTTCCACAGCGTCAGCCGAAGTGGATTGTCAGGTTTAAAAGCAAACAGGGACCATCCTTGGAGTTGTGGCGTAATGCGATGATGGTTGGGGTCTTGAGCGGGCGTTTCCGAAGGCCAGCGAAATAGGGTTTGGATGTGGTGAGCAAGACGATGTAAAGCTGACAAGAGCGAGGGGACGCCTGACAAAGACTTGATATTGTTCACGTGCCGGTCTTCTGAAGGAAACAACACCGATTGCGTTTCCGGGTTGGGTAAAGAGGAAAAATGCAGTGGCGAGGCACTATCATAGGCGGTACCTTGATCTTTGACTGGCGGTCCGAGACTGAAGGAACTACTTACGGATCGGTGTTGGGAATGGTGGGGTGGATGCGTGCGTTCGGTATAGGACATGGTTTCACTGTTGCTCGATAGGGAAGGGACTTTACTCAGATGTCGATAATCGTCTTGTACCGTCGGGCCTGTCATGTTTCGCGTTTTGGGTATCGGTGATGATGTTCCATGGGCCGCAGTCGGTTGTCGATCCGGCGGATCGGGGCCTTGGTGGGCAAGTATCGCGCGTGTTTGTATGGCCTGGAGATAACGGGCCAAGGCCGTGATTTCATCGACGGACATGCGTGTGGCGACAGGTTCAGGGCTTCGAGCATCGACGACGCGAGCGGCCATTACCATCAACGTATGCAAGGTTCGGTTCCAGGCCGATCGGAGTAGGGACGGAGCCAATTCGGCGGTTTTGGTACGTTGGGCCTGCGTGATGTGGGAGGCCGATACTTTTAATAGTTTGGAGAATCGGCGAATGGGAGGCCGCTTTTCATCGGTTCGGGTTGGATTCAAGGTATGGATGGATAGACCATGTTTGCCCGATAATTGAGGTGACAAAAAAGAGGGGTGACTACTGGGCCACGGTTCGGATTTCGGGGTGTTGTCGGCAGATGGATGAATAAACTGAGAGGTCGTTCTGACACTGATAGAAGAGGTACCAATGTCCGATGCAGTGGAATGGGCGGGCCCCTCCAGCGGGTGTTGAAGGATCTCGTTGCCTGGTTCGTCCATGGGTATAATTTCTTTCCCGTCATTGTAAGTGTGTCGAAAAATGTTGCCATTGGCGATACTTCGTCGCCTTGTACCTAGGGCCGGTCGTTGATGCAACAGGTTATCCAGTTTATCTTTCTTCTTTAAGCGTTCGCGGGTCAAAGGCGGATTCTGCGAGTGCGAGTCCGATCCTTGCGCGGAGCGCGACGACCGTGGTACAGGGATAGAGAACGATCGATGTCGAAGCCCACTCTGACTGGAATGATAGCTATCTCGTCCCGGTGAGGATCCATGTGGCATGGCCTTAATTTGATGCCTAGAAAAGGTGCCGTGATTAATGAAAAAAAACAAGGGTCCAAATAACCAAAACAAAAAGAAAACCCAAAGAACAAGTGGCAATTGTAAAGTGCGATCGGCATACATAATGGACTTTTTTTTTCGGAGCATTTTATGCGTGTGACTAGCGAAAAATTCCATGGGCCGGATTGTGGGCTTTTTGAGTGAATCGCTCAATCTTCATATAGAACCTGACCGGGCTATTCACCGTGAACAATGAATTTCACTTGCGGATGTCTGTTTGACCGGTCCATGAAGGAACCGCATTTCAAGAAATCCAAGCATTTCCAAGACTTGGCAGCAAGCTTCGCCATCAATGCCAAAGGTGAACAACTTGGCGCACAGTAAGCGTTTTCTGCATGGCTACTTCTTGTAAAATTCCATTCTTGTAACGCTGACAACCATGATTATTGGTTCGTAAATGAAAAAAGCTATTCCTGGCTTGTTGAGATCCACAAACCCATGGGCGTGTCTGCGCCTTATGTAGAAGCAACATTAGAGAATCCTCAAGATCGATCGCAACCACTTCATGTGCCTGCAGTGCAGGTACAAAACAACGATCCTACTCAACAGTTTGCCCATCCTCGTTACTATGTTTTGTCGCCTGCTCTTCCCAAATTGGATTGTGGGCTTTACAAAATGAAGTTGACGGCGTATACCGACAAATCCAAAACCGTCAAATTAGCCGAGCATGAAAACGAGTTACTATCGCGCGTCAACACCGATACATGCTACAAAACCGAATTTATGGAGCGAATGAATGCCGCAGCACGTTATGCAGAAAAAGAATGGGAAACTCGGCAATAGAAAACCGCACCTGGCTGATTGATCTTCCACAAGTCAGATAACAATCCTTGCAAACCGTCGCCGAGAAAGGAGCAGTAGTAGATCAAAGGTTGACCGACGACACCTTTTTTTTTCTTCCTGGGGATCTTGACACCCAATTACTTGATTACTTGAGCTTATTTTATAGAGGGTATATCCATTTTTGCGTGCACTAGAGTAGTGTGTTAATGTAAAAAATTATAATAATAGGAAAGATCCCGGTCTTTTCCAGAAGGTAACGGCCTTCCACTGCATTATCTCTGCTTGCCTTTCCGGCACCATCCCTTGATCATCTGATCTGTTCATCTGTACACACGCATTTTGAGAAAAAAAGGATCAACGAAAACATTTTTGAAAGAGAACGAGCCTAATCAACTGTATTATTGCCGATTTGTTTTTCTGAACTTTAAAAGGATAGTAAAGGATCACTTTTGTTTGTATATTGGGATATCATTGGTCAATGTAGGCCAAGATGTCGCGCCGATAAGTGATGAGGGGCGAAAAGTGGGATCAGGGTCTACGAATTTTTAGGCTCACTGATAAGGTGAAATTGACATCCATTTTCGATCGTGAGTCCGAAACAGATAGCCAACAAGACAAAAGTTTCTTGAGTTAATTAATGGTGGTGCCCGAAAATAGTGTCGGTGTAACCCATGATGGAGGCAAGCTCCGTCCATCCAGAGGTTGCATGGTCGCCCACCGTGTGAACTTTTGCCACTGCAGCTTGATCCGTTTTGATCCCTTTGGCTGGGTTTTTAACTTTCTTTTTTATCGTCTGCCAACTTGCAACCATTATGATTGTTTGCTATTAGTTTTGGTAACTTTTGACGAGGGCAACGGAGTGGAAATCAAAAACTTCGCATGAACGATCTGAGAAACGCGCGGCTACACAGCCATGTAGGCTCTAGCTCTACTTCTCTTTGCTGGTGCGACGGGGATGTTCGGTGACTGATTAAGAATCGATAAAAAGAAAAGAGGAAGACTCGCTCAAAACTTATGCGGCAGGCAGAGGCGTGACGGAATTTCAACAAGGACTGTAGCACGAACAAGCTGTGTGCACTACTCATTGCATGGTGGTTGGATGATTTGCGTCGAGGGGGGGGGGGGGGAGGGGAAGGGGGAAACCCAAGCACTGTACTTTCCCACATTACACGCATCTCTATTGTTCTTCATGATGCAATGTTGTGGCGGTTACGGTGGATCCAAGTAAGCAACATACATGTTACTTTATTGGGTGGGGGGGAAGGAGCAGGGGGGAATCCTTCCTATTTTTTAATGCAGTACGATGGACAGCAAAGTGAGTGGTGCTGATCACAGAGACTAGGAGTTAGGTCTTACAAACGCGTCGAAATCCCACCAATGACTGCGTTTTGATGTTTTCATCAAGTGACATATCCGTATCAAAACCCGGAGATGCGACGTTTTTGACTATTTTCAAGGGCACTTGCTTATCGTGCGGTTTCCTTTCGTCCGACTTTTTGGGGTGACAGTGGTTGTTGAATTTAAGGTTTTGCCCGAATATATAAATAAGAGACCTGGCTCATCGTTACGACAAGTTACCTATTCATCTTTAAACCACATTATGCCGCTCAAAATTATTGGTGCAGGACTTGGACGTACAGGCACACACAGCTTGTGTACAGCTCTGGAGATGCTGGGGTATGAATGAGTGACGTGATATATCAATATCAGTAACGGACTGAGCTGATCATTGTGATTGGGGGTTTGTTTCTTTTTTCTCCAGTTACCGTACCCATCATGGTACAAAATTGATGACCGGACCCACGGAACATTTGGATGTATGGATGCGCGCCAAGCAGGATCCCAACCACGAAGATGAATGGGATCGTGTGTACGAGGGTTGGGACGCGGCCATTGATTGGCCTACGTGTACTTTTTACAAGGAAATCATTGAAAAGTATCCCGATGCCAAGGTGATTCTCACCGTTCGATCAGGCGACAGCTGGTATGATTCCATGTGCAAGACCATTTTCCGCGACATCTTTTTGGTAAAGAAGGAAGAAGTGCCTGAACATGTGCACCGGGTGGCGGAGTTGTGTCGAGCGATTATGTGCGATGGTGATACTGCCGATCTTGAGAACCCAGAACGAACAAGAGCCAAGCTCGTCAAGTTCTTTGATGATCATGTTGAAGAGGTAAAGCGTACCGTCCCGGCCGATCGATTGTTGATTATGGAGCTTGGCGAAGGATGGGAAAAGCTGTGTCCCTTTTTGGGCGTTGACATTCCCAAAGAACCTTACCCGAGAACGAACAGCAGCAGCCAGTTCCTATTCCAAAGTCTGGTGCAGCTTGTCCGCGACAATGAAGCCAAAAATGAAACTGAAACTTCGAAGGCAGCCAATACTCCGGCCGAAGTTGAAACCACCCGAGCTTGAAGGGGAAACTTTAAAAGAAGAATAGTTGACCTATACACAAGACCCTATGGGAATCTCACCTACTCGAATTTATCTTAACAACTCCTACCCTTCTTCAGTCATCGTATTCTGTAATATAAAGTGTAACAAAATCACCTCTTTTACTATGAATTAAAAAAAAAATACTCCTTTATGCAAACAAAATACACGTTTTGCCAAGTTTTTTCAATTGTAAAAAAAGTCACATTGTATAAACAATCGAATCATCTCATCATCTAGTCAACAAATAAAATAACACGTGCTCTTCGAATATACAGAACTTGAAAAAGATGCTACGGGCTTTTACAAAAGCCCTCCCCAAGCTCATTATGCACTTGATGTGAAGTGACTGTTGTGTTACCGCTAATCATATAGGACATTTCGAATACATCTGTAAATGGCTCTGAAACGCTGCAGGGACCGAAACAGATGGCTGCACAAAATTGGAGCCAAGTTAATTCTGCGCAATATCCTTTTTCATTGCAACTCCGCGTTGACAAGTCTGGATTGAAAATATCACATATAAGCCTTTTCAATCGATGCTTCAACATGTGGCTGGCGGTGGACGACTGATATACTTTAAGCATCATCATGTCGCAAATAAAACGAAGGACACCGCCGTTTCCTTATTCAAGATACTGTTTCACAGATGCATCGGCATTTTCCGCTCCGACAACAAGCAAGCATCACCAAGCATTTGCAATTAGCGCTCTTGTGGTATCTCGAATGACATTGAACGAGAATCGCCTAGCCTGTAGGTGCCGTATTCCAACTCAAGGGATCTCACCGCTGCACTTGTTTCTCATATCATAGATTTTATTACAATGTTGCCGTTGCTCAGAGCCGAAAGGGCAAAAAGAAAGAACAAGACTGTCAGAGACTTCAAAAGGCAAACTTTTTTTCTTTTTCACTTCACCTTGTTATGCGATACAGGGCTTGGCGTATAACAAGAAATTCGGCACCAGAAAAGTGTGAATTGATCTTGTGATACGATACAGTGCTTGGCGTGTAACAAGAGTTTCATCACGTTATACAATCGAGCCCTCAACGAATCATATGCCAGAAAAGCGCGAATTCTTGTTATATGACCATTCCAGCATCGTTTACTATTCATCTCTGCACTGAGACTTGGACTCCGTTGGCCCCTACAGCAACTACAGCGACAGCCGAGATCTCCATGCTGACGTCGATATAAGAAAAAAAAAACGTGAGTCTATCAATAAATACAGACTCGCCATAAGAAGCCATGTTGCTCCAAGTTGGAATGCAAGCGCGAAAATCTCGTGAATACGAGTGTATCAGATAAAAGAATGGTATGGGGCCCGGTGAAGCAAGGCAAGATGGAGCCGTCCAGGTGGAACACTCTCCTCTCAATGATATTTCTTTTCAGCTTTTAGTTGCACTGGCGTTCCATTATTGCAGTCCCTCATTTTCTCCTTTAACAAAAACATGTATTCGATTCGTTTCTCCTTCTATCGATACATGCCGCCTGAGCAGTAGGTTGACGCACTATTTGATTAGAGGTATTTTATTATCGTATGGATCATTGGTTTTTTTTTAAAGTCGGCAGTTTCGAAGGTTATTAGCTCTGAAGGATATGGTGTCGTTGACGATAGATGCAGGTTACCAGGCCATGCGTTCTCCCTTATTGTTCATGTAGAGTCCGCTGTGCTTGGTTCCCAATTGTTCCACAGTGTTCAAGACATCGGCAATGGCTTCTCGCGGGGTTAGCGGGGCCATGGATGTACCCATATCGGTCTGGATCCATCCGGGATGAATTGCTACGATTGTAAAATGTTCAGGTTGCAGATGAGAGGCCCAAGCTTTGGTGAGCATGTTCAAGGCCGCTTTGGAGACGTGGTATGCGGAGCTATAGCCTGTGTGTGTATTGGCAATGGACCCATCGTCGGACGATATATTTATGATACGTCGTGTATTGCGTTTGCGCAAAAGAGGAAGGAACACTTGACTAACGCTGGCCGTGCCGACCACATTCGTTTCAAAAACACGCATGTATTCCTTGGCAGGTCTATCACCAATGACGGTCCAAATTTGAGATATCCCGTACTATGTTTACAAGTGGTATCAAAAGACTTACGCTGCAAGGACATCGCCATCTTCACCCATAACACCTGCGTTATTGATAAGAACATCGATACCATCAGGTACAATCTTGACCACGGCAGCCACCGCAGACTGTGATGTTTTCGTGTTAATATGAAAGGCCTGCTCTCCTAGACATTTTTGTCCCGTTGAAATTTACCTTGATGGAGGCTTCATCCACCGTATCCAGCGTCACTGCATAAACATGTTTATTGTCCACCAGCTTTTTCAATTCTTGAGAGTTGTCTGGGGCTCGGGCGCAAGCAATGACTGTGTGCTTCTTTTCGGCAAGTTGACGTACAAATTCCAATCCGAGTCCTCGAGAAGCGCCCGTCACCAAATAAGTTAATGCCATTGTTTTTGAGAGGAATAATAAAAAACAAGTGTTTGTGTTAAATTGCAACCTCTTATTCAGCTCGTTTATTTAAAAAGCTGTCAAAAATGTCACTGGGTTTACAAGTCATGATGATGAAACAAACTTTGAAAGCATAAAGTGCTATCTATATATAGAAACTGAATCCAATGGTTCGTCACCTGAACGACTAGTTGGCACTATTATTTCAAAGTGATTGTTAATCTCCGAAGGTGCCGTAGTATTATACCATTCAGTTAGTAACCTTGTCGTCCTGTATTCTCGTCGCTTTCAAGAAGCCGTCCCATTATAGGGAATATGCATTGCTTTCATGATTCGCTTGAACAAAGTGTTTTACGGTTTCTGTAAGAAAATGCCTTTTTTGTCTTGTCGCAGATCACCTCTTCCGCAAAAAAAAAAATAGTGCGCCACTCAAAAGTTCCTAGTCGGAAACGATGCCATACCATAATGCCAAGAATGTATATGTAAGCTTAAAACGACTTGATGACTGACCGTGGTGCATATTGCGAGAATTTCTTTTTTTACAATTTATCTTGTATTCATGTGTGTAAAACCACAATGGCCTCTCTAATGCTTGAAAGATTATGACCTTATTTTTTTCGGCTGTGAACAAGCGTGTCAATTTTCAACATTCTACTGCAAGTGGCTTTCAAACTTCTATACCCAATGGCAGTAATGAGGAGCAGCCGAACAAACTTTATTATGCTTTTTAGATGATGAATACCGAGTGCTGTGACAGTAAAAGACAATATGTCCAGCGGGTCAATGGTAGCCCTGCAGATTGAATGGGCTCGACCGGAGGTGGCGTCGGAAGAAAGTTTAAACTCCACCTTGATGCGACCACAGTTCAAAGTCATTGGTTGCAATAAAAGCCATGCTCCAAACCGTTTTTTTCCCCCTTTTCTGACAATTTTATTATATGGCTGCTCAACTTTACAAGACAGAAAATGGTCGTCTGTTCCATGCCGGAGCAGTGGCCATTATCACTGTAGGGTACATATTTTTTGCTTGCAAGTTGACTAAGCATGACTGGAGGTTGACTCGAGTTTATGCATTGCGATGTTGATAGATTACCCGCAAGAGGTAAAACACATGTATCACGGTCGTTGTGTCGGTATATGCGCTGGATGGGCGTTTCTACCAAGGTTTTCAGTGTCGGCAATTACCGCCGAGAACGACTTCGCACCATTCCCGAAGAATACTTTGATCCCAGTGAGTTTCTTTTTTAAAAAAACATGTCCTCCCATTGGCGCTCAATCACTCATTGCGATCTCATTCCACCAGATAACAAGGCAGCTTTTGCGGCACGAATCAGAATTGCCGATGACTGTTTAGATGATTTGATCGAATGGTTACAGCATGGCGGAGGCCAAGTGGCCATTTACGACGGCAACAACGTGACAGAAGAACGACGCCGAGAAATCCACGACAAGCTCGTAAACCAGGATATTCATGTGAGTTTCTCAATGGTATACTTGACCGACATATGATTTTTTGGTGTTAACGGGTTGTCCATACAACCGCAGCCTCTTTTTATAGGTATTTGTGGAACAGTAGCAGGAAGTACCGAAAAAAAAAGGTCATGTCAGATTTAATGTTGTCTTTTTCGCTGTTGGATAGAATCCATTTGCAACAAACCCGAAATCGTTTTGGCCAATATTCGCAGTGTCAAGATCTCCTCACCCGATGTAAATACAATCCGTAACATGTCATCATTCGAGTATTATAGACTAAGCCGTTATGTTTTAGTATGTTGGATGGGAACCAGAAGAAGCCGTCAAAGATTACACAGTAAGTAATGGGTTGAGAAGCGTTTCAACACATCTTCGACTTACATGACGCTTTGGCGGTGATCCATTGTTAGAAAAGAATCGAGCAACACAAGATCAATTACGAAACCATTGCCGATTTGTCGTTGCCTTTTGTCAAGTTGATGAATGTGGGTGAACAGCTCATTGTCAACAATGTACAGGGATATCTTCAGGTAAGCTTATTCCATTCAGGCTCATCACGACCATTTTTTGTTCACGCACGGTTATTTTTCCATAGTCGCGTGTGGTGTATTACCTTATGAATCTTCATAATCGTCCACGCACCATTTATTTTGCTCGCGTAAGTGGTAATATCATACATCGATAGGATGAGAATCTAAATAGGGCGCTTGAAATTTTTCTTAAAAAAAGGCGGGTGAATCATTGAACCCCAATCTATACAAAGTGGATGCTGAATTGTCCCCGGAAGGACGACAATACGCGGAAAACTTGAAAAATTTTATGATTGCCTACCGAGAAAAGAAGCGAACAGAAGCGAACAATTCAGAGGATCAAGAGAGACCATTGTCGATCTGGACATCGACGAGAAAGAAGAGCCGACAGAGCGCTTTACCTTTTGCGGAAGCCGGTTTCCCTGTTCGACAACACTCTGTTCTGACTCAACTTAATCCGGGCGAAGTGGATGGACTCACTCCTGAGGAAATCAAGGTAAGCCAGAATACCACAAAAGCCGTTGACACATTTGGGCTTGCTAACCTAAAGCATAACGCAAAAGCAAAAATTCCCAGAGGAAGTGGCAAGAGCCCGTCAGGATCCTTACCGTCACCGTTACCCGCGGGCTGAGGTAGACTATATACGCTTGCTTTTTTATATCTGCAGCTCACGCTTTGTGCTTTTCTTGCTAGTCCTATCATGATTTGGCTATTCGATTAGAGTCCATCATCATGGAATTAGAGCGGGAAAAGAACGATGTTCTTATTATTGCTCACGATACAGTATTACGTTGTCTTTATGCGTATCTCTTTGACAGACCCGAAAGCGTAAGTGTCTATACAGCCAGTGTGATTCGAGGATGACAACATATCGACTCAAAACTATATGTCCTCGCTCGTGCTACTAGGAAATTCCGACGATCTCGATTCCTCGACCATTTTTAGTGGAAATCACTCCCACCGCTTATGGATGCAAGGAAACCCGCATGGAAATCACACCAGAATCTTGTGTTTAAAAATGTTTGTTTTATATTACAAGAAAAATCTCCATTCCTGAAAGAGAAAATATAACCGGGAAAAATGATTCATACTACAACTTTACACGTATAAATAGAGGGAAGATTGAATGAACAAAACAGGTTGTGATTTGATGACGATCTGGCCATTATTTCTTTAATCGGCCGATGCTTCTTTGGCCGCTTCTTGCAGGCTCTGATTAGACGATCGGCGTTGTGCAAGTTCCTAGATGCGAAGTGATTGAATTTGGAAAAAAAAGGTTACATGACGGTGGGGAAGAGTGATGTTTCAACACAAGACAATAGATACGTACCTCTAATTGTGCTGTGTCCACGAAACTGGGGACAAATTCAGTCTCGGTGGGTGTGGCGACTTTGGAAACACGTCGTTGACCTTCTTCAAATGTGGCCCCCAAGTTCTTAAGGGCGTCCATGCGTTCTGTACCACTCGGCATAGGCGAAACGTGGCCGGTAGAAATGGACGGTCGCGGTTTATCAGCTTGCTGAGAACTTGCGTGATGCTTGGAAAGGTCGCCGCTGGATGACATGGTTATCTTGAAAAAATCACCAAAAAATAGGAAAGGCAATAAGAAAGAAACTAACGGAATACCTTCAGGCAATAATAGGAACTTTAAAGTGGAAAAAAAACTCAGCGATCAATTTTACGTCATGCCGGCAAATACGAAAATTACCTTTTAAGGTATCCCATTCCGGATGTATCTCTCACTAGCCGAAAAAATGGGGACAGTGCCTATGGGCGATAGGTACGTTATCGTTGCACTAAAAAGCACCCTTCTCGAATCCAGATGATTTCCAAAATTAGTCAACCGCTGTCATCATTAACCATAATAGTAAGCTCCTTTGAGAAATAAAGTTTGAACTGTTGCCGCTCAAAAAAAAAGGATGCATTCCTGGTTGAAGATGGCATGATATCAGTATTATTTTTTTTCCCTCCGGAATCACTGGGATGAGAGAATACGAAAAGTTTATTTGTTTGATCTTTTTCGGTGGTATAAAAATAGAACGCAGCACACATTACATTTGTAAGATGCTCAAGAAAGAGTTGTCACAAGGTGAGCTGACTCGCATGCGACAGCTGCATGCGCACCGCAGATCAGGAACAGCCACATCCACTGGGAATTAAAGAGATCCTCCGGGGTCTTTGGCCTCAACAACTGAATCGAATTAATCCCTCAAATATTGTTAACAATGGGTTGAAAGAAATTTATTCCGAGATCTATAGCGAAAAAAGAGAATGCAAAAGGATACTTTGGGGAGGGGGAAGAATGGTCAATGAGATTATATAAAGTTTAAATACATGTGATTTATATTAGAAGCAAGAGTTTTTTCTTATTGCTGTACAATAGTAACAACAAACATCGCAATCAAAACGCCCAGCACACATGTGGATCCGAGAATTACCGCGCCTCGACTTGCTGGGAATTGGCCCTTGGTCATGGCGACTTGGGAATGAAAATATCGAGCATTGGCAAAGTACAGAAAAATGATGCTGAACACCACAAACGTTGCTCCCAGAGCTTTGCCTGTCTGTGCATGACTGTTACCCGTGGTCGGGGCAAGGTGGTACAGCTGTGTAATGGCTAAGGACGGACGAAGTGTGAGTGAGATATGATGAAATATATAAAAAACGTCCAACATCAATGGGGTACTTACCAACACCAACCGTGATAAGGGAAAGAGACGTACGTAACCATGCTAAAAATGTTCGTTCATTGGCTAATACAAAGGACCATCGAGTGAGTAACCTTAACTACACGGAGAAGAAAAAAAAAAAAACATTTCTTACCGAGATGATCTCGGGCAACACTGGCTTTGTTTTCCAGCATGGCCGATGTTGAAAAGCGAGTGTAATAGCGGTACAAGGCATCGTAGGGACTTTTGGATTCGTGCTGACGCTGAAATTGTTCCCGCATGCTTGCCTTTTCTTGCCGGGATTTGGTCCGTACAAGAAACGGTGGCACGAATTCGTGATGACGATTCTCGTCGTCGGTGGATTCTTCCGCATCGTCCGGTTCCGAATCTCGTACTGTGCTTAAAGCCGACGCCCGAGTCGGTGAAGGAAGGTGGGATTGCTTGGAGGAGTCCGGTATTTCAGCGCTAGTACTCATATTGTGCGTGCAAAACGGATCGGGAATAAGGCCAAAAAAAAATAACAAGGTGATGGGAGAAAAAAAAAATACTGCAGGCATGCAGGCAATTAAATGCAGTTTTTAATGATTTGACGTCACAGCCCAGGGTGGCCACTCAGCGGTGAGGATTCGTAAGGAACATGTTGCTTTCCTTCCTTCCTTGTTTTCCTTTTGACAGCCCAAAAAATCGGGATGATCAGTGCAAGGCAGCAAGATTCATGCAAAAGCCAGCTGCGGAATATGGCGTTGTATTCCGAACTGTTTCCTGTCAAGGCACAAAAGCAATGTCGCCATCTTCAAGCGTTTTCATTCGTCGAGAAAAACCAACGAACCATGACGGACAATGAAAATTTTCAACTTGACAATTTCTCTTGAGCACGGGCACGCAGTAAGAAGTAGACCAGAAACGTCGAGTACAATACCAGTGAATTAAAAATAAGAAAAGATATTTCTAATGAATACAAGATAATGGTACACAAAGATGGCCAGTAGCACTAACACACATAAGAAAAAAAGGGGCTGCAGATACTCGTATCTGGACGGCTATGCTTGTGTATACAATAGAATGGATCCCTTGATACAACTCGTGTTATCCGTTGACAAGGCACTTGGAGATGCTGGCCAGAGATATCATCAAATTCAAGTTCCTATTTTATTCAATGATTCACCTAGTGTGCTCCTGAAAAATGGACCCTGAAGAAGCTAGTTCGGATCCAATGATTTGTCCAAAAACGATCTAACGCGTATGAGCTTTTGGTTTGCTCAAAATTTCCACACTTGTGTTATATGTTATTCATTCACCAACAAATATCCATCGTATCATCATGCTTATGATACTTATACAGTCAGAGTTTTGCAAAACCGAATTGAAACGCAAATTGATATTTTGATGAGATAATAAAATTTCCAAAGTGTCATTTATACTCCTTCAAGTTGACGTTCAAGATCATCCATTTCGGCTCGAGCAGCTTGGTACTTTTCATTCAGTTCTTCATTCTTCTTTTCCATTTCTTCCAGCGTCTGCTCAAGCATGCTTGATTTCTTCTCCAGTTGTTCGACACGCAAATCCGCTTCTCGGAAGCTTTTTTTTTTTATATTGTAACAAAAGTGTTTTTTTAGTGCCTCTGATTTGTTTATCCGACCCAGTTCTTGTACCACCAGTGTGTGCCTTACCTGGAGGAGGATTCTTTGAAATCGTTTTCTACCTTTTCCAATTGTTCTTCCAAAAGTTTGACTTTGGCCTGCAGCGACGTTAATTCATGGTCCTTTTGTAACTGCTCCGTTTCGTATTGCTTGACTTTCTCCTCCAGTTCATCCGCACGCAGGTTGGCGGCTTCGGCTTCAGCACGTAGGGTAGAAAGTTTCTGAACATAAAAAAAAATTCACTTTTAATTCAAACCTCCGCCTTGATGGCGCTTCATCATTTTCATTTACCTCTTTGAACTTTTCCATTGAAACAATAATAAGATACAAGACGAGAATCAAAAGAACCCTTATCTACCCTTTGGTATTTATAAACCGGGGCCAAAATGTGCTTTATCACTTGATTTAGCCAATGGCACGAGCAGAAAGAAAAAGGGAAACTTCTCTCATGCTCCTACCCACTATCCCCTACGCTTCTCTCCTCACTCCCTACTAACACATCCAGCCGATGACGAAGTCGTTCAATTTCCCGAGGGATAACTACAATTTGTACATTTTATATAGAAAAGTATAGATCAAGTAAATATAATCAATGTATCCTGTCGACGGTGAATATCACAGTCCAATTTACACAACGTTGTCCACACCCGTGCCTCCAAGTATCCTAATTCATTTTCTCTCCTTTAGAACATGGTCATCATACACACTTGAAAAAGATCATAATTTTACCTCGAGCTTGCGAAAGATTGGCCCATCACAGCCGCAGCGCCTAACCCACATTGTCAGTTGGCTGAATATGGAAACTGATAAAGAAAATATGACGATATAGATTTCTTACCGTAAGAAATGGCAGCGAGCAAAAGACACACAGCTGCGGCAATTAGTGGACCGGTATTCATCAACCTGGAAAGGAACATCACCACGGCAAAACTATGTCCATATCTCCGTTACCATGAAAGAAAGAGAGAACAAATCACTCCCATCACCACTTACATGAGATACATCACAGCTCGAAAGTAACAGTTTTCAAAATAGGCAATGAAACCATCACTGTATAATATGGTCAATCTTCAAATAACCTATTCTCCTTGTTGCCTATTTTCTTTGACTTACAATTTCGGGCTAGTGGGGCACACCTATGGAACTCAACATAAATATCCAATTCGTTTCAATGACAATGGCTCTGTTCATATCTACCTTTAGACAAAGGGGAATTTCCACCATTAAAAGGATAAATGCAATGACCCTAGCAATGGTGCGTTAATACGTTTCAGACAGGCAGCCATCTACTATCGGAAAATATGAAACCATTACCATCCCACAATACTAAACACAATGTGACTCTGGAGACCGACGATACCCAGAGCAATCAGAACTGCACAAGTGAACACGGTATCAACAACTGAATGACATGGACTACGCGTTGAAAGTCAAACGACTTACGAATAATGGAAGCAATACCGAGCCTACGTTGTGTATCATATCAGAATGGGGTTTTTTCCTATTATCCTTTCGCGAAAATTGCGTACCATTGCCCGTAAAGTGAGAAATTTCTGGACTTTATTTCATCAAAACATCCCATGATAAAGAAATATTATTTGTTCAAATAATGGCTCGGAGCGCAAGATAAAACAGAAAAGAGAAAGGAAAAAAGGAAAAAGTAAAGACGGTTCAGGAAGCCTATGTGCACAATTGGATTTTGGAAAAGCGCGATGGCGGGGATTGTGCTGACAAAAAAAATGTAACTTGGCAAACAATGCACTCCGCGTCCGCACCAGCTGAAAACAGGTCATTGTTTTACAACAGACAAAATCTTAAGGCTTGGTATATAATTTGGTGCTTGTTATTATCAGTAAAATCATGATTGATATTAACCCAAGGTGGCACCTGTATCTCTCATCCTTGTCGGCGGGGACCCTCAATTTTTTACTTCTCCCCAGCTTTTTTTTTTTTTGCTTTGACACAATCAAGTCTGGGGTTAAAAAGTCACATGCCTGTGATGTCATTTGAAGGAGAGGGGAGTCACACGTGACTCGCATTTTTCATGATCATTTTTTTGTATCCCACCATTCACCGCGGTCGATGGAAAGGGCTCATCTTTCTCCCCAAGTCAGGTGAGTGAAATGGGTTCAAACGTCACAAGTCACGAGAAGTAGTAAAAGAGCCCGACCAGTGAGCGAACGAGGATTGAACAACAGAAATATCATATAACCCTCACTAACACCAGCATTTCCTTTTTATCATGACTATACCAGGCATCTCTATACCTTGGTTGACACCGGCCACTATCTGTTCCATCTTATTTTTTACTTTGAGTGTTTCTTGACCTATCCCCCCTTTTCTTACTGTGTGTAACCTTCACTGATGTCTGCCGATTCCATGATGGAGCAGAAACATGAAAACGACATGGCCAACGTAAGTGTTCCTTACACGAATGTGTCAAAAGAGGATACGGTGGTTGAAAGGCAAAAACACCAGAAATGGCTGTGAAAGGAAGGGGGGAAGATGAACGAACAAGTAACGGTGGGAAAAGCGACATTTCTAATTCCAATATTTTGTTTTTTACAAGTCGGATAACGGCCAACACGCCAAAGCTGACGAGAGAGGAGAAGTATTAAAGCAAGATACCAATGCTGTGCCGCCCGTTTCAAATTCATCGAATTATTCAACAACGAATACTGCAGCGACACATTTGTGGTAAGTCATATGCCAAGCTTTCCTTTTTTTTTTTTTCTTTTTTAGAGTTTATCTAGGTTACTCAGCTGTATGGAAAATAGGGCCAATATTACGCCTTCGCAGTCTGCGTCGTTACAGGCTCTTCATCAGTCCATGCAAAATGCGGTGGGTATGAATTCTCTTGGTACTTTGACAGCCGTTGCTCAGCATCAGCATCATCAGCAACAACAACAACAACAACAGCAAGATACACGATACCAATCTCCATCCCAACATACACAGCAACCGTCTCCGTCTCAACAGCAGCAGCAGCAACAACAACAACAACAACAACAACAATCACCTCAGCAGCATAACGTTTCAACACAGTCACCAGAGCAACGCGGTTCGCAGCGGCCAGCCCTTGCACCGGCATCCGGCGAGTCACAGCAGCTGGTAGATCAGGATCCGGCCACCAAACCTGCAGTGGGCACAGACGAATGGCATCGTCAACGGCGCGAAAACCATAAACAAGTGGAACGTCGACGTCGTGAAACAATTAATGAGGGGATCAACGAAATTGCGCGAATTGTCCCCGGATGCGAGAAAAACAAGGGGTCCATCTTACAACGAGCTGTGGCCTACATCCAACAGCTAAAAGATAATGAGGCTGCAACCCTCGAAAAATGGACGCTGGAGAAATTGTTAACAGATCAAGCTATGAACGAATTGAACCGTCAGGTGGAGATGTTAAAGGCGGAATTGGATCGCACTAGACAAGAAAACAATTACCTCAAACGGCAGTTGGAAGATGCATCAAGTTCGGAAATCAAACGTTTAAAAACCGAATCCTCCCAACAGGATGCATCATCAAAAAATGCGTAGACGATGCATTCACTATTCCATCATGCTTTGCCTTGTTCTATGTCTGCGGATAACCTTCCCATTCTCTTATTTTCCCTATATTCTTTTTTTTTTGTGAATTCCTCAGAAGCTTAACAATCTATTTTAATTTTTCCTTTGACTGCGCGTTGCCTTTATGAATATCACTTGATTTGGATGATGATCACATGTACACTTTTTTGCCCACTTTTTTCAAATGGCGCAAACAAAAATCCGTCGCTTTTTCACGGAGTTTGCAGCTGTCTATTTGACTAGTGGTTCGGCTCTGGCTCGGCTCGGTTAGGTTTGGCTTAGTTTGGCTTGGATTGGCTTGGCTTGGCTTGGAATTGAATGAGTAATGTATGCTGTAGTTAGGTAATTGGGTAGTCTATGAGCAGTAATATCATTTTTTTTCCAAGCACCTAAGGATCGTTTTGTCCAAAGAAGCGATTTGCTGTTTTAGAGACAGCAATAAATGAATAGAAAATAAGAATTCAAAAATCCCGAAATGGAATAATGGATTCTTTTGAATGTTTAACCGGTTGATCAGCTCTTCATGATTCAGTGGATCAAGTCATTGTTCGTGGGCAAATGGGTACTATGGAAGAAGATCATCAAATGTATCATTGCGTATGAACTGGGCACCATCATGATTTTGTTCCCCAGTGTGAACGAAAATGTGGGAGTGGTGCCTTATCTCGTAACGCTTGGTACTTTGTTCTTCAATGCCAGCGGCACAGCCGGAAACCAGGTGGCAGAAATGATGCTCAATGTGCTCATGATGGTCCCCGCAGCGATATGGTGCGCCATTATGCTGTACCTCTGCACTCTGTACAACACGGCGCTTCAGAATGGTGCTCCTCTGTATTTCAATGGGGCCGGTGTCATAGCAGCGCTGTCATTTTTCATTTGCGTATTTGTGATTGCCTATTTGCGTTTGCGTTATCCGCGCCTTTTTATACCATCCTTGCAAGGCTTCACAATCCCTTTTTTCGGTTTGACTAAAGGCATCTACGACACCTCGTTCAGTGTCATGAATATCGTTAATATTCTTTACCCGGTTCTTATCGGTGGCGCCATTGCCCTCATCGTCAATTTGTGCTTGTGGCCCGAAACCGCCGCCAAAGCTTCGGAGTAAGCAGAAACGCAATCAACCGCTTCAAACAAAAGAGATCAAGCATTTACTCAATGGTGGGATATTTTTAATAGAGCATCTTTAGGTCATGCCATTGCGTCGGTGCGTAACGTGCTCACTTTTATTCAGGACAACATCCTAAAAAGCGATCAGTCGATTCCGTTTGCCGATGACATTGAAGTAGCCGGTCAACTCCGCCAAATGAACGATCAATTGCAAGCCGATATCAATCAAATGAAGAAAGCTATCAAGGAAGCAAAGTACGAGATTGTGATTTCTCGCTATTCGCCACGAAGCCATAGGCAGATTGCCAAGTCACTCGACGCCCTGTCCCGAAACATGCTCGGGTTTTCGTTGGCGTTCGCAAGAGAGGTCGAGATTATGTTGCGCCTCAAATCCCAGACGTTTTTGGTTAAGGATCACGACAACGACGAGCATTTGGCGATACGTCAGAGGATCATTGAGAAAAAACCTTCGTTGTACGATGAACGACCGCATTCCCTGCCTCTAGATAATGGATACCATCCTGCTCAGTATAAGCAACTGGCTCGTTTACAAAGCGCAGTCCAGCCCGACATGTACCGGTTTATTCAGGTGTGCAATTATGCTGTGTCGGGAATTGAAGCCAGGTTAGCCGATCACAAAGCCATTCCAGCTTCAGGCACCGGAGGTCCAACGAATGACAAAGAAAGCCAGGAAGAGTCTCTGTCCGAAGCACTGGAACATCTTCGCTCGGCCGAATTGATCCTCGAACAAGAATATGAAGAGCGACGCTCTTCACCGGTGCAAGATCATTTCCTGGTGTACTCTATTGTATTTTCACTGATCGAATTTGGAAGAGAATTGATCCAATTGGAGGAACATACCGACGCATTACTAAAGCAGCGAACGTCGCAACGATGGCCAAGCATCTTCTTTCCCCGCATGCCGCTTCACAAGTGGATCAGCCGAGCCAGTGAAAGTCGAGCGCAACGAGTACCAGCTGAGGACGCCGTTTTTGAAATCGAAGGGTTGGAAAGAGAAAGAACACGACAACCGTCCAACGCCGGTCCAAGTGACGCAGCTGATGCGTCTGCAGGAATTCATCGAGAGCATCGATTATCGACGGAAAGCCAATTTACCGATGTGGAAAAGGGGATCCCGCTACAGCATGCGCCCGGTCTGCATGCGTGGAATCAGTGGCTGCGTACTTTCAATCGATGGATGCACAGAGGACCCACACGATACGCTATCAAATTTGCCATTACCATGGAACTGTTGGCTCTCATGTCTTGGTTACCTGTTCCAGGAGCGAACGATCTGTATAATGTAAGCTTGAAATGCATTTTTGGTTTTCCAATGGAGTAGCGATGCTCACGTGAGTAATTTTTTTTTTCAAGAATTACCACGGCCAATGGGCACTTTTATCGGCCATGGTGGTGTTCAATTTTACTGTGGGATCGACTGCAATCCAATGCCTTTTCCGTGTGGCAGCGACCATCATTGGTGCCGTTGCTGGCTACATTGCACTCTTGGCGGCCCACCGTAATGAAAATCCGTATGTACTGGCGGTGCTGATTCTTGTCTTCCAGATCCCTCTGTGGTATATTTTGTTAGGATCCAAATACCCTCGTATTGGATTTATTTCGCTGTTGACGTTGGCTGTCATTACGTCCACCGATTACATTGATAAGTATCACGAAAGCTTATTCCAGCCCGTGTGGGTGCGAACCGTTACTGCCATTCTTGCCATTATTGTTGTGATGGTGGTGGATCAGATTGTTTGGCCCGTGTGGGCTCGTAAAGAGACTCGCAAGCATCTGGCCGACTTGCTTATCGCTACCGGGATCCAGTACTCTCGTGTGGCGTCCCTGGTGTGCCAAGACAATACGAGTAGTCGCCGATATCAAGCGACGCTGACCGACGCCCAGTTCAATAGCAAACATTTACGCCGACAATTGCGCTTGACCACCGAAATGTTGGGACTCACCGCCACGGAACCGCGTTTGACCAAAGGTCCATTTCCCATCCACTTGTACCGTAAAATCTTGGAACATGAAAAGTATATCCTATACTGGATCGATCACATTTTAAAAGTTCAGGTATGTCGATTTGGTAACCCTAGTTTGTCCTTAAACCATTAACTCAATGACACGACAAAAAAAAAAGGCTTTTATCACTCCTCATGTGCGCAAGATGATCATGAATCCCTTGAATCCTTACCGGAAAGAAATGGCGGCAGCCGTTCACATGTATCTGTTTACCCTCGCTGGGTCACTGCGTACCAAATCATCCCTTCCAGCTTCCTTACCGTCAGCCGAAGTCGCTCGTCGGTTGCTGCAACGACGACAAGTCCAGTTATGGCGAGAAAATAATCAGAAATCAGGAAGTTTACTATCGCCTAACATGTCCAAAGAAGAAAGTGCGACCAATCAAGTGTATTGGCAGACTTATGCAGCGGGATCCGTCGAAGTGATTGCCGAGCAAGAAGCCATGGGTCAGTGTGTGGCTGAACTTATGGGACAATACGTCTTCCGTGCTGCCACCGAAGATTGGACCAGCTAAAATCAATTATCAAAGAGAGGTGATATCCTTCTAAAACTAACCCTCCCCTCCCCCCTCTCCTCTTGTATATTAATATGTGTAATGATCGTTTAGAGTAATTTATTAGAGTTTTTTCGCATTCTTCCTTTCCCCAATGAGATGTCTGCTTTCAGTCAACCAATAGATGAGGTAAAAGCTTATTGTAAAACCAAATGAAGAAGAACTGTTCGAGTATCGAACGTGATGAAAAATATAAATAACCTTACTAGTAGATTATGAATAGAAACCAAGGGATGAGTCATCATGTGAGGCAAATTTTGGAAACAAATAATCAACTTACCCCTAGGGCATTTAGCTGTGGGAACAGCGATAACTGATCCGGATGATATCATGAATGTTTTGGAATCTTGCTACTTGAGGCTTCCGCTTCGGACCGCTTCCTCTTGAAAAGTGTCGGCCTTTCGTTATTCTCTCGGTGGCCAAACAGGATCTTGCGGAAATTAAGGATTGCAGTCAAGTCGCGATTCCATAATTTATAGCCATGATCATGTTTACATTTTTGATTTATACATCTAAGAATAAGCGTAAGCAAGCACATTCAATATCAAATCCACTTTCATTCATCGGTTACCATAACAGACCATGGCATAATACTTCTGGCTGCTTCGTTCGTCGGTATGGCCTGGGATTGGGCACCTTCTTGAATTTTTTCCAACGGATCGCCGCAGTCAGGACAGCACGAGGACGTTCTGAATTCATCGAGCAAGTACACCTCGAAACCTTGTTTTTTGAGCATCCGTCGCATGTCTACACCTCTGATCGGCTCATGGAACTTGACATTTGATGCCGACCAATTTCCCATGATTAAAGCCTGATCCCACCCAAAGCACAAATTTATGGTTCTCGTCAATCGAGAATCTGCTAGGCACTGATTAAAATAGGCTGAGAGTCGTAGTTTTCGGAAAAGAGGGTATACTGATAGATTTGAGGTCGTGTTCGCATAGAAATGCGATAGTTCCTGAGATACGCTTGCGGTTTCCCGTAGATTGTGACAATACGTCTCGAGGTCATTGACTGAAATGTGATGCTGTGATAATTTTTCCTGCGCAGTCTTGACATTTGGGAATTGGCTGACTAATGTCTCTCTGATCCTTCTGTACTTTTCGTCTTCAATTCATTCGCCTTCTGGCAGGAGGTGTAACGATAGAGGATCCTTGCGTTTGGTTCGGAGTACTCGTGCAGAAAAGCAAATCCGTTCGTCCTGGGTCGACCAACACACAGCGGCCCTCCAGGCATCTTTTGCTCAATTGGAGTAAGCGAGTCAACGTACGGTACATCTTCGTCCAAGAACCTTCGCCTTTTTTTTCCCGGCCTCCTTTGCGACTTGCAAAATTTTGCTTGATGGCACTCACCCCTACGCCATCTGTCTGCAGAGTTCCATAAAATGACAAACCTTTGCCCTTCGTTTGCTTGAAAGGTCTGCTGTCGAGATCCACGACCCGGCTCCACAGATCAAGGTTGCTTAGTCCTTTAACGTTTCTTTGGTTCAAGTTGAGATTTTGCGTATATAGGATCCGCGTGTCAATCAGCATGTACCGCGGCGACCAGGCAGTATGAATCGGGAAGCAGGTGAAGGAGCGCCAACCTCGTTGAGAAAATAAGCAAGATAACCGATAAAATGCAAGAAAATGGTTTTTTTTTCAGGGAGTTTTGACATCATAATAAATACTATCTTTCGCGAATTGATATGTCGATGTGCAGGAATTGAAAAATGGTTGCAAAAAATCATAGTGCGGTAGTTATACGGGTTGATCAGATCGCGATAGGTTCTGGTCGTCGCTCTGACGGTGCTGCTTCTCGAGCGTCTGTTTGTGAGCGAGAGGAAGATTTCAATGAAAAAGCAAATTTTTAACTCACTTTTTTTATGCACTAATCTCACAACAGTGACAGAACCTTGTAAATAAAGCAGCGGGGCGTAAAAAATGAAAAGCCAATTGCAAAGCAAAGCTTCACTGAAGCCCAGCGGACCTTCCCTTTTACGCCGGTTTACAGAGTGGATAAAACGCCCAAAAAGGAAATGATAGATTAATGCGCTCTTTTGTCGTTGGTTGATGATGATGATGATGACGATTACGATATACAGTACAAACAGGAAAAAAAAAAGAAACAAATTACAAACTATCGATTGACACGGGCATGTTTTGGCATTTCTAAAGTGATCGTAGGCATTGGATTGACGATATCCTCGGGCACCACCATGCATCCAAGGGTGCTTTTGATCTCTTTGATCTGCACTCCGGCGTCCAATAGTTCCCGTGTGACCACATCATCCGAAACGCCTCGTTTTTTAAATAGCGAGCGTCGAAAGATACTGGTCATGGACGTGTTCTCCGATTGCGAAGGTCCTGATGTCTTTGAACTGGCGACGGTCATGGTCGTGTCGGATTTCGACCGCGTCGTCATGCCAAAAAAGGTCTTGGACGTCCGATCAGCCTCGTTTGTTTGCGACGAAACCGAAGGCGAAATGGAAGCTTTTCCGGAAGACAGGGAACTGTAGGTACCAGATTTGGAAGCGGCCGCGACCGTCGCTTTGGCCAGTATATCGGCAATAATGTCGTCGTCAGAAGGTTCGACGTCGGTTCGAATGCCAGGAGAGGAGGAACTCGGACATAAGCCTTGGGCGACGGTTCCTTGAGTGGAAGAGGACGGGGTTCGGGTCGATGGATAGGAAAAGGACAAGGAGGGTATATTGGGATCGGTGGTGGTGGTCGTGGTGGTCGTGGTGGAATTTCGCTGGATCGATGTGGGAGGAGAGGAGGAGAATGGTTTTGGTCGATGGTCTTCTGCAAGTTGAATGGAAGCTTTGCCAGATGATAACGAAGAAAGGGAAGGCATTCTTTCCACGGTAGCTGGGCCTTGCTCTTGAAGTTCTTCTTTTCCCTTCAATTCCGGTGACTGCGTGGCGCTCTACCAAACCGAGATCAGTAAATTAAACACCCTTACCCGAAATAAAAAGAGATCATAATGGCGCTTACCGAACCGTTTAACGAAGGGCTTGATTTTCTGAAAAAGCCTAATCTCGAGCGCCCCGCTTCCTTGTCTTTTTCTTTCTCTTTGAGTTCAGGCAGTTCATCCGCCGTGACTAGAAATCCGGCCCGTTTCAAGAGTTTGGGCATGCATGTACGATAAGATAAATGGCCATTGACCAGATCAGTGCAATCAATGTTCTGTACACGATTGCCTTCCATGGATTCCAAAGGACGTAACCCAGCAATATTCCCTAGACCGCCCGTGGTGGTTCGGAAAAGGAAACCCAGCAACCAGTCATTGGTTGCGTAACCGTTGATGAAGCGACCGGATACCACCGTGGTACACTCTTTCCATTGCGCTTTGGAAGCACTGACGGGAGTGCCAAACAAGGCCACGTTTTCAACCAATCCGTAGGCATTCACGCGGGCCAATTCCAGCAAGCAATGATAAATGACGCGTGCGCCTAAAGAATAGCCGATCAGTGTCACCGGACGAGCCCCCAGGTTGCGATTCATGAGTGAATCGGCTAGAATCAAGCCTGCCAAACGGGCTCGATCAAGACCATTGGCCCATGGGTTATCGACGAGATAGCCCAACTTGCTCAACGCCAATGGCCATGTCAGACCCGCCAGCAGAGCCCCCATGATGGTATGTGCCAAGGCTTGCTGAATCGAAAACGTCACCGCTTCCGTGGCCATAATTTTGAACGCACTTCCAAGCTCTTCCAGCATTTCCGGTTCCCAACACAACGAATATTGATCTCCCATGAGCGGATCCAGTGTACTAAACGGCAAATAACAATCCTCTTTGGTGCTCGAACCAGGAAGCCATCTAATATTTTGATTTTAGTAATTATAAGGTTATATTTTGTTATGTCCTTTTTACCCTGTAATGCTGATAATACAGCTCACGTTATCTTCTGCGGTGACAGGTAGAAACTCGAAAGTATTGATCGATTTCATGCGCTTATTCATACGTTTTGCTGCAAGAGAAAAAAAGGAGTGATCATGCCGCGTCAGTTATATAAATTCGATCGATCAATCCATTGAAATCTTTTTACTATCATTTACCTCCAAGTCCTGTGACGATTCAAGGCAAAAGACAATAAAAGAAGCGACAGTTGACAATATTAGTTGAAAATGTTGACGTGCGTTTGTTTGCGATGGGATACTTACGGCCACCTGCGACGGTTGCGCCGCCTGTGATGAGAGCGATACCGGCTGTCCCTCCAAGGAAACCTGAAGCACCAGAGACACCGACCGTAGTAAGCAATACACCGAGACCGCCAGCAATGACAGGCGCCATCAAGCCTGCACTTAATCCGAGAATAAGACCGCCGCCGAGGGTGGCAAGACCAATCATCACATAACGCTTCTTCTTGCGTTGCTTGTTGCGACCTTTTCTTTCCGTGTCATTGCGTAGTGATATGGCGTCATCGATGGTACTAAAATTGGTCGTGCCCGTGGTGATGCTGGTCACGGTCTCGTTTTCCCAAGCCATGGGATCATTCTGAAGCAAGTGTTCGGCAATCCTTTTTTCAAACGCAATTACTTCGTTCCATTCCAACGACAAGTACGAAGCAATGCGGGCAATGAAGACACGCGATCGCGCATCGTAGTTCTCCGAGCTAAGACAAAGCAAGAATAGGTCACATATCACTGTCCATCGCAAGTCAATAATCACATCGTTGGAATCTTTTGGTTCCTCCAAAGTCTCGTTCATCGGCGCGGCTTCCACAGCTGGCTTTTCGACAGGAGGGTCCGACTCTTCCGTACTGTCGCGTGCCTCCTCCTCCGCCGTCGACTCTGGGGTACCGAGCGTAGCTTTCTCAGTTGACTTTTCGACAGGAGAGTGTGAGTCTGTAGTGGTGGGCGCCTCTTCTACTGTTGCTTTGTCATCATCATCACTATTATTTAGCGTTATAGTGGCGGGTGTTACTTCGGCTGTGGGCTTAGCATCGCTATTAGCGTCACTTATGTCCGGTTCTGTGGCAGCGGGTGTATCCGGCATTGTTGCTTTATCGAGACCATTATTTGGCTTGGTAGCGTCGGGTGTGTCTGTCGTTGGAACATCGTATAAATCATCCAATCTCACAGTCGCCGTTTCACCCTGAGAAGTAAACTGATACACCAAATCGGTAGGCACGATATTATGTTTCGAAAGAGATTCAATCATGGTGATTTCTGTATTAACAATTTTTGATGTATCAATTTCACTTGTTTCAAAGATCAATACGCACCACGCTTTTACCTTCGGGGGAAATGCCCATGTGTGTGTAGAGCATTCTCATCAATTTTCGCTGCCAGTTATCGGCACTCATTCTTGCATAGGTAAATTCCTTGCCCTGATAATCATACACGACTTCCAAACTGGTGACGGCACAAAGACCAATGTAAGCAATTTTCTGTGTTTCTGTGAAAACGTCCTTCGTTGTCTGGATCGCGTGGGGACTCGGCTCCTCATTGGCCGAACAATCGATTTCAAAGATATGGGAAGGCGCTGGCGGAGATTGAACGGTTTCGGGAAGCTCTGGGAGATCGGCGGCCCATGCTTGCACGGTGTTGGGTGCCAAAGGAAGCGCGGTGGCAGCATTGGCATGATTGCTGTTCTGTTCTGCCAAGGTAGCCTCGGTGAGAGGGATGCTTTTATGAGCGGCCTGGGCCAGTATGCTGGCTTCATCCACACTGGGCAAAGGATCGTCGTTTTGTGCAACATTCGCTGATAACGCCCGTGGTTCAGACGGAGAATTCATAGAACGACCAGCGCCATCGTCGGTGGCGATACTATTCGATAGGTTATCCGAAATATGGGCTGTTGATAATGCATTGGATGCGGAATCCTTGGCTTCGGGAATATTTGATGTGTCATCAATGTGAGGTTCCAAAGAAGATGCCGTGGTAGAAACGGATGATCGCGATGCCAAGACAGATGAGGTGGAACACGGTGGAACGTGTGTCACTGTCACGGAAAGATCAGGCATCGTGTCCATGATGGGTGATTCCACGTTGAAAAGGTTGAGTTCAACAGATCAAGACGCAAATGGGCGGTTGAAAAAGGAGGCGGAAAAACTTGGAACGTAAAAGGGTGAAGTGGAAGGGGAGCGAGGAGAATGGCGAACAGTGAATAAGACGAGGAAAAAAAAGAAGATTGTAAAAATAAGCACTATGCAGGACGTCAAAAAAGCTATTATAAGACATCGGGGTCACAAAAAACCACTCTTTAATTACGCTTTCCCAGAAAAAATATAGATTCCTCCCCTTGGGCTTTTATTTTTTTTGAAAACCAGATAATATAACAAATCCTCAGTTTTTTCCAAGCTGCGATAAAAACCTGCAATAAGGGTGATGGCATCACCCTGTAGTTTCCTTATTTTGTTTTTCTAGGAGGTAGATAGATACCAAGTATTTTACTGGCCGTCCATTTTATTGCCGTCGCTTGTGGGGTCACCAATTCATATTGGTATACCGTAAATGACTGGTCACCGACTCATCAATATTCGTCGGAATACAAAAACATAAAAAAAAAAAAAAAAAACCAGGGAAAAAGAAATTTGCCGACGGTCAAGTAAGGGTTTTTACATATTGCACCAGATCGTTGCATTAGTACCACAGACAACAACCCATGCAACATGCACCCATGCATCATGCATATCGCTTCTTAGCAACTGAATTTGAAAGAATAACAAAACTGTTTCAACAAAAAAGATTACCATGAGAGGAATTCTATTTTCTGGTTATTTATTGAATCGTCCAATCCGCTATTCAAACACAGAAAGCCGGTGGCTCTCCACAAAAATGTCATGTCCCAAGCAAGATAAAATAAGAGCAATGAGCTTTGCCGGAATGTCTTGGCGATTAAATCTAGCTTTTTTTAGAGTATGATGGATTTGGAGCAGTAACTGATGTTATATAAAAAGCGCAGGTCCTTGCCTACTTTGCAATACAATTTCGTCCTGTTCTTCGTCTTTGCCTTTGCTTCCATTAACATTGATAGTATCAGGCAACTCAACGTACCAATTCAGGATTGTACTTTTACAATACCTCGGCCGCTCTATTTTTCAAGTCTACAGCATCAGGCGCAAGGAAAGTAATATTATCTTGGTCGAGCCAAGCCCTTTTTTTTCGCTCAATTGAAAAAAATGAACGTTTTGATGCGTTAAGCCAGTTTCTAAAGCGTGCTCTTTATCTCAAATTGCCTGGAATGTTAGCCACTCACTCCACACCATCCAAACGGTGAGCTACTAAGCATCTGTTCTCGGCATTTTTATTAATCTGAGCATATAATTGAGATAGTAAGTTTTCATGACGGAAGTTTAATCGATTCGAAAAATGAATCTCTTTTTTTTTTGTTGCTGGACTCGAAAATGAGTGTCGTTGGGGGTTTGGGAAACTCACAATGAATTGTATCCACGGGAACACAACAGAGAAGATGAATTCCATTTCTCATTGCGAAAAGTTCCATAATTGTCTCTCAATTCTTAGTAAAGGAATTTTTTAAAAAGTCCCAAGTAGACATTGTCTCTTTGATACGATAGCTAGAATAAAGAAGACGGAATTGGTTGATGGCTCTCGTGTATTAATCCTGAGCCAAATATCATATACACGCATTTTTTATTATTATTTCGTAATCGGACACAAGAAAGGTCATTTGTACTTTTTTTTCTTCCCTTTACTTCCATCGCCATTTTTGGCTTTTGATAATATAAATACACAGTCGTTCGCCTTCGCGATGAGGCGATTTGAATGATCGACAGGGAATTATTTTTGCATGAATAAGGGAAAGTGATCAGCCACATGTGACTGTGTTTCGTCGATTACTTTTTTTCCACTCCCCCATCAGCCACTTCCCAAGAGGAACCCTTTGTGACCTTTCTTTTTCACCTCCACTCGAGTCTATATCAGGTACACCTGACAGTTCACGCTGAGCACGAAGCTGCCATTCAAAGACAACTCCCATTTTGTTTGATTTTCAGCTAATGCCCTGCAAGCAGTAGTTATAATGGACCAAGGAGGACCTTTGCCCGTGGACATTCAGGCCAAGCAAGAATCAAGCAGTCCTGCAGGAACCGAGTCGTTGGTGGAAACCACCACCACCAACACCACGGTATCAACACCGGCGACAGACGAACAACCAAAGACCACCCCAGACCCCATGCCAAAAGATGCTCAAGACAATGTCACTTCCTGCGATTTGTCCACTTCGCTCCAGTTGCCGGCATCGTCGAATGATGCCAGCCTTAGTGGCCTCAATTTGACCGCCGCTCAACTTCAGCAGATCAGCGCCGTTCAGGCCCAAGCGCTTGCCCAAGCTGCGGCCGCAGCCATGGCGGCCAACGGTGGCGATTACAGCCAACTGTTTGCCAACTTGGATCCCCACACAGCCGCACTGACAGCATCGTTGAATTCAGACCAGAATTCCGTCGCCATAGCGTCCGATAATCAAAATAGTGGATCCACCCATCATCCTACGCATATTACCGCGGAGATGTTACATCGAGAAATGATGAATCAAAAGGTAAAAATCGGAGGCCACTGGACGCATGGAAAGCAAATCATTCATATTCATCATTTAATTTCTTCAAGGTGCGTGCGGAAAATCGAGAGCGTAAGAAGAGATGGAGAGAGCAAAACGAGGAACGAAGTAAGCGATTTTCAGGACAAACCAAGTGTGTCAATGACAGGTCACTTATCACGTGGTTATTACTTTACAGACAAAGATAACGATCTGCGTTGTCGTGTGAATAAGCGTGCTCAGAAATTATTCGGCGTGGAGGACAGCGAACATAAAAAGCGGTGGATCGAGGAAGAGTTTATCAAACGACGTCAGAAGCGAATCGATAAGGAGCGACGTAAACATGCTGTGAACGGAGCGATCGGAGGTCATGACGACGTCAATGGTCTGGATCTTTCTACCCATACCGATCTGTCGCAATCCCTCCACGATACCAACTACTTGTCCATGTTGTCCAGTAATCTGGGCAACCTATCTCCCACATCGGCAGTCAAACTTATCAACAGTAACCTTGCGGCGGCCATGAAGGTCCAGGAAAATTCGCAGCAGCTTTCCGATCAGTTAATCCATTTTTTACAGCAACAGCACCAACAACATCAGCAACAGCAACAACAACAGCAGCATCATAACCATCATCAACCCACAGAACGACAGCATTCTTCAACCCAAGGAACAACCGATCATATCCCCCTTGAGCCATCCTACAGCAATGCATCTTCTTCAGAATCATCCATCGCTACAGTCATAGACGCCAATCCCATTGGCACCGAGCAAAAATTAGCCGCACTTTTAAGTAGTACTGGGCATGATTCGGCGGCAGGTACGCCTCATCAGTCAGAAGGAAGTCCATCCCATGATGCAAGTAACACGTCCGAAATCCAGAATGTAGGACCTCCTCAGTCGAATCCGCCAAATAACCAACGATCCGGCGACTATCCCATGGAAGCCGTATTAACCTTGATGCAGCTCAATGCTGGATGGCGCCAGTGAACCCCCCCAAAAAAATGCATGTGGCATGATATAATAATTTTGATTTTTGGCTTGTTAATACATTGTATGTAAATTTCATGTTTTCCTCTTTTTTGTGTGTCTTCAATTTTGCCTTGTCCCCGCATGCTCCATGGATCTCGTTGATTGAATCCTAGGTATCCTTGTCTTTAACACTTTACAATACACACCAACTATTCTACCAGGCGGCGCATGTCTTTATATTGGCGGTCGACGATCGATCACCTCTTCCAATGATTTGCCGGCGGTCTATATGGTTGCGAAGGATGTATCAGTTCACGACTTTTTTTATTTTTCTCCAATGAATTGCCAATTTTGGCATGCTCACTCACCTCGGGTAGTAGGTACAAAAGCACGAACCACAGCACCAAAGAAATCCCCGCATACAACCAGAAAGTGCCCGCCGTCGTGATAAGATTCGTCAGTGACAAGAAAGTGGAAGAAATGAAAAGGTTGCACAGCCAGTTGGTGGCGGTGGAGATGCCATTGGCCTTGCCTCGAATCGCGGTGGGGAATAACTCGCTTTGAATCAGCCAAGGCGCATAGCCAAGGCCCAAAGCGTAACTGGCGACGTAGATGACAAGCGATAAAAGTAGCGCGACAGTGATCATTGTATCATTCGGCTGCGCAGGACATCCCGTCGGCCCTTGGTATATGTCATCCAGATGGTCATTCAACAGCGGCACACAGGTGTCGCGAGATATGGACCATCCGCACCCGGTATCTTGCACACATCGCGCACATGTCGATGCATAACCGGCACATGTACTCTGTTTTGGTACAAAGCCTTGTTGGACGGCAAACGAGGAGCCTAAAGCGATGAGAGCGAGCATCATGACAAGCATGGTCACCAACAGAATTCGTCGACGACCTAATTTGTCAACGATACAAACGGCGACCGCCGTGAACACCATGTTGGTCCCGGCCACCAGCATGGCCACATTGGTGGAGTTCTGATGATCACGGAAACCAGCCATACGCAGGATGGTTGCTGCATAATACATGGCGGTATTGAACCCACTAAGTTGCTGCGCTGCCTGCAGCGTGCAAGCTAGACGAAAAGGGATATTTAAAATTAATTGCTCTAAGCGACCCCTTTCTCTATATGTGTACCTATGATCAAGGCTTTCACATGCGGATAACGGCACAAGTCGGAAAAAGTGCTGGATCGTCCTTCGTCAATAGCACGTTGAATGTCGGCTAGTTGATCATCAATGGCTTCGGGAGACATCGACGCATGGTATACTTTCTGTAGCGTGGATCGAGCACGGGCCATTTTCCCGGTAAAAACATCATGGCGCGGTGATTCGGGCATTGATGGCAAGACTAGAATGGGAAATCACATAAATAAAATGAGCGAGAATAAAAGCTTGACTGATTTACATACCGCACAGTTGGACAAGGGCCGGAAGCGCGCCCAGGCCGACCATAAAGCGCCATCCATGAGTCACATTGGCGAAAACCATATTCACAGCGTAAGCAAACATTTGCCCAAACGTAAGGATCAAGACATTCATGGTCGATAGTCGACCACGAATCGACTTCGGTGATATCTCACCTAGCGCGATGATTAGAAGGAGACTTCAGTTATCAAGTACGAAACGGCAACTACTTACTCACGTACAACGGAATAATCATGGAGGCTATGCCGACGCCTACACCCACCACCAGCCGGCCGAGTAGGAGAAACGTGTAAGTGGATGCCAAAGCCATGATAAGTGAACCAATAAAAAAGATAAAGGACGCCACAAGCAGCAATGCCTAGACAACCTTTTTTATCAGACAATAATGTAGCTATATCAAGAACATATCGCTGTTTCCCTTACCTTTCTTCCGAAATGATTGGCGAGCTTCATAAAACGTATATCAGTGAGTTCCATATGCGTGACAGGTACCGTAGACTCTACTTCTTACCGAACCAGCAAAAAGCCCGCCAAAAATAGCTCCCAAAGTCGTTGCTCCTACCACCAATTCCTCTTGCCTTGTCGTCATGTGGAAGTGTTCGCGTAGCGGTGGTAAAGCCCCCGAGATAACTACCCGCCAAACAATGAGCCGAAGCCCACGGTTCACAGACCCTCATAACAATCTCAACCTACCTCCTGTGTCATAGCCAAAGAGAAACCCACCAATACATACACAGAAAATGAGCTTGTACAGAAATACTTCATTTATTTCATCCGATGGAATCAGAGTGGACAATAAAGGATGCTCGTCGTTTGTAATGCTCGCACGGCCGTCGTCATTCTCATCGTCATCTTTATGAGATGATCTTAGGGATGGACTCGATGAAGTTCTGTCAAGCAAATTATCGGGAGTCACTCTTTCATAGGTAGCACGTTTGAATAGAAAAGTAAATAGCATCAACACTGTTTGCCACCTTGGTGGCATAAGCGCCTCAATGGCCATCTTCCCTCCCTCACCACCGCGGCGGAGTTTCATCATGCGCTCACGGGACTTGCCCAAATAAGAAACACAAAATAATGCGGCAAAAGCGGCGTCCCGTTCAAAGAGTCAATTCACTAGATTCAATGTAATGCTGACAAAAAGTATTGTTCAGATAGAAAAAAGGGGTTAGGACGATGTGTTATTAAAAGAAAAAACGAAACAATGAATATACAAAATGCATGCAAAAAAAATAGTGACGACTTATTTCTTGCCTCTATCCTTTAATCCTAGTTGCAATGTGCTGCCATCGACGACACCATAGAAAGACAAGCTTTTACCGTTATTCATGATGGTGTTGTTGAGCGACAACTTTTGTTTGCCTGCAGGCATTCCCAGTTGCGATGAAATACGATCCTTCACCGTAGAGACCAACGTAGACAGAGGAAGGTCGGCAATGGTGATACTGGCTCCTGTCAACTGCCACTCGGGCTTATCCGGCATATTGGGAGTTTGAATTGTCAGACTCACAGTAGTCTACGAAAATAATCCAATCGTCAATCATCACATCAAGATATATCTAATTATTGAAAAACACTCTTCACTTACGGGTTCCTGGTTAGCCCAGTCACCTTCGGTAGGTGTGCTGGAATCCAATCGCGGCTTCTTGGCTTCCATTTGTCCTTCAGGTTCTTGTTCCGCTTTACGGGTTAAGTCCGCCGGAGGTGCCATAGGAGTGGGTGGTGCAGGCATGGGCATTCCCATGCCCTGATTATACATATCAGGTAATTGGTTAGCAAAAGGCGGCGGCGGCGGCATCGATCCGCCTACAGGCTGAGGAGCACCATAGTATTGACCATGTGGAGGACCGTGAGGTGTCGGTGACGCATACGCCGTAGGTGATTCCATCTGACCCGGCATCCTCGGTCCAAACGATTCACTGTACAAAATATAAAGAAAATTTTAGTGCCTGCATCACTCGACTTTTTGTTCAAAGAAAAGAAACATACTCTGTGGCGGTGGTATTTTTGCTGTGGATGGCGGCAATTTGAGAGTCAATCATGTTTTGAGCAGCGCGTTGAGTGGCGAGGGTCTTGGTAGCGGTATGACCATCCCAAATAACCTTGTCGCGTCTCTTTGCTTCTTCTTCGGCAGCTTTGATCTTTTTACCAATTTCGGTTTCTTCCGAGCCAAAGATATCCGAACGATAGCCCGAGAAATTCTTGAGGATCTTGGCCACATCGGTACCTTCCTGCAATAAGTTGGAGTCCTTCTTCTTGGCCTCCATGGCTTGTTTCTGTTCCTTCCACTTGGGATCCAGCAATTCAATACGCATATGCTCGTCCATTTCCGATACGGGGATCGCTTCACCACAACGGGGACAGATTTGCGTCGGTTCATCCACCTTGGCCGGGGTAGCGCCAATGATCTTTGGTTTATAGTTGGTTCGGATCTTGATGGGTGCATTCATGTCAGGAGCCACAGGAACAGCCGGAGCGGCGTCTGCTTTGCCTTCCTGTTCTTCATCACTATCATCCATCTACAAAAAACACATGCTATTTAGCCCATTGCATTATCGTTTTTGAGTTCGCAATAGAATACATACATCCATTTCAACATCTTCCGCTGCTTCTTCTTCGGCGGTGGGCTCGGGCATCGCTGCAAATCGTTTCTGAGCAAGTGACATGTTCTCCAACTCGGATAAACTCATGGGCGGAGGAAGATCGGTTTGCTCATCGGCTTCAGTGAATTCCACCGTTTCCACAATAACGAAATCATGCCAATCAATGCTAGCATAAGCGACTTCAAAAAAAGAATTCGCAAGTATAACTTTGTCAGCCTAGCCCTCTTGTATATGTTGTCTTGATTTGATCCACTTACTTCGTTCTTTCTCGTCTTCGCTTTCTTTTTTCTTTCTCTCTGCTTCCAACCAAACGACCCATTCGGCTCGTTCCTTGACTCTATCAAGTATTCGGTATTTGTTCTCAATGTTCTTTCTCAATCGGTCCTTCAAGTCTTTAGGTGGCACCAGCACCTTTGTATATTGTTTGACAAGTTCGGTGAAGTAGGGAAATAAGCTGTGAGACGGTCTAAGGAAATCAAACTGGTAATTGCGGGATTCTCGTTGAGCAAGTTGGGTAATGAACTGTCGTCCATTGCGTGCAGCGAATTGAGCGGTGAGTTTCATGATATCCCTGGCTTTGGTGTTAGAACCGCTTTCACTGCCCATGTCAACAATCATAGCAACTTACAGATCCTGAGCCGACATGGCCGGCATGGGGGCGGAAAACTCGAAAGGCTCGGCTTCCTTGGGTGCCTGCTGCGTAACAGGCTGTTGCTCGGTTTTTTCTTCCTTTACGACTTCTTTCTTGGGTACTATTGAGAATGCGAGAAAGTGGATGGCAATTAATAAGTGAGATCTGCCCGGCAAGTTTCTTTCAGAAAACTTACGTTTTCCTTCTCTTGCTTCGTTGAGTTTATATTGATAATATGCATGGTAAGGATCGGTCGGATTCAAGAAACAAAAGAGCAGATTATGCTTTTCTTTTTCGCGAATACGTTCTTCCAATTGAGGACCTTTGGTAGCAAGGAATGCCGCCGCTTTGTCCACCGTTTCTATTAAAGGAGATCAAACCGTTTTAGTTGTCAAGAATTTTTTCTTTCGAATGGGCAGGCTACGTACTTCTGATATCAGGGGGAGGATAAATAATACCAGCGAGTTTGCTGGGTTCGGAAGATGGGTGAGGAGACCCATCATTGGGAGGCGATTGGTGAGAATCGAGCTGCATCGGTTCACCCTGATCCATTGTTGCAGTGGCCATGATAGAATAACGAAAAAAAAGTCGAAAATGAGTCGTCGCTTCTAAAAATCCGCCATCACCAATTGGTATTTATATTGACAGTCACGTCTAGCTCGCCGGATCACGTGACACGAAAACTCCAGCAACTTGGGATCCACCAACCAAAAAGCAAGAGATCGATATATACAAACCTTGCAAGTAAGAGCGATGAGCCTTTGAATGATAAAATATTTCCTGCAGTGAATAGCAATGTGCGCAAAAAAAAAAGTCATCTCAATGTGAGCATAGCTTGTTTGCATTTATCTTGTCGAATAGAGATATTTTCAATAATGAATATGCAGATCCATGGACAAATTTGATACATTGTGGGGTACGACGGCAATCCCGGAAGAGAAAGGCTCAGGACGCAAATTAAGCTTTAACAATCCTCGCGGCTGCATATGTCAAATTATTCAGCTGCGTGGCTTCTTTTATTCTGGATTATAAAATAATCTAATGTAAGCACACTTTCAGAAGCAATATCCGGTTATAAGGATCTATGTTGTCATAAGGACCTTGAAGTCTGTTTTGGGTGATAGTTGTATTGTTCTCTCATGTACTTCCGCATGGCTACTGTATATTCAATTTTTCAATGCTATCAAAAACGCTGAGCATGGATGTAAACAACTGTCGCACCAATCATGTATTATTTTGGCTGGGCTTGGTTCGTCTCGTATGACAGGTCCAGAACACAAAAAGAAGGTTCTTTTTTATGTCATTTAGCAAATAGCCTCAGCCCAACTTGTGGCGCAAACGACATTTGCAGCACTGACGCAGAGTGCGCTGTCAAACGCAGAATGAGTCAACGCATGATGTGCGTTCTCCATTTCCCTTTTAGGGAACACATCCGGTAGACAAAGCTTCTCACTGTTTTTTAAAGAGCAGGTTTTCAAATCAGTTTTTTGGCCAAACGTAAGCTGTAGTTGACGATGAAAATCATCGCAGGAAGAAAATGCTTTTTTATTAATGAGCATTTAAAGGGATGTAAAAAGTTAGAGTATGCATTTCCTCAATTGAAGAAGCGGCTTTGCTGCGGGATACCACACAGCATCAAGTGCCACAAGACATCCTTCAAATGTCGCAGTAGATAAAGAATATTGGCATCGTTATAAATATGAAAAGAAAAAACAAAGATGATGAGACTAAAGTTGTTTCTCTCTCTTTTTTTTTTTTCCTTCGTCATGACTTTGACAGGTACCTTTCCCTACGCCGAATTTCCTTACTTTGAGGCGCTTCACGACCAACAAGTCCTAGACCAAGAAATCGCCAGCATTATTACCAAGCATGGACTGAAGCAATCGACGGCTCAGAAGATGGACCAAGACGAAACGCCTACCGAAAACGTAGAAAGCGCGGTCTTCGTCAAGGTCCTGAAAGAGGTCGGCAATCTAACATTAACTCATAACGGAGCCCTTTCCCACAAATCGACCAATGACGCGTGCCTTGATTTGTACGCCCAACTGGGTGCCGGCGATACCGATGTGTCAAGACGGTTGAACCTATTGAAAGCATCGTATAAACAAGACCCCTTGACGACTATGAAGATTATTATCAACGCACGATCCATTCACAAGGGTAAAGGCATCAAGTATGCCTTTTACCTGGCTTACCGTTGGCTTTTACAACACCATCCTCAAACGGCGCTTCGTAATCTGTCAGTGTTGACCGACGGTACCATCGTAGAACCTCATCAGTCGAAGAAAAAGAAGCAAACCGAAGATGATTGGCAATTTGTTTCAGATGACGCCGAGATCCCTTCCAAGGATTTCCTTGTAAAGTCTCACGGTTACTGGAAAGATTTGGCCAACCTGGTCCTCATTTACAGCAGCGAAAGCCAACCTACGCAGGCCGAGGCGTACCGTTTGAACCAGAAACCCAAACGTCGCAAGCTGAGCGCCAAAGAAAAGAAGGAAGATCCCATCATCGAGGCACGAAAAGAATACCGAGCCAAGCGCCAAGCCCATCGAAAGCTGTGCAAGACGCTTTCTGAAGAAGAACGCATCCGTGTTCAAGCCGAATGGAACGAACTCGTCAAGCAACGTGACATCGAGCTCCGTCGACGTGCCAAAGCCGCTACCAAGAAGAAGCACCAGGTTCGCAAGTGCCATACCATACATCTGCTAGAAACCGATCGCATCTATCGCGCCCTTCACCTGACCGTCGCCCGCATTTTTGCCGCCGCCTTGCAACGTGATCTGGAGCAGCTAAAGAAGAATCAGCAAAGGCAAGGGGCCTCCAAGAACCGTTACGCTTTGATGGAAGGTCTCAGTTTGGCCGCCAAATGGGCTCCCTCGCCCCGTGGTTCGCACGACAAGTATACCCTGCTCAGCACATCCATTGCCGAATGTCTATTCCCTCCCAAAACGCATCAACGTGAAGGTGAATTCCGATTTGACTATCTCAAGCGCATCCGCCAAGAATACCGCAAACAATACACCACTCCCCTGCGCCGAGCTTTGGACGTCACCGAAGTGCGCATGTCCGCCAACCTTTGGGACACCATAGATTTCAGCCACGTTCCCTCGATCTGTATGAACAAGCACGCCAAGGAATTCTTCCTTCACTCGCCCGATGCTTTTCTTGGTTACATGCGCGCCGTCGCCGAAGGATCCCGATCGGTTGCCGCTTCCACCCTGATGCCCCACGAGCTGGTGAAAAAGGTGATCACTCCCGATGCTCCTCCCTTTCGAATGGACGACACATCCAGGGAATTATACATGAAGATGCAAACCGATCTCATCAACGCTCAATGGGTTTCTCTTCGCCAAAGCATTGAAGAATCCATGTCGTCTAACAATGTCAAAGCAACGATGGGTTCCTCTCTTGCCATTTGTGATGTGTCTGGTTCCATGTTCTCCTGCGAATCTGACGTGGTGCCTCTGCATGCCGCCATTGGTTTATCGCTGCTGATGACCTCTCTGTCTCCTCCTCCCTTTAATGGTGCACTCGTTACGTTTTCAAAACGTCCCATTGTCTTCAACGTCGACCCTTCAAGCACTTTTACCGAGCAAGTGCAAGACGTACTGAAGAAGCCTGCTGGATTAACCACTAACCTCGAAGCCGTGTTCCTCGATCTGTTACTTCCCCTCGCGCAACAACACAACCTGACGCAAGAGCAGATGATCCAGCGGTTGTTTGTTTTTTCAGATATGCACTTCAATGCCGGTCAGTATGGTAAGAAATTCGAGACGCTTTACGACATGCTGGAACGAAAGTACGCCGAAGCAGGATATCAGCTTCCCGAAATCGTGTGGTGGGATCTCAGTGGCAACGGCGTAACTCATTCCGATATGGACAAGCCTTTGCCCGTCACCAAGGTTACCAAAGGTTGCTCCATGATGTGTGGTTACTCGTCCGCTTCGCTAAAGTTGTTTTTATCTGGCGATTTCTCCGAGGATAACAAGTCGGAACAAGAACAAGCCGCTGATGATGCTATGGAAACGGATGGTTCAGAACAAGTCAATACAACCGCAAATAAACAAGAACAGAAGAAGGACAAGAAAGACAAGAGAAAGACGCCTTTGCAATCGATGAAGGAAGACTTGGGACATGAAAGTTATAATAGTATTGTAGTGGTTGATTAAAGGAAGGGTTTGGTCAGTAGTATTTATGGACGTTGTATATACACATCTGTAGCGTGCGGATAATTGCAATCATAAAAAAAATTCAGTGTTGATAAACAATAAAAAAAAAGGTCATCTTGCAATAAAAACGACTATGCATTCAAGTTAAACATTTGCTGTAAAAACTGGTCTGTCTGCAGGGACAACTTTTTTATTTGAATAAAGTACACTTGCTCCCATACATTACCTTATACAATATAAGGATCTGAAATTGAAGATTCAACCGATCCTAGAAACAGAAAGTTTTGAAGCATTACTTCTACCTTTCGGATAATCTACCAATGAAGATGTAAGATGAAAGCGCGATAACCGCCTTAGATTAGTCGAGACGACTTTTAATCCATTTTGTGATTCCTCTTGTCTAGGGCACCTTGGCATCGCACCGAAGAAGCACAAAAAGTGATACTTAAATCGAATTATCCCAAAATTGAATTCGATGTAGGATATAACGTATAACAGAAGAGATGACAGCGAAATGATTCGAAAAATGAGCGGTGACTTTATTGTTAGGTTACGATTCATTGAACCAACGTCCATTTTTAATCGATCACAAACGACCCAACCTGTAATCGTGCAGAGAAGCGGAGAAGGAGAACTCAAATTTTCAAGAGGAGACAACACGGGTCCTGCAGGCTCATCAGTTTATGCGAAAATATAGCAGATCATAAATGGAGAAACCAGGCTACAGGTAGCTGTTGCTGCACTAATGCGGGTTTGGAAATTTGTAGATCTAAGAACATTTCAAATTTGGGGCAATAATATCCCTTTTTTGCGGACATGCTTACATGCGTTCGCATCGGCCTTGTCATTGCGTTGCGCTCTCTCTGTTTTGTCGCCTTGCGACATGGGGCACTGAAACTGACATTCTGGCTTCATGAAGCAACATGTGAGCGTTTATTGATACAGCAATATTTGAATACGCTGTTTCAAAAATAAAACTGATACAAAGGGGCAGGGCAAAGTGGGCAAACTTTCTGACACACAACAAGATAAAAAGAATGTGCGTAAAGCCTGAAGCACGTCGCATGTCATATCAGCTGTCAACCATAGGCTTTACTGCAAGCTATGGAGTGACTGTGGTTCACATGGGTTGCTCATGGCAGCATGAGTAACATGGCGCAGCTCCTCTTTGCATTCCTTACGCGAAAGAAGAGTGAGGCGCTGAATTTCGCGAGTTTTGTTGCGGGAATCGAGCCAATGAGGTGCATTCGCGGTCATAAAGCAAGGTCACATCGAAGGTCCTCGAACGATTTTTGAAAAAGATATAAAAAGGGGGCGTTTCTTCTCATCTCTTTTTTTCTTTTGTGCGCCAGTTCGGAATCAGGGGCTGCTAGGCTGGTGGTTACTGGTAATGATGAACGCTCCGGTTTTTGGTAAAGCATTCGGGGTATGGCGAAAAATCCGAAAACCATCCTCTAATGATAGGATTGGCCATCCTCTGAAGAAGATTGTTTTCGTTCCCGTCGGCTCTTCCCTTTGGGCGCCTGACTAGTCATCAGCGCGGTCATTGTGGAAGGTATGTCGGTGGGTTTGCTTTTTAATCGCAACAAATGTAAATGAAAAATAAAAAAGGCTTTTGCCTTTATTATTCTTTTCTCAACTCTTTGTGGGTTGAATAATAAAATAAAAAAGTGAGCTTAATGTCCTGTGGACGAACTACGCCACTTCATATAAAAAGAAAAATAAATGATAAACCCTTTGCTTAGAAGAGAGGCGATAGGATAGGCCTCTTTGTTTTTGTTTGTCGTTCATCTTTTCTCTATTCAATTAAGACGTCCAATAACCTCTTGTTCAAAAACCATCCTTTTTATCCATGTGTTCTGCCTGCCGCAGCTCACTCTCGACTAGGCCACTTGGCTCAGTTAATGTCAAAGTGGCGTATGACCGTCACGTTCCAAAGAAGGAGGCCACACTTTAGCGTCGTCATCGTTCGAATCGTAGACCTGCAAAACCCGATGAGCAATGAGGAACTGTGTTGGCGGAATCAGGCGTAAGTGGTTTATTCTTTATGGGTCATTTTGCTAAACTATAAAATGTAGAAAAAAAAAGGAAGTAGGGCGGGAGGGAGTGATGTCCTTTTGGAAGCTTTGGCGGCAAGGCATGACGTGTTCCAAGCTTTCCAATATGGCGATGGTGTTTCTCAGCATAAAGGCCCAATGCACACGTCATGTTACAATTCGTGAATGAAGGGATTCGCTCGATCAGCAATGAGGTTTAACGGAACCAACACGGTGGCAAACGCGGCTGCGGCATGGTTTACTGCACTCAAAAATTGCACCTGACTGCGAAACATTATTCCTAAATCGAAGAATTGATCCCGGAAACCAGAGTTTTTTTTTTCTCTGTCATGCAATAAACGGAAGATTAACGTTAGCTTGAGGAATACACTGTCTCTGACCTTTTTTTTTTTTTTGGCATGCACAGCGGCGGTTTTGGAGAGTGCAATAGATACCTAGATTTGTAGGATAATTCGATCTTCCAATGAAGTAATAGTAACTCTTCTTGCCTTGACATACGTGCTCCAGAAATGAATGTACAACTGTCGACATGGTGTCGATACAGTCTTACGCCTTATCAATTGATATCCAGAAGAACTTCCACCGATCTGTCGCCCATGCTTGATTACCGTTTCCATGATGATATAGGCTGTGATGTAGGGGCATTGTTTGCAAAGATTTCTTCACACGGCTAGTTGTTATTTCAGCAACTTCAACGTATTTCTGCGTTTATGCGATCATAATATCGATGTGACCAGCCTCTCCAATAATCTTGGGTCCTTATGAGACAAGGTCATAAATTGTTTCGTCCGCCATCGGGTCGAGTAAATCGAAGAGGTAAGGCCGATGCTCAAACCAATTTCCATGCAAAAACAAACTCTAGTCAATTGCAAAAAACTCATCGCGATGAACGAGGTCTCTCTCAACCGCAAACGTTCATCAGCCAGCGTACTAGGTTTGAAGGCTACCTCTCCTTAGTTTAGCATCAAGAATGAAACGGCTTTACTGCGGATTGTATCAGGTGACACAAGGCATCAGCCAAGTGTCGCAGCAAATAAAAAAATTAGCTGCGACTATAAATATTGAGGCAAAAAACTCAGAAGCTGTTCCGAAAGTGTTTCTCTTCTCCTCTCCATGACTTTGACTACTTCTGTTCCCCGTGCTGCCGTCCCTTACTTTGAGGCGCTTCATGACCAGCAAGTGCTCGACCAGGAGATTGCCAACATTGTTACCAAGCATGGGTTCAAGCAGTCGACGGTCGAGAAAATGGATCAAGTCGAGATGACCAAAGAAGACATGGAGAGCGCGTTTTTCGTCAAGGTTCTCAAGGACGTTGGCAACCTGACATTGACTCAGAATGGTGCCATTACCAATAAATCAACCGAGGATGCCTGCCTGGATTTGTACGCCCAGCTCGGTGCGGCCGATACCGATGTGCCAAGACGGTTGAACTTGTTGAAAAAGGCGTGGAAACAGGATCCCTTGACCACCATGAAAATCATTATCAACGCGCGATCGATTCACAAGGGTAAAGGCAGCAAGTTTGCTTTTTACGTGGCTTATCGCTGGCTTTTGCAACATCATCCTCAGACCGCGCTTCGAAATTTGTCGGTCTTGACCGACGGCACCATTGTGGAATCGCACTATTCCAAAAAGAAGAAGCAAGCCGAAACCGAAGATGATTGGCAGCTTGTTTCCGAAGCCCCAGAGACTCCGTCCAAGCTGATGAAATCCCACGGTTACTGGAAAGACTTGGCCAACCTGGTCCTCCTGTACAGCAGCAGCAGTGACAGCAACAGCCATCCGACGCAGTCCGAGACTTATCAGTTGAACAAAAGATCCAAGCCTCGCATGTTGAGTGCCCAAGATAAAGAAACCGATCCCGCCATCATCGCCCGAAAAGCATACCGAGCCAAGCGCCAAGCCCACCGAAAGCTGTGCAAGACGCTTCCCGAAGAAGAACGCATCCGTGTCCAAGCCGAATGGAACGAACAAGTCAAGCAACGTGATATCGAAGCTCGTCGACTCGCCAAAGCCGCTACCAAGGACAAGGTTCGGGCTAGCAAGTGCCGCACCATTCAACTGTTGGAAACCGACCGCATCTACCGCGCTCTTCATCTGTCTGTCGCCCGCATCTTTGCCTCCGCTTTGCAACGTGATTTGGATCAGCTAAAGAAGAATCAGCAACAGCAAGGCGCCGCACAAGATCGTTACGCTTTGATGGAAGGTCTCAGTATGGCCGCAAAATGGGCCCCCTCGCCGTTTGGTTCGCACGACAAGTATACCCTGCTCAGCACGTCCATTGCCGAATGCCTATTCCCTCCCAAAACGCATCAACGTGAAGGCGAATCCCGATCCGATTACCTCAAACGTATCCGCCACGAATACCGCAAACAATATACCACTCCGCTGCGTCGGGCTTTGGATGTCACCGAAGTGCGCATGTCCGCCAACCTCTGGGACACCATCGATTTCAGTCATGTTCCTTCGATCTGTATGAACAAGCACGCCAAGGAATTCTTCCTCCACTCGCCTGATGCTTTCCTCGGTTATATACGCGCGGTTACCAGTGGATCCCGATCGGTTGCCGCTTCCACCCTGATGCCCCATGAGTTGGTAAAAAAGGTGATCAACCCGGACGATTCTGGCTTCAAGTTGAACGGCGAAGCAAGAAAATTATACACGCAAATGCAAAACGATCTGGTCAACGCGCAATGGGTTTCTCTCCGTCAAAGTATCCAGGAAGCCGTGTCGTCGTCGGAAAACAATGCTAATGCGACAATGGGATCCTCTCTAGCCGTTTGTGACGTGTCTGGTTCGATGGGATGCGTTTATTCATCGGACGTGGTACCTCTGCATGCCGCCATAGGTTTATCGCTCATGATGACCGCGTTGTCTCCGCCCCCGTTCAATGGTACACTCGTCACGTTTTCGGAAGCGCCCATGGTGTTCAACGTCGACCCCTCCAGTCCCTTCAGCGACCAGGTGCAAGATCTCCTGAGCAAGCCTGCTGGATTTTCCACGAACCTCGAAGCCGTGTTCCTCGATTTGTTACTTCCTCTCGCGCAAAAACACAAGCTTACGCAAGAACAGATGATCAAGCGATTGTTTATTTTCTCGGATATGCACTTCAATGCCGGTCAATGTGGTCAACCTTTCGAGACGCTTTATTACATGTTGGAACGAAAATACGCCGAAGCAGGATACCAGCTTCCCGAAATCGTGTGGTGGGATCTCAGTGGCAATGGCGTCAGCAAGGCCGGGAAAGACAAGCCTTTACCCGTTACCAAGGTCACCAAAGGCTGCTCCATGATGTGTGGTTTTTCATCCGCTTCGCTAAAGCTATTTTTATCCGGTGATTTGTCCACGGAGGAGACACCCGAAGAGGAAGAGACCGCTGACGATAAGATGGAAACGGACGCATCGCAAGAAGGCAATACCACCCGCAGAAAAAAGGAAGAAGAACAAGACAACAGAAAGACGCCTTTGGACTGGATGTACGAAGACTTGCGACATGAAAGTTATAATAGCGTTGTAGTGGTTGATTAGTAGTGTAAATTTATAGGTATAATTGTAGCGAACATTGTATATACATTTTTCTTAGCATACGAATATTTGCAATCATGAAATATTTGGCAATTGTTGATAAGCAATCAAAAAAAAGGCATATCTTGCAATAAAATAATAATCATACCCTCAAAATAACCCCATCATCTTTTATGCGCGCTGTATTATTAGGAAAGCGTTGTCAGCCATGGTGGCACCGAATCCCTAATTTTTGATGCTGGACGTCGATGGGGGAGACATGTCCAGTGTGAAGCGGAACCACATCACTCGTTTCTTCTCTGCATGTCGTTATTCCTACATCAGAAACCATTTGCAAATAAAACCATGAAGTCCTTCAGAGGAAGATCCTGTTCATGGATCGCAAAAAAAAGGGACGAAGAGCTGGCTGGCAGACTAGTTGAAACGCATGAGGACTGGGTGACAAGAACTGCAAAAACGATGGCCAAGAAACAAAACAACGTCGGCATTATTTTACCGATTTTATTGGAGTTTCTTGAGTTCGTTGATTCCAAAGAGTTTGGACATGACGTAGTCTTTGACAAAATGAGGCAAGTAGTAAAAGAGTACAAATGCAAAAGACTTTGCGCCAAAAGTGATGTAGCGAGGAGGATCACGACGCAGGACCTGGCCGACAACGTGGGCAGCAAACACCGTATTTGGGGTAGAATCCGGTCCTGCCATATCCGTTGATGTCAATTTCACTAACAGCACTCCCCATCTGTACATTGCTCCAACTTACCTTGCGACATGGTCGCTCGCTTATAAATATACGTTGATACTTTCTTATAAAGGGAATCTACATAGACGAACAACGGGTGAACCCACAAGATATTTGTTTCTCCCAATGCCGTAAAGTGCCCTTTTTATTTATTTTTACCTGGAGGGATATTGATGGTTTCTGTGCCTGCAACACCGATATTGGATCGAATTGCACCTAAAAGCAACAGAGGCATTCATATTGTAAAACACTATTTACGTCGAGGGTCGTCGAAACAATCTTTTTTTATTTTACCTGGTGCGACCACGATGACTTGAATGCCAAAAGGTTTGAGCTCCAATCGAAGACTATCGGTCATGGCATGCACGGCGGCTTTCGAGAGGGCATAGATTCCTTTAAAAAGATATCCTACTTTAGTTTCTCATGTCTGGAAAAAGAGGATCCAGTCCAACGTACCTGCCCAAGGGGTGGAAGCGTAACCGACGACGGAGCCCACATTGACGATCTTTCCCGATCCACGATCGGCCATATGTCGACCGACGACGCGGCACATGGACAAAGTACCGATGACGTTGGTGTCGATGCAAGCGCGCACTTTGTCATATTCAATATCCAAAAGAGCTCCTACCGCTCTGTAACATATGACTTGAATATAAAGCTTCATGATCCTATTTCATATAATACTTACGGTGTGCCAGCATTGTTTACAAGGATATCTTTTTACATAGTTGTTTTGTTACTGACTAGTTCATTGGTATTTCCGTTTTTTACAATAAGCAACATACCGATGTGGCCCGCTTCCTCAATAATTTTCTATCCATATGAATTTACGTAAATCATTAGTTTATCATCCACCCACGGTTTGCATAGAACCAAAAAAAAAAAAAGATGTGTCAAAAGTATGGGGGGGGGGGGGAGAGAGAGAGAGACAAGCGGTGCTTCCTACCTCGAACGTTGCCTTTATAGATTCGGCATTGGTAATATCGAGTTCCAGCTTATCGCAGCCAAATGCTATGGTTGGGTCAATACAAGTGGTGACGGTCAAGTAACAATGGGAACAGGATGCGTACCTTCGAGACCGTCGAGCGCAGCTAGGCGACGAGCGGTGGCAAATACCCGGCATCCGGATTTGGCGAATTGCTCACAAAGAGCATAACCTACCATTGTAACCAACAGTGAGACATTTTTTTTATCTGACCGAGAGATGCAGCTTGGTTTATTCTCGGATGACTTACCGATGCCTCCTTTGGAACATCCGGTAACGAGGACAATGGGCTGATTCATTGGATGAAGTTGGAAAGAATACGTAGCGGGTTAAATTTTTCGCTTCCAAGCATTTTTTTTTGCATCCAACGCCATTGTCCCACGGATCCTCGCACAAACGACGTGCTCATCACACGCACTAGTCAAATAGACTTTATTTTGCTTAGTAACTCGCAACAACAACAAAACAGGTAGTAAATAGTAATCTTACAAGTGGAAAAAAGTGAACAATCAAAACAGACAACACAGAGAGAGCAGGGTCAAAAGGAAAAAGAGAGAGGAACCAATTAGTCAAGCAGTGATCAGTAAGTGAGAGTATGGATCCGGACGTTGAAATACTGTTTTCATAAAAAAGCAAGAAAATCCTGAAAGTGGACAACAGCGTAGCGTGATTAAAGGAAATGGGAGGAATCGACAAGGTAGAAACAACCAGTCATGTAATTTGTATGTAAGTGAAATAAAAGTCTACATGGTTTTTTTAAAGCTAAATGATAGGCCAATGGTGAAGAAAAAAATGTTGAATTAAAAAATGGGCATTATAAAGATAGTAGAATATGCTGAATATTGGAATGATGGGAAGGTGGTCATGAATAAAGCCGCCTGTCGAAAGTTTTAGTACAGCACACGATGTCTTGCAGACTGAGACGCTGTTTCATGTCCACAACTTGCAGGTGCGGATGTGGATGGGGTTTGAATGGCTTCGTCTTCGTACGCCGGAAATGAAAAGTACATGACTTCAAACGGGCTGTGGGGTTCACTGTCGGTAGGCTCGGTTTCATCATAATGATGCGGCGTGTCCGAAGTGGAGACAAAGTGAAGCAGCTGTTTTACAAACGAAGGTAACGAGTTGCGTCGTGCCATGCAAGGATTGACGATAGCCATGATATTAAAGAAAAGCAAAAAAAGAGATTTTCAAAGATGATGGCAAGATCAATCGGTAAAAACAAAAATGAATATTATTAATCCAAGCAATTAAATAAGCAAAAAGACACAATATACGACGAACAAGAGCTACAAAAGAGGATAGGAGGAACCAGAAGAAGGAGAAAAACTAACGAGGGAAAATAAGTTTAGGACCTGAGCATTTTTAAACGAACTTTTTTTTTCAGCAAACACATACTTTATGTATATGTCTGAGAGTGTGAGGGTTGGATATGCGCATCCACTGCGGTCTATGTGAGTCAATGAATGGAGAAAATAAAATAGACTCCAGTAGATCGCTCAGGTCCCGATCCAGACCTCGTACAGTTTTTAAGCAAGGGAGAGTCGAGGAAAAAAAAAGAAAAAAGAGGGGCTGGACTAGAGGAATTTAGACGTTGGAAAAACCCCATCTCACTCTGTCTGTATGCTGTGGCTGTATGCCTGGTTGGTCGGTCGGGCTGCCTTTCTATATTGAAGCTGTAAGTCCATCTGTATCGCCTCCTTCTCACGGTGATATGCAGGATAGACCTCTGCTTTAAAACAACGACGATCACTTGCGACATATAAAAGCCTCACATAGCGCTATCCCATATAGCATTTTTTCAATCAGTTTCTATATGAACTTGGAAGCTTCCCTTTTTTTCAATCACCCATTCCAAATTTTTTAGAATTCCTGGATTTCATTTTCACTCTACTACAAGATCCTAACTTGTTCCTATCGATAAATTGACCACTTAAACGAATCTATTTGCTTTGCCTTCCCTTCCTGTGACATGTTGATATTAATGGTCAATCAACAACAACTGATATGCAACAATAGCCAGCATCATAAAAAAAATTCTTAATACTCTGGATTCTAGCAGGGTCCGTGGCTGAATTCGACTTGGATTCTTTGATGCCTGTACGTGCATCCTATCATGAGCTTTCCAGACTTGCATAGTTTAGCTTACCTAGCTCTCTTTGAGCAATGACGCGTTACGCTAAACAAATTAACTGTTGAATTCGTCTTGAGATCCGGCTTTTTGAGCATGACACTATTGTACATAATGCCACATTACTCTGGACAATAATAACAACACATAGTATTTGTTGCAGACCAATGTAATTGACTGGTTTACAGTACACCAATACACCAAGAGATAACGTAATTACTCGATCATCGGATCTACCAATTCCTATGGTTTTAAAAAATATGCCCGGCCAGTGATAAGAACAAGTTTTTTTTTTTTTTTTTTAAAAAGAAAAAGGGCGATGACAGGCTACAGCAATGCTTGATTTTATGGGTTTTCTTCGGAATGTCCATTTTGGGCGATGACCGAAAAAAAAACATTTATGTGGAAGGATCTCGCCATGGCTGACTATCTTTTTGGCGCTAAAATTGCGGTTTTATCTAGTAACCCAAGGAACATTGAACAATGACGGAGATTCTCCATCTTCCACCGCAGCTGTGCATAAAGGCCAAATTTCATCCTTTCATCCTCCAATTTATCCAAGCGTAAAAAACGGTGGCAAATCATGTTATCCAGCTCAACATAAGAACCACATGCCACCTATAAAAAAATATCGTATATACATCATTGGGGCACTTTTTTGGGTTCACCCCAATGTAAACTTATCCTTTAAAATAACTCATCTCCGAGCACAACTTTTTTATTTACTGCGCTTTGCAGGAAGAAAACATGAACAAACTGCATACGATGATAATCAGGTTATAAAAAGCATCTGTACTGTCCATTCATACTCGGTATCATCAGACATAGAAAAATCGTAATCTTAAATGACCCAAATCGATATAAAAACCATGGGAAAGGACGCTTCTCAAAAGTATCCTTGTCCAAAACCAGCAGCTAACCAATGCAACCTGAACATAATAAAGAAATGGGCCCTGAAGGCAGCACATCTCTTTCGATGCCCAAAATTCATTTTTCTACACAAAGATTACCGTCGCTCGCCTCGGTCGGATTGAATTCATCGTGTGCCTCGCTCGGATCAGCCAGGCCATCTAAATTATCACAATCCATCGCCCTCCTCAAAAGCAGACTGCACTTCCGACCGCCAGTTACCAGCGATCCTCGTCTCTTATCCAATTGTCAGAAACGATGGATCCTTGCTTGTCTGGCTCTGGGAGCCTCCCTTAACGGATTTTGTTCGACCATTTATGTAAGGCGAGACCATTGATATAATGATGGATTTGATCCGACTGACATATGCCACAGTTCCCAGCGATTCCACATCTCACCAATGACCTGAATACCAATTCAACGATCATGTCCTTGACAACATCGCTGTTCATTCTATTTGCCGGCATTGGCGTAAGTGCAACATTCACTTGCAAAACAGGTGCATGTTTGATATGCGCGTTGAGGTGATCTTGCAGTAGTGAATTTTTTTTTTTTTTTTGGGTTCAATGGCTAGCCTATTCTGTGGGCCTCCATGTCAGACTATTATCATGTGCGAAGGTACATCCAACAGTGTTTCTTTTTTTTTCGCTGCGCCAATGGCATCTCAAACTTTTTCTTCATCGTTCTTAGGTTTTTCTACCTTATTGGACTCGCCATCTTTGTAATCGCTTCGGTCGGATGTGCACTCACTAATGAGATATGGCTTTTGGTTGTTTTACGATGCGTCCAATCTATTGGTACTTCGGGTAAGCGATTAGGTCAACACCTTCTTTCTTTACTTTTTCTTTCATATCGTACGTTTATCGCCATCTTTATTCTATCTAACATGCGCAGTCTAGTTGCTAACTCGATTGGTGCTGGTGAGTTGCATTATGCTGTTAAACTTTGGCTTTTTGTTCACTGGAATCACGGTATCACCACGGATGATCATCTTTTTCAGGAACGGTTTCTGATTGTTGGCAAGTTACCGAGCGAGGAGCAGCGTTTAGTATCTTGTTTATTGGTCAATTCTTCGGCCCGTTGGTCGGTAAAAGAAGCACATTTCTTTATTCTTTCTTGCTACGAGTTTTCCGAAGCATTAATTCTATTTCATCTCCATTCAGGTCCGGTCATTGGTGGAGGGTTAGCCAGTGGATTAGGGTGGCGATCGACATTTTGGTTTTGCGCCGGCTACGGTGTGTTCCTTCTTCTCTTTCTATCGATCTGTTTACCGGAAACGTATCGTGAAAATGCTCAATGGGAGTTCATACTTCCCATCACCAGTGAAAAGCCCGTGCATTCATCACCTTACCCAAAAAACATGCCGTATCCAAAAGCATTTTTTTCTCACAAATTGACCCCCAGCGACCAGACCGCACAACCATCCTACACCACTGTTGGCTCGCCTCTAGGCCAGTCGTCACCCGATGTATCCCGGTTATTGTCAACCACGCCAACCCCTGCATTATCTACCACATCTATCCCAGCCTCATCGTCGGCCATCGGCACTTCCATGAAAAGACGCTTCAATCCATTGGCAAGCATAACCATGCTAAAATACACATTTGTGTGGTTGACGGCGATTCAAACCGGGATATGTTTTGGCACCATGTTCACCATTGAAACCATCATCCCCGAATTGTTTGTGAAAGCGTATAATTTTCGTGCTTGGCAAACTGGTATATTGCCCCCCCAAAAAAAACCATGATCTCTGTGCTGTGAGAATGACTGCGAGCTCACGAGTACTTATTTGGTGTAATTCAGGGCTTAGTTTCTTGGGTGCCGGCATTGGCAACTTGCTGGGATCCTTGGTGGCCGGGAGGTTATCAGATTATTTATTAAAACGATCGCGCCGCCAACGTGGAGGAATTGCAAGAGCCGAAGATCGATTAACCAGCAACGCTTGGTAAGTCGGCATTTCTTATTGTTCTTTAAAACGTGAGAATATTTCTGCTCATGCATGAAACGGGTTCAAGGCCTGGTGGATTCATCCTTGTCCCGTTTGGTGTTTTACTGTTTGGCTGGGGTGTAAACGCTGAGTTGATCGTATGGGCTTCCATTGTTGGATTTGGTATTGTGTGTTTTGGTATGAGTCAAGGTAAGACATAAGAAGTACATTGGGTTGTAACAACCTGTCAGCTGATCAAAAACTTTAAATGTTAGTCTATGCAGCTGGATCAGCCTACCTGGTGGATGCCATTCCGGAAAAGAGCGCTTCAGTTACTGCAGCCGCCAATTTGCTACGGATGGCCATGGCATGCATTCTCAGTGTCACCGCGCACCCAGTCAATGACCACATTGGTCCAGGGTATCTGGTCACTATCCTTGCCGGACTCAACTTTCTCGGTATGATCTGCTTCGCCATTGTCAAGTTCAAAGGAATGCACATGCGTCGAAAAGCCGGTTTCCAAGAATCCTAGTTGGTATACATATCATCCCATTTCCCATCATCTTCTTTTTGTATTTCTAAAAAATCCCTACTTTTTCTTAAATCGCAAGATCCGATCAAAACTAGATTTTCAATGTTACAAAAATGTTTTATTGTCGTGTACAATGAGGAACAATTCTTTGCTTAATACAAATTGAATCCCATCCGGTTGTGGGCATAGCGACCGCCAAGGGGTGCTTCTTGGATAAATGGCTCATTTCTTTGCGCATTTACAATTGGCGCATTTGCAAGCGCTGCCACAGCTGGATGTTTTGTGATAAAGTGTAAGCAAAATAAAAATCTAAACCACCAAGATGGTGGTGGTGAACGGTGAAGGCGCGTTTACCTGCATACGTGTCCGTCTGTTTGTTGCGTCATGAGTTCAGTGGAGTTTAGAGTACTGTAAAAAGTTTTGTAGTGGAGCGAGAACAAGAATGTGTAGAAAGAGGAAAAGGAAGCAACGGTTTTTCTTTTATCTTTTGCGCAGGATTGGATGGCTGGTTTTATAGACAACAGGAAGCATATACAGTTTACTTGCATTATATTAATCACGGTTACAATGATCATATGAAGGTGTACGTCCACTGATCTGATGACCCGAATGTAGATCGTCAGTTGACGAGCCACTGATCAAAACACGTCAGTATCTTTTGCATCCATCTTATAGGCCATCACTCTATTCCAGCCATCTTTATTATGTGCATTAAACCGGCCAGTCGATCCGGATTGTAGGTGCGCAGGCCATCATGAGGACCGTCATCTGAAGATTCCATATCACATTTGGAGGTGATGCTGTCCTTGATTGTAATAATGAGCTGTTTCTTTTCTGGTCATGCAACGGAAGATCTAGATGTTGCGGCAGGTTACACGGGATTGAACCCGTTCAACGATAGATGGCACCATGATTGGATGCGACGGTCTCATAGAAATGCAGGCCGGAATACTGTTTCTTTTTTTAAACGGCAAGATCAAAGCACGTTCCTTTTTTTATACATATATTTGGTTTATTATACTTGAGGTATTCTACATAGGAGGGGTTGCACCAGGAATAGATGCTAATAAAAAACAAAAACACAAAAAACGAAGCGAAACGGACATGGGCGGACACGGACCGACACGAACTACCATGCATGGCGATTACACCCAGCGGGACCAAAACTGTGAGACATGGATCCGCGATAGAGTTCCTTCAATACTTTGCCTTCCAAAATCGTCTTTTCGACAATGGCCTGACAATGGCAAGAGTTCACTCGTCCATACCAAACACCTCGTTTGCCTTGATCCGTATACACAATAATGTTTCCTGCAAATTTATGACCTAACCATGAAAGCGTGAAATATTAGCATGCTTATTTCTTTACTTGAGGTAAAAAAAAAAAAAAAAAAAAAAAAAAAAAAAAAAAAAAAAAAAAAAGATCTCCTCTGGTTAAAGCTTACCTCCAATATGGCTCACCATCAAGACGGCCGCTCCTCCTTCGCCTTCGATGATATCTTTTTCTCTCAGCACGTTATCAAATTCACGGGCAAGAATAGGCGCCGTAACGCCACAACGTTTATCTCGCTTTCGATGCGAACAGATCAGGATCATTGAATCATAGGGATTTTTGTACACAGCAAAATCGCCCTTCTTTTCGGCTTCTTCTTTGACTTGATTGATATTGTACGTTTCGGCTGGCAGTGGCACGTTGACGAATTGCTGATAGAATTGTTCCGCTTTGTCCGGTGTAACGTTAGCAACAATGATATTGTCGGGTAAAATGGTGATATCGTGACCGTCCGTCACGGTGGAATGGGGAGCCAAGGCAGACGTGTTGGTGACGAACGTGCGCCAGTCTGTGGGTCGTTCCTTCAAAATGGCTTGAAGATTGGCGGCCAATGTGCCCGTGTCTTCTTCGATCCGCTCCGCCCAATCGCTTTGACCTGTGCTAATCATGATATGACGACCGTAAGGGAGCATGGATCCCAGTAATGGTGAGTCTTTATCAAAATCGAGGTAAGACGGATACTGTTTATGGTCTTCGCAGGGAGCTGGGCAGCTGTCGCACGCGTCTTCCACCAACAAGTCATCTGGGGGTATCTGATCAATCTCCACTTCACCGTGTTCATTGTGGCTGTTGCTATTGCTCGTTTCTGCGCTCTTCCCAGGTAAAACCGAGCTAAGCTTCTGTAACAACGACGCCATTTTCTTTTATTTTACCAAGTGTCAGTCAGGCAAAAGAAAACTGGGAACTAAAAAGGCGGGAGAAAAAAAAGGCCGTATATCCTTTTTTTTTTTTTCTCAATGATCCTAAAATTTTTTTGTTGCTCATGATCTGGCCCGTCAAGCGACATGACAAAAAACTTTCCACCGTTGACTTTCTGCCGCAACATGGTAGATTATCATAGATCTTCCAAATTATTTGAGTATGCACGTCATTGATTGACTGATTTATCCCTTTACAGATACCACAACAAATGCCAGAAGATGGGGTCAAGGCTGGATATAATATCTGCCGCCATTCTCTGGTGACACCATCTGATAATGAATTTTCATACCTTTTCATCATCAAGCGATGTCTGGCATGGAGATATATACAATTCAAGTCGCCCAAAAACTGTAGATGCACTGTAATGGCACGAAAATGATACTTGGGTACAGATGGGGACTTAAATGTTTCTATTTCGTTCGGGCAACCGTGCCCATTTTTCCATTCCCATCTGATTAAATTTTCCATCTGATACAGTGCGGTAGTTGAAATTCTTTTTTATTTTTTGGCGTTTGGGAACACAAGCGACCAGTCTATGTCGGACACCCCATTGCCCAGCAACAAGCTTCCTACTCTTCATTTCTTTGATAAATTATGGTAACAAACGGACAAAATGGGCTTCTTGCATTTTGGGAATACACTTTTCACGGTTAAATATTCGGCGCAAGCAGTAACTGGATTCCCAGGCTGATCTTTTTTGGCCACGAGAAACCGCACCGTCCATGTGACTCGATGTCATGGTATGTCTTTAGATCATTTGCCGGCATTCTTTAAGCAAAAATCAAATGATATGAAGCGTTACTATGCGCATACAAATAAGCCAGTAAGAACAACAATGGAGGTCGTGCGATCATCTGGTTCCAAAAAAAGGATCATTTTGCAGCAAGGGAAAAAGAACGTCACGTCAAGCGATAGGTTTCAACGTCCGCTGAAGGACCATGCTCGAGATATCCTCATTACCAGACGTCTCTAAGAAAAATATATGCATGAGTGATCAGGAAGAAAACAGACAGTTGCAGGAGGAGGAAAGCCTGGCTTTAGAATCCATTTACGGCTCGGAAGCGTTTCATGCGGATGCTAATGCCGCTCATGCGTTTGTATTCACGTTGAATCTAGATCAAGACATGCCCGAGATCAAGTCGCCTCGAAAGATCGTGCTTCACTTTTACTTACCGCCTACGTATCCCAGCGACGATATGCCTGTATACCAGATATCCTCGGTTTATTGCGGTGGACGCAAAATCGATGATAAAATGGTAGCTGCCATCGATCAAGGGTTTAAAGACCTCTTTGTCCCGTCGCAGGTCGTGCTTTTTGAATGGATCAACTGGCTGCAAGACTATCTCGAGAGCCAAGTTCCCCAGGGTACGGTACCAGAGGATGTATCCGATTTGGAATCGGCCACCGACCAACTCACGTTGAACGATGCACCGGAAGCTGGTACGGAATCGGTGCAACCACCACGCGATGACCGAAAATTCAGTTTTATGGAAACGCCGGACATCATGACGGGCGAAGCACTGGTGGATCGAAAATCGGTCTTTGTGGCTCACGTCGCCAAAGTGCACAGTGCCTCCGAGGTGCAAGCTGTCATGAGCAAATTGTTAGAAAACAAGAAAATCGCTAAAGCAACCCATAATATCATGGCCTATCGAATTGCATTACCGGACGGTGGCATATTACAAGACAACGACGATGACGGTGAAGCGGCTGCTGGCGGTAAGTGATGAATCATAGGAATATACAGTGCACTCAATGAGATACTCATTTCATTTTTTATTTCATTGTATTTTTCGCTATCCAACAGGTCGACTTGCCCATTTATTACAGATCCTGAATGTTGAAAACGTGATGGTGGTGGTGAGTCGGTGGTTTGGAGGTAAATGCATTTGATTTTTTTTTACGGTCATTGACGGGATGAGCTGACACCGAGTTGAATTAGGGACTTTGTTGGGCGCAGATCGGTTCAAGGATATCAATAATTGTGCACGAAAAGCACTTGAAGAAGGAGGGTTTATCAAAGATGACAAGGCGACATCGTCCGACACCAAACAAAAACATAGAAAGCAGCACAAGAAATAAAAAAGCAATAGTCATGGAAACAAAAAGGAACAGAGCTTTCAGGTTTTTTTTTTAAAAAAAAATTCGAGATGAGAAAGGGAGAAGAAAGTATCTGTCAAGTTGACCAACTATTTACAACAAAGAAAAGGAAAACGACGGCGTGAATCTAGAAACCAGGAGGACTGGTGCGCACGGTCTTCTTGGTGAACTTGGGAACTTTGTGCAGGGATTTACGATGTCCAAGAGCATAACGGCTGAATACGGTATACTTGTCTCTGGGGCTCATGTTGGCTTCTTTGGGAAGAGCCAGAGCTTCATCCAGTGCTTTGCAACGCACTCCGGACTCGGCCACCGTGGCAATGACCTGATCGACCGCCTTCAATCGCTTGCGAACATTGGCTTTGCGTGTGCCCGACATGCGAAACGGATTCTTCCTAATGACAGTGAATCAGAAGAAGCGTTAATTATCCATGTCGTGATCATGCCAATGCGAGCCATCGTACCATAATAAGCCGCCTTGCGCGACAAAGGATGCACGGAAAGGTCCAAACATTGTACGAATCTAGTGTGCAAAAAGGGACAAGGACGAAAACCGGGGGTTGGATTTTGGGGCGACAATGGCCGTGGCTGGCTTTCACAAGACGGTCTATCCTCGTTTCATTCCGATGGCTTAGCCAATTCACTGCTCGCTCCACAATGGGCCAAAAAAAAAAAAAAAGTCGACAAGAGACCCAAGGCTCCCTTTACCAGAATATTATCCAGCCATGGCCGATTCCATTCCTTCAGAAGTTACCCTGCCTTTTGGAAAGCAGCTGGCTGCTAATGGTATACATTTTTGTTCCTTTCTCTTTTCTTTGCAAATGCGAGCTTGATCTAAAACTTAAAATCGCTCTTTTTTTTTTGTCGTTGCAGAAAAAAAGACTCGTGACAAGGCCGTCCGCATGCTCCGTCAATATCTTTCCAATGGACCTGCATTACCTCGATTGGAACTGTTGAAGCTGTGGAAAGGATTGTTCTACTGTAAGTTCCCGTGGGGTTGTATTCGGATCTGATGTGTAGTTATTGAATTTGGATGGGCATAGGTTTTTGGATGTCAGACAAGCCTTTGGTTCAGCAGGCACTTGCCAACGATCTCGGCTCACTTATCATGGACATGCCAACCGACAATGCGGTTCCTTTCTTGGCGGCGTTTTGGGAAATTCACTGCAAGGAATGGGCCGGTTTGGATCGACATAGGTAAGAATTATTTTTTAGTTTTTGATGTGGGTTAAGGATGCTAATACGTGAGGTTTTGCCTAGACTCGATAAATACTATTTATTATTTCGACGAGTGATTTACTTTTCGTTCCAGTTTTTGGCACGCGAAGAGTGGAACGAAGAGTTGGTGAATGCTTACGGTACGATGTTGTTGGAAGGCCCATTGCATCCCAAAGATCGCACGAAACCCGATGCGATTCAATATCACATTATCGATCTGTACTTTGAGGAGTTGGAGAAAGTATTGGACGATCTGCGCGCACAATTAGATGAGGACGAAGAAGAGAAAGATTTGGAGGTTCCCATGGAAGCTTTAACACGACCTCTGACTGTCTTGTCGACGGATGCTGTCAACAAGGTGACACGCAAGAAGGCGAAAGAAGCCATTCATGCTCACGAAGAAGAGATGAAAGCCATGAAAGAAGATGCCGAAGATGAAGAGGAGGATGCCGAGGAAGACGACGATGCCATGGAAGAGGATGCTTAAGATTTCCGTCTCTCATATTGCCTTTTTTTTTATTATTGTTTCACGTTCATTTCATGTTCACTTTTTTTTTAAAACTTGCATAACCGTTTGTACACATATTATATCAATTTTTGTTTTATTTCACAGGGTTCGGATGACTTTTACGAGGAAGATTGTCGCATGTTGCGGTAGTAGCGCTGTTTTCATGCCATTTTGCGATTTTGTACTTGTCGGGATGATGCCGAGTAATGGGATCTTACGGAGGAGGTCATACCGACCGAAGGGGTAGTAGACATGTAAGACATGGACACGTCCTCAGTGACATGAGTGGTTGGAATAGCGGGTTCTTGCGTCTTCATACCGAGTGCTCCCAGTAAACTCTTTAGCAACCCTTTTTTCTGTTGAGATGGAATGGTATCGGCCGCGTTTGGATCTATGGGATTAAGGTAAAAATTGAGTGAGCTTGGGTGTGCCCATGTTTTGTTTCTATGAACATTTTTACCACTGAGCGGGAGCGCATTATCGTTGGCACTCAAACTGATAAAATAAGTGAAGGGAATAAGCCAGACGCAGACACCGAAAAAGGAAGCGATGTCCATGAAAGGACGATGATTTTGCATGAAATAATTAAACCAGAGAAAGTGATCGGCAAAGACAAGGACTACGGAAAAAGGGTGAGCACCGAGAAATGACTTCTCGTCTAGTGTTTCCGATTTCTTACCACAGCTGGCCAAGAATGGTAAACTGGTGAGTTGAATAAAGGGAAATGTTTTCAAATTCAAGCTGTATACACCGTGGCATAGTACGGAGAACAGTAGCCGAAAAAATGGCAGACGATCAAATACACAGAGAAACAAATGGACAGCGAGCACAGTCTAAAAGAGGATCGGTCACATCACACAACTTTTGCAAGATGGTTGCTATTCTCGTGAACCATACGTACAATGGTCATGCCCTTGATGATCTTTTTCGTGTAAACTGTGTATTCTTCCACCTAATATTTTTGGTTAAGGTTCTTGTCATCGCGTCCGTGAGTAAGCGATTGGTGGGAAGGGACTTACCAGTTCGGCCAAGTAATACAACCCACATGCTGAAAAAAAAACCCCATGAGTATAGATCAACCTCAATGAATATTCATTCTGTTACCTAAGCTAAAGACAAGGAATCCTAGCCCTGCTATGGAAGCAACATAGGCTACCAGATGAAGCACAGTCATGTTCGCGTCTAATCAGGAAGGAGCCCAACCGAGTGATTTGCCACAAGCTGAGTGGGACCAAAAGAATTTCGGGATTTCATTTTCCGCTTGCCCGTTCTTCAACCATAAACCAACCTTTTTTTTTTCTTACACACTACTCTGAACTTTGATAACGAAGCGTTCATTTGGGCAATGATGAATCGTATACCAAGATTTTCAAGATTTTGAATCTTTCATATCGTCCAAGAGGTCGACTACGACCACAGCTTTGGAGGTAGAAAAAAAGAAAAAAAAAGTCAGCACAAGTTGTCAGGTCCGCCCAGCTTTCAAAGGTTGGCGACAAGACAGAACTTAACGCTTTATGGAAAAGTAATGAACAGAGTTGCAATAGCAAATCAGACGACTTTATTCAAGTAGTCTTCCAGGATGTTTACAACTGTGACAATAGATTCCGTTCAAATAACGGAAAAATCTGGTGAGCAGACTCAGTCTCGTACATTCATAGTGCTCTTTCTTCAACTTCTCCGATTTTTTCACTTTTACTGTAATTAAATACAGTATACATTCTATGCTACTCATAACTCCCGGAAAAACGAAGCCATTAGGATGTGCAAGCAAGTATCCAATGTTTTCATAGCATATCTTGAACCAAAATATTTAACCTTACTTTGGGTTCAGCAGAATAAGTCCTCGTCTTGACATCTCCGATGACATGATATACAGGCAAAGACGGTGAGATAAAACCGAGTTACTGTATTTGCAATAGATTGAAAGGTATAAAAAAAAAGGAAGGCCCCAACACGATTCATGCGAAGCTTCGCCCGCAATTGTATAAATTTTCAAATCTTCCTTTTAGTATACCATGATAAAGGGGTGGAATGAACGTATCGGCGAATATATTGGGAATGCCAAAAAAAAAAAAATTGTTCAGTCCCCTTTGTTGAAAGTGGGTCACAGCTAATACTCAAGACTAAAAAAAAAACTAGAAAGGCGGAGCAGTCGATAGACATTGAGACCAACTACATTGATAGTCGCGTCGTTGTTCACAAAATCCATCGGATGAGGATTGGTGGGACAAGAAAAAAAAAAAAAAAAGACAAAAATGGAGAGACAGCTGCAAGAGACTTTCAACAAAGAACGCGTTTGAGCGGAATTTTTTTTTTCTTTTTTTTTTTGGATTAGGAAAAAAAAGTTACAATTCTCATTATCATTTTGTTATCGTCCTCCAATCGCCGGATTTTTTTTTTCTTTTTTCAATAGTCGACCTTATTTACTTCATCACCGCCACTATAGAATAATATGGTAATCTTACGTTCCTTAACCCATTCACCATTACGAAATCCCATATTCCCGCACGATATGGCACGCGCCAAGTTGTATAACGCGACGTGTTGTGCATAATGGGAAGAATGCTTTGCTTTGAGCATGAAACATAGATCGTGCAATGACCATGTCTGACGTGTTATTCTTTCTGACATAGGCAGACAGAGCCCTTGATTCAGGTAGCAACAAAGATAACAGAGATAAAGCACCCGTGCTATCACAATCGGCGCGATCAGGACTTCAGGTACTTGTCGTTCAGCATAGTAAAAAAAGAAAAGCGAACAAGAGAGGGAAGGGGGAAACAAAAAAAAAAAAAAGGTTGGGCCAATGACGCGATATTTAAGCGTGGAGTTTAGTTTCCTGTAGGTCGTATCCATCGTTACTTGAAAGAAAAAGGCAAGAGTAACACTCGAGTCGGATCCAAAGCAGCCGTGTACACCGCCGCCATTTTAGAATATTTAACAGCAGAAGTTCTCGAGTTAGCCGGTAACGCTACCAAAGACTTGAAAGTAAAACGTATCACGCCCAGACACTTGCAACTTGCCATTCGCGGAGACGAAGAACTCGATGCATTGATCAAAGCTACCATTGCCGGTGGTGGTGTCTTGCCCCACATTCACAAGAATCTCATTGGCAAAACCAAGATGGGAAAAAAGATGTAATCGAAACTCACCGATTTTACCGCGTCTACCAAAAAAAAAAGGGAGGGGGGAGAAAAACAATTATTATTACTGTCGCATAATTTGTGTTTCCTTTGTATCTCTTGCTTCTTTTCTCTCTTATCATTGTTCTTACCTAGAGATTACTTGTTTTCCATCACATTTACAGATCTTTCACGGCTCTTTCGAAGCTTTTTTTTCTTCTTCACCCATTATTTTAGCATTTATTGTTTTATATCTTCAGAATACAATTGGACACCCACGATATTTGATGATTGGGAAGAACAATGATGGTTGACGGTATATTTGCATGAAATATAGGCCCTCCGGTATAAGCTTGCTTGTCGTTAGGAGATAAACGTAACGTAGAAATTCATCACTATGTCATGAAACATGGTAGACAAGTCATTAGGAATAAGCTTTCGCAGCCGGCTATTCTTTTTTTATAGGCCCAAAGTTGGGTTGCCATGATGGCTGTTGTATGATAACGTGTTGGTGTTACTTGTTTACCGCGATTCAACCTGGAATCCATTACTGTGAACCATCGCTGCTATATCACTGCGCAATAAACTCACTTGATAAAAATATCGCAGCACTGGATAAGCAATGTGCGCGAAAGGGTCATTTAATGTGAGCATACAGTATTCCGTTTCATTTTATCTTGTCGAATAGAGATATTTCCAATAATAATGCATGAATATGCAAATGCCATGGAGAAATTTGACTCGGTGTGGCGAGAATTCAAGTGAAAGGCTCACGACACAAAATAAAACTTTAACAAACTTCGCGAGTGTATATGTTTCTGCTGTGCGGACAAATTCGTAAATTACTGTAGGCGAAAGCGGACGGTGCAAATAAAGTAAAATAATAGACTTGATAAAGCGACTGTAATAAACTCACTTCACCATGTGTCAGTCATGGCATTATTCCTTTCCTTTCCGAAAAATAATCTAACATCACCAATAAATATGAAATAAGGCCAACACTGTGAAAATGCTCCTATCGAAACGTTTAACGATCTTTTGAAAGAGGAAGCGCGATGGCCATTCGGCTGCCGACGTCCGCGATGCTGCCGCTGAACACCGCTTTCTTCCACCCGATTTGTTTTAGTCTGAATCGAAAACGATCCGCTTCTGAGCACCGCATGTTCGAGAGTCCTTTCCCAGAGAAATCGATCTTTCGAGAATTACGCGTAAGAAATGCTGCTGTTCATGCCATTCCCTCCATGGATAAACCAATTTCTGAGTGGATCCTGTTTCTACAGATATCACCACAATATTCGAAATCCCCTACAAGTTCAATTTACTGCAAAAATATGCCAAGGTCACGGCAGTTCCGTATAAGCATAGTATGACACAGTTGGACAGTGTGGGAGGTATCGTTTTTATTTTTTTATTTTTATTTTTTTATTTTTAAAAGGTTTTGAATGGCTCCTAAATTCGTACTGTGGGGATCTCACTCATCAACCATCAATTGGTCTTGTGCTTCTTCGTAAAGGGCTTGCCACTCTCCGAGAATAATTCGAGTGTACTGAATGCCGTCCATCGCCAACGAATTGCAACCAATTACCACCAGCCCTCTCAAAGTTTGGCATTGGTCCACCAGCCTGCATACGCCAATGGCTGTGACAAACGTATCCACTACCTCCAAATGCTGCAACGGGCTCATTGTTTCCAGTACTCGGTCGTTCGTACGCCATAGTGTGACAGATTATGTACTTTAACGAGAGGGTATTCTGGAGAAAGGCGCACAGATGGCTTTCGTTAATTCCTTCAAAACAGATGAACATTGTCACCTGTAGTTGACTATTTTTGTTCCTAACTTTGTGTACATATTGTTGTTCCTCTGTCGTGGATGAAGAAAATGATCGCTATGTGGCGGTAGGTCAGGGGGGGGCAAGACCCCCGGGAAAAAAGAAAAAGAGACTGTGCTATTCTGTTGGCCATTGAATACGCAAAGATTTATGCGCACATCAACTAAATCTTACCGAAAAATCAACCGCTTATTGACAAAAGATTAGAGTTAAGAGAACACCATCAAGCGAAACCTTTGGATACACAAATTCGAGTGCGGAGTTTTGAGTATTGGAAATGGAGCATCCCATTTCAAACACATCTTTAATCAGCTACTATTCCCACTTCCCTAAGAGCAACATCCCTACTACACATCCAAAGAACCAAACTTTGTGATCTTCAAGATCACACGCGCAACTAGTGGTTGAAAGATTAAAATCTTTGGGAAATTAGCGATTGTAAATCACATGATCTACACCAAGTTATCAGGACCTGTTAAACCTTTTTTTTTTATCTTTCAACCATGCCTCGCTGCCCACTTTCACAATAATAGGCGAAACAATCAGCAGCAAGGTTCCGTTTGATCAAACAGAGCATCGTCGTCTTTCAAATAAAAATGTGAGTAGAGCTCTTTTTGAAGAAAAGTTGTTGATGATACGACTGGCGGCTTTGTAGCATCCTTTAATTTGGGTTTCCTGTCAGTTATACTGCCATTTATACCTTTCATTCTCTTTCAATTTTCAATGAATCGAATAATACATAAGCAGACGTGCCTCGATCTATGAATTCATGCATCAGTGGGGTGACTATTCTTTCATCCATGGAAAATCATATATTTTGGTCTTCAATTTTATCTTTTTTCTTTTCTCTCTCTTGATAAACCCTCACTATCATTGTATCAAGATCCCATCCGCATCCATCATCCAGGCCATTCTTGTTCCGTGTATTTAAACCGACTACCATCCTCAAAAAGGTAAGCGTCGAGTGGTCTACCATCGATTTTGCTCCGGCAAAACAGACTTATCTCTCCGTTACTTCCATCCTTCTTCCAGCTTCTGGTTTCCGTTTTCTTTTCGCATGACAAGTTCTGGATACTACAAGTTGACTTTCTCTCGCCATCCATCCATCCATCCATCTGGAGAAACCGGATGACGTTAAAGGCCATCGTTGGTGGTGTGACTCACTTTTTCATCAGAAAAACGCTTACGTGTCCTCTTCATGGTTCCTCTCCTTTGGATTGCTTCTCATCATATGGTATTCGCGATGTCTTCCCGATTATTGTATTTTGTAGTTTATAATTTGTATTTTGTATTTTATATTTCATGTACATATTCTTTTCGCAATCTTTTCCTCTTTTTTTTTTCCCACACGGTTTTTTATGAGGTTTTTACTGACGCGACGATTGTTTTTTTTATCATCATGTAATTTATTTGTTTTTCTTTCTTTTTATTCGGGGGACTCTCGATATCTGGAATCCAACTCGAAGTTACCGTCACTTCTGGCCACGTCAATATCTTTGCCTGCTTAAGCTGACACCACCGATCCATCGCTTAACTGTCCCTGGAAGCAATTTTATTTTCCGCATCGAAGAAGAAGCTTACCTGGGGGTCCGTATCATCTTTTTTTTTTTTTTCCGGTACACCATTTGGTCCAAAGGCAAGTCCAATTTTCTTTTCCTTTGCTATGATGTAATGAACGTATACTAATTCAAAAATTTTTCAATGTCATATAATCCAAGTCATGTCAAGCAATCAATGGCTATTGCAAACTCAAATAACAAAGGTAAAATATCTTGACGAAAACTTGAATCAATTAAAGAGCTTACTAACTCAATTTTTTAAATACCCAACATACGCACACATCTTTCTTGATCTATCATAGCCTGGGCGGGATGGAGCTGAGGGGGTCAATCAGTGCTGCTTTGCGCGTGTTCAGAAACAAATCACGTTGCATGGTATTGCCATAAGGTTGTCATTAATATACCAAAGTCCGTCAAGAGTTCTCGCCCAGGTTATGCCGTGTATGCGTTAGGCTTTTTGTCTGACGAAAGTCGCTCAATGTAAGAGGGCGGCCTCCGGTGGCAGGCGGCATCCATTGCACAGCGGGTGTGCGGCTTGTTATTCGTTCCATCTGCAACAGTGGCCAATACACACTGCACTCGCCAATAAAGAATAATCGGTAATGGTGAGTTGAGAATGACACTTTATTATCTAGCCTGGAACATTATTAAAGTCTAAAAGCTGTAATGACGAAGGTTGGGAAAAAAAAAGGCCAGAAGAAAAAAAACCCAAAGCTATTAGACTACATTGTCCGGAGAGAAAAGATAGAGTGGCGAAGGGACAAGATGAATCACAGAACAACACCTGGAGAAAAAGGGGGAACAGGTGGGAGAGGGAATACGACAGGCTGAAAGGAAACAACCGTCACCAGGACCCCATAACCGCAGAGAACGACGATGCGGAAAACGCCAGCTGAGAGAAAGGATGAACAGCTGGATGGGAATTTCATAGGGCTGAATTCCGAAAGGGAACGGGAAATGCCAGGCCAACGACTGCCAGGCAACGAAAAGCACCAAGAGCACGAACGCCGGGACACCGAAACGACAGAGAGAGCCTTGCACCAGGAACACCAGGACAGAACGCGGAAGGACTTGACACTTTGAGACGTTTTGCTTCGTGTATCGGCACATACGCCACCCAGACCATTCCCCAGCCGCGAATGAAACATAACCGAAAATTGGTATGTCCATTACGGACGCTATTGTCATAACAAGTTCGCTGCAGATAAACCATTGCATCCGCTAATACGAACGCTGATACGAACTCTACCAGTGGTAATAACTGCAGAAAAATGCATCATCGCGGGAATTAACCTGCTCAAACTGCTAATTATTACCCGCACAAGTGAGTATCGTACACGCCAAGCACATCCTAGACAACGTCCCGCCGAAGTAGGAAGAAGCAATATCGATGTAGGCACAACCAGGCCTTCCGCAAGTAGGTCACCAAAAACAAGCGGCTATCAACTGGGACGCCACTTGACTTTCAATCGGAACCCTCTAGTCGAACAGATATAATTTTGCCTCAGATCCCAACAGTTCGACACCCCTCGTGTTGATGAGATGACCCCACTTCGTCAGCAACAGTCGTCGGGGTCCCTGCGTCGCAATAGGGGAGGTATTTATCATGCGATGTCGGCTCAGAGGCTCTCTAGGCAGCATAAGCCACAAGCCTTGACGTGAGACCTATTCACTACACAGCTGTAGCGTGTGGAGTCCTTGGGTCTCAAAAGCGTACTCAAAGAGTAGCTTGCTCAACGCGTAACTTTGAAATAAGAATAGTACAGCCCACCCGCAATCAAAAGATTGACATCAGTGTTGGAGAACAACCTTGGACGAAATCATACAGGGAATGCATGGCCAAGCAAAACGTTGACCAACCCAGAATGAGGAGCGGCGATGGGGTATACAAAACATGCAAGAGTAAACAACTGTGGACTTATTGACAGTGGAGAGAGCGTTTCCAAACTTCCAACAAAGTGGACCAGGGAAAAAAAGTGATGAAACGACGAAAGAGAAGGAGAGTAGCAAAAAGCCCGATTCACTTGCGCAGTACATTGCTGCGGAAAAGAACTCAGAGCTATTCTCATCACCGACCAAGCATTTATGAAGGTGCTGGCTCGGCAAAAAGTACCTTTGCTCAGCTTATACTTGTGCATCAGGCGACGTGAAGCAACCTTCGCAGCGAGGGAAGCCATGGTCGATCATGTTGTTATGCCAATACTTAATTATTTTGCCTCCTTTTTGCCATGACAGTGAAACGGCATCACTATCCACACAGACTGACGCACGTCTAAATAAGACAAAACTGCCGCTGATTCCTGCATCGACGCGTCTGTGTTGATGGAATTGTCTTCCATGCGTGATATAAAGTTATCAATCTCGATGGATCCTCCTTTTTTTTTTATTGCGGTGCAATGGGGTCCACAATGCTAAAATTTGTTCATTTTTGTGAATATGGCTTCAATCTGCATTGATGTAAGACGTGTAGGGTCACTTTGGCCCTCGGTTCGCAGGTTTGGAGTTGATGTTCACTTAGCCAATGAATATTTTTTTTCATTGCCGCCAAGTGAGTCGTAACTAGACGATATGCAGTTGACTTCGTATTCCAAGAATAAGTATAGCCAAAAATGCATCGCCGAGCTACAGAATGGCTTGAAGTGTTGTTATCACAATCCTCCATTCATGAAACTAGGCGTATATTTTGACGCATATTGCGACTGATTATTTTTGGATTCACAGCTGTCTTTCGTAGTTCGGTTGGTACATAGTATTTTGATCAACACTTGGTGCACCCTACTCGATTCAAAATCAATTAGCGAATAGAAAATGGACTGCACACCCCTGGTGCCTGGATATGAACTGAGCTCAGCGCTGAGGTTGAGGTCCAACTTACTTGAAGCTTCGTTACAATGCAACATTCCTGAATCCTATATATCATTGAAATCCCTAAATGTTTCTATCAAACGGACCAACCTTGCCCGTAGTTAGGCGCACGGAACCTTGCGCAAACCAAACACCTTTTTTCTGAATGCATGACCTTTTTTTCCTCTCATTCTGAGATTTCGAATCCCGCCATGGCCAGAAAAAAAGGTGGGTGGATTGCACGGAAATCACTTTAAGCTCACTGTCTGATTTGATACCTGAACGTTTTCGATTACACACAGCTTATCAAGCTGTTGTTGCCAGATTCAGCGTCTGTATCTTTCACTACGACTGTATCCACACCTTTTTTTTTCGCTCTCCCTCTCCCTTTTGTTGTTCCCTTAATCTCCCTTCATACTATCGTTAATGTCAGGTGCAATAAATGGATAGAGGTAACATAATGATTAGGACCGTATAATGTTAATCACTTACCGTAGTTCTAAACAGGAATGATCATTGTATGTAAACAGTCCTATCGCCCACAGGTGAAAACAAGGAAGTCATTACTTTCGAATTATTTTGGAAAACTATTTATCCAGGTTTTTTCAATTAAACTGTATGCGGTTTACCATTGTACATTGGCAAGGCAGCATACGAAGCACAGATCCAAAGGTTTTAGCTAGACCTCGGCGAGATTTATGCAAAAAGGCAGAAAATTGGTGTGAAATCTTCTGTGACTTGTTTCAGCCTTTTTTGTTCCCTTCTGAAAATGCAAGCTTCGATTTTTTGGTAATTTTTTCTCGACTTGTTCATCAATACGATAGATCACAACCATCTGTATGGAAGTCCTTTATTCGAATTTCACGGAATCACTTCCGATTATCAAAAAGGCCATTCTTGAAGCCGATTTCATTGCCATTGATGCGGAATTCACAGGTACCACTATCGAGTTTTGGATGATGAGGTACCGTGGGGAGAATATATACTGATCATCCGCATCGATTAGGTTTGCATCCGTCCAACATTCACTTGTACCCAAGTGACGATCCTCAGACCCGTTACGACAAGATCAGAAATAGCGTCAAGGAATTCACCGTCATTCAATACGGAATTTGCGCATTCAAACGAACTGGCGATCGATATGTTGCCAGTCCCTTTAATTTCTATATCTTTGGACGTGATACCAACGAGATTGCTTTCCATCGCAGCTTCCTATCAAGTGCCAGCTCTTTAAGCTTTTTACTGCAGAATAATTTTGATTTCAACAAGTTGATCGCCGAAGGCATCCCTTTTTGTAACTATACCGAAGAAGAGGCCATGTACCCGTCGTCGAGCGGCACTACCCTTGTTGATCGTCGCGATGTTACAGGTAAAATTACATCATGTCATTGCCCTCTGTACGCAAGGCATAGTCTCATGATCCTGTGTAGAGGCCGTACTGACGAAATCACAGCAAGACTTTATGTCGAATCTTCGGTAAGATCATTCTTGTTATCTTTTGCCAAACACAACTTGTATTCACAAATCGTAAATAGAACGAAAATCTCAGAATGGCTCCAGGCGGAATCGCAGAAGCCGTTGATTATTCAGACAAATTCCGGTTTTCAAAAAAAACTAATCTATCAAGAAATCAGAAAGAGGTATCCCTATGCGTTCTTTCTCTTCTTCTCTCGTGACGATGGCTCACCAAAGTTTCATATCAGTAGTTACAATGGGTTCCTGAAAGCCGCCACACGCGATACCAAACATTTACAAATTACCAAATTATCGGAAGAAGAACGTCGTAGCCGGCCCAAAGCTAGTAGAGTAAGCCTCCATCTTAATGATTGGAGACACATGGGTTACTTGATCCTAATCGCATTTTTTTTATCAAGTTTACCGGTCCCAACTTTCGTACAGTGATTGATCTGATCAATGAAGCGGGTGTTCCCGTGGTGGCGCACAACGGCCTGTTCGATCTGTGTCATTCAATAGATCAGTTTTGGCGTTACCTTCCTCAGAATATGGTGGAATTTAAAAAAACCGCCAAAGAAATGTGGCCAGTGTAGGTTATTTTGCTCGGAAATCGGTCGCTCCCGTTTCTCATACGATCCCTGATTAGATTCGTCGATACCAAATATCTAGCTGAATTTCATCCTGCGCTCATGGTAATTTTTCGCTCCTCCAAAAAAAGGACACTTATCCCGCGGTTATTAATAAATGTCTCGTTTGTCAGAATTGTTTCCAGTCCACCGTCTTGGGCAATTTGTATGCAGCGGTACAAGAAGAAATGGAAGAGAGCGGACCCAAAGTTGGTAAGCGCATATTATCAAACGAAGAAAATACCGTTCTTCTGATGAACCTTTTTTTTTCAATCCATGCAGTTATGGCGGAAAACTTTGATCGATATCAAGGCCAAAGTTTCCATGAAGCAGGCTATGATGCCTATATTACTGGATATGTTTATATCGCCTTTGTACATTTTATTCTGGAAAAGCAAGGTATGCACGCAAACGATGTAATGGGTGATCACACTATGGGCATTAACAATGCGCTACAGAGGAAACTCAAGAGAACAGTGAAAAGGAAAAAAGCAAAATTGATGACAACGCAACCGTGGAACACGATAATCATGAGGCCGATAGCGACAGTGAGAATGACAGCGATAACGAGAACGACGATGCTCCTCCCGAACCGAAAAAGAGAAAATTGAGTCTTGACACATCGGACAGCGTGACGTCCCGGAAACTATTCTTGAAAGAATCACTTACACCCTACTATAATCGCATTTATCTGATGCGATGTGACTATCCTTACATTGATCTGGAAAAGACCGAAGAATACAGTAAGCATGCAGCCCTGACACTCTCTATCATATCCACCGTTTTCTTATGCCAAGTTTGTTTTGGAAATAGTTTTCATGGAGCGCGCCAACCGATTCTTTTTGAGTAATATACCGATTGGGTTGAGCAAGGAAGGCCTGGAAAAGATATTCCATGATCTTGCGCCTCTGTCTATCTTCTGGGTCAATGATAGCCAAGCCTGGATGGATATCAAGCATCCGAACAGGATTGAATTAGCAAAGTCTGGCCTGGTTGGTGTTGAGAAAATCTTGCCTTTTTTGGTGGAAGGTGCCGAAGGAAACAGTTATGGCATCACAGCTGACGCAGCCAAGATTCTGATCATGACGCACAAAGAATGGCGAGAAAAGTTGAGCCCTACAGCGTCAACAGATGCCGGTGAACAGAACGTGAAGCAGGTAGCGACGGATGCTAAGCCAGCCAATGGCGTAGCGAATGCAAATACCAGTTCCAAAAAATCAAGTACTGTGCCCGCCTCTTCCAACACCATGCCCATGTCCACCCAATTGATGAATAACGAAGTGCCCACTGGAGGATCTAGCTATGATGGTAAAAACTATTCAAAAATGAAGGTCCATGGTTACAGTTTAACTGATAGTTACTTTACAGATTTAGATATCCCGTTACCTCCAAGTTTCCAACGCCTTCGAGAGCCCTCTAATGCTATTAAGAAAGCTACGCACAACCAGCAGCATGGGCATCAATGCGCCAATCATCAATCAAAGAAACGTGCTTTTGAGTCTTCCCAAGAAAGCCATCATGTAAAGCAAAACAAGGCCCAACGAAAGAAACAAAAATCGCAACATGATCTGTAGGATGATACTTTGTAGATATTGTAACATACATTTTGTACAAAATGCCTCTTTCATTTTTTCTTCTCTAATTATGAATTCTTTCAGAAAACAATTATACAATGGCACCCTAAGTGATCAAGTGCACTAAATTTGAAACGCATTTGTCTGCCATGCTTTAACAGGAACTTGGACGCATGCGGAGGGCATTTCCAAAGTCAGCACGAGCAGTCCATGAAAAAATTCTAATAGATAGCCGCATTGGTGCGGCTCGTAGATCGTGGTCCCACTGTGATGATCTGTCTAGTGCCAAGGATAGTGCAACGAGGTATTCGACATGGTGCCAGATACGGTGCCTGTTTACGATATTACACAACAGCCAACCCCTCGGTACGGAAAGAGGATCTGTCTCCACTAGCCAAGCATTTGAAAGATTCGATCAAGGTGAGATTGCAAACAAACTGCCACAGTGGATTCATTGGAACGAAATGCTAACTGTTGCGCGTTTCATCTTTGTTGTCTTCTCGGCCGTTCTTGTAGCTCACGGGACCAATGACGGTGGCTCACTATATGCGTCAAGTGCTTGTGAATCCTTTAAGTGGCTACTACATGCATGGCGATGTGTTTGGGCGACAGGGCGACTTTATCACTTCACCTGAAATCAGTCAAACCTTTGGAGAGGTAGAAGCAAACATCGAGTTGCAAGAAAGACGAAAAAAAGCTCACATAGAATGGCAGTTGGCAGGTGTATGGTATTTGACAGAGTGGATGCGTCTGGGAAAACCAGCGAAAACGCAGTTTGTCGAATTTGGGCCAGGTCGAGGTACCCTGATGAGTGATATCTTGCGTGTGAATATTGTTCAATGACCGTGTGGTTTCTGTCAATGCGGATGATGCTTATTTCCGGTTTTTTTTTTTTTTTTTTTTGCAGGCATTATCACGTTTCCCATACTTTTACGAAACCATTACGGATGTTCATTTGATTGAAGCCAGCCCGGGACTTCGCAAGATGCAACGAGCTACATTGGTGGAAGGATCGTCGGATGCGGATGTGACCCGGCTCGCTGGCGACAAGGATACATTTCCAGTTGAAACTATTACGCGTCCCGACGGTGTCAAAGTAAATTGGCACGACGGTATTGAAGTGATTCCAGGTATGGGAAAAAAAGGCTTCTTTGTTCATCCAGTTGTATCATGAGGAATAACGGCTCAAACTCACTTTTGCAGACCAGTGGTCATTTGTCATGGCTCACGAATTTTTCGATGCGCTTCCCGTTCACAGTTTTGAGGTAAGACAACGGCGCCATGGCGATGTACTGCACCAATGAACACCCGAAGCTAAAGTGGTGCAAACCTCTATCACAAGAAAACAGAGGAGGGTTGGCGGGAAATGTTGGTGGATATTGATGACACAGATGAGTCGTAAGTAGCCCCCCCTCCTCCCCGATTAAGTAATTATCTACTAATTCTGCTCAATCATGGAAATTTATTTCTGTTTTTGGCATCTCCAATTGTGTGTTTTAGGGAATACAATTTTCGTCTTGTCCGTGCTCCAACCCCGACCATTGCCAGTAAAGCTTACATGGATCAAAACGATCAGTTTGCCAACCGTGATCCTGGCGATCGCGTCGAGATTTCTCCCGACAGTTGGAGTGTGATGGAGAAGATGGCTCAATTGGTACAAAGAAACGGCGGTGCTGGCTTGATCATTGATTACGGTCAGGATCACATCCAAGGTGACACGCTTCGTGTAAGTCTCTTGAATATCATGGAGAAAAGATTCCCAAGCACCCTGGTTTTTTTTCCGTTATAATGATACGTCTTCATTCGCTTTAATGTCTTGCTGCTAACCATTTATTCGTTTTTTCATGGATGGATCAGGCTATTCGAAAACATCGCATTGTTCATCCAATGAGTGATCCTGGAAGTGCTGATCTAAGCGTCGATGTGGATTTCGATATGCTGAAACAGGTGGTCGCAAAGACGCAAGGTAGGACGAATTGTACCCTTTTTTTTTCTGAACATCTTGGTTTTACTTTATGCATAAAAGAAAAGAGAAGCTGAAAAAAGTCTATTTGTGATCGGGTTACACAATTAGGAATGGCCGCGTTTGGCCCAGTGACACAATCCCAATTCTTGCAGTCTTTGGGCATCCAATTGCGTTTGGAGATGCTGCTAAAGAATGCAAAGACACCTGAAAGTCGTAAAAATATGATTCAAGGCGTGCAACGTTTATTGGATCCGGAACAGATGGGAAGAATCTACAAGGTGCTTGCTTTTGCCCACACCACCGAATCTGCTCAAAGCCCCCCTGTAGGTTTTTAGATTCAATGCATTTTTCTTTCATTGTCCTTTAGCATTATTTATTGTTCATTTGGTTTTTTTTCCTTTCTGCAATTTTATGATTTGGGTGGCTGTTATTTCCATGTATGTTAACAGATACGTCCGAGGATCACATGGTGTATCGATGGATAATAGGGTGTATTTTTTTCTTTAAAGGTTGGAAATTTGTCCAGGATTGGTATACAGAAGGATTTACGTTTGTGGAGTTTTTTTTTTTTTTTTTTTTTTTTTTGGCACTTGAGTCCGAACTCTTTCATTGCTTCAATTGGACCACATTTGCCTAATCTGAATCAAAGATGTGTAACAACTTAAAATGCGCCATTTACCAGGAAATTGCAGCAATATCTGCCGATGATTGCCATTCCTGGCAACTTTCAACTTTCTCGGTAAATGGAGTCGTGACACGGTTCAGGAAAGAATGTCTATAAAGGTGTTTGGTGTTCAGATCAAAACTGTCATGTGTACCAAGATGCCAATTCGTGGACGTTCGATTTGGGCACGGACAGTGATATCGTGCAACTCTGCCATCCTTTGGATCCGCCTACCAGTTGAATGGGGTTTTCATGACGAATAAAGAAAATGAGAAGGCGTTGATAAATTAAGCAAAACATATGTAACTTTTTGAAATGAGATCATTCTCATGGCTCGCTTCGCAAAGGATCAGGTGGCTTTTTCTGCTTGGAATCGCTCACTATAAAATAAGGAGCTCCCTGACTCCATGAAAAATAAAAGATAAAAATTACCCATCGACTTTCTACTGCATTCTTCATTGCATCCTTTTCCTTTTCCTTTTTCTAGTTTTCTTTAATTTTTATATACTCTATTTTCTTTAAAACCTTTTTTTTTTTTTTACATTGATTAACATACTCTGAATTCTTTATACTTTGCATTCACGTTACGTTTGGCATATAACTAATGGCGGAAAACGTGCGGGACGCTGATCGGCGTTCGGAAAAGGAATTCACAGAAAAAATCCAAGCGGATGATGTAGATGCTTATCTTGCCTATGAAAAGACCGACAAACTTGATACGGAAAGTCAAAAGCCCGTGAGCGAAGACGATGATGAAGATATCGATATTAAAGTGGTGAACGAGCTGGCAACAATGGAAGATGATCCCACTCTCAGATCCTTCACTTTTCGTGCGGTACTGGTGGGAACGGTACGTATGATGATCCAACCCATGCACATACCGGTCTGTCTCACGCGAGCATTTATTCATGGACCTTTTTTTTTTAGCTCCTTGCTTGTCTTAGTTCGTCCGTGTATCAACTGATGTTGTTCAAACCCGTGGGTATTCCATTGACGGATACCTTCATGTTGTTGATCGCGTATATCGTTTGCACGGCGTGGGCTAAATACCTTCCAGAGGGTGGTTGGCTTAACCCTGGTCCGTTCAACGTGAAAGAACACACATGCATATTTGTTATGGTGTCATCGGCCAATCATTCGGCGTATGCAACCTATATCCTTTCCGCCCAAGAACTGTACTATAACAACCCCCCAGGACCGGCCGGATCCATCTTTTTGCTGTTTGCCACGCAGCTCGTTGGTTACGGTATTGCCGGCCAATTGCGTCCTTACCTTGTCTATCCTGCCAACATGATTTGGCCGCTCACTTTGCCTACCGTGTCGCTTTTGCGAACTTTCAACTCGGAAAAGAACGAAGCTCGATGGCGTACCAAATTCTTCTTCATGATCTTTGGTGCCATCTTTGTCTATGAATTCATTCCGCAGTATATGTTCCCCATGCTCGGTGGTATTTCCATCGTGTGTCTAGCCAAGAACGATTCCGTCTGGGTGACTCGTATCTTTGGTGGACTCAACGTCAATGAAGGCTTGGGTATCCTGTCGCTCAGTTTTGACTGGAATCATTTATCGTACCTGAACCCTCTGATCATTCCTTTGTGGGTACAAATGAACATCTTCTTTGGTATTATCCTGCTTTGGATTATCGTACCCCTGATGTATTACACCAACGTATGGGACTCCCAAGCTTTCCCGTTCCTGTCGAATTCCATCTTTGCCATCAACCAAACTACCGGCAAGAGCATGATTTACCCGCAAAGAGACGTACTGAATGAAGACAATTCCCTTAATCACACCAAACTCGAAGCGATCGGCATTCCTCAGTATTCCGGTGCCTTTGCCCTGAACTACATCATTATCAATCTTGCCGTCACCGCCACTATTGCTCACGTCGCGCTGTATTATGGCAAAGATATTTGGAGTAACTTCCGTACCTTGAAGCAACGTATTCGCGAAGGACAAGTCGATGTTCACATGCGGCTCATGTCGGCCTATAAAGAGGTAACTTGTCAATTCATGCAACCTTTTTTTTTCTATTCTAACTAATTGGCCTTTCTTTTTATCATTTCCTGATGACCTCCGTCCGTTTAGGTGCCTTCTTGGTGGTATTACGCCATTTATGTCGCCGGCATTGGTCTCAATATTGGTATTGCTTATGCCAACCACAGCCAGTTGCCATGGTGGGGTGTTATTTTTGCCATTGGTGTTTCAACCATTCTGTCGTTACCGTTAAACATGATTCAAGCCATTACCGGATCAGGTTTTGGTCTGAACGTGCTCACAGAAATGATCTGTGGTTTCGTCTTGCCCGGTTATCCTAGTGAGTCTAAAATTTTACCACTGTCTGTCTTGACTTATTGCCTAATAATTGACTGTACCTAGTTGCCAACATGTATTTCAAGACGTTGGGTTACAATACCATGAGTCAGGCCGGTAAAATGGCCCAGGATCTCAAGATCGGCCACTATCTCAAGGTGCCGCCGAAAATGGTCTTCTTGAACCAAATCTGGGGAACGGTCATTGGCTGCATTTTTAATTACATCGTCAATGATGTAAGTTCTTTTTTTTTCGCTTACTTTTTTTCTGGGCCCCTCAGAAAAAGAAGAACGCGAATATGGCTATACTCACAATCTGAGGGATGTTGAACTAACCCTTCCGCCTTTTTTTCATTGATAGGTCGTCGTCAAATCCAAACGCGAAATCCTGTTGGATCCCATTGGTGATAACGTTTGGAACGGTTCTTCGCCTCAGGTAAACGAATCACATGAAAATTTGCGCTGCATAGACCGTTTTCATTCAACTGTGACAATGGGAAATCTAGACAATCAATTCCGCTGCCATTACATGGGGAGCTATTGGACCGATGGCCATGTTTGGCCCTGGCACCAAATACTATATCTTTTTATGGGCATTCGTGATTGGGTTCTTTGTGCCCGTGCCTTTCTGGTTGCTTAGCAAGAAGTTCCCTAAGCGAGGCTTTGAGTTGATCAACGTGCCCATGATTCTCATTGGTCTTTGTATTCTTCCTGGTTCCAACTCGTCGTGGATTACCGTTTCCTTTGGCTTGATCATCTTTTCCCAGTGGTACATGAAACGTCGCCATCGGGAATGGTTTGTAAAGTATAACTATCTTATCTCGACGGCCTTGGATTCCGCTACTTCGCTCATGGTTTTCTTTATTGCCTTTGCCTTGATGGGTGGTGCCTCTGGCAAGGAGTACCGCTTCCCTACTTGGTGGGGCAATCGTGCTGGTAAGTCTCGGCCTTTTTTCCTTTTTATTTCTATGCTTACTAAACGGGCTATTTAAACTCACAATTACTTACCATGTAGATATTCGATACATGGATCAATGCTGCATGAATTGTCCAACTTAGTTTATACTGTGTTCTCTATTGTAATCGTTTATTTTATCTCTTTTCTCTTTTTCTTTTCTAGTTTTGATAATATTGTATTATTTACATTCTATTCAGCTACTCCTCGAAGGAGCAGGTTTCCGATAAGTTTTTCATTTTATTTTTTTCGGCCTTCAGCCACTCCAAATAAAAAAGTGACCTCTTTTTGCTATCTTAGTTAACCAATCTTCTCTTTCCTTCATTTTCGTGCCACTAGTTGATACAATTTTCATCGAAGCAGGAAGCTTATTTTTTTTTCCCTTGTGCATGTGAGCGAGGCCAATGACGCTAATATGTATTCGTTTGGCTGAGAATAAGCAAGCCTCGTATCGTACAGAATATTCTACACTAAAATCAGTATCAAAAGAATGACATTTGCACATCGTCATAGAGTGTTTTCAAAGGGGTTTTAGCATAGAACTGGGCTCTCTTGACGAAGCGTATCTCGACGAAGTATATCAGTTTACAGAGAGCCAACCTATACTAGTGGAACCAACGACGTCTCTCCATCGTTGCATGCTGCACCGATCGGTTCTACCTCACAACATGCTGTTGGAGGAGAATAGGCACAAAAGATGGCCTTTCACCCAAGTCAACAGCGACAAGCGCTGTAAGAAAACAAAGCAATGCTAACGGTGGTGAGCGGCCAAAAAAGAAAAAGAGAGAAACGACAAGTTGGCGTTTTGATTGGCTCAATGCAAGAGAGGCGGAGTGTTTTTTTAGTGAAAGAGTCACGACAAGACCGGCTTTCAATTTTTTGAAATTGTTCCTCGTTTTTTTTCGAACCCAAGTGCAATAAAGTTAAGGCACAAGGAGAGAGATCCGTACCTGCACCCTTAGCGATCCATCGATCCCACCGTACCCGAACAGCTTCATGTCTCATGAAACGCCTCGTCCGCTGGGTGTGGCCGGCTTAATACCGACAGTGCCACCGACCGATCACGAGCTTAGGCTCACCGATAATCTCGTCAGAACTTTACACGATTACGGTCTCTTTGAAAGTGATCAAGAAGCTCAAAAACGGTAATTATTGGAATACACTGCATCTTCTTTTCCTTTCTGTTCATTTTGTATGCTATCTGCGCGAGTACTAATCCCTTGTCTTGTTCTTGTTTTTCTTCTCTACTTTTGTCATGGATAGATTGATGGTTTTGGGGAAGCTCGATAAACTTGTCAAGGAATTCGTGTTCCGCATCAGCAAGATGAAAGGGTTTTCTGACGTGGCGGCAAGAGAAGCCGGCGGCAAAATCTTTACGTTTGGCAGCTACCGTTTGGGTGTGCACAGTGCAGGTAAATTATCATTTTTTCCCTTTTCTTCCTCCCGCGTTTCCCAGTGTTTGACTATCCGTGTCTGGAGAATTCGGGCCAAACGGGGACGCATAACTGACAGGTGGACGGGCAAAATGGGAGCAGGATTGCATATCAACACTTTGTGTATTATTTTTTATTCTTGTTTATTCACTGATATTAGGTGCTGATATCGATACCTTGTGTGTATTTCCTAGACATGTTGGCAGAGAGCATTTTTTTACTTTGATGTTTGACATGTTGAAGGAAAGACCTGAAGTATCCGAACTTACGGTAAGTCAGCTATAAATTACAGTAGGCCGCGTTTCTCGTCACTGACATTTGTCTCCTTCTTTATTGACGAATTCCAGGCAGTAGTCGATGCCTATGTGCCTGTCATCAAAATGCACTTTTCCGGCATTCCTGTAAGTCTAGTGTTCTGTTTTTCTTGGGGGGCAGTTTCTGTTTCTTTTCCCATAAACTTATCCATGGATTTTGGCTTTTTTAATAGATCGACTTTGTATGTGCACGTTTGGATGTCGAGTCGGTTCGGGATGATCTTCAACTGGCAGATAACAATCTGTTACGGAATTTGGATGAACGTTGCATTCGTAGTCTGAATGGATCGCGTGTCACGGACGAAATTCTTCGACTGGTTCCTAATATACCTGCATTTCGGTTGGCCTTGCGTACCATCAAATTGTGGGCCAAACAACGCGCGATTTATTCAAACATCATGGGATTCTTGGGCGGTGTCGCGTGGGCAATGCTTGTCGCCCATATCTGTCAGCTTTTTCCCAATGCATGTGCGGCCGCCATCGTTACACGTTTTTTCCGTATCATGTACCAGTGGAAATGGCCCCAACCGGTACTCTTGAAACCGATGGAAGACGGACCACTCCAGGTCCGAATATGGAATCCAAAGGTAGGAAACAAACAGAGGAACTGACGCTCACACCCACCAAGCTCTTAGCTTTTTCGGAACTTGGCCACTCATTATTTTCAAATTGGTTGATAGTTGTATCCTGCTGATAAGAGTCACCGTATGCCCATCATTACGCCCGCGTATCCTTCCATGTGTGCGACCCACAATGTGACTGATTCGACCAGAATTATCATGATTCAGGAATTCAAGCGAGCCGCCGAGATTGCTGAAAGGACCATGGTGGGGAACGGGAGTTGGGAAGAGTTGTTTGAAGAGAGCAATTTCTTTCAGGCGTACAAACACTATCTGCAAGTGATTGCTAGTTCGGATTCAGCCGAGACGCAGCTCGAGTGGCACGGGTTGGTGGAATCGCGGCTGCGGCAACTGGTGCTAAAGTTGGAACTTGTGGATATGCTTGTATTAGCGCATCCATACATCAAAGGCATCGATCGAGTGCATTACTGTTTATCCGATAAGGAAAGATGGGATGCCGCCCATGGTAATTATTTGCCTGAGCGTACATTTTCTCTGGGTGAAGGCGGCACGGATGTGAATCATATTGATCAAATCAAGGAGAACATGAATTTATCCGAAGATCAAGAACGCTGTCTTCGACCTGTCTATACCACCAGTTTTTTCATTGGACTTCACGTCGAACCGAAACCAGGTAAGCATAAATTTTTTGCACTAATACGGAATAAAAAAAAACGGGCGAGCTAATAGATTGTGATTCTCAAATGGCGCAGATGGATCTTCAGGTCCGCGACAGCTGAATCTTGTGTGGCCTATGCAAGAGTTTCTTAAATCGGTCAAGTCATGGGATAAATTCGACGAGGCGTTCATGAGTATCATTGTGAAAAATTTGAAAGGGTATATTACACACGCGTGGTCCCGCCTCGTTTTGGTTGAAAATGGGATTTTGATCTGATTGATAATGATTTTTTTTTTTTTTTTGTGGATGCATGACCTTTTTTAGTGCCATGTTACCAGCCGACCTTATCAATCAGGGAACCAAATCAAATCGTTCGCCCGTGAAAGTATAAGGTAGAGTAAAAATACGGCTTGCTCCATCATTATTGGATCATCTAATAATTCGATTGTCCTTTTCAAGAACAGTTTTACTTTTTCTTTCATTTTGGGGTGCAATGAAGAAGCGACTCTGAACACCACGGTCTTGATGAGAACAAAATTTTTCCTGGGGTGGATGACGATGTTCGGCTACCGCTGATCCTTGTAACTGCAAGTCATGTAATCGTCGGCATAGAGTGCTTATTATCACATAGATATCGTCGGATGCCACAGTTGGGAAAGCAGGACCCATTCATCGGGGAATCTGGTATTCCCTTTTCTTCCTTTTGCTCGACTCGGATCTCCCATTTTTTTTCCTCATCTTATGCTCTCTCTCACATTCTCACTCACACACACAAAGTCTCTCTCTTCCTCTTTTTTTTTTCTTTTTCATTTAGATTCTTTATCCACCAATAAATATTAGAAAAAGAAAAAAGAAAGGCTCTTCTATAGGACATGCGATTTGTTTGTGTAAAGCATACAATCTGATGGGTTCCCATATTAATTGCTATGGAAATAATCTCAGTCAATATTCTAGACGACAGAAACTTTATAATGCTAGTTTAGTATTTAAACTCTTCCCAATATCCTTCCCCATCCCCGGGATTGCTCAAGACAGAATAAGAAATATAAAGTAGGGAGAGCGATCAAAAAGACCAGAAACTCCGTTATGAAAAGAGGAAGGAGGCATGGTTTCACTGGATCGGAGTTGCCAAGTTTTTTTTTTTCTGTAAGTATGGGTTCGACAGTTCAGAATTTTAAGCTATGGGACATCTGCACGCTTCGGCAACGTTACGATGACATTTGATCAGCTACTGGAAAGCACCCCCACCGCATTACATCTTATTAAAGGTACGAACAACAATGACCTTTTACCTTTATCGCTTTAGCCGCCAGGGTCTATGCAAGGAGAAAAAAAGAAGACCTAACAGGCTTATTGTTGATTCACGTCAGCTGTCGAAGTTATTCAAACACAAACATCGCACCGAAACTCGGACAATGATCAAGATACACTTGCGCATGAAGCATTTGACTTTTTGCGTTTAAAAGCAGCCAAGGTTCGATCCTGTTGTGGCAGTAAAAGCAATCGAAAGAGATGGAAAACTAACCTGGCCATGTGGAAGCAGGGAGATGTAGAAGCAAAAATCAAACTGTGCACTATATTAGAAGACGAGTCGACGAGTGATCCAAATGATAAGCGAGAGGCGGCGATATGGGCACGTAGTGTGTTTGATCGTCGGCTGTCGGGTGCTATTTTACCGTGCGTGACCGAGTTGGGTGCGAACAACACGGGATCCCAGAGTTTGCTGGACACTGTATTACAGCAAGCCAATGATGGACAGAAAACCATGTGCCATTTAGTAGGATTGTTATTTCTGGATGGTATTGGATTGGATCAAGATACGTCCAAGGGCGTCAGTTATTTACAGAAAGCCGCCGATGCAGGACATGAAGCTGCCACGGTCGAACTGGCGAGTATTATGAGCGATCCGTTCAAGTACCCGAATCAGTACAACTTGGAACAGAGTCTGGAACGGTATGAATCGGTGGCGTCCAAAACCGAGAGCCAGCGACGGACCATGTCGGCAGCCGACGTACGTGCCTTGACGGATCTGGCCCGTGTTTATTATGAAGGCAGTGAAACGTTACCACGTGATATCGATAAAGCGTATCGATATGCGCGTCGCGTAGCAGAGAATGTTGGGGAGCAATATTGTCAGTTTATTGTGGGCGATGCGCTGTTACACTCATTAGGCGGGATTGCGGTGGACGTGCGACAGGCCATTTTTTGGCTCACTCAGTCTGGGGAGCAGGGATTCCCATTGGCGGTGGAAACGTTGGCGCGGATCTACTTTGAAGGTCACATCAAAGGCATCCAACGTGACTTTGAGCAGGCTCATTACTGGTGTATGAAAGGTGACGATCTGTGGCCCTCCGGACTGGGCTATTGCCAAACATGTCTAGGCGATATGTACCGTGCAGGCATGGGCGTGCCCAAAGATCTCATGCGGTCCTTTGAATACTATCAAAAAGCCGCCAGTCAGCAAGATGCACCGCAGAATTATGCACGTTACATGCTCGGCGAAATGTATGTGTGTTTTTTTTTTCTTTTTCCCATACGAGCTCAATGTTATTGCATTGGAAACATGCGGGAAACATAGCAACTCAATGTATGGTTTTTTTTTTTTTTTTTTTTTTTTTTTTTTGTTATGGTTGTTAGGTTTTATTTAAGCGAAGGCTGGCAGCATAATCATGCGGTAGCGGCGGAATATTATAAACTCGCCGCCAATGAGAACTACCAACCTGCACGTCAACGATTGGAGGAACTTGCTGCATTGGAAGAACAAGCCAAAGCGCAACCCGACCCGACAAAGCAGCGTTCGGTTGCACGAAAATCATGGAGCGTCTGGTCATTATTTCGCGCTCGAAGACGTGCGGTTGCTTAATCGGTCGTTGCCCCGTTTGATCGTCGTTTTTTATATCCATTCCTTTTATGCTTTTATATCCTTGTTCGTATCACGTACTTTGTATTTCCTATTTACATTGACCCATCTGCATGCTTGAAGCACTATACCGTTCTACACCATTATCCAAGCCCAAAAAGTCTAAACTCATACCAAATAGACGTGACACATCATAAATTTGGCATTGCAAAATTCTGCAGAAAAAAATAATTGTTGGACCGGTGCTTACTTTAACCGTTTGACCGACTCACTTGAATGTTTGTTTGATTAGGATGAAAGGTAAAAAGACATGACAAAAGTTGGTGGTTCATCGGGATACACATTAATCCCCCTCATCGCTTCCTTAGTTGTATACACATGGTGGCATATCAAATGCAACCAACGCGCTAAACTTGATACAAATTTCCCATGTCATTCTTTTTTATTTATTTTCTATGGCTGATCGATCGCTTCCTTCCCTTTCAAGTCTTCTGCCCCGATCTTCAATGCGCACGCTTATGCTATTGTTGAATGTATCACAGACCACTACCAAATAGGGTAAGGTCTTTGGGTGAGGGCGGTAATGCTTGCGTGCCAAATGACGACATACTGTTAGATCATATGAGTTCTCCCACGCCCTTTTTTCTTGCAGCTTTTTCCAGAATTGCATGTCCGCAGTCATTAGAAACCGCTTCCTTTTTCTAGATTCCTGCGGTAAGATAGAAAAGGCCAAGGTGCCTGCACACCTCAAATGACTTCTTTTGTATTCAACCAGACCGTTTAGTGTGAAAAAAAAAAAATAAAGCATGATTTTCCAAAAATAACATAAAAAGACCCGATCGTGATAAATCCAAGCGTTTTTCTTATTCTTTCTCTTTGATCACTGTTTGTTTCCTTCTTTTTCTTTTTATTTTTGTCACTCTTCAACAGAATCACCGACAAAACCCAAAAAGAAATAGATTTCTATCCGCTTCATTCAGTTTTTTTTTATATATCTTTTTTACATATCAATCAATCAATTTTGATCAACCATGTCTACTGCACGTAGTTTCTCACCACCTTCGTCCGGTTATGAAATCCTGGATATCCGAACCCCAGAGTACGGTACGGTCAAGCTTTCCACCACCAAGATGGGAGCCCAGGTTCCCGGTCATGACAGTGCGAGACCTCCATCGCCGCCAGCTTCCACAGATCCTTCTGTGGATGCGTTTAACAGTGATGATTTGGTCGATACCTTGATGGACTCGCTCAATAAGCCCTTTGGACAAAAATCCATTCCTACCTTTGTTCTGTATGATACGCGTGGTCTGCAATTGTTTGATGAAATCACCCATCTCCCGGAATACTATCTTACCGAAGCCGAAAGGAATATTTTGCTCCGTCGAGCCGATCAACTGGCAGACAGGTTGAAGGATGGCAGTATTTTGGTCGAATTAGGCGCTGGGTTTGTATCGTCGGGCATTGGCTGGATAAACAAACCAGCTGGCATGAACAAACATGGAGACAAAAAGTGACTCACACCCCACCCCTAATTTTCTGTTTGTGTAGGTCACTAAAAAAGACGCAAATTATCCTGCAGGCCGTGGAAAGAAGACGACTTCGCGTGACTTACTATGCTTTGGATTTGGATCAGCATGAGCTGGAACGTTCGCTGGCTTCGTTGGGCGAGTTCCAGTATGTCGAACTCAAGGGTTTGCTGGGAACCTATGATCAGGGCATTCCATGGATCAATCACAATTTTACATATGACAAGAATCCCACCCATAAAATGGTGCTTTGGCTTGGTAGTTCCATTGGCAACCAAAGTCGCCATGAATCCGCCGACTTTTTGCGTCGTATTCAACGGACATGCTTGCAACCGGGTGATTTCTGTGTCATTGGGTTCGATCAGCGCAATGAACCTGCCAAGATTGAAGCTGCTTACAACGATGCTCAAGGGGTGACGAGAGAATTTATCATGAACGGCCTGGATCATGTCAACACCATTCTTGGTCACAACCTGTTTGACCGATCAAAATTTGCTTACGATACCCGGTATCAACGTACCATTGGTCGTCACACAGCTCATTACCGTGCCTTGGAAGACATGACCATGCAGTACAAAAACAAGAACGGTGTCAACGAGATCCGCTTGAAGAAGGATGAACTGATCCATGTGGAACACTCTTACAAATACTCAACGGAAGAAATCGATCAAATTCTCAACTCGGCGGAATTAAACTTGGCCGACATGTGGACGGATGACGAGGATCAGTATCGGTTGGTCGTGGCGGAATGTCGTCCCTTCTTGTTCAAGCGGCGTATCACCGGGTTCGTGGATCCCAAGGCAATCGTGGAAGATGAAAGGTTGGATTGTTGTGTATGCAACGACCCTCATTTACAGACGGCGGGGGAAGACGATGAGGTCGCTGCTGGAGCTGATCAAACGATGGCGTCCTTGGCCAAGGCGCGTTGGCCAACGACGGTGCCTACTCTGCAGGAATGGCAGCAACTGTGGCGATCATGGGACCATGTTACGCGAACCATGCTGGACCACAAGACCATGTTGTTTGAACGACCTATTGCGTTGCGTCATCCTTTCATCTTTTACCTTGGACACATCCCGGGCTTTTTGGATATTTTGCTGACACGTCACAAGGTCGATGGACAGCCGCTGACGGAACCGGCCCACTTTGCCGACATTTTCGAACGTGGCATTGACCCTGACATGGATGATCCGACCCAATGCCATCCTCACTCGGAAGTCCCCACCAACGACACAGACTGGCCGTCCATTAATGACATGATGCGATACCAGCAAAACATTCGTAACCGACTGGAACGGATCCTGCTGCAATGGGAAACTGAGCACTGTGACAACGAGGAGTGGATGGCGATGCCGGAACGTCAACGAAAAGCACGCATTACCTGGATGTGTTTTGAACATGAAGCGATGCATTTGGAAACCTTACTTTACATGCTGGTTCAGAGCCCCAACATCCAACCACCACAACACGTCGCTTGGCCATCGTGGAAACTCGCCTTGATGCACCCATCCAGGTATGAATCTCGGATTGAAAAGCGCGACCGGTGCCTGGATGCGGCTCCCTTGGTGCCTATTGATGCTGGTTCCGTCACCATTGGTCACCATGATCCTGAATGTGACGACCGACTTGAGGTGAATGCGTCCAATGTAGAGTATGGATGGGATAACGAGCATCCCCGTCGCACAGTGGATGTTGGAGCCCCCTTCCAAATCCAAACCCGCCCGGTGACGAATGGTGAATACCTGGCGTATCTGCAAGCCACCAATGCCGTACACAAGAAATTACCAGCGTCCTGGGAATGGATGCAAGGCGAGGATGGGGAACAAGAAGTCGGGGTGAAAACCGTGTTTGGTCTGTGTCCTCTATCGTATGCCATGCATTGGCCGGTTCAAGTGTGTTGTGCAGATGCCGAAGCTTACGCACATTACCAAGGTATGCGTTTACCGACCGAGCATGAACTGTTGCGATTCCGACAAGCAGCTTCCCGTATGGCGAGGAGCAAGATTCCCAATATCGGCTTTGCACAGTGGCATCCAACTGACGTGAGCAACGATGAGATCCATACATTGGGTGACGTATGGGAGTGGACAAGTACAGTGTGGGACCGATATCCCGGCTACGAAACATCCACCATCTATCCTGGCTATTCTTCAGATTTCTTTGACGGTAAACATCGCACCATCTTGGGTGGTAGCTGGGCTACGCATCCACGAATCGCCGAACGTTGGTCTTTCCGCAACTGGTACCAGGTCGCTTATCCTTACGTCTTTTGTGGCTTCCGATGCTGTCAAAGCTAAAACCGGTAGTGAGCCTGTTCATCACAATAGTTTTTCCTTGCCTTTTTTTTTTCTCTTCATGTGTCTGTCATTAAAAAAAAAAGTTTGATGTTCATGCATATCATGATCGGTACAATTGTCATAATGATGTCTTGTTTTCTGCTTTGGTATTTATGTGCAGGTGAGACGTTTCAATGATAAATAGCTTCATTATTTCTGGCAAGGTAAAAGCCAAAAGCGCATTCCTTTTTTGATGGGCCATCGCACCCATCTAATCCCAAAAAATGGCATGGTAGCCGCCGTGGCTCCCCTGGTCACCGATAAAGTCATGGCCGAACGCACTTTGACCGAGACAGAGACCGACGGTTCCCAAGCCACCGTCACTTTGCAACAGTTGAATCGTTTGAATGAACATGTCACGCATGGTCACTGCGAATGGTTCCACTTATGGTGTCAAGGAAGCCAGCACTCTTGTGGCGCCTCTTCTGGTCATCATCACCAACAAACCGAACAAAGTAGTCATGTCCACACACCCGTCGAGCATCAGGCCACACCCGTCGATCGTTCGCTTCCAGATCATGTCATATTGGCAGGCTGCCAACCCGACAAGGCCAGTTGTCTTCATCAAGATCTAGCAGATCACGTAAGGCAGAATGGGGCTGATATCTCCGGTGGATTTCTCAAGTTCAGTTTAGCTCCGACAGCACCTTCCGAGACGCGTGGCCATGATGCCGATCTGGACCCTTATCTTTAGTCTCACGCAGCACGGAGCAAGTATGAGTACACTTTACGAATGTGTCAAAAACTATCAAGGTTTAAGCTTACTTCTGGCGGTACACACAACGAATGACGAAGTAAAGAGCGTTTCAAAGTGGCTCAATCTGACGGATTTCTAATCTACCGTATTGGGGAATACAATGCAGTTGATAGGTGCTTATCTCTCTGAAACGTTGCACATCAGTTCCACCTACTATGGTTCAGGCGAAAGGTAAGCTGGATTCATCCTACAGACGAAATGCACAAGTTGGTTATGATCCATCTTTTTGACCAGCTTCCTGTGGCAAGCCACTCCCACCTCGGGCTTGACTATTTATCGATGGACAGAAGCCAATACGTATTTTATCTACTCTGATCGCCACACCATCATTGTAGGCGGAGGGTAACCCCATTTGAGAAGGTTTAGGATGATGGCGGCGCCTTGACGTATTAAATTGGAATAGAAACGGTCGATGTGGATTATGGTTGCATGAAGACTTGATCCATGGAAATACCGAAGCATGTGCCACATTTGGTAATCCTCCCTTGTCGAAAACCGGGTCCTTTGAATACATGGAAATAGAGCTGTGGGGCTTTGTTATTTAAAACAACGGTGCCAATTTTATCTTTTACTCTCATGCCATCAACCAACATGTACCATAAAGCAATGCATTATCGCGGACCATGACTATGTTCGTCATTCATATATCCCAAGTATTGATAAAGCAGTACGTTTCCGCAATGATGTGATAAAGTTTTTATGTCTATGTTGATATCAACGAGGGTGATATTCATACATGGACTCAAGCCTATGGCATTGGAACAACGAATAATGCAATGGGAATCTCCAGAAAAGACCAAACGCCCTTTGGCCTTTTTGTTCTTTTGGTGGTTATTTCTATTCGTAACACAGTATTTCCTGTGCAATGTGATCAAAGAACGACTGCGTTTCTTCTGCGGACATGCGCCGTCGGATAGGTCGTTCCAGGATTTCGTCTTCCGAATCACTTTCGTCTAGAGCATATTCGTTGCAATAATCGTAGATCGTCATGTTTTGTTTGGATGTGCGTGGACGTAACCGCTGCCAAGGAATGAGCACAAATCGAAAATAAACAAGCATATTGACAAATAAGCAACTTACGCGAATCGTGCTGAGATGATCTTGCTTTCGCTTGCGTCGGATGGAGGCCATAGATATGGGCTACAGATGGGAAAGAGAAGTGCCATCGTCAGTGCCGCGACGATATTTTTTTTCAAAAGAAAGACCTTACCGCATCGGAAGCATTGTAATGGACGGCCTCACGTTCATCTTTCATCAAGCATCCGTCCGTATCGGCCGCCAATTGATTTGTGATGGACTGGTTATCAAGTTCCTCCAACACCTGAGCCCACAGAACGGTCGCCATCGGAACTGATTGTCTGACTCGACAAACAAGAGGTACTTCTTCTTCATCATCATCATAGGTGCCTGGCTTGTTTGATGATTGTTCGGTTGCCGTAAGATTGACCTCCTTTCTTTTCTTTTCCAATGACGAAGATGTGAATGGGTTTTTATCTGTATTCTTCTCATCAGCGACCGCCGGATCGTGGGTTTCACACGGTGACGAAGGTCCGGCAGGAACAGCCGATGCGGTGGATGCGGTTTCAACTCTAGGCGGACCTGCCGTTTGTTTCTTGTTGACAGCAAAATACTGCTTAATAGAATGGTTGGCCCTGACGTTGGCCGATCGTGCTCTCGCCGATCGTGGTATTGACTTTAATGTTGAGCGTGGAACAGACGACGATGCCGCTGACGGTGATGTCGGCTTGGTAGCTGTCGGTTTCACGTCCTTTGTTTCAGGCGACGGACCCTGTCGACGTTTCGATACGCGAAAATTGAGTTGATTGACGGACGCCATGCAAGATTCTTACTGCCAAATGGTTAATCTGCAATGACAAGGGCACGGACAAAGAAGCAAAAGGAAAAGAAAGCCCGCTCTTGATGAATTATGATAAACTGCCTTGATTTTTTTTTTTCCTTTTGTTATTTTTTATTTGGTTGGCACGCAGGATTGGTTTTTTGGACTCCGGGCGTTCCACGTGTAAAAAATAGGGTTTTTATTCATTCTGGTTTTGCTCCCTTCGTTCTTGCAAGTCTTTTCGGAATGCCATGCCGGTCATGACGAGTTTTCTAAAGTTTTCATTTAAGCGGCCTGCCTTGCTGCCTGCAGGGGACAGTGAAGAGGAGGAAGCGGGTCCATCAAGCGTGGGGGAGAAGGGTGACGATAAAGCGTTGCGGCCAAACGACGGCAACGTCTGTGGGTTGAAATTGGAAGCGGACGTGGCGATGGTGGAGAGCGACGTGCTGAGGGCATTGGGGAAATTCGAGGAAACCAAGGAAGATGAAGACGGTTGAGATTCGATCATGGCCAACACCGGCGAACTCTCCAATAAGTCGGCATGTTGCGTCGCCCGACGTTGAAATAGATCTATCAATGGAGCTTGATCTGGCTTTTTCAGACCCTATACAACACAGGCAATACACATATTATTAGGGATAAGCGTCATAATCTATCAGTTTTCATTCGTACCTTGAGTTCCAGCACACGTGTAAAGTTGGCGATACTTTTATCGCCAATCAAAAAGATGTAGCTTTCCACATAGCCCTCGGGTGGATCGACAGGCGTCATGACCGTTTTAAGTAGCGTCTCGATTTTGGAAATACCACGACTGACCAGTTTACCATAGCTAAAACAGACGCAGATGAGTCTAGTTGAACATGAACAGAAAATCATGCGGGTAATCACTTACGATGCAGGTACAGTGGTTTGTTGGTCTGCTCCCATCAAGGGAATATCCGTCAGAAGCGTTTTGATGGCATGGGTATCTAACAACATCTAATAGTGCTCCAAAATTTAGATGTTGTTCTCCAGTTTGCTATTCAACTGTGTACTTGCCTGCTCTGCGCCAATCTCGGTGATGGGTTTACATCGTAATACATGCGACAAGTATTTGTTAATGAACATTCTATATTGGATGGTGTAAGCTGCATTCGACCTGTGTTCCCTTTTTTTAATGTTCACTGTTGACGCTTACTCCACAAATCGATCACCAAATGTTCGAAAGTAGCGACGGTTGGCAACGGTTTTCCCGATCATGGTAATATACCGTTTCATGGATTCTTGCAGTTGGCTGACATACGCCGACTGATCTCCCACCGTATCCATAGTGCTCCACGGTAATCGCATCATTTGTTGAAATTGCGTCTCACTCCCGGTATCAAGGCTACGCACCATGGCATCCACACACGATGAAACCGTTCTAATAAAATGATGTGAATCACCGCCGTAAAAAAGTTATACTGGAGTCGTCGTTTTACCTCATAAAGGCGTCTTTGACCGATTGCAAATCGATCTTTTCCCTGTATTCAGCATCGATTTTCTCTTTTAATTTTTCTTCAAGCTATAAAAAAAGAGTCAGTGGGTGAGCCGAAAGGTTCTCTTTCTCTGTGCATACTTGGGACGTCGTGATACAACAGTAATCGGCCGTATTGAGTGCCAAACTCGCAAATCGATAGTATTCCAATGTGCCCAACTTGGACTCGGTGCTAATAGTTTCATGCTTGTGTCAATTGGGTGGCAATACACCTTTGCGTTGAACTATCATGTCTTACCAAGTAAGCCCTCCCAGGAGGATTTCGTCGCAGTAATTCTGTAAATGCTTGGAAAACAATTGGCACAGGTCCCAAAATGCTTTACCCGTGGAAAACCTGGCACACTGTACGAGTGTTTCTCGATAAAAATAGAAAAGATCGGTACTGGACGGCAGCACCACAATACTTCCATCTTCATCCGCCACCATATCAGAGGAAATATAAGACTGGATCATTGATTTCAGAGTTCTTAAAATCAAAATGGGATCAGGATGTGTTGACAAGAAATCAAATAGCAGCAGGCATTCAAGTGTAGACTTACTTGTCTTCCGCTTCAATGTAAACCCACAAATAAGGCTGGAAGCTAACGGAAATGGATTTTTCGAAGCGGAACATGGGTTGCCGTTGATCACTTTCATCATATTTGTACTGCAACAAAGCACGATTAATTCCTTGGACTAAATTCTGCTTACACATCCTGCGAGAGACGTACATGTTTCTCATAACGTTTGCTCAATTGTGATTCGAATTCCAGCGTGAGCTGTAATGCTCGAAGCAAGTCCTTGACGTCGATGCGCTGGGCTAGAGACAGCACTTGTTCGATGTCGGTTCTGTATTCGTAGCATCATAATGAGTTTTTTCTTGTTATTCCTCTTCTCCATCCATGTTTTTCCCGCCTGTGTCCCTACCGGGTATAAATACAGAATTTTTCACTGATGCGGCCGCTGACAGCCCAGGCGGACGGGAAGATGTCACTGTACTCCTCGTCACAAGCTTTTAATATGCGTTTCAGGAACCCATACCGTCGTGATATATTATCGATCTGCGATACCTACCACCATGTGCGTTACATGACCAATGTCTCTTTTCTTGTTTTTATGACGTTCAGTCTTACCTCTTCCGAACTACGGAAGATCTGACGATAGCCGTACAGTTGCAGGTCCACAAAGCGCTTGATGATTTTTTCCCTTAGAAAGAACAATAAATCCGTGATGTCCGATTCGCTTTGCAAATACAAGCCCATCCTCTATATCCTCCTCCGATGCCTTACTTTGTCGTATCGCCTAGGACGTCCGCCACTAAACAAGCGTCATGCAAAAGCCAATGTTGGTTTTGTGGTCGACCTTCCGTATCAAGTCTATTCGTGTGTCAGCGACTTGGTCCCACAAAATACGGATGGATAACTCACCCTTGCTCAAACTCATCAATCACGTTTCTTTCCAATCGCTTTTCCAGAGTATGAATCCGTTCGGACAGCTCGCCGATCTGAGGGACGCTTTTATATGACTTGAAGTGAGACATGAGCTGCATGACTGCCTGTGCAACATCATCAAATGAATACTCGTATAACTATTTGGGACTACTATCCATTACCTGCAGTAACTGAGCGCTCTCTTTGTATTGCTTGTTTTGCGACATGGTTTCCAGTTGATCCACGGCTGTCACTGCACACACAGAACATACACAGGTCAGCATGAGAGGTGAAACGATCCAATGTATCAAAAAGCACACGCGATACTATACCCAGCATTTGAAGTCGTTTTAACACGGTCATGGAATGGGTAAGATGCCGTTTGGCGTAATCCAAAGATTTGACGTCTTGCGTGATATCCTGCACCATCGCTTCGGACTGAGCCGCTTTCGACTTGATGTCCTGGATTTTTTGAAACAGATCCTAAGCGAAACAACAAAGATATATCGGTATCAATGATACTGCAGGAACGTCCGACGGTTGACCCGAAAAAAAAAACTAAAGTCGCTTACTTGGATGGCGTCTTTGGCTTTCTGTAATTCGTGGGCTCCTTCGCTGTCAAAGTTGGATGGCGCGTGCGTCAATCGCTCAGCTTCGGCACGGCCATCCTTAGTTTTACGCCCGAGTTTGTCCAAAACATGATCAACGGATGCCAACGATTGCTCTAAAAATTGACAAGAAAGCGTAAGCAAAGCGTACTTTTTTGGCGGAATGTAGAAAAACGGGTACCGTTTGGAAACAAGCGATTGATGAACTCGGTGGCGTTAAAGTCGGGCGAGTCGAGCGGATTTTTGACATTGAGGATGGTCAATACGCGATGCTCCAGTTCAGTGGAAACAGCATGGGATGCAGGGTCGGCCTCGTTGGCGGTTTCGCTGGCATTCATGGCGTGCTGGACATGCTTTTCGATCGAGAGCCCGCTCCTCTTCGTCTTTTCCATTTTCAAAAGCAGCCGTGCCTTGGTGTGACTTGCGAGCACCAGGTGGGGCAGGATAAACCCCCCAAATGAAACCTAACAATGGACGCTCTTAGTCAGGGATCGTTACCTGGTCATGCAAGTCGCTCGTAGCACCAAATACAGCTTGTCCACATACAAAGTTACCAATAGATCTCTTACACTCGCATAGATGCACACATTTCTCTTTTTTGGTTTATCACAATAAATATTCATATGCATCTTGCTGCTTATGCCGGCATCTTTTAGAGCGCGTTTGTTCTTTGATGGAAAAGGCAGATAGTTCCAGTCCAGCTCCCACTATTAAGCACTGTCTCGTCAAAGCAATAGCTATTTCACTCTGTGGGCCAATTCATCCCCTAGATCCCCACCTTTCTTTCCATTGCCACGGAAGCGGATCGGAAGCTAAAATTTTTCGACCGAGTTTTTGTCTTTTTCATCACCTGGGAGCGCGTAATCACTGAAAAGATATGGTATCAATGTCATGCGACACTTGCAACGTGAGTTTTAATCGGACACGTCCGATATACCTAAAAATCTTCAAATGAATTGCTTGCATTAGGGAACAAGAGTGTTATACAGCATTTCTTTGCCACCTATTCACATATAGAGCCATAAATTTGTCAAGCAACATGTATCAATGATCAATCCGCTTATCACCAAACCTTGATCCATGCTCAGCGCATCACATTCAGAATTATTATCGCCTGGAATCACGGAAAAATTGTCGTGGCTCAGATTTGCGTGACACCATAAACTTGCAGCGTACCTGGCCTGGAGCACACAATTCGAGCAAACGTGTTTTGGGGCAGTCATTCCAAACGCGTTTTCGTTTCCAAATTGTTGTCAATATGCAAGATATAAGAACACTTGATGCGAATCGGTTGTAAATAATGGCTTCCTGTCTCGCTTCGCATACATGATGAAATCACTTATATTTGCCGCTGCTCTTTGCTTATCTTCGGTGCTCGCTCAAGAAACTGTAGGCCGAGGAATGGCATGCGCGATATGGAGAAAAGAAGGTGCGATCACTAAAACACAGGCTTGCCAATCCGGCCTCACTTGTTATGGCTTTGGGCCCGGCGAAATTCTGACCGTTGGTGGCAGCATTCATCACACGAACTTTGACCTTTACCGAGGTGTTTGCATCAATATGCGAGATATCCAAAGACCCTAGTCCTACCAACACTCATGGCGAGTTCCGTCTACCGGTTTCTTATTGAGCGAGTACTGTCCTCGAAATTAAGCTAAAATCCCATGTCGCTTTTTTTTCATCTCTCCCATTCATACTGTAGTCCTGCATTTATGAATATTATCTTTTACTAAATAAAACGTAAAATGAAATTTCGTTACTAATTGGCAAATGGCAAGCGTTGAATGTTTTTAGTGTTCAAGTGGAGAGGATGGATGTGCCGGACACGCGCGTTTTTTTATTGATTTTCTTTGTTGCTCTAAAAGGATTTTAACCAGCATGCTCCACGGTAACGGTGACGAGCTTGCCGTCGACGATGGTGGTCTTGAATTGTTCAGGCACAGGCACTTCTTTGAAATCAGAGGTCTCGTCATCAACATCTTCCGGGATCAATACGTTAAGAGAAGTGGACTTGGCCGACAAAATCTCAACATCCAGACATTCCTTGGAAAGATAGATCTCGCCGCCGTCACATTTATCAACGGCAATGGTGGGTGTGAAATTGAACACTTGCAAGCCAAACGATTTACAGTTGACCAAATCAACGGTGGACACGGTGGAATCCAATGCAATACCACACTTTACGCAAGAATCTAATTTGTCGGAGGTTAGACATAATCAGGGCACCAGGAATGGTTGTGTTCGATTGCCGTAACTTACCCACCGAGACCGCGTTTACTTTGCCCTTGATGCGAATGGTGGAATTCTTGCATCCAAAAATGTAAACGGCTTGGTTGATGGCGGTTTCTTCAATGACAATTTCACTGTTATTTTCGTGGTACTCGACGACCCATTTGTTGGCTTCCAAGGTGGTCTTGGCGGGTTTCTTGAGCACATATTTATTGGGCTTGTTGGGGGTTGGTGGGGCTTGTTTTCTGGCCGATACATCAGCTGCACCTGCGGCGCGAAGTTCCGGGTTCTTGTGCGTCATTTGGCTTTTATCGACCTTGCGTAAACCGGCCGTCACACTCTCGCCCTTGTTTATTTCAGCAAACACGGCCGCTGCTCCACTCGGTTGAGCGGGTTCGTCATCAAAAGCCATTGGTGGAGGAGGTGGGGGTGGGGGCGGCGCACCGCCAGCGGGAGGAGCAGGTGCAGCCGGTGATGCACTGGGGGCCGGAGCTGAAGGGGCCGCTTGTCCAATGAAAGCATCAACCTTTTGTCCTTTAGCGTTCCAGGTTAATCCGGTGGGATGGTTTTCCTTTACATAACGACCCAAAGCTTCCAAGGTAGCAAGGAAAGCCTGTGTCCATTCCACATGCTTAGTATCCCTAAGTGGCAGATACAGACACACCCATGGTCAATTTCTTCCACGCATCCAGCATGCATCAAGCACTCATCGTCAACATCTTCGCACTTACTTTTCCTTCCACTCCTTCACAACACGATTGGAATAGAATTGGGCGGCATCTTTCATATCACGAATAAAAGGCACAGGCGTAGGTTCCTACAAGGCCCAAAGTTATTCATTATTCAATAGTATGAAATCATCACCCGATCGGGTCACGAATTGACCTACCACCGTGAACCATCCTAATGCGGGGACACCTTCGGCTACAGTGCTCAAGTGATTGAAAAGGGTATCGCCGCGGTTGTTATTTTTGATATCGATGATGGTGGCCAAGGCGCCTTGAATAGGTTCGATGAGTTTCATAAACGTGCTAGAAGACATGTCTGGCTTTTGAGCCAAACATGAAATGCGGATGATTTCTCGCTCGGCTTTAAAAGCTTCAGCTACAGCTGATGCCTAAACAAAAAAAAAAATGCATGATAACCAGAATAATAAAAGATCATGGAAAGTCAGTTGGGGAATTCCTGCAAAACCGTGACCCGACAGATTTTGCCTTACCTGGTCAGCTACCAAGCCGCCAATTTCTTGAGACAGTTTCAAGAACTGGTCGAGCGATGGATTCACAACTTCATCATGCTTTTCGACTGCCAGAGGAATGTCACTGGAAGCCGATGAGCTTGTGGTGGCAGCAGGAGGAGCGGCCGGGGCGGAAGAAGCAGGAGCAGAAGCCGACACAGCCGAAGCAGAAGAGGCTGACATGGCCAAGTCTTCCAATCGTGTCGTGGCTACTTCAAGTCGTTTGATGAGATTGGCTAGAGAATGAAATTCTGACATGACGTCGATAAAAAAAAAAAGAGAAAAAAAGCTGGAGAAGAACCAGGAAAAAAAAGGTGAGAAATGGGGCACCCTTGCGCCCGTATGCTGAATTGGGTGGGCCAGCGGAGTGTGACCGAAACCATGACGTTACACAGCCAATCTGTCGTTTTGCTATTTTTGGCAACCGCCGCTTTCGGTCGCTTTTCTTTTCAGACGATCCTTTGAATGGAAATCTTCCATTTCTTTGCTGTGCTGAACAACGCAACAACCCAACATTAACGCCACTTTTCTTTATACACAACTTGACTCTATTTTTGTGAGAGAGCAGTATATATTAGTGTATATAAGTGGATTTGACGGGCTTCACTATGGACAGCAATAGTTGGATAGATGAAAAATGCGTCTTGGTGTGAATGAATTGAGCATGAATTGGTATCAATTTTTTAATGAGCTGTCAGAAATAACCAAGCCACCCCACTCGAATGCCAGTGCTGTGCAGACCGTTAATACTTGCGAAAACATAAAACACTAGGCCAAATCGCCCTTTGACCAAAAAAAAAATAAAAAAAATAAAAAAAATAAAAAAAAAAAATTGCATACTGCACTGTATTCCAACCCCATATGAACACCGCGTTGACCTATTCGAGTTGGAGCCAGTTCCATTGAAATTAGTATCGTTGTCCCCTTCCACTGTAGTTATATTTCTGCTTGAGATGAGAAACAGCAACACCGGTTATAAGATTGGTCCTCAAGGCGATAAAAAATAGGTACATCAAATAATGGCTGTCTCGTAAGGATGTATGCTGTAAATAAAGAAGAATGGGGATATCGCAGTTATCCGGACGCTTCCTCCATTCGTACCACTGACCATCTATGCTGAGGAAAATTTCGCAAATTTTTTGATCTACTAAATGAGGTACCGCCATGGCAAGGGTAAGTTGTGAATAAAAAAGTAAAAGATGTTGCACTTTTGGCATTACTTGTCCTTGTAATAAGAAATCGGTTGCATATCGTTTATTTACGATTCAATTGGCTGCAATGAAAAATATATTCATTGGCCAAGTGAACATATCACGTAATCAACTCCGAACCTGCAAACCGAATGGCCCGAGTGAATTTACACGCCTCAAATGTTCAATGCAGATTGAAACCATATTCACAACAATAAAAAATTTTTGGTATTCGTGGGGTCCCGTTGCCCTGCAAAAAAAAATAACAGGAGCCATCCTCAGTTTGATAATTTTATAGCACGCATGGAAGACAATTGCATCAGCACAGACGCGTCAGCGACAGTTTTGTCTTTTTAGACGTGCGTCAGTCTATGTGATAATGATGCCGTTTCACTGTCATGGCAAAAAAAAAAAACCAAATAATTAAGTATTGGCATAACAACATGATCGACCATGACGTCTCTCGCTGCGGAGGTTGCTTCATGTCGCCTGATGCACAAGTATAAGCTGAACAAAGGTACTTTTTGCCCAGCCAGCACCTTCATAAATGCTTGGTCGGTGATGAGTTCTTTTCCGCAGCAATGTACTGCGCAAGTGAATTGGGTTTTTTGCTACTCTCCTTCTCTTTCGTCGTTTCATCACTTTTTTTCCCTGGTCCACTTTGTTGGAAGTTTTGAAATGCTCTCTCCACTGTCAATAAGTCCACAATTGCTTACACTTGCACGTTTTGTATACCCCATCGCCGCTCCTCATTCTGGGTTGGTCAACGTTTTGCTTGGCCATGCATAATCCCTGTATGATTTCGTCCAAGGTTGTTCTCCAACACTGATGTCAATCTTTTGATTGCGGGTGGGTTGTACTTTTCTTATTTCAAAGTTACGCGTTGAGCAAGCTACTCTTTGAGTACGCTTTTGAGACCCAAAGACTCCACACGCTACAGATATGTAGTGAGTAGTCTCACGTCAGGGCTTGTGGCTTATGCTGCCTAGAGGGCCTCCGAGCCGACGTCGGATGAAAGATACCCCCCCTATTGCGACGCAGGGACCCCGACGACTGTTGCTGACGAAGTGGGGTCATCTCATCAACACGAGGGGTGTCGAACTGTTGGGATCTGAGGCAAAACGATATCTGTTCTCCTAGAGGGTTCCGATTGAAAGTCAAGTGGCGTCCCAGTTGATAGCCGCTTGTTTTGGTGACCTACTTGCGGAAGGCCTGGTTGTGCCTACATCGACATTAATCGTCTGCGCAAACTGCCGCAGTAAATGGGTAACAGAGCCTCATGTCTTCCATTTACAACAATAGAAAAAAACTTTTATTATCGCATATTGTTCTTTTGTGACAAGGTTATTTTTCGAGTTGCCCATATATCCGGCTCCTTTGTGCCCTCAGTGCCAATCCGAAAATAATATCACGAAGCCTTTGATATGAGAGGAGAGAAAAGGCTTTGAAACCTATAGTTCGAACCTTATCCTATTTCTTTGTCGTGTTTTCCTTTTTTTGTTCTTTTTTTTTTTGGTCTTTCATCAACATCGGGTAAGCCGAAATGGTTCGTTAGAGGTCACATTATTTATTACATCCGTCATATTGTTGACAAATGAAGCAAAGTAAAGTATAACTCTCAAGAAAACTGGAGCTAGTCGGTCTAAATGAAAAATATCAGTTTCAATGCCACACAACTGCTGATTACCCGCGTCTGTCGGCTTACCTTGATGGAACCATAAATAATGCGAAGAAGTACAAACGTACTCAGGAATCCTAGCGTACCAAATGTCACCGCATACAGCACAAAGGCTATGATGTTGTACCCGAAAAATAAAGCAGCGGCCGTAATACCCACTCCTCCTTCCGAAAAATGCTGGATGAAGGAGATGCTACATAGTTTTCGAACCACGTAAGCATGTTTCACTCAATTAATGTAGAGCATCACTTACATGATAATCCCTCCAGCGGACACAGCTGAGTGAAAAAATGAACGCCACCACCAGTGATGATCCTATCCATTCATGCGTGAGCGTCTCTCGTTTCATCTTTCGATCTAACTGTATTTACCTCGTAGTTGAGACACAAATAGGTTACCACCAGGGTGGATCCGATAGTCACAAACGTACTCATCAGTAACACCAAAGCGAGATATCCATACGTCCAATAGAATTCGCCGCGCCACATAAATCGAGTCAAGTCAATGTACTCACTAATGTAAATATAGAAAGGCAGGATCATGCAGATGGGTAGACTAGAATTACAGTACAGTGAGTCGAACGCATGAGTATTTTATCGAAAGATTAATCCTCACTCACGTAATATAGCTTCGAAAACACCAAGGCTTTGGTGGAATGGTTCTAGCAAGATCCGACACTTCCACTGGTATATTATACGTTTTTCGGCCGCTGATCATTGCACCTATCAGCGCCAACAACCCGCTTACGCCAAATGCAACAATCAGGGCAACCATCCAAGTGCCGAAAGGAATAGCCAACGATGATCCATCCATCCACGCAATTGTGCTTACACCGAAACGGAGCACGAAGATAATTCCAGGCACGAAGGAAACGTACTATAATCTTCCGTCAATACGACGTTTTGACTTGATTCTTTCATGAGCCAACTTACGTGGACAACTTGATACAGCAACGACGTTCGACACCGAAGCAGAGAATGCATGTAACCAACAACATAACCCGCGACCAATCTGGAAAATGTGCGCGCTTAGTATGCAATCGCTTGTCCCACCGTTATAGGTTTCGACACTCACCCAAAAAACGGATATAAAACAAATGCCACCGTGAGTAAACCGCCGCGGTACGCGGGACTCAAAAAACCACACAACATGATTCCTGGGACCGCCAAGCATCAGTTAATTCCGATCTTACGAACAAGCAAGCAGGGATGAATAAGCACTTACCGATCAGCGTACACAAGGTGAGCGAAAATTGAACACCAAAACCCAGTAACGAGATCAATAAAGTGGCGAATCGCGGAGTGCGAAATACATCGGCATGGAGCAGTTTCCATGCACCGTGCGTCCAATGCAGAACGAAACCATCGGAAACCTGCGTGGTGCTTCTACTTGCGTCGCCACGTTGGATATCCACACGCAGTTTCTTTGCAACCACCGCAACAAAGATGCACGTAATGATCATGGCATACACGAATCTCTCGTAGATGGAGTACCAATGCACATAAGACTGCTGATGAAGGACATCATTCCAACGTTCCTTGGGAGATACTGGATGAAGCTGCAAAAAACATGTTGTCAAAACCAAATAGTCGCGAAAAAACAGCAACGCACGTTTTCATGCTGACTTACGCTCTGACGCCAAAATACAGAATACGAGTATGTCAAGGAATTGGTTTCATTGGGTTGCATGATCATGGCCGGCGCTGAGGACTTTTGTTTCAACGTTGTTGCTGTCATACAATTGCTGGGATCATCAATGCTTGGATTGAAAACTTTTTGAGTGGATTGTCTTTCTTATAATGGACCATAGAGAATACGTACGATTGAGCACTCGCGTTGACACCGACAATGTAGGCTTTGGAGGGATCCTCCGTGTCCAGCACGTAATCAATCCACAGGGACATATGATTCATAATGGCTGTTTCTTCGATATTCCTGAAGGATGGAATGGGGCGGAATCCCTTTGCTCCCTCTGTCAAAGGAACAGCTGTCAATCGCATATATAGGAAACCGTTATGCTCTTCAAAATAAGTAACAGGAAGATTGTCGACGACCCTGTTCGTATGTTATTTTTTATTACATGGATCCATAGCCAACCAGAAAAGGACCCTTTTCCAGATGCTTACCATTCCGCGCCATAGCCACTGTCCCCCATTGAAATCAGTTTTCTGCTTGTTTTCGGTGACAATTCCACGGTACACAAAAGCTGGCATGTATCGTTTCTACCCATATATAACTTCATGATAGAGTAAGATACTGTGAGCTGCTGATAAACGGGTTTGCCATGGCTTACTTCATGGTCGGTGGCGGTCCAACTGTCGCCTTGCAATACTTGGCCAATGTTCAGCCACGCATCCTTGGGAGTGAAAGATGAACGTGGACACACAAACGGAAGGTCGTTGTATCCGTATGTGAGAAGACTCTGCCACGAAATGAGTTTGTTGAACTTGATAGGAACACGCTCACCCATCTTGTAAGCGCGGTACGTATCACCTCCAATGTAGAACGCCTGGGAAGGCACCATCATCAAGAATAAGCATCCAATCACCCAGCCAACTAACCCACTGGCCAGCCGTGCCATTTCAATTGAAAATTCTAAAAAGGGAAGACAGCAAGTAAAAAAGGTAGTGCAATGCTCAGCAAGAAAAGGGCCTTTTTTATGGAGTTGCACGCGGTACGTAGTACGAGCGACTCAAAGGGCAATGAAGTGTGCGACCATGGTTATGGCAACTTTATTCTATCCAGGGCGGCTTTTAAAATTGTCTGGCTCTGTTCAATCTCTTGCAGAATCTCTGGATCGCTGTCAAACGTTTGCCGTACACGATGGAAAACATCCTCAATCAATACTTGTGCGGCTTGATTCCAATGCTTGTCTTTGATCCTGTGCCCCAGACACTCGGCCAATCGATGGGCGGCCGTCATGGACATGTCGAGAAACGTCGATTTTGTGTGTGTCTGTTCTTCCGATAACACGACTCCATCATTGGTGAACTCGGTGCAAAATGGTCGATACAGCAGAATTTGCGTGATGTTGTAGATCATGTGTATATGCCAGTACTGCGTAGGAAGTTCCGTCGTGTCACTGCTTATCGTTGCTTTCCATTGCGCCCAAGAAGGCAGTTGCTGTTCCCAATTTTCCAGATCGCGAACCAGGGACAAGACATCATCGACGTCCAGTTTTCGAACGAGCATGGGTGGATTGCGGCACTCATCGATATTCACTTTGTAAAACAGTCCAAGCACGTTATCCAGAAGATGGATCAACTCCGTTTGAATTCCAAGACTGGCAATGCGTTGTACAGATGACTGCTTCAGCTGCGCCGCCACATGCCACATCTCCGTCAAGGTGCCACCTCCCAGCGGCGGACACTGGCACCAGAAAATCGAGACGTAGACGTTGAGGTGGACAAGACAGGAGATAAGAATCGACCAACAGGGATCGGCCAGCGATCGCCAGTCATTGGTACAAAGTAAAGACCGTACAGCGATGTGCATCAGTGACTGTATACATGCCGTGTCGTTCATGACAGTGTGAACCCAGGCAAGCACGGTCGCACACAAAGGGTAGACATAGCCCGGTGAGCCATCCAGTTGCAGTAAACCGTCAATTAATAAACTAGTGGCATAAGCAGCCATGGGCTGCCACGATATGCTGGGGGACGGTCCAGAGGGAGGATCCAATAATGAGACGGAGGCAATGTAAGCGGTGACAACGGATAATCGCCAGGGAATGTAATCGTGACTGTCGATCAAAGGAGCAGGTGCCAAGGATAGTGGATATAATTCTTTCAGGAGCGGAAGAAGGTGAGGAAAAGGCGTAGGTTGATCGGAAATGAGATGAGATTTGGATTCTATTTCGTGAACAAAGTGAGCAAGATGAGGGTCAAAGGTGGTTTGCGATGGATCAATGACCGCAGTCGATATTCGAGACGATGCGGGTGGGGTGACAGGACTTGATGGAAGCAAGGACTCGATGGAGAAGATGGGCACCGTGACGAGATATTCGTCCTCCTCCAGTTCGTAATCGCTTTCGTATTCTGCGTCATGATCGATATCCCATCCACTGGGTAGATATTCTTCACCAAAATCACGACACAACTGGTGGGCTAGATCGTAAGCCACACTGCGAAATTCTGTCAAGGTTCGGGCGCATGTCTGAAGCGACAGCCCATCAATGCTCAAAACGATGGACCAATTGGAAGGTGGGGTTTCGTGATCGGCCGTTAACGATGGTGGATCCGCGGAAGGAAGACGCGATGAACAATCAAAGGAAACAGAGACCATGGGCGACTCGGTAAGTGGCGTCGGGCTGGTGTCGGGCTTATTGTCGTGGTCATCCGCAAGGTCTTGATCGTCATTCATCGTATGCATATACTTGTCGAGAAAATGACCTTCCAATTCCCGAAGTGTGTCATACAGATCCAGGACCTTTTGCGATAAATTCGTCAGATTTGGCGGGGCATCCGGGTATTCACACTACGAGACAAAAACCAAGAAGCAGCATGAGCACACACGTTCCATGAAAGGAAACTCATTACTATTGCTAACTTACCGTCTGATTGGAACGAGCGCAGCGTAGACATGTCGGCCTTGTTTTGGAACATCTAAAAGGATCGCGTTGGCATGGACCACCTTGAGTGAGAATGGGAAGTTCTTTCTCCCCCAAACCCCCCTTTTTTATGCCTTTTCTTGTCAGACAGAGAACAAAAAAAAAGGTACAACGTACTTTGCTTTCTTTTTCCGGCATCGTAAGCAACTGAGGTCTTTATTGGTTACATGCTGAGATGCTGCCGTTGTATCGGGTATCAATGTCTTTGATTTTGACATTATGAAGAGGCAACCGTGCACAATGGCGCCATTAAATTTTTGAGACTTCTTACTTTTCCCTGGTGTCCTGCCGACAAGGGCTTCCCAACCGGCCCGGAAAATGTATGTCCCGCTCCAACCCTTGGCCAATAAGATTCATGGACCTGTGTGCCACAGATCGACGGTCCGTGGAAAAAACTAGACTCAAGATGAAAATGGCAGGCATTCACCCATATAATAACTCTGTGTACATGGCTTCAATGAACAGCAATAAAGCTTGCAAGAACGCTGTATCAATGATAAATCTCACAATATGACATCGCAAAACCAGAAAAAGAGAAAGGGTTAAGAAAAACTTTAACGTGTTCGATTTTATATCGGACTGAACGAGTGGTTATTGTGCGGGCTGTCGTTAAACATGCTATGCGTCATAAAGATTACCTTTTAGGAGAGCTAAATAGAGGATGAGCGCTTATTGATTTTTTGCACCTGGGGGGTACTCCCTTTATTCTTTTCTAGTCCGAAGTTTTATTGTGGCATGGTTTCATCTCTCTTTGTTGTGGATCGTATTGGATGACTGAATTGATCAATGATACTATGGTGGGGTCGTTTTCCAGTCTTGCTTCTGGAGCAACCTTGACTGAAGGGCAATCTTCTTCTTCTTCTCCCTCTTCCAATAAGCCACCCCAACCTTTATCTACACTAGTTCCTCCCAAAGCCGTCAGTACCCGTTCATCATGGTCGGTGCGCACATTCAAAAGACCCAGCATTGCTTCTATCCCTTACTTCACTTCCAACCTTTCGGTGAATAGCAAAAAGTCCAGTCTGGCCCCTTCAAGGCCAAGCACGCCGGCCTCTCGAGATCCAAACCCTATTACGATATTGAGTTCTTCGCGCCAACCAAGTTCCAGACGGACCATCACGATTCCCTCCAAGCTTGAGGACCTGCCTTACCAAGACAGTTATCTGCCCATGCCCCATGCAATGGCAGCCGAAAATGAAAAATTGGAACAGGCTGATTCTCCTTTTCCAACCTTGAACGATTTAGTTTTCGAAAAGAAGAAAAAGGTCGTTCTTTTGTTAAGCCAGGGACTGCTCAAATGCGGTTGTCCTTGCCACCGAGTGGTAAGTGGTACCCCCCCCCCCTCCCCTTTATTGTCCATTCTTCGTCAATTAATATCATGGATCACAGGAAGATACACTCCAGCACACGGCAAGCAGCCTTGGCATCAATGCGTCTTTTTCATTTTTGCCAGATTCGGTGCTGATTACTTTTAGTCATCCTGAAGATGACAGTGACACTCAATCTGTCATGGTCAAATCACCCCAAAGTTATGATACCGGGAAAATCGGGCAAATCAATCGTACGATGAACTCGCTTCACAAGGACGAGATGGATATTGACACATGTATCACACGGCTAAGCGAGATCATGGCCGCTCCACCGACCTGCGGCTTCATTGCGACGTGCCTCGCCTTTTCACTGAGTGCCTTTTCAGCGTCGGCCCTTTTATTTAGTGGGTCATGGATGGATGCCGGTGTGAGTGGGGCTTTGGGGTTGATCGTTGCTTTATTATTTATTCTTTCCAATCATTACCCGATTTACGGTCGCGTGTTTGAAGTGTCGTCTTCCGTCATTGTCGCTCTGATTGCGCGGGCATTACATCGGTATTGCTGTTTCACCAGCGTCGCCGTTTCGGCTATCCTCATTCTTCTTCCAGGATATGCCATGACTATGGCCGTGGTATGGAACCTTCTTGGACTTTCTTCTTTTTCAGATGCATCCCTTGGTGAAGCCTTTTTCTTTTTTACTTACTTTTTACTTTTATGCGAAATAGGTGGAATTATCTGCTCGCCATGTGACCACGGGTACGATTCGATTGGTGTATTCCATTGTGTATGCTTTTGTGCTGGCTTACGGTCTCCAAGTCGGCAGTAGTGTGTACAGTGCGATCGATCCCAGCGTGTCCGATCAGGATACCTGTGCTAATGCTGTGTCACCTTGGTTTTATATTCCGCTGTTTCCTCTTTTGAGTATTTCCATTGCCCTGTCATTTGGTTCCTCGCACAAACAATGGCCCACACAGACCTTTTGCGCGGCCATTGGTTTTTGTCTCTCATATTTTTTGGGTCACATTATCCCGGACAGTCAAGTTGTCGGTAGCTTGGCCTCCTTTGCCGTTGGTTTGTATGCCAATTTCGCGCTCAAGATCACCGGTGAAGCACCACTCGTGCCTTTATGCGTTGGCGTCACGTTACTTGTGCCCGGGAGTATAGGTAAATAACAAAAAAAACCGAGCAAGCTAAAATTGGTTGATTGGTCACTTAAAAACTCAATCCTTTTTTTTTTTTTTTTTTTGTAAAAAATCAGGTGTCCGTGGAGCGTATGCGCTTTTACATCAAGATGATCTTGGTCACAGTCTATTTCCTTTGCAAATGCTGACAATTGCTTTGGGTCTATCGACGGGACTATTCGCTGCGGCCATGATCGTTTATCCATCCGGTAAAAAACGCTCACTGTACATTTCCTTTTAAAAACATAATATGAAACCTGCGCTATCATTATGCGTATGAGTTCCAAAAGTGGGTTCTCATCCACTTTAGCTATGAAAAAAAAATCACGAAAGCACACCCCATTCCCTCTCACCGTTGTCACAGTATTCTCTATGTATTCGGACAACAGCCCATCCAATAAACATTCTTCAAAAGCATTCATTTTGCCTTCACGGTCACCACGCGATTCGTTCTTGACCGTCACGGCGGTTGATAACGACGACGATCGCCACTTGGGAATCGATCATTACCCTCAGCATCGTCCAAGTCGTCCAAGTTCCCAGTACAGTCCTAGCCCAAGTTCACAATACAGTCAACATTCAAGTCCTCAGCACAGTCATCGTCCAAGTTCTCAGTACAGTCGTTTACGACCCTTAACGCCATCGTCGCGATCCAACAGTGTCGAAAACTTGCGACATGCCATGCGTCAAGCCGAAGCTTTGCAGCAAGGGTTTGAAGAAATGGAAATGACCGTTTCTCCACATCACAGCCCAGATTCCAGCAACAGTTCAACCGCCATTTCCCGTCGTCGCTCTTTTGCCAAGTAAGTAGTCTCCTGTTGCCTTGGTACTTTTCAATTGAACCTCGTTCTCAATACTCCTTAGTATTCCGCGTGAAGAGTATGCTGCTTTACCGCCATGTTTCATTGATTGCCCGATGGTCATGGATTCGCTTCAGTTGCCAGTGCCAACGCCTGTACGCGAATATCTGGCAGAACCGGATCCGAAAGTGTTGGAAGCAATGCCGGTTCTTCCGTATCCATTGCGCGTCCGCCAGCCAGTCACTCGACGAATAGAACGTTCCCATATGTTCGACCAACATCCACGCGCCAAAATCATCAATACCACCAAACGTCACAGTCTCGCTTCGGGACAAATCGATCGTCTCGTTCATGCCAATCGAGAGACCCTGACCCCGCCCAAAGACACGTCCCTTGCTTATGAAAATATACCGTGGATCCCCAGCGATATATACTGGCAAGAACAATTGGTCGATCCCAATCCATTCCGCCACCCGCCACGTCATGGCTAGCGATATTTTTAAAAGAACATGGATCGATGATGATGATTTATTATTTATTTTCTCGAGGAAAATGGAGGAGATAAGCCAAAAGCATGCGGGGTTTACCAGGTTTGTGTGATGAACAGATGGTACACTTGACTGCGATATTCAGGTGCCATGGTTTCGGACATGGTAATATTGACGGTGACGTTGATTTTAAAGGTATTCATCCCGCGTAGTAATGGAGCACTTTTCCAACTCGGTGGGTCATTGGGTTCCGCCTCCATATTCAATTTGCAATTATTCTGTAAAATCGCAATCGATACCCGCTGGTTGTGTGTTCGTAGCGTGTCACTCAAAAACGGACAAATCGTGATGGTGTCCACGCGTGACGGCAACGTGAGACTGTGCCCAGTAAAGTCGCCGTTGACCGTCCAATCCAACGTCTTGTTCGCCGCAATGCAAACCTTGGACAGTAATTGTACTATACCATTCAATCGAAATACGATGCGTTAGAAATGGCTCTATTTTTTTTTTATCTACATATGAAAAAAACAAGCCGGCGTGAATATCCGTCTTACATTTGTTTGTACCGTATTGGAAGAATTCGTAGAATGCGGGTGACGCGGTGGGTAATCGATGGTGGGCTTGATCAATGATCATGGGAGACCGCCTCATTTCTTGCATAGGTTCCTGGATAGGGGCTTGGGCAATGGGGGATGGTTGCACGTAAGGCGCCATCATTTCGGTGGGGAAAGGCGGGTTAGGCGGTGGAAGTGGGGTAGGCATCATCATGGGTGGCGGTGCCATGACTGACATCGGTCCCATTTGAATGTACTGGCGTGGTGGTCGCATCATATCCGGTTCGATGCTCTGCATTCGTGGTTTACTTGAACCCCGTTTATTGCGTCGTCTCTCATCTGCTGACGATCCGCTGGCATCGAAAGGACGATCGGTAAGACTCAGGCGCATGACATCCGCCTCCTGACTCTCAGGAACACCTTCTTTTACAAGTCCCCGATCCTTTAGACGATGCAACAATCGCTACATAATGGTGCACAGTTCAGATGACAATCTTGTAAAAACAATCTTTTTGGCGTTTGCCTTACCAAAAGCAATTTGGCATCTCGGTAGACTCGCGATCCAGGTTCATTGTATTCCATGGCATTCTCAAATACGCGTTCCATGTCCCTGTACCAGTCGCGTAGCGTAGGATACTTTTGATGTCTCATCCTTTCCTATACAACCATATTCACATCCCACATCCAACATTATTAAACATGCCTTCATTTACAAAAGAAAAAAGTCACTCACGTCGATCATGGATAATGAACGAGGTTGCTTGATGGCCAAGTAATAATCAGGATATTCATTGCGATCAGGCAGGACTTCGAATATCTCCGAATACAATCGTCCACTATTTCATGTTAAACATATCATGTATTCGAATCAATCATACGTTGCATTTTTGGGTTGGCATTTTTATTTTGTTTCATTTACCTGTTGTCGGTGTGAATGCGTACGGCGTGGAAGAGTTCTTTCATAAAAGCGATGGGATCAAAGTCTTCTAGGTCGATTTCTTCCACGGGCTTCAGTGCGGCCGCCAAACTCTCGACTTCACTTTTGGGGGGTCGGCCACGTCGTTTTCTTCCTGGTTGGCCCGGTAAGATGACAGACGTACCTGTACTTGCAAAAGACGAGGCATCACGATCGTCCGAGGCCGGTGAAGGAGATTCTTGGGACATCGTTTTGTGTTCAGGCGGTGTCACTGATTTGCCGCCGGGGGTGGTGACAGCGGATCCAGAGGTAGAAGGCGCCTTTTCGGGCGACACTGTTTTGCTTTTGGGAGGATAAGGGCCTTTGAAAATGCCGATCCATCGAGGATCGTCCTGATCAGAGACAACATCAAACGGGACTTGATCCACCTTGTTTTTCGCCTTTTTATTCGCCTTATACTGATCAATCAGTAATCTGGCCACCTTGTCTCTGTCTGTATAAAAAGAAAACCAAAGATCTATGAGTCCTCGTTCCCGTGTGGCTTTCTGCGTGTGTAGCTTCTCTTACCGCCGTATGCTGCCCAGCCCAGAGGTGTCGCGGAATACCATGTATCATGCAATTCAACATCTGCACCACGCGCCAGTAAGGCTTGGCACAGTTTGACGTCGCCATAATAGGCCGCCGCATGCAATGGTCCCCACGTGAATTGGTCGTTAAACATTTCCACTTTATCTAGTTCGTTCACATCCAGCGACGGTTCCGATTCCAATATTTCGAGCGCATGTTTTGAATCGCGCTTGCTAATAGCGGTAATAAGATCCTGGACATAATATACTGAGATGATCATGTGAGTTTTCAGAGCTCCACGCGGGGTTTCTTTTGACTTGTATGTTCTTGTACCTCGTTTTGGTTGCCGTTCGACAGCACGCAGGCGAATGGACTTGATTTTATTTTCGGTGGGTGGGGTTGACACATTGCGTCCAAATGCTCCACCAGGGAGTTTGAGAACGGTTTTGGGTTCTGTGCCTGAAGCCGGACTTGACTTGTCTTCTGTAGGCGACCACGCTTTGGTGAATTTCTGCATGACGCAACAGGTCAATGGTACGGATGTGAATTCACGGCCTCGTTTTTCATCCTACCTGTATTGCTACAGCGTCCTCGTAGACTTGGGATTCCTTGATGTTGTATTTTTTCGCATTGGACACCATCAGTTCGATATCCGCTTTTAATTGGCTCAACGATGAATATTCATGTTGATCCAATTTGATCTGCATAAATCATTAACCACTAAAACTTTGGACAATAACACTATACGTAGTGAGTAATGGCTTGTTACATACTTTGATGCCGTTTAGAGCGATCGGTTGCTTGATTACTTCATAATAATCAGGGTACTGTCGTCTCGGAGGTAATTGCTGGAATAGTTCGGTGACGAGATGATCGCTACATGCCGAGGGGTGGTCAATGGAACATGATGACGCACGGCGCTTGTGCAATTTACTCACCCACTGTCGTCTTTTAGTTTTTGTAATTCTTTATATAATTGCTTGCACTGAGTGTGAACTGTGCTGGAAGAGGAACCGGTTCGGGTCTAAGGACAATTAACCGTCAGTGGATCTTTCCGCCTTTGGTGCTTCTCTCTACGCTTTTTCACCTTTTCGTCCTTTTTAGACCTTTTTCGTTCTCTGTAGTCTTTGTCCACAGCACTTTGGCGCTTGGGTCGGCTTTCCATCCTACAAAGGTAACACGAAAAAAAAAAGACAAAGATGAATAACTGGTCCCTTGTTATCTTGAAAAACATGATTCACGCAGCCTTTGGCGCCTCTTAATTTCCCAAATGGCGTTTGACCATAATTTTTTTTCTATGGTGGGCGTCGCATTGTAACATGATTGGATGATTTACCTTGCTGAGAAGAGGTCAAGGTAATCAGTACGCGATCGATACTTGCTTTGGCTCGCATTTCCCTTTAGGTCGCTTTTCAGCGTCACGTTTGGCGGACTTTTAAAAAATACACTGTGTTGCCCCAATATAGTGATTCAATGCAGTGATTGTCATCGGACAATAATCCACTCATTCGTACAACAACCTTTGAAAGCATGGGGAGAAGATTCATTATATTTTTCGTTGAGAGGCAAACATACAAGATGGAATAAATACATATAGTTCACATGAATATTCTATGGAATTCAAAGAGTGAGGACTGGTTTTTCTTTTTTTTTCATGATTTAACCTTGATCACTGGCGATAACCAGGTGTCAAAATCATCCGGATTTAGAATATTGCCAAAGGGTCGAAGAGCATGAATTTTTAGACGGTAGGCTCCTGGCGCCAGCTGGGTACCGACGAGTGGGGATGCTTTCTTTCGAGCAATGGAAGCCGCATCGAGCTTTGGCACGATCCGCTGAGCTTTATGCATCGCTTGATCGGGGGTGTCAGCAATATTACCGTACCAGGGCATCATAAACAGATCGTCAGGATCTTCGAGGACATTGCGTCCAACATAGGTCACATAGCCTCCTGGCACAAGACCGTACGACTCTGACGCGTTCTTGGCATCCACAGCAATAATGTAGAGCAAAGCAGACGGTTCTGCCAGTTGTAACCGAATAATGGCCGGCGATATACTCGTGGCGTGGGTAGAGATGACGGATGGCATGGTTTCGTTAATATTGAGCACAGGTAAGGTCGATAGACTACTGGTGAATCCCGCATACGGAAGATACAGTACTTCCTCGGACCCTCCATTCTTTTCAATCACAAGGTACCCGGAATAAATAGAAGGTGGAATCGCATCGGCGGCTGCCGGTGGATTGATATGTACCGACACATTGGCTTGCTCGTTCGCTTCAACTGTTACCACCGGATGCGGGATCTGCACGGTTGCTTGCAACGAGGCGTCGGCCGGCAACAAGATTGGACTAGCTAACGGATAGATGCGGTTCGCAATTGTATTGTTTCCAAATCCTTGAGCGGTTCCGGAAGACATATGTTTGATATGGTACTTGGCAGACATGCGACCATTGTTTTTGATGGTGAATGTGTATTTGTTGCCCGGGGCAGCATGTGCTTGGTCGTTCAATCGAATTTGCTCAGGATGAAGCGCCGTCGTGGATCGAAGCGCTTGATAAACATCAATCAATCCACCGCCTTGCCGTGCCACCGAATCATAAATGGTGTCGTTGAATACTTTGAATGGATGTGCATTATTGATAAGCATGGTCCGCAGTACATTGACGGGAATGCTTCGACCGCCTCCTCTCGCTTGTTGTAAAAGGGCTACAATTCCTGCCACATGAGGACTGGCCATACTCGTTCCACTAGACATGTCAAAAAAAAAGGCTCAGTTCCTGATGACATGGTTCATTTAATTCGCCATGTATTTTTACCTTAGTGTCGCATATTCGCCCAAGTCCAAAGGATATCTGAACAATAAGATGGCTTTTTAAGATAAAGAAAATATTTTGGTTCTACAGTGGGCAACTTACGTCGAATATATCTGGCCGCCTGGTGCACTTACGTCAGGCTTGATACTAAGATCTGGTCCTAGACCCCATGAACTGAATGGACTGATGGTACCTACAGAATTCGGAAACAATACACAAGGAGAAATCGAGTTCAGCATCGGGGGTTATGGATCAAATTCCTTGAAGCAAAAAACGAACCTGCCGTGGGCACCGAAAAACTAATGTCTTCTTCAAAGAACTCGGCTTGAAGATCAGTACCATTGGTTAAAAGCTGGAACAACTTTTCACCGTCTTCCAAGCTAATGCCGCCATATACAATCTTGATGGATGCATCGGTAACAGAAGGTGTCAAGACACCCGGCTTGTTGTTGTAAATGATGACTCCCGCCGCTCCGGCCCTTTGTGCATTCAAAATCTAAAACCAAAAAAGGTTAAAAACAAAGATAATGGGTATACAAACGATGGGCAGTTTTCGCGCCTGGGCAACAAATAATGACCTTTTCGGTGAATAAACAGTCGCCACGATTGATCAAGACCACCTTGTCGACCAAGTTGATATCCTGGCTGATTGGAGTACACGCATCATGGCTTGCCAAGAACGTGCTCGATAGAGGCACGATTTCCACAGACGACAAGTTGAACGGTGTTCCGGTCGCCGTGGTATAGCCTAGCCAACGGCAAGAAAAATAGCATCATTAATAAACACAAATCGCGCTTGTTTTTCCTTGTCAGCAAATAAAAAAGCTTACCGATTTTGAGTTGGTCGACTTGGAAAGCGTGGGCGAGCACGCGTGCATTGTCGATACTGGCCACGGAAATGGCATGCCGGCCTAAGGAAGGAGCACCCACTTCAAAGACGCCTTTTTCACCTTCATTGCCGGCCGCAGCACACACAGCCATGCCCTGAAGCGCTAAACGATCCGCCAGCACGGAAGCCGGCGATTCCGGCCATCCAATATCACCGAGTGATAAATTAATGACATCCATACCATCAAGGTATGCCTGTTCCATAGCCTTCATAATGACATCATCTGCACTGCTGCCAGCACACCCAAACACGCGATAAGCTCCAATGGTCACTATTATGCACAGTTAGTAAGGCGGTCAATAAAGTATGACCATCGTAAGGCGTGGTTTGTGGTTTTACCATTGGGAGCAATGCCTGTGAAATTTTTATCGAGATCATTTGCGGCAATGATGCCTTTAATAAGAAACAAGTTAATATGATTGTCAAAACCCCTTCACTACAGGAAGTCTCTTCATTTTGACATACCAGTGACATGAGTACCGTGACCATTGCAAGTATCGCGTGGATCATTATCTGGATTTGGTTGATTATCACCAGTATAATCATCACCGACAAAATCGTAACCGTAAGCGATTCGACAGTTGGGACCAAAACAACCTCCGAGAGCTGGATGCATGTAGTCGACACCTAAGTTGATTTTTACGTCAAGATGTGGGCTTCAAGACAGTATGAGGGAAGAAATGTATTACCTGTATCAATGACACCGACTTTGATTCCCGTGCCAGTCAACCTAATTGGCAGATAAAGAAAAACATCAATAGGCTAATCATTTATCTTTGCTTCAATCAAATGTTGCTCACCCCAATTCATTGTGCACGCGATGAATGCCCGTTGTATTATAGAGTTCAAATAGAGTGGGAACAATGCCATCTTGAACCACGGGGCTGGAGACAACGGACGGTTTAGCAACCGTGTTCTACGTGTGTTGTAGCAGCAATGATGAGCGGTTGGACTTTAGAAAAAAAATCGGTTGGAAACAAATGAATGATAGGCTTACCACGGGCCATATCTGTTTGATATCTTTGGCTTGTTCAAAAAAGTGTTCGGCGTCACTGGAGGTGTCAAAGGTAATGGAAACGGCATTCATGAACTCATATTCGTGACGTATTCTATAGCTGATGTTATTGGACTGCAGATGACGATGCAAGATGCTGTGGCGACGTTGAAGCATGCGTTCTTTGGTGGCGAAACTCTGAGGAGGATGACGAAATTCAATGACAAATGTATTCTCGACAAAGTGCTGGTCTCCTTTGACCGAGAAGGCCATCATTAGGAGCGGAATGCACAGCCATAGACTAGCTAAGACATGCATATCCGATAACGATGGGATGGGGTGGAATGGGTGGGATGGGGTGGGATGGGGTTGAAGAAAGCGAAAAAACAAAATGAAGCAGTGAATAAGATAGAGGGTTCTTCTTGATCAATGTAATAAGCCATTTCCGTAACAAACAAAAGTGGTGCAGCGTTTAAACAAATGCTGAGGAAGAAGGCTTACCGAGGCCTGTTTATCCAGTGTAGCAAACACAACTCATTTCAATACAGACCACCAAATATGAGAGAGTATAGAAAAAGTCATGAAGACGAAGCTATCTAGTGCTCAAGCAAGATCCTAACTGCCATACAATTAACAATGGGTTTCAAGCAAGGCAGTACAGGCTGAGGCTAGGGGGGAGGCGGGGTATGTGGGGTTAGATGGAAATCATTGTCTAGTCTTTGGCGGTGAATTTTGCATAGTAGTCCTTGGTTTTGTTTTCGTACAATTCTTGAGTACATTCTGGCAATTCGTCTTGATATTTCCCTACCATTTTCCATGTTTTAGAGTCCTGACAACACAACTGAATCCACGTCTTCAACAAACCTGGTGAACCTGCATATACCGAAAACGATGGCACCACCGTATTTGGTGGAACCACCGTGTTATCCGCAATACAGCAACAATCCTTGATGATGGCAAACCGTCCCTATATTTTGAATAACATCAATGACGCCCATTCTTTTTTTCCTTGGCACGTACGATGATTGGAAATAAAAAGTTACAATGATGCAGTTCTTTCCAATGGTCACATAGGAACCAATGGTCGCAGCTTCAATAATGCTGCCTTCGCCAATCGTGACATGATCTCCGATCTTCATAGGGTAGTAGCTAAAGATGCTGCAGGTCCATACGCGTCAATCAAACCGTTGATACTGCAAATCCAGAAGCAAAGCGCATTGTCAGCAACGTACCCTTTATATGTTTTGTATGGTGGGCGAATAATCGATCCTTGTGCTAATAAACAGTAGCGACCAATAGCGATGACCACAGCATGACCGCCTCCTGTACGCCGCAAATCACCTCGAATAACGCAATCGGTCTGAATAATAGTCTACCGCATGATGAGATTAGGTGGATGCCTGATGTTGGTGTGGTGAAAAAAAATACCTTGCCGCCGAGAATGATGTTTTGACTGCCACAGATGACCGACTTTCGGCTCACTTTATTGCCGGTATCCTAAGCCGATCTGTCAGAGACCCAACGATATGATGAAGGCGGGAAGTCATTGAGAATGTCAAAAGTTACTGTTTCAATGTATTCGGCTCGATTGTAATAGACGATAGGCGCTTCCATGGGAGAATGGGGCTCACGATTGACAGCGTAGTGTGTGCCCGCTTGGTGAAAAAAAATGCAAAATCAACCTTTTTACTGCTGCTGTGTCCGAAAATTTTATCCCACCCCTCACCACAAGAATACGATCGATGGTATTTTCGTCTAGTCTATTTCATGTTGGATTTTTGTATACATTCACAAGAGAAGTATATCTGGTGCATCTTCGAAAATCATTATGAAGTGGATGGGGTTTATGAAAGAGAATGCCAATGTTTTCGATGCATAATGGCTAAATAGTAGAAAAGTGCGAGAGAAAAGAGAAAAATGAAGTGATAAGTAAAATTGCAACCTATTCTTCCATTCTTTCTTTAAGCGTGTGTGGATCAAAACCGTGGGCGCTGAGATCGTTTCGTGTTTCTGAAGGATCATCCAACGTTTGCTCGAGATAAAATGCCTAGGGAACAAAGAGATGAACAAATGCTCTTAAATATAATCACGTCAAATGCAAGCCTACCAAAAACCCGTCTCTTGTTAACCATCCTTTGCTATTGCAACCGAAGCGTTGACCCATCTGACGGAGAAAAGGCGCGGGCGGATGAGAGCCGTTGGTGGCAAAGATAAAACTGTCGAGTTCTTCAGGTCGCAGGGCGCCATCATTGTCCTTGTCAAACTTTTTGAAAATGGCAACAAGGACCTCGGCCAAATCCTTGGATAAAGAATCGTTCTCCAACAGGGAAGGACCATGTTCATCACCATTGTATCCATGAAGAATACGTTCAATTTCACCTTCCAAATCTGGATACCATCCCAGACATCAAAATGTCAGTTTTTTTCCGGTAAATAGCCATTGTCCCCTCTTGACGCGTTCTGCCGTTTTACTTACCATCCACAAGATCAAAGTCTGGATCCACCGCTCGTGCCATTTGTAACAGAATCATGGCGTCTTCCAACTGGTTCAAGACAAACAAAATAAAGCCCAAAATATAATAGCAACCAGCATGCCCAGGAAACACATCTGAAATGCCATGGCTGGTTAAAATAATATGCCTTTTTTTCTCAATCGATTAATTCACCGGCCCAGGACTTACCAAGAATCCAGAGCATTTTTGATGCGACTTGATTCAAGACGGTCACACTGCCGTCATTTTGGAACGTCTTGAGGTACGATTGTGCTTCTCTGTATTCTTTATCGGCTTGATCCATCAGCGCGTCGTCGTCGCTCTGTTGCGCGGAAGCATTCTTTTTCAAGTAGTAAGCGCGCCAGTCCGAAGGTTCGTGGGAGAATTTTTGAGCGAGATCTGGTGCCAGTTCAAGACCCGTCGCCGTGGTAAAAATGGTGTATACGTGGAACAAGTTGCCAAACTCGTGAATGGTTTTGCTATTTGAATGCGATAATGCCGAGTTAGAATCACGAAGTTTTTGCTATTGTTGGGTTGGCCATGCTTATGGCGGGCTGTATTACCTCTTCCAGACTTCTTGACTGGTGAAAATGGAATGCAATGATTTGCAAGTCTGCGAAAGAGCTAGGATATCGCGTGCATCGAGTACATTGACCAACTGTTCAATGACAATGTCTGGAAAGGCCTCTATCCGTGCATCCATGGTGATAACAAATAAATAAATAAAAATAAAAAAAAAGCTCTACACAAGCTGATCATTGTGTCTGAGCTTTTAAAATGCCGCGTGAATAAAACGGGTCGAATAGAAAAAAGTGGCTTTTAGTATCCGATAATAAAATACACCAGCTGTAACCATAGCACCATTTGATTACATGGAGGATGAGCAAGCATAAATCGCTGGACATTCTTGCCGTGACGTTCGCTGGAGCAGCTGCGATAAAAAATATGGAACTGGCGTTAATAAGTCGTTGCCATATTGTGTGACAGCTTGTAAAAAATGTGCACACACTATATGCATCAAATCCCCCGTCGGGGAGGCCGCAATTTGTCCCAAATTTTCTATTGCCCACACTGCCAGCGAACTTCATTCTCAGTTAGCTGTGCATCTTCGCCATTTTTATCAAACAGAAAGCGCTTCCTTTTGTTGAAGTGATATATTCATTTTATTGAAAGAAACCAGCACTCTTTTATGTTTCAGCCTGCCGGAACAAGGCCCGGTTTCTGTTGGCAAGATCAATTCGGTTATTCCTCGCATGAACTATCTGACAACTGTAGAGCCCATGGCAATCTAAAGCATTATAGTCCCTCGATTGTACAGTTTAATTGATAATTTTTTTTTATTTTTATTTTTTTAGATTTACAAATCAACTATTAAAAAAGAGGCGAGGTAATGTTGTTAAGTTAAAGTTAATCAGATAAAAGAAGAAACCAAAAGACAACGACATACAAAAAAAAAGATGGATGCATTAGACAAGCCACACTTACTCTTCTTTTGTTTTTACTTACAAAAAAACTGTTTTCACCGCATTGCGGGAGCCGCCACCGCACACCGCCAAGTCATGGGTTTTGTTCGAGTTTTTAAAGTATAGAAGCACACACAACAAGTAAGTGATTCAGCATAACTTTCAAAAAGTAAGGAAGGTACCTGAGCACAAATACATTACCTTTCAAAAAAAAAAGTTTCTTTGTTGACGACAAAAAAAAAAGCTTTTGGGCGCGCAAGCTGTATGTAGAGGTTCAGTCGTTTTGATATCACAGTTGTAGTCTTCACGATTATACGTACAGGATAGGTGATTTGAGCAAATGTAATGAAAAAAGCAATGAAAATATATATCGCGATAAATGGTTTTGCGAAAAAGAAAATAGCTGTGCGATGAAGAGAAAAAAGAGTGGATGGAAGATGCATCATCTTTTCTAGACATGAAAAAGGAGGCGATATACCTGAATATTTCTCATACTGTAGCTAAACCTTTAAAACCTTTATTGTCCAATAATGAAGCAGGAAAAAGACGCCGTGTGTCTTTTCTCCTCGCTTCATGTCATATTTATCCATTGATAAGAGAGTGTGGCCTCATAGCATGAAACTGCTGCATGAAGTAGGTCTCAGATAATGTTAGACAGACAGAGAGAGAAAGAGAGAGAGAGAGAGAGAGAAAGAGAGAGAGAGAGAGAGAGAGAGAGAGGATCGGGATGTCCTTATTCAAGTGTTCTTATATTGGCTGGTCGGATACAAAGTAATATTGATGCAAATGCTGCTGTCGAAACGCTTAACAATCCTATGCAAGCGAAGCAGGACGGCATATTCTCCTGACGTGAAAACCATTCAGCTGCCGACGTTCATGACACTTGCTATTATTCTCACAAAAATGCGATGAAAGGATATTCCTTTATCTAAGGGTAGAGTGGATGATAACTGGAATTACAACACAAGGTCGCGTCGGTTATCAATCTACTGTATGCTATGGCCTCGTTCTGCTACAGTTGTGTTAAGTTATTATCTGTAGTGGTTTACAGCCCTACTTATACGACAGAGCGATACCAATGGAAGCCCTTTGCATCAAAGACTGCTGTTCCAAGATCAAACCGTACTACGCTCTTGTCTCGTCAGGTATCCACAGCAATATCCTGCAAAACCAACCTCGTGAACGGATCACCAGTCGCGGACAGAAAGCAATTTTGTCCATCCACAGTGGGAAACCATGCTGAACGTCTTGAGAATTCTGTCGTCAACAACTATCCCACAAAAAATTGGCCTATTTATCAATCATTTGTTCCTCCACCATTGGATCCGAGTATGCGGACCATCCTCTTTCCTTAAACAGAAGAGCCGTCAAATGATACATTCGAGCAAACACATATTTTGCCATACAGTATCATTTTGCATCTCATTGACGTATTCAAGTCAACGTATTACTCTGGTGTGTCAGGAACAGCCAACAATGCTCTGACTGTGTGGATTGCAGCGTGAGCGTTCTGATTGTGAGATTGTTGAAAATCGTGGGTTGATGAAACAACTACCACTGTCAGCTGAGAACATACTCGGTCAACCTTTTCATATCATTATTTCTCATGTTGTCATCTGAAATCCCACTCCCAAAGAGATTCTTGAGAACCTGACTCGGAAAGAGATCATAGTTTTTGTTGATGGATTATAGTGGCCATAGTTTTCAATTGAATAAAGGAAAGCAATTACACAACACTGGGCACTCTCCCGATCGACCGACTTGTCATCCTTTTGAATATGATCCGACGTGAATGGCAACAGTTGAGGGGTCATGCAATGGAATCATCTTTTTTTTTTCTTGGTTTGAACAAGGGGTGTTCGGATAATCATGCAACTTTACACAGTTGAAAATTAAAGAGAGCGATTTTCAGTCCTAAAAAGGGGAAAGGGGAGGGGGGAAAAGGCACGTTAGGCATTTTGTCGGATTCCTATTGGTTCGAGCCGATCATTGTCCAAGCATCCAACCGGGAAACGGAGCCCCTTCCATGAGATTCGGACAAAGTCGGTTCCATGGAATGAAATGCATATTGACTCCACACTGTTTGTCCATGCCGTGAGAAAAATAAAAAAAAAAATCCATAAGAAGATCAAACACTGACATAAACGCAACCATTTGCACATATCTGGGTAATTTTTTTATTTTATTGAGCAATGCTATGCTGTAGAAAGAAAAAAAAACCAATGTTGTTTACCAAAATATGGCGAGAGATTACAACACTGTCAAATAAAAACCGACGCGGGGAAAATTCGCACGGTAAGAAAAATAAAATAAAAAAAGAAGCGCAAGAAACAATCAAACAAAAGAAATAACATTTACAGAGAGAAAAAAAATAAGCAAATTATTTAAACAAAAACAGTAGTGTAGGAAACGATGGTGTAGGAAGAAAGCTGACGGATTTAGATGATGGTGGTGGCAATAGGAACGGAGGAGATGGAGTTGTGAGTCACAATGATTCTGCAATCCCGAGGTATGATGGGCGCATTCTCGGCCGAGGGTATCAGGAAGGGAGGTGCAGCATCATTTTTGTGGTTGGATGGACTTGTGGCCTCGTCCATGGTCGTATCTTGGTCTTCATCCGCCGTAGATGAACGCAACGGCGAGTGTTCATCGGAATGATGCTGATGATGCAGTTGCTGGTGTTTCTGATGTTCCATGTGTTCTTCAATAGAAAATTCGGAATCATCTTCTTCGGCCGCCATAACACGACGATTTGTGCGCCGGGTGCGTTGATTTAGCACTTCTTCGGCCTTGGCAATCGTATTGCACAGTAACAGACGTTCACGCATGTGATAGCGAGGCCGACTTCGTTTATCGTCACGGTCCAGTTTCTTGCATCCCAAGGTTATCGCTTTATTGGCGATTTGACGAGGTGATAATGTACTGGTGGCAAAAATCGTAGTAGGCGCACGAGGATTGCTTCGATTAAAGAGGGGCATGATAGTGATTTATGTTAAATGAGAAAAAAAGTATGATGATGCTGGAGAAACAGATGTTATTGTTGATGCTGGGATAATGATGATGATGGGTGGGGTCGTGGTTAAAGTAGTCGGTTGAAAGTGCGATTCAGTAATAATAAATGATTGCGATCCATTGAAGAGGCGTTAGTGCCACAGTGTGTCTCTCTCTTTTATCTCTCTGCGCTGTTTTATTGCTGACGATCGTATGATTTGGACGAAAGGGTGTCTCTTTCTTCTTAGGATGATGCGGTTTTCTTCTTCCTTCGTCGATTCGTTGTGGTGGTGGTCCGAGAGTGATGAATTATTTTTTTATGGGGGTAGAAAGAAGAGAGTGAAAACTCCAATTCGGGGCTTTTATAGTGTGCGCCAAAATTCAAGTCTCACAACGGCCGAAATCGGAAGCCTGGCATCAAAGGCACATGCAAAAAAGAAGAAAAAAAAACTGCGGAGTGCCGCTATTTTTAACGAATTGGAAAAAACGTGCCGACTAAGAAACAAGTGAGGATCAAACAAAAAAATGCTAAAAAAGCGGGCGCTTTCCGCGGAACTCACCAGTGACTTTCACAAATAGCTTACACCCTTGGAAAAAAATAAAGGGCTAACATGATGCTTCATCCTCTTTCGCCATCCGGCTTTGCTACCTTTCTTTTTCCTTCTAATCGATCATCTGTTGAATTGCATGTGGCTCGTTACATGAACAGCCAAATATCACAACGGTTGTGATGTTGTTTTACCTCCTTTCTTTTTTTAACATGACGCCATAGCAACAACATCGCTGTTTTATTTTATTTTTTATGAAACGATGTTAAAATTCGTTCAGAGAAAGAGTGTCCAAAAGAAGCAATTATGACAGAACCCATGCGCAAGAGGTGACAAAGAAAAAATGTGGGGATTTCACATTCAGCTATTTGAATCCGCGGAAAGGATACAATATCGCATGTTGATTGGTGAATCACCAAGCTTACCAAGAGGCCGACCCAAAAAAGGGTCTTTCTCTTCATTGAACGGTTTTTTGCCACTCCGCCATCCAGCCTCATCGTGATGACGGTGACCGAATCCACTTGCCATGCAGAGGACGACCATCCTGGCACTGTACGAAACAATCACAGCCCCGCAGCCGTAATTACAGCATCGCCCGTTCTGTGGCGCCACAGTTCCCAACGGCCGAGCCACCAACCATCGGTTCAGCCTGACATGAGCCAAGCCGTTCAATGCATCAACCTGATGGCGCTCGGCAAAACCGGTAATGGCAAGTCGAGTTTATTGAATGATATTGCGGGCTATGAAGTTTTCAAACAAAAGGCGTCAGTCAAAGTAAGGATTTTTCTACGGCACCTAGCCTTATCGATGCTTTCTTCAATGATGAAAATGCAAACAACCCATTGCGTAGTCTCAAACCAAAGAAATCCAAGAACATCGGTGTTTTTGGGCTCCATTGCATCCTTACATGCATAATAAAGCTGACTTTGGATACCCTGTACGGATCATTGACACGCCAGGATTTGGCGACTCTCAGTTACGAGACTCTGAGTTCTTTCCAATGATCCGTGAACAGCTCATTGATTTGATTCAACAACCTCTCGACCAAGGCGGTGGCATTCACTGTATTTTCCTCGTTTACAAAATGACATCCAGGTATAAAAAATAACGGAAACCATCGATGGATGAAAAAACGTAATGTTGATTGCTCAGCCCTGTATGTATGTATGCATAGTATCGATGCCATCTTTACGAGCTTAAATATATTCCATGAATTAATCCAGCCATTCACGGGTGTATGGGAGAACGTTGTTCTCGTATTTACACACGCTGAACCGAGCACTTTACATTACCATCAACAGTACAAGATGAAGCTAAAGACCAAAGTGAGCTTGCAGATCAAGGAAAAATACCAACTCACTAAGGCGTTGCCCATGGTGTTTCTCAGTACGCAGACGTACACATGCAGCTATCTCAAAGGACTCGGAGAGTGCGATTGTGAGCGAGGCCATCGATACCACGCCGATTGCCGCCGGCGCTTATATGAACAAGTGAAAATTCGAAGCACTCGTCCTTTTCATTTGGATGATTGTGAATACCCCCCTTCTTCCCTGTCACCGACCATGGAAATGTCCACCATCCAAGAGAGCAGTCTAATGGAATAAATTTTCCTCATTTGATTTGCCTAATGACTCGGCTTTTTTCGTACTCCGCGCTGACGTAGTCGTAAGCAGCTTACAGTGCTCGAAATTACGCACTGTCTTTTTTCGTATCTTCACAATCTAAGTTCCCCTTCATTGACCATGCCTGCGAAAAAAGAAGGAATCAAATCTTATTATCAAGCTAAAATTGAAGAATGCGAGCTGATTATCAATGATAAAGCTCAAGATTTGAGACGCTTGGAAGCACAACGCAATGCCCTCAACGCCAAAGGTAACTTAGTTCCCTTTTTCATAACCACACGCGCGTAATCAACGTTAATCAATATCTGCTGGAATAAAATAGTTCGTCTTTTGAAGGAAGAATTACAGCTTTTGCAAGAACCCGGTTCGTATGTCGGCGAAGTGGTTAAAGTGATGGGCAAGAAGAAAGTTCTTGTCAAGGTAAGCTGGCTGGGAAGGGGAACGTGGGATGAAAAGGGCCCTAAACTAATGATCTTGGTTTTATTATTAGGTTCATCCTGAAGGCAAATATGTGGTCGATCTTGCTTCCGGTATTGACATTGCACAGTTGACGCCTACGACACGTGTGGCTCTTCGTAACGATTCGTATCAACTTCACAAAATCTTACCCAACAAGGTCGATCCTCTGGTGTCGCTGATGATGGTGGAGAAGGTGCCTGATTCCACTTACGAAATGGTCGGTGGTTTGGAACAACAAATCAAGGAAATCAAGGAAGTCATTGAATTACCCGTAAAACATCCCGAATTGTTCGAATCACTAGGTATCGCTCAACCCAAGGTAAAACAACAGTAACCTCTCCTGCCACGAGACATTTGTTTGTAGTATACTGACAGTAGGAAACAATTGACTGTTTTAGGGCGTTCTTTTGTATGGTCCTCCTGGTACGGGTAAAACTTTACTGGCTCGAGCTGTGGCACATCATACCGATTGTCGCTTCATCCGTGTCTCGGGTTCCGAATTAGTACAGAAATATATTGGTGAAGGTAGTCGAATGGTGCGTGAACTGTTTGTTATGGCCAGGTACGTCTCCTGATTTTTTTTATCGCCCAGATGGTTAAAATTGGGAATCTTGGTACTCACTTTCTTGATTTTTTTTTTCTTGGGCGTTAACAGAGAACATGCACCGTCAATTATTTTCATGGATGAAATCGATTCAATTGGTTCGGCGAGAATGGAAAGTGGTGGAGGCGGTGATTCCGAAGTACAACGTACGATGCTTGAATTGCTGAATCAGTTGGATGGTTTCGAACCTACAAAGAATATCAAGGTGATCATGGCGACGAATCGTATTGATATTTTGGATGCTGCGTTGTTGCGTCCAGGCCGTATTGATCGCAAGATCGAGTTCCCTCCGCCAAGCGAAGCCGCGCGAGCTGATATTCTAAAGATCCATTCGCGCAAGATGAATTTGACACGCGGAATCAATTTACGCAAAATTGCCGAACGCATGACAGGCAGCAGTGGTGCGGAAGTCAAGGGTGTGTGTACGGAAGCCGGTATGTTTGCCCTGCGTGAACGACGTGTCCATGTTACCCAAGAAGATTTCGAAATGGCGGTCGCCAAGGTCATGAAGAAAGATTCGGATGCCAACACCAGTTTGAAGAAACTCTGGAAGTAAGAACGGGAAAGAGAACACATTGTTCAAATGATTACTCTAGAGAAAGAACACTTCTTTCCTTTTTTTTTTATCCGCAAATAAATTCAAGGCATGACTCCCAAAATAACATGAGACGGAAAAAAAAAAGGATCAATTTCAACACCTTTTGCATGGATCATTGATCAAGAGAAAGAAAGAATGAGAAAGGACAAGGTTATGATGTGAAGATGAATGAATGAATAGGATTCTGTTTTTATTCCAAATGTCGTCTAAGATGGGTAATTATGTACAAGGAGAACAAAATATTTATCGCGCTCATTTCTTTTGTTTGTCACGGATTTCTTTTTCAATCGTGCGAATCTCTTCCTCCAATGATTTCAATTTGGTGTCTAGAAGCTCGTTGTATTCTTCACTGCTGATGGGTCGAATAGGTGACCATTTGGGGATCGGGATATAGTCCCACAAGCTTTTCTTTTCCTTAACGGGCTTGTCCACGGGACCGTCCAAATGGCCACTGGTCAAAATCTTGTTCTGTCGCCATCGATTGCCCGCCGTATAAGTAACCTGCAATCCTGCACAAATCATACCAAACATGATCGAACCGGGAATCACACCACGCGGACCACCTACACCCATTACTTAGTCACCACATAGAGGAGGCCAATATCGACGAAAGAACTTACGGGCCACCGCTGATAACAGACCGCCAGTGGTGACACCGGCCATGGTGCTACTGATCAAATCGTCGATGTCGCGGGTTTGTGAATCTTTTAGTCCAAAATGAGGGTTCTTGCTTCGCTGATAGGTTAGGAATGTCTCTCGTACAGCTATGTTTGCCAAGATCAATACCCATTTTTCTTTTGCTTCGATTTCCTTTCCAACCGTTCGATTGCCGTCACGACCCAAAACTTACTGAAAAAGGTAGCGCCAAAGATACCACAGTTAATGCCTGTGGCAATGGTATATTGTTGGACAGGAGCATTCTTCAATACAGCTACAGTGGCTCCGGTTACGGCGCCAGCCGTGCCTAAAAGGAAAAGGAAAAAAGCATCAACAAATCTGTCTCTTACGTCAAGGATCTCTACTGTCGAGAAAGCCCATCACTTACCACTAACCGTTGCGCCCAGCAGCACTGACTTTAATGATTCAACGCCACGCTTATTGGCTTCCATTGGATCAACAAGCAGAGAATAGCTGATCTGGCAATCTTTCAGGATTCAGTGACCTCGATTGTTTTGTCAAGACAAATCGCTGTGGCGGAGATTGAATGTTCGATCCAGCCAAAAAATTTCGGCCGAAATATCAATCGGCGGCAGTAAAACGGACATCGATCATCAACACATGCTGCTTTGAAAAATGTATGGCCTTACGTATCAATCGAGCGCCAAAACATCATGTCAACAACTTGCTGAGAGGGCCGTTGAATTTTACATTGGTTACATTTCTGTTTAAGGCGCGCGATTTATGGAGACGTTCACTACCTTCTTTCGGCAGCAGACGTTTTTAGTTCAAATACCCGCTGTGACTCGTCGCATGGCACCATACTATCTAGCTTCAGTAGTACGCGTTGCCAGGTAACGGAATGGTAGCCATATATAAAGATTCGATTAATCACTTCCAAATATAGCTCTTGGATCCGCCCCCGTGGTCAGCGAAAGATTAGCGACCATCGCCATATTCTTCTGCTCATCAGCGCACGGAGTTGCAAGGAGATACTTACAGTTACTGGATCCGTTTGAAAGCATTTCACAATAACTGCCTATGCTCAGTCTATCTAAGGTCAACAGACCATCATAAACGATTAAGCAACAGGAATAAGGGCTTCCCGGAACCAACTTTGAAAAGTTCGGTCAGTGTGTGTTCCATGATTTTAGATGGACGCGAAACCACGAGCTGAACAAGAATTTCCCCTTTATTATTGATGTAGGCAAGTCGCTACAACAACAAAATGAGCGTGGTGACAACACGTGCAGTCTACCTTCTTGTTGTGTAATATTTTTGCAGCTGGTGGTTGAGTTGCAAAATGGAGTGATTATCCACACCTGAAACTGAGTTCCCTTTTCCCGCTCAATGTGCCGATAATAAAAAAGAGTACCACGCTTGTGGGTATGTGTAGTCGTATGTGCTATTTCTGATGAATAATGCCAGCCAACAACTGTAAAGAACACGTCGCTAGCCTAGACTATAAAGTTCTACAGAGTTTATGTTGTTCGCTTCGGTAATCGGGCCGACAATTGTTAATTATGCTACGTTGCAAAAGCACACCCCTTTGTTTGAATTTTATTTCTAAGCTGTACAGAGAAGCTCTTTGATAGTGAAAATCCGTTTCTGGTTGTGTTGTCCAAGCAACGGCGATTAATCAACGGTCAAATTAATGGTTTTTCTCAGTTTGAAACGGAGACGAGTTCCGGAGGGTGGTATTTAATGCGTAAATGCCCACACTACATAGTATACCAGGAGTACAGCGTGACCATGAAGCAGTAAATTTGAGCTATGCAGTAATAATATGTCAAAGCTTGCAAGCTGTTTCGATCAGCAAGAGATCAACTGAGTTTTTAAAATTGTATATATACTTCTTCGTAATGGACGGAGTCTCTTGCTCTGCTGTGACGGGCAACAGTTACCAACCAATTAAGTGCATGTGATGAACTTCAAAAAATATGGTCGCGCCGGGAAGAAAAATATCTCGAATGGCGGCATGCAGGCGACGGAAATTGCAATCCATTTAATCGGACTTTGTCTGATGTGCGTCATATGAAACTCCCTCCAAAATAAAAAGGTTTACAAAAGTTACTCTCGACGGATTTCTATTTATGCAATGCGTACCACTGAAATGTGCAGGTTAAACTATATTTTTATTGGAATCAATCATGTAATAAGCGACACCGGCATCAGTTATTTGCATGGTAACAAGGTTGTTTGATTTTAGTCGTAAATAAATAAATGCATACAAAATGGCGGTCGGTTGATGAAGTACAAGATGTTTGTGGAACTTTGACTCGGCTAGGCTGAATCGAGTAACGCGCGAGCACGTCGAGTGGCGGGGGTGGGGTCATGTTGGTGACCTTTCAGGTAGTGGTGAAAATGGTGAATCTTCGGGTCGTCTTTCTGGGTGCAGAGGACCCGTGTGGCCTTAGCGCTCACTGTCACACCATCGTATTGTAAAAGGAAGCCATCTCGCTCAGAAAGGTCATACGACCTCGCTTCAATATGTCCGGTACCAGCATCATCGACTCATCCAAGCCAAATGACAGAGCAAGCCAATCACATCTGCTTGATTGCTGCAAACGCTACTGCGGTAATCTGAGTGTTCGTTTTTTTAAATTTTTCTCTTTTGCATTTCGGATATAGCATGCAGCGTTCAACGGCTTTGGGGTGGTACGACAAGAAAGTGGCGCATATTTTGTGGATAGAGTCAGCTGAAACGTCACTTGCTCACTATCAAATCTTTGCCATCTATAGAAATAGGCTCTGATTTGTTTTTTAGGGTGCATCCCCGACTTTGAATGATCAACCGTGTTACATTCGTGATAGTAGGTGCCTGAAAAAAAACCAAACCTTAATCGAGGGCGCTTTGCCATTTCATAGTCAACGGCGTACGCTATGCTGCCACCAATTCATGTCGTCCCGCCAAGAGTCATTGACAAAGCAACATCAGTCTGTCTCTTATCCTTTTCCTCCTTTTCATGCAGAGACATATTTATCAAGGCAATCAGATGACTCGTGTAAAACAAAAATTTGGTGTTTTTGTCCAGCGGCTAAGGCGCGAGTCCCACGTAAAGCGATGTAACTTTGTATAAATGCTGCTGCATTTTGAAATTGAAAGGTGAGTGGTTCAGTGGTTGGCTGCGGCATAAAGTTGTTGTGAAATGCATTTAGGATTGATAAAAAGACGAAAAAATGACCTCTCGATCGAATTTAATCGGTCCGTAAAAGGAGGCGATCATGCAGCCAAAGAGAAAAAAAGAAAAGCATTAACACGTATCGCGCCCAGTTGGTTGGTTCGGTTATTCTCGTAACACTGATGTACGCAGCACTGAGAAAAATTAAGTTTTTTTTTTCTTTCCTTTTTTTTTTTTTTTTTTTTTCGTCATTATATTGCGCGGTGTCCGGGTTTTTTTTCCATTCAAGTTTTCCTGCTTTCTTTTTTTTATATTTTTTCCTGCCAGAGCTTGGGCCGGTATATTTATTCAAGTACCTCTTTTTTTTCCCTTTTCTTTCTTGCTATTGTTTTCATTGCCATGGTTGCTTGTTCCACCACGGACTGGATCCCGTCTGCTGATGCAAGTCATCATGTATTTTCTCTGCCTTTGGAAAAACCTGCCACGGATGAACGAGAATATCGTCTACTCCGACTCGCCAACCAGTTGGAAGTTTTGCTTATCAGTGATCCAGACACCGATCGTGCCAGTGCCGCACTCGATGTTCACGTTGGTAACCTAAGTGATCCCGTAAGTCCGTCGTTTGTGACTCTCTCCTTGGTTATACATCACTGATGTGCATCGCGTGTTTTAGGACCAATTGCAAGGATTAGCCCACTTTTGTGAACATTTACTGTTTATGGGGACCAAGAAATATCCCAAAGAGAACGATTACTATTCGTACCTCTCCGAACACTCCGGTAGGCGAAAATAGGTCGTTCCCCCAAGACAAAATAGTTTTTATTGACTGTCTGAACGTCCAGGATACGCGAATGCTTCGACCGGAACAGAGAATACCAACTATTACTTTGAAGTGGGACATCAATGGCTGGAAGGTGCATTGGATAGATTTGCCCATTTTTTCATTGATCCGCTGTTCTCCGACAGTTGCACCGAACGTGAACTGCGCGCGGTGGATTCAGGTAAAAATGACTGGAAAGAGGGCAGTTGCATTGGGTCGGACAAGTGCCTCACCTGGTTTTTTTTTTTTTTCATTTTTCATTAGAGCATAAAAAGAATCTGCAGTCCGACTGTTGGCGTATTGCGCAAGTGGAAAAGACGTTGAGCAACCCGAACCATCCCTGGCGTCATTTCGAAACGGGCAATCTCGAGACTTTGATGGAAAATCCCAAACGATTGGGCGTCGATATTCGAGAAGAACTTTTGAAATTCCATGAAACCTACTATTCAGCCAATATCATGAAGCTGTGCGTGCTCGGCCAAGGTACGACCCAGAAAAAAAAAGGGCTCGTCTTGCCCTTGTACGACATCGATTTTTTTTCTTCCTCGCCAAATGACTAACCGAAACACTGAATGCAGAATCACTTGATCAACTAACAACATGGGTTGTTGATAAGTTTTCAGCCGTCAAGAACATGAATATCCCCATTCCTCGCTTTGATGGCCATCCACTCACTGAAAAGGAAGTCATGGTAAGTAAAATGATCGTATGGGGTGGTAAGGAGTGGGCGAGGGCGCACGGAAAGCAGGACGGAGAGAGAGTGACCCTTCATGGTGGCTGGCCTTCATGACGCTTTTATTTAAAAAATAAGCGTGCAGCAAGGAGACTATCACGACGATTGCATTTTTTTCTTCTTCTTCTTCTTCGTCGTCGTCTTTTATTTTTGGGAGAACCAGGAGGACGGACAGAATGGGAGTTATTGACCGCATGACTAGTCACAAATATTTGTCAAATCCGTCAAGCACAATCGTACATTGGACATCACCTTCCCATTTCCGGATCAATCTTCCTATTATGAGAGTCAGGTAAAACACTTGAATCGATCCCAAAATATCTATCGATATCGACGATCACACATATCTCATTCATGCATTGACGCGTTTCCTCTAGCCAGCGCATTATATTTCGCATTTGATTGGTCATGAAGGTCCAGGTTCTATTCTTTCATTTCTCAAAAAGAAAGGCTGGGCTACCTTTTTGTGCTCAGGAACATGTTGGGGGGCTGTCGGATTCGATTTCTTTCATGTGAGTGCCGATCTTACGGAGGATGGTTTAGGTAAGACCAAAAAAAAAAGAAAGGAGACGCAAAAAAAAGACAGACAAACAATGGCAAAATATTGATCAAGAGGCTGGGTTGTAGAACATTACGAGGATGTCGTGGTAGCGATATTCCAGTACATCGAAATGTTGAAAAAGTGCGGTGTACAGAAATGGATTTTTGATGAAGTGCAATCGTTGGCGGCCATTGAGTTCAAATTCAGCGAGAAATATCCACCTTCGCAGTACACTTCCATGCTCACGAATCAGATGCAGGAAGGATTACCACCTCAATGGACATTGAGCAGCCCCGGTCTGCTGCGAAAATACGATCCCCAGTTGATCCATGACCACATCGCACTGTTAAGACCAGATAATTTTCGCTTGACCTTGGCTAGTCAAGAGTTTCCCAATGGGATCAAATGTACTCAGGTGGAACGGTGGTACGGTACCGAATATGAAGTGTTACCTGTGAGCGCTCATCTTAAAGAGGTAAACATTGGAATAGCAAGGGGCAGTGGCACTGCGGCCGAACTTACTTATTGACGCTATTCCTTTTTTCTTCCTTGCTTAATCAACACAGGTGTTAGGCAACTTATCAGCCAACGATGCATTCAAACTGCCTCTTACCAATGAATTTATCCCCACGCAACTGGAGGTGCCTCGATTGTCGATCCAGGAGAAACAGAGGAAACCTAATCTGATTCAGGAAACCCCGACACTGCGTCTATGGCACAAACAGGACGATACTTTCTGGATGCCGAAAACCAATGTGTGGATTCTTTTCCGAAATTCGCTGGCTTACGCTACACCTCGCAATGCCGTCATCACAACGTAAGAAAACCAGAAACAAGCCCCCATCCATGATATGTAGTCAATAACCAAGAGAATAACTGGTTTGGCTTGTTTTTAGCATGTTTGTCAATTTACTCGCCGATTCTCTGACCGAATATTCATATAATGCCGAAGTGGCCGGTCTCTCGTATTACCTATGTCAAGACACGAATGGTGTGCTGGTAAGTGGGGAAGAGGAGACGAAATCATTGTGTGGTAAAGCTCACTGTTTCAAACAGTTGACCATTGGAGGCTACAGTGATAAACTAGCTGTTCTGTTGGAAAAAGTCGTCCAACGTATGAAAGAGCTTTCCATTGAACCGGACCGGTTTGATGTGGTCAAGGATCAGGTAAACTATCCACCTTACCAGACCTACAATCCCTGCGTTTGGTTTGCTGGCGATTATTCTAACGATTGATGTAGACAAAACGGAATTATCAAAACTTTTTCCTGGAGCCACCGTTCCAACATGTGGCGTACTATTTGTCTTATACGATCAAGGAAAAGATGTGGAAATACGATGACTTGGCGGCCGAATTGGAGGAAATCACGCCAAACGATGTGATGACGTTTGCTTCCGATATTCTTTCGCATTTGCATATTGAGGGATTGGTACACGGTACATTGACGGAGGAAGAAGCCACGAGTATGTTCCGTATGGTGGAAACCATCCTTTCACCGCGTCCCCTGATGCCCAGTCAGTTTATTAGCCATCGCAGTCTCGTGCTTCCGGAAGGGTCTTCGTTTGTGTACCAGTTGGCGGTGCAGGATCCCGATGATGTGAATTCGGCCATTGAATACTATTGTCAAATTTGCGATGTGACCGATATCGCGCGTCGCGCATGTCTCAGTCTGGTGGCGCAAATTGCTCAGGAACCTTGCTTTAACCAGTTACGAACGCGGGAACAGCTAGGATATATCGTGTTTAGTGGCATCCGACGACACACCGGCACCATGGGTCTCCGATTCATTATTCAGAGTGAGAAGGATACCGTGTACCTGGAGAATCGCGTGGAAGAGTTCCTTGACACGTTGCGTGACACCATTGCCAAGATGAGCGAGACCGATTACAAGTCGCAGGTGAACTCCCTAATCGACGATAAGAAGGAGAAATTCAAAAACATGGGTCAAGAAGGAGCCAAGTATTGGAGCGACATCGAATCGGGGTACTATGAGTTTGACGATGTGGAGAAGGACGTGGCCGAACTGACATACATCGACAAGGAATTGCTGCTAGCATTCTACGACGACTATATCCATCCTTCGTCCCCAAAGTTCCGCAAATTATCAATTCACATGCAATCGCAAAAATTGCCTCCGGCGACAAAACCTAAATTCAACGTGGAATCATTGCATACGTGCATGACATCCCAGGGAATCCACAGCAAACTATCACTGGAAGAGTTGAAGAAAGCGGTGGATAAAGATCTTTACGCGGGATTGCCCAATGACGTTATTCTTCAAAAGTTACTGACTGACGAACTCAAAGCCAATGAAGACGATATCGAAGCCGTCATGAAGAGAATGGCCGTGGACGCGGGACTTGAAAAGGATAAAGAAACAGAACTTATCCAGGACGCCGTGAGCGTAAAGAACGGCCAGGCTGACACCGAAGATGCCGTGGTATCAACAAGAGATCACTCCCAATTACCGTCGGGCAACGTGATTATCACTGACTTGATTAAATTCAAACATCAAATGCCACTGTCGGCCGCGGCTGTATCCTTTTTTCTATTTTCCCGTATTTAATAGACTCTGTTTTTCTTGTTCCCGTCACCCCACTGTAGCTGCTCTTTAGATAATGATCGCTTTTTATCTTTTTTGTATACTTGTATGCTTTTGCCATAATAAACCGTGGACAAGTCCTCCTGTCACATGCAATAAAGCACGTCAAAGCATACACGCTAACAAAAACTACAGGAACGACCGACCTTTCCATCTAGAGGTGGAATACGATTTGCAATTCAGCTTGCAGTTGCGATATGCAGGCAGCAGCAGCCGTAGGTGATGCTGGTGTGGTGAGTAGACCGGCTTTGGGATTGGCTGATGATTCAATCGCCGAGAGTTTTTCATATCCGACTCCTTTGGTGTTTCTGTGAAATTCGCTTTATCTGCGCTTTTTTCTTCACTTTGACTATTTGTACTACAATCATGACTTCATGCTTGGCTTTGCCTGATATCCCTTTATTCAAGAATGCGTGTAAATTTGCCGAAACGGACGCGACGGCTGTGGACGATGTTCGAGTGGGCAAAACATACTCGTACCGGGACTTAGTTTACGCGGCAGCCAAACTAAGACAACAGTTACTCCGGGATCGTTGGTAAAGCGACAATGAGGTCCATGCATAAGACCAAATGAACTGACACAATCTATGCAGTGACTTGAAAGGAGAACGGGTGGGCGTTTTATGTCCCAGGTAAAGTATTGATTCATTGCGACTTTTGAAAACCGAATGAGTCTATTAATGTGTAGGTCCTTCATTTATTAGCGGTTTTGCATATGTTGTGTGTCAGTGGGCAACATGGGCAGCCGGAGGTGTAGCTGTTCCTTTATGTAAGTTCCTTAAATGGCTTTTATTTTGCAGTAAAGAAGTATATGCTTAAATACAAAGGATCAAGGCACAAGCCATCCTTTGGCAGAACAACAATATGCCGTGGAAGAGGCTCAAGTTACACATTTCATTGGTCACTCGGTTTTCAAGGATCGTGTTCAGGAGCTTGTTAAGGGAACTGATGGCTTGGATATCATGTTACTTGAAGATCAAGATTTCAATGTGGAAAAGGTATTTTTTGAGTCAATGCATGAACAAGTTCCCGTAGAGTTAATGAATTGTTTCGATGTGTAGCCTGTGATCCCGGAACGGTTTCCCATGGATATGGACAAACCGGCTTTGATTATCTTCACCAGTGGGACCACAGGTAAGAGGTGAAACACCCACAGGTCAACCGACACGCATTATAAAACATAGAAGACTCAAAAATGGTGTGGGATTAGGAAAACCCAAAGGTGCCGTCACGACACACAGTACCATTGATGCGCAAGCCAGTGTGCTGGTGGATGCTTGGCGTTGGTCCTCCAGTGATCGCATTCATCACATTTTGCCTCTTCACCACGTCCACGGCATTATCAATGCATTGACATGCGCACTCTACTGTGGTGCCACGGTTGAAATGCATCAAAAATTCGACGCAGCACAAGTATGGTCTCGTTGGCAGGAGGGATATCAAAAGACGGCACCCTTGCTCACTTTGTTCATGTCCGTACCTACCGTTTATGGTATGCTACCTGATCGATTGCATAAATTCTTTCTTGAAGCACTCACATGCCATTGGTAGCCAAACTGATACAGCATTACAAGTCATTGGAACCCAAGGACCAGCAATCCTGCTCAGCGTCCTGTCAACAGTTTCGACTCATGGTATCGGGATCAGCCTCTCTACCGACTCCGCTTCGCGAAACATGGAGAAAAATTAGTTCAGGTCAAGTGTTGCTGGAACGTTATGGCATGACAGGTAAAAACATTACTTTCATGGTAACTCAAAAAGCACAAGAGGTTTAATGAAGCCCATGGGTCTGGTTGTAGAAATTGGTATGGCGCTTAGTCAGGGCTATGATCTTGGCGAGCGTGTGGAGGGCACGGTTGGAATGCCACTGCCAGGGGTTCACGTGCGCTTGATGGATGAATCAGGCCAAAACGTAACCGATAGTCGGGAGGTACCGGGCATGCTGCAGATCAAGGGTCGTAATGTCTTCAAGGAATACTGGCAACGACCCGAAGCCACACGTAAAGAATTCACCGACGATGGATGGTAAGCCCCTTGCTAACGGGTTGATGGCTGTGGCGCCAACCATTGCTTTTTTTTTTTTTTTTTTTTTTTTTGGTTCCTAGGTTCATCACAGGGGACATGGCCATGAGGGTATCGGAAAAGGGATACTATCAGATTCTGGGGAGGGCTAGCATTGATATTATCAAGGTACAGGAGGACCGGTGAGAATGCATTGTACAGCATGACTGACGCACACTGATCGTGATCCAGAGTGGCGGTGAAAAGGTGTCTGCGCTTGAAGTCGAACGGGAATTGTTATCGTGTGATCTTGGCATTCATGATGCTGCCGTGGTTGGCATTCCTGACCCTGAATGGGGCCAACGTGTGGCGGCGGTCGTGGTCATGGATACTGGCAAAAAGGTGAGAACGGCCTTGAAACTCGAAAATGAATGGGATGATACTCATTGCAGCAATGGTAGCTTGATCTTGTCACTTTGAGAAATGTACTAAAAGCACGATTGGCGAGTTACAAAGTCCCGACCCGATTGAAAACAGTTGCTGAACTGCCTAAGAATGCGATGGGCAAAGTAACCAAGAATGGCCTGTTGCCTCTGTTTGAAGAATGAAAACTAACAACTTGGTCTTTTTCTTTGGGGGAGGAGGGGGGAGGGTATTCACCGTGACTGAAATAAAAAAATATAGAGGCTACTGCTCTCTCTTCCGTTTCACTTTTTTTTTTCCTGTGCAAAAATCTGTTCATGTTTTTGAAACAAGGATTGACTGCGGTTGCTCTTTTGACTTTTGTGCTGGTGAAAACGAGCGAAGGAGCGCGAGCATGCCTTGCTACGGCGGTCAACAACGAAGACAGTAACACAAAGTACACATTCGCATTGGCATCATTGGATGACGGTGACACGGAAACGCGAATTCAGGAAGCCTGTTACTACGGTTGCGGAGGACAATTGATGACCAAATCGCCCGACAGAGACAGTAACGGTCTGACCATCCTCGATAATTCGATTCATTTCCTAGTCTCCTCTGGATTCCTTTCCTCCAACGAAACCTATATTGTGGTAAGTTATGAATTCATTCAGCACTGTACAGAAAGGGTTACTGATACGATGGCTGAAATTACTCCACGCTGCAGAATCAATTGGGAGTGGATGATGATGAAGAAGGTAAACTAAAAGTTTCATGCTCGGTTGACAAGACAGCAACGACTGATGCGTACTGTAATTTTGATCCACGTCGTTAGGCACAGGTATCGGCTGCATACAATTTCCAGAGTACGTTGGGAGTAAAGTAGGGACAAAAAAGACATCCTCCTTTTTGCTAACAATGTACCGGTATAGTGACACCAGCTATAAACGTTTGCCGCAGTCGGATCCAGCATGTAAAGTTGCAAAGGTACTTTTTCCTGCATACTTACTATTGATTTGAAACGGCTCCCGCTGACAATTTAATGGTTTCTATTCCTGTTGACAGATTGCTATCTGCGGATTCAGAGACAAGGTAAATAATACAGCGATGCATGGTCATTCATCGCTAAAGTTGACGCATGACCAAACTCAATGTAGCAGGTGATACCAAGCAGCACGACACCAACAGAGGAGATCGCTTCGAGTACGACGATGGCATCACCTGAAACACCCACTCTATCGCCCAAGTCCACCACCACTATCAACATGGAAGACCCAGTGGAGGCCACGGCTACTGTGAGCTCGCTGCTGGACAACAGCGCGCCAACGGCTGCACCGAGTCGGTTGCCAAGCAATGCACCTTCAGCGCATATGTTTGACGTCCAAGGCACATCGTACAAAATTTTGACGGTGGAAAAGAAGAATGCGACGGGACTCAAGGCACTTTGCAAGGCTGATAAGGGCATGTTGGGTGATATCAGTTTTGCCAGTTTCCAGGCCTTCCAAAAGCAAATGGGCAAAGTCAACGGAGTATCCAAGGTGGTGATTGGCACTTGGAACGGCGACATGTACAGTCTTCAAGACAATCAGTGCTTGTTCATGACGTTGAACTTTGGTATTGTGGCGGATGATTGTGCCAATGCCAATGCGGTATTGTGCCAATACAACAAAAACTGAATTAAAAAATGCAACAAGTGGGTTGAAAAAGCATTGATTTGCGGGATGTGAAAAAAAAGAGGGCAGAAAAAAAAAATTTCAGAAACGCCCTTTTCCCGAGTTGCGAAAAAATAGGAGGGGGAGGTGACGTGGAAAATAAAGCACACTTTGGAGCGGGCGGCTGGGGCTGCCCTTTTTCTCTTGGTTTCCTTTTAAACTTTTTTTTTCCTCACCGACAAGAATGTAAGAAGTGGAATATTGGACCCAACGCGCGTCATCTCGTTCGTCTTTGCTCATCCTTTCCCTTATCTTTTTCCTTTCGTTTTATTCTTTTGTTGCAATAGGGCATCATCTGCGTTGCAACTGATCAATCCCAACTCGGATGTCGCTCGACGCGGACAGGCACTCCAGTTGAACATCACAGCTGCTATCGGTCTCCAGGATGTCTTGCGATCCAATCTCGGTCCTAGAGGCACCATCAAGATGTACGTTTGATTATCACACTCAGTCACATACCCGTTATTGACACTTTGATGATTCTTCTTTTCATTAGGTTGGTGGACGGTGCAGGTGCCATCAAGTTGACAAAGGACGGCAAAGTACTTCTCAGCGAAATGGTAAGTTTTTAGCAATGAGATGGCGAGGTGGAAACCAGTCCGAGAAAAAGAAAAATACTGATGATGGTAATCATTGGTCGTTTAGCAAATTCAACATCCTACGGCTGCCATGATTGCCAAGGCAGCTACGGCTCAAGATGAAATTACAGGCGACGGTACGACGTCGATTGTATTGCTCGTAGGAGAGTTGCTCAAGCAGGCCGAACGATATATTTCGGAAGGCCTTCATCCTCGTGTCATTACCGAAGGTTACGATATCGCTAAAAAGGAAGCTCTCAAGGTATGCATAATTCCCCCATTCGGGCCTGTCAAAAAATTTTCGTCGTGTCAAAAAAAAAATCTTAATTCCGTTTTCTATGTTGCCAGTTCCTCGAGACTTTCAAAACCAACAAGACCGAAATCGATCGTGAATTGTTGGTGTCGGTAGCACGTACTTCGCTTCGTACCAAGGTCCATCGTGCTTTGGCCGATACATTGACCGAAGCTGTGGTGGATGCTGTGCTTGCTGTGCATCGTGAAGGCGAACCCATTGATCTTCACATGGTGGAAATCATGAAAATGCAGCACCGTTCCGATACCGAATCCAGATTGATTCGTGGTTTGGTCCTCGATCACGGTGCACGTCATCCTGATATGCCAAAGAAAGTCACTGATGCCTTTGTTCTCACTCTCAATGTGAGCTTGGAATATGAAAAGAGGTGCGTATCTTTTTTTTTTTTTTTTTTTTTTTTTTTTTTTTTTTGTGGTGGTGACTCCAAGACAAAAGTTGTCTGACGTAAACGAATGTTTTTTTTAGTGAGATCAATTCCGGTTTCTTTTACTCGACCCCTGAACAACGCGAAAAGTTGGTGGAAAGTGAACGCAAACACGTGGACGACAAGATCCGCAAGATTGTCGAATTCAAAAACATCATGTGCTCGGGCGAAAATGCGAACAAGGGCTTTGTCATTATCAATCAAAAGGGTATTGATCCGTTATCGCTGGATTTGTTGGCTAAGAACAACATTTTTGCATTACGCCGAGCCAAGAGAAGAAATATGGAACGTCTTCAACTGGTGTGTGGTGGTGTGGCGCAAAACTCGGTGGAAGATTTATCCCCGGAAGTATTGGGATACGCCGGTCTTGTGTACGAGCACGTCTTGGGTGAAGAAAAATATACCTTTGTGGAAGAAGTTAAGGATCCCTACAGTGTGACCATCCTTATCAAGGGACCCAACCCTCACACCATTGCTCAAATCAACGATGCCGTGCGAGACGGTCTTCGCGCTGTCAAGAACGCCATTGAAGACCGATCTGTGGTGGCAGGCGCCGGTGCTTTTGAAGTCGCGTGTTCACAGCATTTGACCGAATTCAAAAAGACCGTCAAGGGTCGTGCCAAGATGGGCGTGCAAGCCTTTGCTGACGCTTTATTGGTGATTCCCAAGGTGCTTGCTCAGAATGCCGGTTTTGACGTTCAGGATGTCATTGTCGCATTGCAAGAAGAACACATGGACGGTCATATTGTCGGTGTGGACCTGAAAACAGGCGAAACCATGGATCCCCAATTGGAGGGTGTGTGGAACAACTACCGCGTCCACCGTCATATGTTGCACTCATGGTAAGCTGCGGAGATCCCACAACAAGTTTATGTTCTTTACAACGTACTGACTTGACGTTATTTCATTTATTGTAGTTCGGTTATTGCCAGCAATTTATTGCTTGTCGATGAAATGATGCGTGCAGGTAGAACCTCGCTGAGAGGTCCTGAACCCGGACAATAGGTTCTTCTTAGATGATATCACTTCATACTAAAAAAAAAAAAAAAAGAAAAAAGCAAAGAAAAAGGAGAGAGAGGAAAAACATGGTTTTCATTTATCTGAAAAATCTGGTCTATATCTTGTTCTTGTTTTGAATGTTTCCTGTGTATTCTCTACAGCCCATTCTTTCTACCACTTTGTTTTTGATGTGTCATTGCTGGAAAAATTCGTTGTAAAATAAAATTCATGCATTTCAAATGAATTGGCTGAGTGCAATGAAAAACCAATCACCACAACAAAAACAATAAAGCGGAAACCCAGTTATTACGTGGATGAGATATGGTACATTGGTATGTTTTTTCGAATGCAGATCCATGTGCAGTACATACTGGAAAAAAGAAAAGTAAATTCTCCATAATTAACACAAAAAAAACGGAATCAACATCATACTCCATTACAAAAAACAACGGCAGCAAAAAAAAAAAAAAAAAGACTGGGACAAAGGGAACAAATTGACGAGATCAAAGAAAAAGACAACAAGGTGATGTTTGAAAATGACGATCTAGAGCGCGGTGGTAAAAACAATAAAATGAAAAAAAAAAGAGAAAGAGAGAGAGTGAGACGGGGGCTTACTTTATGTGATGTGTCCTTTTTTTTTGGTTTGTTCCAAGATATATTTCTATTCAAACTGTACGTATCGCACTTCGTTAAAGTATGCATGATTCAAGGCATCGGCGGCGGATATTCTCAGGTGAGGTTGGTATTGAAGCATACGATGTAATAAATCAATGCCGACAGGATCGATCATAGGCAACACTTGGTTGATGTGTTGAGGAGGGTAGATGGTTTGCGTAGGCTTGTATTCGGACAACTGGGAAATGCCAGGCCACGTTTGTTCGGTGGGTGTACCGAGCATACGGAAGATTTTCTGGAGTTGATCATCGTTGGCGGTGCCCGGGAAAAGAGGCCGACCCGTGTACATTTCGGCCATGATGCATCCGGCTGACCAGATATCAATGGAAGTCGAGTAGTTGCGTGAACCCAGCAATACGTCTGGCGCACGATACCACAGCGTGACCACTTCGTTGGAGAAGGTATTGACTGGAATGCCGAAAGCACGCGCCAGGCCAAAATCGCCCAATTTCAGTTCGCCACGTTTATTGATGAGCAAATTTTGCGGCTTGAGGTCACGATGCAGCACGCGGTTTTCGTGACAGTAAGCAATCCCTTTGAGCAATTGGTACATGAATGACTTGATCGTTCGAACATCCAGGACATTGTGTGTCGCCCTGGCCGTAGTATCCATGAATTTTTTCAGGTCCTGAACCATGTATTCAAATACAAGCATTAGTTTGTTCTCGGTGTGAATAACGTCAATGAGCTGAACAATATTGGGATGCTTCAATTCCTTCATGAGCGAAATCTCGCGAATGGCCGTCGACGGTGCACCTTCATCTGCATTCAAACTGATTTCTTTAAGAGCCACAATATCGCCCGTCAGTCGACTTTTGCCTTTGTACACCGTAGCGTAAGTGCCTTCACCCAGTTTCTCCAACCGTTGATAACGTTGTTCCGGAGGTAATGCAGACGAAGTGGCCATTTTGTATAAAAAATAAAAGAAAAAGGTTCAGAAAAAAAAGGGAGAAGACGGTTTGGGGTTTAGAAAAGAGAAAATAAAGGGAAAAAAAGGAAAATTTTGAGAAACGAGGCAGAGCCAAGAGTGTGTGTGGTTGGTTGAACCGCCCAAGGAAAGCGGAGTCAACGGCCCGAAATTTTTAATAGGGACGCTCCTGTCTTCCAGTTTCAGACCCGCCAATTCGATTCACCAATCAGATTGAAGAAATGCAAACTTGGCTCCCATGGATTGGTTCACCATTTTCACTAAATATGCTGCGATACGTGCACCACCACCGAAAAAAAAAAGCATGACCATTTTACAGCATGGCGCAGTAGCATGTAATAGGATATGCTACATTGGATATTCAATATGCAATGACATATTGTATTCCCCAATTCTTGTCGCATTATTTTCATTAGCATTCCAGTGGTATGTCATGTAGCCTGCTTTTCTATCATTTAATTGTATGCATATTGTAATATCCTAGTTATAAGGAAAGTCGACCTCATTACCGTAAGAGAACCTTTTTATCTTGTTTGTCAATTCCTTGTTATCAATTGACCTTGATTTGAAAACCTACTTTATAGACTGTTAGATCCATAAAATATCAAGTTGCAACGATTGTAACAACAAATCAGGTGACATGCTATTCTAGAAGGACAGCTCATCCAAGGTGGCAATAAAGTGCAAGGGATATCTCTTTTTTTTCCCTTTTTCTGCATACATCTCTGAAAATAGGAGGATCCCTGCTTTGCTAGAGCAACATGCTTGGCCTCGTCTCCTCAAAAAAAAAGTTCACAACGATAACAGCAGCGACGCTAATTTTTTTATTGCAGAATGAAAGGCTATGCACACGTACACAAATATATGGCGTGACATTAGCGTTATCGTTCACGCACGTATAGAGACACAGACACATTCGCATCTATCGGATGAAACCAGAATGACAAAAGAACAAGAAAAAAAAAATAGCAGAGAATGGAATCAGGAAATAACAGAGAAGGAAAATATCACGGATCGACATGCCCAGCAACTATAATGACGATATGGTTGTTGTTGTTGTTATGGTTCGATGAGTTGGATGATGTGATATAAATGGTGGTCATGGTGCGCGGGATTGTATTAGTTGTTAAAAAAAAAGGCTATAGGATTTAGATGACTCTTCTTTCGGCGGCCAATTTTTCTCTAACGGAGACGATGCTTTGCTTGATATAGTTGTCCTTGTCTCTTAACTCCTGTTCTTCTCGTCGCAATCTGGCGATTTCTTCTCGTAGTTGTTGCTCCCGGCTCAGTAAAGTCGCGGTGGATACATCGCGTTTCATCGATGCTCCATTGCCATAGTCGCTTCCTCGGCCCTGAGGGTCGTCCATCATTCGAGGTGAAGACATTTTTCGGTGATAATCTGCCATGACGCGAACTTGTTTCTATGGATCTACTTTCGTGACAAAAAAACGATTGAGGGATTGGAAAGAAATAAAAGGGCCACCCGGTCTTCACACAATAATTATGTTTATATAGGTAATAAGGAGGAACAGGGCCGGTCTCTTCTTCGACACACTGTTTATTCTTTTTTTTTCTCCCTCCACACCTTGATTCCCCCCCTTTTTTCTGGTCCTTCCCACCTCCTTTTGCTGTGCCCCTTTCTTAGGTGCATCTCATCTGGGTCTCAAAATACCCTTGTTTCCTTTAGCCATGACCCTCGGAAAAAACGGCTTATCAATAGGTCACATCGCTGGTTTTTTTATGTTACTGATTCTCTTTTTCCGCAATCTATTGATGACAGCAATGAGCGGCCAAACTATTATATCCTATGTTTTGACTTCTCAATGAGATTAACAATCAGACAGCATTGTTTGCAGCAACTTATTTAACGGATAATGAGAAGAAAGGCAATAATAAATTATCACCGATATGATGGAAACGTTCCAGTTTGTTAAAGTTTTACCATGGATCCCTGCTTGAAATTCTCGTTTGTCAATCTATGAATAGCCATCAACATCCTTATGCATGCGCCATTGTTACTCTGTCGCTCTCACACATGTCGCACCTTTTTTTTTTCCTGATCTTGTCATGGATTTCGTGCCTCAAATACCCATCATATAAAGGCGTAATCGCCAACCATTTTTATCGAATAATAACAAATTGGTATATCCGGTAAACATACACTAAATTGAGTATGCATGAAACTATGAGCGGTGAAGACTATCTGTTCTTCAACAGTTGTATTAATTGGGATGACATGACAGAAACCCTTGGTTATTCGATGATCTGGATGATGAACAACACTATTGTAAATACAGGGATGCTTAATACATGGCGCAATAGGGAGAACGGGTGTGATCAGCGGCATAAACTGCAAGCCAGCACCTTTCAACATGCCACAATTCATGCTGTCCCCCATGTTATTTGCGGAGATCCGTCTGGATAAAAGAAAATCTTTTTTTTTTCCCTCTTATGCCTTGTTTTCAAGAGGATCAGTCCCAGTGATACAGTAGAGAATCGGAAAAGCGACTATCCAAAGTTTTATTGGCGACAGTATTCGTACATACAATGGTTGGTCTTTGCCTATCTAACGATCTATCGCTTTTTTACAGCAGAAAAGATATTGGACATGGCTCCTTATGAAAGTGTTATGGTGCATAGCATTGGACCAATTGACCCCAATTGGTTCACCAGTGTTCGCGTGTACAGTGCTCAATTTAGTGATAGTAGACAATAATCTATGCTAAAGGGTGTGCAGCGAGTAAAACAGTGGATGTCAGGATATAGAAGATACACGTCCTCAATAAAGAAAGTTGACCCACTTGATCACTTTTAAAAACACGTTTTTACATTTTATCCATCCACACTCTAGCGTCGTCAATTCAACTGAAAAACGGACAGTCGATGTCTCATTATGGATATGCTCTTACTGACCTTTCGTGTGATGGTACAGGGAGTGGTCACATGCAATATAGACACCGGAAGTGCGCCACCAGGATATTATGGATTTGGTTAACGTGATTTTGGTAATCGAATCTCATTTATGAATCTTATAATAAAATGTATTTTCAAGACAGCCTACGACGAATATTCACTTGATGAAGATGCATTGATGGTGATGGCCTGATCATGCCCGCACTAATCGGTCCGGCGGAGAATGAAATTGAATTGGAGGGCGGATTCAGCCTGGGGGGATACACACTGAATGTGTCGAACGAGTGAGTTGGGGAAATGAGTTGGTGAAATTCGATTTTTTTTCCCATCCTTTTCTTTCCTCATCAATCCATCATGGCTGGTGCCGCCGTTCAGATCTCCAAGAAGAGAAAGGTAGATGGATGGATCATGTTTTTTTTGTGGTGGATGAAATTAGAGAGAAAATAAAAATAGGAAGGATACATCCATAGCCTCCCCACATTACTAACTATATCATGGATGGCCAATACTAATGCTCGTGGTTTTTAATTAATTTAGTTTGTCGCTGATGGTGTGTTTTACGCCGAATTGAACGAATTCTTCACTCGCGAATTGGCCGAAGACGGTTACGCCGGTGTGGAAGTGCGTGTGACCCCCGCCCGTACCGAGATCATCATCCGTGCCACTCACACTCAGAACGTTCTTGGTGAAAAAGGTCGTCGTATTAGAGAATTGACCTTCCTCGTTCAGAAGCGTTTCAAATTCTCTGAAAACTCGGTCGAATTATATGCTGAACGTGTGCAAAACCGTGGTCTTTGCGCTATTGCTCAGTGCGAATCCGTCAAATTCAAACTTCTCAATGGTTTGGCTGTTCGTCGTGCATGCTACGGTGTCGTTCGTTTCGTTATGGAATCCGGTGCCAAGGGTTGCGAAGTTGTCGTTTCCGGCAAGCTCCGTGCTGCTCGTGCCAAGGCCATGAAGTTCAGCGACGGTTTCATGATCCACTCTGGTCAGCCTACCCGCGATTTCATCACCACCGCCGTTCGTCACGTCATGATGCGTCAAGGTGTTCTCGGTATCAAGGTCAAGATCATGTTGGACAGCGATCCTACCGGCCGCAACGGTCCCAAGCAGACTCTTCCCGATATTGTCACCATCCTCGAACCCAAGGACGAATCCGTCATTACCGAACCCTCTGCTCAGGACTTTGGTGTTCCTGCCGCACCTGCTGCCGAACCCATTGCAGCTGAACAGTAAAAAAAAAAACCAACAACTTCCACGGCTTTCTTTTATCGCTCTGCTTGTAAATTTTTTTTGTTCAATGTGATTACAAGGAAACCAGTAGAATCAAATAACACTCCAAAAGAAGAAAAAAGAAGATATAAAAAAAAAGATCCAAATGTCAGAATCGTTTTTGTTCGCAGCAAATGGAAAGAAAAAGGAAACAGTCAAAATGGAGAAATTCGAGCCTCTTGAATAGCCTATGGTTGTATTTCCTTTTTTTTTAGTGTATGCACATGCATGAGACATGGTTCTGTATGAAGAGAAGAGAGGAAAAGGAAAAATGCGTGTAACGTGTAATGGGTGTGTGATTGACTGTAAAAAGAAATGCTCACTATACATCTCTTTTTTTTTGGGGAGGTTTTGCTTTTGATAGCAGGTCATGGCAGAGGGAAAGGGGAAATATAAAATGTACAATGTAGGAAACCGAAAGAAGGGGGAGTCTTGTTCTTTACTCGCTGTCACTTAGAGATAACACTTCCTCTTCATCTACGCAGTTGGTGATTCGGCCGATCCACCGATAAATACCACGGGCCGCGAAATCGCCTACCGCCACACCGAGCGTCACCCATCGCAGAGTCCATAACGGTAATTCGGCCACGAACTGTTTGGAATCGTATTCTCCATTGGCATTAAAAGCTTCATAGCGTGTGTCGACGTGAAAAGCAAACAGATTAAAATGAATCCAGAACAATACCACCAGTGAACAGCAGTAGGTGAGTAAGAACCCTTTGAGGAGTCGACTCAGCCGACGAGCAATGCCTTCCATGCGTGGTCCGGGACCATTCTCTTCTCCTCCTTCATCGCCTACCGCCGGCGCTCGGTCTTGGCCTGATATCACAATGTCAAACATGTCATTCAATATCTTGTAAGTGAACCAAATATTGTTGACGCTGCCCAGTAAGAAAAACCCTAGATGAAAATGTTCCAGCTTGCACAAAATGAGTCGCCATACACGGTCATCCGAGAAGGGTAATAACAGGTAATAGAGAAGCGAACTGTGGAAAAGTGAATGTGAGTGAGGCGACGAAGAAGAAGCGGAGGAAGAAGAAGATGAAGGAAAGCAGACGGGAAAAGGGGAAAAGAGGACACGGAAAGTTGTATTTTGTGAGGATGGAAATATCTCTTCTTGCGGTGAAGGCATGTGATGACCAATGATAGTAGGGAACACCGTCGCTTTCAGAGAAAGCATTAAATCCGAGAATGAGTTCGACGTTAAACCTCCCGGATAGTTGGACAGTAACAACGATATATGAATAAACGCCTTCATGATCGTGCCTGCGACGATTAAAATAATCAGCAACCAATATTTCAATTGCCGTAGCGTTATCTACTTTATCCTTTCTTTGCGCCCCATCCTTACCTGCAGGGATCAAAATGAAGACCAGTAACAGTACCGTTACCAAGATACGCATCACTAAGAAAAAAAAAAAGGTATGGGGCATGTCAATTTCCGTTGTCTAACATGATACGCATATGCATATAGTCATGTACAGAGTCTATGTACGCGAATATGTCCAAAAAAGACTTTGACCAACCCCCCCCCTTTTTTTTTTTTTGTGCAAAATCATTGATACACACGCTCAATGCGTCGTGGGTCTTACCTCTGTAATTGAGTACCGCCATCCATGGCCTCCGCGGTCGGACTGAGAATCGGTGTTTGCACAGAGTACAGTGATATAGGTCGTTGTCACGTCCGCTGTGGAATAACGCACTTCGCCATGAAGCCATGCATTCAACGTGTACATACTTTCTACAGGTCACGCATACAATACCAGTACGTTAGTCTTACACTGGCTGAATCTTCCAGGAATTTCTTTTCGTCAATACTTGCATTGAACCTTTGCATTTGCATGGAGAGATGAGTCGACATTGACCATCATCCTTCTCGAGACATATTTTACACACAAGTGGCGAACTGACATCTGGCCGTACAGATGTTTCTGAATGGGCCATGAGGAGAAAAAGAGAAAGAAGAAAAAAAAAGAAATAAAAAGAGTTCAAGTAGGAAGTAACAGAAAGAATAAGTGGGTTGGGAAACAAGTAAGAGGGAGTGCAACGGAAGATGGAACACAGGCAAATTGAGAAAATCATGCACACTCGATCCGAGAAACAAATCACGTGGATGCGACACACAGCGTTAAATGCTCTTCCATTGGCCTTCTTTTTTTTATTTATTTACCATAGAAACAGAAATTTCCTATTTGATTAGTTTTTTTTGTAGCTCTGGGGTTTACAAAATGTTAAAAAAGAAGGTTGTGAGTGTATTTTTGTTGCAATATACAGCCGTTTTAAGGGGTAACATATAAAAAAGGATAAAAGTTTATACATGATCATTTTTTTTATCGTGATCGTCTAAAGTGAGACCACCAAGAGGATCGTTGACTCATTTTAGGGTAAAAGTCGTCTTCTTCCATGTTGGTGCTCAGCGTCGTATTGGTATTTTCACCTGTCCCTGGGAATCCGCCCATCTGAAATCGATTCGACCAGTCCGCCGATGGTCGATAAGGATCTGCATAGAAATCTTCATCGTACGCCCGGTTCCTTTGCTGTTTCAACAAAATGCCTTTTCGGTGTCGACGTCGAAGGAACACAATACCAGCCACAATCAACGCTAAACCCACCACCGATCCAACAACGCCACCCACAATTTTCGCGGTACGAGATCCATCGTTGCCTCCATTAGATCCACTTTGTTCCCCAGCCAACGACGGTATGACAGTTCTATCAGGAGTGGTCAAAAAAATTGGTCAGTTTAGCACTGTTGTTTGAACTTTTTTTTTTCTACTCCTCGTGAGACTAGATAAAGTGATTGGTAGATTTTTTACCTAGTTGGGACAACGGTTGTCACGGTGATAGTGATGCCGTTAGACACAATTTCTGTCAAGGTAGGAACATGGGTCGTGACAGTAATACTGTGTGCTGACGTTACATGCGATGACGTGTCGGGTGGAGGAGGATCAGACGAGGTGGGAGAAGGTGTAGTGGTGGTAGTCGGAGAAGGAGGATCAGGTGAGGTAGTGGGTGGCTGGTCGGTTGTCGTACTGGGTGGAGGCTCGTTTGTTGTTGTCGAAGGAGGTGCTGGCGTAGTCGTCGGTGGTGGATCAGACGTCGTGCTGGATGGCGGTGGCGGATCGGTCGTCGTCGGTGCCGGTTCACTACTCGTTGTTCTACCAAACGCACAAAAAGAGTTAAGAGATATACGACAAAAAAAAAGCCACCCCGTCAAAAAAAAACCTACGGTACGGTTGTAGTAGGAGACGGGTCAGGTGGTGGATCCGAAGACGTGGGAGGAGTTTCCGTTGGTGTGGAAGAAGGGGTGTTTTCGGAGGAGGTAGGCGTAGGTACTTGTTCGGAAGAGGACGGAGTGCCTGTGGGCGAACCACTGCTGCTATTGGATGGTTCCATACTATTAGAATTGGAAGGCTCGGTAGGATTGCTCGAGGGAGAATCGGTTGGATCGGATGGTTTGGGTGAAGGCGTTGGAGTTTCCTCGGTGCCAGTGGGCGTCGGTGTCTCGGTAGGTTCGGGCGTCGAGTCTGAAGTGGGTGTTTGAGAAGCGGGAGCGGAAGCTTCAGTCTTAGGATCCGAGGCGTCGTCAGAAGAGCTTGGTGTTAAAGTCGGTTGAGGACTGGAATCGGTCGTTTCGCCTGGTATCCTGGTTTCTGTATCCGGGACAGACGAAGACATGGAAAAGCAAAAGCGCCCAAAAAAAAAGAAAAAAGGAATAAAAGATGCCCCAAGCAGTAAAGAAAAAAAAAAACGAAAAAAGGTCCTCTTTTTTTTTACTTTTGGGACGTTTTTAAACACCGCTTTAAGCAAAAACCTTTATTTAAACCCGTTGGATTTTTTTTGTTGAATCACCGATGCTTTGTGCCACCAGTAATTCAATTACCAAATGTCGAAGGGTTTATTTTTAGGAGTTCTCCATGGTGCTTCAAATAGGGACGAACTAAAATTACATTGAAAACGAATACAGATTGAACTTGCTGCAATTGTGGCTTTTATTCAAATTCATATCGATTGACGTATATGAAATACGCCCCTAAGAATTTTCTATACAGGCCATTTATACGTACCTTGATAGCCGTTAGAGACTTACCTGTGCGAAATACTACGAAGGTGTGCACTCGATACTGAATGGACAGAGAGTCGGATGTTGCACTTCACTTTGTAGACTACTGCTAAGGCGATAGAACGCTCACCAATGGGAACAGAATAGCGACGCAGATGGCTGGGTGAGAGACAACCTACGAAACAACTACAGTCAGTGAGTGACTTTACTTTTCTGTGGGACTCACATTGATACCAGCAGACAACGCAAAAGAGATATACCTCTATGATGTATAAATTAGTTTAGAAGATTTATCGCTTCAAATTGGTTGTTATTTGTGGGAAACCTACAATATAGCTGCTCTAAGATTTATTGGAGTATTGACTAACCATATCGTCTTTAGATATCAGGTAGCGCCTCGCTTTGGGAAGAAACGCGGGAGAAAACCCTACAAAGAACAAGTTAATGTGATCTGCCACAATGCTTTCAACTTTGTTTTTTTCTCTTACCAAAGAACTATACATTTCTCCACAAAATGCGGAAAGCATTTTACTCAACGTTATGCATCCTTCTTAAAAGTGGGGTAAAAACATCATTAGCAACAAGCAGTAGTAAAAAGATCTTTTGTCTTGCACTATAGATTTTTACTAGTTGGATGGAGAAAAAGAAAAAAAGAATGATCTTTTTCAATGATGCTTATTTTTGGCCTTGGGACTACTCATCTATTACTGATGAGAATCTAGGCGAAAAAGTGATAATCAGGCACAAGTTTCCTTTTTCTTCCACTAGCAATTATATTTACTTACTCACAGTGACAAATGAACAATCAAGACTTCAATAATCAGAGACCTTTCAAGCGAAGAAACGTTACCGTTCCTCGAGCCAGTCATTCGATGGGTAATGTTATCGACGACGAGCTTGAATCACAACTTGTTAAAATGATTTTTGACGTTTGTGGGGGGCCTAGCGAGCTTGACTCCGGTCTTGCAAATATATTATGGCGGCCAAATTTGGAGCACATTCTCTGAATTGGCAACTGGAGACGGCTTTGAGGTTACAGTATATTGCGTTGCAGTTTTCCGATCGCTCGTTCCATTGAATAGACCGCATGAACATCATCCAGTCCCCGGCGCAATTCATTTTCTGGAACTCCGGCATGATCTGCCCGATTCGTGTCTGTACGTATTGTTGGAAAACAGATATTGTGGCTCCCTCCTTGCCATATACACATCTTGCAAGAATTCCAGATTGGCCTTGGAGTGGGTAACGAGATGGTCCTGCGTCTTGGCAACTATTCCGTGCCGACGATATGCAAGCTCGTCCAGCACATGCTGCAGGAAATTAAAAATGTCTTTTTGTTGCGACCGGCCAGGCGCAACCGGAGTGTGTAGCATGTATCCCCTTTCACTGCGGACGACGGCAGGGAGATTGGAGAACGACCAAGTGCATTATGGCTATTCGTCTTTCGCTGCTGTTAAAGAGAATTAAACCTATTGGTACATACAGTATGTCTGAATGCATTATGCAATATTAGGTTGCATGAATTGATTCTGATAGATTGTGCGAACTCTGAATGAGTTGAGGTATCATTTATCACTGACCTTTCTGTCTCTGTATCATTTAATGGAATGGATGTCTGTCAAAAAACAATCAAGCCATTTGATTGGCTAAGTTTTTGATCTGTACTCGAAAATTCTCAGACGCATGACGCGTTGGCGTGTTGTGCCTCTTTCCGCATTCTATTTCTTTTCTTACCATGGCCTCCTCATTGAGAAATCCATTGCCAATCTTTAATGAAGATGACAGTACGCCGTTCAGTGAAAGTGAAGAAGAGTCTGTAGCCTCTATCGACAAGGAAGAAGATTACGAACAGAAGCTGTTGTCTTTATATCAAACTCGATCATATAAAGAATTGATCTTACTGAAAAAGAGATGGAAGTTGTTAAAGCAGAAACAAGAAGAAGACCGGCTCCAATATATAATAATACGCAATAGTAGAAGAACCTGAGCTAATTATCCTATCTATAGCTGGCACTTGCAAGAAATGTCATAAAAAAGGCCATAAAGACGGAAGATCCAAACTGTGCCCGGAGAACGCCAGAAACAAAAAAGGGAATGGTACGATAAACGACTCATTAACTGCAATACTGATAGCTAAATGTTAGAAATTCATTCTATAGAGACCAAAAAAAAAAGAAAGGCAAGTAAACGGCCGAAGAAAAAAGTAAAAAACAAGAGGCAAAGCGCCAGCGACTCAATGAGACCAAGTGGTCTGGCAAACGAAAGTGCAGATCATGCGCAAAGCTCCGACCAAAATTTCTTGAGAACATCCATATGGCAATAATCGCGCAACCGTCTGTCCCGTCCAAAAAGCAAATAATAGAAGCCCAGTACACTGGACAGGCCGAACAATTTGTTCGAAAAACGAAGCTTACTACAATATTGAGGAACGAACATGCTGCAATTTTGGAAGCCATACATCGAACCGTCGATTTTAACCGCGAGGTGGTCATCAAGGCATCACTTTTTGTCATATATTTTTTGCAAAAGCAACTCGCATCTCATCAAGTTTTGTCCCCTACCATTTTCCAGCAAGTTTTTTTCTACTCCGTTTCAGTTGCTTCTTACCGGAGACATTTCGTCCGAAAATATACACGCACCGACGCAAGAAATGAAAGCGGTTTACAACGAATTCATCGTACTTTTCCCGACCGCAAAATGCAACCCACTCCCCGATGGCACAATGGCGAAAGGCATCCTCACACTTACAACAAGCCAGCTAGAACCACTTTTGAGAATCATATCGTCGAAAATTTTGAACAATACTACGTTGCATTTTTGTCATTCCGATTTCATGAAGCATTTCCGGTAAGTTAAACCAGAAGGTGATAGGAAACAGGTGCTCATCATTATTTTCCTATATAGATTTTGACCAAAAAACAGCATAAGGCTCTAGATTTACGAACGACAGTTTTGCACAATCCTCAAACCCCAAGCTCAGCAAGACTCTGAATATACCCGTCGACCTAGAAGACAACATCACGTTTTGGATCTCCGAGCTGTTTTCAGAAATGGAAGAGTTGCTGCCCACACACAAGGACAACCTGACGATGGCGAGCATTGCGAAAGAGCCACATCATTTTCTCTCCATTTTGTACAGAAAAATCTATACATCAAGCTTTACAATGACGCGCAAACACAACTAGCAAACGAAGTCCAAACCGAAGCCACCACCGGTTACATATTTTCATTGCTTCAACAATTAGACGCTTACAAAGTTTTGGGAAGACGACGCCGTTCATGCATTCGCCGCAAAGTTTTGGAAAGCATCAACGAAGATACCCCCATGACCATCGACCCCGCCTGGAATTTTTACCATCAAGCTCAAGCATACATCACAGAGATGATCACCTCGACACGGCTGCAAATTTTGAACTCGCGAAAATTTTTGGATCCCGAATGCACAGACGATATACCCCAAACTGCCTGCGTCCGTCCTGCTTTACATCATGTCGCAAAACAGCAAAGAATTTTCAAGCTCTTCTCTACGCCATCATTTTTGATGAAGTACATTACGATTACGGAACCCAACCTTCGCTACACTTTTGGTTTGGCAGGAACAAGAAGAATCTCGGGGAATGCGTTTGATTTTGCATTAGATCTGAGCAAAGTCCGCGCTGGACGGTAAGTAGTTTATGCGTGTTTCCACATACGCGAATAACTGAGTATGCTTTTTACCTTTTGTAGTGGATCGACTTTTGCCAACATCATCACGACTGACGGTTACAACTGCAGCGTACATTTTTTCCGACCACGTAGACCAGACACAGTTTTGCCCGATTTAGACCCCAACGATTTTGCACAGTGGGAACTCGATTTTGTTCGCCTATGGGGGATCGACCCAGGACTTTCCGAAATTTTTGTTGCCAGCGATAGATCAACCACCCACGACGATAGACCAATAGAAAACTCATTGCATGAAATACGTCAATTTTCGACTGTAGAGTGCTATACCAAAGCAGGCTACAAGAGCTTCACGAAAATTTTGCAAGAACGAAAAATTGCAGCGCACATCACCGAAATCGAAAGTCATTTGCACATCCAAAGTCACCAATATACCACAACCAATCACATACATCGAATCAATCCTTGCAAACCTACATCGCTTGACCGAATTTTACAACATCGAGTTTGAAGAATGGCTCTTTAAGCGATACGTCAACCAGCAGAAGTGTCAATATTTTCTTATCCGGTGGCGGAAAATACCGACAAATAGCGCAACACCCACACCAATAACGAAGACGACTGGCGTAAGTTACTTAAACCGTGTGTGTAGTGATTTACGGTTCTGGCCGATTTTATTTACATCAGCAAATGGCGCAAAGCCGAAATACACAATGGTCAGGCTCTTCCAGTTTTGGCGCTGGGTGACGCATCATTATCCATGGCCCAAAGGGGTAAAATTAGCGGAATCTCCAAGAAATTTGCGAAATTGCTCAAAGAAGCAGAAAGACACGGCAAACTTATCGTCCTCAAGATCGATAAATACAATACCTCTAAAGTAAGTAAAAGGAAAAAGTGTCAACCATAAGCTGAAAAAATAGCTAAACAAGCCTCCCTTTAGATTTGCTCACGTTGCGGCACAAAATCACTAAAAAACGTCAATAGCCGCCAGAATAACGCTTCGCTCTTCAAAGTCCTCCGTTGCACCACATGTCAAAATTTTTAGAATCGCGACGTCAACGCAAGTCGTAACATACGCTCCATCGCTTTTGCCGGTTTCTTGGGCCATGACCGGCCAATCATGTTCACACGGCCCAACAATGCAAAAGAAGAAGACGATTAGGAATGAGTTGCATTCACACACCCTGGCCAAACAATGCCATGGGTGGCAGATAACAGGTGAGCCAAAAATAACCCCGAATTCAAAACGCGAAATCATTTTACTAAATGTGGGTTCTAAAATCTTTAGTTGTGTTAAACCCTGTAATCGACGTCCCTCGAATCTAAATCCTTGCGATCTCCGAGAACAGTCCACTGTTATCTTTGTTATAGCAAGACATGGTGCTAAACAGAGCAAATGCTTGAACGTAGAGTAGTAAGTGGGTCCTCTCGTCGAGCGGCTTGGGCGGTAGTTACAAAGATGAAAAGCAGTCGTTTCATCCATCCATTTCCGCCTTCTTCGTTTTTCATTGGATATTTTCTTATTCCGTTGCCAAGCAGTGAATTACACTTTGACATTCATAAGAAAATATGAACTCTATGAATGGCTTTGCTCCATCGGCACTTCCAAAAGAAGGACGAGCTTTTTTTAGCGTCCCTTAAAAAATATACATCAGCAGCGGCGAGCGGGGATTGACTGGTTCGTTCGTCTGCCAATAAGGAAAAAGCAAATTGAAAAAATCGGAATACGTGAACGCGAAATGTTCGCTTTTTTCGATGTGATGGGACTTTTACTTTTACTTTTTTTTGTAATTCATAACAGTCTGTGGAAAGTAGCACAGTACATTGCCAAACGGTCAAAGTGATAATTTTAGCTGCACCGTGGAACTTCTATAAATAACTTGGCTGAGGTAGAGATTTCTGCAGATCCCAGCTTTCTCCCATTTCCTCAGTACCATTCTCCTTATTAATCAATGTGTATTGTTGTCACATCAAGATGATTTATTTTTATCTGCAAAAAAAAACAGAGGCTCATGGCGATGGAAGATATATTTACAGTTAGTAACTTATAACGCGCAGGCCTAAATTGGTTTTCTGCCTTTGAAGAATTCTGCTTCCAATTGTTGAAGACAGCTCCGCCTGAAAATTTCGGTGCGTCAGTGACCTTTTGATAGGCCAGCGCTGGTCTTCAGTGTCCCAGAGTGGCACAATCATGCAAGATTTCAAATCGCTCAGACTGGGTCGCCTCAACCGACAGAAGGGAACAGAGGTGACCCCTTTAATACATGTATCTCACGCAGCTGTATCCATGACAGCCTATATGCATAGTCTATACTGATAGATCATTCTCTCCCTTTAGAAACAAGTACATAAATGGCCGATGTTTTCTATGTTGCCTGTGCCCGACTCAGTTATCGTCCCTGAAAACATGACATGCCAGATAATATGATATTGAGCTTTAGGAAATGTCAAGCGTAACGCCGTCTTCAACAAATGGATATCCGTATTGCGTCCATTTTTCAAAGGAAGCAATTGGTTACGTGATTGCAATTCGGCTTCCTTATTACGTGAAAAGAGAATCACTCTGTTTAGAAAACGAAACTTTCAGTCTTCTCGTTGAAAGAAAAACAACGAAAACAAAAAAAAAGCCCTGCGAAACCAAGAAAAAATTCATCTGGTGACTTTTCGGAGAAAGCATTATGTGACTATGAATTTTTTTTTTCGGTTTTTTTTTTTTTTTTTTTTTTCTCGTCTTTCCCTTTTGTGCGGATCATTGAGTTTTTTTTTTTATTTTTTCTATTTCTTCTTTGGTTGCCCTACCTTTGTTTATATTGTTCCGGCCATGTCGTCTTCCAATGCTTATGAATTACCACCCCAAGTCAAGCTGTTGCAGCCGACTTCCCAGTTAAAGGGTCTCATGACGATCATTCGGTCCAAGACCACATCACGGGGTGATTTCATCTTTTATGCTGATCGTATTATTCGTTTGTTGGTCGAAGAAGGTATGGCAACGGAAGCCATGTAAACAGACTTTTTGGGTTTTCCCTTTTCCAGTCATTTGTCTCATTCAATTCCCGGTTGCACAGGTTTGAATCACCTGCCTGTCATTGATAAGGCTGTCGATACACCCACGGGCGTTCAATACAACGGTCTCGCTTTTGAAGGTCGCATCTGTGGTGTTTCCATTATGCGTGCCGGTGAAGCCATGGAACAAGGTCTGCGTGATTGTTGCCGCAGTGTGAGAATTGGCAAGATTCTCATCCAACGTGACGAAGAAACTCACCTTCCAAAGGTAATTTTTTTTAAATCTCAGTTGACCGCTTTTAAAACTTTAATCCTTTTTTTCTCCCCTTCCTACTTTTGGCTTGGGTGAGAAATGATGGATGGGAAAAAAACAAAAAGAGAAAAAGTTTACCACGGTGATCATTGGATACTCACGTTATCTTCAATGAACAGCTCTTCTATGCCAAACTTCCCAATGATATTGCTTCAAGATACTGCTTGTTGTTGGATCCTATGCTTGGTAAGTTGATTTGATCTATAGTGATGGTGATGGTTTCCCACATTGATACGATTTTCGGATGGAATGGAAAATAGCTACCGGTGGTTCTGCGATGAAGGCGGTGGAAGTGTTATTGGATAACGGCGTTCCCGAAGATCACATCATCTTCTTGAACTTGATTGCCGCTCCGGAAGGCATCAATGCCTTTGTGCAGCGATTCCCCAAGATTAAAATTGTCGCCGGTGAAGTCGATGCGGGTCTCGACGAAAACAAGTACATTGTTCCTGGATGTGGCGACTTCGGTTGCAGGTAAATAATATGAAAAAAAAAAAAACGAATTTAGTCACGCTGCATCGATTCACTCACTCTTTTCCGTCCCACAGATACTTTGGCACCGATGATTAAGCATAATACCAAACCTATCATCATTTACAAATAAAAATAAGCAAGCAAATCACACTAATAAGCATCGAAAAAAGAATATCCTAAGCATGTCTTTATATTTTCAGAGCAAAAGAAAAAAAAATTGTTCGTTCTTTCTTTGCCAATGACTGTTTCATCTCCAAGTGCCCGTTTTTCGCATTTTTATCTTATTACAAAGCGGGGTTGTCTTTGTATTCCAACGGTAAAACAAATTCGGTGCCCCACGGTATATTAAATCGTTGCAATCCAATCTTTTGCAAATTGACCATCGGTATGCCGAGATCGGCCAAAAACAGTTCACCCGTGACATTGCGAGAAGTGCAACCCTGTTTAGGCACAGCAAAGCACAGTGTCCATTTGGGAGAAATGTAATGCATAACGTGGAAAGGATGGCCTGCAAAAAAAAACAGATGAATCATTGTTTCCTTCTGCCATCCGGTTACCATAAACTCACCATCTTCGCCGTTGATACCACTGGGCAATTCCAAACTCAATACCGGCGCTTTGTTGTTATTGGCCCAATCCATGGCTTCCCATATTAATAACCGCGTTTCATAATCGTCCCGAAGGTCCCGAATCGTAAAGTGACAGCCCATCATCGCGTCAATAATCAAATCCACCGGCGTTGTATATCGTTGAGGTAAATCTGTCATCAAAAGAACAAATTGGCCATCCATTCATGTATTGCATTTAAAAACGATATGGCAGCATGATGCTTTACCTTCCGTGGATGCCACAATACGCGCGCCAGCAAATTCAGCACATTTTTTCTGTTCCATGACCTCTTCCTTGAGCGCGGCGTTCTTGCCACAAGTCACCAACACCACGACTTGGCAACCACGATTCGCCAGATGACGGGCCGCAGCCAAACCGTAACTTCCCACCGTATTATTGCCCGCCAAAACAACCACCAAAGGAGCTGCATTATGGTTTCCAGGCTGAATACGCATCCGTCCACCTATAAAATCCATCAGTATCACCCGGATGTCATCTATCGTTCCAATAGGGCTTACCGATAGCCATCAATGCCATGACACTCGTTCCATGTCCACCGTTTTCGACTCTCATGTTTAAACTGGGCCCTGTCTTGGCATCTTTCGAGAGAGTGAGACCCGTGGATTCATTCATATCCTTTTCCTTTTTTTTTCACTTACCACACCAATTCTCCAGTTCTCTCATCTGTGACGATGTAATTGTAGGGATGGCCTGACCACCCGCCACGGTACGAATGTGGGACTCGATTGGCGGTTCACTGGTGGTTAAATCCACAGGCAAAGGAGCCAGAGGAGCATTGGCACCTTCCAATTCCGCCATCTCTTCTTCCTCTTGTTGTTTTGCTTTGTTCTGCTTTTTACCCTGTTGTTGTTCTTTCTTTTGAACCACAGTAGGCGGAGGGCTAGGAGTATTGGCCAAAGGAGACACGGATGAAAGGTCCACGGGTGGCGGGGGTGAGGTGATGCCATCGGTCAAAGGGGAGACCGAGTCATTGGTACCAATCACCGATGTGGTCGAAATAACGGGAGTCGGTTTAGCGCTGACACTGCTACGCGAACGCGCCTTCGGGGGTATCAAAGAAGCCGGGATTTTCATACTGCTGCTGACACTGCTCTTTCTGGAGGATGTAGCCGACGTGGCCGATCCCGCATCGTTGGATTCCGCGGAAGGCGTGGGTGTCAAAGCGGAATCCAACTGAAGCGACGCGACCAAGGTGTTGGTGGCCACAGGATCCACAACCGACTCGGGTTTCGTATTCGCCGCCTACAATCGAACCCTCATTAGCCATCTGCGCTCTATTTTTTATCATCTCTACCAATAGAATGGCGACAGCCAGAGGTTATCTACGTGCCTTGGATACATAGGGACGGCCCGTCTTGGCTACGGAACCGGGACCATATAATCGAGGAGATGTCAATGTCCCCTTTTTCTCGTCGCTCGCCACGTATCGTTTTCCGCTTTTGCCGCGCGACTTTACAAAGTCTTCGTAATTCGTAAACTCCACCGTTTCTGTCGGTATGCAGCGATCCCTCCGATTGGTAGCCGCAAACGTTGGCAGTTTGGCCGGTCCTTTGGCCGGTGCTTTGTAAGAGTCCTCTTTGCCAATTTCTTCCAGTTCGTCGGATACCTTGGATGGGTTGAACCCCTTGGACTTGCTGGATTCCTTGGGAAGGCCAGGTTCCTTTGCCGTGCTGGAGGCTTTTTGCGTACCGGGTCTGCTGGTGGTCTTGGAAGGACTCGATTCCTTTGGTGTGTTGGAATCCTTGCCTTTGTTGCTATCCTTGGGTTTGCTCGCCTTGGGCGAATCTTTTGTTTTGCTGGAATCTTTGGCTTTGCCAGATTCCTTTTTCATAGCAGTGTCTGCCTTTTTTGATGGCGGTACTATACTGTCACTAATAAAAGTTTAAAAGCAATCAATCGCATGAAAATGGAATCACGGGCCAGAAAAGAAAAAGCGACTTACGAATCAATCTGATTCGGTTTGTTGACAACATTCGCATCTTCGGTAACGGCAGAAGGTTTCGTAGCATCCTTAGCTTGTTTTGTTGATACTTTCATTTCCGGTCCAGGTTGAGAAGTAGAACCATTGGTGGCACTATGCGTCCCACTGACCTAAAATAAACAAAGCACAACAGTTGTAAGTCACTGCTCGATTCCAACTCCTTCGACTTTTTTCTAATAAATAGACCCATACTGTGATAATAGCCGGATCGATAAACACGTTGGAAGAAGAAGACGAAGAAGAAGACTTGGTGGCGACGGGTGTATGACTGGCCATGGGAACGAACTGAGGACTGGGACGATAAGACGAAGAAGGTTCCATGGGCGGCATCATGGGAGAAGGACCATTGAATGGTGCTGCTGGGTTGTGAGGCAAGGGATGCATGGGCGGCATAGGTGGCATAGGTTGGGCTAGAGGCGACGATTGAGGCATGAGTTTGGCCATGGCCGGTGAAGGGACCATGGTGGCTGGCTGATTGGGGCGAGGAATCACTTGCAAGTCTTTAATACGGTCGCCCGTCAAGTTGAGCAAGGGCGACTCGATGGTTCGACCGTCGGAAAAGCAGGTCACCGCTAATAGTTGGCAAGAGCAAACACGTAACAACAGTTAGATAAATTTGCGCTTGCAGCAGTATACTGGTCAACTTTTGGTATACCTGAATGTAATACCAAATTACTGGTTTGTTTGTCCAAGCCGGATATGATGCCAAAGACGACCGGTCCATCTTTGAGCGTGACACGAAGATGTAAGCCAACGTATTCCGCCATAACAACTCTATTGTATTTCTATAGTGTAAAAAGAAAAAGAAAGAAAGAGGAAGAATAAAAGGAGAAGTTCTAATATGTGGTTCAGAACAGAAAGTGGATTCTGCACTTGCTCACAATAAGAAAAAAACCGAAGCCGAAAAATTGGGAAAATGAACGAAAAGCGCATCTCTTTCTCTCTCCATGTGACTGCCAAATGGCTTGGTACCATCCACGGGACTTAAGCAGTTGCTGTGCACATTGGCGATCATATCATCGAGTTTTCTGGCCAAAGTGTATCAATACCATGTAAACGCATGCTCTGTATGAATTGTATATTATTTTACCCGCATCGAACCAACTCACACACGAAGAGCTGGGCCGAAAAGAGCACGATCAACTCTCCAAACCGGGTTCCCTTATAAATTTCTTTGCATTTCCCATTCTGCATGCCCTTGACCCTTGCACAGCTGATGTCTTAAATTGGTTAAAAACATCCTTTGCGGTTGCATGGACTTTGTTTGATGAACCAAAAAAGTGGATTTGGATGTGACTCCTTTTGGCCGCACACAAATGACGTTTCACGGACCGTTTGAAACTCTGTGTGCTCGAGCGCGCCCTGAAAATTCCACACTCCTCCAGTGTGTTTGGGCTTCTTTTCTTTCGTTCCAGTGTGTTGCATATACTATTGTAATGTCTTTGTTTGACGATTTTATGGAATCGTCCGAAACGGCGCCTGCACCCGTGACACCTGCCTACGGTGAAGGTTACTCGGCCGACAATGCTTACACTGGAGGAGGATTTGCGGCGGGAGCGGACAATGTTCGCGTAAGTCTTGCCATCTTGGTCCAATGCCATTGACAAGTCGTCATGGGCGGTGCAAGCTTGCCAAACTCATGTTTTCTCTTTCTTTTTTGTCTTTTATATAAAGCTGGAGACCGGTTACGTGTCCACCGGGTTTGGACAGATAGAAGTCCCGATATTCGCCCTCGCCTATGTTCAATTCCAGCTGCCAGCCACCTTGGTCGATATGGCCGTATCCAATAATATCTTGGTTGTCGCCTTGGACACCTTTCGCATCATCCGGATCGACCTTGACAATCCACTCGAAGTCGAAGGTACATTCACCTGTCGTTGTCGGCTTTTTTTTTTTTGTTTCACACCGTCAACTCTGACGTGCTAACTTGTTCAAAGATATTGAAATCACACGAAAACCCGGTGACGGAAAAATCGTAAAGATCTTTTTTGATCCTACAGGACGCCATTTAATTATCACCACGGATCACGGCGAAAACTATTATCTGTATGAGAAATGGCGAAGAACGAAGCAGCTTTCAAAGCTCAAGGTAAAAAAAAAAAACCACAGCAGCATATCTCTATAGACGCAACATTTCAACTCATCGCGAGCCGGGAATGGGTCCCGTTGTCAATGATAGGGTGTAACGATTTCATCGATTGCATGGAACAAGCAAGTAACGTTGACAGATCCTTCCACACGAGAAATATTGATTGGCACCAAGAATGGACTTATTTATGAGACGTGTTTGGAACCGACGGATGAATTCTTTCGTCGCGAAGAAAAATACTTTAAACAAGTGTATTCCATTCACGAGACCACCATGCCCATCACCGGTCTGCATTTCGAACAATTTCCCGTTAACAACCGCAAATACTTTGTCATGGCTACCACGCCTACGCGGATTTACCAGTTTGTGGGCTTCGTTGGCCCGGCCAGCGGCAGTCGATCACCGGCCGGATTCGGCGAATCCGACGATCGTACCGAGAAAGCCATGTTTGAAGGCCTGTTCTCAAAGTACGACGTGAATCCAGGTAAACCTCAATTCCCTAACAGAGACAATCAATGCACCGTGATTTTAAACACGACACCTGATTTTTTCCGGTTTGCATCTATTCCGTAGGTTTCCAAGAATTACCGGGCGATCTTTCGTACAGCGAACTTCACTTTTTCAGTCGGTTTCATGAGTTACAGCAGCAGGGTGTGGCACAGACATTTGCATGGTTGACAGGTAAGGAATTCTCGACGAAAATGCATTGTCATATTTTCCTAACACGTGGCCAAAAAAAAAAAAGGCCCTGGTATTTACCACGGAAACCTGGTGTTTGGTTCACAAAATGCGGGTGACAGTGTCATTGACAATGTTCAGCTCCTTCAGTAAGTTTAGCCTCATAATGCCTGTCCTTTTTCTTCCCCATTTCGTTGAATTTGACGTGGGAAATATCTGCATTCAGATACCCTGCTCGGCCAACCGATGACATGCCAGGACAACTCGTGACAGAAATCCCCATCTCTGTCGCCTTGACGGAATTCCATTTTATCCTATTGTATAAAGATCGTGTCCGCGCCATCTGTCAGCTGAACGACAAAATCGTCTATGAAGAAATGATTCCACTCGTACGTTTGCTAACAAAAAGAAAAAGGCCGAGCATGTCAGTGATTAATGGGCTGTAATCTATTAGAATCGAGGGGAAACCGTGCGTGGTATGACGGTGGACGATATCAAAAAGGAGTTTTGGATTTATACATCGGCGGCCATTTACGAATTGGGGATCAAGAATGAAGAACGTGATGTATGGAAATTGTATCTGGAGAAGAAGCAGTACGATACCGCGCTTCAGTACTGCAAGGATCCGGCCCAAAAGGACAAGGTGTACACGGCCCAAGCCAAGGATTATTTCCAGCAGCGACGGTACCAGATGAGCGCCAAGTACTTTGCCGAAAGTACCGTGCCCTTTGAAGAAGTGGCGCTGAAATTCGTGGAAAAGTCGGAACAAGACGCTCTACGCATCTACCTGACAAACAAGCTTGATCGTCTACGAAAGAATGTAAACCCATCCGAAAAAAAAAATCAAGCAAGTGAATGGCGGCATGACTGATTCTTGCTACTTTTTGACAGGATCGAATGCAGAAAACGATTGTGGCCACGTGGCTGGTGGAGATCTATCTTTCCAAATTGAACGAACTGGAGGACATGGCTTCGTCAGCTCATTCGACGTCCACCAACAACGACACGAATCCTGTCTCGGCCACCGGCTATAATTCCGCCGCTTATTATCAGGAACAGCTCAAGGATCTGCAAGACGAATTCAAATCGTTCCTAGAGTCTTACAGCACTCACTTGCATCGACCGACCACATACAAATTGATTGCTAGCCATGGCCACAACTCGGAGCTTTTATACTATGCGTCCTTGATTGGCGATTACGGGCGCGTGGTGAGCCATTGGGTGATTGAAAAGAACTGGGAAAAGGCATTGGAAGTGTTGAGCAAGCAGGCGGATGTCGATATTTTCTATCACTTTTCGCCGGTGCTGATGGAAAATGCACCTTATGAAACCGTCAATGTGTGGATGCGTCAACCCAACCTCAACGCGCGACAGCTTATCCCCGCTTTGCTGCAATACGATCACTCTAAAATATCCGGCAAAATCGCACAGGTTCGAAATGCGCGTGTTTTTTATGGGCCAACAGGATTTGACTGACTGACTGAATCAATCAACTCGTAGAATCAAGCCATTCGATACCTTTCTTACGTCGTCACCACACTCGGCAATACGGATCCTGCTATTCACAATTTCCTACTCACACTTTATGCCACGCAACCTACCAGAGATGAAACGGCGTTGCTCACGTTTCTAAAGAATGAGGTATGGTGGTCTCATGGATCTCCCCTCTTTTTTTTTTGTTCTTGCTCTGTGGAGAGTTGACGTTTGCTTGCTTGTCTTTAGGGTCGAGAAATGCATTACAATCTCGATTACGCTCTTCGCCTGTGCAGTCAAAATGGGCGAACGCAAAGCTGTGTCCATATTTACAGCCAAATGGGGCTTTATGAGGAAGCGGTGCATCTCGCTCTCAAGGTAGGTTGGACAACCAATATTATACCACGAACAGCAGCGGGTTGACCAGGTTACTGTAGCACGAAGATCTGGAACTAGCAAGAATCAATGCCGACAAACCAGAGGATGATCCCATGTTGCGAAAGAAATTGTGGTTAAGCATTGCCAAACATGTGGTTCAAGAAAACAAGGACATCAAAACGTAAGATACAAAAAAAAAGACATGCATTTGGATGATGATCAATGCATTCTCACACGGTATTCTCTTTCGCAGCGCCATGGAATTCCTCAAGGCAGGAGATCTGTTAAAGATTGAAGACATTTTGCCCTTCTTTCCTGATTTCGTGCTGATTGACGATTTCAAGGTACGGCTCAACCATATCTGATCTGGGCTATCAACTAGCCTGTGTTAATCCTGAATACGTAGGATGAAATTTGCTCGGCACTGGAAGAATACAATATTCACATTGAAGACTTGAAAGCCGAGATGGACGAGGCAACCAAGAGTGCCGACAGTATTCGTCTGGACATTCGCGAACTGAAAAGCAGGTAGGTTGCACTGGGAACCCATCATCACGGTGACATTTGCATTGACAAAATATAATCTACAGATTCGCCTTGATCAGTGCGGTGGAAAAATGTTACATTTGCCAATTCCCATTGTTGACGCGCCAATTCTACGTTTTCCCCTGTCAACACGCGTTCCACGCCGACTGTTTGATTAATCGGGTAGGCTCATGGACAAGAATCCAACGACAAAGATAACCATACTCATTTTTTTTTGTATCTTTGTAGATGACCAAATATTTACCGACACGCCAAATTCGTCGATTGGCGGATTTGCAGGAACAACTTTCACGTGAACTGTCTGCTCAGGGACGTCAATCGCATGCGGCAACGGCCAACGGGACAACCAATAAGTTTATGAATGCGGCTGGCAATATACGCGGGGTGATCTTTCCCAGCGATGCGGCGGCCGAACACCAGGACGATCCGCGCCACTTGGTGGCTCGAACGGAACGTTTAAAAGAAGAACTGGACGACATTGTAGCAAGCGAATGTGTGTTGTGCGGTGATATTATGATCAAATCCATCGATCAGCCCTTTATTGGTGAAGAAGAAGCCGATGTCTTGGCAAGTTGGGCCATTTAAATTTGAGTTGGGTCTTGTGTTTTATTCGCTCCGTTTCTTTTTTTCATGAAATGGCGAGAATAGAGAGACCTGGACGTGGCGGAATTGACCGTATTCAGTCACAGACAAAATAACCTTTGACAGATCCCTCTTTTTTTTGCCCTTTTCATTTCGTTCATTGTCTTCCACTCGCACATTTCAATCGTTCTTCTTTCTTTGTATCGTTCTTAATCTCCTACGCTTACTGTCTACCCTCATTCCCTTACTATTCGATCTTTTTCAACATCATGCCACAGCTCGTTTATTCCAAGTCATTCAATAAAAACAGTTTTCACCTCGTCGAACTCAGCAACGACGATCTTGTACAGGCTTTCGAATCGGGATCACGGTAAAAATAAAACATAAAGTGTTGCTCGAGATCCCGGTCACCGGTCACATTGTATTAACAACGACGAGTTAGATTGGTTATCAAAGGTCTACCGGACGATGAAGCTGTTCTTTGTACAACCTCGGCTACCTACAGCGTACGCGAAGTCAAGACATCCAATTCCCTCGTCCTGAGTACATTCGATAAGGATAATCACGATACATGGCGCGTCGTCGACGATTTGTCCAACACCATTGAATTTTTACCATGTCTTGCCCGTACCAATCGCATCAACACCTTGCTACACTCCACACTTTATGCAGGCCCCAGCGAAGAATTTAAACACCAAAACAAGGTAACATTTGGAGTCTTTTTCAGCGACGGTGTTGTACTAAAGTCCAATATGACCAGACAATGTATACCTTTTCGGACCTGCTGTCAACGGTGCAAGCGAGCGAACAAGAACTAATCCAGGGATTAAAAGAAAGAAACGCGTTTGAAATACAAGGTAGGTTCACTACGATGCCCACAGGAAAAACCGTATCTCAACGGTCATACGGCGCGGCCAGCCATCAACGATATTGATGATGTTATGGGATAGGTTATTATCGGTTGTTTGAGAGGAATTACCTTCATCGTTTATTGGATGCATTGGTCACACAAGCCATTATTCAAGGCCACGATGTCAAAGAAATGAGTGTGAAGAATGCATACGAGTGCGTTCGGGAAGGGTTGGCAGCGGTAGAGGACGAACCTACTTCTGTACCGGATGCGGTCATCATGGCATGCATTGCGGCGTTTGCTGATGATGATACGGATTTGACCGTGGCCACAAATTCAGTTCATTTTAATGAAAAGAAAATATGCCGCTTCCTCGGAGAAGTCATTCTCGCCAGTGCAAAGGTAAGAAAAAAAAAGGAACCCGAAATGACCGATCGCGTACCTGTTATGGATGTTGAGTGACACCCGGCCCATGGCTTTATGATTATCCTTTTTAGGGTAAAGAATGGCGACTGGAAGATTTCATGGAAGTCTGGCGTCAAGTTACACCGGATGTCTACCAACCTCAAATGGAAGCATTGCAAGTGAGTCAAAAATCCCCCTGATCCCCATACGTCTTTTCCGTCTCAGGAAAATGTGGCGAGGATAATGTCAAAGTAGATCAAAAGGGAGTTTATTCGCTTATACGGTCATGCTTAGGGTTTATGCATTGCATTTGATCGCACCGCGGTTCAACGAGTGCAAACGTATGTGACCTATTTCCCCTTGGACGAGCTGTCCACCGATCCTGCTCAACGGTTTGCGGCGTTGTTTGCCGAAAAGCGACATTGGTCACCCGAAGAAATCACACCCTATGTCCGGGATCTCGCTCCAGATCCGAAAAAGCGAGATGCCCTCCTCCTCAAATTCACCCGCATTCAAAAAACTGGAGGAAAAGTACTCTACGGCAGTCGTGTAAAATAGTTTCTTTGGCGCCTATCTCGGATCCTCATTTTCACCCTGCCGCCGCCCGGCAATGCATTGTATTGTATATATCATTCCGATGACAAAGAAAAAACTGGTTTTTGGTGATCAATCCAAAAAAGTTTGCGCTTTATTTTGCTTCATCATAGTTTGGCATAAAAATTTACAAGATAATCATGATACATTTGAAAATACGGTATGATAGTATTGGTTTAGCAATACCGCGAGGCAATAGAGACAACATCTCGATATTCCTGTTTGAACTCCCACAAGGGATCCAAGCGAGCTAGTTCGGCGCATGTTTCTTCCAATCGGTGTAACCAATTGCCGTTGGGTTGAGAAGCGTCATTGCCATGGGAAAGCATGGATTGAGAGGCGGTCATGTCCGCTATACGGGGGCCTTTGAGCACTTTGGCCATTTCCAGGACAAGTACGCGGCCGAGCTTGGCTTGATGGAACAAGTGTTTGCGGACTTGCGGCGCTGTATGGAGACATTCTTGTGCAATCACCAGCAGCCCCAAGAGTGTGGTCAAGGATTGGTCGTAGAGAGCGCTGGTACACATCCGGATCAATTGCTGGACAGCTTCGGCGAGTTGGGCCGCTTGAGCGAATTGGTCGCTCGGGCGCAGACCGTCGAGTCGGTGGACCACTTGGGAGGCCTGCTGTTGCACCGTCATTAATTCAGCAATAAATCGTTCCGATGGGGATGGGGCCGGTCCGGTCCATCTTTTGTAATTGGCAGCGAGTCCATTCGTCTTGGCCGTATCCAGTACTACGGAAGTGGACAAGAGCTGGCAAAGTGCCATTTTGGGCAAGCTTGTGATCCAGTTTTGCACCGCCCACGGTTGACGAGTGACAGGAAAGAAAGAGGCATAATCGTAACCTGTGTCGTGGTGGACGATCAGGGTGGAATCCGTCATGAAACTACAGGACGACGGTGATGCCGCAGCGGTGGAAGTAAGAGTACGGCCATTTCCGGAATAAAAATGACTTGCCGGTCGCAAGTCGTATCCAATGAATGATAAAAAGCAAGATAATAGACGTCTTGTTAAAGTGGTGGGTGGATGGGTGAAATAGGGCATGTAATAACGGACGGTGGGTGGTTTTTTTTTCTTGGTTTTTTTTTATAACTTTTTTTTTTTTGTTTGCTGAACTGATTCTTGAATTTTTTTTCGAGTTCAAGTAGAGGGGATGTAATCGTTTAAGGGTTGTTGGTTATAATTGCTGTCTTCGGAAGTGGTGGGATGAACATAAGCAGGATATAGTATGGAAGACACCAAGATAACCATTCTCTTGTTTAGTGGTTTTCGATGAAAAAGAGTTCGTCTAGCTTCTCCTTGGGAATAAAATCAATCACAAGAGACGCTTTCGAAAAATAACAAGGAGGAATGTTATGCTGGTTACAAAAGGTACAGAAAAAAAAAGAGCAAGAAATGGGGACCTCATGGGTACCATCTTGCTTTTATATTCAAGCCTCTAGTCATCTGCCATGTCATTTATTTATAGCCCTAACAGTTGGCATGATAGAATACTACATCACGCGATTTCTTACAGAATGCACACCCTTTGTCTGTAACGGTTTATAGAGATTTTTTTATAAATAATTGTATGCCTCTGGCATAATTATTAGATAAAAAAGGCAGAGGAGGCTTAATTCATTGAGATGATGCGAAATGCCATTAATTTTGGCATAAAAGTCTCCATAGCAAAGAATAGAAAAAGTCAACCAATTGTAAAAAATTGTAATGTGATCCATCCACGGTTCAGCTGACAAAAACGGTCAAGCATTATGTCATTTGCATCGGGTCACGTTAAGAATGTAGCAACGCCCCGTGGTGAGAATCGACCATTTACTACACACCAATCAAAGTAGTGGTAATGGTACTTTCTTGTTTCCTTTTATCCTTGTTTCAAACTGTGATTCCAAGCTATTTTTCAGGGCAAATGTTTTATGAGCAAGAAAAAAAGTTTATTTGACTGGAAAATTTCGTTGCCTGGTCTCATTTTCATTCAATTGAGGATGATGCTTACTTTTCGGCACGACGCAAAAAGTATCAATATGTTTCATTCACTTTTTTGGGGTCTGTGCGATTAATATGTGCCATAGGTTAATTCACGGCATGACGAATCCTTCGACGTAATCAACTGCATATAGAGGTTGATCTCGTCATCTGTCTTTATTTTTTTCTATTCCCTTTGACATCAGCCCATTTCGTAAATAATGCATCTGATCGTAACTGTATCATAGTTGTATCATTAACCTAAGAAAAATGATCGGCACTTGACATTTGCGTGGAAAAAGCTCCCACATTAATTTCTTTTTTGACATCCTGCCATGCTCCGAAAACATGATTAAAACATCAAACCGTTTCCCCCTGCTTCCTTTTGTTTGATCAAAACTACCGATGCAAAGCGTACTACGGCAGCCTTCATCGTAATGGAGTGTTGGGCGTTCTCACACTTCTGTAAGCAAAAGCAATGAAAAGTAACAAGGCGTGTGAAACCCACGCTTGGCGCTTATCTAATCATTCGCGCTCCGTTGGTTGATAATGAATGTCGGTTATTGCCCGTCCACTGGCGGATCTCAATATCGTTTCGTATCCATGATGAACAGACGTCTTTCCAAAATTGGATCCCCGGACGACACCAATATCGCCATGGAAGGTGGCCCATATGGCTTCCACAGCCAAGGATTTAGTCACATGACAACAGGATTGAATAAGCTATAAGTGTTAATCAAAAGAAAAGAACACAGAAGCATATGCGAGAGAAAGTTATCGATCCAGTTCCCAAAAGTATTTTGCTCTTTCGACTTGACTCTGAAATAAGGGCGAATGAGCAAAAAGGTAGAAATGGATACGGTTGCTCAGATCGATTAATTTTTGCTCACTTGTTTTTTTTAGGTTTTGTTTTTTTAAAAGACAGTGCGTAAGTCTTACGCGGCATGACTAATGTGGGGTAGAAAATAAAGGGAATACAAAAGTGGTTGGGTACATGAGCTTTTTTGAATCGTTCCACCAATCAGTGGGTGCCTGATGAAGATTCCGGTTGACGGAAGCTTAGTGGTTCATGGTTGTGACGGTGGGCGAAGCGAAGGTTGGAATTGCTGTTTTCGTCGAAAACTGTTAATCACCGTTTGGTGTAACCTGACACTTAAAAGTAAAAATTTAACGGGCCCACCCTGATTGTCCACAAAAGGTGTTGCCATTTGCACTTAAAAGTGAGGGTTTTGAAAAATGCTGATGCCCTTTTTTCTTATGGGCGCCACCCTCACCAAAAAATGACTCAGACAGAGATGTTTCACACAATCACGTGCAAGTGCAAGCATTGATTGGATTTTACTTGTATCTGTTCAATCTCCGAATATCAAAAAAGGTTTTTTTTTTCCTTCTTTTTTTTCATTGGAAAAAAAAAGCCGCTTGAAATTTTTCGATATATAAAGGCGAGATCCCCGCTACGGCCTGACAATACTTTTGTTTTCGCCCTTTTTTCCCTTCCTATATTCCCATCAATATGTCTGACTTCTCTGTTCCCGTCAACCTCCACGCCAACGGCGCTGCCAACGGTGAAACCACCCAGTCTACTTTCAGCATCAAGGCTGGTTTGGCCCAAATGTTGAAGGTAAGTTTTATCTGATCCTCCTATGTCCGGAACGCCGGATGGCTTGGTGTATCCATCATGACATCTTTCTGACTCATCTTTTTTCTTTTCCTTTCGTTATGACTAGGGTGGTGTTATCATGGATGTCATCAACGCTGAACAAGCCAGAATCGCCGAAGAAGCTGGTGCGTGTGCCGTCATGGCTTTGGAACGTGTTCCTGCTGATATCCGCAAGGATGGTAAGTCAATCACTTTATCTTTTATCAAAAAATCATCCTTCATTCCCGGAGGGAAAGGAAGAAAAGAGACACAAAATAAGTGAGGAAAAGAGGTTATTGTTGTACATCCACCACGCAGCTGCCACATGGTGTGTGCATGGTGCGCATGGAAACGAGTGCAAACCACACCATCGATACCATCTGGAGAGTGGATGGCTAATTTTGCTTTTTTCTTTTTTGACAGGTGGCGTTGCCCGTATGTCTGATCCCAAGATGATCAAGGAAATCATTGAGGCTGTGACTATTCCTGTGATGGCCAAGGTCCGTATTGGTCACTTTGTGGAAGCTCAGATCATCGAGTCGATCGGTGTTGATTACATTGACGAGTCCGAAGTCTTGACCCCTGCTGATGAGGCCAACCACATCCACAAGCACAACTACAAGGTTCCTTTCGTGTGCGGTGCCAAGAACCTCGGTGAGGCTCTCCGCCGTATCAGCGAAGGTGCTGCCATGATCCGTACCAAGGGTGAAGCCGGTACCGGTAACGTTGTTGAAGCCGTCCGTCACATGCGCACTGTCACTGCCGAAATCCGTCGTGCCGCTTCCATGTCCGATGAGGAACTCTATGCTTATGCCAAGGATATCCAAGCTCCTTATCATTTGCTCAAGGAATGCGCCAAGCTCGGTCGCTTGCCCGTTGTCAACTTCGCCGCTGGTGGTGTTGCCACCCCTGCCGATGCTGCTCTCATGATGGTAAGCAGTTGAACATGCCGATTGATCAAAAAGATTTTGTCTTTGACTGACTCTTTTCTTTTTCTCTCTAGCAATTGGGTTGCGATGGTGTCTTTGTTGGTTCTGGTATCTTCAAGTCCGGTGACCCAGCCAAGCGCGCAAAGGCTATTGGTAAGTGGAGTGTGAAAATATATCGAGTGATGTCGTACGTGATGGATTAAATCTCTTCCATTTTTTTTTGCCCCTGTCAAATAGTCCAAGCCGTCACTCACTTCAAGGATCCCAAGGTTTTGGCCGAGGTTTCCGAGGATCTTGGTGAAGCTATGGTTGGTATCAACTTGGATGAATTGTCCGAAGACCAACGTTTGGCCAAGCGCGGTTGGTAAACAGAGAAAAAAAAAAGATGCTGTGAAATCCCTTTTTTTTCTACTTCTACCTGTTTCCCCAATCCATACAACATACACATCTCTTTTAGAAAGCAACACGCATTGAATATTGTCTAGCATAGAAAATCCCGCATTTTTTTCTCAAACAGAAAAAATTCGTGGAAAATGCCGTTCATATCAAACTTTTTTTTTCGTTAACATAATTTTATCACCACTTGTAAAAATCATCTCTGATCTTTTTTTTTTTTACAATGTTTTTTGTCCATGTTGTTCATTGGTTCGATACTGCAAGGCTCACACCTAACATAGGACCCTTGACGAAACAAATTCCCATAGATTTCGTTCTCTGTAGGGGATATGGTAGTTTGGAATATACACTACGAACAAAAAAAGATTAAAGGCGCGTTTTTAATCTGGTTTGCTGGCACTCTTGACAGAAAGCAATTTCCCTCGAGGATGACCAAAACGCTCTGAAAATTTGGACTGCTGTGAACATGCGGAGATGGAAATGATATCTTGATCTTTTGTTGACGTTCGTAAACCGTTGTCAATGAGGCAGCTCAGCATTTTATCGCGGAAACGCTTAAGCGTTATACCTGTACATAAAGAAAATGGCATATGATAACGATGGACGATGCCAGTGTGCGGAAAAAGATGAATGAAGAAATTCGATTGGATAGAGCACGCTTATTATTGGCTGCAGAGATCCTTGCCTTTGCATTACTGTGCCCCACAGATATTGGCCAATCCAGTGCCGATTTTGAAACACATGGTAAGCGTGTGGTGCCCCTATTTGAAGCAACATTGGAAAACCTAAAAGGGTAGATAACATTCAATCCAGCTATTGAGCGTCGTCAACAAAAGAAACTGTCAAGTGTATCGGTTATCAAAAGGGTCAGCATGGAATTGTAAGAGCTCACTGATTTTACTGATGAAGTGATATTGAAACAATGTCATTGAATAAAGAAAAAAATCAGATAGACACTCGGGTTCAAGAAACAAAAACAGGCTACACAAAGTTCCTGGACGGGTTACTGGGTGTGACCTGTGCATTAAATCTGGGGTTTCCATGGAACATGCCATCTTCCATGGTCAATATATTTACATCAAGTTATCTTTCTTTTTTTTCCTTTTATCGGACTATCAACAAAAAAAAAAGAGTCGAATGCTAATCAATACATGGCTCCCAAGGCCTTACATAGATTTCTTTTCTGGTAAGCAATGAAGCGATCGATTTGGTCATGGTAACGCTACCTATTGACAGGTTTCTCAGTTTTTTTTTTATCAATAGTTGATGTGAATGAATGCAACCTCAAGCTATCCGTAAGTTGCCCTAACCGCCAAAAGATGTTCGAGACCATATTATATAAGTCGTTACTATCAGTTGAGAGGTCATATGGAATACAGTACGATGAGGAATGGAGCAGATGGAATCTTTTGATTAACGATTGAGGATCGTGGAAAAACATAAAAATGTAAATTGCCGATAAGACTGTCCCCTTCTGTTTGATCGTCTGTTCTGAGAATCTCGTTTTTTGGTTACAGGGACAATTCACCATTGGTACGTGACCCAAGAAGGCGAATATCAGTCGGTATTGCTCTTCCCCCCTCCCCGATACACCATTTTTCATTTCGTATAAACGAAATAGTCCGATCACTTGGCATCATCTTTTTCCATGGATCCAAATCACATGCGTCGTTTGTATACACTCATGATGCAATTCTGAACAAAAAAAAAAAAAAAAAAAAAAAAAAAAAAAAAAAAAAAACTTGATCTGTTACCGATCGTTTGCATGCATCGCGTCATCGGGATAGAAAAGTATCGGATAAAGTTTTTTTTAACAATAGACTAGTCGTACTTTTTCTCGGATACACAGACGACTACTTTGCGTAATTGGTTTTTAGGACGTTTCTGACATTCCCTGGGATATTTGATGCGGTGTTTTTCTTGATCTATCGGAAGGAAAGACGAAAGCAAACGCTGTGGCACGGTGACGATTTCCGTTACTCCGAATGGATCCAGGAAAAGGGCGGGACGGGGTTTCAATGCTGGGGAGATTTCAGCGACTGGCAAAATTGGCGCACTGTATTCCGGGCACGCGAGATCAGACAGAAAATCCCAATGCACACGCCAATTCCCTATTCCGGAATTTGGACTGAACCTTCCATTTATTTTGAAACGTTCACCATTCGCGGGTCACCGCTATGCTCCATTAGTGCTAATTTTTTTTTATTTTGAATTCATGAAAAAAAGAGATATCAAAAACCAGGTTTTAGATGTATTCCTTTTTTTTGAACATATCAAAAATAAAGAGACACGGAAAGCATCTCATCCAATGGAATGGAAGAAAATCTTAATAAATAGAAAAACCAACTGGCTGGGGATGCCCAAAACAGCAGTGTAATACAAAAACGGAAAGAAACATTCACCCTCAGCTTTCAAGCGTTGCATTGATTTTTAGACCAATGAGGTGAGTTGAACACTCAAACGACGCTTTAGTTGTGGATCTCTTTGGCTGGAAGTAGAACTGAAATTTAGCCTGCGATATTCAAACCTTCCAAACTTTCTTTTTTTTTTTTGGCATAGAAAAAAAAAATAATTTCGAAAATTTTAAAAAGAGTCCATCCTTCTACAAGCGCAAGGGTTTTTTCCCTTCTTTCATTGAACTATTAGTCTGTTGGATGAATCCTATGCAGAGCATGGCTGAGACTCCTGGCGACACAAATCCCCAGGCGACCACGACTATCACGTTTGTCGATCCGGCCTCGACAAGGAATGCCGAAGAAAGTCAGGCTGCCGAGAAACTGTCGCGCTCAGCGACAGGCCAAAGCTCGGATTACGATACAAGATCAGTGCGTAGTGTGGTCATGAGAAAAATGCGATTGGTGAAGCGCAAAGATCATCCCGTACGCATCGAAGGCCCTCCTTATCACACCATGAATATTGAGACGGTCGTTCAATTGATGAAAACCGATGTTGGCGACGGTCTTTCCGAATCCGAGATTGATAGCCGACGAGCTGATCATGGCTACAACGAAATGGAAGGTGAAGGCGGTGTCAACCCCGTCAAGCTGATGATTAAACAGTTTTTCAACGTGATGGTGCTGATTCTCTTGATTGCCATGGTATGTGAAAAGAAAAAAGAAACAGTCAATCGATCGAGATTGTCTCACCAATGCGGGGGATGGGGGTGAAATTAGGTTGTCTCGTTTGTGTTTAAAGATTACATCGAAGGTGGTGTTATCTGTGCTATTATGATTCTGAATGCCCTGGTGGGTTTCTTGCAAGAGTACAAGGCTGAAAAAACCATGGACTCGTTGCGTCAAATGGCGTCTCCTACTGTTGTGGTCGTCCGTGACGGCCAACAAAAAACGATCCCTACCCGTGAACTGGTTCCCGGTGATATCGTGGTCATGAAGAGTGGAGATGTTGTTGGTGCCGATTGCCGTATCATTGAGTAAGTTCAAACTCTAATGAACGCTTAGCGAGTACATGTTACCTGACACCTACCCTCCCCTTTTTTTTAACTCGTTATAGAGCTTTCAATATGGATATTGACGAAGCCCTTTTGACTGGTGAATCCGTCCCTGTGAACAAAATGTAAGTCTCTCACTTTATCTCACGGCACTGAGAGCTCTCAAGGTTCATCAGAAAACTAAAAAAAAAGGAAACTTCTTATAGGTCTGATGTCATTGAAGGAGCCGATTGTCCCTTGGGTGATCGTTTGAATATGACCTACTCTAGCACGACTTTGACCAAGGGTCGTGGTAAAGGTAAAATCAAAGATGGTTCAATACAATCTTCATGGAAGCAACGCTTAATGTCTTTTTTTGTTTTAATCTTTAGCCGTTGTCACCGCTACGGGTATGCAAACTGAAATTGGTAAAATTGCCAAGCGTCTGATGGACAGTGGTGACAATGCGAGAACGCCACTTCAAAAGGCGTTGGATCGTATGGCTTTGGTGCTTCTTGCCGTGGCTATCATTACTATTATCATTGTGTTTGGTGTGGCCAAATTCAAGATCAATGATCAAATTGTTCTCTATGCCATCTCTACTGCTATTGCTGTCATCCCTGAAGGGTTGATTGCCGTCGTCACCTTGACTCAAGCGTTTGGTGTCCATGCCATGGCCAAGAGTAACGCACTGGTGCGTCGTCTCGTTGCTTTGGAGAATCTCGGTGCCGTTACCAATGTGTGTTCCGATAAAACCGGTACATTGACGCAATCCAAAATGGTGTTGACCCGTTTATGGCGTCCTTCGTCAGGCTTTTACAGCGTTTCCGGCCTTGGTTTCACTCCCGAAGGTGAAGTTGCCTCTGAACTCAATGAAGAAACCGTTACCAAGGAAACCATGAATGACGGTTTCCGTCAGTTGGTCAACACTGCCGCGCTATGCAACATGAGTGAGCTCCGCAAACATGACGATCAATATCACGGCATTGGTGATCCCACTGAAGTAAGAATTTTTCCTTATTTATATATACAAACAACTTGATGGCCAAATGTTTTAACGCACGTGGGGCTGATTTGTTAGGTTGCTTTACAAGTGTTTGCACACAAGTTACATATGGGCAAGCCTGCCTTGACGCACCCTGAAAAGGAAGGCGAACGAGGCTGGACTTTGATTGCTGAATACCCTTTTGATTCCACCATCAAGCGTATGAGTGTGTTATGCGAAGCTCCGGATTCTTCCAAGGTAGCGTTCCTCAAAGGTGCCACGGAACGTGTGTTGGAGAGCTGTATTGGTATGCAAATGGATAAAGAAGGCGACATCAAGATGATGAGCAAGGAAGAGCTCGAAGAAGCCATCATGCCTCAAGTCGAAGTTTTGGCTCGAGGCGGTCTCCGTGTCCTTTCCTTGGCGTCCCGACGTGTCAAGACCGAAGGCGAGGTGGGTCCCGATACATTCAAGCGTGAGGAAATTGAACAAGACATGATTTTCTTGGGTCTGGTCGGTATCTATGATCCTCCTCGAGTGGAATCCAAGGGAGCCGTGGAACGATGCCACAAGGCCGGTATCACCGTGCACATGTTGACCGGTGATCATATTGCTACCGCCACGGCCATTGCTCGCGAAGTCGGAATTGTACCCGTCGATTATGGCTTGGACGAGAAACCAGCCAAGGAACTGGTCATGTCGGCTCAGAAATTCGACAAGCTGTCCGAAGATGCCATTGATAGTTTGGAAGACTTGCCCTTGGTCATTGCTCGTTGCAGTCCCGATACCAAAGTCAAAATGATTGAAGCCCTTCATCGTCGTCGCCGCATCGCCGGTATGACTGGTAAGTTAATTGTGCTGAAATATTGAAAATGGACAATAGTAAATACAGGAAACTAAATTTGTTTGCGTCCGCTTTTTTAAAACACAGGTGATGGTGTGAATGATTCGCCTAGTTTGAAGGAATCGGATATTGGTATTGCAATGGGTCAAGCTGGTTCGGACGTGGCTAAACAGGCGGCAGATATTATTCTTGTGGATGATAACTTTGCTACGATTGTGTCTGCTATTGAAGAAGGTCGTCGTGTGTTTGCCAACATTTCTCGCTTTGTCGTTCACATGGTTTCCGGTAACGTCGCTGAATTGACGCCTTTGATTCTCGGTCTCGCCTTCAAGGACAATGAAAATATCCCCGTCTTCCCATTGTCGCCCATTCAGATTTTGTTCAACAACATTATCACCAGGTAAGCGCTTCATTTTATCCTTGAGGCAGTGGAGAGACTGTGATCTTCTGACGATCTACGTTTTCTTCGATAGTTCGCCGCCGGCTTTCAGTCTTGGTCTTGAACCTGTTCATCCTGACCAGATGTTTGTGCCTCCTCGACCTACCAATGAAGGTTTATTCTCGCGCAACAATGTGATCGATCTGTTGTACTATGGTATCATGATGGGCTTGATCTGTCTGTGCAACTTTGTTGTGGTGATGTTTGGTTGGGGCGACGGTGACTTTGGTCACGACTGCAACATGCATTACAACCCTACCTGTGATACCGTGTTCCGTGCTCGTGGTGCCTTGTTTGCCACCATGACCGTCTTGATTCTGGTGCATGGCATTACCTGTCGTGATCTTCGTCACTCTACATGGTCCTGGAAAGCTCTCACGGGCAAACAAAACTACTACTTATTCGGCAGTATCGGTTTCGGCTTTGCTCTCATGTTCATTGTGCTTTATGTGCCAGTGTAAGTACAAAATCAAATTATGTAGAAGTGCATCCGTTGGGATTCAATTGACTGACCTATTGCCCGTTATTTTACAGTTTGAATACCGAAGTGTTCAAGCATCACCCTATCACCTGGGAATGGGGGATGGTGGCCGCCTCTGTTATTGCCTACATCTTCCTTGCTGAAAGCTGGAAGGCCATGAAGCGAAAGTTCAATCTTTTTTAAGATTTTTTAGTTCTTCTTTTATATACAAGCATTTACCATTTTTATTTCTCTAGTATATGATAGATACACCTATCTGCTGTATTTTCTTCTCTATCACTCTCTTGCAACAATTAATAATCATTCAATTTTCACATCATGATTCTATTGACCCCTATGCGTATGTAGCTTGCACTATTCCGCTTCTTATAATATAAAAAAAAGGGCTTTCATAATATTAAAAATGGCAAGTTTATTTTGCAAGAAAACGTGGCCATACACAATTCACCAACGCGTTATGGCGTCAAGGACGCGTTATGGCGTACTGAGGTTGACATGGTACATCGCCTCAGATCATAGCGAGCAGCTCGGTCGCTCATCGAAAATGTCCCAATTTTTCAATGCCGACCAGTGAGAGGAACAACATTAACTTTTGACGCCTTTTTTGACCTGCGACATTTGAAATTTCCCCATTTCATCAATCCCCGAATCTTTCCACTTGCTTTTTTTCGCTTCACGTTTACATTTCTGGAAGTTCAGCCTTCTGCCTTTCGATTAACAAGACCCTCGGCTTCATCATGTCTGGGAGCACCTTAGATGTGGATCAGGACAATGATGAAGCAAGCCAACCCTCGCCCACTGTCACTTGCACCGTCTGTCAGTCCCCGGCGACATTCATGTGCTCTTCCTGTGGTCTCAACGGCCCGAGGTATTGTTCCTTGGAATGCCAGAAAACCCACTGGAAACAAGACCATTATAAAACGTGCCAAGCATCCGCCCAAGCCCGCCGTTCGAGATCCCAAGCCGATGCACTTAACGAACGCAACGGCCTCCGATCCTCTTGTAAGCCCTCTTTTTTATTTTCGTGGCTCGAAAAGATGAATTCCCCGGATCCAGGCCACATTCAGGAAATACTTATGCATTCATAGACAGATCAAGCACCCATCTTCCGGACGACGATCCGCAAGCGGAACATATTCAGCTTCGTACAATGTCCAGCACTGCGAGACAACAACCTGCGGAGGACCAAGAAGTGGATCAGGACGACGCACAAACCGAGACGGGCGAAGAGGATTTTGCCGATGATTTAAAATTCTATATGCATCAAATTTATCTGGTCATCAAACCAGTCGTCGTATGTATTATTCTCAGCATTTTTTGGGTCAAGGTCTCCTTCAGTGGTCAAAGTGACTACAGGTAATATCAACGTCTCACAGGATATTACAATGTGCCCGCCCATTGATTAATCTCCTCAAACAGTCCGACTCGCCCAAATTACATTGCTCTCTCTGGAAGCACCGGAAGCGGCGACAGTCAAGGAAATGGCGGATCTTCCTCCCCTATCGTAGGTTCTTTTACCAATGCAGCTATCATTATCGGCCAAATCATCGCTATCACTGTGATCATTGTCTTTCTCTTCCGAAAAGGTTGGATCAAGGTACATACTAGACAAATCTTGGCATGATATCGCATGCAATGGACTCATTTCGCGGAAATACTGAATAGGTTCTGATTGGCTTTTTTATGGTGATTGTTCTTCTTCTTTTAGGCTTCATGACCTACCTTTTACTCCTGTAAGCGTGACCACACTGTCGGACGAAAATCATTGGTTGGTAAACTTACATGAATGAATAGTAACCTTGTGCAAGTATTTTCGATTCCTCTGGATTACATTACCATGGTCTTTGCTCTGTGGAATTTTGCGGTGGTCGGACTGGTTTCGATCTTTTGGAAGGGGCCCCTTTGGCTGCAGCAAGGGTATTTGACGATCATGAGTTCACTGATGGTAAGCTCGTTGGACAGCGTCATCATGCTCGGAGACTTGGATTTTGATGTCTTTTTTACCATCTAGGCATTTTCTCTAACCGGTTTAGAGCAATGGACCACATGGATTTTGCTCGGTTTATTGGCTATCTGGGGTATGTACAGTTCCTTTGATCGCAATAAATATAGACTAACAAAGCTGTCGTTGTAGATCTTATTGCTGTTCTTTGTCCTTTTGGACCGCTCCGTTTGCTTATTGAGAGTTCAAGGACGCAGCAGCGTGAAGTTCCGGCCTTGCTATATTCGGTGAATGCGGTGTGGTTTATGATGGCGTCCGCCGATCATTTCCAAATTTCCAACAGCTTCAATAGCGAACGAAACGCACCAGAGACCGCACGGCCTCTGCATACCCACCAATATACCACGTCTTTATCGCTTCGCAGCCGAGCCAGTTCATCCGAATATGAAGCATCAACGTCGTCGACGATGCCACTGCAAACAAGTGAGGGGGCTGGAGCATCCGAGACCATCCGGCATCGATCGTCGACAGGACAGTTGCATGGGCCTCCCATTAACATGGATGGATTTATGCGGTTGCGAGGAGAAAGCAGCGGCACCATCGCCAGTCAAAATGAATCCGCCACAGAAGTGTCGACCGAGGTGGCATCGGAGACCACTACCGCTCGACGAACCAACAGCCAGACGCCACGGGAAAGAACCGACGAAGAAGAGCGGGATGAAGAGGATGGTACGCAGTTATCATGCGGTAGATGGGATTCTTTGACGCTAACCTATACCTTGACCAACTTTAGCTGAACGAAGCGGATTAAAACTTGGGCTCGGTGATTTTGTATTTTACAGTGTGCTGATTGCTCGTGCAGGTAAAAGAAAGAAAAAGAAAAGATTAACGCAGAGTGGAATATTCAAATTGGTTGGGTTTCTTTTTAGCCATGTATGACTGGATCACGACGGTGTGTTGCACCATTGCTGTCCTGATGGGGTTAACCGCCACCATATTTTTACTGGCGATCTATAAAAAGGCACTGCCGGCATTGCCCATCTCGATCGCTTTTGGCATCTTGTTCTATTTCGTCGCTAAAACCGTCCTTGTACCCTACATTGGTGCGCTTTGTGTTTTTGGCATGGTCGGCATATGAATCCCTTTAACACACCTCACAGAAAGACTTTTTCTCTCCATCATCTCATCATTAAAACCTCCCAAAAATCCCCTGAAACCCACCACTTTTCATAAAGATACCAAGCTAATAGAAGGCCCTTGAAGCCAATGCAACAAAAACCGCCGTATTGCACACCCTATATGCGACACCGAACCGAATGTACATAGCCAATGATGTAAAATATAATAAAATAATGGTAATAAAAAAGTTCTAGCTAGTAGCTAGTTAAAGCATACACGTTGTTGGGGATATTCTTCAACCTGGTGTTGGCGGCGTTTGACAAGGACGTGTGATTACCGGCGACTCCAGCCACTGTGCGGAAGCATGTAGCTTTCGATCGCCTGACGGAACATATCGTGCGCCTATCTTCACGAAGAATGATCAAGGCAATCGCATCAGCAAAGCGTAGCTATTCCGGAACATTCGGAAAACTGACGAGCAGCCATCGACCCTGCTCCATATGATCGCTGCCAGTCATTTGAAATGCATCTTGGCAGAAGATTACACAGAAACGAATAGCGATATCGCTAGCGTTGATTGGACATGGCGTCTGTGGATGCGTGTAATCTGTGCTCGTGCAATGGAAGGTCTCGTTCTTAGCAATGGAAGTAAAGGTCTCTTGGTGAACTGCGCAGAAGTATACGGCCGATCCCCAACCTTGGCGCATCATGAACGCACAAAGATTAAACCAAGTGTTCAATACCACCTTACTTCATCACACCGCAAATACGCAAACGTTGACCTGTTTGTCGTGAAAGAAGACAAACATTACCAAGCTTGAACTTGCCACAAAAACGATCAATGCCCTGATCACGTCATTGATCCGTCTCGACAGGGACCTGCCTCCAGCCATTGGCCCGTCAAGAGTGAACGCGTTTGATGTCACCAAGGACACACAAATATATATCCGACAGTGGTTTGTCGATCGGTATGGTGAGTTGCGGGAACGGGAATTGAGTAGTTTGTCCCTTTGGGAGAGCTATACCAATTTGACGAGCTCGCCCAATTGCGGCAAGTGCGGTCCAAATTCCACAAGATGTTGATGCATCTTCTTTCACGGTCGTGTTCACCATTCACAAGTGATTTGTGTACGCGACCAGTGACGATCTGGACACTAGGCGATCATGACAGTGGGAATATCGAAGGATTCGGATGCGAAGATTGCATCACGGCTGTTTCGAACCATCGTCATATCAGTTTGGGAGAAAGGTGAAAAGAAGACGCTTGATCTTGATTCGGTTCGTGGATACCAAAAGAGATGCAAGGAAAACAGCAATCTGGAAAGCCCATGGACAATATCCTAGGCCTATTCTCTCATCGGATTCCGACCATCAATGTTATTGATAATGACCGGTTAAAAGATATTTGACATCCCTGGCGAACGAAATTTCACCTTCGCTTATATCAGCAAAATCAAGTAGCGTATCATCGTCATTAACTGTCATATTTCAGAAATAAACATTGTATGTTTTTTTTTTTTTTTTTTGCTGGCGTTCCAACTCCAAATTCAAAGATTTCTCCCTTCATTTAAATATCGGTCAAAAGACTCAATGATCGTTTGATTCAACCTTCACACAATTGCCTCGTAAAGATTCATGAATTCGATCTGTCGAATTATTAACAGCTCTCACAGGTTTTTTGCCACCTCCAGTTTTCACTTTTGACCAAAATTCTTCGACGGGGCCTCAAAAAAGACAGGGGAAAAACCGTAACTCGGCCCAATGCGCCTCTACAGAGATGCTTCGAATTTGTACGGATTCGTCATGAAAAGGCGGTTTCGGATAGATCAAAATCTGTACAAAAGTAATGGATGCCGTTCCTTACGACAGGATCAAGTGAATCGGGCCCATGGACCGCTTCCATCTTGTTCGATGCCTTTCGGACTTGAAATCATCAAAAAAGTTCACTTGGATTTCTTTAATGCGTAGTCCTTTTGTCTTATTTTTTTAAGACGTGTCTGAAACTTTTCATAGTGACAAAACCTCTTGTTTCTTCACCATTGTTGCCGGGATACCAATGAATTAATTTTGCGCGCCGATACAAATTCGACACGTCTCTCTACACCTAATTCTCGCAAAATTAGTCTTTTTCGACTCTTCATTCGCCGGTTGTCTTTTAACCCTTCAATGCATTGAAGGAAAAAAAAATCAAGACGATTTTTGAGGACGACCAAAAATTCATTCTTTTTTCCCTCTTTCTTCATCTTTATTCAAGTTATTTTCATTATGCCTAACCGCAAATTTCTCCAAAACACCTCTTCTGCTTCTCGTCGTGCCGCTATGGCTAAAAAACTCTCTCGTCCCTTGCCTTCGGCTCCGGTTCCTGCTCCTGCCCCTGTGGACAACTTTTCGTTCGTTGCCGTTTTGCCCTCGTCCTTGGCCTTGGTGCTCTCTTCTTCTTCTGCCGGTGTGCCTTCTTCTGTCGTAGCCACTGCGCCCACTTCCGTTGCCCTTGTGCCTGCCTCGTCTGTGGCCATTGTGCCTTCGTCCGTTCTGGCCTCTGTGCCTTCCTGCTCTGACGTCGTACCTAGTGCCGATGTGCCCACCTCTACCTTGGCCTCTGTGCCCATGTCCCGTCCGACTTCTGTGGTGACTCTTGCTCCTTTGTCCCCTGTTTCTGCCTGGCGCTTTCACTTTCTCTTCGGTGTGCATGCCTTTGGCGCCTCGCGGCGACCAGATCTATGTGTCCGAAGTCGAGGGGGAAGATGTTGGTGGCCGTAGTGTGGTCGTTGTATCCTCAAAGGAAGAACAACTTCCACCTACGGCCATCCACATCGATGATCCCATGGACTGGGAGCCTCTGGGTCCGACAGAGGAGTCGGCCTGGCAGGCTTGCGCCAAAGGCATAGGCGAAGTCCATGATGACCCAATGGATTGGGAGTATTCATCTTTCAATCCCATGGACTGGGAATGGTGCGACTAGTTTGGCTCACTACGACTAGTCATTAAAACTTTTCACGTATCCCACCGCCCGGCGTTTTTTCTCTTTCATTTCTTTTTTTTTCCCTTCCCTACCCTTTTTTTTCTTTTTTTTTCGTTTTGCTGTTGTTGCTGTTGCTGATCCTTGTCCGTCCTTTATGGTTGCTTCCTGTTGCGTCCTGTGCCCTTCGTGTCGCCTGCCTTTGGTGCCTTGTGCTTCTTTGTTGCTCGTTGCTCCTTGCGCGTGTCCTGTTGTCTGTTGCCCGCCGGTTGCCGTTCTTTTCGGCATCCTTTTTCCGCAGTGTTTCTCGCCGTCTTTGTTCTTTGCCGTTCTTTTGGCGATCTTGTCCGCCTTTCTTTGGTGCTCCGTTTCGCTTGCTGGCCGGTCGTGGTCCGACTTCGTTGGCTTTTTCTTCTCGGTTGCCCTCGGTGGACTTTGCTGCCTGGCGTTTGGTGCGGCTACTTTTTTCTGGCCAGGACTTTTGTTTGGGCCATTTTTCTGGGCCGGCTCTTTCCCTGGCCGCTTTCATGACCATTCTCTGCGGCCATTTTCCCGGGCCTCTTCTCTTTGGGGCCCTTTTTCCGACGGACGCCTTTTTTTTCGGCCACCTTTCCTTGGTGGCCTTTCTATGGACAACTTTCCTCCGGCACGCTTTCCCTGTGTGGCCCTTTCCCTTGGGCCACTTCCCTTGTGTGATCTTTTTTCTGGCCACCTTTCTCGGCGGCCCTTTCTGGGGTATTTTCTGATTGGCCCTTTTCTGGGGGTCACTTCTCCCATGGTGGCCTTTTCCCGGTCTATTTTTTCGCCGGTCCTCTCCGACGTTCCTTGGAGAACTTTTTTCCTCGACCGTTTCCGCCGTGACCTCTCCTGCCGGTGGCATTTTCTTAGACCACCATTTCGTCGGCCCTTCCTTTGGGCCATCATCCCTGCCGGCCGGTTTCCCGCGTGGCCCAAGAGAAGGGCCACTTTTCCGGTGGCTCTGCCTTTGACCGTCTTTTTCTCGACGGCTTCCCTTTGAAGGGAAGCCTGAAACAAAACTCAAACATAAAAACAAGGCCACAATGTATTTAATTGAGCAACAACAAAAATGCATTCAAATAAACGCTTAATTTTCCCATTGTTTTTCATTGCCACCCTTGCCGAGAACAAGAAGTACTCGTTTAATTATTTCATTCGATGAATTTTGCTCAGAGCAACCAGGTTTTGTTGAATATGTAAATCAAAAACGGGTTCTTCGACAAAAACACAATTCTCGAGAAACTTAAATTTGATATTTTCTGCCAATTTTTTATCCAGATTTTCAAAGTGATACAATACAACAATTTTCACCAAGTGACGGTGCAACGTTGAAACCGAGATTTTGAGATCCTTGAATTCATTGCCTTCAATTGTATGTGAAAGCATTTTGAATATGTGCCGCTGAACAACCTCGGTCAATGCGCCACTATAAATTAACACGCATGAAGAAATAAAGGTAGTCAGAGATTTGGGAGCTAAATGGTTTCCCAGGCAAGGATGAAAATAAGCTACACCGAAATTGGCCCGCTAAATGAACAGGTAAACAACTCAGTTGAACATAACAGTTAAAATTCTGTAGGCAAGGCACTGTGAGATACTCCCAGGAAAAAAAATGGATTAAAATACGAGTTTTTATGATAAACTCGAGATCTTTGTCTTTATTGATGACGCGCCGTGAAATACAATAGCGGGATATCATTCATGGTTATTTGCTGCCTAGCACGTCACCATTCGTTCAACATTAAATCCCCAACTTGCATCCGCCGTGAGTCCGTTCTAAAATAATTTCAAATACTGTAGCAAATGATGGTTCTTCTGCGTGAAACCAATATGTTTCTCGATGCAAGTGTCCATCACCCATCCGTTTCTTTTTTTTTCATTTCGTTACATGGTCCGTCACTTTATTTTTGAAACAATTGTATGAATGGAAACGAAGGATATGGTGTCGTCATGGTGTTTTTTTCTTTCCTTGATCCTCCGGATAACAAGTTGATAAAACATACCCTCATCCGAGAATTCCGTACACTGTGAGGTCGATGTTACTGTGTAAGTCCGTTGACCACGCCATAAGTCATGCGATCGGACGCAGGTCGATTATAGGAGGATAAAGACTGATCAAAGTAAGCAGGATCATGAGGTGGTTTCCGTGGATCTGTTTTGCCTTCGGAAAATGACAAGGGACGAGATGGCATGCTGGGATAAGAATGGAACCGGGACATGGAAGGCCGCGTCAAGGTGGGTTGGGAAGGTGGGTCTCGTGGTTGCTGTTGTTGCGGATCGCTGGTTTTGTTGAGTAAATGTTGAATGGAAGGCGATGGCTCGGATTTGGTAGATTCTTCAGCCGGAGCTCGGTATTTTCGAAGTGGTTCCGGTAGCAGAACGGGTATAGATCCATTGGTGGCATAAGCCGGGACGGTGGATGGATAAGCCGCACCAGCCTCATGTGAGTGAGCGATGAAAGAAGGAGGATGAGAAGAAGGAGGAGGAGTGGAGATATGCATGTCGGAGTGAAAATATGCATTCCCGCATTTTGGATCAGCATGTGTATGCACGGGAGTTCTTGTCGTCATCAATGGCGCTCCACCGGTGGATGCCCGTGGTGCCACTATTGAGGAGGTCACGCCTCCACGGGGCCCGCCGCGATCCAGTAGTGTCAATAGATGTTCATGATCCGTTTTTAAAAACGAACGCAGCACTTCCTCAATGAGACATAGTCGTTCTTCAATCGCTTCCATGGAAGAGCACGATCGCGTCGGTGAAAGAGCAGGTGGCGATTCCGAAGACGACGGGGTGGCGTTGTTGGCCATGACAGGCGAATGAACCGATTTAGGTGCAATGGCGGGTAGCAAACTAGCCGTGGACGATAATGATGATGTTGATGCTGTGCTGTTGGCAGAGGGACCTCGTGTGATTGTTTCACCGTGATGGCAAAACTCGCTGGATGTGTAGTGACATTCAATGTGGGCCTTGACACAACCTATGCAAGGCTGCTCACCATCGCATTTTGTTTTTTTTCGACGGCAGACATCGCAAGCCCGGGTGACTTTGTATCTCTTGCGCTTCGTGGCTCTTTCCGGGTCTGCGTATCGATGATTTCCACCTATCATGAGAGGTTGTAACTTTTTGGTGAACCAAGTGAGTCGGCAAGGAATATAAAAAATAAAATAAAATGGAGCGGTAAAGGTGGGCGATGGTGCGGGTGTGTGTTTTGTATTTTATTCTTGTTGGCTTTCTAAGAAAGCTCTTTTTTTTTCCAGCGTTGAAAAGAGGGAAGGAGAAAAGATACAGACCGTTAAAGATCCGGCATTGCCACCTGAAAAGGGACAAGACTATCCCGTGGAACCTTTTTTTTTTTTTGGTCCATCCATTATCGCACCATTCACACATCAATACAAACATCCGTCTACGTGTTTAGAATGGGTGCATATCATAATGACCCTGAACAGGGTTAGACTGCCGATCACTCTCCGTGTTCGCCTCCCCGTCGACCTTTTTTTTTTCCTCAAAGCCACATACCTGAATAAGCTACTTTACAACTACTGTATTTCTACGGAGACCTGCTGTAGTGCAGTAGATAACGGTAATGTTGCCCAAACAAGAAAGCTTAAAAAAAAAACGGGGAGATCATTAAACGTCACTCTGGTTTTACTTGTGTGCAGTGGATGGGGTGATGAAAAAAAAGTATGTAATATATATTGAATGGTGCGATATGAAAGCATCCGAGTGCAATGGGATGGATACGAAGGAAAGACCCGAATGGCATGGAGAAATTGAAGGATAGAATCTTTTGGTTATCTAAGAAGCAAATGCGATCTCAAAAGGCAAACGAAACGAGACGCAGTACATCTCTTTTTTTGGAGCGACGGTGCGTACCCAGTGCAGCGACACATCAAAGTCGGATGACGACCCCATGGCATGACATAAACGCTGTATCACAGAGAGATGTTATTCATCTCGTTTTGTAAACCTACTTTTTTGTAGGCTAAGCTTTTTCCATACCTCCTTTATGTCTTTTTCAGGGTTTGTGTTCCGAGTAAAACAATGACAATGAATCATCGGAAGCGGTGTAGTAGTATCAAAAGACTGATATACACCTCGAAAAGCATCTATTGATTTTCTTTTTGAGTCACCTTATAAATGAAACGAATATAATAGGTTAAATCCTACCAAGAAATTCAATGGCAATCGCGGGTAAATTCATCACGACGTGATCCACTGTTATGCCTGGAGATGTACGAAGAACATCATCCATTACTTTGCGAATAAACTCGCGTCCATCCATATTATACGTATGAATACCGGCCGTTATCTGAACAGAGAGGAAAATAAAATAAGATACAGGCATCGTTTGTTCGGTCTGATGAAGCTACCTTGTTCAGACGAATATTTTCATTGAGCCAATGGTACGAGGCTGGATTGAGATCGTTGGCATAGACGAGACATCCTTTTTTGACGGCTGGCAGAGCAAATGGGCCGACGCCAGCAAACACATCCACTAAGAAAAAAAAAAAACTGGTCATGCCACTTGATACTAGGGTGCACTCCTTAAAAAACGGATCCCTTACATACGGTGCTGCCCTTTTGAAACATGTCAACGATTCGCCGATGTTCCGCTTGCAGACGAGAATTCCAATATACTTTTGAAAAATCAAAGGTGAATCGACATCCATTTTCTTTCTGTGCAGAATTGATGCATTAATCTCTCAATTGCCACAAATTCCATTTCCCGCGATTTTGACCCTACCAATGAAGCCACCATGTTGCCGTCACCGGCCAACACTTCCATCTGAAAATTGCGATACGTATTATCAATGTTGTTCGTCTTGTTCACGACGCTGGTCACTTTTTTGTTTTTCTGGCAAAACCGGAAAATCATCAAGTTTAGTCATCTAGAAAAAAAAAAGGAGATGGGATCGACTTACATCCAAGAGTACTTCAGCTATCAAACGTTTATACGGCTCATGTTCTTCTTTGAGATTCAAATGAACTAATACTGCAAGTCAATACCACTTTTTTTTTTTTGCTAAAAGCAGACTAGCTTTTCATCAAATCAGAATGCATACCAATGTGTCCAACGATAGTAAAAGATGACGGTACTTCTGTATTCTCGGACGGCATGACGGCCTGAAAAATCTGGTCTGTATTTACTCGGTTTATGCGTGTTTTCTTTTGAGAGAGGAGATTTTTGGATGTGTCGTTTATTACCTGCAGTCCAGTAATCATATCCAACCTCAAATTCATGAATGACGGTTCCGAGAATGAATTGCTTTGTTTCCGAAGGAATGTATTGTTCAACATCTATATCAACGAGCCATTGGTTGGATGAAAAATTATTTTTGAACAACCCTAAATTTACCGTTGATTTGCTTATCAATGCTTAACAAGACGATTTTTGTGTCCTTGGACAAGTCGTCTGATACGATATTGGGTAATTTTGGCTGATTTAAAAGAAGACTTGAGTGTATTTTAATATGCAAAGCTTCTTCTTAAAAGAGAGAGTTTTCTTTTCATTTACGCGTCAAGATGGTCGCGAATGAGACTAATTTGTTGAGCCGGTACGCGAAGACCGACAGTGTGGAAGGAACATTGAAAAGCTTGTCTGTCCAACACGGTCATGCCCGGGTGTCGTGGCGGGGTCAAACGACTCATGTTGTTCAAAAGCTCGAGTGAAAACGTCGCGTCAGCAAAGAAAAAAAAGGACTGCCCACAAGAGGGTAAACAAAAAAAAAAAATTCCTATTCCGCAAATTATTTGGGGCTTTTGGTGAATTACAGGAAGGCTTCCTTTCTTTTCTGTGCTCTTCAATAACATTCCTCAAACCAAAATCATGAGTGAACTTGGATGAACAAGGTATGTTATCTCCTTTCTTTCTTTCTTTCTTCCTTTTTTTTTATTATCTGCACGCCATTATGATGAGAAAATTGTATCAATTTTATACTTTCTTAAATTGCCATTTGGGCAATTCTTGATGATTACGTTTTTAATCTTCTCTCTGAATGGTGTTGATTCTCTTCTTGGTTGTATTTTCAACCTACTCTGTTCTTATTGCAGACCGCTAACCAGCTTTCTTAGTATAGATTCATCTGCTTAGTATCAGTCATTCGACTTAAGTGAGTGCGAAAAGTGGAAGGCATGGCAAAACGACTGAGCAGCGGAGCTAAAATTCTCGCCTTGCTTTGCTGTTTGGGCCGCTCAATACGGCGAGTAACGTCAATAATACAAGGTAATTCAAGGTAGTCATCTTTCTCCCTCTCCATCAAACGACTGTGTGTTGCAAGTGTAAAAAGACTGCAAATAAAAAGTAATAATAAACGGAAAGACGGTGAATGAAGAAAGGAAGTGGACAAATGGATAGCACGTAACTGAAAGAAAGAGTGAAAGATTGTTTACCTTTGGCGCGTAATATACTGTATACAGTTGAGAAATAAGAACAAAAAATGAGGTGTCCGCTCTACTCTACAAAATCCAAGTTTGACCGATTTTAGTATTTCAAAGGGTTCCAAGTGATTTCAATTGATGTAAGTCTCCTGATGGCGAAATCCCTTTGAAAGCAAGGCAGGGGCGGGGCGCCGTCGTTTGATTTCTGCATAGACGTTTGAGTTTTTTCTTTGCTTTTTTTAAAACATGCACTAAGCACGAATAAGGAAAACAAACAATGGACTTTTTGTATTTTAGCCGATTTCTATTTAGGTATGTGCTGCTTTTAAATCAAAGACCACGCTATCTTTTTTTTTTTTTTTTTTTTTTTTTTTTTTTTTTTTTTTTTTACAAAAGGGCAGCGTTTTCTATCCAAGCCCGCGGTAGATGACTGTCATTGGGTCGGCCGTGAACGGTAAACGCCCACAGTGGGGGATGTTGCGTTTCGCCCATTTTGGCTAAAATACCGTATCAAATATAGTATTTTTTAACACTTTCCCCTAAAGGTTTACTTTTCCTAGCACCATGCCAAGACATAATTCTTTTTAAGATTTTCAGCTCAACGAAAATTGAGCAGTTTGCGTGAGGGCTTTTTTTTATTTTTTTTATTTTATTTTTGGATTGTTCATACTTCATCATCGGCGGAGCCGGAAAATCATTCACCGAGAAACCTTTGTCGTTTTGATTACGCGAATGTGGAACCGGTGAACCTTCAGGTTGCAATGCCTGTTTATGGGTAATGATTTCTCCTCTCCACTTCTCAGGGTGAAAATCAATACGAAAGATCGTTTCAAAGACGACATGATTTAGTTCATCCCGTAAGCCAAAAACCGTTTCACTGGTTCCTACGCTATGGCGGACCATAAAAAAATACATCCAATTTGGTTTTATTATCTCTTTTAGGTAATCCTCAGTGTAACGAGATCACAAACAGGCTTCCCCCTTATTATTTGTAAGAGAACACAATAAATGCACACCATATTCCATCCAATAAAGCAAGCGTCCATTGTTGGTATTTTACACAAGTCAGGATAATTTCTCCATTTCCAAACCGTTGTCTCGATTTAATGCAAAAAAAAACATTTACAATAACATGCCACGTGACTGAATTACTGGGACCACCTGTTTTTAGAAATTAAAAAAAAAATTGACTCACTTTTTTTTTTCTTGGCTCCACCGTCGACCCTCACCTCCATTTCGAAAATCATTTCGGTTTTACATTTCCCGAACCATGGCGACCATTGAAGAGGATGCAAATGGGAAACGACAACGAGTCAGCCGAGCTTGGTAAGTCGCTTGAAAATAAAATATAAATAAAAAAACACACTATCCAAACCTAATCCTTGTCATGGGCATGACCAATCTTGGATTGCATGTGTAGTGATTTATGTCGACGAAAAAAGATCAAATGCGACGGTCTGGCACCGGTGTGCAGTAATTGTCAAGCATTCAACCTGGAGTGCAGCTATAAAGATATGACCAAAAAGGTGCGAATGCTTGAACTTTAATGCATGGGCTAAAATAAATAAAAAGTGGCGACCGCAGCGATTGATCCATTCTTTATTTTTTTCACAGCGGGGGCCTCCCAAAGGGTATATCGAAGCCATTGAAAACCGGCTTTATAAATTGGAAGGTATTCTTTCCGAAATGGCGCAGGGCGAAGATCCAAGATCCAAAGCATTACTGGCCGAACTCAATTCACCTCTGGAAACCGCCAGTGGCGATCAAATTCGGCATCGACCCTTACGACGAACCCCGCACGGTAGTCGTAACCGTGTATTCTTATGGCAACAACAAGACAAACCCGCTAAACCGATATCCTCTTCCTTTTCCGATACAACATCCTCTGTTTCTCCCCATCACTCTCCTCCATCCTTTCTCGCCCAATCTTCCTCCCTATTGGACACTACCACCAACGCCCTCAGTCCCATTGTCAGCAGCTCCGCGCAAATATCTTCGTCGACGACCCGGGATCCTGACAGCACCGGTCAGTTAGCCATGGATCAAAATGGCCAAACACGGTATTTGGGTAAATCGTCCGGCTATTACCTCCTTCGCGACAGTCGTCACTATCATCACGGCGCATTTCATTTTCCACACTATGCCCAACCGACAAAACTGCCCCAATCCATGCTTTCTGTGGACCCTTACGAATTACCGCCCAAAGATTTGTCAGAGAGTCTGGTGAGGTTGTACTTTGAGCATTTCTATCCGTCTTTACCACTCTTTTACAAACGCCGACTTGCGTCTTCCATGGATAATCCGATGATCGAACCCGTCTCTCCTTTACTTTTGAATGCCATTTACGCCGTGGCTTCTCGTATCTCACCGGATGTGCGTGTGCGTAGCGATCCCAGTTTACCTGACTCGGCCGGCGATGTCTTTTTCGAGCGCGCCAAACGTCTGTTGGACGACTGTTATGACCAACCAAAGATATCCACCGTGCAAGCATTGCTCCTTCTCGCCAGTCATCAACACGGTGCCATGAAATCAGCGCGAGCATGGCTTTACAGTGGCATGGTAAGATCAGAATCTTTTTTTTTTCTTTACCGCTAATGGCGAATATGAGTGTGCTGGGCAGAGGAAAATGGAAAAGGAAAAAAGGAAAGCTTTGTTACGAGGTAACTGACAATGAATTTGGGTGGTTGATTTTAGGCTTTTCGAATGGCGCAGGATCTTGGATTGAATAGAAATTGCGATCATTGGAATATTCCCGTGGATGAGCGCGAAAGACGAAAACGAGTATTTTGGTGCTGCTTTATTGCCGATCGTTTAACGAGTGCAACGTATGGTCGCTCGTATACCTTTGAAGAGCGGGATATTGATACGTCATTTCCGTCCATTGATGATGATGATGACCAGTCCGATCGGATCGTTACCACGCAAATGCATGATGCCAAACCGGTGCCCAAAGTATTGGATATATTTATTCAGCTTATCAAAATTTCCGACATCCTTGGCCATGTGCTGAAGAACGTGTACTATGCAAAATCGATCCAACCGGGCACGCACCAGCGTATAGAGCAGATATTGACCGGACTGAACGAACAATTGATGACTTGGCGCCAAGATCTTTCCGCTCCTCTTCAACTAGGCTATCAAACCAACGAGAAAGTTGACAGGGTCATCGATCGATCCTTGGCGGTTGGGCAATTGCATATGATTTACCATACGGCAGTCATTTTACTACACCGTGCTTCGGTGGTGGATTTATCCATGCCTAGCCCGAATCCATCCCTTTCTTCGTACGATATCTGTGTTTCTTCGGCGAAATCCATTCTCGAGGTCGCCCATGCCTTGTTCAACGAGGGCCAGCTGAAGTATGTGATGAATTATGCCATTTATTGTATTTTCACGTCCGGGATCATTTTTATGAAACTGGCGTCTTCGCATGGCACGGCAGAGGGACGATCCGCCAAAGTGCAAGTCAATCAGATCATGCGAACGTTGGATGAAATTGAAATAACGTGGAAATCGGCTTCACGAAGTTGCAGCATCCTTGGAGAATTGGCCGGTTTGCGCGACATTGATCTGTCAAATCATGATGTCATGACGACGGCGGCCACGGCACCTCCACCTCCGGCCCCGCTTATGGAATCGCCCGTATCGATCATGCATTCATCTCCGGTTTCCGGATCCACTCCGAAAACCGAACCGACCCGTCCCAAAGAAGGTCCTCATCCATCGCCGTACGTGTATCCGTCCATGACGCGGTCAACCATGGCGCCCATGACCGTCAACAACAACCTGCACACCAAACACCTTCCGCGACGATCCCAGAGCGCGAATTATCCAATTACCAACACCAGTTTCACGACCAAATTTAGTATCATGGATACGTCGGCGCCCACGACCAGTAGTAATAACAATAACATGGTTCGCATGAGTTCGTCGCTTCCTTCTTGGAATAGCAACACCGCCACCACTTATTACGATCAAAATCCCATTGAATTGGGTCCGCCCCCATCGAGTTCATCGTCGACCATGGATCCATTTGCGGCTCCCGGGTCCATCAGAGGCACGTCTCAGCGCCAATACGATCCTTCCGGGGCGGCGTTTTGGGGCGTTCCGCCTTCCCTTGATATGAATGATTGGAATAATTATTTCGGAAGCCAAGGAGGATTACCGCAACAACAACAACAACAACAGCAACAACAACAGCAGGCGCACTCACACTACAACACTGCGATGGGCACGTCACCGTTCGCTTCGGGGTCACAAACGTTGATCTCTTCGACGGAAGTGTCTCCTTTTCAACCATTGCGGGGATCGTATACGACCCCACAAGAGAGCCAACCTCCCAATGCAGCCAAGAATCTTATTCATACCGATCACAGTGTGGATGTGCTGTCCGGGGTGTCCCTCCCTTTTGATTTGCCTCAGTCTCCCACTGGAAGCGCGTTACTGGGACTTTTAGGAAACCAATCGGATCCGTTGGCAACTTCAAGCGGATTGCAAGATGAAGGAAAAGCAACCGAAGGAATGATTTATTGGTAAAAAAAAAAAAAACCGATGTCTGGACCGTGCGAAACGTTCTGTTCTCCCCCTTCTCTACTTAAAGTCCCAGACTCGCGTTCAGATCCACAAGCCCTTTCTATGTAAAAATTGTAATTCACACTCTATTTCCCTGTCTATTATCATTATTTGTTTTTAATCTGCCACTGATTGGACCTCTGTTCATTGCATAAAGTCTTTAATACAGGATTCATCCATGCCTTTTTTTGATTTTCCCAAGCAGATGGTCAAAGCCTCAAGGACAAGCTGGTAAAAAAAAAAAGAAAAAAAAAGAGGACAGAATCAAGCGATGTAAAAGGGAATTGATCTTTTAATCAGTTATTTTCTTGCGCAAATACACAAAAAAAACCACGAATTCACTGCATGGGTCATGGTGTTCCTTGCCTTAAAGTGTCCAGTAAGTTTTGCCGCGACCTTTGGGAACATGCAATGCAGAGACTCCGACGATGCCGCATTTTTCTTTTTGGTTGAACGATGCGTGTGATGTGATTGGATGATTGAGAATAGGTCCGACGAGCCGACCCGGAACAAGAAAGAAAAATGCCACTCTTGGAAACTCAAGTGATCGTTGCACGTGAGTGTGACAATGACTTTGGATGAGCGAGGCAAATTGTGGAAATAGGGAAGCTCCGATGAGTGCGAAATTTCCTTTCCCTCCCCCCACCCTTTTGTTGAAGCTGAAAGCCAAAAAAAAAAAAACCGCCCTCCACCGTCCAACTCTAATCTGTGATCGCTTCTCCAGTTTTCTTTAATGTCCACTCGATCGTCGTATTCTTCTGCGGCTATTCCGCGCGATGCAAACAACGAACTTCCTTTGGCCCAACCTGCTTCTCTCATGCACGGTTCACCTCAGCAACAGGCTGCTCTCGAGAGGCTGCAAGATATGTTTCGCGTCACCAACCAGCACTTGGAAACCCTCATCCGTGGTTACGACCAAGAATTGAAAGCAGGACTTGCCGTCAAAGAACAAAGAGAAACCGTACCGCGTAGCAGTGATTTAAAGATGATTCCTTCTTTTGTTGCAGGTAAAAAAAAAACCGAAAAAAAGTGGCGGACTTCTTTTTCCGATAAGCGACCAACGGATACGTCTTTTTCTTTTTCTTTCAGGGTATCCGACGGGTTTCGAGAAAGGCACCTATTTAGCGTTGGAGATTAGTGGGGTTGATATTTACGTGTGTCAAGTCAAACTCAAAGGTGAAGGCGGCAAACTCGCCATCAATCAATACCAGTACAAGATTCCCGATAACTTAACTGCTGGCGATGATATCCGTATCCTCATTGATTACGTCGCAGACTGCATTATCGATTTCCAACGACGCGTCGGTATCGGACAGCAAGAAGTGTATGCGATGGCCATCAGTCTAGGATTTGCAATTGAACAAACCAGGTTGGATCGCGGCGTCATTGTCGCGCTTGAACACGGATTTGATTTCCCCAATGCCATTGGCTGTGATATTGTCGATCTTTTCCATCAGCGGTTTGAAACCAAAGGTTTGGCCGTCAAGATTGTCGCCATCGCAAATGGTATGGAAACGACCCGCTTAAAAAGGAGAGAGAGAGAGAGAGAGAGAATCAATCCAATAACTGTGTTTATTTTTATTTTTATGGGAGGTCAGATGCTGTCTGTACACTGTTGGCGCATGCTTATCAACATCCTTCGACACGTATCGGAATTGTGCACAGTGCCGGAACGAATTGCGCATACTATGAACGGGTGGCGAACATGAGCAACTTTCTAGCCCATCATCCCGATGTGTCCCCTGCCAGCGATATGATTATCAATACCGAATGGTGCAATTTCGGATCAAGATATTTGCCCATGACGGAGTTTGACCATCGCGTCGATAACGAATCGAATAACCGAGGTATCCATTACTTCGAAAAGATATCCACAGGCATGTATTTGGGGGAAATCGTGCGACAAGTCTTGGTGTCGCTTGTGGATCAGCAAGTGTTGTCTTTTGACATTGATGCCAACGGAGATGAATGCTTGCTACGTACGCCTTACCATTTCGATACAAGCTACATGTACGTATGTGAAGCCGATAACGATATGGAGAATCTTGAAGACACGCAGGTCGTGCTGGAGGAAATGTGTAAAGTCGGTGAAACATCTTTGGCCGACCGAGAAATTGTCAAGAAAGTGTGTGAAATGGTAGGCCATCGTGCCGCCATTCTCCTCGGTGCCAGCATTGCCAGTATCGTCAAATACATGGTCGACAGCGGGATCGGCTTTGGTAACAACAATAACCAAGGATTCGCAATATGTAAGCAACGGACGCCCAGTGTGGCGTGACGGAAGGGGGGGGGGGGTTCGAATGGGTCAGATGAGGATTTTTTTGTCATCTTATAGTAATGGGTTTTCTGTTTTTCAGCTATCACGGGAGATGTATACGAGGACTATCCAAGTTTCCATCCACGCGTGTGCGAGACTCTCAAGGCGCTCATTGCCGATGACGTGGCGGCGAAAATCTCCGTCGGCATTGTCAAGCATTCTCGTATCGTGGGCGCCGCCATTGTCGCAATGATGGCTGAAAAAATGGATCAGCCACAAGACGTGGATATGCTGTAATTAAGAAAACCATTTGCTCATCCTTATGATCTCCTCCACCTTCCCTCTCGTCCCCTTGTTATTCTTTTTTTTTTCTCTCCATCTCTGCAAGTCTTCAAAACGATATTTCAATACTAAAATCTCTCGTCCATTCTATGCTTTCTCATCCTTTCATTTTCTCTCGCCGGAAATTGAACAGAAACACCACGGTCAAAAAAGGGTACTGCAACTGCCGGTAGTTGCTCACCCTCGATCTCGCCCTCTACATACCTCTTTCACTTGTACATTGATCTTCGTATCACCACAGGTTTGAATATCAAGGGCCAAAACCAAATCCACACACACTGGTTCTCTTTAATAAAATAAGGTCGAAAATGAATACCATTTTCGACCGTAACTCACAAAAAAGGAAACGATTGTTTTTTTCTGGATTCTCCATTCGCTGGCGGTGTTGAGAAGTGTTTGAAGCTATTTTACTTTAATGATGAAGGTTAATCAAAAAGGTTGCGAGCCGGGGACATGAAAAAGTTCAATAGGGGGAAAGCTCTCTGCAAAGGGCTATTGTCGATGTCGATCTTGGTGTTCTGTAGCATTAATTAGTTTGGTCTTTTTTGTCAGTTATACTGTATATGCCTTGTCATTCTCTTCAGTTTTCGATGATCGAATGATACATGGGCATATATGCTTCGATCTGTGTAGCTTATCATTCATGGATCGGTGGGTGACTATTGTTTCATCCAAGGGAAATCAACGTATTTTTGTCTTCAATTTTGGTTTTCTCCTCTCTTTCTGTTTGTCTGAAAAACCTTCACTATCATTGTACTCGCATCCGTTTTTCGTCAAGAAAAAACTTACCTGTTCTTTTTTCTCTATCCTTTCTTTAGCTTTTGGTTTTCTCTCCGGTTTTCTTTTCGCCTGGGAAGCCATCTATCCCTCCAAATCTTTCTACTTTGTTCGCACACAAAAATGTGGCCAATCCGGTTTTTGTCGTCAAAGGGTATCGTCGGTGGTGTGACTCTTTTCCTCATCGGAAAATGCTTACGCGTCCTTCTCAGGTTTCTCTCATGGGTATTGCTTCCCGTGGTATCGTCTTTGATATTTCTTCCCGACCATTTTATTTTGTAGTTTGTAGTATGTACTTTGTATTTTATTCGATAGACCTTCTTGAAGTCTTTTCCTCCTTTTTTTTCCCACAGAGTTTTTAGGGGGTTTTTACAGACGCACCTATTGTTTTTACTTTTTTTTTTATATTTGTATCGTTTCTTTTTCTCGGTCGGGAAGCTCTTGATATCTGCTGCCTCACATAACAAAGGTAAAATATCTTGACGGCATTTGAATCAATCAAAGAGCTTACTAACTCATTTTTTTTAAATACCCAACACTCCCACACATCATTCTAGATCTATTATAACCTTGGGCGGGACGGGACAGAGGGGGTCAATAAGTGCTGCTGCACACATGTTTGGAAATCATGACTGTACGGTATGCCAGAGTATTGACATTAATTTACCAAAGTTCCATCAAGAGTCTCGCCCTGGTTATGCCGTATTGCGTTAGGCTTTTGTCTGACAAATGTTGCTCAATGTAAGGGGGCGACGTCCAGTAGCAGGTGGCATCCGTTGCCCAGCGGGTGTACGGCTTGCTAATAAATATTGATCCCAAAGCGATTGAAAAACCCAAAAATAAAGGACCACTGTATTTTGTAATGTCACGGCAGTGACAATGATATCGGCAATGGTCAAGGTCGAGTAGATAGCATTGGAGTGAATAGATATTCCCACCATCTTCAAAGAGTCATTGTTCGATGGCATCAATGTGCTTTCTTACTTTCAAAAGAGCAACGGAAAGAAGAACCGGAAAAAAAAAGAAACCCAAGCGGGTGCCCGTATCTTTTTTTTAGAACATGAATATGAAAGTATGAGTGCGTTGGAAATAAAATAGCAAAGCGTACAAAGAGTACATTGGTAAATTGAGCACTTGGATCAAATAAAAAAAAAGAGTTTTGTAAATACAAAGTGCAATGCGCTATATGATGTGTTACTTTTGAGGGCTAGTTCCCTGTGAATGATTGGCATGACGGGGTCGGTTATTGAGCCCACGCGGACCGCCTCCACGTCGATTGGGTGGGAACCGACGTTCGAAAGGTGTTCCGTTTTGTTGTTGTCGTGAATGCGAGTAACCTCTTGAACGACGTTCCTCTGCAAGCACTGTGGCTTCACCCACCGTCACTCGGTGTTGCGCAATCGCTTTTTGTCGCGCTTCCGGGGTCGTGAAATCGAGGAATGCACAGTTCTTTGCTTGAATAATATTCAGAGATTTCACACTACCAAACTGACTAAATGCTTGCTGAAGCTCTTCTTCGGTAATGGTTGAGGTCACATTTTTCACGAAAATATCCGTCACATCTTCTATGCATCCACCAAAATATGCGTCCATCAGCCAGTGTGTCTTTCATCACGGAATATTAAGAAAAAAAACATACCTTTGCGGAAATCTTTATCATGGTGACGGTACCCTTCGTGCTTCGGATAGCCTTGTTTCTGTTCATTGGATTTAGGGGACGTTTGAGTCGTAGGTGAAGGTGTAGTGACGGTGGTGGGTGATTCTGAATTGGCAGCAGGAACCGGTACGGCTTGAGCTTTGGTTTCAGTAGCTTGAGTTCCCCATTTAGAAGAATCGTTCGCGGCCAAGTTGGCCCACGTTTTTGGAGCAGGCGGTTGGCTTGACTCCTCTTCTTGTTTCTCGTCTTGCTTTTCTACTGATTTCTCAGCCGCCTTGTCACCTTGCTTGTCCCCCTTCTTTTCCGACCGTTTCTCATTCTTTCGATTCTTTCGCTGTGTTTCTTCTGATTTCTTTTCTGACCGAGCCCCCTTGAGGACGGCAGCATCTGAGCCTTCCTTTTTATCTTGTACTGCAGGACCCTTTCTCTTTTTGTCTTCATCCTTGCTTCCTTTTCTGGGTTCGGCGGACTTTGATTCAGCAGGACGCGGCGGCGCCGGCTGACTCACGGATTCGACGGTGGTGTGCTTGAGAGAGGCAGGAACCGACGATTCGACGTTGGCTGGCGTCACATCGGTGGATGGGGATTCCGTGGGAGCAGCTGTGGTGACGGGCATTGTCTGGTTGGGTGTACCTGTTGTTTTCTCCACGGCTGGTTCGGTCACCGGTTGAACTTTGTCTTCATCTTCGCATGCATAATAGTCAATGTCGACTTCATCCTTCAGGAAGCGGAAAATGTCGGTCAAAACAAAGTAACCGTTGGGTTGCGTGGCCAAGAAGAAGGTTTGAGCAAACTTTTGCGACGGTCCATCTCTGTTGCACATTTCTCCCAACACTTGAATCAAGAGCCCATTGTTTTCCGACACGAGACTGTCCACTTGTGTCACAAGTACTTTGCAATCTTGGAAATTAAGCTCTTCAATCTTCTTTTGAATGCGCTATACACAAAAACCCCCATTGCATTAGCCATCCAAACAGAATGATCCAGCCGATCCAGCCATGATGCGATGAGTGAGTGTTTACCTTTTGTCCAACGTATGTTTCAGTAACTTCGCCTTCGGATCCTCTTACAAAAGAGGAATTCTTGCCGTAGAATGCATGAAGTCGGTGAGGCTTCTTGTTGAGAAATGTGTAGTATTCGCGCACAAAGATGAGCCCCACATCTTCTTCTCGTGAAGCAGTAGGCTTCACGGCATCGTTGGCCGGTTGTTGTGCAGGATCACGCTCAGCAGCTGTCATTATTGCAAGCTATTCCCAACAGATTGAGCATAAGGATCGCTTCCGTACACTATGGTTCACATGTCAAAAGAAAAAAAAAAGAGTATACTTACTGGTTGACTGGAAATTCGTGAGTTGGAGTGAAAAAGAAGCAGGGAAATCAAAGAAACAAGGCGAAAAATTGCACTTTCTAAACCACGCCCCGCACGTCCCATCCCATTTTCGCGAACAATTTTCATTCAGACGCGTCATCACCCTTCAAACGTTTTTTGAAGTCCGAGATGGCATCCCTGGATTTTTTTTTTCTTTGCTGCGGTGACCATATAAAGCATCTTGTACAAAACGAACATTGGTTGCAAATGATCGACTGTATCAAAATACGGTCTTCGTGGAATTGACACTTTTTGTTTATACAAACATGAAAATTAATTTCTTCATCCTCAAACATATGACTACTTACTTGGTAAAATAAAACGTCGGTGATAGCAAAGCATGTCATATTCATTAGGTTAAATACTATATACATACAGACTATAAGGTCACTTTTTTTCTGCTTTTTGTCATGTCACCACTTAAAATCGTTCCAGACGAACGGCATCTCGAGGTAAATGATTGAATGCGACAATGGATGGGGTAGGTGCCGTGAGGAAGAACGGCGGTGGTTGCGCCGGTGGTTCCTGGAGAAGCCTGCTAGCGACATCGGCGAGGATGGGCCGATGAAAGCTCGGCGCTCGAACCGTCTGTGACCGGTGTCTATCCATGCTTTGAGGACTGTGGTTCCCATCGCTGCCGCTTCCGCTTCCACTTTGGTTGACGAAAACGGAACTTGTAAATTGGTTCATGCGATGCCGGATCAAGCCACTCACAGCTTGCCATGAAACTAGCCATATATCCGAATCAGTTTCAGCCCGAGTCTTATTATTTGAAACGTTCTATTTTACCTTGAAGAGGATGCATGGTTTCAGATCCGAGTGGAGTGGGATTGGTGTGAAGACTGGATTGCTGCGGGAGGAGAATGTAATCAGGAGGTAACGTGAAGAGCCATGAATTAGGTAATGCTCGAGACTCCTGGGCCAGGTTGACCGCATCTCGGTCTGTCTCTTGTCTCGGCTGAAGCTGGGGCTGCGGTTGGGGTTGAGGCTGTCCATGCTGGGTAAAAGGGATACTGTTGAGCAATGGTTGAGTTGTTTGCGAAGATACCAGAGTGTGTTCTTGTTGCCATTGTTTCTTGGCCTTGTACAGCGCAATGATGGCCAACAGCGCACAGTTGGAAGAGCACAGGCTGTATCGAACAGATACTTGCAGGCGATTGTTGCATAGTCTAGCCAAGTAACCAATTTGCAACCGCGATCGCTCGTACCATCGCCCGCAGTGATCACACGGCTTGGCTTCATGAATCAAGCTCTTGCGTAGCATTAAGGGCACCGTGCTGGGTAACTGGGATTCGACAAACAGTGGCCGCGACTCTATGCAAAACGGTCGGTGACAGTAGGGCATGGTGTGAGATCGGTTGGCGTATTGGGAAAAAACGACTTCACGTAAGCTAGGCACATGGCCAAGGACATTGACCACGGTTTCTCTATCTTGGGCTTTTGATAACATGGCCATCACGAGCACCTGTTTCATGGTACGCTCGTCCGTGACATGGGGTATGTTGTCCAGATATTCAAATGCCTGCTGCAGTGACAGTAACTGATACTCGAAAATTTTGCCCTCCATCACATCCGCTTCATCGTCTGTATCCTCAGGAGTCACCGGCTGCATTTCAATCAAACCGTCAATGTGATGCATAAAAGAGTTTTCGTAGAGCAGGAGCGTGCGCAGGGATCCACCGGATGTCTTGGTGTCGCTCTTTGGATCGCTTGGGTAAGATGATACCAGAGGGAAAACGAGGTGTGGCACGGCAAGATCAATGTGGCCGTCCTTTTCGTCTCGTGGGGCCAATGCCAAGATGGACGGTGGCAGGTACATGAGTTTATTTCGTCGGATATCGATCTTTTGCAGTTTTTTCATCCGGCAGAACAAGTGCGATGGCAATTCTCGCAAGTGATTCTGGACGAGACCCAGCTTGACGAGATTGACCAACCTGGCCAGGGTCGTGGGCAGCTCGGACAATCGATTGTCATTGAGGTTCAGCCATTGAAGCTCGGTCAAGTCGCCAATTTCCGCAGGAAGGTTGGCTAGACAATTGATAGCCAGGTTGAGTCGGCGCAGACCTTTGCAATTGGTAGCGAGCCGTTTGAAAAACTCAGGCGACAAATACTCGAGTCCGCAGGTATGTAAATCGAGGCTCACGAGATGCTGATATCCTTTGAGCAGGAACGTCTCGGAAAGACGTCGCAGTTCGTTTCCCGAAAGATGAAGATGCGTCAGAGCCGCCGGGGGATGCTCCGTAAGCGCCAATGGCAGTTGCGTCAGTTTGTTGAATGCCAGATTCAACGTGTGAAGCGATCGCGGTAACCGATCGTTGCCTGATAATTCTCGGATGTGATTCTTTTGCAGCAACAACACTTCGAGATTTTGCAGTTCAAAAATGACGGAAGGGAAAACTGGATTTCAAAGCAAGAAATGAGCCATTCATTGGTTCCGACGGTCAATGAGCGAAAGCTCACATACCTTCGAATTGATTATTTTGCAGATCCAGGCCTTTGAGGTGTCGGCAGCATACGATATCGGAGGGCAGATCTTTGAGTTGATTTCCACCGAGTGATAACCATTGCATGTGGGGCAAGTGGGGTAATAACTGGGTTTCAATGACTGTCAATGCATTATTGGAAAGCGACAATGTCGTAAGTTGTTTCAACGACATGATCTCGATGGGAAACTTGAGCAACAAATTGTCGCGCAGCGAAAGTTCCAATAAATGATGGCGAAACGAATGGAGGGCTTTTGCATACTTTTTTAAACAAGTAAGACGGTTGCGTCGCAATAACAGCTGCTCAACAGGCTGAGATTTACGACAGAACAACGACGATTTAGGTTGAAATAGATTGGCGGGAAGTCTGATTTAAAAATGTAAAGCAATCAGTCTCAATACCACGTGGATGGTTCAAGGATTGAATCCTTTTTTATTTTGGAGATCACTTTTTACTTACGGCATGGCGCTTTCGGACAGATCCAGTTTTCCATGGCCGTGTACCATATTACTGTTCAGTATATGCATGGAGCGAGAACATACGAATAACGCAAGATGGAAGAAAAAAGAAGTTTAAAAACATCCAGTTTGGTTTTTTCTAATGTAAAAAATACACAACAAAAATTTTCCGGTTTAAGGAAAATCCGTATCTGCCCAAATGACCGGATCATCATGCTGTGTTTCTTTCAAGGAAAGTGTTCATTCCACCGTTCAATCCATAATCTCCCTTGATCCAAAGGGTTCACAAAGCGTTGACTAACCGTGAATATATGGCGCATTAAACTTGGACTATTCATGCTCGAGCCAATTCAATTATCTCTGTGCGATCGTGCATTTATTTGCTGATATCGGAAGCGGAAAAGCGGAACCGTAGTTTTAGTATTTTTACCCGTGTTTTTATTTGTTTAGTAAGATAAACATTTTTCGTAACTGAAATATCCTCGGTTCCTTGGAGTGTGCAATAAGCCAGCTCACAATTGTCATTTCGGGTATACAACTGCATTTCCGTGAAAAGAAAAGAAAAATGTGAGAAATATGAACAATGCTTATACATCTTTTTTATTCGATAACAGTGTATATTGGAATTTGGGACCCTCCAAAAAAAAGGGGGGGGGAGGGGGCGGGGCGAGGAAGTGTGAATAAGGAACTTTGATTTATGGATTGACGATGATCCGAAAATCATACGATCAACTTGTCACGGTATCATAATGCCACATAACATATCGTTGTGGACTGGACTCGATCCAGTCGAGTTGATTTTTTTTTTTTCATTCGATCAATCCACCTATTGCCCAAATCAATCAGTAGAACTAGTTATTTTACTGGCAAATGCTTTACGATGGTGGCCATAGAGTTGGACCTGGCAACCCTGATCATCTCGACCAGCATATTAGGCTCAATCAAACGTAAGAGATTACTGGTACAGCTGCCGTCGGTGAACCCTAAAAGACGAGACCCGCTTGGTTAGTAATATGGTTATGAAGCGCCATACTTTAGATAGAGGACATACCATGGTCTTCCACTACGTTACAACTGCACTTTTGACCGTCGTCGGGTACAAAAGGACAATGCTGGGCCACTGAATGAGAGTATCCGATTTTATCGAAAAATTCAATTTGTTCCCGCTTTAAAAATAGGGCAGCCGCCACGGTGCGTACAGGTGCATCGCCCCATCTATTAAACGGTCAGTGAGTTCATGGAAGGGGCCATTCTTCGGTCCAACCAAAAAGTTGCCACACTTACCGTTGGTAGAAAAAGTTACCTGTCCCATCGAGAAATTCAAAGAATCGCCGATAGCTCGGCGACTTGATAAAAGAGAGATCCATAATTTCGAAATTGGACCAAAAATGACATAAATTGTATTCGTTCTCTTCGTCGAGGATCCACGGCATGATGGTCTGATTCGATGGAAGCACAAGATGACGATTTTGGCTCATAAAAATCTGGATTGCCTCCCAAAACGTCGGCAAGGACCAGAAATTTTCTTTCATTGTCAACACAAATCCTAAGTTTTCCACCCTCAATCGTCAGAACTCGCTGCTCAGCAACTCTATCAAGGGTACAGTCAAATCAACAGTAAGCAACTAACCAATCTTTTTCTTGTTATCCCGCATATGTCGAAAGGGGTCAAATGTGATATCGCAAGGATAATACGCGCCTGGTTCAACTCGCCAAACATAGTCAACGTTATCAAATAGCGAATGGCGTGCAAACAGCCCCGCCTGATATCTAAGTGGGTTGGCTTAATTCAGTGCCAAAGTTATCCTAAAGACGAAATCGGCAAAAAAAAGAAGTTGTACCGTAGCATTTGATGATAGGATAAATGACGTAGCTTGTAGACATCTTCAAATTCGACAGATACAACGTTCGTGAGTCGTTCCGCGCGATCAATATCGATCCAGTTGGGATAACCATAAACGTCGGAATCGATTTTTCCAAAAAATACGGGAGCGTTGGTCAGTTTCTTGATGTATTTACGGAACTCGGGCGTGAAGTACTGGTTGTTGAGAAATATCCAGGGATACCCCATCTTGTGGTTGAACCGATCTTCGATGCTTCGAACCGTTTCTCTGGCTTCTTGGAGTTTTTGATTGAACACCATCATGTAAAATGCGCCTTTCACCGGAAGACCTTGCCACACCGTCTCGTTGAGGGTTTCATTCACCAAAGTATTGGATGTCCTTAGATAGGGGCTTCTATTCCATTCGGAAATTTCGTCATGTTTTTCTTGCTCTATGACTTGGTCTTTTGTTTTTTGAGCGGAAAGGATCTCGTCCCGTTGGTTGCACATATACTGGATAAAATCATTATCATGCGGATCAATGGTATATCGGTTGGTCGACGACGACCAAAGCAGCGCCGACCCAACTGCGATCACAATCACGCTGAGTGTCAAAGCGACAATCGTGCGTACGATTTGTCGCTCTTTGCCCTGCCAAAACCAACGCTTATTTCGTTTGGACGTCGGAGACATTAAACGGGATGTGGCGTTATCACGTCCCTCGTGGTTTTCGGAATACGGCATGTAAAAAGGACAAGGTCAAGTAAAGGGGAGTTCCGTTGTATGAAAAAAAAAGAAAACCAACATCAAGCAACTTGACTAAATTAAACGCCACCCAAAAAAGTCAATATGTCTTTATTTATCACTTTGCTTCCCAAGAATTTAACCAACACTACCATTTACGGAAACACTCTTTTTTTCCACGCCGCACCCGCAATGAGATAAAAAAGAAATTGGTCCTTCACGTTCTCTAATCACCATTCTGGTCAACATAAGATGTAAATTAGCCCAAAGGTTCATACTGTGAATGAACCTCCCAAGCGTATTGAACATTCACGATGTCAATATTTTCACCTTGGTGCGCCATCACGACCAAAGGCCCCATTTTCAAAGACAAAATTTTTTACAACACGAGCCGTGCGACAACTGCAGTATCTCGATAAGGATATAGCTGGAATAAAATCTCGAATATGGATATGATGCAGAAAAATGCCTTCGACACTGCTGTCAGGCCGAGTCATGCTTGATTTTTACAAGATTTCGAGACAAACGCTATGCCTTGGTTGCTAGGAGCGGGATGGTACATACAAAAAAATAACTATACAGGAGAAGGTATGGGTGGGATCAAAAATTGACAAGTCTATTCGTCAATATCCATTGCATTGAGATCTTGTGTGGTGTTGACAAAGGATCCTTCGGATTCGAATGCATCTGTCTGGTAGAATAGGTCAGTTTTTTTCTATGTATATCTCAAATTTTATATTGACAAGTACGATAATTTACCTTGGATGCATCAATGATTGGGAATGTGTGAGGTTGATAGAGAATAAGTTCATGGTTGTAAGGTGGATTCCTTGGTGTGAGGATGAATTCTGGAATTTTTAATGGATGGTTGGCCGATGTTTTCTGCATGGGCAAGTAGGACCCGTTGATATTCACGTTTAACCACGATCCGTTGTCATCAGGATTCTCTTGGTTTGAAAACTTGGGACTATTGCTGCTATGCGAGTCTCCGTCTTCTGCGAGGTAAGCGTCAATGTCGTCGATCCGCACGCGGTGTTTTGACTGGACTTCGTCCATTTGTGTATCTGTAATTTCAGGAATAATCATCTCATTTTGAACGCTGGATCTTCGATCGAGATGCGTCTGTGTTGCTGAAAAAGATTAAAATGTCAGTCCACCGTTCTATGAAGTCTCTTGTTGATAAGGATAGATTAGATAACGTACCTGTCAAAGGGCGGCCGAATAGTGGTATATCACAAATTTGTCTCTTTTTCGAAGGATAGTAAGCATTGTCCAGCTCGATATGCGGACGCTTCAGTCGGAACGATAGCGCTGCCGATGATGGGTTTAAAATTTGTATCATGATGGATGGCTTCCTCCCGCTATCGCTCCAGCATGAATTTTTTTCAGTGGGTTTTTATTATGTTGGCGGTATTTAAATTACGGAAGTGGCTTTCACCTTCTCGAACCATCCATCGCTCTTTGACCATCCAATAGATATCCTGCATGGCCAGCTGCATCCACTGTCAAAATTCTTTAACCTGCAATTCCGTTGGTTTTGCTTCATAGCTTACAGAATTACTTTTGTACTATATTACGATAGCTTATGTGTTCATTTGAGCACCGGCATGGTATAAAAAGGCCGTTCATTGTGTGACACATTGTGCAGCTGAACCTTGAAAAACTCTGGAACAATCACTTGAAACCCCGAAGTCATGACAGCATTCAAGCATCAATTCGATAAATAGCTGACAAAGCTGATTGTAGGTTATGGTATCGAAAGTCCAAGTATACCAGGCAAGGACTTACAAGAAAAAAAGGTTAGGAATATCTAAATAGGCGTATCCCAAAATATTGGACCAAGGAATATGCAACTCCTCTCTACAGTCTGTAACCATATCGTCACGAATGATTACCTTCCTGCATAGAGGGCAGTTTTTTAAACTTCCGCGCCGTTTTGCCTCGAGAAAGAGATTTTTGTGAAAATTTGATATTCTCGTTCAACCATGATCGTTTACCTTCCACTTTGGAGACTTGCACAGATAGCTGTTTCAGCCGTTACTGGCAATATCATAAACCGCCTGCTGGTAAATAAGATGATGCGTCAATGCTTACAAGATTAATTCATATACTAAAAAGTATTATCCCTTTTATCTACAACTCTAGCTAAATCACACTGTAGTCGCCAGTAAATAGTCAATCATTATGTCTTGAGAATGACACTTTATTATCTGGCCTTTGGGCAAAACTATCGAAGTCTAACAGCTGTAATGACGAAGGTTGGAAAAAAAGGCCAGAAGAAAAAACCCCGCCCCCAAAGCTATTAGACTACGTTGTCCGAAGAGATACCGTAGCGAAGGGACAAAAGGAGAAGAAGAGAAACGACACCTGGGAAAAAGAGGGAACAGGTGGAAAAGGGAATACGGCAAACTGGAAAACGCCAGCTGAGAGAAAGGGTGAACAGCTGGATGGGAACTCCAAAGACTGAATCCCGAAAGTGAACGGGAAACGCCAGGCCAAGGACTGCCAGGCAACGGAAAGCACCAAGAGCACGAACGCCGGGACACCGAAACGACGGAGAGCCTTGCACCAGGAACACCAGGACGGACCGCGGGAGGACTTGACACCTTGAGACGTTTTCCTTCGTGCATCGGCACACACGCCGCCCAGACCATTCCCCAGCTTCGAATGAAACAGAACCGAAAATCGGTATGTCCATTACGGACGCTATTGTCATAACAAGTTCACTGCAGCTCAACCATTGCCTTCCGCTGATACGAACGCTGATACGAACTCTAGCAGTGGTAATAACTGCAATAAATGCATCATCGCAGGAATTAACCTGCTCAAACTGCTAATTATTACCTGCGCAAGTGAGCCTCGTACACGCCAAGCACACCCTAGACAACGTCCCACCGAAGTAGGAGGAAGCAATGTCGATGTAGGCACAACCAGGCCTTCCGCGAGCACAGATCACCAAAAACAAGCGGCTATCAACTGGGACGCCACTTAACTTTCAATCGGAACCCTCTAGTCGAAGCCTCAGATCCCAATATTCCTCAGATCCCAATATTATTCCCTCAGATCCTACCAGTATTTCCTCAGAACCCGACAGTTCAACCCCCCTCGTCTTGAGGCGATGACCCCCCCCCCCTTCGTCAACAACAGTCTTCGGGGCCCCTGCGTCGCAATAGGGGAGGTATCTTTCATCCGATGTCGGCTCAGAGGCCCTCTAGGCAGCATAAGCCACAAGCCTTGACGTGAACTTACTCACTACACATATGTAGCGTGTGGAGTCCTTGGGTCTCAAAAGCGTACTCAAAGAGTAGCTTGCTCAACGCGTAACTTTAAAATAAGAATAGTACAGCCCACCCGCAATCAAAAGATTGACATCAGTGTTGGAGAACAACCTTGGACGAAACCATACAGGATTGTATGGCCAAGCAAAACGTTGGTATACAAGCGTGCAAGAGTAAACAATTATGGGCTCATTGATACTGGAAAGAGCATTTCGAAACTTACCAACAAAGACAACAAGGGAAAAAAAGTGATGAAACGGCAAAAGAGAAGGAGAGCAGCAAAAGCCCAATTCACTTGCGCAATACATTGCTGCGGCAAAGAACTCAGCCCGTTCGTCATCACCGACTACTATTTATGGAAGGAGCTGGATGGGCAGAGAGTATCTTGGCCAGTTTACGCTGTGCATCATCAGGCGACATGGAAGCAACCTTCACACCAATTCTCAGGGGAGCTATGGTCAAACTCAAGTTGTTATGCCAATACAAAATATTATTTTGTCTCTCTTTGCCATGACAGTGAAACTGCTCACCACCTACTGCAACAATGTCAAACAGACAAAACTGCCGCTGATTTCTGCAAGGGCGCGTTTGTGCTGGAAATATTGCAATTAAATTCTTATTGCAAGGACAGATACTGCCAAAAATTTATCGCGGAACTTACAGAATGGTTAGCAATATTGTCACAATTGTCCATTCACTACAGAACTTGGCGACATTTTTGATCACAGATCCGACACACTAGTGTCTAATTTTGCTGATAGAAATGGCGTGCACACTCTTTGTGCCTGGATATGAACTGAGCTTGATCCTGATGGTTGAGATTCCTTCCGAAAATAAATAGTTATTTGTGATAGTCCATATTTGAAATTGTCAATAAATAAAAGTGACGCACCACCAATTTTAATGCTTCGTTGCTGCCTCGAAACGTTTAACCAACCTTGTGCGAGTGAACGAGGACGGTTGTATTTACCTTGCGCAAATAACAACCCAGCGTCGGACGTTTGCGACGCTGTCGCCGGGTATGGATGAAGGCTCAACATCGCACTTGGGTGTCAACCGATCCAGCGAGCGCAGAGCCTTGTTTGCTTGCAAGCAAAGGCAAAAACGATGAATCAAGGAGGATGAGGAGACCCCAAGTTGATTTAAGCGCGCTCCGACAAATGTACACGCGTCAGTGCCCACCGTGAGCAGATTCATAATCTGAACCAGATGGTACGCTCATAACGATCATTTATATAGAAAATTACAACATCACTTGGCTGATGATGTAACTTATAACAAGCCGTACACCCGCTGTGCAATGGATGCCGCCTGCCACCGGAGGCCGCCCCCTTACATTGAGCGACTTTCGTCAGACAAAAAGCCTAACGCATACACGGCATAACCTAGGCGAGAACTCTTGACGGAACTTTGGTATATTAATGACAACCTTATGGCATACGTTGCAACGTGAGTTGTTTCTGAACACGCGCAGGGCAGCACTGATTGACCCCCTCAGTTCCATCCTGCCCAGGCTATGATAGATCTATAAAGATGTATGGGTATGTTGGGTATTAAAAAAAATGAGTTAGTAAGCTCTTTGATTGATTCAAATTTTCGTCAAGATATTTTACCTTTGTCATTTGAGTTTTCAATAGCCATTGATCGCTTGACATGACTTGGATTATATGATACTGAAAAACGTTGAATTTAGTATACGTTCATTACATCATAGCAAAGGAAAAGAAATTGGACTTGCCTTTGAACCAAATGGTGTACCGGAAAAAAAAAGATGAATACGGAACACAGGTAAGCTTCTTTTCGATGCGGAAAATAGAATTGCTTCCAGTGACGGTTAAGTGATAGATCGGTGGTGTCAGCTTGAGCAGGCAAAAAATATTGACGTGGCCAGAAGTGACGGTAATTTCGAGTTGGATTCCAGATATCGAGAGTCCCCCGAATAAAAAGAAAGAAAAACAAATAAAGTACATACTGATAAAAAAAAACAATGGTCGCGGTCAGTAAAAACCTCATAAAAACCCTGTGGGAAAAAAAAAGAGGAAACGACTGCAAAAAGAATATGTACATGAAGTGGTTGCTGATACGACTGGCGTTCTTCTGTAGCATCATTCAATTCGTTTTTTTTTGTCAGTTATACTATATATGTCCTTTCATTCTCTTTCAATTTTCAATGAATCGAATAATACATAAGCAGACGTGCTTCGATCTATGAATTCATGCATCAGTCGGGTGACTATTGTTTCATCCATGGAAAACCATATATTTTTGTCTTCAATTTTATCTTCTTTCTTTTCTCTCTCTTGATAAACCCTCACTATCATTGTATCAAGATCCCATCCGCATCCATCATCCAGACCATTCTTATCCCGTGTATCTAACTTGGTTAAATCGACTACCATCCTCAAAAATGTAAGCCCTCGAGTGGTCTACCATCGATTTTGCTCCGGCAAAACAGACTTACCTCTCCTTTTTTTCTATCCTTCTTCCAGCTCCCGGTTTTCTCCGTTTTCTTTTCACCTAACAAGTTCTGTATGCTACAACTTGACTTTCTCTCCCCATCCATCTGGCGAAACGGATGATGTCAAAGGCCATCGTCGGTGGTGTGACTCTCTTTTTCATCGGCAACGCTTACGCGTCCTCCTCAGCTTGGCTTCACCTGGATTACTTCCCGTGGTATCGTCTTCGATATTTCTTCTCAACCATTTTATTTCGTAGTTTGTAGTTTGTATATTTGTGTTTTAGTTATAGTCTTCTTGCACTCTTTTCCTCCTTTTTTTTCCCACAGGGTTTTTAGAGGGTTTTTACAGACGCACCTATTGTATTTACTTTTTTTTATATATTTGTATCGTTTCTTTTTTTTCGGTCGGGAAGCTCTGGATATCTGCTGCCTCACACAACAAAGGTAAAATATCTTGACGGCATTTGAATCAATAAAAGAGCTTACTAACTCATTTTTTTTTAAAATACCCAATAAACTTGGGCGGGACGGGACTGAGGGGGTCAATAAGTGCTGCTGCACACATGTTTGGAAATCATGACTGTACGGTATGCCAGAGTATTGACATTAATATACCAAAGTTTCATTAAGAGTCTCGCCCAGGTTATGCCGTATGCGTTAGGCTTTTGTCTGACGAATGTCGCTCAATGTAAGGGGGTGACGTCCAGTAGCAGGCGGCATCCATTGCACAGCGGGTGTACGGCTTGTTAATACACACTATCAAAATATCAATATCCATATCACAATATCAAAGTATCAATAGCAATTTTCCACAAAAGTACAACACCTATCAACAGTTTGACCAACTGATCCATGCTACCAACAATGTGTTCTGTACAGGCAAAGTAAGTTATTCAAAAGGAGGAAGAAAAGTTTCAGGGACATGCATAACAGCAGCGCACGGTTTTTCTCGTAACAATATAAATATCAGTAGAGTAGGAAGACTATTACGGGAGGAGGGTGAGGTAGTACGAGAAAATACGCGGAAGAGGACACAAAGATGAGGAAGGCGGAACGATTAACGATTAAAAATTGGTATCGATGTTCATCATGGTTTCTGCAATGGGCATGTTTTTGAGGGATCGATTGCCAAAATCAAAATTGTGAATCTCCATGACCGTTTTCACGCCTTCGGCTTCGGGTGATCTCCGTCGTTGCATCAGGACAACGGCTTTGGTTTCGGTGAACTGGATTTTCCATACCGTTTTCGCAGGCTGGGTGAGGGTGCGTATTAACTTTCCTTGCTTCATGTCCCACAGTTTGATGCGGCCATCGTTGCCAGCGCTGACCAGACGACGATCATCAAATTGAAGGCAAGTCACCGAGTTATCGTGGGCAGAAATCTGCTGCACGCATTCATACCGCTGAAGGTCCCATATGCGGAGACATCCATCCGAACCGCCGCTCGTCAACACATTGCCGGATAGCTGTAGTTGTCCTACCAAAGAAGTGTGCCCATATAGCGTGGCAAGACATTGGCCCGTTTCCACCGACCACACGCGAATATGGGACCCGAGTGATCCCGTAACGACCCTGTATCCATCGGTCACGATAGCATAAATCTGGGACAGATGGCCCACCAGCACATGTCGACACTGGCCCGTCGTCAAATCCCATATACGTGCTGTTGAATCGTACGAGCCGGAAACGACCAAATCCCCCGCAATATCGAGACATCGAACGCTGGACTGATGACCGAGGAAAACGTGCAGCAGATTGCCGTTTTGAATATCCCAGGCTCGCAACGTGGTATCGCGTGAACCGGTCACCGCAATTCGCTTGTCCTTCATCTTTAGGCATCGCACCGTTGACGTGTGGCCTGAAAGAACATGCCGTAATCGACCGGTATTTAAGTCCCACACACGCACGTCCCTAAAATAAAAGTTGAATCATGAGCTATCCCCGCCGCAGACAATGAAAATAACAAGGAACACTGCGTATTGGGCATTTCGTTACCTATCGCAACCACCAGACACCAGTGTCCTTTCGGGATCCTGTGATGTGCCTCCCATGAACTGAAGAGCCCAGACGCCTCCCTCGTGGCCGGTTAACGTCCGTACTTTATGTCCTGTATTGGTATCAAAAACTTCGATTCGATGGTTATCGCAACCGACGACGATGAATTTCTCATCAAATTGAAGCGATGTGACGAGTCCATCGGCAAATCCTTCTTCAACGACTTTGACTTGGCCTCCTTGAGCCCATGCGGCTGCGATGTTGTATTTTCGTTTAAAGTATTCTCGGTAGGAAAAGCTGCGTCGTTTGGAGGGGGGATTTGTAAGTTCGCCTCCGCATATGCTCGAATTGCGTCGTCGGTAACGGTGTTTCATACACAGCGCTTTCCAGGTCGCTTCATCACGAAGCAGGGAGTTCCAGAATGTAGAGACACAAGCGATCCGACCGAGAGTTTTCGGATCGTCAATAAAGGACAGAATGTGGAGGGATATTTCGATGGGTAACTCCTTTAAAAAGTCGACCTTTAACCGAGGAGCAATAAGACTGTTGATGTACACAAGTTGCGAGTTATCACAGCAATTGATGATCTCGCCGAGCAAGAACTGTTTTTCTCTGGAAGACAATTGCTGAAAAGATGTTTTCAAATGACAAAAGAGATCCATTTCTTCCGGATTGAAGCTATGCATGGTATGTTCCATGTTGGAAATGGACGACAGTGATCGTTGATGGTGACCTGATCCCGTGGCTACATAGCTCGGTGGAGTGGCAGGAGGTGAAATATCTTCAGAGTGGTCAATGTCCATCATTTATACTAGGTGAATAGAAAAAGCAATAAAGAACTATCAAAGAAAACAAAAAATGCTGGTCCAAAGAAAATAGAACCAACGGAGAACCTTCCACAAAGAAAAAGTGCAGTTTCCTTAGTTACAGCCTTGCCGGAAATGGAAATGTTTTCAGAATGATGCTTGAAAAAAAAATCGATGAGTCCGGCGGGCTTTCCCTGATATTGCAGCAGGGAGCTTCATTTTACATCATTCACATAATATCATCCTCATTAGGCTTTTCTTTTTTTTTTCTCTTTTTTGATCTATTTATTGTGGGCGTCCGTGTTAAAGACCTTCTAAACGGCCTTTTGAACGGAGTCCACAATCACAAAAAATAGTGTGGGGCGTTGGAAAATCGGTCTTTGATTTGTTGATGGAAAGAAAAAAGGTTGGTCTGCTTTGATTCAATGAAGGGGATCACCCTGTTGAACGAAGCATAAAACCTGGGCAGTAGATTGATGAGACTATTTTTAAAAGCACATGGCTTGGTCAAAGGTATTTTATTCATTTATAGGAAGCTGTCCAATTTCATTGGACAGATTGATTTTACACTTTATACAATAGATCGACACATCCTTTTGAATTTTGAGAATACGTATCGATGGGAATACAGTTGGTTTAGACGAATGATAAACCCTCCTCATTAATCAAAATCCCAAAGTCCAACTTCAAAGACAAAAGGCAAAGTGCGAGAGCGCTCGGCCTTTAAAACTCCTTCATTGAGCAGCCTTCACGTCTGCAGCCTCATGATTGTGTCTTTGTGTCTGTTCCTCTTTTCTTATATGTGTGTTTTAACAGACACTGGAGCCATTGTTTCCTTTCAGAAGTTCCAACGGCGATAATCCATCATCATATATCACGCCTGAGCTCGGCAGATTCCAAAATTACTCGTTGGTCTGGCCAATGTACCATCATACGTCTTGGCCTGGCATTTCAGCTTTTCAGCTCGAACCAAATGAACCTCTTCTGAATTTTGTAATCTCATTCGAATGAGAACATAAGCTTCCTTTCCCGATAAAGATCACTAATTTTGAGTGTAGTAGGAGGGCGAGCTATATCAAAGATAACAAGCAAAGAGTGCAGACGGGCCAAACCACGAAATTGAGTTCGGGCTGTGACGCAATTTTGGGAGCTCGGGTGCGGATATGAAACTTGAGCTCCTCTGTTCACGTCTTGGGATTTTTTTTTTCTTTTCCAGACACTTTGCGTCTTTGCAAACCTACTTTATTTCGGTAAGAATATCACGGTTCATTCGTTTCTTGCTCCGTCTTTTATCTTTATCGGTTCGCTGCAACATATAGTCTAACCTCCTCTTTTTATCCACTTATCTTTTCTCTTGTCAATTTAATAGCAGCTTGACACAATGACCTCCGTGAGACCTCTTAACGATGACGAAGTCTTCAACGAGATGAAGAAGATGGTACTGACGTGACATCCTTATTTGCCTTGTTTTTCAAATTAGCTGCTTACACTTGTCACTTGTTTTACCTGTAGGTGGCCTTCATTAAGCAAGAAGCGCTGGAGAAGGCACGAGAAATTAAAGTCAAGGCAAGTCAAATGACAAACGAGGTTCCGTTATGCACTCCAAGACTCACTAATTCCCTTTTTCCTTTCATTAGGCTGACGAAGAATTCAACATTGAAAAGGTAGATTGAGAAATGTCTCTTCAACTGTGGATATGACAAGTGTGCTTAACCTTATTTTTTTTTTCTTCTTCTCTCCAAGGCTAAAATCGTGCGCCAAGAATCCTTGAATATCGAAGCTGTTTTTGAACGTAAAATAAAGCAAGCCGAAGTTCAGAAGCGCATGTAAATATTCTCGGGAAACCGGTACGATGGTCAAGAAGAAAAAAAATGGACTAATGGTTGCTTTTGTTTTATCGTAGCGCACAATCCAACCACATCAACAAGGCTCGTCTCAGAATCCTTCAGCAGCGTCAGCAAGGTCTCGATGATCTTTTTGAGGAAACCAACAGCCGTATTCACGAGATTCATAAGGATGAAGAGAAATATGCCACCTTATTAGAAAATCTTTTGCTTCAGGGCGCTTATACCCTTATGGAACCGGAAATGGCCGTGACATGCCGTGAAGCCGATGTTGACAATGTACGATTTGCCGCTGAAGCTGTGTCTCAAAAATACGAGCAAACCCTCGGTCAGCCTGTAACCATTACCGTCAACGAAGATTACCTTCCCGCATCCAGGTAGGTTTTTTTAAACTTCCGCATCGAAAGAGTTCCCGTGAAAAGAGGCAACTGACCATTTTCCGTCTTGCTCAGTGCTGGTGGTGTCATCGTCACCGGATTAAATGGAAAGATTGTCGTTGACAATACGCTGGAAGCTCGTTTAAATATCGTCAAAGAAGAGGTAAAAACTCGCAAATTCCTTTTTTTTTTGAGAGAGATTTCTCCGTGTGTCATGTTCTGTAACACTGTTTATATTATCCTAGATGTTGCCTCAAGTTCGTGTCATCTTGTTTGGCCATTCGCCCAACCGAAAGTTCTTCAACTAGATATTCTCTTGCAATATCTGAAGACTGTTTTTCCTATTTGAAGCAAATAAATATACAAGACGTGAACTTTCGGTTCATGGTCTTGTTTATATCCACAGATGTGTTTCCTTTGACTATTAGACGAAACGGCGGCGGATGAACGTGCATGGACTTGTCAGTTTTGGATCCAGGTCAGCGCTGTATGATGTGGCACACTGTCCTTTTTTTAAAATCGCATATGGCGGAACACTATGCGCGACATGGATGCAGAGAAAGGTTGGAACAGGCTATAAAACAATTTTATAAAATAACGGGTGTAGTAAATAAATACAGAGGCGCAAGGTGATTATATTACAAGATGTGAAAAAGCGATAAAATGTGGCGACAACAATTTGGCGGACATATCAAATGATCAAAGAGCTACTCACGATTTCGTTCAGGTGACCACCGTTTGAAAATGACTTCTCGAACCTTGTATTCACGTAGAATATTTGGATTGGAAACATCGTAAACCGATGGGGTGGTGGGATGGATGATATAACACAGTATCAGTGTCTTCTTTACCTGGGAACAGATACGATTTGAAGCAAGAAGCGCTTTCCAGCTTTGAAGTTGACGGTTCTGGTCTGATAATACAATCACAGCAAAATCGGCGTGGTAGAATTTCGGCCCTCTACGATACATGACTTTTTTTTTGTACATGCTGTTTTAGTGGCCTTTCTCTCTTCTACGCGACCATTGACTTTACATACCGAAATCCACCCCGAATTTGGTACCTGCTTTGGGAATCCAGCCCAAGCTGCGGTAGTAGTGATACGCGGTATATTTTAAAACAAACTCGTTGTCCGTGGCGTGCGAGAAGAGATTGAGCATTAGATCTTGATGCCGCGTGTTGTATAACTGACAGAAAAGGGTCCAGCAAGCATCAACCGAGAGTCGTTGCTTTGATGTGAAATTAGTCTACGCAGACCCAATCGAGACAGAGGTGACATGGATGGGAACTTACTCGTTCCGCTGTATAGATCTCGAGAGCATTTAATCCATACAGCAAAAAGAAGGCTTCAAATAAATCCAACTGAAGACTTTCGTGATCTTTTTCCGTGCCAATGCACGCCAACAGTTCATCCGTATCCCACACATCATTTGCTTCATTCCTGTCATCGTCCGACGCCTTGATCAACCCTTTTTTCTGCTTCGACTGTTGTCGTCGTTGCATTCTTCTCTGATTGGTGATATTCTCTACATATGTTTTTTTATCAGGCGCTGTTTTGGGTTAGCGATAACTTAGGGAGAGCCAGTTGGCTGGATCGCTTACACTGATCATCGGCGTTCTTGATCATTCGCGCTGCCCAGGTCGGTTCACTTCTTGAAAGAGTGCCTTTACCAAAAACGCCCATACTATGGAGATCTGCGGCATGTTCAGTGTGCTCAATCCATACAAATCGACCGAATTCCACCAATACACCGATGCGTCGCGGGTGTCCTGTGAAAAATGCCGATTTCAGCCGAAGCACCTTTTCCCGTAACCATGAGAAATGGCGCGTCGTGTCCCCGAGTAGAAGAGGTAAAGGAGCAGATGAAATTGAAGCACTATTCCAATTGCGTTTATTGATACTCATTGCATCCGTGTAATCTCTGCTCGTTAATTAATAGATCTTTCCTGCCGAATAAGAGAAAACAAAAAATAAAAAATGAAAAAGTCGGCCCGAAAACGACTGTCAAAAAAGGGCAATAAAAAATGATACTTGCGGATCACAAAAAGCGCGTCTACCATTTTCATGCATCTTTCAAAGCATATTAGAAGGTGCTCTCCCGAGTTATTCCACAATTTTTGCTTCATGGAAACATAAGAAAAACACACAATCTGGCATATGTAGGTGCATGAAAACAGGGGGCAAATGCTACTGTAAACTGCTGCGCATCGATCGATGCAGCGTGGTGAAGGCCCTACCTCGTCATTTCTCAGACTACTCTACGAGCTTAAAGAATTGCCGTGTATTTTGTAAGCCAGAGATATCTAAACATGAGACGAATCCTTGACACGGTTGATGAAGGATGACTTGAAAAAATTCATAGGAGGGAAGCAACAGGCAAATGAGCCATGGACAGCAAATGTGGTACGTGAGGGGAATACCCTAGTGATTACTGTCGTCTCTGTGCATCTATGTGGGTCTACGTTATTCAAGAGGAGACAAGGATCTCGTAAATGGCAATATATGCTCTGTGGGTTTGTGGCAATAATGATGGATTTTTCATCACCGTGAGTTTAACGAATAAACATAATTTTAATTTTTCCAATACGGGTGGACAACAACACCTTTCGGTAGAACAGTAAGCTTTTTATATTTGATTAAAAAAAACACATCGGTCTCCTATGCCCTTAACTCAAGCCCCATCCCCATCATCGAAGGCAAGAAAGATTATCTTTGGTTCACCATCTGGAGGAATCAAACGATTGTTCATTCATATGAAAGAACCAAAGATCTGACCAATCAGGGCTTCCACATGCAGAATCTCAATGACCCTAGTGCAGCCAACTAAATGAAGAAATGCTTATATCGCTGCCAAATGGGTCTGCCTTCAACAGTAAGCTGGATTGGATCATAATTCTTTGGTGTAACCATTGAGTCGTGCCATGGTTATGCCCAATGTGTGGCGGGTGGAGTCATCAATGCGAGAGGGAGAGGTGCTTGACATAGGGCCACGCGTTTTTGTGATCCTACCGTTTTTCCAGGAGACATTCTGATCATGGCTGAGAATTACGGGGTGGAGAAGAAAAAAAAAGCAGCCTATCCAGTTGTTCATCTCAAAACTTTCCCCTTTCACCTCCCCTCACTCCCTGTGTCTTTTGAATAAGGGGAGAAGGTGGATGAGGGAACCCACCGTTTGGATAAAATAATACTATCAGGATGTCACAGTCAAATGTGCATGTTAAGCATGCCAAAATAGAATAGCATGCTGTTTGTTCACAGACATTGATATACATCAGACCGCCTATCTTGTGCATACCACGCATTGAAAGATACGATTGCTGATGATCCATATCTTTTTTTTGATATTTTTCTATTTTGTTTGAATTGGACATCATTCTGTTCTGTCCTTTTTCTTCCCGTGTTTCCGATTCCTTTTTTTTTATTTTTTGCTGCTCGTGCACTTCAAGGCATCTATTTCATTCAAGGGTGAAAAACTACATGAAAAAAGGGCTGATTAGGTGAATCGACTGAAAAAGGAGATGAATCGTTGTTTGCAACAACGATGATGTTTTTGATACCCTGAGACGTGACAATGCGAGCATTTTCCGCTGCTCGTGGCGGGTTTTCTTTTCTGCCCCTTGCACATCTATCCATTTTGAGCGGGCTTGTCATGGATCGACAGCCAACCCGGACAAAAAAAAAGCAATATGTTGTTCTTTTGTTATTTGTTTTTTATGCTTATTTGTATTACCCGCGCTTTAATCCAGACACTGGAAAACAAATCTTTAATAAAAATGGAAGAAAAAACAAAAAGGTTGATATGGCAGTGTCATTAGCTGCATGTGGTGTGAGATATGGTTGATCACGATTGACGTGCGGGATGATGGGCTGCACATTGCTGGATGGTACTGTTCTCCCCCTTTTGTTCTGTTTTTGTTCGGCATCACCCTTCCCTCGTTGTCTCTGTGCCTTTGGATCGATGCATTGACCACGGGCCAAGCGATCTTGTCTAACTTTATCTCCCGTCATGGTCAGTTCTTTTTCTCATCGTCCCTTTTTCCACCGATAATACCTTGTCGTACCCATCAGACGTCTCCCTATTCGTTTGATAAAATAAATCTTCCCTGAGAGACATGGATACTGTTCATGCACCTTGTGAAATGCTGCTACACAACCGTGTGACTGTATACTTTGTGGCATCACAGAACGCCGATGAACTATCTCTAGTTATTCTTTGCAACTGAATTAAACAAAAACAAAAAAAAAGATTAAAAGTACACGTCATGGTCCCCATTCTTCCGTACGTAGGCTTTCAATGTCATGTACTGTTGAGTGTCTCTTGTCTCCTTTAAGCCCCTATCATCACTGGAATTTTGTCTCTCTCTTTTCACTCTCTCTCTCTATCACTCTCACCCACTCACTCACTCACTCTCCTCCTCCCTCTCTCTTTTTTTTTATTACTATTTCTCGGGTCAGATTCCGATCCTGGCATATATAAGCACGATTGCGTATGTAATCAAGTTCAATTTAACATTCTTTTTTATTATATTATTGCTTTTTTTTCATACTCCTTTGTTACTTTTTTTTCTGGCTTTTTTGACCACTCTAATCGATAATTTTGCAAAAAATGACACCGCATACGATCATGCAGCCTTTTGAACAGTCGTTTACTATTCCTTCGTCTACTCATTCCTTATACAATACCACGTCCCCCTCCTCTGCCCACACCGATGCTAACCCGTATCTCATCAATAATTTCCATCCTTACCCGCAAACCGATTTTCGTCCAACCTTTTATAATCCTTTTGAGATAAAACATCGGCGTCGAACGTCGCGAGCTCAGCTCAAAGTGTTGGAAAAATCGTTTTCTGAAAATGCCAAGCCCAACGCAACTATTCGCCGTATTCTCGCTCAGAAACTCGATATGACGCCACGCGGTGTGCAGATTTGGTTCCAAAACCGTCGTGCCAAAGCGAAATTGCAACGGCGAAAATCCAACAACAAGCACGAGGAAGAAACGGGGAAAATGATCAGCGACGTTCATCATCAGGCTCAGCAAGACTGCATGAATAGCGGTGCGGGTGGTGAAATCAACCAGTCGTCCGTGCTGTTTTCCCAATTCTTTGCGAATACCCAGCCATTGCAAGAAGAAAAGCGACACGACTTTATCAGCTCACTATCGTCGTGCGATCATGCCAATGACGGATTCAAATTACCCAACCACACCTACCCTAATAAGTCTTCGCCTCCGTTGGAAACGAACTCTCACTGCTGGGAGCAACAAATGTTCATGCACCAAGTCAATGAAAACGCCCGTGCTGTGGCAGCTGCAGCTGCAGCTTCCTGTTACATGGGACCTCTCAAGGCCGCATCTGATCACCACCAAGACCACCAAGACCACCACCACCAACCCGCCTTTTTCAATATGGACAACCACTGGCTTGCCATGCCCATTGATTCACTGGGCAACCCATCTACTGCCGAATCTGCTGCCATGTTTGACGAATGGCGCCGCAAATCATGCCCTGAATTATCAACTCAACAGCAGCACTCTGACTACCTTTCCCAGTCATCCAGCGGCAAAACATGCTCCTCCACTTTTGCATCGCAGGTATAATAATGGATACTTTTACTCTACAGAGCCTGTGGAATGTTCTAATGCAAAGTATTTATAGCATTCGCTGAAAGAACGGCGTTTATCTGAACCGGTGATGACGGCAACTGGGCATATTTTCATTGGCGAGAGTGAAGGCAGACTACAATGCAACAACAGCAATCATAATATGAGAAGCAACAGTCATCACAACGATCACGGCAGCAGCGCTCCAGGATCGTATCGAGCTGTTTCCCTGAGTTCGACTGCTTTATGCTCTCCGTTACCTGACCATCATACATCGCAGGCCACCCCACTTGATTTTTACTATCCCATTCAAGCATCTCAATTCCAGTGCTCCCCCGATTCTCAGCCTCAGTTGACACCACTGCTTTCCAATGGATTTGGATCTCCCGTTTCGCTGGACGGTTATTGCGAACGTACCGCCTCCGACTGTCTTAATTTGATGTCTCCTTCCGATACATTATTGACGACGAATGTCGTTTAATCATTTTTTTTTTCTTGGTTTTGATTGTTTCTTGTTTTTCTAAACTTTTTTTTCTTACGTGTTTCCCCTTCATTCATCTTTTGCATATATTTCATCTTCATATTTTATATCTCTTCCAATCTCACGAATTTTTCTATCTTCTCCGTGTTTAATTTAATGTTCAACATCTCATCTTTCTCTTTTCTATCCCCATTGATTCCCATTTATCTATGTAACTAAATTTGGCATTCCAAATTATGCTCGTTTTGGAGAAATGCCGTTTTATGAGCCTTTTTTCCTTTTTTTTTTTCAATCATATACGAGCATTTGTCCAATCATGATTTCACTTTTTTTTTATGCAGCCGTGTCTGTTTTTTGCTAAAACTTGTTCCAGTCTACCCCTCCTGCTTTCCAATTTCCCTTAAAGAATAATTTGACCATCCATATGCTCCTACTTCCTAGAGATGCCACATGTACTTTATTGAATGAAACAAAAAAAAAAAAGATTTTGTGTGCTTGCAAGGTATCATTATTTACTATCTGGAAAATTTAAAAAGGAAAGCAATATTTACATTGGGGAGTTTTCAACGTATACAAAATTTCATGTAGAAAGGGAAAGTTAGGGGAATTCTCGTTTATAAAACCGTGGATCGTGCATAAAATAGATTGTATGCTGCTGAACTCTATCCAACAATTGTCTTTTGAGAAACACACGAGGCATGTCATAAATCGAGTGTTCGACGACTTACCACGACTTTGTTCTTGTCACATGGAGAGGCAAAATTGTCATCAAAATGATACCAATGCCCATCATGGCTATTATGCACATAGGCCGTATCTGGGAGAATAGATCTTTTTAGTTTATATGTCTTTCACCTCCGCAATGATATAAACCAACTTACAATGTCCTTCATTCAGCGATCCACAATGGTTCTATAATTGTCACTTTTGTTCAGCGAAGATGAAAAAAGGAGTATGCGAACGTGATACTTACGGAGACGGCATACAGATTGTACACAAAAGAAGGACGGTTGCCAGAGTTCTGACCTGGAGGTAGCATACCATCGGGAATATAGCCTGACAAGTCAAGATTTCTACAACCCATGTTAGCCAAACGATGACAGATGGTAGATGAGTATCATCATTTTACTTTAAAGGGAATTGGATGACGGAGTCGACCTTGCTCCGATAGGGTCCGTCGGATGAAAACCGTTTCAGATGGATCAATAGAATATCTGGCAAATGAGCCATGGTTAACTGCTTCGTAGCACGCCGTAGTTTATCACATTTTGGACATCGCCTGTGAATCACGTCATGCATTAAAATCATCGTTGAGCGTTTATGTTTCTTTTGTTATTCAACTTACCATGCATCGTTTTTCTTCAAGGTTTCTTCTTTCACGAACAGATCAAAGCATTCGTAGATATTAATGTGGGACAGCCGCATTTTCTTGTTTGGAATGGGAAGCGATAGAGACATGAACGGGTTGTAGGTTGTCGAAGTCTATCATTTCGGGCCATCAGTTTTCTACGTCATCTATATTCGCATACATTCCTTCTTACATGTTTGCAACTGAGACAAGTCAATCGACTGCGGTATTGCCCTTGAAACAAGTTGACAATGATACTCGTATTACGCGCCAGATATTTTTCCCAGGCAAGAGCCCTCGCTTGCCAGTCGGATACATTGTCATCCGTCTCTTTTGTACACAAGTCATCCACCGGTGCATTTCTGGAAACCATATTAAGATCTTCATGCAGACCATCCAAAAGACAGGTCAGGAACTCTTGCGAATCATGCTGATTTCCGTCAGCAAATTGGGTGGCAAAACGAGTAACAATTTGCTACAAATAAAAAAGAGTATTTTTAATTATTTTCTCTTTGATCTCTTTACTGTCTATGGCATGCACGGACGAGAACACAGACTTACATGGAACGATAAAGGGGACAAAGAGCTGTATTGCCTACTCCACATGGCACGCAACAGTTGGGCAAACACTTCTGCTAATGCCCCGCCTGAGCCCAGCCGATTGTTTCGATTGATGGATTTCGCGTAGTGTCCCGCTTATAATATATTTTAGTAAAAGAACATGCATACTATATGTGTAATGAATAGCTTACAGATGAAAAAAGATGCCAAGGGAACCGTGCCGCTCAGACATTGAAGGATCGAGTTCATGTAGCAGGTGTTGCCTAAATTTTTTAGGCCGGTGATGCCGATACAGCTCTTATCGAAACGCAGCAAGTCTGAACCAACGTGTTTTTGACTGTTCATCGCTTTTTGTGCCACCGGCGTTACTGGAGTCATTGGCAAATGATTTTGTGTATTGGCGGACGACAATGAACCATTCGCTTTTGCTGAAGATCCAGTGCCGTTACTTGCTGGTACTGTGGGGCCTGAAGATTGCTTGTGTCGACTATTATACATATCAAACAGCTGTTGTTGTGACTGACTTATGGACGAAGCATGAGATGATCTATGAGAAGGAGCTTTCTTTAGGCAAAAAGAAAAGAAAAAAGAGTCAGCAAGGATAGGTGATACACGGTCAGTGATAGTAACCTACATTCTCTAAGGATCGATGAGGGGCATTGGCACCCGAGGGAGTCTCTTGCGTGTTTGGAAACCGGTAGATACCGCGTTCACCAATGGTGGTTTCCCAAGCTTGGAACCCTCCCGCTAGCATCACAGGAGGCCTTGTCAGCGGTGCCCCATCGTTGACCAAAGCTTTGACAAGGTGATGCAAGGACGGGTGGGCTTCGCGAAGCGTCACGGCACTCTGATCGTAATACACAACAATTTCAAACTGATGGCGTTGTGCAAATAATGACTTTTCGATTTCGGGGTTGGCGTGAAGAGAATGGCTGATCGTTTGCGCATTGATCCTGAGAGAGTAAGAAATGATGAGTCGAAAAGTTGGCATAACATCCATCCGTTTCTGATGCAAGTTACCCAGGTTGGAGAATCGATGGATCTATTTGGACAAGCCATTCATGGCGAATACAGCCTTTTCTGAAACTCAGTCGTGGTCGAACGTCCAAGATGAGGACACTAAAGGGGCTATTTTTGCTGGTAATCCATTTGGCCAACTTCAATGGGTGTACAATCGGTTCTTGCGGGTGACCCTGCGTATCGGAGAAAGCACTGGAGTAGGAAGCCTTTGAAGTTGGAGGAGGGTCTGTTCTTCGTTGATGGGGTGTCGGGACCTGCCCTGTTTGCCTGAACGGATTGTTACTGAAAGGTAGTGATGGTTGCGCATAAGGTCCCCTGCTGCATGCATGAGCCATTTCCAATTGGCGGGCAATCTCTTGGAGGAGATAGAAAATACGATCATTTGTCAACTACATAGCTGGCGCATTAATACTTGCTGATTTTTGAGTGGCCGTGAAGATGATCAGGGTTGCAAACCGTACCTGTTTCAGGTAAACGTAGGCTGGATCGAACCGAATAGCCTGGTATCCTGGATGTCGTTTGACAATTTCTGCCATGATACTAATTCACATACGAAGGTTAACCAATATTTCGATTGTCCACTCCAATAATCAGGTGAGCATTCTTGGCGTTACCTGCAACCCCTCATAAAAGCGATATAAGCTTTTTCTAGTTCGCCATTCCTCCATTCCCACTCGCCCTAGAATTAGGTTAGTAGGTTGAGATCGGCAATGCCACGGTACGGATCAATTACCTCTGTGTAGAGTCTTTCAATGGTGACTATCCAGTGGTGGACGGGGTAGGTATGACTGTCGGTTGGATCGACCATGGCTCGTTCACGGAGGTCCCTGATGTAGTCTGGATTGCTTGTCATCTTTTTCGGCGATCTCAAGCACTGAATGTGAGAATCAACGTGGGACTGTGACATGGCCACTACGACGAGCTGGCTTGTTTGCTGCGACAATACGGCTGGATCTCAGCTGAACGGGGAAAGAAAAAATAAGGAAGCTGTACTTCTTTTGGAAACTCCAGAAAAAAAAGTGCAAGAAAAAAAAAGGAAAAAAAAGAAAATCAAGCGCACCGGAACCATGGTTTCTCAATGATTTTTTTTTCAAAGCGGATGGTTTCAAATAATAACAACAGTAACGCATTTGCAGATGTGTCGGATTTCAGGTCATTTTCATTGTTACTTGAAAAATCCTAAAGTGTGCGTGCACACACAGGACACAATAAATACGTCGGCAATGTCACCCAAGCTTCCATTTTAGGATAATGTCGGTTAACATGAACATGCAAAAAAGTGAGATTTTGCATCTCCCCGCTACTATTATCCAATGATCCACTGTGTTCGTATAAAACTCAATTGTGTGTCAACATTATGATACATTATTGTATGCACTGTGTGCTAGGCTAGCGTCACCTTGCCAGCTAATAGGCCGCATTCTATCGTCCTCGCTGAGCTAAGCGTAAACGATGCTCGAGATACAGCCACATGGCGAATGCATGTATTATCACAACGTGCACATAAACCGCTCAAGTTCAGCAACATAAAATACAAGTCATTCCCTTCGGTTTACAGTAAGAATGTACAGCTAAATCGTGAATGCAAAACGAATGAGGTGGATGGAGCACCCACACACAAAAAATAGGCCTTCACGATCGCTTCATTAGCGGACCATCGGTCATGGGAAACTTTGATGTCAAAAACTAGTCAAACCGCTAGTATGAAGCCAAGGTTGAAACAGTGGCGCAAGAATGGGTCTAAAGCATGAATGCCAAATGCAGGCTACGCTGTTTGAATTGGGTGGTCTTTTTTTGGTGCCCTAAAGGCGGAGATAGAGACCGGGGATCTGACCTCGTGCTGATTTCTCTTTTTTCTTTTCGTCTCTCTCTTCTTTTTTTCAACTTGCAGAAACAGTAAAACTACTTATTGTTCATCTTCATCCCTTGATTCACCTTTTTCCTTCTCTAACCTCATCTCGCCAAAAAAGCAAAAAAAAGGTTCGTTTCCCTCATCTTTTCTCTGTACACTTCCTGCTGCTCCATAACAACTCCATGGGCGTTGCGCTGCCGTAGTACCATATACTCTCCTTCCCTTTTAGTGTTCTTGCGGAAAGCCCATGGTGCTCTTGCGTTTGGCACTGGCTTTTTTTTCTGGGAACATAAAGACTCGTATATGATCGATATATCTCTGTCAAGAGAAACCGCCCGTTTGCAGTGTCTTTTGGTGTTCCTGATCCACTTTTTTATATATTCCTTTTCCATTCTTTGAGCGGGTGTACTTATCGAGAAACTGCTTTTTCATTTCAGGATAAATGAGCGAAATCAGAAGAAAGCTTGTCATTGTCGGTGACGGTGCGTGCGGCAAAACCTGTTTATTGATTGTTTTTTCGAGAGGCACGTTCCCACACGTAAGTCCAAGATGGAATGATCATGCTACTATGGAGATGAAAAAAAATGGGCTGGATGGCATGGCATGGCGGAGTTCCCGAAAAAGCGAAAAGAGGCGCAGGCAATAAATGGGTTTGGTGATTATTTTTTTATTCATATTGGCAACCGTCTTAGGAATACATTCCTACTGTCTTTGAAAACTATGTGGCCGACGTGGAAGTGGACGGCAAGAAAGTGGAACTGGCACTCTGGGATACAGCAGGTAAAAACCTCTTTCCATCTTTTTTATATTGAGGACGAAAATGTCAGCCATCCAACCATAATGAATACCTTATCTGTAGGACAGGAGGATTACGATCGACTTCGCCCCTTATCTTACCCCGATTCCCATGTGATACTTATTTGTTTTGCCGTCGACTCGCCCGATTCTCTGGATAACGTACAAGAAAAGGTTTGTTAATTATTTTGAAAGTCTTTTTTTCTTTTTTCGTCTTATTGTGCATGGCCATGTTAACCGGGTCATCATTAGTGGATCTCCGAAGTGTTGCATTTCTGTCAAGGTCTGCCCATCATTCTAGTCGCATGCAAGAAAGATTTACGCAACGACCCGCAAAAGATTGAAGAGTTGCGACGAACTTCTCAGCGACCGGTCACTTATGAGGAGGTATGTATTGAAGGTTTACAGCATATCTCGCATTCGATTTCATGTTATTTATTCGCTGTCAACAAAAAAAAAAAAAATGATGCAGGGTTTGGCTGTTGCGCAGAAAATCGGTGCTTACAAATATTTGGAGTGTTCTGCGAAAAACAATGATGGTGTCCGTGAAGTGTTTGAGCACGCTACACGCGCCGCCCTGATCGCCAACAAGGGAAGCGGTAAAGGCAAGAAGAAGTGCTGTATCCTGTAATCGCATATCCATGATTTCTCTCCGTCGTTGTTTCTTATGTTTGTTGGAAGCACCGGTTTTTCCCTAGTTTTGTTGTTGTTGTCGTTGCCCAAATACCACTTGTTGTCTTTTTTGCTCTTTTGACAAATACAAATATTTTTATGTTTTGATCCCTTAGCCGCCTTTTACCCGTCCTTGGCACAATTTAATTGAAAAAAAAAAATTCGGCAAAACTTAAAAAAGTTGGTTAATAAAATGATGTTGAAAGCAAATTTGAGTTCTCCGAAGAGAGTTAAAAAAAAAAGCTAATGCCGCCGGCAGTATGTAAAAAACAAGCGCCGGCGGCATGCCTCTGACAGCCGAATCAAAGCTAAAAAGACATATGTAAAAAATTGGGTCATCAGAAAAACGAAGATCACACTTCTTTGTTTTTTACCTTTGTTTTCATTATAATATGCCGCCCTACACCATCACTTCATGGGCATTGTACAGAATATCTACCATTGATTACATATCAGCCTTAACTGAGTGGTTCGGTATGGCATAATATTGGAACAGCCTGACTGTTGAGCATAATACATTAACTTTTCCAAACAGAAGCTCCAAGGTCGTCCGTTTAGTGCGAAAACAATTGGTAGTTGTGGTCGTCTTCAGTGGAGTACAGGTAATTAAAGCAAATATACTTGATAAAAAGTAAGCAATGATATATCTTGTGAATAGCAAAGGATAAATGTGGAAGCACTTGGAATAGATGCTCGAGGGTGAAAAGAAATAGAAGGAAGAAGCGTCATATTTTATGGACATGAAAAGAGGCGATATTGCCGGAAACTGTTCCTGGTTCTCTGCCATGTCTCGCCTCTCATTCGTAAAAAAAATGCGGCATCGTCCCATTGAAACAACTGTGTGAGACAGGTTTCAGGTACGTCAAATGTCTACATAGGCGTTGTTTCCTGACATAACTGAAATTGACCGATTACTTGAGACATACTGTATGTAACAATCTAAATACATCGACACCTACGGTGTCCACATAACAAATGGGACATCAAAGTGACTTGCCGCTAAAAGCGGATTATTTACACGGTAGCTTGAACGCTGTAGATTTATGACCGCAGTTCCGTCAGACATGTGAATTTTTGTGAAGATATAAACCATATGCCATCATAATTGTGGGAGCGAGCAATCAGTGCTGCATAAACAAAGTACTCGTTTTCTCTTTCTTTCTGCACAAAAATTGTGTTTTATTACAGTACCACTTATGTACCTGTCTTCTTATTAAGTCTGTCCTTCTTGAATGAAATTGGTTGGCTCTGCGTATTGCCTGATATTTTTTTCCACCCATTTCAATTTCTTCCCCAACTACCTAGTATCCTGTCCTATCTAGCCATATCTAGCATTAATGTCAACAGAGCTACAATTTGAAGAGTACTCATTGATTGAAAAACGTAATCAATCTACCAACGATTTGGAAGCTGTTGTAAACGAAGTTGCTCGCCAATACCTCTTTGCAGTCTCGACAAAGAACATCAACAAGCGTTCATGTCATTGCAATGTGTCGCGGGCGGTGTCTTCCGTAATCGTTAATGAGGAATCACGCAGACGTGTCCGCACTGACTTTCGAATATCTCTGGAATGTAAAACCTATCGTTATGCTGAGAGCAGTTATTGGACCACCTGCAAGATACACGACGAGCATAACAAGCGTTTTTTTTTTCTAATGCCTGTGTTTATCATCAGCACCGTTCGCCGTCTCACGAAAAGCAAGATCTTGTGGAAGTGTCGTCGACATCAACTTGGCCTACCGTTGCGCGAGGTGTCATGTGTGTCACGCGCACTCGACGAGATTTGGTGCCGGACAGTTGCGCCGGACTGTCGTGTCCTTTATAATGCAACCGTATTTTTTTGCTGCCATTTCTTCTTTATTAGTTTCCCCTGTGTATCAAGCAGTCGAAAACAATTGCGCACAATTTGGACGCTTGAATGAAAAATGTCTTCGAGCGCACGCTAATCGGATACATAAAATCTCGGTTACCGTCCTACTCATTGAAGGTTTTTTAAAGCATTATCAGTTGACACCAACATCTGGCCCAATGAGGGAGGAAAATTCATTTGCGTAATTTGCAAAAAAAGGATCGCCATATAGCGAATGCTTTCTCCGTCACTTACAAGTTCATGGCATTCCTAAAGACACCGCGGCAATCCCAGAAGAAATACGCGACGAGACGACGAAGGCGGAAATGAGCTTGTTGACCACACCTGACAAGGGACCTCGATGGGTATCCTAATCGTGACGCTCCACCGATTTGCTCGAGTTGTAAAAAACCGCAAGCCTGCTCGAGCTTTCCATTGTCCCAATCATAAACTGAGAAGCAGCAGTTGCTTCAGCACCTAATGGGGAACCACTCCACGGCTTGCTGAAAAATCCGAATCGTCTTACGCCCGTTCACAAATTCATGCCCACCAAACCTGGATGTAACTGAGACGAATCGGTTCTCCTGCCAACTCAAAGCACGCTTCCACAGAGATGTTACACTGTCCGCAATGGGTGCGCAGGGAAATCCAACGAGAAATGCCAACAGAAGCTATTGATCGCTCAACTGGATCAGCTCCACCCTTTAATCTACCTGGACGAGCGGCATACAGGACACAATTGGCTTGACATTCCTCGACGCTTTCTGGTATTGTGTCCTCCCAATGACCAGATTTTCACCCGCGGTTCCAAGCGATCATGTCGGCAAAACGTCGTCATTCGGACACTCACCGATTACTCAAACGTTCTGATGGAAATCGCCCTGTGCCCATCAAGGAATAGTGTTACCTTGCTCTTAATGCGACCTTACAAATGATGTTCTGCCGCAAACCTTTGTTCTTGATGGGAACGGCCAACTGCCGTCGACTCTATATCGCCCCATCGCAACAAGTCATCGGGCATCCATTTCAGCGCGCGATTACGCAGAGATGAACGATGACATTAGCACCATTCTGGACACCGATTGGGCGCGGCGACCATGGATGCGTGCCATCTGTACACGTGTGATGGAAGGTCTAATTCTCAATGGATGCCCAGGTCTCCTGTTAAAATGCGCGGAAGTGTACTGTACAGTCGTTTCCCTACCTGCGTCCATCATGAACCGAGAAAAGGCAAGAGGAATCAACCTTTGACGAGCACGTTACCGCAGGCTGGGAGACGATATCCGAACATTCAGCTTTTTATCGTGAAAGAAGACAATAGCACCAAGCTCGAACTGGGCACCAAAACCATGAAGGTACTTTTTACCTCTTCCATCCGCATTGACGCGGACCAACCTGCAGCAATGAATCCGTCAAGCACCAATGTATTCGCCGTTACCAAGGGTACCGTCATATTCATCCGACGAACATTCGTTGATCGGTATGGCGATTTGCGATCTAAAGACTTCAATGGTCTGGACATAATTGAAGTGTACCCTTTCGACGACTTTGCCCAACTGCGGCAGGTCCGCTCCAATTGTCAAAAGCCTCCACATATCTTCTTTCTCGATAGTGCTCGTCTTTCACGAACGATCTCCGAACTGGCCCAACGACGATTGGACGTTTGCCGACCAAGGCACTGGTACTTCAAAGGAGTCCGATGCAAAGATCGCTTCAAGCTTATTCCAGGCAGGTGCCACATCCGTTTGGGACAACGGGGAGAACGGCTCTGGTGTGCTTGAAGATGCTAAAAACAAATATAAGGCAAAATGGCGAATAACATGGGAAAGATTGTCGACCTATACGACGCTAATACCTCAGCTTATCGCCGTCAGATATTTGACTTCAATGCGATTTACCAGGTGCTTACGCATTAAAGAAACACTTACTTAAAATAAAAAATCTTTCACTAATACAAAAAAAAAAAAAAAAATTAACACTTACACATGTCCGCCACCCAAAGCATCTATCCACCCCATCTCCGAGATCGATGGTTTCAATAAGTTCATATTTTTTGTTTATGCTTTTCACCATTGCTTTTGCATATTCCAGCTTATCAATACTGTATGTTTAGGATATCCACGTGGATCGATTTCCAGGCACGCAGACTGATGTCTAATCTAATTTTTTCATTAGAGGCACCAGCTTCACAAGCTGATCACAGATCGAAACAGCCGCAACGGCTTTAGAAGATTTACATGACATTTGTCTGTTTATCTGATAACCAATGACCATCTTTTTAGGGATATAAAAATAGTAACTTGTTGCCCACCGCAGGAAACTGAAGCCTGAGGTCTCAGATCGAATGGTGGCACAACAGAGACTCGTCGATAGGAGGCGCGAACCGAACACTGAATAACGTCTTTTTCCGACTTAAAATAAGCACGGTTAACGGCTGTTGAACGGTACATTTTTGATTGAAATTGCTTCATGTGAGGTACCAGTATGACAGAAATTCAAGCTGTTATAATTCAAAACGAGTACCATTAAACTCCTACGCCTCCCGCTGGTCCCACAGATATTTGCATGCTTTGCAAGCAATTCGTCATCGTTCCAGAAATAGTATGGACAAACACAGAATTTAGAGTTATCTGCCATTGAACCCGGTGGCCCGCGTTTTGAATCTATCACACACAAAGATAATCGACATGATCGTTTTCTGAGCGGCTCGCAGATGAGGTGAGGGTGTGATGGTATTACAACAATATTTACAATTTGGATGAACGAGAGAAACAATGACGGGATCAAAGATCAATGGTGGGCTTGGGTTTGAATTTCTTAACAGCTCGTTCAGCAGCACGGAATAAAAGTTGCTGACCATACAATGTGTATACATCGGTACTAGCATCAATTTCCATCTTGAACACATTGCCTGCTTTGGGTACGTCTAAGTAAGCAAGGTATTAATACGTGCGCTGCTTACACGCTCTTCGCAGGTTCATAAGATAATCCTTACTCTTTAAACGATTCTCCTTTGTAATCAATCTAAACAGATGGAGCGTTTCTTGCAAAACAATTCCGCGAGTGCCAACCAAGGAAGGGTTATTACTTTTGATGACTGTGCGGCACAAGAAACAAAAAAATAGTCAGATCTCACGCTTGAAAGAAATTACTTCTCGGTAAAGGAGGCTTACCAGTGAAGATGGCCCCATGAAAGTCCGCCTTGACGAGTTTCTGTGGAAATTGGGCGGATCCGTGGTCGTATACTTCTTTCATATAACCTTGCCAGAGTCGATGCAACGGTTCAAATAAAGTGTAGGACCGTACTTCGGAAGGGATATCGTAAACGCCCAGGTTTCGCCGCTCACGAGCCGTCAGTCGAACCACCTTCTTCTTTTTCTTCTTTTCCTTTTTTTGCTTTTGCTCTTCGGTTAGCGTGGTATTATCGATATGCACCACTTTCATCTTTTCCACCACTTGTGAAGCGTTCGACCCTGACGGAATAAATTCTTCTAATAATCCTTTGACACCGGCCTATTCATCTGTGTTAATCATCCATTCTCATCATTCACGAGTTCTCGATCAATAAAATAATCGCACCTCCGATTTGCTCGCATTCTTCGCAACGCCGCTCAATGTAGCATAAGGATTTTCCGCTATGATAATGATTTTTTGTAAGTCCACATTGATTTGGATAAATGTGTTGCAAGTGTGCCAACCTTTGTTCATGACGGGATTCTCTTTATGAGATTAGAAAAGCTCAAGAGAAAGATTATGCTGAACAACAAGCCTTTATTTGAAAAAGCAGTCATTTTGAAAATTTCCCCATGGCCACCTCATTTTCATCCATGACACATGCGGGATAAAAAGATAAAAGGCCAATTTATCCAGCAATGGCCCAATTAGCAACGTATGAAAATCCTGCAAACTCTTGTTGTTCCTCTGGTAACAGCATGGCATTTACGGGGGTCAGGATCGGGATTTCTCGCGTAAATTCTTCATCAAAATTTGACGTGTCAGCGCGACCGTTCACCGTTGGCAGGAAAGGCGGGGTGACCTGTTTCGTCAACATCTCTTCCCAGTTGATACCTGAAAAGAAGGGATGGGCCTTTACTTCGGCCGCATCGGCTTTACCAGCCCCTAATCGTTTGGATGGATCACGCTCAAGTAGCTATGATATATGCAAAACCGTGTGTCAATATGAGAGAAGCTCCATTGGGCTCATTGCTATTTTTAACCTTACCTTTTGACAGACAGATACAGAATTTCGAGACATATTAATTGGATACAGAATCTCATCTTCCAGAACAGCGTCGAAAATTTCTTCTTCGTCCTCGCCCTTAAACGGTGACTATTTTATGTTATAGTTGGCTTTAGCATTAGTTTTTAGAGGGCATCAGGAATGCTTCTCAATTTTACCTGACCCAGCAACATCTCATACAGCAATACGCCAAATGCCCACCAATCCACAGCTCGTCCGTAACGTTGTTCGAGCAAAATTTCTGGAGCCATGAATTCCGGGGTACCGCAAAAGGTGTTGGTCGTATTGTTAAATCCCATGTTTTCCTTGCATAATCCATAATCGGCCAGTTTGATGTGACCATCAAGACATAACATGATGTTATCAAGCTTGAGATCACGATAGATGATCCCTTGTTTATGGAAGTATTCCAAAGCCAGCAGCACTTCACAAGCATAGAATCTAACGAAATTAAAGCGTGAATAAGCTTGCTTTGTGACCACTCTCAAGAGGGGTTTCTTTACCGTGCTCGTTTTTCAGAAAATTGCTCCCGCTGGATATGCATCATAAGGTCACCACCACTAACATATTCCATCACAAAGTATATTCGCGTTTCTGTTTGGAAGGTAGAATGCAAATTGATAAGGAAAGGATGCCGTTCTCTGCTCGCCGCCAAAAACACACGTTTCTCAGATCGCGTGCTGCTCACAAAAATGTTAGTTTCAATCACACCACAAAAGAAAACAGGAAGAAATAAAGTACACGGTACCTTGCCACTTCATCGTTATCCAGAACAAAACGCTTTTTAAGAATCTTGATTGCATAAAGCTCGTTTGTATATTTTTCTTCGGCCAGCATGACCTGTGACGAAAAAGGATAAAAAAATAAAACAATTAATGGTCAGATCACAGACCCGCAACACGAAACGTACCTTTCCAAAGTTGCCTTTACCCAACACGGCCAGAAAGTTGAAATCGTCTAGACCCACTTTACGGTTCACTTGCACCGGAGAAGTCTGTCATCCATCCTTAGCCATCAAATCACTGAAACCTGTTTCGCGTAGTTTGTTACCTTTAGGATAGAACTAATATTACTTGTTGGGAAAGAAGACCGCAACGCTGGAACCTCTGAAGATGCGCCACTGAAGAGACCGGACAGAGACTGGAACGATGGGAGATCATGCGCTAATGATAGCGGACGCGTGTATTTCGAGTTTAGCCTCGGTGACGTAGGAGTGGATATGGACGATTGCGGTGAAGGACCGCTGATGTCACTACTTTCTTGGATGCCTGACCCTGCGTCCATATTTGATGACTGGCCATGTAGCGATAACTGGGCAAAGCTGTCAGGATGGAATGTTCTTCTTCTGCTAGCCGCCTTCATTTCGCTCAACATAAGATTCGCCTTTTCCATTGACATGCCGCAAAAGTCAGGTACAAAGCGTGCACACTTCTTATGACAGGTCACACCACATTCTTTGATAGATCAAATGCAAAGGTGCACAAAGGATTTAGTTTTCGTTTTCTCATGTCCTCCAATTGATGGAAACAGCCTCTTACCGTGACACCGCTGTGCTCCACGGAAACCGAGCGGGAGCATGTATCCACAATGGCAGCACCAATGCGCTCCAATAATGGTAAGCGGTTCAAAACGATGAGGGATGCGGTGTTTCAGCTCTTCGCCATCCTACATTATCCCATTTAAACCAAAAGTGTCAGTGCACATTCAATTTTTAATTTCTGCAGGAATCACTTACCGATTTGGTCGAAGGTCGTGATATGCATCGTGTGACAACACGTGTGTAACACTTTTTATGACATGCCAATCCACAATCTGTCCGATCATGGATGAGTTTCTTTTTTTTTGCAGAATTCCCAAGCCACCGATCCTTCTGTTTTTGCCTACCTTCACACTGGAATACAAGGTTGGTCATGAAGTCGCTGCAAAGAGCACAACGCATGATGTGATAGAACCGTCGCGCAACAAATTGATGGCCATTCATTTCAAACACTTCTCCCTTTCGTTCACGCACCGCGCCTGCTCTACCAAGTTTATCCATGGCGCGTTTGTTTACATTTTCACGTACTGTGGGCAACAACCAGGATCAGTCTTAAACATGCAAAGAAAAGAAGAAAGGATCAGGCACTTACCGAAATTCATTGTCAGCAGTATGCGTCCCACAGGTTCCACGTCAAACCATGCCGTGATACCTTCGTCGGATACGTTATAGGTAGTAGTGACTCCTTTGTCATCGTGTTCATATACACTGGCTTGACTTGACGCCATGTGGGAGGAGGCACTGTTGGTGGAGGCTGTACCTTGTTGTGCTACATCGGCGGGCACCCAATTGGCATCGATGTGCTCCAGGGTTAATTTCTGCTTGCGGAGACATTCGGTGATATCGGATATTTTTAGCCACAAAAGGCCGATCGGCAAGGTACGATCGCCCGACTGATCGTAAATCAGCAATTCGACCTCGGTCGCTTTATCCACATGCATTTGGAATAGTTCGCCCCATTTGTCATTTTTTGAAGGCCTTGTACGGCAGTGAACATTGCCATCCACTTTCACCATGACCACGGTTTGAGGGGCGCGGAACATGCGGGTCGGTGCATGAGCTAATTCACGAGCTTCTGTTATTTTCAGTCGAAGTTTGCCCGTGACAGGTCGATGAACTCCTGGTTGGCCTCGTAAGGGACGTGCAGCTAGAGTAAAAGATGACGATGAGACGCGCAAATTAAACCATGATTTTGCAACATACAGTCATATTTACCTATCAAATCCGCTTGGCCATCCATTTCTTCCTCCATATCTTCTTCGCCAATGTACAGATTCTTGTATTTTCGTACGGCAGCATTCAACAGGGCCATTTTCTCTTTGCTTTCACATTTTTTCTCCTGAAGTTCTATTTTCCTTTTCTTGTCGGCTGCTGCTGTCGAGTTGGTATGTTCAAGGGTTTGCGACAGATTCTTGATGCCGGCTTGCACTTTTCTTTCTACATCCACTTTGTATTCCAAATCATGAAGTTTCAGTGACACCTTCGCACGATTGATAGGCGTATCAGCTTTTAAAAGATCTAGTGAATGGGCAAGTGGGGTGAATTTGGGCGGTTCTCTCTTTTTTTTTGGATAGGATCACATTCATTCCCCATGTTTTTACCTAGGTTGATGTACTTTTTCTTTTCTATAGGAAGATCGGAAAATGAGTGTGGTGCGTATAGGCTATTTGCCCTGGGTTGTGCGTCATCCGGGGTCCGTGGGTTGGTGGTGAGGAGCTGAGATATTTGGCTGGCGGCGGATAGAGAAGGTGTGTTCATGGAGGAAGTGCGACTTTGACCGTCTTCTAGGCCAACCGGTTCCGCCCCGTCGGTTGGCTTGCTGGATCCCTGCTTTGGAACAGATAATCGATGCTCTTTACTCTTGAGCCGTTGCAGCTCTTCAGAAAAGTAATCAATGTAACGTTGAGATTCTCTTATTTGGGTATCACACTGTTGCTGAGCGTTCCGGTCTTCCAGTATTCGACGCAGTTGAAGCGCTTTATCGCGCATATGAATATTTTGCTCGATTTTCGCTACCAGTTCCCTGATTTGCGCACTTCTCTCCTACAGTGTAATAAAGTAAAGAGAATTGGAATCAGTCCAAACTGTGCTACCATGGCGGTATTCCCAAAAAAAAAGTGGCCATTCGCATAAATGGAGTTGACAAGGACCCAAATTTTGTCCATCTCCAATTACAGCGCCCCGTTTCGAAAAAAGTGATTGTAAGAAGTTTTCAGCCGCCCATTCACATGAAATGTGAAAAGAATAATTACCTCCATGATGGAATGTGTAGAAAAAAAAAGGGACTGAAAGTGGTTCTTGAAAACCTGCTGTCGTTTGAGGGCAGCCCTGCATGCGGAGCTTCAATATCCGGGATCAAAAACGAACCAAAAAGTTATAAAAAGTGTTCTGCGAAGAATCACATTCACGAATATGGCGTGATTAAAGCAACTTGTTCGCAATAGAAGCTGCTACTTTAATTCACCTACTCTTGTATATAAATGGGTTGGTCTTGCATATTTTTTGCATGTCATTGTTCAAGTAATCACCCTTCCTTTGAATTCAGAAGCTACAACTCGTTTTACTATCTCCACTTTTGCCACGGGAAGGGTCATAGATGTGAAATAGCCTGCACAAATTAGGAAGTAAGTGCACCAGCTGTTCTTGATTTGATGCGAGCAACAATGCAATGGCCCAAAAAATTCGCTAGACCGATCCTGGTCGCTTCATGGTATGGATATGATCGGTCATCAGTCCACCATTGTATTTCAGATATGAATTAGTGACAGTTTGACTCATCAATAATGGAATACATGTGATGTCATTATTATTTTTACAGAATTAACCATTTCTCTAAAATTTGCCAAATGCTTTCCAAAAGAAAACAACTGCATCAAATTACTTGAATGACTGTTCAAGTAACCATTGTTGTCGCCTGTCACTTATGACTTCTTAAAAGAAAACCTCGAATTTTTTCCATATTTACACTTATTTTCTAGTCAGAAATTTTACGCATGTGTCTGCAGCTTCAATGCAAAGAAAAGGATGATCCCGCATCGCTTCACTTCACGCTGTCAAAGGGGGTTTTGCTAAATGCACATGGAGTTTGCACATAAAAAATAATAATTGGTCATTCAATTTAAAACTCAACTCGAATTGACTCACCAAAACCCAGACCTGACCTGGTTTGGACTAGGAGGCTAGTTGACGAGGCCTTCGTTGTCAAGCGCAGCTTGTGCTCTTCGTTGCAGGGAAGCCGGTCTTGACTCGATCTGGTAACCCAGAGCTGATATACGCCATAAGAATGCGTCTCATATTAATGGCAGCATTGATATCTCTGTTCCAAATCTAGAATAACCAAGGATGTAGTCATTATATTGTCAAAGTATCCGGACCTCCTTGCTAGGCCAGTTTATCCTTTAAATGATCCAGCATATCTAATTGACCAGCTGCCACCCCTGCTCGTTGCCTTCGACGCTATGTGCGATCGCCCGAAATCCACAGCTCCCATCCGCTTCAAGACTGAACACCGAAGAGATTGACTTGTGACTGATGGATGAGTGTACTACGTTGAAAGGACCACCTGCCGTGACCACTTACTTTGCAAAAGGAAGTTGTGAAGAAGCGTTTTCTGGCATTACTGCAGAGGTTGTCAGCTGAGGAGAAGAACTGCAATAATCAAAATATATTAGTACATTCTCGTATAGATAAAAGCATTACTTATTCAACAGTTGATGCCTATAGTTCTTTATCTCTGCGTGTTCAGCCTCTTTTCTTCAATTCCAGAATGTTTCAATTCTCTTTGGTGAAAGTCGTCCCCTTTTTTTTCTCTCAACTACAATATTAACAATGGAAATTCAGATAAGTTAACCATAACTGTTCATACAGCATACCATCGACACTTAATTTCTTTGGAGAGGGATTAAGTTTTTCTTCTTCTAAGGATTATGCGATTGCGGTATTGGTCTAAGCGGTGGATCTGAGTCACGTCTTCAGAAGAATTCACAATTTGTTCTATGTTGTATATCTTTTACGTGACATTTCTTCTAAATGGTGCCAGCAGGTCGTCTATACTGTTACTGCTTTCAATAACCGTGTCGTGTACACTGTTTGTGACAATCCTTGCGCAGGGTACGAATGCCAACATTGTGGAATGAGTTGGATAGAGAATCGGTCGCTTCGTGGGACTGTGTGCCTGCTTCATGCCTATACACAGTGTTTTCTGTAACTAAGTTGAGGGTTAACAAAGAAACATTGTGCCATAGTTGCGATACTACAGTTCATGCCCGAAAAGTAGAACACTCTCACAATGCTCATGTCTCTGCAGTCACCACATACAATAGACCATCTGCAACAACAAACCCAACAATTACATATTATGATGTATGGTTGTCAATTCGTCAAGTAAGGACAAGTTTTATTCTCGAGTCATCAGCATGCATGTTCCAAAAAAGATGATGCATGCTGATATATGAAGCTCGAGCCTGTTTTTCCAGATGACTGGAGTGTGTGTAATAATTATCCTTTGATCTCTGTTTAAATGCTGTGTACTTTTGACAGCATTGAGTTGCCAATTTTGCTTGTAAGGGGTCGTATAAACTGTCATATAGCATCGCCTAGTCATCTGTCGTATTCATTCATCCTTTGGAACCGGTTTTTATATAAGGAAGATCGGGAATTGTAATTCTACTAGGATCACGTTTTTCCTTCAAATGAAAAAGGAAGTTGTTCTCTCCGAGAAACAAGCTCGTGACAAGGTTTGACGATTGAAACCAATTGAGGTGCAGTGATTTACTTGTTCATATATAATGTCAGGTACCTTGAATAAGTCATCCAACAGTCTCGCCATCCCGATAATATAACCTATACGACATAAACAAAACATGCAGATGACAGATCTGCAAAAGAGGCATAAAGAAAAACGAGACAATGAATTGATTGACTGCTTTTACACCAAATGCTTCAATCTATTCAGGAAAAAGGATATAATAGAAAGAATCTAGTCAGAGCAAAACTCTAGAAAACAAAACCAATTCTTGATAAAACGTTTTCATTTGTCGTTTGAATCAGCAACCAACTCAATACCATCACAAGAAATATGAACCGCCCAAGCTCAAGCCGTGATGAAGATCAACTAGAACCACTTTCGCGAACCCGTTTTGGTGTCGCACTTCTCGATGGGAAATCCCAACCTCAAATGGTGAGAAAATGCAAACTCTCTTCGCTTCTCACGAACACCTTCAACTTTTTGAGAGTAAGTCATTCAATTGTTATCCCAACATAAATTATCCTAACTTATGTTGCACTGCAAGAATGATATTCGACAATTAGCCGAATGTTACGCTATTCTGGCCAATCTGCACATTCGACGATGAACAAACCAGGAGTTCCAGAGTTTTCCGCCTTTGGACCGTCCCACTTTTTGGTACAATTGTATTCGTGTGGTTATGCAGCCCAATGCAAACTGAAGAGTTGTTCGGGTAGGCTAATCAGACAGTACACTTTCCTTTCATTTCAATGAAAATTTATCTTGGTTCTTAGCCTTTGGATACCTGGTATGCCGATCTGGAAGCACTTTCTTCAACTTCTACCGACCGTGCCGAGTCAATCCAGAGAACGGACAAGGTAGAAAACAACGATGGACCGAAATCTATTTACATAATGCTTAACACATATGATGTAGATTATTATACTCCTCCGCAATGGCGTGAAGTGTTTGGTGAACTTGGTCACTTATATGCTGGAAAGATAATAGCAAGTAAGCATGGTCGTCCTTTTGTCATCCCATATTTACATGATCTCCTGAATTATAATATTTTCATAGGTAAGCTTCGACATTTCAAAGAAAGCTTGCCTGTCTTCATGATCAGAGTATGGAAAGCATTTTTTATCTGGTGCAAAGATGAGCTGTACGTTACCCTTCCCAAAGGGCCAAAACACTAGGTAAGAACAACGATCACATCAAAATGATATAATATAGCTCGTAGTAAATATAACCACATTAATAGCATCAGCAATGGTAAAAAGCATCCAGAACTATGACACTTTTTCTTCGAACAATTTTGAGGGCGTTGCTCAGCGGGCCATTGTTGGCATCGCACATTTCTACGAGTAAGCATTTTCCCTGACTTGTTGACACTCTGAAAATAACATTTGATTAGTTCTTTCCTGTTAGAGTACACGCTTCGATTTGGTACTGCGACCTCGGAAGAAATCGAGGAAGGAGTTGGTCATTTCGCCCCGGAGATAGCCACGTTCTTCCAGTGGCTATATCACAGAGGCGCATAACTGAACGCGAAGTCTTGTAGTTTGCTCGCAATTGGCAGCCTGCAGAGAGATACAGTTAGGTCAGCATTAAAAATTATCGTTTAAACAAACAGTATTGCCAAACTTACACAGAGCAGGTCGTTATCGAGTAAAGTGATCTTGGTGGAGGTAAAACAGAAGCTCTTCAAGCCGGTTCATCATATTTGTTTTTGACGAATGTAATTAAAATGTCCAGAACAGGTAATCTACAAGCATGCGCTTATGATGGATACAGCCAGTGCATGGAATTCTCACGCTCGTCGACCCAGAGATTTTACCATTTTTTATGTGGTGTCTTGTTTGCTCGGGTATAAATAGACATACAAACTTGTCCTCTTTGTCTTCATATCTCATCTTTCTTTTTATTTCTCTTTCTCAAACATTCCACCCTTCTCATCACAAGGTCGCTTTCGACCACAAAGGCAGCGTTAGTGCAAACAGACGATGTAAATTCTTTCGAGTTCTCTGGGAAATCTTTCGGGGTTGCCGTTATTGACGATGTGGAGGCCGTTTTGCGCCATGAACGACGTAGTTGACCTACTTCATGTTGCCAAAAAATGACGCGGCTAGGTAGACAGCAATTATAGGCAATAAACAGAGTGGCCTCTCACGTTTGCTGTCGGGTTCCATTTTTACACTTTTCAACCATGCTATGACCTCTGCTTTTTACAGCAAGCATCACTCCACGGGCTTGAAGATCGACGGAGCGGGCTATGCGGTCAAACCAGCAAGCGTGCGGATGTGGGTGTCAAGACGGCCGCATGGTACTACGTGGCATACCATCCCAATGAACGGTGCCGCGATTACAGTTTCGAAGGCAGGTTCTTCACTTTTCCTTGGGTTGTATATGACTACTTATGTGATTTGGCCAGCAAGAATGGACATCGCGTTCCCGCGGAAGATCAGACCCAGCCGATAGACGATTTCGTTATTAAAGAAATGCAGAGGAAGTACGCCCGCGTCAAGCGCCCAATCCATTTATCCGTCCACGTCAGTGATTCTGAGGAAGATGATGAAGAATATGATGATGATGACACCGATGCGAGCAGCGAAGAAAGCGAAGAAGAAGAAGAAGAAGAAGAAGAAATAGTGGAGACTATGTCTTCTGTCGTACTTGCTATGATAAAATAATGTATTCCACATACATATATTTCTCTTTCATCGCATTATGTGCATTTCCATGAACATCACATCCTCAGAACGTCCGCAGTTCAAATATACCGAGTTGCACCATACTCAAATCCTAATCAGTGAAGAGAACCTCATGACCATCTTTATTTAGGGAATGACCTTTGAAATAAAACAATCGTTCCTTAAAAAATCAATGCGATTCACATTCACAAAAATTCACCGTCTTCTTGTGAAGCAAAAGTCACAAAGACAACCGTATCCTCTTGCCATTGGTCCACAGTACGTTCTACGGGAATATCTACAGGATAAACGATTTCTTATAATACAATCAATTCAAATACTTTAACTATTCATCATAAACTATATAAGCAGACTAAAATGAAGAATTGATCTGGGACTTTTTTCCCTTCTCTTGTTTCTCAGTAAATCCGAGTCTCAAAAGATTCCACGTTTTCTCTGTCTTCCCATTTATTTTCAAGGTTGAAAAAGGAGAAACGCTCGAAGAATGAGCGCAGGCCAGAGGGTGCAGCCATAGTCGCATTTGGGGATGCAGACCTGAAGCCCATGAAAAACATGCCCCAGTTCCAATCAAGGTACGGCACGATGGTGAAATGATATACTCAAGAAATACATTGCTCATGGAAAAGTTACCAGGGTTTTCGCAAGGTTCTTGCACTTTTATATTAGTACTCTCGGCAAAAATACTGTAAAAACTTTTTACAACATTGAACAGCACTGATGCACCTCAACGCCTTCAAGCTTTATGGTTTATGATTTCTTACTGTGCTTTAATTGCATGCAACACTTACAACATTGCTATTGCCACTTATAGTGAGCAGCAAAGCATCTTGTTTGTACCATTTTTCTCTCTTACTTCATCCGTTCATCCGATTATCCTTCAGCTCACGTCAAGTCATTTTCATCTGGTGACTATAAAAACAGACACAGAACCATGCCCCCGCCACTATTCATCGCTCATGAAGACATATGTAAAATATAAAGCTTCTATGATCTAGCCGATTATAAGCTCCTGTTCATATAATTTGTAAGCGTTGCCCACTAAAATTGATCTATAACCTCTCGAGTAACATAATATATCATAGCTGTTTTTGAGAATAAAAAATAATTCAAAGCAATACTGTCACTGTCAGGTCCGATTATGCATACGAGCACGGGGACCTAACAAGAGACTAGTGGCGGGGCTTGCACCGCCGAGCGCAATAAATGCGCGGTAAGGTCGTTGCAAGGCGACCGTTCGAGAATCGAGTCGTTACCCTGACTGGATGTACCGCTTAAGATGCGTCGAATATTGATACCAGCATTGATATCGCGATCCAGATCTGACAAGCAGACTGAATATCGATGTTTCAGAAAGATTACAAATGATGATTGACTTACCAGCGGATTTCAGATATCGTTTTCTGACACACATGGGGGACACAGTCGAACCGGGTAAACGATGCTTTGCCATCCGCGACCTATACCAAGTTGTATTGATATGGCCTGAAAGAATCCAAGAACTTTTGTTAGTAAGCTTACCTGCAGGTCTTCTTGCTGGACATTCCGAACTGTAGCCGAGTACATTGCCTTCGTCATTCATGCAACGTTGTCTCAGCCTTCTATCGACGCCTCTCAATCTCTTCTTCTTCTTCCTAATATATTGTTGGCCAATGCATACGTAAGCATTGATAAGTGACGTGAACTTACTTGAGATTACAGACGCGAAGACGTTGTTCATCTCGCACATCAACTGTCGTGGAATCACATCGACTGCAAACTTTGCTAGTCAGATATTCATCGACGCAAATCACGAGCGCTTTCTGTGCCAGCACGCGAGGAAATCCCTAACGTTGATGTTCAACTTTGTTTTGTAATGCATTACCTTGATTGGTATGGGAGGATTTCCCTTCTTGGGTCGCAAGTCTGCATCGCCAAACGCGACAATCACCGGTCCAGCGGGCCGCTCTTCGTTCCTCCGGGCTGCTCTGCGGCTTTGACGACGTTGTCTCGTGGAATTCTTGTGCACCCACTGTTGAGACTACTAAACTTAAAGGTTAGTATTTTTTCGTTTACACAACAGTACGGTAAACTTACAATTCTTGATTCAGCAACCTATCCCAACAATGTGTCTGCCACCTTGTGCAAAACCATTTTTCTTTGTGACCCCAATCAGGCACGCGTTTCACGATGCTTGTATTGGCAGTTGAATGCATGTAAACTATTTATACTTGCTATTAGTATGAAAATGGCGTCCTATTTTTTTTGTCATGCAATTTACCGCTGATGCACCCGAGATAACGTTCGAAGATAATTTTGAAATTCGGGCACTGTCGCAACAACCGAGGAAGTACGCCCAAGTTCTTCGTAAACTTCGTCCATGTTTGCGGTCCTCCGCTTCTTCAGCTCTATCTGCTGGGCCCAAGTAAACATGCTGCTTCTCCTAATACACAATGAAGGCAAAGTTCAATAATTATATTTTACATGACGATTGATGTACTTACTGATACTGGGCGTTGCTCACGGAATCCACATGTCTTTGCCTTTCATCAACATCATGCAGATTTTCATCTGTATCGACAACGGTGATAACTGACCGCAAACCTATATTCGATTGTATTAAGCTCACTTTTTGTACTAAGATTATCTTAGTAAAAAGGATTCCCTTTATTACCTGGATCAATGCCAATAATGCGCGCTGTCGGGGGTCCAAACCGGTGGGTTCTTTTCCCAGATGGTAGATCCCACGGGTCCACGTGGACATATCCGGCTCGTGTAGGAAAAGTTGAAACTCTTTTCTTCGTTTGGGGGTACGGAACTGATAGCATACGCAAATCAGTATAAATCATCATACAGGTTACTAGTGGAAACCTACCTCTGTCCCAGCATTTGCAAAATTTGACCGCCACCATGACCCCGTCAGTTTCGATACTGTTAAAGATTTGGGTATGTTTGCCTTCAGAAGCTATAATAATACCATTCTTTAAGTGTTGCTCATGTATAAAGGTCATACTTTACTTACGCGTTCCAATGTTTTCTTCACATAGCCGTCAAGGGCACAGCTTACCCAACGCAAAGATTTCCTCCCACAAGCTTTCTTTGAACAGGTCATTTTTTATCAGACGTTTAAACTCCGTTAAGGTGATGAAATGCTCCTGATTTCATTCTCGAATCAAGCTCGTTTGAATACCTTTGAACATAAATGACGTTTCAATACATAGCATATATGATTTTGCGAGCATTTTTTGGGCTTACTTGAGAGCTCTTGGAACATTGTGTCCCAAAATCCATGCTTCAAGTAGAAAATGATATAAGCCAGTCCCGTGGATAGACACATAAGCTAGGATATAAAATATAATATGAGTATCGTCATGTGCTTGCAATGGAGAAACATACCAATCTGGTGGGAAGCCATGGGGATAAATGCCCACATTCTTCCCTCATAGAGACTGGTTCGGGCTAGGAGCCAGGCAGAGAATCAGAGAAGACTGGAGACATGGCGGGAATCGACACGTTCTGGAATTTGATCGGCTGTTGCGCTGCCAAATGACTGATTAAATTCATGAAGCATCTCCCCATGGAATTGGCAAATTTATTCAATATCTCCCGCTACGCCTTCCCAGTTCGCCGCGTTGAATTCTTCATAATGAAGCACTTTGGAAACCGCGTCCTTTCCTACAATGTAATTGTAAGATGGTGTATGACCAAAAATTTAGATTGGTTTACCCAATGCTTTCGCAGTGCGCGGAAGTTGGACTTGATGCCGGCTGACAAACGACCTCAGAAAGGCCTCCCAGGTACGAACCATGTACTTTTGGAAGTTGCCTCCCAGGTGTAAGATTGCATCTGTGAATATCATTCGTTAAATCGAATCTAGACCCATTGAAGTATATGCATTACTTACTGGTGTGGACTTTGGTGGCATAATCATCTGCAACGTCTAAGAAAACTGGTTGCCATTGCGGGTAGTCGTAACCTGTAGATGTGCGTTAACCTTATGAAGGATATTTATTAGCTGGTAGCAGAACGAACCTCGAGTTACTGGCAAAAATGAATTCTCAAACGTGTGCCACAAGTCTAATCCCCATTGCACTTCTTGTCTAATATTCGGGGCCTAGAAAGTCGTCAGTAATTAGTTTGGAAGCCGAGTGTTGAATAATTTTTCATACCGGGACTCCATCGCGGCAGCGTGCGGCCGCCAACATGAAACATTTTCTATAGAACAGTTTATTATGAAGAGGGGGACACTCAAAAGAGAAGCGATCGTTGGCCCATCGTAGAGCGTGAAGCAGGGCGAGATTACTCGCGTCTCTTCGTAATACAGCATAATCCTCTGCCAATGTCCTGAAAAGTTTCTAGATAAATAGTTATTGAGTCTCAATTATCCAAGTAACGTACAATGTAAAAAAAAAAAAAAAAAAAAAAAAAAAAAAAAAAAAAAACAAAGCTTACCCTTAGTGAATTATAGGCAGGGTTTAAACTAGTTGACAACTTAATTTTGCGAACTGTCATATATTTGAGATCCCGGGTCGACAGGGGTGTATATTGCCTTTCGGCGGCGTTCATGATGAGATTGTGTGAAGAAGTAGAAAATAGAGTGCTATCATCTATTGGATGAACAGAGAAGTGTAAAAGAAAAAAAAAAGTTAAAATGTTGAAAAGAGGAGGTAAAAGAAAAAAGGAAGAGAAGGCGAACTTTTTAAATAAGATGGCTCACATGCAGTATGACTACTGTTTCGGCTTGCCTGGTGACCATCAATGTTTTAGCTCAGCAGATCAATTTCAAAGAACACAATAAGTAGCCAGAGTTCAGTCTGCTCTGTAGCTTATCTACATCCGATAATCCTATCCAATATATCCACGCACAAACGATTATTTTCATGGAATGAAAATGAATACCCATATTGTAATGACAGAGGCCGCCGCAGACAGTGACGGAAATCGACCCCAACAATGTAGTTTGACGCGACGGATCCTATGAAGAGTACACCGAACCGGCTCATTGGGACAATCAAGATATGTTCAAAACCAGATCCGGTAAGCGCCTTATTGTTTTAGTAGTTGTGGTATATCCACTATTTGTCGTATCATCCATCCTAAACTGGTGTTCCGAAACAAGAAAGGTCAAGATTAAGACGAGTTTCCATTCTGGGTGAGCTTCTCTATTAGAACACTGATTGAGCCTCTTCATCCACAACTTGGATCTGTCACTGAGATCACTTAAACGGGTCATGCTCGCATCTCACAGCATGTAGATCCTTCCAAATACATCTTATAACCGAGGACTGCTCACTGATATATAGTTATTATTCCGATCCGACTCAAGGCTAAAGTATAAACAAGCAGGTCACATTAATCGAAATAAAGAGATCAAACAGTCTCAAAGGATTCTCTTGTCTCATTTTTGTTCTAAATTCTCTCATACTGTATATCACAGTAGTTTCTGACATAGCTGGTGCGTGGTCCTTTTTTGAGGACGCAAGTCCGGTTTCATATGAAGTCAGTCTTGAAGAGATCAGTTATCTCTATGCGAAGCAACGAATACAGGCCGTTGCCCAATACGAACACCGAAAATTATGAGCAACGTTCGGATATTACATCCGTCGAGTCGATCTATTTCTCATGAATCAAATCCATCGTTCACGAACATATGCACCTTTTCCCAAGACACGCTAAACAATAGTCACAAACACGTTCATAGTGGCTGGTAGGTAGGCATGTCACGGGTGGTTGTATTCTCCCCGCGGTACTGGAATCGCTGCAATGATAATGTTATTACTAGTGCTGAGGGCTATTGGGCCAAGCATATACCTGCGTTTGAGCCAGGAACATCATTTTTCACAGGTCCTGCGATATGGATATTAAAATAGGTTCCCAAAACAGAAAGTATACATTCCCTTCAATTCATCACAACTCAAATGTGATGAATTCGATAACAAAGCTGAGATTCGCATCATTCAACTGATTCCCGGAGTGATCATCATAAAATAGATGGAAAGGCGAATATTGGTGGCTTTGTGGTCAAGAATCTGTGGAAAACCATAATGTATCCCTGCATTTATCATCCCATTCTGTTATGATGATCTGCACAAATAATAGGGTAAGCAGCCTTGCTTTTTTTGGTCAACCACCAGGAATTCTTTTGGGTGATCAGAGAGATTTGCTACCGCAAGATTTTGGTTAACCAAAAAAACAAAAACAAAAAAACAAAAAACAAGTGTTTGGTAGCCAGCCATATTTCGTGACAAAAAGATAACTTACCGAAGCGATTTTCTTTTTTTTGTGTAGGATCACTGGTTTTTACTTGGTCAGGCTATTCAGACGGTGCAGATCAAGAGCCATATATCTCACAAAGAACGAGTACGATCAAGCTATACCATATCTATAACTCGGAGTAAGTATGATAGCCAGCCATATTTCGTGACAATAACTTATCAAAGTGGTTTCTTTTTTTTTACTTGGTCAGGCCATTTCAATCGGTGCAGATCAAGAAATCATACATCTCAAAAGGAATAAAAGTAAATCGTATTCATTTAATCAACATAGTGGAGTCCGATTAGGCCGTGCCCTCAGTTTCTAGTTAAGGACTCCAGATATCAGTCATTTTCATCTGTTTATTGTAATATTTAGCCTTGTTATCTCTATCACTGAAAGCTTACAATTGGTGAATTTTTTAGTTTTACAGCTTGGCAGTAGGGAACTGCCGACTAGCCCCTTTGTTGGGCCCGGGATGGTAAGTTTGGGTTTCAAAAAAAAAATTTAAAGGGGGAAAATGTGACGTAAGCAAAAATTTTTTAACTCTTTTTATGTGCAATCTCTATGTGCATTTAGCAAATCCTTGACCCCTCTTTCAAAATAAGAGCAAGCTTGATCTTGATTCACCACCGAAAAAATGTCGTTGCGTCAGGGTTTGAGTAAGTGGTTTGTTGCCGAGGGAGCGTTAGCGCCAGTTACTTATTGAGGTTTAGACAAGGTATATTTACCGAACATCGTTTTCAAGATGGTGCGATCACCCAATCTTCAACCCAATCAAGTCGCATTCCGTGTGCCTCCAAACTGCAATAAATTCGACATTCATTCCTACTTGACCAACATCTACGGAGTGAATGTCCAAGAAGTACGCACCATGAATTACGCCACTGAGCATAAGAGAAGTCGTAACGGCAAAACCGAAGTTGTACAGTCGGCTTACAAGAAGGCCATCGTAACGATTAACGAACCTTTTGTGTGGCCAGCAGCGCCCGAATGGTGCGCTTTAGATGAACAACAACATAAATTGGGTACAAAGGCTGCCGGTCGGAAACTGAAGGGATGGCGTTTCAGAGCAAGCCCGGAGGACAAAGACAAACAAAAACAAGTCAACCAAGATTTGATGGCTCGCGAGCAAGGTTCATCTGGAAAGAAATAAGCTTCAGCCCCAATGTAAATAAAAAATAAATAAATATTAGAAACAGTAGATATCATGATGTCGGGTGTATCGCTGCTTGTTTATCATTATTGTGACCCTGGATGCAACAGTTCTCAAGAAATGGAAACGGCTATATGGAAGAAAAGGCTGAAGAGAATTCTTAGCAGTGAGAGGTTATGAGATGTTAAATTTTTTTAGGACAAGATGATGTCGTTGTGAAAGATATCATCAATCACTTGTCTTTTTTGAATGACGACTGGAGGGGCTGGCCACCTGTAAATTTCAGGCGCAGGCATGCTAGATATAAGACAACGGCCTACCTTGGACGCAACATCAATGGGCGTCTCGGTTACAGAAAAAGAAAAAGAAAACGCATTGATATGACAAATCGGCCTCGACAAAGCACGCTGTAACCATGAGGGCAATATTGGGTACAAATCTTTGTCCTTGACTAGCAAACTTCTATCTGATTACTGAAGCAGCAATTCTGTGAATATAAGCTGCAGTGAACATGCATGTCATGGGTTGGAAGAAATTTGTATCATCTGTACTATGAAGCTGTCAATTTATTTCCAGAAATTGCCTATCTTTCGATTCTCCTGATTTGATATTTGTCTCTGTTAAAATTGCACAACCCGACCCACATGTAACTATCCCTCCATCAGCAATGGGGAAAAAGATTCTCACGATGCCTGATCTATGGCGCGTTGCTCTCGGGACCGTTGTGCCGTCGTTGAATGACATCCCCTTTTGGGCAATGGCTGTCAATTTTTTGTGATGTCGCATGAGTTTTGCTCTTTCGGACATCCAAAAATGGGACCTTTCGCAAATCCAAACATTTCTCTCGAGTCAGTGAGACGCTTGACAATGATTGTGGGTATTCATGACATCTTACAATTATGCAAGAACACTTTTACGATCCTCTGCCGTCAATGCTGCCGTCAAAGGCAACTTTATTTCTGTCCAAGAGACTAATTTAATTGTGAGGTAAAATCATGACGCGCAATGAAACGTGCCTTTGCACACTCTCACCCATGGCCCAGCAAGAAATCCTACATTGAGATTTACAGTTTCAACGAGAAGAAGCTTCTATTTCAAATCGACTTTAGCCTGTATTCCAATGTAGAGACGATGCACACTTATCAACCAAACGTAAGTGTCGCGTTCTTGGATAGCGGGCCACGTCCAACAAGCTGATTGTTATACTGTCCATCTAGACTCAATCGACATGTTCCATACTGATCCTAACCGATCAGCAAGAATTTCTGGCCTTACGATATCATGCAAATACCAAATCCATTATTACCGAGATCAAGTTATCGCTACGGCAGGAAAATGCCCCCCTTTCAGAAAGTGAGGTCAAGGCGGCCATCGATCCTGATCAGCGCCTTATAATATTCAACATTTATGTAAACTTGCTTCATGTGGTGCCCTTGACATCTGTATCGCAGCAACAAAATCCATCCTTTTTCCCGGTCGCCTCTCTCTCTAAAGAATTGATAAAACCTTTTGCTATCAGGTACAACGACGATAAACAATCCTACTTGAAGTTTTCACTGAAGCATTTTCCAGGATAACAGAATTCAATATCCTGTCAATTGCTATGCTCTACGATGTCGCTCGACCCACTGTTGCAGTCCTCTACAAAGACGAGCATAAGCAATGTCACGTCAGCGGTTATGAGATTAATCATTACCAACAGTTGGCCTATCTCAATCCGAATATGCAGATGACAGTGGATATCAGCGATCATACCATCATGGCCGTGCAAAATCAGGGAATATGCGTTGTCGGACGGCGATCCATTGCTTACTATGATTTCAAAGGACACAGTCAAATATTGAATATCAGCCGTATGCTTCTGTCCAGGTATTTAATCTAGTTCTTGCCTTTCTGACTACTTGATGGCTGACGCGAAACAGTTATGGGGCCCTGAACTCGAATTACCTTTTATCAGATGCTGAAGGATGGCTGTATCTACTGAAAATGTCGGATTCTGATTTAACTTCGTCGATGAAGCTGGAACGGATAGCTCAGGTAAAATGCCCATTGTTCTATTTTATATCGTTACCCATGGTGAATAATCTTTTTGAAAGGTCTCCGTGGCACGCGCATTAGTGACTTTAGGCAATGATTGTATCTACGTCGGATCCTCTTCTGGGGATTCACTATTGCTTGAATTTGTACCAACTACGAATACTGGATTCGCACTCAAAGTCATCCAAACGTTTCCGAATCAAGGGCCGATTAACGACTTTTGCATCTTTGATCCTGACGCCCAAGCCTTGGTAATAAAAATAGCAGTAACAGTTTGCTCTTGCCTTTTTCGGTACTAATATTCCATTGGATCTTTCGCTACAGCAAACCATGGTTTGTTGCTCAGGGGCCTCTAACACTGGGTCTCTGCGCATTGTACAGAATTGCGTCACATTTCACGAATTGCAATTCCTAACTATCCCTGGTGCCATATCATTATGGTCCTTTTCTTTGAATGCCGGGTCCAAGTACGTTTGATGATAACGGTCTCGCAAAGCATTTGCTGATTTTATTTTTTAAATTGATGACAGTGGGTGTATACTAATTTTGGCATCCGTTAAGAAGACCTATATCTTTCATCAGTTCCCTCATATGCGACAATTTGAGCAGGTCGATCATTTCTCGGCTTTCAATATGGAGGATTCTACTTTAGCTGTTGATATGGTCGCGAATGGTGGTTTGGTACAGGTGACAGCTGCAGGTATACGTCTCATGTCCGCTACTCGTGATGGCATTTTACATGCGGAATGGCGACCGCTCCCCGATCAGCAAAGGATTGTTGCCGCCGCCCTGAATCAATCCGGTTCTGCTATTGTCACATCCACCAACACCCTGATATACTTTACCTTTTCAGAGCAAGGTTTTATTCAGCAAAGGTCGATTTTGCCATCATGTCGCATCATAAAAATATGGTTCTGACTATCGAATGTAGCTCGATTCATTTGGACACCGAGGTTGCCTGCGTTGCGTTACAAAGTCCGATGGACGATGCATTTGGGCTATCCGACCTTGCCGTCGTTGGTTGCTGGACAACAAAAGACAACTTACGTGTGTACAACTCATCGAATTTCGAGTTAATGACAAGTATTACTCTACCAAGCCCAGCGGTGCCGCAAAATGTCCTCATTACCAGCTTTGGCATGACCTGTTGTATTTTTGTTGGACTAGGTAAGATTAGTCTGTTCGACCCCATGGATGATTTATTCATGTTAACCTGGCACTACGCCTAGCTGATGGACGGCTGTTGTATTACACTATTCAGAGAAATTCATCCATCACGCTGCAAAATCGTGGAAGCATCGGGATTGGATCCACTACCGTAAAACTCAATATCCTTTCTAAGAATGGTGCAAAATACGTCGTCGCATATTGTAATACTGGACGACCTGTCATCTTCCGATGCGTGAAAGAAAGGATCGTTTGCTCAGCGATGGCTCTCCAGGTATTTTTCTGGAGGGGGAAACCTCCGCTTTCTACTCCAATTCTAATTCTAATTATGTAAAAAAAAAAAAAAAAAAAAAAAAAAAAGAATGTTACAGCGTTCGGTATGCTTTATAGTGATAAGATCAACGGACCGGCAGTGATGATCGCTGATCAAAGTACTATACGAATTGGCATCTTGGATTTGGCTCGACAACTGCAAAGCTTCAGTATACCATTATGCAGTGGAGTACCACAACGCATCGTTTATCATCATGAATCAAAAACACTGGCTATTGCGACTGTGGGAAATCGGGGTTCGGCTGAAATTAGTCATGCCATGGCTGGATCACTCTGTATCATAGACGCGAAAACATTTCGAGGTACTATAGCATTTGAGCCTTGAAGCCTTCTATGTCTTACATGTTTGTGAGTTAGATATCGAAACCCACTGTCTGCTTGATCAGGAGAGTATTTCATGTCTCACTACCGTCCGATTCAATGGTGTGGAGTCTGTATGGGTGGTGGCCGGCACTACATTGACAAGTACAGGAGACTCAAGCCACAACAAAGGCCGTATATTGTTCTATCAAGTATCCGAGAAGCAGCAGTATAAAGCGGTAGAGACTATGACGATGGATCGCGCCGTGTGCAGTATTCAATCGTTCAATGGATCCCTGTTGGCGAGTATTGGTGGAACGGTAAGTCCATCATACTTTCGGCTCTGCTTGTTAGCTAATGAACCACAACTGTAGCTTCACATGATCGTCTGTACACGTAGTAAAGCTTCCTCTGAGAAAATGTTTGAGCTGATTCCGATCTCATCGCTGAAAACGTGTGTGACCTTTATGGATGTCGATCACAACAAGGTGCTTGTTGGCGACGCACTTCGTTCAATGTCAGTATTGGAAACCAAGGGTGCAACGGAGCGAGAAATCAGCGTCGTCTGCAGCAACCACGAGTCACACTGGCTTTCAGCCGTCAAAGTCATTGGAACGGATCAGTACATGGCTGCTGATATGTACGGCAACATTCGGATACTTCAGTCACAGAATATCGTGGCCGAGAAACCAAGAACGACACTCGATATAGTCAGCTTGTGGCATTTTGGCGATCTTATCAATGGCTTTCGGCAGGGTAATTCACGATATTCTTGATGTGGTTTCATCCGTGTGAATAGTGTTGACACTCTGTTTCACGATCGTAGGTAGTTTTATTGGCCCATTTGACGAAGACTATGAACCGACAGCATCGACCAACTGCTTTATTTATGCCACCGTTACTGGTAGCATAGGGGTTATTATGCGAATCCCACAATCGCAGTACGATACATTACATATCCTGACCCAAAACATGCTTCGCGTACTTCCGCCACACGAACTCTACGACTACACATCCTTGCGCGAATTCAATAATGGCAACCTCCGACTTCCATCCCATGGCTTCATCGACGGGGATCTGATCAGCCGAATACAGACTTTGAAGCCAGCAGAGCTCCAAAAGCTCATCAGCACGGCAAACGGCAGGTACCGCGTTCCACATTAACTGTGCTTAGCACCATGACAAGCCACCTCGGCTTCCTTACTCTCAAGACCGAACAGAGAAGAGACAATATAAATTATTGGGAAAAGTAAAAGTTCTTCTATTCAAAATATAATACTACAATATACTTCATTGCTTACCACTTGCTTACCAACCTACAATCATGAGAAAAAAGACGATTAATCTTCTTGATATCGAAAAAAGATAGTCATGATGCTTGGATGAGTTTCAGAGTAACTGGGTAAAACCCGTTTTCCTCACAAAATATCGGAAGACCGTCGTGAAAAATGTCTCATCATTTTCTCATCCAAACATGTTAAAAGGGCGAAAATAACATACCTTGATTTCAGAAAAAGAAACAGCATCACGGTTTTGACAGTTCCATACATGTCATAAAGAAAAGCATCTGCAAAGGAAAACATCATGAGTTCCACGGTATCATATTTTTTGGAGCCGTCAAGCTCACTGGGAAAATCCATCAGACATAAAATTGTCCACACAGAATTCAGACATATGCTTGTCAATTTTAAAGAATTCATCTTCTGGATCACCCAGTGATGCAAGGCAAACATCAACGTACCTGCATGTCATCAACCAAGAACCGACCATGGGCAAGGAGATAGCCAGTTGGAGCATCATCTAATGGAATAAAGATTGATAATTAGTTCTCATGCTCAAAACTGAAATTATCATAAAAGGAGTAGATAAAAAATTGGAGGATCAGGAAAGCATGAATGGTATAAAAAAGGTTGTCAACAGCGAAAGACTCGATCTGACTCGTCATCTAATGTCATCACATCCAAAATGGAATATTAAAAAAACGAAATGAGTACATACCACATGACACCCTGGCGTGGCAGGACATGGAGAGAAAAAAAACGGTGGCACAACTGTGTCAAGCATCAGCAAAAATAACAAAAAAACGGCACGTAAGTATTGTGATGTCGACAATCATTTGAGCAACAAGGATGAATCCAGAAGATGACTCAGGTTTACAGCCTATTTGATTTCCACATGGTTGTTTTCGGACGGTAATTCCAACAAATTTTTCCTCATCATAGCCACTTCTGAATTCATCGTTGCAGATAAAGAAAGAGAGCTCACCTTTTACTCCTCTACGGCTTTGCCCCAAAGAGACTGACCAAGCCACATGGATTTTGATAACATTCTATAGGAATTCATTAGTCACACATCGACAACAAGTAGATGACACAGGATACGATGTGCAAGTGCGAAGATCAGAGATAAAAGTTCACAGCACGGTTGCATGTCAGAAACTCTAGTTTGTTTGACGTAAAAAACATCCTTTCTGCGCACTCACATCTGTTCCGTGAAAGAAAAAGTACCAACCTGATTGTCATGGATATGGAGGTAAAAGAGATGCAGCAGTAAAAAAAGTGGGATGCCTGTTATTTATATTTTTGCTTTTCGAAGTGCGAAAAAAAATTTTCTCTCTGTATTTTTTGCAGTCCCCACGGTAATTCCACATTGAAATTCCGACCTTCTTTTGAGGAGGGGAGGCAGTCCAATGCACCCGCGATCCAGCACACAACAAAATCAAAACCGTTTTGCTCCTCCATATCCGTAAAGGCCCGCTAATGGCAATTCTACAAAATCGATGTTTCCAATTAACTCTTTCCTATAAAACTAATTAATTCGCCCATGTTAACTAGGGCATAATCGTGAACGACGAAAAACTGCAGTTCAAAAGTTCTGGCAATTTCCTTTTTTTTTTTTTTTTTCAAGCAAAAGCCATAGATTGAAACTCAGCATATCTACTTCTTGACCGATATCCTCATCCATCATGGCGAATCCGATCGATGCCGACGTCGACTATTATGAATTGTTGGAAGTAAACTTCTCGGCGACGCTCAAAGAGATTACGAAAGCCTACAGAGTCAAGTCCTTGAAAGTCCATCCCGATAAAAATCCAAGCCCTGATGCAGGTAAGGGACCCATCCTACGACTCTTTGGACTGACTTCCTCAGCCACTGATACTTTGCTGTGCATTTTCTTGTAGCGGCCATTTTCCACACCGTGTCTCAAGCTTATGATGTACTAAAGGATCGTCAGAAACGAGCGGCCTATGATCAGCTTTACAAAGCTCGACTTGACCGAAAGAAAAAACAAAGAGAAATGGATGCTAAACGCCGGGCGGCGCAAGAAGAATTGGAACGTAGAGAGAGTGTGGCCAAGAAGGCCAAAACGGAACAATCCCAGCTGGAAGCAGAGTACGAAGCGGAATTAGCCCGGTTAAGAGCAGAAGGCGCCAAACGACGCCAGGAGGACTGGAAACCAGCCGAACCGGCTCAAGAAGAAGGTATGAGTAATCCGGCCACGTATGGCTCAAATTCTTTATTTGCGCTGTGTTCTGTGCATTTACCAAACCCTGGTTTCTTGGTTCACAGATCTGCCAGAACCTACGGATTTAGATTATGCACTCATGTTTAAATGGAAGTTAAAGAAGCATGATTTCACTGAAAAGGATCTGGAAACCCTGTTAAATACCATTGGCAAAGTCGACTCCGTAGCTATCTCCAGAAATAAGAAACGAGGCAAGGCCATGGTGATATTCAAGACGGTGGTGGATGCTGTAAGCGTTTGAGCTTGAAGAATGCGAGTATACATATTAACCAGATTGATTTCTTGTAGCATGCCGTTATTACCAGCAAGGACAGCCATTCCACGCTTGCGCAGTTTGACACGATCGATTGGGCAAGTGGAAAGGAACCGGCGATTGTGGAAAGATTGAATCGCGAAGCATTGAAGAAAAAGGAAGCACAGGCAGCGACTCAATTCGTCAATGATCTAAGACCTAACACGCCCACAGGCAAACCTCTGTTTTCCAGTGGCGCGACGGGTCAAAGTTCTTTCTTCAAAAACCTTCGGATCCCTCCGCAGCGAACCGTAAGTCAAATAATACTTTCCAATAATGATCATGTTACTGACATGCATTGTTTGCATGTAGTCTTCGTTTAGAAATGCTCCTAACTTGTCGGATAAGGATTTCGAAGCCATTACATTGATGAAATTGCGGCAAGCTGAAAGGGAACGTCTGATGGAGCAGGTCAAAGCAGAAGATGATAACAGTAACGGTTAAATTCATCACGTCGGCTACATATGATACCATCAGAGGGGAACGGACTGTTTCCATTTTTTTTTCCCCAAACTAGATCGTACTTTTATCTATTTATCACTTGCTAGCGAAACATAAGAACATCATGTAATATTGTCCTCGTATAAACTTGTATATATTCTCACTATGCACTTGGAGGCTTCAATTTACATATCCAAATAAGATATTGATCGAAGAGACACTGGTGGTGATTGCTCGAGTGACTTAAAAAAAGGATGGCTGTCACATACACGGCTTACCTCCGCAGCAAAACTGCATCAGAGCTCCTTCAATAAATGCATTCACTATATAAAAGAGAAAGAGATTGCTTTTGATTTTTAAATTAGTTATATTCTGCCACAACAAAAATATGCCTTGCCGTTGTGGAAGTACGGATCATCGAAGAGTTACGAGCTTATGGTGCCCGTTGAACCCGAGGAATACAACTTCTGAAAGCGCAGCCGCCATTTATATTAAGAAGCGCAAGCACAGCAGGTTTTTCAATCCTCTCCACAATGTGTATACACTTGCTCTTGATCATTTTTTATAGATGCAGTTTTTCACAAAGTTCTTCCGGATAGATCTTACCAGACGAGCCAATGTGGACGTACGGATCACCAAAGAATCGAATCAACAGCTCACGGTGTCCGTTGAGTCCCAAAAATACAACTGCTGAGTACATTCAAGTTACTCCAGAAGGTATTTTACATTTCTCTTGGCAGTTCTTGTTCAAAATTGTGCCACATGGTATACAGTGACCGCTCATCAGCCCGGGAGCCACGAAAAGTGATTCTTAAGATCGCATTATTTTTAAATCGATGTGGTAACTTTATGCAATAGAATACGGATAATAAATTTACCCGGTTGTGCCAGATCGAGACCATAACATGAATCAGTAGAAAAACGCAGTATAACAGCGCTACGATAAAGTATCGTCAAGGAGACTTGGCAAACATTTGCAAATTTGGTCAGAAGCATGCGATGGGATTCACCTGTATTGCCTGGGGACAGGTGAAAAAAAAACAGCAACTGTTGCCAAATGCTTAAGGCATGACAATTCTATAATTGCTGATCGATTGCAGATAATGAGGTACAAGAAGATCGAACGGTAACTGATCATAGTAGACTTCGACTATCTTCAATACGATATTGAATTTAGAAGATGAATCATAACCTGTGCCAATCATTAGAGCAGAGAAAATTTACTCTGACAATATGGGATCGTGAATGAACTTAGCTCCAGCCAATGAAGTCTATAAGCAAAGCATACGACAGTATAAAGTATGAGGAGCAACTAGTGTTAAAGCAGGCTCCAGTTTATCTATATAATTAAAATCTTTGAAAATTAGCAATTTGTAAATCACATGACTTGCACACTAAGCTATCGGAACCTTTTTTTTGTGCCTTCTCTCTTCAGAACCTCTTATTATTCTTTTTTTTTTGTGCCTTCTTTTCTTCTTCAACTACACTAAGCTATCAGAACTTCTTAATATCTTTTTGCAATACACCAAGTCATTAGAATCTCAATTCTTTCGATTCTTTCGATTGGTGCCTTTTTTTTTGTTCATCTTTGAACCATGCCTCGCTGCCCATCTTGCAACGGCAACGATCACCAGCGTTCTACCAATCGTCGTTGCCCAAATTTCTCTCCACGAAACACTACTATAAATAATGGGCGAAACAATGAGCAGCAAAATGCGGTTTGCACCAGTTGTGGTCAAACAGGACATCGTCGTCGCTCAAACCGCCATTGTCCCCTTCATAATCAAGACGGAAATACAGAAAATTTCACCAATGTGGCTCGCGATCCCAATGTCTCGATGCCAAATCTTCATAATGTAGGAGCCATGAATGTCATCTGCAGCCACTGTCAGGCACGAATGTGGAGTGGAGAAAAAGCTGCTGGAAGTACTATGAATGATCCTAAGTTTCAGCTCTGTTGTGGAAATGGTCAATTTGTACTTTCTCCTCTCAAACCCACCCCTCCTTTGATTGCCTCGCTTTTGACAGGGACTGGGGCGCAAGCAAAAGATTTCCGGCTCAAGATCAGAGCTTATTGTAGTGCTCTCAGTTTTACTTCTCTTGGTATAAATCTAGACGAAAGTGTAATGAATGGCAGACGGGGCGCTTACTGCTTCCGTATTCATGGAAGTGTTTACCATTTGATGGGATCGCTACTTCCTGCTAATGGCCAACGACCTGCATTTGCACAAATATACGTCCATGATACTGACAACGAAATATCAAATCGACATGCAATTGCAAGCCATCTCGCGCGAGACACCTTGGAAGTACTTCAGCAATTAATGCATGAAACCAATCCTTTCGTCCATCTTTTCAAGACAATGGCCCAATACATACAGGATAATGGTGGTGCTTCCAACATCAGAATGATTATTCGAGCTGACGATGTCCCAGATCCACGACGCTATAATGCACCAAATGCTTCTGAAATTGGTGTCATTATCGGTGAAAACGCAGAGGCCTCTGGAAGGGATATTGTGATCTGTACGCGTAGTAACCAACTGACATCAATCAGTGAGATGCATCGCCTGTATGACCCACTCCATTACGTGCTGATGTTTCCTGAAGGCGACCCTGGGTGGAACATTGAAACTCGATCGACCAGAAACGAGAAAGTCACCGTGATGAACTACTACAGTTTCAGATTGATGTATCGAAATGATGGACACCACTTGCACCTCTTTGGCCGACTCTTTCAGCAGTATATCGTAGATATGTATGCCAAGATGGAACAAAACCGCCTCAATTACCTTCGCCTCAACCAGGCCCGACTGCGTGCTGATGTGTATTCAGGCGTACAAGATGCTCTCCAACTTGACGACAACAATATGAATATGAATTCCATCGGTCAGCCTGTCATCCTTCCGTCGTCATTCATTGGCAGCCCTCGAAACATGCAACAGCTGTACCAAGATGCAATGAGTATCGTCAGATGTTTCGGAAAGCCTGACCTCTTCATTACATTCACGTGTAATCCAAAATGGCCAGAAATTCGGAATGAGCTTCTTGCTTCACAGACAGTATCTGATCGGCCAGATTTGACAGCACGAGTTTTCAACCTCAAGCTCAGAGCTCTTTTGAAGGATCTGACAAAAAATCATACACTTGGAAAAGTAATTGGCTACGTTTATACCGTCGAGTTCCAGAAAAGAGGATTGCCTCATGCGCATATTCTACTCATTTTAAAAGAAGCCGATAAACCTGTGACGCCAGAGCACTACGATTCTATCGTATCGGCGGAGATACCTGATCCACAGCAGTTCCCATCTGCTCATGCAACTGTCACGAACCATATGATGCATGGCCCATGTGGAATAGCAGCCTCGCATCCATCGCCATGCATGGAAAACGGTCGGTGCACAAAGCACTTCCCGCGTGCATTTCAAGAAGAGACAACGTGCAACGAAAATGGGTATCCTCTGTACCGAAGGCGCAATGACGGAAGAACCGTACGCAAAAATGGGATTTTACTTGACAACCGATGGGTTGTGCCGCATAATATTTACCTCTGCTCGAAATATGACGCACACATCAATGTCGAAATATGCACAACCATTAAATCAGTCAAGTATATCTACAAATATGTCTTCAAAGGACACGACCGTGCATCCGTTGTACTCCAGCCCGAAAACCATGATGAAATCCGTCAGTATCTTGATTCTCGGTACGTGTCAGCGTCTGAAGCCTGTTGGAGAATCTTTTCATTCTCTATGCATCACGAGTTTCCAGCACATCAAAGACTTGCAGTACATCTTCCAGGAGAAGAGATAATTTTTTTCCATGAGGATGAGAGTCCTCAAAATGTTGCAAGCCGCCGACCTTTGACGACATTAACAGCATGGTTCGAAACAAACCAGATTGATCCATCAGCAAGAACCATCTTATACTCTGATTTCCCAAGACATTACGTTTGGAATACAAGTGGAAGAAGAAGATGGACAGTTCGTGTTAGAGGACACAATACTGTTATTGGGCGCATATATAACATCTCGCCGCGGCAAGCGGAAAAATATTATCTTCGCCTCCTTCTCTATCATGTTCCTGGAGCAACTAGCTTTGAGGATCTGCGAACGGTCAACGGCCAACTTTGTTTGACATTCCAAGAAGCTGCACGCAGGCGTGGATTGCTTACCAACGATAACGAATGGGACCACTGTTTGGAAAATGCCGAGATCTATCAAGCACCCAGCTCCTTGAGGATGCTATTTGGCACAATTTTGGCTTTCTGTGAACCGTCTGACCCTTACGCACTTTGGCTTCGCCACAGACAACATATGGTGGAGGATCATCTCCATGCTGATAGAATTGAACAGAATGATGCATCTCTGGAACCAACAGAAACAATGTACGGACGCTGTATCATGGATATCGAGGATTATCTGCAATCACAGTCATTGTCTTTGCAAAATTTTGCTGGATTCTCTCTTCCTGAGGTTGATAGCCGTCCAACTTCCATATCTTTACCACGTCTACCACGTTTAGTTCAAGAACAGCTGTCACTTAACGAAGAAGCACAAAGGTTACCAAACCCAGCCAATCTGGACTTTAACCATGACCAGCAGATCATCTTTGACACTATCATCCGTGCAGCTGACGATGCATCACCAAGGAGCAAGCTATATTTTGTTGATGGACCTGGAGGAACTGGAAAAACATTTTTATTCAATGCCCTACTTTCCCATGTCCGTCGTAATGGAGAAATTGCTTTAGCCGTCGCATCCAGTCGAACAGCTGCTCTTCTTTTGGATGGTGGTCGTACCGCCCATTCACGGTTTAAGATACCATTGACTACGCACGAACATTCCTTTTGTAACGTGTCTCACAGAACGGAGCTTGCCCATTTACTGAAACTTACTAAGCTAATCATGTGGGATGAAGCATCGATGATAAACCGGTTTGCATTTGATGCAGTAGATCGAACATTTAGAGATCTCTTCAAAGCTGAAAACCCACGTCTGGAATCCGTACCGTTTGGAGGAAAGTTGGTAGTGTTTGGAGGTGATTTTCGACAAGTCCTGCCTGTGGTTCCCCGAGGGTCGCGTCCCGATATCGTCAATATGTGTATCAACCGCTCTGCTTCTTGGGCGCATGTGCAAACATTACGCCTGACGACCAATATGCGAGTTCAGAGACCACAACAAAACGAAAGTCCACAGGAACTTCAACAGTTCAGTGAATACTTGCTACGTATCGGTAATGGGACAGAGCCTACACGCTTGAATACAAGCTATATCAGCATCCC